GGACCTTCGTCCATCCCCTGACGGCGGGAACCCGGCACGTCAGCCTCCTCAGACTAGTGAGAATTATGAGCAATAGAGAAGACATTGAGATAAAAAGCGCGCTCACCGGATCCCGACGGAGGTGCTCATCCCGGCGAATCGCCTTCCGAAGCAGACTCTGAAGGTCCTGGCGGGCGCTGTCGAGCTTCTCGTGCGAGGCGAGTAAGCACCCGATGAAGGCGGAGCTGGTGTTCAGATGGTCTGTGACCTCCCGAAGGGCGTGGTACAGGCTGTCCTGGTGGAGGTCGCCGTTGCCGTACTGGTCGGTGGAAACCACCTGAGCGCGCGCCCAGATCTCCTTCGACGTATCAAAGGAGCGCTGCGCGCCGATGCCCAACGTCTGCTCGATCAAGCGAGAACCGTTGACGCCCTCGAAAGCAAGGCCGGTGCGCCCGAAGTGCGCGACGCCGGTGTCGGAGACGTCGAAGATCTGCACCTGCGCGGACGAGTCAGTGAGACAGTTCGGCGCAGGAACTGCTTGAGATACATACCTTCGAGGGAGGTGCGTCCGTGCTGGACTCAGCCGAGCGCTTCGAAGGGACAGAGGGGGTGGAGGGGTCGTCAGCGGACACCTTCTCCTTTTTCTTGCCTCGCTTCGCCTTTGCAGCTGTCGCAGACGCGGCAGCAGCGGCAGTCGAAGAAGGTTGAGCGGCCGCGGAAGTCGCCAAGGCGGGATCGACGAAGTCCGTGGCGGCGACAGCGGGATCGGCGGGGGCAGCCATGCTGGCAGCCGGTGCCGTAGTCGCTTCGACCCCGGTCATGGCGCTACCGGATGGCCTCGAACCTGCCTGAGTCGCCTTGATCTAAGAGATACATGAGCAAAACGAGAATATAAGCGTAAAGACACCACGCACCTGCGTCATGGCGTTCTGCAGGGTCGTCAACATCGCGTCGAGACCATGATAATATTGGTCGGTCGTCTCGTGCGGACCCACACTCCGCTTGGCGATGATAACGATGTTCATGGCCGTTGACACCACGTTATACTGGGCCAGACAGAGCGGAGACGTAGTGATGACCTGACAACGATGTCAATTGAGCGAAAGAGACAAGACAGCTGCATACGCACTCCGATATCGTCCAGTATTGCCGCGCAGGCAGCCTTGTGCATGGGGTACGACGCAGCGACGTTAACGTCGTTCATGTCATACGACATGGCCTGCAGCATCTTCTGCTGGGACGAGAGAACCTCGCGATCGCAGCCGAAGAGCGCCAAGAGGCGAGGACGCATCGTGGGGCCGGCGGTGAAGGAGAGCTTCGACATCTGCTTGTTGACGTTTTGACGAGTGAACGGGAGGGCCATGGTGGGCACTTCGTTGCCGTCCGCTGCTGTCCCGTCCCCTTATAAATGAAAAAGCGAGAAAAATGAGAGATCGCCGACAGGAAAATTTCCCTGGCCATATGTCAGCCTGAGACTTCGTGACCGCTGCTGGTCTCACCCGCGCATCGGCGAGGGCGCCGATTTCTTTGGTGTGGGGGAGATGCCCGGTGGTCTAGAGCATTGTCAATCGGTCGGACAGAGAGAAAACTTTTTTCGCGCTGCGCTACACGGCTAAGAGCCGCGGAAGCAAGTTGAACTTCGGCAATAGCCGGCAGTCACGTTCACGCCACGCGAGCTCGGAAGATGAACCAGCGACGAAGTAAGAGCAATTCATGAGAAGCAGGGCTTCATTTTTCGCGCTTTCAGTGTGGAAATCGGGTTCTTATTCCAAGAGATAAACTACTCTAGAGTGGATACAAGAAATAAAGCAAGAAATCAAAAGAAGAGATACAGCATCAAGAAAAATCAAGCCGGCGCTTCAAGCGCTTTCCCTTTCAGTAAAGCCCCTTATCCCAGGGCGGCGTAGGAGGGCGGGTGTTCCGCGAATGCCAAACCTGGGCAGGAGTAGGACGACCTGTAAAAGAAAGCGTCAGAAAATCGAGAAGAGTCGTGGAAAATAGAGAAGAAGACCCACCAAAGAGCATAGAGGAGCTCGCCGGCGAGGGCGCCGGGAGCGACTGCTCCGGAACGTCGAGCACGTCGAGCGGAAGACGACGCAGCCGGACAGGCAACGCGTCCGACGGCCCGCTGTCAGCATGCTCCGACGCCTCAGATGCAGGGCCGGAAACCTCGTTCCCAGACGCCTCGGGCGAGAGGGAGAACAGCCGAGACGTGCTCGCCGGGAGCGCTTGCAGCGCCTCCAGTAGCAGTTCCGGCTTGTTGAGGGGAGACCACTGGGGCGCCACCGAGGTAGCCGAGGATGGCGACGCGGGGCCGACCTCTGGGAGGGTCGCGGAAACCGGAGGGGAACCCGGAGAGTCGGGAGGAGAGCTAATGCGCATCCGAGCACGCTTGCGCGGCGGCAAGGGCGTGCCGAAGACGCTGTCTTCCTCCGACTCGCTCTCTGCGTCGGCGTGAGAGGGGACTGGAGCGTCGTCCTGCTCGTCCTCGCTCTCGACGTCCGCCTTGTCGATGCTGGCGGTAGGCGTAGGCGACTTACGACGGCGCTGAGCCCTTGCCGCCCTCGCCGAGATACCCTAGCGAGAAATCAGTACCACGAGCGCGAATATAGATGGAAAACTCACCTTGCGACGCGACGTCGAAGGCGGCGGCGTCTCAGCGCCGCGTCGACGAGCTTGCGACCGACGCCCGGCGAAGCCGCGCTCAGCCTCGCTGGCGGGACCGCACTCCCCCATCGTCAGCTCGCCGTACCCAAGGCGCTCTGCGACGACCGCTACGTGGTCTGCAGGCAGCCGAGGCGCGTTGCGCAGCTTCTCGAACTGGGCCGAAGCGTTAACCAGAGAAAACAAGCGAAAATCAAGGGGACTTACCATGTCCTGGTTGCTTCGACGCGCGGCGGCGATTTTCGCCTCTCCGCGAAGCTTTTCGTCCGCGTGCTGGAACGTCAGCGCGACCGGATTCAGAAGGAAACTAGAAAACTGTCAGCAGAAACAATAGTGAGAACTGTGAAGCACTTACTCGGGGCGGGGAACGCTGGCCGCGCCGTAGTACTTGGCGTCCGGGTCGGTCGCCCGAATGCAATCGTACAGGAAGTACATGCATGCGGCAACCAACGGGTCCGGCGCGAAATCGGGGTCGTCGGCCTCGGACTCGCCAGCGACGAGAATGGCGGCGAGTGCGTGCTACCACGCCGCATGAGCGCCTAAGGAAACAAGAGAGAACGGGAACACATACCAGCTTCTTCTGAACAAATATTCGGCGGGAATTCTTGCGTCCCAGCGCCCACACGATGTTCTCAGTCGTGGGGGCGCGGTTGTTGAGCCCCGCTGCCGAGTGGAACTCCCAGTTGATGGAGTCCAACTTGGAGCCGTAGGCTTGATGGCTTTTACGCGCCGAGCGATGCGCCAGCGTGTCGGTGGGCGCCATGGCTGCTGTCTGCGTCAGTCGGGGCGTGTGGCGTCGCGGAGGCACGTACGACGTACCGTGAACGTCGAGAGCAAGTTGTAGAAGGCACGAGGCGCGGGAAGTCGACATATAAGCCTCGCCGGCGCCGTCGATCCGATCGAGCAAGCTTAAACCACGGGAATCACCGAAAACCAGAAAAACACCAACCGAGAGAGAAGAGACTGTCGTCGCAGTCGACTCTACGGCGTATGCCGTAGGGTAACAACGCCGATTCATCTCCACTGCTAAGAGAGAATGACCGGGGACGGTCAAGATCTTGGTGTGGGGGAGATGATGCGCCTGGCGCTGAAAAACGCATTTTTGTGCCCAATATCAGAGCGATATGGCGTCTTTAACTGGCTTGACCATAAGGACTCGTATATACCTTACGACGTCGTGACTGTACAACGGGCGCGTCGTAGGTATTTTACCGAGCTATTATCAGAGAGACACTGTTTAAAAGGGCCATTTGGGAGGCATTTGACCGAGAATATACCCAGAAGACACTTCGAGGACCACTTAGAGCTCCCTTAGCCTTTCCTACCCTGGGATGTGCGACGGGGATGACATCTATTGGCTCTTAGAAGGGGAACCATCCGGGCAGTAGGCGTACCTAGCGTGCTGCTCACCCATGTCGAACACCATCCTCGCTCGGTCTTATCGCTTGTCAATTTGGGCTACTGGACAGTTGTATCTATGAGGTAGCAAGGTGCGAGGACTTCATAGGACCGCAGCCGCGGTCCTCACCCAATCGCCGGGACGCGCACGAGTCACATGACCGTGTCAACTCGAACACTCACGTGCTTCGGACTTCGCCGACCGAACAATTGTGCGAAGTACCGCGCCTCACCGCGCGGTCTTCCACTCGGCTTCGGGCACGATACAAGCGAACACAGCTGTCTTGGCGGCAGGCAACGACTGCCGAACCTATCTATACCAGAAAGGCGTCGAAGCTTAGGCGGACCCGGACCAATATGACTCGGAATTTCAACACGCAGCGCTATCCGCCATCGGCCTCACCGGAGAACGTGCGACGGCCTCGGAACGACGGAACGCGGCAGGCCAGTTGAGGGGAGGAAGGACAGGAATTGCGAGAAGCTGCTGATGCGCCTCGCGGGAATTATCCGAGATCGGGAAGTTTTCACCAACTCGAGTCATTTTGCATCGGCCGTGCGCCGCCCTACCTACCGTATATATACCGAAACGTACCTACAGTTCGAGGACTTTCGCCCACATCAGGAGCAGAGCCCTTGCAGAGCCCACACTTTGCATACAATACCAGAACTATCAGACCAGAAAAACCTTGAGAAATCCTTGAGAAATCCCTTGAAAAGACCATCTCCTGGCGTGATTACTTCTGAGAAACACTTGTGAAAAGCCTGACGAGCTGCCGCGGTCGAGGAACTAGCGCTACTTCGCGAACTTCCAAAACTCGTCTATTTGTTGGCACTATATATTCCCTAGCAATACAAAAACACGGACTCGCTGCGCTTCTAGCGAAGTAACTGTCTCGTCTTTGGGTTGTTTGTGTGGTCGTTTGGCGACTGTTGAGCGATCTCTTGCCACCTTAGGCGCGCTACTTCTCTGAAGCGTACGATCCCATCACCTCAATGACACGAGGGATCGCGCGAGACAAGAGCACGTTCTGTAGCAGTGCTACATGCTCTATCGCCGCCTCGGGAGGGAATTTGTTGTAGCCCGGGCTCATAACGAGCCAGTTGAGGTTTGGGACGAGTGGCGGGAAGCCCTCCCGACACGTGAGCGCATTGATGGCAGTTCGGGACATGACCTGATCTGCATTATGTGCACCTTGCACCCAAAGCGTCTCCAGGTTTCCGAGCCGTTCAAGGCTTCGAGTGAATGCGAGTGCAGCGACATCGTCAAAGTCTTCCGGGGTATCCACCGTCCTGAGGCTGAGAAGGGAGTGCGGCGCGTCGCTTGCGGATACGAGCGCATAGAGGGACGTGCAGAAGTCACCGTCTGGCAGACCGCGCGCGGAAGTGGGGGCGGTCAGATACAGGCTCTCGAGAGCAGGCGCGATGATGCGCCGCATGAAGACGTGTGATGTGATGCTAAGGTCAAGATCATAGAGGGCGGGCATGTAGATCGGCTCCACAGCGTCCAGCTCCGTCCATGGACCATCAATAGGGCAGCAGTCGGCCACGAGGGATTCAATGGTCAACCTCGACAGCAGCACAGTGCGAAGGAATCGGGAAGGGCAGGAGCACACGCCATCGCCCACAGCGATTTCCAGATGGCGGAGGCTGGTGAAAGGCGGTATGTCCATGTCACCCTCGACACGGGTGACGGAACACGTCTCGACTTTGAAATACTCGACCTGCCCGATGCTGCCCCTGGTGAAGTCCAACACTCTCGTGATGTCCACCAGATTCTCGCAAAAGTCCGCCAAGACCACCTTCTTCAGTCGTGGGCAGCTGGGCGATGCAGCAGAAAGAGAGAGGACGTCATGCCAAGGACCACCGAGATCGAGGATTTCCCAACGGTGTGCATGCGGTAGCAACTGCGCAATGAGACTTCTTTGGAAGAGCTCAGAGCGGCACGTTATCTCCAGACCGTACGGGTCAGACAGGGCTATACATGCGTCCACATATGCCGTCAAATTTCGTCCGTGGTCGTCGTTCTCGATGCGAATCATGCTCCAAAGTTTGCCGGTACCATAAGCAATTGATCGCCAAATCTTGCAAACGCACGAGACAATACAGGCAAAGCGTCCGGGGGAGTAATTGTCATCCTTCAGAGAGAGGAAGATGCCGACAAGGATCTCCGTAGGCAGACAGTATATGGGAGGATGGTTGAGAGTGAAGAGAGAGGTCGTAGTAGGTTGGTGGGTTAGGAATGAAATGAAATGAAATGAAATGAAATGGATAAACCACCGTTTTATGCGCTGCGACGCTTCAGAAACGCGACCACTTTTCGGATTCCTGTGTTTGTACACCGGTCGAGTCGGTCCGACCGTCTTTTCGACAGGCTTTCAGTGACGCTTGGCCGGATGGATTTCGTCCAGAAAAATCATGCAGCTACGGAACACCTCAATCTATCGTAATATGCAGTTTGGTGGGAGCACGGGCTGTGATCGTTGCGCTAGGCGTCCGTCAAGTTTTGGGATGCATGCCGAGCAATGTTTGGTCAATGCCGACGATGTCGGCATTACGGCATTTCGGCAAGAACTTGTCATGAACTTCACGTACACATTCTGTTGTTGGCGCTGTAGCACTTCTGTGTCGTCGTTTTTCGTCTGGTGTTGGGGTCATTACGTCTATAACTACCTGTTACTGTCTGTCTGTGTACTTTGTGACTCGCGAGAAAGGCTCTGAGCATTACTTTTCATCTTACGTGCTGACACCTTGCAATCTTGTCATGTTCGGCATCTCGGCAACTTCGTCAGCAGCATTGCCTGTCGTTTCCGTCTGCTCGTCTTCGTTCCAATCGACGATTGCGCGCTCGTCGTTCGCCGCCTCCTGCCTTTTTCCTTGGGGCTTGCTGACATGGCTTTCGACGTATGTCGTTGGCGATGCTTTCAGTGACCTTGCTCTGCTCCGGACTTGTCTGTGCGGTCAACATGTCGCCATCGATCGCGGCCCACCCTCGCAGCCCGGGGCACTGGCGTGTTCGTGCGCTGTAGCCCTCGTGTGTAAACATGATTGTAGGACATTCGGAGCGACCTGACCCCTGCAAATGTATGGTCCTGTGTATACGAGACAGACACTGCGTGTGCAGCAGGGGTCCATATCGGAGGTGCGTGCATCGCACCGTCAGCCGCTGTACGTTGCTGACGCAACGATTGCAGCAGAGCGTGGTCGACGTCCATAGGCATGGAATCTGTTCGGTGCGTGTACGTGCCATCTACTGTGTCGCAAGAACTGACGTGCGTTATTCAGCCTGTCGACACCGCTGCGGGTGTTTGCCTCTGCAGCGTGATTCGTTTGTACCGGCTCCTCAAGCTACACCTTATCCTGTTCCCCAATGGCTCGCATGTATAGCAGTAGCAGCGTGACACGTGGAAGGCGTCGACACGTATGCGCGCGTACTGTCCGCTTGCGCGCGTATCCGCATGGGGCGCTTGACTGTCTTTGGCCTTCCTGTGTCGGAGGTGCGTTATCCTAGATGCTGATACCGTGTGTAGGTTTGGGTGTGATACGCGCAAAGCGTCTTGGCGACGAAACAGCTGTGATGCTGTGTCCTTTTGGTCCGTCAATGTTGCCGTTGTAGGCGAATTTCTGTCGGTGAGTCATTTGTCAGGTTCTTTTGGATGTTTTCGGGTGCTAAGCGTACGGTTCAGGGCACTGTAGTGGGCTGGGTTATATAGTACGTCCTTCGGATGGTGCTCTGTCAAGGTCTAGCCGGTTAGGTCTGGTCGTCTTCACGATACGTCGGCGCGCGTCGTACGTCGACCGGCCGTCGGGAGGGTCTGTAGGGTGGGTTGAGACGACAATGGGCCGAGGGGTGGTAAGCACGGGGTGTATGCAATGGTGTCGGGATGACGGGATGAGCATGCTCGTCTTTGGCTGCTGCGCAAAAGGTGACCCGTCTTTCTTGTCGTCTTGAATTGCCGCCGCTGATCATTTCTTTCTTTCAGGGCGCCTCTGTACACGTTCTTATGGATATGGCATGGGTAGCGCTGGTGTATTTTAATTGACTTTCCCAGTCGTTTGATAACCGGCCCGTCGTGGTTAGCGTGATACTGGCAGGTTGAGAGTTGCGTCCCTCGCGGTGCGCCTTCCTTAATCGTGTATTCTATTTTTCTGTTTGCGAGGTGTTTCTCGTTCGCGCATCCCGTACTGGTGCGTGAGCGAGGGATGGCCGCGTCGCCTATACCACGATCTTCGAGGTCGTTGCGTATGCTGCCGGTTATACGGTCATTGGGGTCGGTTTTAATGGATGGCGGTCGACTCGCTTGAGGCCTGCTTTGGCCCGGAGGGCTTGACTCCTTGGGTAGTATCATGGCCTGCAATCGATCGCACTCCAGTACGTAGTGATTCCATAATAATCGATTTAGCTTGTTCTTGGGTGCGGTAATGTCCATCCCTCTGGCAGCCTTGACTATTGGGGGCCTGATTTCTGGTGCATCTAAGCGTGGTGATGTGGCCGGTCTCAGTGCGCTACGCAGTGTCTTAGTTGGTTGGGGTTGATATATATGTGCATGCTATAGGTCTGCTCACTTTCTATACACAGCGGTTGGGGGGAGGTGTGCACATATGTATCATGAAGGGCAACGATGGTATTGGCCATCGTCAGGGCTCGTTGCCTTGGTTCGGCCTAAACCGAATGCGGATTGGCCGTTTAGGGTCTGACCCGATTCGGGTATATCGTTTTGGGATTTTCTCATTAAGGAATATCTTCTTTAGGATGTGACCGGTTACGGTCATTCCACATTTAGGTTTTTCTGATGTGTATATATTACGTGGCAGTGTTGCATCTACGAGTAATTGTGGGATGTAGCTGTCGTAGTACAAGTTTCTATCTATTGTAATTGCTCAGTTGAGCTCGAAAGCAGCTCGAAAGGGTGGTACCGGTGCTGCATTGTTTTGCGCCTGCACGTGACTAGTGTCACAGGACACGTATTCCCTCGTTGCGTGATGACATCGCGCGACCGCTGCTGTATACTCCCTTTCGTGTGGGTACGTTCAGTTGTAACTGAGACTGCAGTGCAATGTTAGTGACCAGACTTGGAGATGACTTGTTCGTGCTGACAGTCGCCTAGATGTTGATCGACTCGTCCTCTCGTCAGCCTTCGCACGTGCTGTATCGCTGGGGTTCATTTTTCGTGTCGCGACCTCAATCTTTTGCGGCCATAGATCCCTCGCAAGCCCGCCATCCTAACGCGTGTCTTGCACTTTCCGACTTTGCGCAACCTATGAGGCTCACAGCGGAATATCCTTACGCGCCGCTCACTCCGCGTACTCTGGACGACATGGATGATCCGATACTCATGCCGTTGTCGCTTCTCTCCTTAACCGCGGTTGGACCGCACGGACGCATGCACCTGGCGGAAGACATTATCGTGCAGTGGATCGACTTAGAGTTTCGCCTCATCGCAATCCGTGATGTACTTCTGCGCGATGTGGATCAAGGTGTTCTCCCGCTTGGGTATCGTTCGTGCGCTGTCCCTACGTCCTACGGGTACAGGAAGCTGTACTCGACACGCAAGTCAGTATGGAGGCGAGCAGCACAGTCGAGGGACGCCTTCGCTGTTCTGATAGCAGAATGTCATTTTCTTGCGCTGATGAATCGGAAGCTCTTGGATCCGTCTGGGCGGGTGCATGTGTCTTCTCTGGACGTATTGCTAACGTCTGTCGGTACATTCCTCCATGACGTCTGGCTTACGACATTCGTCAACCTCTTTGACAAACCAGCGGCCGGGTTCGTCGCGTCAGTCGCAGAGGTCGAGGCTTCCTTCTGGCTGGCGCGTCTTCCGAAGGCAACACCCGTATATATCTGTTGGGGAGACTCAAAGGAGGCCGCTGCGAGTGTCAAGCGCGCGGAGAGAAGTCCATTTCTTGCGGCGTTGACTCGACCCAGTCTGCAAGACATCGCTCGTTGTGAGGATGCGTCTGCAGCACGTGACCGCGTTGCTCCGGGCCCTCCTCGCTGCCAGAGCAACTCCGAAACATACGACTCGTTCATGCGACGTAGGCGGAACTGGTACACTGCAAGCGCCGCAGTCGTTCTGCCCGCGCACGGGCATGTAGGCGTTGTTCAAGCGTTCGAGTGGATCAAAGACAGCAGGGGTCTCATGCGCCGCGAACCTGTTCCTCCGCCCTTTTTCCACAAGGCGATGGCTCATTACCTGGAAGGCGAAAAGATCTACGACGCGTCGCGTTCGGAATGGGACTTGTGCTGGGCCGAGTACCAGAAGGACGTGCCTCTCTTCAATCAAGGTCCTGACGACGAGGTCACAGGAGAGACGGGCTTGAAGGATGCTATGCTGCCGGATGCTCAGGTCCTCCACGCAGCCGACGAGCGGGAGGCTAGTAAGGCGATATGCTTGCAGAACGCTTTGGAGAGGCTATCTGATAACATGGCTGTCGCTTTCGGTGCACGCTATGGCTACTTCACCGATGGGTCCTCTGTGGTCATAGACGATGACCGACGACCGACGAGGAAGACTATAGCATGGCTTATGGGGGAGGGATTACAGTGTATGAGAACGCTTTGCTGTCTAGTACCGGAGGACGTGAGCCTTCTGCGTGCTGGGTTCCGCGTCTTGCTGTGTGCGGCCGATGGAGACGAAATTCCGACATTTGCGCCATCCGTCATCGACATCTTTCGCGACTCAGCGTGGTCGGTGTGGATCCGGGACTCATCAGAGGCGTTTCGTGTCTGTGTGGCTCGCGACGAAACATCTGTGCCGGTGTACGTCTTCAAGTTTGCGAGTAATCCGTCCGCCACGCATTGGATCGCCACGTACGACGCCGCGGTTGCGCTGATGCTTCAACGCATTGGATCGTCCTGCACCGACTCGAAAGCGCTGTTTCGATTGGCAACAGAGCTGGGATGCTCCATGCTTGTTCTTCATGGAGCTGCAGACTCGAAAGATGGCGATGCTTCTAATGGTAAGGAGACCAAGCATCCTGCTCATATGACGGGGTCGCGGACGGGGGAACGTGCAGTTCTGGGCGCAAGCACGCGTGACGGGCTGGCCGTTGACGATATACGTGTTGTGGCTGGCAGCTCCTCGTCTAGTCGCTCTCCCTCGACATCTGGCCTCAGATTTGACAGAGGTTCGGAGACAATCGACAACGACTATTACGCGGCCTGCAGTGCGGAGTCGAAGGCAGATGCAACTGGCTTATCACAAGTTCGTGCTCCGCGGGATGGCGCTCGTGAAGCTGTCGAGCTCACTGCGGGCTCGTCTTCAGCTGTGTCGAAGTCACAGGCGGCAACCCTCTCTTCTGCTTCGCCCCTCCCAGTCCCTCCCAGCAGCGACTATCGAACTTCTCCCGGCGTTGTTGATGCTGAGAGTAGAGGTGAAGCTGGAACAGGTAGGTACTTTGTACGTTCTGAAAGCAAAGCATCTGACCGTATCTTCGTAGCTGATACTCCTGTCGCTGCTGTGAGCGCGTCTAGCGAAGCAGGGGCCCCTATGAAGCGTCAAGCGGCAGGGGCTTCTTCGAATGCGCCTTTTAGCACCGGTTCGCGTCCCGGTCTAGGTTGGCGTCCCTGGAACTATCGAGTAGACCACATAGACGTGGCAGAGTACCTCCGTCAGCGACGGTTGCACTTCACTTTGCAACGCGCTGCAGCTATGTATAGGCGAGGTGGTATATTGGGTCGCATCGCTCGCGATCTGTTTTTCGCACAGGACTTCCTCTCAGTCGAGTACGCGCCGGCGTCTTCTGGGAAACCACTCATCGTCTGCACCTTTGCGGACGGTACTACGACTGCAGACGAGGATATCACCACCGAGGACGAAGACATTTTGATCGGCACTTATTTCGTCGCGAATAGTGGGCATGGTCTTGAAGTCTACTTCTTACGCTGACGTCGTTTCGTAGACCCAGTAGACCGGTTTAACACGAAGAAGGTCACGTTCTGGCCTACGGAGTTAATGTTCAATACCAAAGGTCCTTATTGTGGCGTGTGGACACGTGATGCAGAGGAGTGGTACCTGCAGCGGAGAGACGCTTTGTATGCGGACGGGGAGCAGGGTCTCACATCGGATCAGTGGCGGTCCGCCTTGCACTTTGCGCATAGCGCGAACAAGCTGCATAGAGGCGGGTGCGAGATCGCCGCTCGTTTTGTTGAGGCGCATCCGGATATTTACTCATGTGCGTGACGGTTTATGGCGCTTGTCGAGCGTGGGACGTAAAATATGATTGCCTGGGTTTTGCACTGCGCGGTTATTCGTGTGTAGAGACTGCAAACGTGACGATCGCTGCCATCATTGTGGACATGCTAGTACGGTGACGCAATTTATTGCATTCTCCATCAAGGATAATGTGCCATACACGTGGTTGACCCGTTTGCAGATCACGCAAGGGTCACGAGATTGTCACCAACGTTACTGAGTCTATATCGCATGTAGTAGCCGAAGAAAGCGAGCGAGCGCAGCGTATGCTCATCGTTATTGTAGCAGATTGGATTATGATATTAACTTGTCTACGCAATTACATGTTTCTGTCTACGGATTGTCTATACTATGTATACGTAGCGTTCTGATTACACGCGGCTGACCGCTTCCAAGAAATACAACGGCTATATACAATTCGCTTCCTCCTTCACTATATGACGCCTTAGTCCTTTGGGAATACAACATTCTGCGTCGAGTTTTAGCCTCGTGCGAAGGGAAAGACAAAGACAGCTCACGTTCGCGGCCACGTAGAGAAGTTCGTCCGCGGCGGTCTTCGTGCCTCCGACGGCGGCCAGACTTACCACTCCATGCATATGTTTGAACGCGTCTGATGCTCGCAGGCTGGCGTTGGTTGAGAGACCCTTAACGGACGCGGGCGTAGACGCGATGCCGGGAGCAGATAGTTCACCGAATGCGCCGATGGAGATGCGGCCGTGGGCGGTTTTCAGATGCTCTGCGAGACATTCTAGAGCGTATGGGCGGCCTGCCGTGAAGTAGACGATGGCCTCGCAGTACGCGCATTGGGCGCATTGGTCGCTGAATCGCAGCACTGCGTCCGATTTCTCCAGTGCCATCTTGCGGGCGTCGGCAGTCCTTTCGCCGAAGTCGATGCGTCCCATCATGTAAGAGGCCATTGGTAGTTGAAATGAAGTACTTGACGTATTGGATTACTCTACGGCACTGGCTAGCTAGAGACTTACTAGGAAAGCAACGGAAAGGGCGCGAAAGATTGGCAGGCAGCGATGTTGAAGTCGGCGCCTAAGAGAAAAACGTTAAGCGGCGGGCGCGGAGTTGTACGACGCAGATATATACTGAGAGAGAGTACGTGGCAGGGAGTAGCAGTGCAGATAGGTGTACGAGTCGTCCAGAGGCAGGCGGGACAGGAAGGGACGGGATAATGGGACGTGCAGGGAGTGCGGTGAAGTGTGTTCGGCAATCACCGAGTCCGCGGCATGAATGCCGAGCGGCGCGTGCACCACGTGTGCCCGGCTCTTTGCGAAAACGCCGCGGTGTCCGAGTTTGCGGCGATCACCGGTGGCGTTCGAACAGCCGCCGACAACGACCGCGGGCTCACATGGATCTCTTTTCGTCGGACGAGTTGCGTGCGCTACATCATGGTTCGTTCTTGGAGGGCGCGGGTCGCATGAACGCGCTCGCGAGCAATCTTATCGACTTCGCAGGCAATGTATGTGCTCGTTTCCAGTTGTTTCTCTTTCGACGACTAATGCAATATAAGGACGTCGTATTCCAGGCGTAGTTATAGGGTTCGGGACGGGGTGGTAGATGTCTTGGAAAACTCGTTGTATATTTTGCTCGCGCACGGACGTGTAAAATCGGAATGTTGCGTATATAGTGTAGCTTGACCGTACCATAGGATCTGTTGTTTGATAGCCTTTCTAATGTTACTTTTGAATATGAGTGGGCGGTGTCGGTGGCTTTCTCGTCCACGGTTCTTTTTCGAGGTGTGATCTCTTGCGGGCGCAAATTCACGACGACGCAGAAAGTCCAGCACCTTTCCATTGGCGCATGCTTACATTGATGCGTGTTATAAGCAGCCTCGTAAAGAACAGTTCATTACATGTTACATTTCCTCTAGTATTCCCTTGAGCTGATATCGGGCCTTGGATAACTTAGCTCGTGCGACTTTGAGCTCCTTTGCGAGGGTCTTGTTCTAGTTATTCATCAGTACGGTTGAGTCTTGTCGGAGTGAGGGTATTCACTGTTTCTTTCAATCGCTCTCTCTCTCTCTTGTGGTGTCTCCGTCTCTTTTGTTGCGGAAGTCCTGCGTTCGGGTGATTTGGGCTTTCAGTTCCTTCAGCTCGCGCTGTAATGCTTTGATCTTGTTGCCGCGAGTGATGACAGTGCCTTTGAGGTGTGTCGTAGTCTGATCTTCGCTGTCGACATCGATGGGGATGTGTTTTGAGGTACCTGGGTATGGTGGCGGCGCTAACAGGGGTAAGCCTGGTTTTGTGTACTCGACTGCACCCACCATACGTCGTCATCCGTGCCGTCCGTTTTGCGTGGTTTAATCATAATCTTGATGTTGTGGCGAATGAGGCTAGTGGTACACGTGAAGGACGATAATATGTGCCTTTTTGTGGCGTTCATTGGGTTTGATTGTTCGTGTGTACATGCGCTCAAAGGTCATGTGATGTCGGTACCGCCCCGCACGTGACTCTATCAGTGGATCGTGTTCGTGCGCTCTTCGTCTACTGTTGTTTTTAATGAGAGACGTGTTTCCTCTCGTAATCATTGCAAAGTGGGTGATAATGACGAAACTGCTAATGGTGCGCTGAGAATAGTACATAGCTGATGATTGCACTACAATGGTGGATAGAACTCCTCTCCGTCTGTGCTCCTGCTCGCATCACCTGCTGCTTTCTCTGACGAAGTATCGCCCTTCTGTTCGCGTCGGCGTTGCTCGCGACGTCGTGATAGGCAGCTGGATTACACTTGTCTATTCGCGCGATGAAGAGCTTGTTGAATGAAATCCGCGTAGTCCATTGTGTTCGTACAGTACTCCTCGGCGTCTGTCATCACGAAGTTTTTTGAGCTGACGATATCAAGCGCAGGATTAGTGTGGTGCCGGATGGTCTCTACGAGGAAGTGACAGCTGGTGAAGGGGCAGCGCTGCTTGGCTACATGGTTGGAGCATGCGCCCACTTCGGCGAGAAACGAGCCGCAGTCGCAGATGCAGTAGTCGTGACCGTCGCGACATAACAAGTGACCACAAGGAACGATGTAGGACGTAGCTGGTGCATTGCACATGCAGCATGTACCCAAGCCGGACATGGATGATTTCTGTAGATTGTCAGTGCCTAAAAGGACGGCGAGGCATTGTCATGCACCCATCCGTTCGCTATGTTGCTCAATTTCTCACGAACGACGACATACTCCCGCATAGTATCCTCGTGATCAGCGCGCTCACGAGTGAGTGCGGCATTTGCTTGGTGCAGCAGTGTTGTGAGGTGGGCGACTTTGGCCGATGCTGCTGCGAAGTTGGTGTTTGCGTGAATGACACTGTGAAGCAGGGCATCTCGCTGCGCTTCCGCCGCGTCCTTTGCCTGAAGAGTGCGATCAAAGAGCTCCGAGAGCTGCGTCGCGTGTTAGTTGGTATCGCCCTCGCGAAGTGGATCATACCTGCGACGGTGTTAGGCCAGCCATCGGTCGTTCCTGCTGGCATCTCCAATCGTCTTATACGCAGCGGCGGTGTCAATGGGTGTAGTGCGCTCATTCAAATGACCCACGGCTCTGTTCATGTCAAATGACTTACCATGCTGAGAGACCGCAGAGGAATGGTTACTGCCCAATACTTTGGCGCGCACTCGAGATCATATTTTCCCACCGTGAACACCGCGTCCGCTGTTATGAAGGCATCGAGCATGATACCAAGCGTTGGCGACCGACAAGAAGGCGTCAACCCTTGGTGATTGCTTTTGGATAGATGTTCGCCATGACCCGCGGACTTGCGTACGCGGATGATGCTCGTGACTGGGCAGCATCGCGGCCTCGTGGTTGGACCTGTCCGTCTCCGTTCATGATCCGTGTGGATCGGGGCGGCGTCCGTCTTGCCGCCGTGGTCCGTTTTTTGCCTTCTACGACCACGCTGGTCATCCTGCTCCATCTCTTATCATGTTGTTTGCGTACGGCTCGTACTTCTTGCAATGCTACTCGCTCGTTGTATGAGACTTCATTGTTTGACATCGCGCGTAATCGTTAAGAAACTAGCCTCCGTCGGGGCGCGGGCAATGTGCATATATTGTGGTATCGAAAGTTGTGCATAGTATGTACTCAGGCATGTATCCCTTTCTTCTGAAGATCTTCGAGCATTGCATCGGCGTGATCCTTGGTCCTCGCGCAGAATTCCTGAGCGTCGCTGAGCACCTCGTCCATGCTGATGACGATTTGCGCCGCTGTATTGTCGATCGGTACCTGATGGATAATGGGGACATTGCATCCTGCGACGACGCAGTGAGTCGTGCTATGGGCTACGCAGCATTGCTGATGACCGCATGGGTCCGCTTGAGTTATCGCCGGCTGACGACATACTGAGCATCGTGGAAGGTCGGCTATCGTTTCACTCTACACGGGCGGTTGTTAGCTGGACGGGTCATCGTCGTCGGCTGTTGAGACGCACCCAGCCATCTGCTAAGAACTCGAGCTTGGCTCGCACGTTGAGGTAGGCGCGTTGGGTCCGCTCATGCGTCGCCTGCTCTTTTCGCAGCGCTTCAGTAAGTACGGTGATGGTGTTCTGGAGTGAGCTGATTATCGCATCTCGTGATGCGTTGTGGTTGTTGTCCATAGCGCAGGTAGGCTAGTCGATGAGTAAGTATGTGTCTGGTATGAGATGAAGGGCGTACCGTTGACGGGTAGCGATGGCGAGTCTTGCGTTTATTGCTTTCTCCGCGTCCCTCTTATTGGCGGGTACATGCTCGGTCGTGCTGTAAACTCTGATAGTCTTTCCCCATGTTCTCACAGGGTACGCAGGGTACATGTCGAGTTTAGACGCCGTGCTTAAAATGAATAGGAGCGTCCTTATGTGGGATGAGCAGGTGATCAGAAGTGGTTCTGACATCGAAGAGTACGGGAACATAATGGGCGGTAGTGCTGGACATAACCTGCTTTTTTCGTGATGTGCCTAACACCGCGGCCAATGAAATCCATATGGATGCCCTCTACCGACAGCGAGCGCCCGCCGAGCATTGAGGTGACGCTTTCGAGCTACGAGCCTTAGCTCATAAGCTGTGAGACGCTGAGTTTGCGCGTCAGATAACCGTTCAAGTGAAGAAGTACGTCGTTCGAAGGTGAAATATTCAAGAGTACATTGTCCGAAAGAGTTACAATTCGCAGCGCTCGTGCCCTCCCTCAATTCATGCAGTCGTTCTCCATCCTGCGCTCCCGATTGGCGGTGATCTTGTCGACGAGGTCAGCCTGCGCGGCGACGTACTCGGCAGCTTTCATGAGATGGGGACGAAGATCAGAGAGAGCCATATGCGGCTGCCCTCCGGTAAGAGGAATGATGTCGGACGCGGCGCGGGTGCACGAACGGACGGGACACACTTTGTCCCAATGATGAGAAGCGCAGGGTGGATCGCTGATGCTCCGACGGCAGTTTCGACAAAGGCGCTTGCAGCACCCACTGGAACATAAGGTATGACCACAGTCCATGACGCGATGGGTCGCTCCGTGGGTGCACTTCGCGCACGTCATGATGCGGGAGCGATGCCGTTCCTGCTCTGTATGTCGGAGACGTTCGAGTAGAGTGTTGGCGACGTACCCAGTCCTTTGCGAGACCGTCCAAGACGAAGTACATGCGGAGTATTTCGAGCTCTCGGTCGTCGATGATGTCGTCCTTCTCCTTGACCTTGTCGATGAAGAACTGCGTGCGGTGGCGTGAGTTTTCGAGATCTTTATCGGTCTCCGCGAGGGTGGCTTTGAGGTCGTTGAGCTGTCAATTGACGTCCAAAAGTGCGGATTCAGCAGCGTTCTTGTCGGCTAACGCTTTAGAGATGATCTCGTACGCCCCACTCTGCTAGAGAGACGTCAGAACGATTGGACACAATCTCCGTGCGTACTTACAGACGTGAGCTGTTCAAGAGGGCCAGAAGAAGACATGAGGAGCGGCTTGGATGACTGTCGAAAGGAAAGAATCGTGGGCTCACGCAAGTGATCCCCGTCTATATTCCTTCGATGCGAGCGATCAGTCATGACCTGCGCCAAAGTTCGAGTTCGGTACAAGGATTTCGTGGGAACAACGCGAGTTAGAGCTGCTGCTTACCCTGGTTTAGTGTTCGTATGACCGTAGCTGGGATTCGCCGTCAACAGCATGTTGGGGGATTGCTCGATGGGATGAAGCTTGTCCGCGGCGTCTGTAGGGCAGAGGGTATGGCCGCCGTGCAGTCGGAGTGTAGTATTGACCGGAACTCGTTGGTTCACCCTCACGACAAGACCCTTTTGTATTGGAAGTGTATGGTGAGCGACGAAGTTACTCGATAGGGAAGCGTGGGACATCGGATGACAGCAATGCACCTCGTGGGCGCCCTTGACGGAGTCCCCGTTACATCGTGTTCGTCGCGGCGGACATCGGTGACAGATTCACAGCACCCTTCCTTAATCGTCAAAATACAGTGCCGATAAGGTCCAGAGTTGAAGGTGGGCGTGTGCGTGTCATGACTGCGCGGTGTTTCTGGTGCATACAGTCGCGGGGTACAAGTAATTTGTGGCGTCGGCTGGATCGCAGGTCCGCAGGAATCTAGATTTGTGGCGCTCGTCACCATCGTCATTCGGCATCGTGGCCAATAGTTGGTCATTGCGTGTGCCATCAGTCTATTGTCCTCTATTGGGTAGGAAAGTCCCAAAGTCTTTGGCTCCTTCGTAGCGCAGGATTCATTCAGTCTGACCATGTCCGTCTCTGTTTGCACGGTGTGTTTGTGGAGTTGATTGAAATGCCTTCACCCGTGCGACCTAAGAGCTCGTAAGCATGCTCACAGTCCCTAATTTCACATCATCTGCATCTTTCCTGACCGCGACCTGTCATCATGTCGGATCGTCCTTGCAAGCTGACTAGCCTTCCGCTGGAAAGCCTTCTACTGGTCGCTGATAATCTGCCTCGGCACGATCTCGGAAAGCTGTCGGAAACGAACATGCTTTTCGCGTGCTTGACGCGAAGGGAGCGACTGCGGGAGTTCGTAATGTCCCCCAGGTCTTTCGTGGCACTAGAGAAGTGGGTGCACGTAGGGGCTCTCTATCCTAAGATTTGCGCTTGTCCCGGTGCGTGGGGCGCTGCATCGTGGGGTCTTCGTTCTGACGTTCACTAGGGAAACGTTATTGTCGCATAGACATCGAGGATCTCAGCACAATTTCTCCGATTTGCCGTACGTGTTCATTCTTTGAGTATATTCATTTTTAACTCTATGCAGCAAACGTGCAGGAGGACTTTGGCTCTCACGTCAAGAGCATTGTGTTGCCGGAGGAATGGACGTCGAAGACGAGGGCGCTATTTGTCCTCCTCAACCATCTGGCGCCTTCCGGGTTACAGTCGATCAGAATGCGTTCGCATGGCTCAAAGTCATGGTGGACGGGCGCGAGGCAAGCATGGGGCGGGTACGATAATGGGCAACTGTTCGCGCCTATCAAAAACCTCACTCTCGAGTGCCCCAACCTCACGTCCATCGTTTCTCTGTTTTCCAAGCAAGCGCCGTCGACTCGCCAACTTTTAGCTCACATGCCCTTGACTCTGACTCTTCGAGGGGCACCGGCTGACGAAGACAGCGAGATGGAGTGGGGTGTAGGCTTTGGTGGCGGCTGGGGGGTTCAAGCAGCTCCCGTCGTGCAGTGGACGGACGATCGCGACAAGATCGTCTTGCGAACGAGACACCTCAACGTTGAAGTGAACACGGGGATGGAGCGGGTGCTTGATACCGTGTATTTCTTTCAACTGCACTCGCTCAACGTCTACACTCGCATTTTTTCCGACTGGACGCTCACCCTGCGTCTTCTCCGTGACAGCCAGACTCACTTACAGTCCTTGCGCATATACGGTATAGGATCCAGTATGTACAGCGATGTCTTCGAGGTTATGAGATCTAACCCTTCGCAGGAGGCCAGGTACACTCAATAGAACCGGTGTTCTTGGGCAGTCTCACCAACCTGCACATCGATTGGGAGCTTCTGGCGATCTTTCGTTCCATGGCAAGGTCCACGGTTGTCGGCCAGGTTACGCTTACGATCCATAAATATGTCGCCGACTATGCGACGGACGCCGAGTTCGACGTAGCCGCGGAAGTGTTGACGACCGACCATTGGTCGGAGATCGTGGTCGTCGAGGATGAGTTCTGGGGAACGCCTGGTGAGCCCTACGAATGCACTGAAATTGTTGACTGACATACTGAAGATGCGATCACTGGTCAAGCGATCCGTCGCGCGGATTTTGTCGCTAGAGCGCAGATGCAAAACCCGCCAACATATGTTACCAACTTTGTTTGAATCTTAGCCGAGTATATGTGCTTCGTCTTGAATTCCATTGGACTGCAGCTCATTATATGGGGTGAACTCGCACCATCGCTTGCGGTGTGCGACAAGAATCTGATACGCCGTCATGCCGGTCGGTGTCTGTTCTCGTTGTATGTCGCGTTGTGGGGTCGCTCGATCTGCGTGAACAGGTCTTGCTTGCGGCGCGTGCGAATGCGAATCCGTTTCCGGACTCTTTCATGATTATTGGCTCGGAAGCGTTACTGATAGGTACGGTTATCCCGCTCTGCCCCGCGTCGCGCTGTCCGCAATGATTGACTATTGCTTCGAGCGTGCATCCGTTTTGTGCAAGGTGTCTCCCGATTGGTGTGAGCCGGGCTTGTGTTGATGTCACTTCGAAGCCTACTTTTGTATTCTGTACTCGGTTCCTTATTCTGACCAGGTCGCCGTACTCCCCTTTTTCGCAGGTGTCGATTAAGAAGCACCCCGATGAGTGCGGATGTCAGTGAGCGTCGATTGAGTTAGCGTCGGCGCGTGCGACTTGAACGATGCTCTATCTGTCGTTCAGCACCATGCTAGGGGCACACGGTCCAGCTTCCGTGCAATCGGTCTTACCCGGCGACGGGCACGCTCCTGCTACAGTGCTGTTCAATTGAGTAACGCCCAGCGATCCTAGGTACGCAATATACGTCGTGTCGATCTGTATGTAGATCATCACCACGCTCTCGGCGCCTCGCGCGCGCTCAACTCCGGATTGTGTGTGTCTTTGTTATTTTCGCAAGGTGACGACACATCCGTGTGAAGAATCGCGCTGTCTTGTAGCGCGGAACGTCTCCCGTGCGGGTGTTCAGTGAATCTGAACATGTCTTTACGCGCCCCGGAGAAGACTAAGAAGATGAAGAAAAGAACGGCCCGGATGCGCCCGAGTGAGTCGGGTTTTGCCTTCGTGCTACGCTTTCAACATGTTTAGTCGAGTAAAGGTCAACCCTCCCTGGGGAGTCCCATGAGACCCATTAGGATCTTGTCCGTAGGAGAAACCTTGACCGCGGATAAGGCTCTCCAGAGAGAGATCGACGACCGGGAGACCACGATTCAGAACCAGAAGAAAAGCATCAAAAGCTTGTCGCGTCGTGTTTCTTCCCTTCGTCATGCAGAAGCCCAGTTGAGCCGTGCGACTGCAGACGCGGAGAAGTGGCGCAACCTTCATTCCAACTTAGAGGCGGAGGTCGCGCGCCTGAATCGTATGGTATGTTCCTTTCCATCTATAGCCTTCTGATGAGATCTGACCCGTGTAGATTGTGGCCGTAAAAGGTCATGTTGCTTCTTTGAAGGGGCTCGAGGCGGAAATGAACGAGGCACTTCTTGGCGTGTAACTGTACACTGTTCTATTGCTTTGTACGCATGCGTTCTTGGCCATTAGGAAATTGTAAGAACGATTATGGCTGTCTGATAAGCAGACGTGCACGCCATTGGCGCGCAGATGGTCTATTGGGTGTATGAGTGAGTCCAGGTAAGGTAATGGGGTCGACAATCGTGGGTGCGGACGAGCAAGATGTCATCGTGTCAGGGTATACACGGTCTTTTCGTGGTCTGCTGTGCTGCGCGATTGTGCTGTTCTTGTTATTGTATATATTGTCCAAAGGCGTTGGATCTCAACGCTTGCTTCTACAAGTTGAACAGCAAATGTCCGAGTCACACACGCCGCTCGTACGTTCATCATCTTGAAGGTGGTCTGAATCTCATTCGGTATAGCTACCACCTTACAGTCGGTCCGCGTCTGACCCGTCGGTTATTGGCTCTCGCAGTGCATCTGCTAGTGTGGTATGGTTGAGCCGGGAGCTTGAGGAGTACGAGGGCAGGCTGTCGGCCGTCCTTGAGTCTGTCGGCGTAGCGGAACGAGCTCTTCAGCAATTGGTCCGTCGTTTTTTGTTTCAACTCGTTGTGGTTTGCTCACTGGTCGCGCGATAGGCACATGCTATGGGGTGCAGTCCATGCTCATGTGGTTCCTATACGACGGACCGGGTCGTACCGTGCGGCCACTTTGTGTGTTCGGATTGTTGTGGCAGACGAGACGCGCAAGGGAGCGGCTTCTCGTCGTCGACTTTTTTTGCGCCGCCTGGTTTGGATGTGCTTTCATGTAAACATGTGACGTGTGGACGGCGTATCGATGGTGTTGCTATACCGTCTAGACAGACAGCCTCCGACGCGCACGCCGTGTCTGTTGCGATGCTTTCTGAAGTTGGGCAAGCGGTCAGAGCGATCCATAGCTCTGCTTGCGCAGTTGCACGGTGTACTTAGTGACCAGCGCACGTATGCTACACATTGTACCTAGCGATAGTGAGAAAGCACGACGTTAAGCACTATACACGCAATGCTCTCAATGCCTACTCTCTCCCATGGCCGTATCATCCCTGGCGCTTGGTCGTCTCCGTCTTTGCCACGTGGTTACTCAGTCGGGCCGGCCCGTTGTTTGGTAGTGTATGGTACCGGCCGGCTCGTGGGTAAGGACGCGCTTGTGTCTTGCTCTCACTGCTTTTCTTCGTTGTTCACCACGTCGCGATCATCCGAGGAAGGTTGTTGCAGGGAGGAAGATGGTGTTCTATTGGAGGTGGTGTGTTCTCTTGTCGAGCGCTGCATCGGTTGACATCGAGACAGGTTTCGCGCGGTCAGGCGTCGAGGAACCCGTTCTGTTTCTCTACGTCTTTCCGCGGGTCGTGAATGCGCTTCGCTCCCTCTCCCTTCCTTTTTTCCGGTGCTCGCCCCTATGATCGTACGACTCTGAGCGGCTGCGCTCGTCGTAGATGCTGCGAGGCTGTGTGGCGGCGCCAGCCATCCCCACGCCCGTCGCCGGCGACCGCGTTCGTTCCATGATGTATTCTACATATGGCGCAGTACATGATTAGTGTAGATGTTCTTGTAGGTCTCTATGCTGCGGTGTATGCTCCTTAGAAAGTATCGTTCATTCTCGCATTTGGACGACAGGGCCACGTTCCTCGACCAGCGGTGGAAGAGCGCTTCGGAAACTCCTGTTGCTGTGCAGATGACGCCATGCTTTTACATGCACGGCGCCAATCAATTCTGCGGCAATAGAGATGCTGTCAACCGTCCGAGATGCGCGGCTTCTTCAATGTTCGTTTATCAGGCCGCGATCGTGTATTGTGCGCGCCCTCAAATCTGCAAATTGTCCACCTCTGAACGTGCATCTGACATGCGCAGGCGAGGAACGGTTCTTGCGTCGGTGACGGAAGTGTGTGCACGCGGTGCCAGGCTGAGCGCGGGGTCGTGCAAGAACTCAATGCACTGTTGGCGAGTATGCTACTGCGCCAATCCATCGTTTATGTCAGTGGTAGTTCGAGTGATTAAGTTGCATGCAAGCGCGCTACTCTCAGAACGCTGGCGCCGCCATATGGGTTGCTACTTGGTGTCGGCTGTAGTGGGAATATTTCATCGCATCGGGATATTCACTTGCACGTTGTGTCGTCGCGGGATTCGAGCCATTCTGTTGGTGTACACATTCGGTGGCCCGCGTCGACTGAGAGTTTGTAGGTACGCGGAATGTTGATTGACTGTACGCGGCGTCCGCTTTCTAGTATAAGTCACTCGTTCTGGCATCGGTCGATATCGACACCTCCTCATCTTCGTATCTGTCTGACATCGCCGCGCGCCTCTCCGCTATGTCGTCGACTGATAACTACTACGCCTTCGTATCTCTTGCGTCCTTGCGCAACCCCTTCCGCAGAGATCTAGCAACGGAACGTGGGGAGGCGTTGACGCGGACGCTGACGCATCTGCGCGGCACAGAGGCGGTCTTATCTGCTACCATTTCGTCTCTGCAGGCGGATCGCGATGCAGTCGCCTTCGAGTTAGCCAAAATCTTGGCTCTGCGAGCGCCCGTGCGCCGCTTGCCTGTCGAGCTTCTTTGTATGATATTCGAGATGGTCGCAGGCTTGTGCAGGGACGCGGTCGAGATTGGGCGTGAGGTCGCTGCATTGCGTAGCGTATCCGCATTCTGGGCTGACGTCGCCGATATGACTCCGCGGTTGTGGACGCGTGCTTTCACGGTCCCTTGGCGATCTTGCCAGTCACACCTAGAGCTCAATGCGCGGCTGTCGCGCGCGCTTCCCATGTCGGTGGAGCACACTGTGGCGGACGCCGACGACGTCGCAGCCTCTGCACTTCATCACCTACTTGGCTCTGAAGCGAGGTGGAGTACAGTTGCCTTCCGCGCTTCTTGGGGATGCTTCACCGCCAACGCACACCCGCATCACTACGCTCTGTTAACCGCAGCTAAGCTGTGGTTAGAAGGCGACGCGGATCCAGGAGCGTTGCGGTGGTTGCAGCATGCGGTCGGGCTCGACTCTCTAACTCTCGTTTGTGATGACTCTCGGATGTCCGGTTCGTTTGTGGTAGACGTCCCTGTGTGGCCTCGCTTGACGTCGCTGACTCTGGGTGGTCTACGCGATGGCACTGTTCGGTTCATTACCTCGCTTATCCGACAGTGCGCGTCAGTCGAGTACCTCCGCGTCGATTCTCTCGTCGACAGTGTGGACAACGACATCGACGTGGACGACGTAGCCATCATTAGTATGCCGGAGCTGTGTACGCTCAGACTCGACAACCACACCAGCTTCGTGTTGGTGGTCATTTGCGCGCCACGTCTGCGGCAGCTGACTCTGAACGACTTTGACGACTATCGTCTCGGTATCGACGACCTCCTCACTCTGCTGAGTCGCTCGGAGGCTCAGCCCAGGCTGGAAGAACTGCGGATAGCTCGCGTTGATTCTGGTCTCCCAGACACATCGGGCACACTTATGCAGTGTTTGGGGAGCCTGCAGTGGCTGAGAGTCCTCGACATCGACGACTGCAGCGCGTACACCCAGTCGTTCGGCAGCGAGCTCTTGTTTGACTCTCTGACGTTTCGGTATGGCTCTCCAGTCCTTCTACCTTCGCTGGTCATTTTTGATTATCGTCCATCACCTGGCGGCATGTCGGTCGAGACCGCGGACGCGTTGCAGAGGTTCGTGACGTCAAGGCAGGGACCACATACGGTCGGCACTGTTGGCATTCCTCCTGTCGACGTTACTGTCAGCGATATTTGAGGGCGAGTCTTTGTTACACCCTCCAAGCGATGTCATGTACTAACGGTCGCGACGGTTGTAGATCGATGTCGCTCGGTTTCTGTGCAGATTCGTTGCCGCTGCACAACCCTTGTGCCGAGCAACCGTTTTCGAGGTCTTTGCACTTGCTTGCTTACCGTGACGAACGTTTCTATTCTTCTCTTTCTTGTACTCCTATCGTTTGACAGCACCTGTAAGATTGCATACCCCTCCTTTGCGACGACTTCTTGAACGACGCGCGCCTCCCGTCGACTGCTTGTATGTAGCTTCGTATATGTATCGGATTATTTTGACTGTACTTCTTGTATATGTACTCGAATTCTGCTTGAACTGCTTCGACGGTAATTGCTAGTAGCTCGAGCGAGCCGTACGCTTGATGAGCTCGTCCTGTGGGCCATGCATGTCCGCGGGCAGGTCGATGTTCACTTCCTCGAGCGTGTGGAGGAAGTCGATGGGCCCATCGAATTCCGTGCAAACGCGGTCTTGGACGGCGTCGAAGACCTTGTCGGAGCCGGCACGCAAGAAGGTGTCCTTTAGGACGGTGGAGAACTGAGACCGCCCAGAGCCACGTTCGTAGCACGTGACGGATGTGGCGTCATAAGCCGCTCCATGACTAGGGACAGTGCAGCGGCGAATGCATGCTACGAGAGGCCTTGAGAGTGGAAACTAATCTATAGGGAGGTCGTACCATCTTCGTGCTCTTTCGCAGGCTTCTAACAGCGACGTCTTATAGCAACTATGTTGTCTATGTCATGTAGATGTCATTTGTGCGTCGGCAATAGCGGCGTGCTTTGAAGTATACAGGCGCACAACAAGTTCAGTGGTATATAGTTTACTGCTACGCTCAATCGACTCGAGACGAGGTGCAATGGCATCTTTCCGAGGTGTGATACTGCGCCTACCCTCCGGGTTTTCGCTTGAGCGGTCTTCTTCCAGCGAGTGACTGTACGCTCGAAGGAGGATGCAAGCAGACTGCGAGATCAACGGGACATCCACTCCTTTGCTAAGGAGCTGCGAATGTTCTCGTGCTTGAGCCTACTGCGCACGCCGGTACTGGTAAACGTCGATACGGTTCGCCTACGACTTGGGACGACGTCGGAATCCAGGACGGATACACGCGTCTTGTGGTTCTTGAGCCGGTTCCCCAGACTACGGAATCTCAGCATCTCCGCGGGCTTCACCACCGTTGAGGCGTTGGACGTCACCCTTCGAGGGGTTGCGTCTGCCTTGCCCAGCTTTCTTCTCCAGCTCGTCGTCAAAGCACCCAAGGGTCCTACTCTTATGCACTGCGCGGAATTCCCTCGTCTCCGCTTTCAATTTCGTCCGTTCTTCATGTTGCCGTTTAGAAGTGCCGTTAGCTACGCATCGACTTGATCGGGTAGTGTGCACGCATATTAAGCGAATACAGCAAGAATACAGTCTTCTTACCTTCCCACGCAAATGGGAAGCGTATGTCTTTCCCAGTACATGCTCCGTGGCGTATGGATGTAAAGGCGTTATCTTGCGTCCGAGGCATGCCGGTAGTACAATTGTACTCCGAGAGTGGCTTATACGCCTACCTATATGCTCGTCATTTTCGCTCTGGAGTGAAGTCGTCTCCGCGCATCATGGGAACGCCGAAGCGCACGTTGACTGAACTAGAAAACGTTCTCCTGTTATGGCTCGCCGGCAGTATAATGACCCGATATATCCGGTTTGGGTCGGAACTAATTCGGCTTGTTCATCTTTTAGGGATGCGCCTAGAAAGGTTTGACCGGTTTCGGTCGTGATCGAGCGGGGTTATTCTGATTCGGGTTGGCCTTACCGATCCATTCCACGGGCATTCGACGACTGTCTGAATCGCGCAAAAGAAACGTGGTGTGCTCTGTAGCACCCGCACGCCAAGGGATAATACGCTCGTACGAGGATTGAATCGACTTGTTATGCACCTGTTTCGCGGTGTGTCATTTATTTTGTATTTACGGAACTTCTGCCAATCTATACGCTCTTCGAATTTGCTTCTATCCGCTTCCGCCTCGAAAAGGGGTGGTGATCGGTATATATGGGCACGTTTGTCGTGGGGTACACGTACGGACCGGTCGGCGTCGTTTGCTGTGCACTTCGTTCTTCTTTTCTCCTCCTTTTTGGCTGCTCTTTTGCTCTTCCATCATGTCGGAGTTCCTCTGGAACGGTCGGAGGGTTACTGCGTTCGATCTGTGGGTGTCTTCGTGTCTTGCTCAGTGTCACCGGGTGCTAATGGACGATCTCAGAATGGATTTGCACGACTCCATTCTAGATAGGTTCTCCGAGAAGGATCTCGTGTCGTTTTCGACCGTCAACAGGGTGAGCAAGCGTATAGTCGACGCGTATAGTCGACGTTGTTACGATCTCCGACGCGCTCTTCGTCTATGGATGGATATGGAAGACGTGGACCGTTTCCGGACTGTCATGGACGCCCATGGCATCGTCATCTCGGGAATGTTCGCTCTCTTCTTTTTGATGCGGCAGCCTGTGCGTGGCCAGCCGCTGTTGTTGCTGGTGCCTCGTCGTAGCACGTACGAGCTTTTCGATTTCGTGCTAGGCCTTGGCTATATGTAAGTTTGTACCATCTACATATTAGACTGTTCCCTAACGTGTATGTATGTAGCCGATCGCGGCCCAACTCGGTAAACTCTACGTCGTTGAGGGGAGAGAGACACAACGACAGAGTCTCATTCGTACGGGACGCCCTTGAAATATCCGTCATCGTATGCGATTTCGGCGTGACACAGACGTTGTTAGACTTCACAATGAGTGCGTACTCCCTTTGTTCGGACTTTTCAAACCGCAAGCTGACTATCCTAGCTTGTGAAATGAACGCCATAACCGCTTACAAAGCTTACTCTTTCTACCCTCGGACGACGTTCATCGACCGTGCCACGCTCGTGTTCGATGCGAGAACCGCTCATTCGCAATCTTCTCTTCCCCTTCTTTTCCCGACCACGTTCACTCCTCACACGGGAAATGTTGCGGTTGGTGGTTGGACCAGGCATCATCGCGTCCCTGCCGAGGCTGCGTCCGACTGCGATGACGAGTTCGGGCGTCTGTTTCGTTATGTAGGCGATAGCATGACTCGTGTGGTCGAGCTCGATTCTGGGTGCGCACACTTCCGACGACGTACCTGTAGAAGCTGACGTGGTCATTTCAGTGTGGGTCGCAGCGGCCTGGCCGACGGTCTGCAGAGCAATTCGTGGACCCTGCGGTATCGACGATGCGACCGTGAATATACTGGGGGTTGGATTTTCTCGCATCCCGTCCTCGCTCAGGTCATGTCGTCATATGCAGCATTCGAAGAAGTCGGTTTCGCTGATCGGGCGGCTCGTACGATGGCGGAGGATGAGTTGAAGATATTTGAAGAACGCGCAAACACCCGGTGAGAGTTGCGATCGCGTCGATTGAACTGTGCTTATAACAATTAGGACGAACACGTACAGGGACATTCCGTCTCTGCTGCGACATGTGCTTGCATTGACTGAAGCTTACATTGGAGGGAAAAGTGCTATCGACCACGTTGCATCGTTCTAGTGGTCACATGATCGTGACTTAAACGGGTCGTACGTGACGATTACCAGGTGTATTTTGAAATACGACGTCTACGCGCTTTGCTCTTCTACATTTCTCGAGTCTTTGCAGCTCTCGGTTGTTGGATGGCAACCTTTCGGTCGAGAACGGTGCCTCCGCTGTCCAGTGAATGTCGTACGCGCTTTCAACCTGACTTATCTTTCTAATTATATTTAATTGTGTTCACAGATTGTGACGTCGTGTTCGTCGCGTCGGACGGTATGCCTGTGACTGTCAGCCGTGCACAGTTCTTGCGCGCTTCCGACTTCGACCTCCCTCGCTCTTCTTCGCTTGGTTCTGAGTCTATCGTGTTCCACGCGACAGAGAGTGCAGATGTTCTCCGGCTCCTATTTAAATTTGTTGCTTTGGAGTATCCCATCGACGTCGATCGTGTTCCTTTCGACCTTGCGGTGGCTGTAGCGGAGGCCGCTGAGAAGTATGTCGTACACTCGGCGAGGATTTACTTCTGCTCTTATATGAAGTTCGTTTTTTTCATCTTATAGGAGTCTGCCTCCGTGCTGAATCGATTACAGGGCGAGATGCGTTGAGCAACCGTTGGAAGTCATACAGTTTGCGGCGCGATACCGCTACGATGACATCCTCGACGCTGCTGCGCCGTATACTGTGGGTGGCGATTATGTCCGGGTCGAAAAGGCTTTGCCGCCGCGTCTGTTTCGCGCATGGGTGGGTGCGACTTCGTGCTTTCCGGGGGGAAGACGTCTGACGGTTTATCGGATCACGTAGAAGGCGTACAGTCATGGTTTCCAGCAGATCGCCCACGTTTTTGTGCAAGAGCTTGAGATGAAACCTTATGACCATTACAAACCGGGCGACGGCGAGCAACCGTGTGCGTTGGGATTGTATGGTAGAGATGCATGGCACCAGATACGCGCCGAACTGTGTTACGAACTTTGGCGAACTGGTGGAGTCTGTCTTTTCTCGTTAGATAGTGTATTCTCTACTTGTACTGTCCAGCGCTTGGATGCCTGTCGGTATTGTTCTGTCGCATTGACTGTCCGCCGGGAGGCAGTACAGCGAGCAGTGGCCCTTCGGCGGAAGCAACATTTATTGTCGTCATACGTACGGACATGTACTCCTTTGTAATGCTAGTCTGAAGTATGACGTTAGCACGTATGTAGCATATTACTATTGGTCGCGATCTTTGTGTTGTCGGACGACCGATGGCCGTACCCGCTGGGCAGGCGGTACGAGTGTGGGTGTATGCTTGGCCATATGTATCCGTCAAACGTTGATCACGTGGATGCCGGGTAGTGTAAGTTTCCTATTCCATCAATTTGGAATACTTCTGGCCTTGTCGGACGATGCCTCCTATTGCCCATTTTCGGCCACCTCGCCTCAGCCTCACGCTGCTGTGCTGGACTCTGGAAGATTCGGACGCGCTTTTGGAAGCTATAGTCGGCTCTGGATATCCTCGGCCGGGAGTTATCGTGGTCGACTTGATCTGCTCGCGTCGTAGTTGTCGGTCGAAGACGTTTGGGTACTTCCGGCCCTTGACCAGCAAACCGCGTCTTCTCACAATTGTACACTGTGCTTCAAACTTATGCTTCGTCGTTGATCTTCAACGGGCCGGTGGTGCGTTCGCTTGGTTCTCCCGCTCTATGATCTTTTCGCTACGTACGTCCTTGCAAGATCGTGCGCGTGACTCGCTCTCACATTGCTCACTCTCCATACAACTTACTGATGGGTTATCAGGCTTTCCAGAACCTCTTCGCTGTCTTATGAAAAGTAAGGCGATCGTCAAATGCGGCGTAGGCGTGCGCGGTCAGTTCATTGGACGTAATTTTCGGTATCGTACGTGACGCGCGACGGGCAGATATGTGTCTTGAGCTGCAGAGTCGTTACTCTGTCCAGTTTTGCAACGTCGTGGACTTGAACCGTATGTATGAAACCGTACGCCCTGAGATGGTGGTTGGTTTGGGAAGGCCACTTTGTCTGGAGGAACTTGTTTACCGCATGTTCAAGAGGTCGTTCGAACGCGACTCTGACGTCGTACGAGAGCATGGGATGCCCGTCAACGTCCGCGAACTACAGTGTAAGCAGCTGTCTACAATTTGTATTCATTAGTCTTGGGCTGTGTACTGATACGCTTTTCTCGCAGTAGTCACGGATAGGGCGTTCGCGATGGCACGCGTATTCACTAGGCTAAGTATGTACATGACGGCAACTGTTTCTTCGCAATGTTCGCCTTGTCTGTATTGTTACAATACACGGGTTGAAACGAGGTATGTGTCCACGCTCACCGACAATCGTTCGAGTGCTTATATCTAACGAAGCCTCGCTACGTTCGTCAGAGCGCTTGTCATCGTCTCTATAGCGATCGTCGGCATGGGTGTGCTGTTGGGGGTCAGCACGCAATGTTATACTGGCTTGCAGTTTGGGTCGGTAGGCGTGCTGTTAAAGTGCAAGTGGTAGTCTTTACGATTTATTGTATCATGTTTTCAGTCAAGAGAAACAACAACGTCATAAACAAACATTATGGGCTCCTACCCCGTCACGGGGTCGTGCGAAAGGTAGCGCGGGGGTAAATGGTCCGTATTCTTACGCTCGTATTGCGTCGTTGAGGGTTGCGTCTAAACATCGTCACTACACGTATATTTCTCTTGACGCGTCTCGCTCAGAGATATAGCAATAAGCGGACCTGAGATCAAGTGGCCGGAACATTCGCATGATGGCGGCCACCGAAGAGGGGTCTTCTGCAACGACAGAAACCAACGACAAGACACGCTCTGTCAGGACGCGAAGCGCTCGGGCCGGTCTGGTTGTGAGCATGTCGTTCTTGAGGACATTGCCGTGGCTGATGTGGATGTCGCAGTTTCCTGTCGGTCGCGTTCATAGATATATCAAGCGATTCAATGTCGGGAAATGTAGAGTTGGCTCGAAGGCGGCTGTCTACACCGCTGCAGTACTGGAATATCTCACGGCGGAAGTGGTCGAGCTGGCGGGTGCGTAGCCTAGGACATTTTCCGAGTAGGACATACTCATATTATGTTAGGAAACGCTGCCAAGGATCTAAACGTCAAACGTATTACTCCTCGCCATCTGTTTCTGGCTGTACGCGGTGACGAGGAATTGGAGATACTCGCTCGTATGATCGTCATTCCGGGGGGCGGTGTAATGCCTTACGTGCACAGACAAGTATTAGGCAATAGTTAAGAACAAGTGTCGTAGATGTCGACTGTTTGTTAATTTGTTTCGCCATTACATATATCCTCTGGTTGTGTCTATCAGTGGATAGTCTCATGCAGAGAATAAAACGATCATATAGCTTCGCGGCGCATTTGACGCCGGAACGATGAATAGGGGTAGATCCAGACGTAGGAACTTGGAGGGTGTCTTGGAAATGTTGCTCGTGTATGACTGCACTGTTACCCGCAGCGCACGTACATTTCTATAGTGCGTCGATTCGAGCACCTAGATACTCCCGGTTCATTGGTACTATAACACTGCGCTCGGTGTTGGTCGCAATATCTTGCGTTTAGCAATGGTCGGGATTGTACAACTACGCTATTTGGTTGAACGTATCGTGAGGTGATGTGAACATGCTGATATCGGGATTGATATAGTCGGTCGCGCGACAAGTGCCTGCGAGCGGTTTCGCCTTTCTATTTCGTGCAAGTGAAGATGCTTTTCTTGCTACAACATCTGCATAGTCGGGTGTGCTGGCGCTTCGATTACAGGGTTTCTGACGACAGATGGATACTAGCATATGCAAACTAATAAAAGGTGGGTAGATATGTAGATCGTGATGCTGAAACGGTGCGTTCGGGCGTTGTGAGCTCTTGGTGATTATATTGGAAGTCGTCCTGTTTACCAATGAGATCGTTATCTTTCTGCACCACCGTCGTACCTTTACACTTCGCCGAGTTGCAGCGGCAGTCCCTGTATTGTATGCTGCTGTTTTCCTCCGAGTCGTCTGCCGTGTCAACGTATGAGATACACAGTTCCTCCCCGGCGTGGATCGTTCTGTTAGCGAAGAACGTGATGCGGGGTACGGCGATATAGTGCTAATATTTTTGAGATAAACGCGAGGAGCGCGGAAGGTGCGAACGTACATCAGTGTACACTCCGACTACGGTCAAGTTTGGGTCGCAAGAATGATTTACATATTTCGTGAACTGCGCAGTTATAGTAAGAAGAGCTTTAGCCTTTTTTTTCATCGAGAAGTGCTGGACCTTACGTTGCCAATGCGGGAGCTATCCACGCATAACTTCACGTCGTGTACGTCTTGCTCTTCGTGGTCGGATGCGTCGCTATAAAGTGTAAGTTGTCCACTTGTCGTGCGCCGAGGCAAACGAGAATCAAGATAGACGGACCGTCTCCACAGCGTGCGATCTAAAAACCAGAAATCGAGCCCGAAAGCGTGGCTGTTAACGCTCGTCGTGTCGCTGCGTGGACAGTGCATGTTAGTAGACAGATCACTGGCATAAATCTCGACTTCACCGTTCCCTACGATCGGCTTCTGCTACCGTGATCAACTCGCCTGCAAACGTTCCGATGTATTCACCACGACGAATAATTGTGTCTGCATTGAACAGTGCCCATCCTTTGGAGGCCGTTTTTTCAATACGCATGGGTAGTGTGCGGTTCAGTCGAACGACCTTATTTTCCTCGATAAATACGTGAGGAAGGATGCTGCAGTGGAGTAGACACTTGCGATGTTAACACAATCACTTGAGCATGTGCAACGTTCGCCGCACTCTACGACCGGGCCTTTGTATTCGAGAACGTCGTGAGAGAGAAGCCCTTGCGCGTCGTACGCATTTTGATCGAATACGCGTGCGCTTTCGTTAGCACACGCGCAGCCCTGATCTGTTGTACATTCGCCTTGGCAGCTGTAGTACGCCCTTAGCTAATGTATGCTGTTCGTACGCCGTGTATGTACCTGCACGAGGCGTTGGTGTTAGCCAGTGCCGCTGCTGTTTCTTGCGTGCACCATAATCTGTTTGAATAGACGAAGTTCCAGTCGGGGGCGACTTCGTGATCGACATTGTTCGATATCGTAATAGACGGCTGTCCTATCCCTTGCGTCAATGGCGTCAGCGTCTGTCTGTGGGTGATACCACTTACCTTGATGGTCTCCGTCTGCCTTGTGAATGCAGTTTTCAATTGCAACCTTCAACGTTCCCTGGACGACTGCGTGAGCGCACGCTCGAATGTTGATATACGTGGCTGTCTCACCAAACCTATGGCGTCCGCCGCAATGCGCTGATTTTGTGCGTCCATGAGAGTGTGCCACTGCTCACTGGTCTGGTCAGGATGACTGTTTGACCCGATGGAGATCAATGGCTCGGTCGAGATAAAGGATTCGGACGTCGAAGAAACAGCCATGGTGATGGCAGCGAGTTCAAGGAAGTAGATCGTATGCCGGATGTTTCCTCGCTATATGCCGTTTTACCACGCGACATGCGGTTCTCGGCGTTACCCGAATTCACGCGCCGTTACTATGTGTGACATTGTGGTCCTGCTACTTCCCATTCGGATCGTACTGCACGTCCGAGCTGCGGCACTCGGCGTTGGACGATGATTTTACTTCTCCTAGATGTAGTACGTCCGAATTGCCTCTTGCGCGAGAACAGTTTTGTAGACGAACTGGTTGGATCGAGTTGATTTCAATATTGTAGACTGTCGAAACCAGGCGTTCCCGCGGAAGTAATAATTGAGGGTGACGGTTTGTCCGGGTATCGGTTGGGTCATTCCACTGGCCCTGGCCACGTCCCTGCCGGGGACTCGCTCTTATCTATTTTCTCGCGGTCTGTCATCAGCTTTCTCGTCGTCGCTGTCCGCCGTTCATCGTCACCCCGGTGTGTATCACTGAACTATGGAGTCTGGCGTCTGTCCCGACAGTGCGTCTGTACGCTCTTAACGACATACTCTGGCGTTGATTGCTTTTAGTGCCCGCGGAGATGACTAACGCCATAGTCGAGCAGTGCGATCGGCCGACTCTCTTCGCTCTCATGAATACTGCGTCTACCCTCCGATTTTTCGCGCGAAGGATCTTCTTCCAGCGGGTGACCGTACGCTCGAAGGAGGATGCAAGCAGACTGCTAGATCAACAGGACATTCACTCCTTCGTTAAGGAGCTGCGGATGTTCTCGTGCTTGAGCCCACTGCGCACGCCGGTGCTGGTAAATGTCGATACGGTCCGCCTACGACTTGGGACGACGTCGGAATCCAGGACGGATACGTGCGTCCCGAGGTTCTTGAACCGGTTCCCAAACTTGCGGCATCTCGAAATCTCCGCGGGCTTCACCACCGTTGAGGCGTTGGATCTCACCCTTCGGGGGGTTGCGTCTGACCTGCACAGCTTGCGTCTCCAGTTCGTCGTCAAGGCACCCAAGGGTCCTCCACCTGTGCAGTGCGCGGAATTCCCTCATCTCCATAACGTCGCCATATCTTCTGCGTTGCGTGTTCCCGTTCTACGCATCTTGCAGGGATATCTCAAGCCACGCGGAGATGACCTTACGCACCTCGCTTTACCAGAGTCGTTGGGATGGGCGGATGTTGTCGATGTGTTAAAGTACGCGTCTCAGCTCGAGGAGCTGACAATTGAAGCGATCGACGACATATTTTCCTACCGTGCGTCCTTTTTTTCCATTGTCTGTGGGCCTAGGCTAATCTTTACTGCCTCTTTCATCAAGCGATTACACCGCCTCCGCGTCTACCCAAGTTGCGGAAAGTTGTCTTCGTCGTGCGCCAGGAGAGTCCATGCGACATGGACCACTGGATGTGTATGAAGGACTTCATGTTCGTCGCTGCCTCTCCTCGTGCCCTTCCTTTGCTGGCGGAGATCGGCGTCGTTGTGCATGGGTGGCAAATGCAGCCGGACATTCTTTGCAGTGATTGGGAGTACGCGTTGTTCGACAGTGGTCGCAGGGCGTGCTCTCAGGCCCTTTGGCGGTCCTGGGCGAAATGTGTTTTGGGGAGGAATCGATCGCTGGAGATGATAGTGTATACAGCAGACCGCCGTGACACGGATTTTTTTGATCTGCTTACTGACACGGTCGGCGCATGCCTCGGATTCTTAGGACCTGACCGTTTCTCAGCTACTGTACTGCCGCGCACGGAAATCATGTAGGGCGTCTATCGAAATGATTCGTCGTGTACCTGGCGCGCTACAGCTCTCACCACTTCTTATGTATGCGAAATGACTTGTACTCTAGCACCGTACAAGTTACGGTATGGGCGTGTCTCCGTTGCTCTTGTGCGGGAACGCACTGGGGCGGAACCAAAACCGTTTGCTCCATTTGGCGCGACCGCGTCCCGACGTCGGGACGGAACACGTGGCACCCTGCGTCGATTGTTCCCCCTTTCCTCTTACCCGCATGTAGATGAGGGGGCTCGAAGAGTGAGTCCTTTGAGGTTGTGTTCGAATCATCCTGTTCTGACGTGGGGCAGTACTGTCGTGTCGTCTGTGATTTCGTGGCGTGTTTGCGCTCCCTTGTCGTCCACGGAACGCTCAAGACGCCATCGTGCAAGTGCGGCTGTCAAGGCCAAGGAAAGAGCAACCGCTGCATCTAAAAGGTAAGAATGTTTTGTCACTCGATGACAGATACAATGCTAACGCCAATATCGATTGTTCAGGCTGAAGATGGTTGAAACCCTGAAGCGTTTGCAAGCAGACAACGAGCGCTTGCTTTCCGTATCGGAATCTAGTTCGTTCATGCCCTTCTATAGTATATCACGACGATTGATCAGTTGTCAGAACCGTCCCCGGAAGCTGTAATGCGTATCCTACGCGCGATACGGGATAAGTATATCGCCAACATCCCGACGGCACTGTCGCGCGCGAGCAGGTCGCGCAACTTGACGTATGGGGAACTCGAACCATGTTTCGTTTACGGCCTTTTGGATGACCTACGGGTCGCACGGCACTCCGTCCTGGTAGATCTGGGCTCCGGTGCCGGTACCTTCGTTATTCAAGCCGCGATTCAGACGGGTTGTACGGCTTTCGGGATCGAGCTTCAAACGGAACTGGCCGACATCGCTGCAGACGCGGTCATTAACGCTCGTAGTGCTTGTGCCGCGCGCCACATCAATATTGGGCAAGTCACTTTGGTACAAGGCGACATGCTTGCTAGTTGTGAGACGGCCAAGGCGATGAGCAAAGCGGACGTTGTTATGGTTAACAACAAAGTCTTCGATAGTACTTGTAAGTCCCGCTGGCAATCTTCGATGGACTCCAACCGGTCTAATGCGGATGTATCAGTGAACGAGAGTATACTTATCGAGTTAGTGCCACTTATGAAGCATGGCGCGGTCATCGTAAGCACGGAACGGTTCATCGACGGTAAAACCACACGATCTGGCCGAGTTCGTCAGGATCGTTCTCAATTCGTCTACACGAAGAACGTCGGCGGAGACATACTGGTAAGTGTTGTAATTGCTTGCAGGGCGCGACTTGTCTGACAGATTGACAGTCGTGTCCACATGGGCGGTCCCTTGAAGTCGTGGCGAGGCCGTATCAGGAAGGTTCTGTGTCGTGGTCTCACTCCAGCGGCATATACTTTATACATACAGTATATGACGCGGACGACTGTCGGTCACGCCAGGCGTACGCGTCTGCTAAGTACGCGTGTTGATGTCAATAACACACGGGAATGTATATGTAGCCCGATTCGGGTGTTTTTTTTTTAAAAAAAAAGGGAATTTACGGTCTGTTGGCAGAAGCATTGTGGCACCCAGATGTAGTAAAATATATCTACGGCCGCACATACAGGAGGAGATACAGTTCCTCCTCGTTTTCAGGATCTTGGATAAATGATGTTAACGGAATAGCGGATGGTAGAAAGATATACACACTACGCGTATAAGCAGACTTGTTCGCCTTGCGTATTGAAATGGATGCGCACGCATGTTCAGCAGCTGCCTCCGCGTCGTTTTTGATCCACCTTGGATGCGGTCACGTACGCGGTTTACTATATAGCTCTGGACGTACCAACGAGGACCGGACACGCTTTGAAGTGCATGTTCTACGTACGCGGTTTGCAACTGACGATTAGCGAATGTATAACCGTCCGGATCAGCTACGCCTTCGCGAAGGGGGTGATACTTGAGATGTGATCGGAGCATTCGGGCGTTGGTGGCGAAGAGAGGTGGCGCGGGGCAGTACGATAATCTTTTGTAGTACAACCTCCAGGAGTTCCACCGAACCCTGTCCGTCTGGATAGCGGACGTATGAACGGTATCGCTAGCAGACAATCAATGATTGTCGTTCACGAATGTGTACGACTCACCTATACTCGTAAGATGCGCGACGCAAGTAATCCACTCGTTGCTGTGCGATTTGCCTTCGGGTCCGTCAGATGCCTGTGATAACGGCGCACGAACGGACTTGCCTGGTCGCGCTCGTTCTTTCACAACCTGGTACGTAGGAGTCTTGATTCACTTGGGGGGAGCTGGAAATGCTTCCTTAAACGCATTGAAGGGAGGCCGTATGAGACACGTACGGGATCGAAGGTAGGGGGTACACCCAAGACGCAGAGTCTCCAACGAATCGGTATCGTCGACCAAAGGTTCTCTCTGGATTGCTTGCTTCTCCGAGAGATATGCAAGTTAGAATGTCCCAACCGCGTTGTCTGTATTTGGCCAACGCTTGCACTACCTTCGGTCTTGTGTCGTGCGCGCGTACTGCTAGCGAACGCATGTTTTCGAAGGTCTCTTGAGGGTATAACGAATACGCATGCGAGTGCGAGATCATGTTCATAACCGCCGCTGTAAGGGTGATCAGCACAATAAGCCCGTAATGTGCGCAGAATTTTCGGCTCACTGCTGTGGAAATCGAGTACCACATCGGCTACACCGCGGCGGCAAGTCATTACCTGCACTGTGCAACCGTTGGCGGACACGAAATCGAACGCTCCGGACAGAGATGAAACGAGATAGGACGCTGTGTGCACGGACCAAATCGCAGTCGCGTGAAGGAAGGCTTCTTCAAATGTGGGTTCTTGATTGGTACGTGGGCGAAATGTGTATCCGATGGCGACCAAGAAGTCGTGGACGACGATGGCGTTGACTTGGGGGACATAGACGTCCATGTCACTGACTTCGAAATCGTAACGGCCCATGAACTTCAAGGCGACTGAACCTGATACGACAGCTCCGGTGTCTCGCTGGACGCGGCGAAAGGCCGGTATGGCGTCCTCCGGCACGAATGGTTTGAAGGCCTTGCGTACGTCCAGAGCACGGCCTAGGTAGGCTTGTACTCTTTCACGCATCTGCTTGTTCACCCTCGCCAGGCGAAGGATTGAGGTCATTGGCAGCGAGTCCATAAAGTGATCGTCCAAGTCGCGCAGCCTACCGCTCTCTGTAAGCCCAACGGCGAACCTGCGCACAGTTGCGCAGGCTCCACGCTGTCACGCTGAGATAGGGTAAGGCACTGACATTATAGTATCCTTGCCGTCGTCCATAACTGCTTGAGTGGCGTGAAGATCGTCGCCTGCGAGTACGAAGCGCAGAGGTCGATCGGAAGAGAATGGACGGGCAAATGTGCGCGTTGTTTGGTCGCTCCGATACGCCGCGCATACAATAAAGGGGGTGAGCGGATCGACTGGCGCCGCGGCGCGCGACCATTGAGATAGGAAAACGGAACGTTTTGTACGCCTTCGGAGGCAAAAGCGCGGCTGAGCAAAGCCGCCGCCCCTGTTGCACCATCGTTCTCTTCCATCTGGTTGAGTACCTTTTTTGTATGCCTCTGTGCCATGGAAGTACGTTAAAGGTTTGCGCTGCAGTCATACGCAATAAGTCCATTTCGATCCATGGCATGTGGATTCGACGTTTCCTCGACTCAATTTCCTTGGTTGTTCCGCTTCCGCGAGGAATGACGCTCCGTCCGGCGGTCTTTCTTCCATTGCGAACTGGATCGCAGCATGTTTTCATAATCACCTGCCGTCGGCGTCACTCCCCCTTCCCGCTGCGAATGTTCACAATTTGCTTAGAGGTTATGTGTGCCCATCGAGCAAACGTAGAGTACACGACACGTTCGAACCCCGTGAGGTATAATAGGCTAGTTGGTACACAATACGAACACGTCGGAACATATTCTGTTCGACTATCTGTCACGTTGGACGCTTCAACAACCCAAGGCGCTGCGTGTGGACGCCCTGGAAGCGACGTCAAGGCAGATGGCCATAAGCTCCGTAGATGCGCGTGTCGTCGTCCACCTAAGACTCGGTCAGATTAGTTTTCGCAGTCGTACTGCACTTACAGGTTGATGGGCATCTTGGAACACGAGGCGGACTCCGTGAAGCGATCTGCCATGTGCGGGTACGCAAAACAAAAGGCGTCGATATTCCATTCCTCGTCTACACCTGTCCACGTTTCCATCTGCGGTTTCATGAACCACCAATGGGGTATTGGGTCGTTCGAAGTCGGACGAGGTCGAACAGCTTCGCTATACTTTAGCGTCCACGAGTTATACTTTATCTTGTCTGACGATCCCGGATACGAGACCCTACGCTCATAATGATCATCGGCGAAACCAGGGTAGTGCATCACTCACGGATTGTTCAACTTGATGATGCGCGTCATTTCGTCCCCCACGTACCGAAAGCCTTTCCCGAATTCCGTGTTGTGCGAAAGGGCGTCGATGGGAGACATTTTGTCGACCACTTCCCAACCTCGCTGCTCGTACTTAGCCAGAGCGACCGCCTCACATTCCCTCGTGTCTCCTTTGCAGGTTTTCAGAGTGCGTTTGTCGACGAATGTGGCGCGAGGATACAGTGAATACGCTGTATCGTGCGTGATCATGTTCATGACAACAGCTGACGGGGATCAACGCGACATAACATGGGGGGATGGGAAGAACGTACTGCTATGGAATTGGAGAATGGTTTCCGCCACGCCCAACCGACACATCATCAGTTGAATCTTCGCCGATCCTCGCATGAACGTGAAGGTCTCGACTTCGGTGTAATCAGAAGACGACTTGGTGGAATCGACCGTCCCCTCAGGAGTGATGCTGTCGTCGCACGCGCGAGACACGGCGGAGTCGAAGTGAGGTTCTTGAACCGCGCGCGGTGTGAAGAGGTATCCTATCGATGCAAGGAAGTCACCGATCGGCAATATGTCGCCTCCGAAGGCGTAAATGTCTAAGTCTCCCTCCTCGAAGTCGTATCTGCCAATGAAGCGGAGAGCAAAAGAGCCTGAGATGACAGCGTTGTTGTCTCGCATGCGAAGGCGCAGCTGACGAGCTTGCTCGATGGTCATGTACCTCTGGAGGGCCGTACACAGATCATACACGCGGTCGCGATAGGACTGCACTGCGTCTCGCGCCTGCGAGCAGGAGCCCGCAAATTGGATGAGATCGGTGTCGTCCACTCCCGACATTATTAGCCCGTGTAGGTCTCCCCTTGATCGTGGTCAGTTGCGTGGAAAGGCGTAGCAGGGCAGAGCCTTACATAGACAAGAGCGTGCTAATGCTGGTAGGACGATGCGCGGACATACCCGTGTACTCTGTGAATACAACAAGACGGTAGAAGGAAGCAGGATGCGACTGCCGTCGACCGCCCGCCGTCCGCCCGCATTTTTCGGGGTGGGCGGGCGCTCGCCGATATGCCACGCCCTGATCGTCTGCTCTTTTTGCTTCCGCGTACAATCCATTGCGAACACGCATGGCCCGGCCGGGAACAGAACGACATAAGGGGCACACGGAAACGTCTTAACTGGTTCGAATTCAGGTGCTGACGTCTTTTGGGGCATTACTCGGGTGGCCCAAGCGTTCGTTTGATTGTGGGCTTTCTCCTCGTTCGCGATACGGTGGACTCTTCGAGGGGACTAAAGCCCGTATACTATAATTTGGCGGGTCATACGTCGTACACTGTAGCTACCACGTTCCCCCCTACAAGCGAAGGCAGATACTGTGTCGGGTCAATTTGATAGGGAAAAAGAAAGCAATGGTCCGTCCACGCGCGCGTCGTCAGCAAAGTTGGACGCGGTGTCATGATGGTTCTACAACAGATACGAAAGATCGATATAATCTCCTGGATGTTGCCAGTGGGCACCATCGACGTTGTATTCGCGAGCGCGGGTGTACCAGGCTGATGGGGATTCTTTCTTGCCGCGTCTCGGCGTGATCTTGTGGATGACCCGTTCGCACACAGATACAGCGACATTGTCGATGTCGAGACGCGCCCACTTGCCGTAGCCTTTAAGGAAACGTGCGAGCAGACGACCACCGTCGGATCGTTCGCTCTCGACAGCACGCGCGGGTGCTTGCGACGCCCGTGGAATATAACGATCCGGCCAGAGAATCATGAGACAAAGTGCAAGCATGCTCTTCCGACGGAAGCCTACAGAGCGAGCACGCTTATGAGCATGGGACTGCATCGGTGTTGGAGAACAACTCACGTTCACCGTTCCTCACTCGGCTGGGAAGAGAGGCAGCCATATAAATCAGCATGACATGCAAAAGAACGTGATTGTGGTTGGTCCCTTGAGTGTCCGTGAGAACCTCGAATGCGCGATAGAACTCCATATGCTGCAACGTATGAAACGAGCACCAGTGCTTCCCCGCTGTAGCGCAATGCGTTGGAGTATACACCGCATGGGCTGTACCGGGAGCTTGAATGCTAGTGCGGCATTAGAAACGGTACCAATAACAACAAAGTACGTCGACGTACAAGAGGTCACCCTCCTCCAAAATGAGAATGGCACCGTTATCTGGTCCTATGGTCCAGTCGCTGTTTGGGATGTGGAAGTCGCCCCTCGAAGCACCGTATTTGCTCGCGCCAGCCACGACATGCTTCATCCGTTCCGCCAGATTCGCAAATGTCGCGGTACTCGGAGGTGTAAAACGAAGAATGATCCACATCTTACGACCCTTGCCCCGCACCTGGACTGATGTGCCCAGCCCCATTGCGTCGAAATGAGGCATAGTAAAGAAGCCCCGTTGGTGTAGGAGACACCAGTCGAAGGTGCGCCATACGTCTGATGGAAGCATGTCGTAGTCTTCAGTCGTATCTTTAAAGAACCGTGTTCTTGTGACGATGTGCCCGTCGGATAAACGCCTGTTGAGAAACATGTAAGTCTACCGTACCTGCCACGATCGTAAGACTTGCTCAATGATTGCATCGCTGCTGGGGAGACCTGGTAAGAGCTCTAGAATGCAGCGAGGCGGATTCGAGCCGTCCTGTATGTACTCGTGGAACTCGTTAAGAGACATCATGGTACGGCTCTCTGGTGGAATCGGGTTAGCCGCGGGCGTGTGTTGCTGATTGACACGCTTTGGGCCAGGTGCCCCTTTGTGCTTATGGTTTGTTGATGATGAAGCACGTTCGCTTTTCGCTGTATCGACCGAAGAGTCACTGTTGCGTCCTGCTTCGTCCTTGTCTGATTGCGTCTCGACCTCTCTCAGGTACATATCTGACAAGTTAAGCACGTGTCATAACGAGTGGGGGCGCTCGGTTGTACTCACCGTGTACTTCCAACGGAGTGTGAAGATCCAAACCGAGTCCGCCTCCTGCTGGGAATCGACACCCCCAGTATTGTGGCGTCATCGCGTCGTCAACATCGTCACGTCCACTGACTTGCGGCACCTTCAATCCACCACCTTTCACCAGTACGGATACGCCTTGCTCTAAACTGGCGACGGCTTGGTCTAAGATGTCGTTCACTGGACCGTTCGTTAACACTGTGAGCATGTCGGGCCGTTCAAGGGCGCTGGGAAACATTTTTGCGCAAAGATCGACGCAATTGGCATCCTTCCGACACGTTAGTCCTCTCCTCCTTAGATCATTCTTGTGCTTACCCATGCCAAAACGTTCACTCGAGGATTGTCCGTCGTGTGGTACGGGAGGTACGTTATGGCATTGACTGACTGCCACCACGTAGTCGGTGTGCCATGTCGGACCGCAACGTTGCTCGTCAGATCTAGTGAATGTACGGACGCTGACGAGCCGTCCGCGTCGCTTTGATCAACTGCATTAGAGATTTCTTGCTTATGTGGTAAGAGGCAGATTAAACCTTTGACTTGTGCTCCCGGTTACTGTTGTAATCGAGTGGCAATGATCCGACGAACAGTCCGCTGCAATGTTGTGACTCGCTTCTGATGTCCTGTGAATCACTTAGTACGCTATTGATTATTAGGGCGAAAGCAAATTACGTTGCTAAGTCGTTCGAACCAATGGGTGCTGTCGGGTGGACACATAACGAAGGGTCCGGCTCTGACCGTGACGTGTATTCCCACGTGGGGGCCTCATTCTGTCTTGTTGAGCTGCCTGATTGTGCTGGTCCGCTACTGGGTACGCCTCAACAGAAGATAAAGAGGGTTAGCACGTATGCAAAAGCCGTGTATCTCTCTGAGAACGAACCTGGGCCGTTTACCACGTCGTCGACGGATTGCTCGTTGACGGAAAAAGCGACAACGTCGTACGAAGTTGGTCCTCCGGTTGTTGTGTGACGTTTTCTCTTCTTCTTGGGCGGTTCTTCGGACCAATCTAGAAAAGTGAATGACATGCTCACGGGTGCTGTCGACCGAAGTAAGCAAAAAAGCAAAAGGCACGCGGAGAACAGCGAGGTGTGGAACGCCGCCACCCGGAAAAGCTCGGTCCGATTACCCCGGCGGGTGTATCCTTAAACGATCAAGCTTATTTGGGTCAATCCATTTTTGGACAGCCGCAAACAGTAAAGCCCGTTTGGGTTAATCCATTTCGGGATAACCGTTTCCGTGTCATGCCATATACGTAGAATGCACATAAAGGGGATAGACGCGACATGCAGTGCTGCGTACTTCGCACGCTGCCTGGCCACGAAAGCAAACAAGTATTGCATGTGCACTCATCCAAACGTTCGCTTCAGAACCGGTGTATGACCAGCTCGACTATAAGCCCGTGTTTGATAGTGGATGTGTACTTAGAGGTTGATAAAACCGCTTATTCGTTTCTCTTTCAGATGTCCAGAACAAGATAGTATCTTATATCGCTTGCGCTTCGGTACACTCTGGGATCTTATAGCAGGCAGTACTTACGCAATCTGCATACCGTTATCATTCCCCTCCTCCTGCGTCGGTCGTGCTCTCTTGTCCGTGGGTTCCTCCTGTGCGCCGAAGGCCCTACCCGGTCGTTTGATACCGGGCTTCGATGGGGTCGTGAGCGTCGTTACGTTCATAGAAGCCTTCCAATTGGCCAACTGATCACCCGCTAGTTGAGCCCTTGTCGTGACACATGCGCTGAACCATGACTTACATTCGTTGGGCCATCATCCAGCAATGCGATGCCGCGCAACACTTTCAACATGTACCAATCCGCCTCCGCGCCTCTGGTGAACTGTGGTACTGCAACGAACGAGATTGTGACGGCGACTACGTCACCAACTTGGAACGTGGAAGGTGGACATTCGGTATAGCTAACGAATGATTAGAGTCCGCGCCACTTAACGAGAGTTCACAACGTACCTCAGCGCACCTGCTGGCCCTTCTCCAGAAGCGATATAGTATTCTACGGAGTTAGAATTGGTGTAGACCAGTTGTCCGTACGATTCGAGCATAGCCTGAAGGTACCGCTGTGGGAATGGGTCGATATTCTCTGGCACAGATTCTACGCTTGCAGGGTCGGCGTCCTTGACATGGCTGAAGTAGCGGCTGGCGAACCCGATGGCTTTGCCGCATCTGGTTTGGGTGGGCGCGCTAGTGGTGACTCGGCGTCCGATGCTTCGTTGGAACAGATTTCGTATATGCTCGATGTTCCTCATCGCAGCCGCGAACAACGGGTTGTCAAACGCTACGATTGCAACGCCTTGCTTGGCTTGACGAGCACGTCGTAGTGTCGCGCTTCTGACATACTGAGGTTAGCCATCGTCGACGGAATAGTAAGTGCGAACGCACTGATAGTCCGAGCCAACCGGGGGCAGGTCCACCCTCCATAAGACGCCGACTATCTCCAGTTGATACTCGGTCTCACCATCAGGCATAACGAGTACGCGCGTGCGGTCGTTGTACCCTGACGCTATGCGAACCTGTGTCGAAGCCGACGGGCTCTGCAAGACATCAGCGTTTGCGCGCTTCCCACTAAGGCGAAGGGTAATGGCGCACGTCCATGAAAGTCCCCAAGCATTTATCTGGCGCCGCCGCAGCGCGTCGAGAGGATATGTCTCCCACTATATTCTCTACACCGGTGAATGATGTTAGCGTACGCGACGACCCAAGAGTATGGGCTGCTTACTGGCTCGTTCCTCGTCGTACAAGTCAGGAAACTTGGAGACGTCCATGTCCGTTCCAGAGGATGTAAGTATGGTTAAGGAAACAGGCGCGTACAAAACCAACACGTCGGGGTGCGAGAAGACGACTACCTGCGGGACGCGCGTCGTCCTTGCACCTTAACCCATAGCACCCTTTTTCCCTTCTGCGACCGACTCGGTTCGTATGTGCAGTCGAACCAGTATCCGTGTGGAACGGAAAACCAATACCCTGTTTTGAAGGCGTGTCCATTCATGTTCGTATCTCGTTTTGAATCCGCTACCTTGACAGTCCCGCGCGCTGCGCAAGTGGTGCACCTCGAAGGGACTGTTCCCCATTCCCCGCCGCACTAGAACCCTGAGGCAAATCTGCCGGTGGTCGCCTGGTAAGCGCTCCTTCCAGCGCTTTTGTCCAATATACGCCTCGTTTCTGATTGTTATGCTCTACCAATGGATGGCAAAGGCTTGGGCGACGTCGGAACGGTTTGATTCCGTTTACTTAGGAATCTGGTTCCGTCGCCCCCCCCCCCCCCTCATCCGTTACCTATCGCATTGTCCCCATACCGTGGGTCTTTCTGCTCCCTTACGCACAGGACGTACGTCGTCGCGGTAAGGTGTCGTAGCGATGCAGCAGCTCCCAGTTGTCCTTTGCATTATCACCAGCAGTCTCGAGATCCGCGACGAATATAAAGTCCCGCTGGTATCCATCCATGATTTCCGTCCCGGTCTGGATCGTACCTCCATTTCTCCTTGCCGGTGGCCGACTTACCGACCAATGTACACGTCTGGCTGTTTCTTTTTGCCGGAGGGAGAGGGGGGGAGGAGAAAGGAACCGAGCGGGTGGTATCATGCGCACCTTTAATTGACCTCGTTTCTCTGGACTTTGTCGTTTTGGCCTGACTCTTGCTCTCTCGTCGATCATGTCCGACCAGACGCCCTCGCGAGCGTCGACCCGCACCCGTGTTCCGTCTTCAAAGAAGATCCAATCGTATGCTGCCCTCTTGGCCCTGTGCGAGATGGATGCTGACGGCTGCCCAGGGACGAGTACCAGAAAGATGCCATGAAGGACGTGGAAGAGGAAGCGGGGGAGGAAGAAGAGGAGGAGGAGGAAGAGGAGGAGGTTGTTGTTCCAGCGAAACCAGCTGGAAAAAAAGGGTCGCGGTGAGCTTGCACACCTTCCTTCGCTACGCATCAGCTGAAGAGAGAAACATATTCAGGGCTGCCCGCATTCCGGACAGTGACAGTGAGGACGACAAGGAAGAAGGGGATGGTGATCAGTGAGTGTGAACCGCGGACGGACGGTCAAAGGCTTACCGCGGTCGCCTCAGCGACGTCGGTGATAATGGCGAAGTGAAGAGAAAGGGAACGGACGGCAACGAGACCAGTGAACAGGCCAACGACAGCGGTGACGCCGTTGAGGAAGAGGACGATGACGACGTGCCGCTGGCTTCCAAGGTGCTGCCTCCGACACAGGTGAAAAAAGGAAAATCAACGTGCGTATACCTTCGAGGCCGTGTTGCCATTCGTTCTTTAACTTGTTCAGTGCTAGCGCCCGTAACGCGAGCGCCCAGGACAAATCAGGGTGCGTCTCCTTGTCGTGAGCTCTTTTCGAAGTACTCATGGTGCGAAAGAGAGAAGCGGGCGAAGTCTGTGAAAAGCACGAGCAACTCAAAGAACAAGCGAGCTGTTCAAGAGCAGATCCGGGACCATCCCGCTACGGATGACCCGCACCACGATGAGAACGTCCTCGGGTATGTTGCAACGCTACACCAGTCGCATCGATCGCTAAAGTGAACGGAAGGGCGAATGTTGACACGGGGGGAGGGGAAGACACGGCACGCGCCAGGGCCGAGGGAGCGAACAACGATCAGAAGTGCGCGCGTCATGAACAAACGTCGGGACTTGCTGACAGATGTACAGAGATGAATCCCCCGCTCGATCTGACGACGGCGACGAACGCTACTGGTCCACCAAGGCCGCAACCGCCACGCCTCCGCCATCGTCGCCGCCTTCCTCTCCCGTGAAGACACCCAAGAAGGTCGCGAACCGTCGTATGAAATCGGGCTCCGAACGCAAGAAGGCGGAAATGTATGTCTCTGAACGTTTGCAATGGTAACACCCCGGTTTGACGTGTTGATCTAGGCTCCTGGATGTGGAGGCTGAGGAGGACAACGACGACATAGAAACGTACGCAGTTCCCCTCTATGTCTGACTCGGCTCATCTGTGTGTTCGCGTTTAGGGATGATGCAGAAGAGGGGTACGACGAGCACGTACGCCAGACGAAGGCGCGCAAGACGTACGTGCATCCCACGTGTTCTCGTCCTTCACGCTCACGTGGCATTGCGAACTGTAGCGGTCAACAGATGGCTTCACAGCCGAAAGAGGAACGGTGAGCGAGTCATCACTGCTACATATACCGGATTTAACGGTGTCGACAGCCACGACAACGACGGCGACGATGTACGCATGGACGACAGCCTTCCCGTTCGCGCCCTTCCGACTCATGACGTCCCCATGTCTGATGAGTAAGTACTACGACCACACGTAGTGAACTTGGTACTCACATGTTCTAGGGAGGACCAGCAAGAGTAAGCAGTCGCCTGACTGGCATCCGTTACCTTCGTTACGACGATACTAAGGGGCCAATCACAGAGAGAACATCGTCTTCTCGCACGGTGGCAGCGCAGCCGCTAGAGAGTATCTCGGTTCCTTCCACTTTGACGATAGTGACCCAGCGTGAGTCGCTTCTTCCACAGACGTGCGCACCTAAATCTTTCCATGACAGATACGCGCGAGTTAAGAGCGACGCTATATTCCAATGGTCCGGTATCTGCAACTATGCCTTTAGTATCGGAGGGTACGAGAGGTTCTTCAAATACTCGTGAGAGGCTCCCTCTTTGCTCTGACATGGCGATGACGGTTGTTCATCAGAACCGTGGGCACGTACGCGGTCGTCGACACGGAGCCTCCCGAGAACGTCGTCAGTTATATCAAGCAAGACAGAGTCATGGAACGGTCATATCCGGCGACCGACATTATGGAGTGCGTACGGCCGTCGCAGATCGCCCGCTCCATGCTCAGACAGAACCGTTACAGAATTTTCTGTTTTGCCGTCGCTTTCTTCCAAGGATCGGATTTGGTCAATCTGTCTCGCATTTCTTGGCGGTCTATCGACTTCGTCAAGGTGTCTGACAGTGCGCAAAGCGATACCCTCGGCCTCGTAGGATCCAAAGCACCCGTATACTGTGTTTCTACAGGGTTACTATCCGTCGCTTTTCTTGATAAAGATGGTAAGGACGGCATCGGTGCTAGTGGCGCTCGGCGAGGCGTACTGGTCACCCTTCTCGAGGCAGAGGCATTTCGGCTCTTCGCTTGCCTCAATCGCCTCGGGAAGATGGGCGAGACCAACTCTTTCAAGTTTCCGCTTTACGCGGATGGGATGGTTGGTTTTACGACGAAGGTGGTCAGCAAGGATGGTACGTCACGTCCCGTATACGTTTTGCCGCGCGCTGAAGCAAACAGGCGGCAGGCGCGCGGACGGGAGGAAACGGGCCGACCCTGATCTCGGCTAAGGGAGGGTGGCAACCGAAGCGGAAGATAGGTGTATTCGAATTCAACGACAAGAGTACGTGCCAAACGTTGACATACCTCTACGCGCTCCTCTTCATTCTCATAATATGTCCTTCTTTTCGGCGACTTTCTGACGCTCACCACAGTCCCCGTCCTGGACGGACAAGGTCGAAAGGACCTATGGAAAGGGGCCGAACTGGGCGTCGCCGACGTCCTTGGCCTTCCGTCATACAACGTGGACAAGCTCGTCCCGGAGCAAATGGTAAGCGTGCTGTATCCCTTCTATAAGGAAGAAGGGACTTTTACTGAATGGGCGATCCGCTTTGACAAAACCTCTAAACCTCACCATTGGACGACGCTCGGACTATACCTTTCTGGCTCTGACTCGGAGAACCCGCGTGCCCTTCTCCTTTCAGCCTGCGCGTCATGCGCCACTGTATGGATCCCGTGCAGGGCTCGCGCTGGCGAGCGTCACTTAGGTCGAAGTCACATTTTCTTCCTTACTCTGAGCATGCAGTAAAAGCCGACTCTACGCGACGCAGACGCGGTGTAACACCATTTTTCCTTAATAGAGATCAGCTGAAGAAGCACTCAAAATTCGTAAAATTGTGCTGAAGTTCAACAAGGAAGAGCATAGTGGGTTGACATGAGACGTGCGCATCGGAGAACGATGTAAGGGGGACGGGGATCGGAATATCGATGGCGAGCCTTGGCGAGAGAATGGGATGGAAATATGATGGAATGGCCTTGAAGGTTGTACACAGATAGATGAGCGGAGAGCCGTCACTCAGGACGGGCCATAGCTCGACTCGCACTGATTGCTCTAGGCGAAAGTACCTCTCAATCAATGAAGACGACGTACCTACTGTCCAGCAACCAGTTTGCTTTGACAGAGCTCACTTTCCCCTTGGGAAACATCGCACGGGTCCATCTCGCTAGTACCATAACGCGCTGGAAGAGAAAGACGGAAAAGGCCGTGGAAAATCTCTCTTTCAACATCGCCGCTCTGGTAGTCCTGTCAGGACCTATCGACCGCGTCGCAGCGCAGGCCAGGCTCGTGGCGCCCCGCGTCCACCCCGCCACATCTGGCGGAACCCCACGTACTGGCAAAGTATCTGTGAAGATCAACGACGCATCTGCCGGTGCGACAACATCCAAGGGACGGGGCGAAGGGAGCGGGTCCGCTAAGCGGGCAGCAGGCGGCGCGAGCGGAAGCCCGCCTAAGAAGGCGAAGAAAGACCATACGGAGTAAATCGCGCGAATAAAGAATACGTCTGTACCAAAGAAATCGAACATACATAGAGATCGTAAACTGTCCGCACGTGGGTTGACTGGCGCGATAACGGCCATCGCCGGCCGTTCAGTCCGACGCTCGATCGCAACGCAAATCTTCAGTCCACAACCGCCATGAATCTGTTCACTACAATGCTCGGTTGTCTGTATCTTCTTCTGTTTAACACCGTATCATGCTCGGGTCCATCACTATCACCAAAAGATGGTCTTTACGACGTGAAAAACATCGAGCTCTTGCGCGGCAGGATCACACCCACTCGCGACGATCTCTGCGGCTTTACATCATCGCGGTGCAGTACGCAAGCCATCTATGTCGGCACAGAGCACGACGCTGAAAACGTCGACCAAGCACACTGCGTATACGATGGTTGTGTGGAAGTATCTCAACATGTTTTCGAGCTCACTCTTCCGATCGATTATGCGTTGGCTGCTACTCTGGCGCGATACGGGGTTACGGGTTTATGCGATGCTATGGGATATGGAATATACGTGGCAGCACACACCCGAGACTTTGCACTGGCTCTTTGGCAACAAACGTCCGTGGCCTCTGTTCGAGGCTACCTGTTGTCGATTCGTCCACCTCCCTTTTCGTTTTTGGCATCGTACAGGCTTTGGCTGGAACATCACCCACACAGACACGCTGGCATCACTCGCGTGCATTCAATGCGCCATTGCATGCGTAGGGCTGATTGGACTTTTCATTGTTGGAGAATGGACGTGTCAAGTCGTAAGCGTATCGCATTGTCCGTCCTTCGCTTGCCGATCAAAACCGCAATATACCGCTCTCTCTGTTTCTTCAGCGAGTACATTACAGGGATACGTTCGCGTAGGCGAACATCGACGTTGCGAATCTTCGTCAAGAACGCCGCTACCTTACAAGCACTTAAAATGTGGTCGGGGTATTGTCAACGAACGGCGTGCGAGCATCACAAAGGCAAGACGGCCCGTATGTGTTCGCGACTTCAATTGGGTGGTGGCCCCGCCGAGATGCTATTTTCCCATACCGATATTGAGAGTGCGCTATACCGCGCACCGCAGGACTTAGACGTCAGTAAATGGAACTACCGTTTCCGCTTCCACACTTTTTTAGACGACATGACGAACCTGCCGGACAACTACGTCGTCGCGCTTCTTACACCCGAACAGTTATTCGACAAACTCACAGTGGCCAGTCTTCGCTCCGTATGTTCCGCTCACTCGATTTCTCTCGCCAAAGTACGTGTGTGTAGACAGGTAATCGCCGAGTTATTTGCCTCGCACGAGTGCGTGGGGGGGTGTGAGCTTCTGTATACCGCATTCGAAAAGGTGCCTATTGCCAACAAGCGGAAAACCGGCCGCAAATACCGTCGGTACAACGGAAAGAGGCGCAAAGTCAACAGCCAGAAAGCAATGAAGAAAATGCTTGCGGACGACGTCGACACTCAGGCTCCGGCGTCGAGCTTTCCGCCGCCCCGACCGAACAAAGAGATGATGCACCGTATCGCGAGTAACTTCTACGAAGAACTTATGAACGTCCGAGAGATAGGTTGCGCAGTTTGCGGCGAATTGAAGCCGGAAAAGGGCAGCGTGCCGATGCGAAGTATGAAACACAACTTGAAGGTCCTCGACAACAATGCTATTACTCGAAAGTTACGGACGACCGATAATGACCCTATACAGCCATTGCCTGGGCTGGTTCTAGCTGAAGGATGTGATGTTATATGCCAGGATTGTCGCGGACCGTTACGACAGATGGAAGTGCCAAGACTGGCTTTAGCCAACAATCTTTGGCTGGGAGAAGTACCGCCAGTATTGAGTAAATTGAGATACTTCGAACGTATTCTGATACAACGTGTCCGCCACAATGCCTCCTTTGTTCGCGTGGGTGGCTCATTCAAGAAGATGATAGCACATGTCATATGCTTCCCTGTGAACACGCCTCTCGTTCATGACGTCCTGCCACCACCTAGAGAAGAAATGGACGAGGTCCTCGCAGTTATGTTCACTGGTCCGTCATCACCCACGCCTGCTGATTACGCGTCTGGTAGGTTTAATCCACTACTAGTGAGACGGAAAGAAGTACAAGAAGCGCTCGAGCACCTGCGTCTTAACTCGCCTGACTACGCGGATATCACAATATCCGAAGAGAATCTACGAACTTACGACGAGGACTCTCCCCCAGTTACTATTGAGTATCGGATGATGGATACCAACATAAATCAAGAGAGCAGGAGCGCTTTTAACACGGAAGATGACCAAGGAGTGACCTCTGGCGAAGTACCGTTCGTTGTACACGGTTTGACGGGTGAGGACTTAGACACAAAAACCGTAGAAGAGTTGAAAGGGCTTGCGCTGAAACACTTTAATGCTAATAAAGGCGTGTTGCGTGTCGGGCATGAAGAAAGCGCGGAATCTATATATCATAATATACAGTTATATCCGCGCATGTTCCCGTGGTTGTTTCCATACGGCGCGGGCGGTGTTGGTAGTACGCAAGTCGCAAAGGAGATAAAATACAGGCTGTCCGAGAAAGAGCACGTTCGTCATCTCCTTATGTATCACGATCAACGTTTTCAGCGAGACCCTGCCTTTCCGTTCGTTGCCTTCAGTCACTCGCAAGTTAAACAGACCATCACCCAGAGTTTCCTGGTTGCTAAGCAGGAACGATTCCATGACGTTATCACACGACTACTCAGCCTGAATCGCACTGTGTTGCAAAGTATAGCGACGCGAATGAGCGACGGCGAACACGTTGTTCCTGTCACAGACGACGAAAAAGAATGTTGGAAAGTCATCCAGGATATCGACAGTGTAGCGGGCCATGTAATGGGAACGACTTCCGGCAGGAAATGGATGAGAAACGAGATATGGTCCCTGATTGCTCACATAGGTTCACCCGTATGGTACATTACGATTGCGCCAACTGATATCAAGCACCCGTTGTGTTTGTACTATGCAGACACAAAGGAGGAATTCAAACCACATGTATTCCCTGACTCGGATGCACAGAAAGACGATCGGTTCCGCAAGGTGGTTAACAACCCTGTAGCTGCAGCGCGTTTCTTTCACTTCATGGTCGAGACGTTCATTAAGCATGTGCTAGGAGTCGGATCGGGATGTCCGGGTCTGTTCGGCAAGACGTCTGCATACTACGCGACTGTCGAACAACAAGGGCGTCTAACGTTGCATCTGCACATGCTCGTTTGGATAAGCGGTTCCCCTACTCCTCAGGAAATGAGAGATCGTATAACAGAGTTTGAACTAGGTAACTGGCCCTCAGGCATGTACGAGACCTGCCCTTTGTTTTGTCTGGACTGAGCTCACTGGGGTTCTCTCCACGACACACAAGGCACGGGTAGAGCACGCTCGCCGGCCACAGCACGCGCCCGCGCACGCTCACTAGCCGCTCGCCGACTCATGCCGTGATGCGCGCCCTTTGATGGCGCGCTGGGCGGACGACGTGCTCGCCCTCGACGCGTCGGGACGCGCCGTGCGTGCGCCGTCGCTGCTGAATCACACATCAAAATGTAAGAAACAGTAATGAAATCGTTCATTTGAAGTGCATACGTATTCTAGAGAGTAATTAATGGGGAGGGAGGGGGGGAAGGAGAAAAGGCACAAAAGCGCGAGTGAGAAATTTCGCTTGCGCTGGACGCGCCGCTACGGCTCGGTAGCGCGCACGGCGGAGTGAGAGGGCGGAGAGGAGGAGGGTGGTAAGCGCGCTCGATGCGCGTAGGATCGCATCGACCGAGCACGATGGGGGGGAGGCAGGCCCTTGAAGCTCGTCACCGTGCGCTTGATGTGCACGAGAAGGCGGCGAGGGCACGGGTGGGGGTGGGGGCGAGGGGCGCACGCATGCTAGCACACACCGGGTGTACCGTTGCCTGCGCAGGCACTCCCCTCGCACCTTCCCTCGCACTTTCCCCCCGCCCCATCCTCCCTCCTCGCCTCGCCCCTCCTCGTATCCTCTTCCCCCACCCCTCCTCGTATCCTCCCCCGCCCCTGCCCAGCCCCCTTCCTCCCACCATTATTCTCCCCCTAACCCTCTCGGCGAGGCGTGCCCATGCACTCCCTCTATCGGCACATACACCACGCACGCTTCCCATACCTCACTGTCGGCGGAGGTGGTATGGGCATGGTGCGCGCTGTACGCGTCGAAAGAGGGAGCGCGCGGGTAAGCATCGCCCCGCTGGCGATCCCGATGTGCTGGCATAGCCAGCGGCCGATCGAACGTGACACGCTCAGAGGCGTCACGCACGTCTCCAGCAGTGCCGAGCCTCGCTGAAAAGGCGATGCTGCGAGGGGGGGAGGGGGCGGGTGAAGGCGCCAACCGCTCGGCAGCCGATTGCGAGGCGCGGCTTGGGAAGGTGGCGGCATAGCGCCAAAAACGCGATTGGGAACTTGTTCCAGACACATTATGCGCCTGGAGCGAGTTCCCGCGCTCTCAGACACGGGCTGAGGGCAGACTTGAGGAGGGGAGAGGGGGGGTTGCACGCCGCTGCTTGTTGCGAAGACGCATCCCCCCACGGCATCTCATAAGGTAGTTTCATTAGTATCAAGTCGTGAGCGGCGCGAGTTCACGCACCTGTATTCCACTCCTTCCTCGCGCTGTCATCGAGCGCCGCGCGATTGGGATCAGGTGCGTGATCAACGCGAAAGCACGTCCGAAAATGTGTTTTCCGCGTCTTGAGAAGCGTGGTTGACAGTAAGAAGGAAGGGGGAGAGGGCTGGGGGAGTGGGAAGCGTGTACGTCGGTGCGTGGTGGTGGTCAAAGAGCAAGAGATGCGCGTGCGCGCCGCGTCGGCGCACCCTCAGACGTAGTCTGAGGGAGCATATGACGGGAAAGCGGGGCGATGTACGCCCCGCTTCCTCTGCCTCATCCTGCTCTTGTTCCTCCCCCTCCATCCCTCCTACATCCTCTCCGAGTCGCAGGCGTGTAGTGGTTAGTAGTCGAATTGAATGCGAGGCGCGTTCACGCACCTGGAACCCCCCTCCTCGGGCTCTTGCCGATTGCCATTGCCAATTTCTCGTTTGTTTGTGATGAGATTGCGAGTGAGCGCCCCAGAGGCCTGTTTCGAGATTTGGGGAAAGCGGGGTGGGCGAGATGCGAAGAAGGATGGGAGAATCAGGTGGGCAGCGTGATGGTGGTTGGGGACAGGAGACTCGCGTCGTGGATGCGCCGGATGATCGCATCGGCAGCTCCCGAGCAGTGCACGCGTCTTTGAGGGCATTGGATGCAAGCCGGGGACATATATGAGCACATTCTCAGCTGGATGAACTAGGATACACATTAATTGACTATTTAGAAGGCTGTGAGCGATAGACTGTGGGATGGTGCGGAGGCCGAGCTTGAATATCACGACCTTCGGGGATAAATCAACCGTGGGAAGTTCATGCGCCAGCTTGAACTCCACATTCTATGACACCTGGTTGCATTGTGGCCACATAGGCTCCCAAGTATGGTTTTAGGAGGCTAACGTGTATTTATGACCGAAAATAGCGATGAAAGGCACGGACGATCCGCTGGAAAAGGCCGTGTCGAATTATGTGGCGATGCACCTCGTCGGCATCTCCCGAGCACGTGGAAAAGAGTCGTCCGTAGCTCCAGCCACACAGGGTAATACATCCAGAAAATCTTACTGAAATGACAGGCGACATCAAACGAGTAGACATGATTTTTCCCGGACAAACAATGGACGGGATGGGCAAAATAACGCCAGCGCCACATATTCGTCCCGATTTGGAACGTGCCGCTTGGACGTCGAATGGTGATGAATTCCACCGTTGTAAGACGATTCCTGCAAGCAGGTCTCGTAATCAACGTACAGAGAAGAGTTAGTCAATTACGTCGAAGGCTGTCACCAAGGGCACCTATACGGAGGGCCAATGTTAGACGCGGAGGCCCGACAAGAAAGAAAACGCGCTCAACCTGGATACAAAGATCCGACGTACACCGTCTTCCCCCGTCCGCCCGTAAATTACTGCACGTGTGGCGATGCAGGTTGCAAAGTTTGTAAGAAGAGCAGACAATGGGATGTTCACTTTGAGGAGTATGTCGACGACGTCTTACTACGATCTAACGTGCACAAGTGTAGTACGTGATTCTGCATGAATAATAAAAACAGAAAATGCAAAGCGAGGATGCCGCGAGAAGTACGAGAGGAATCCGGAGTGGATATGGACACTGGCGCGCTCCGGTTCAAACATCTCGAACCGTATATGAACGACGTCTCCCCACTCATAAGCTACGTCCTCGGCTGTAACCATGACTGTACGGGACTTATGTCGGGCAGTGCGGTAAACCACATCGTTTACTACATAACAGAATATATTACGAAGATGGGCCCGCCTACACACGTGATTTTTGAGGCTATAAAAGCCGCATTCGACAGAAACTCTGAACATCTGTCGTCCAACGCAGACAGTAAAGAAAAGGCGCGGAAGTTGCTTACGAGGATGGTGAACATATTAAGTACTAAGATGGAACTCGGATCTCCCTTTATATGCGCGCATTTACTCGGCAATCCTGATCACTATTCGTCGCATCACTTCAAACCGTTCTATTGGCATTCTTATTACATGGAGGTACGAAAGTACTGGCAGGGCGCAGACGTTGCCGAATATGACGACAACGTGATTGTTCTGCGTAGGAAAGGACACGTCATTGGTGTGAATGATGTCCAGAACTATGTTTACAGGCCTGAAGAGCTCGAGCATATGAGTTTGTACGACTTCATGAGACGGTGCAAACGAGTACCTCTTCCTAAAAACAAGGAAGACGTAAACGACAACGACTCGGATGAAGCCGCCTGCACTCAAACCTCGACCGACATTTTGGATGACATTGACGAGGTTGTTGATGACCTCGGCGGCATGAGCGATGACGAACGGTGCGATACTGCCGATAGCGGTCGTTATTGCGATGCTAACGATGCGATGGACGAAGATGGGGACGTTGTCATGGAGGACGTTTGCGACGAAGACATGGACATGTCCGTTGTGCAAGACGACCTGGAAGGGACAGAACGTGACGATAAGCCTTCACAGCCTGAATTTGACCCCGATGAACCTATTATATTTGGGGATCCACCCAAAGGAGCTCTTCCCACGAGGATGCATGCATTCGTGAAAGGGCATCCGCTGGCGAGTACACATTGCATTTGGATGAACGACAAAGACGACCCTTCGCTGGTACTGAACATGATGAGACCACTGCCGCGGAATGACAAAGGCGATAGGGATTACTACACAACGACCATGCTGACTCTTTTCAAACCGTGGAGGACAGGGGCGGACCTAAAACAACCCGAGCAACCATGGGAAGATGCCTACGCTGCTTTCCCATTTTCCGATCGTCAGCGAGAGTTGATGAAATTTTTCAACTTGCGGTGGGATTGCTTGGACGCTCGCGACGACTTCCAAATGAGGAGTAAATCGGAAGAAACGACAGGATCGTCGTACGCAAGATTCGTACCAGATGACTACGAGGTCGCTGAGGACGAGAATCATATAGAATTGGCGTTTCCTTCCAGCGACGATATTCTCACGAACAAGGCGTACAAGACAAAGAAGGAAACATACGACGACATCCAGGACTACATGAAACATCATAGATGGACTGATGCTTTAAACCAAAAGATAGACGTCACTGAATGGACCATATCCATACGCAAGACGTTCTCGGAGTGGAAAAATATTGTGGGAAACATGAGACGGTACGCTCTAGAGAAAGCGAAAGCCGACAAAAGAAGCGCGGAAGTGAACGTTCCCATTGGTGCACGGAGCCACGCGGGCGTCGACGTAGTGAACAAAGCGTATTTAACTCGCAGTTTCGTAGCACCGGACCGTGTAAACTTGATAGAGAACATAGCGCGACAGTACAATTTAAACGAAGACCAAGAGAGAGCATTCCGAATGGTGGCAAACCATGCATCCACGCCCGGTATGCCTCAGCTTCGAATGTACATCGCGGGCATGGCAGGCACGGGTAAATCGCAAGTAATAAAGGCGATTCAAGCGCTATTCATTGCTAGAGGCGAAGGTTTTCGGTTTCTCATCCTGGCGCCAACAGGTACAGCGGCATCGTTGGTGAAAGGGTCAACATATCACTACGTTCTAGGTATCAACGACAAGAAGGTAAATTCTGGTTTCTTGAACATGAAGAATCGCGGTGAGGTGAAGAGCCGGTTGCAAGGCGTGGATTACATATTCATAGACGAGGTCTCCATGTTGTCGTGTTTGGACTTATACACCATAGGGAGGACGTTGTGCGAGATTCAGAATCAGCCCGATGAACCATTCGGAAAGTTTAACATGATATTCGCTGGAGATTTCGCCCAATTGCCCCCGGTCGCCGGTGGAGAACACGGTTCGCTGTACAGCAGGACCATTGGGCGATACAGCACAGACGCGAAGAGTCAGAAAGCAGCGCTCGGGAAGGTTTTGTGGCACCTTGTCACGGACGTCGTAATCTTGAGATCGAACATGCGCCAAAAGGGATGCACTAAAGACGACCTGAGAATGATCCGTGCGCTGGAGAACATGAGATTCTGTGCTTGCGACGCAAGAGACTTCGCATGGTTGAGATCGCGACTTGCAGTATCACCCCTTAGCAAGATCGACATAACGTCCGAACGGTACCGGCATGCTTCAATAATAACCGCGCATAACATTATCAAAGACGGTATCAACGACTTAGGAGTGCGCCGATACGCACAGGAAACGGGACAAGTTCTTGAGTACTTCTATGCGGAAGACAGGCTACGCGTAGGACAAGACAGTGTATCCACGCCTATACCCGTGCACATTCAGGAACTGCTGTGGAAACAGCCGCCGACTTTCTGTGACTTGCGTATACCCGGTCGATTAGCTCTATGTCGCGGGATGCCCGTCATGATACGGACGAATGCCGCCACCGAACTGTCAATGACAAAGGGACAGGAAGGCATCGTTTACGGTTGGGATGCTAGAGATATGGGAAATGGACGACTCACGTTGAATACCCTGTTCGTAAAGCTGGACAATCCGCCGACGAATGTGCAGTTCCCGGGTCTACCTCCCAACGTCGTCCCGATGGTGCGCACTACAAACTCTGTGAAATGCGACATGCCACATCTGAATAGCAAGCTAAAAGTCTCAAGATCTCAGGTTGAGGTGTTGCCGAACTTTGCGATGACCGATTATGCGTCACAAGGAAAGTCAAGAGATATAAACGTAGTCGATTTACAAGATTGTCGTAATCATCATGCTTATTATGTTGCGCTATCCCGGGGACGCAGCTCAGACGGCACCGCAATCATTCGCAAATTTGAAGAGGGTAAGATCACAGGTGGTTGTAGCGGGGCTTTGCGTCAAGAATTCAGGGAATTGGAACTCTTGGACGACATAACAAAGCTACGGTACGAAGGTCAATTACCGTCCCATATAAATGTGCATAGACGCTTAGATCTTATTGCTCAGTACCGGAAGTGGCGGGGTGCAGAATACATGCCTGCGACGGTAGCAGCCGCGATAAAATGGCGAGACGGTAAACCCGTGTACGACAGCAAAGGACAGTGGTCGAACTTGGACGTTTGGTGTTCGTCGCCGTCACCTGCCATTGATTGGCAGAACATAACAGTGAACGCGGAGAATAAAGGTAGTTTACCCAAAGAACATATCCACCGGGCTTTCGTACCCTTGGAAGAGGTGAGGAAGGACAACAAGCGTCGCGCCGTAGAGGGCGTCTCGGTCATTCGCAAAAAGGTGCGCATGCAAAGTCCTGAGAGCACGTCAGAAGATACGCCTGAGCCCCTGCTCACACACGGTCCGCGCTGGAGTGACAACAGTTGTGCTTATGACACTGTGCTTGCGATCATTGCGTGGATGGTCGCCGAAGATGAACACATGTGGATGCCGATGTTGGAGAACTGGGGACAGTCTCCCATGCGTTCTATAGCGCGCGACGTCAGAAACGGTATACGGGGCGAGGCGACAATGTGTACAGCGAGGGACACGTTGCGCGACTTATTAGAACAAATCGACCATACCAAGTTCCGATACAACCAATTAACAAGTGTCGTCGAGGTGATAAGGGCGGCCACCAAATTGCCAACTGTAGTGATACGCAGACAGACGTTCTGCAGAACAGACGTTCAACATCACATCCCAACCGGCCATCGCACTCGAGATTACAATAGCCTGTTCATAGAAGATCCCATGTACGAAGAAGATGTACCATCGAAATGGTTTTCCGGAATGCCGTGCACCTCGATGAGAGACTGTACGACTTGCGGTCGAAGGTTACAACAGCGCGCCAAACTGCTCATGCGTGCGCCATTTCTTGTCTTTGACGTCCAGCCTGAACACCACAGGATCCGCCCGCGTTTCTCGGCCATGCTCATGAACGGAAGATGCGAATACGTCTTGAGAGGCGTCATTTACTACGACGCGCTTCACTTCACGGCCCGTGTGACGAGTCCGACAGGTGAGGTGTTTAAATATGACGGTATGCAAGGTAATGGGGAGTTTATGTTCGAAGATACGTATGAACAAATTGTTGATTGGAGAACGCTACACGGTCGATCCGCGACGCTCGCATTTTACGCGCTGAACGTTTGATCTTCCCAGGAGCAGTGCAAGCGACCGGGTGGGCTCGCAGCGGAGAAGTCGTACGTAGGCGTACCGAGGCAAGACACGCGCAAGCAGAGTCGCTCAATGACGCAATAACACACTGATGTGGAGTCGCGCAATACCTTCTTATAAGTTGTCGGGCCTTTTCTAACTTCATCACCATGCACGCCAGACGTCAATTCATAGACAAACAATGTAAAAGCGTAACATTCCATGCAGACTCCACGAAATGGGGCCAGAGCGAGACATTGACGTCGACGAAGTCCAGTTACATGTGCTCTTCGTCGTCAAAGGTGCACTCCAGATCTTCGTCGTCACTGTACTTGGTCTTGGTGACCTCGTACACCTCCAGCGTCCTTTTCAAATCTGCAACGACCTCCTTCATCTCTTCAGGATCATCTTGAAGCTATTGCTTGAACATGAGATGATGAACGAAGGCATTTGAGATCACTTACGCGACGCAACTTCCAATAGAACTTGTTGAACAAGTTGATGAAATTCGCTTTGACATCTCGCAGGTCCGCTGCCTGGCGCCGACATGTCAAGGCCAGCTGCTTCTGAGCATCGCGAGCTTCAAACTCTCTCTCGTCGCAAAGAGCCTCACGCGCTTGAATGTCGCCCAGCTTTATAGTGGCAACCTCTAAGCGTGCCTTGGCCTCGTCGCGCTCGGAAAACGCGGCGTTGATCAAGGCTAGAACCTCCTATACAACGGTTTGGATGAGCTCGGCGTCAGGCGCGCTGTGGTCTGGCGCTTACCGCCGTAACGTCCGAAGATGTGGTGGGAGATACAGTGTTCGACATCGATGCGAAGGGCGATGTCAGTGACGAGTGCAAGACATACGGATTATATATGGAGGTTGCCCTGACCGCATGGTGGACGCAGCGAGAACATGAGCCGCACCGTGTCGGTCGGAGGGAATGGCGCTGTCGAATTGACTCAACACCGCTCCTAAGATAGGCAAGTCTTTGGACATCTTTGGCAAAGGGTCTACTAATGGACGCTACATTGGGTTTGAGGGACACCACTATGGGGCACGACGCGGACGGTATGCAAAGTCTATCACTGCATGCCCTCCATACATAAACGCGGCTGAGAAGACACGGTACACACTTCTCTCATTCTCTCCCCCCCGTTGCAAGTTCCCGATAGCCGACGGTAGCTGTTCTAGCTTGAGTCCCGCGCGAACCGTTTTTTTGGCTGACACTAGTGTCGACAGAACGACATTGCCTCATGTGCTTCTTCGCCATTTTGTGTACGAAGCATGTCTGTGGTCACGTCGTTGAGCGCGAGGAAGTGCAGGTGATACGGTCGCACTTGTGCGAAACAACTTTGAATCTCACTGCTTGTAGGCCAACTGCCACGGAAAGACGTGCATCTTCAGCACGTCTCACAACGAACGAAGACACGATTGCCAGCACTCGTGCATTCATAGGTAAAGCACTCCTTCGTGCGAACGACAAGTAATGACAATCTTTTTGGGGGAGTAGCATGGGCGCCGATAGGAGGCTACTAGCGTACTCGAGCGCTCAGCCTTGCGCGACTTGCTTATCGAGCAATGCTATGTAGATCCTCATACTTGATATATGACAGTTGTTTGAGTACGGAACTTCTATGCTTAAGGCTGATCGAATGATAAAGGGAAGGTTTAATGAATCGAAGAGGGATCCCGCACTCACAAGAAGCGTGTGGGGAGGTCAGCCAACACGCACCACAGGCGTACCTGAGCTATGTCGGTGCCATTTACACTCCCTCGAAAGGCGGCACGAGATGTTCTATGCAATTACTCTGCGTCGCAATACAATGTTCGTACCCCCGCATTCGCGCAATTTCCGCTACAACCCCGCCGATCGTTAACCCTAGTCTCACCAGTCAACCTCTTCTCTCAAGCGGAGGGAAAGTACGTTAACCCTCGGTAACGGACACAACACGCGCGGCAACACGAGCACGCCCGCTTCTTTATTGCGGCTTTAGAAGCAAGCGCAGGCGGCATTGAAGGTGGTTAAAAAAGTAGCTTGAATTGCCAGACATACGGACACAGTAGAGTGAACATGGAACATGGCTATAGAGATACCAGCCGTAGAGGGACACGACGACAAAGATGACACAGCGATGCAGTCAGCACGCATGACGCCCGGTCGACCGTAAGGCATGGAGAGGATGAACGACCTTAGCCGTACGAGAAGAACACGGCGCGTAGCGAAGGCGACATCGTTGCGACCCGATCGATCGACCACGAGTAAGCACAGCGGTCCTTCGCCTCGCCCCTCCGATCGACATGCTGGAACACAAGACGCACTCCCCCCTTGACGCAGAAAGACCGCGGACAAGGGGGAGAGGCACGCCGTGCGTACGCCGCACATAACAGCCCCCGCGACACCTCCCACCCACGCACCGGAACGAGATGCGCGGACAAGAGGTGTTGTGCGTGGCTATAAAGGTCAACCTCAGATAATGCAATGAGCCGGCTGTGGACGCACCACCGTGAATCTGTGCCGCGCACTCTCTTGTCACTGGAATAGCGGGACGACGATGGTACACGACGAACGGTAGATACTGCACGCTGAGTCACGCGTAACAGACATTCTCACGAATAGTCACGCTATACGTCACCGCACAGCTCTTAACCCCAAGCGTAATTGCTCTTTGCCCGACGACCTTATTTCCCACATTACGCTCTGAACGGTCATGGATAAGCGAGCGACGACCAGCACATAGTATTTACCGGGCATCGTAACAGAGCTTTACATGTTTACGAGCGCACGCAAATAGAGGTTAACCTACGCGGGAGATAAGGTAGTTTAAGTAGATATTACTCATTTAACCAAATAAGAACGGAAAACCCGAGACAACTTCCTAACCCACCGTATGCCACGCGCTAGCGATGGCCCTCTCTAAAACAAGTATCTTGTCACTCCCCATTTGCGATCGATGCGATCCTTGACCTGTCTGTCACCGTGCGATTACTCTACACGAAGGAAACGCGTGAGCAGACAAGAGGCGGTAGCACAGCTAGCCTAACCCACCCTGAGGTATGATGGGGTATCGACGACCGGGGATCGGGGTGACGGTTTGGGACAAGAGGCTCGCCTCGATGCGTGCGGTGGCCCGGACCGACGGCCTTTCGCGCCTTTAATTATTTGTGGCGTTCGAATATCTTTCCCTTCGCATTTGGCGCGCGTCCAGCTTGCCACCTTCCCAATACTGTACAAGTATATCCCTCGATAAACATCACTGCCCAACCATCACACCCATACCTCCTCGCTCCGCTATATACACCGTATTGGCTCAAAAAAGGTACGCTAGAGTCCGCTACGAGCGATCTCATACCTCATCCATATTTTCCCGGCCGTCGACGGGACCCATATACTGGATTTCCGGAGCCTGCGCACTCTCCAGCGCAGCCACAGGCGTGCCGTCGATGACACGGGGCACCGCGCGCGAGAAGAGCACGTCCTGTATGAGGAGCAGATGCTCAATCATCACTTCCGGCGGGAAACAGCCGTAGTTCGGGCTGATGCAGAACTTGGTGAGGTTCGGGACGAGCGGCGGGACGCCCTCGCGGCATACGAGCGCGCTGATCACGGTGCGCGACAGGACCGGTCGGTCATCGCCGCCCGTGCATTGCACGCTGAGCTCCTCCAGGTTCCCGAGCCGCTCGAGGGCGCGGGGGAAGGCGCGGGCAGCGGCCTCGTCGAAGTCCTCCGGGATGTCCTGGGCGGTGAAGTCGAGAAGGGGGTGTGGCGCATCGCTTGCGGAGACGAGCGCAAGGAGCGACGTGCAGAAATCGCCGTCTGGCAGGCCGCGCGCGGATGTGGGGCAGGTCAAGAGCAGCTCCTCGAGGGCGGGCGCGACGATGTACCGCATGAGGACGTGCGATGCGTTGCAGAGGCAGAGCTTGTACAACACGGGCATGTGGACCGGCTCGAGGGCGTCCAGCTCTGTCCATAGACCGTCTGGCCGGCAGCAGTCAGTCGCAAGGAAATCGATTGTCAGCCGAGACAACGATGCAGCGCGTAAGAGCGCAGACGGGCAATGCCACGTATCGCCCAAAGAAATGTCCAGGTGGCGGAGGCCGATGAAGGATGGTATGTTTATATCGCCCCCGACGCGTCTTGCGCAGCTTGCGTCAACTGAGAGATGCTCTAGTTGCGCGGTGCTATCCCTTGTAAAGTCTAACATTCCCGTGATGTGCACCAGATCCTCGCGAGGGTCCGACTCGAAGGACACTTTCTTGAGTCGTGGGCAACTGGGCGATAGGGTCGAAAGAGAGAGGAAGTCGCGCCAATGACCAGTGAGTTCCACATACTCCCAGCGGTGCGCATGAGGCAGTAACTTGGCGATGACACTCGGTAGATATACCTTGGAGTAGCAAGTTACATCCAGACCGCAGAGGCCGGACAACGTTAAGCAAGCGTCCAAATATGCCATCAGATGACATCCATCCTCGTCGTCGTCGATAACGATTGCGTTCCATAGTTGGCCAGTGCTGTGAGCGATTGACCGCCAGGGCTTGCAGACACGCGAGACGGTACGGGCGAAGCTTGCAGGGGTGTAATGATAATCTTTCAGAAGGACGAAGATGCCAGCCAGGATCTCCGTGGGAAGACGGTATACAGGAGGGGGGTTGAGCGTGTAGAGGGGAGTCGTGATTGACATCGTGTCGCTCTCCATCCGTGGTTGATAGGAGCTGCGTTGCGTTTCTCGGCCTCTGTCTAGCACCGCACAATTCTTTCTACACGGGCAAGCAAAGTGAGCAGGTAGAGTGAAAAAGCGCAGCTAGTGTACCACCTACCTGCCCTGTGGAATGACGAGGTATCGACGCTCGAGGATCGGGGATGAGGGTTCGGGACAAGAGGTTCGCCTCGATGCGTGCGGGGGCCCGGGCCGACGACCTGTCGCGCCTTATTTGTGGCGTTCGAGAAGCTTCGCCTTCGCGTTTGGCGCGCGTCCACCTTGCCATCTTCCCATCCACCACCATCACGACAACCATCCCCGTCGCCTCTGACAGCACAACTGTACGCCATCTTTCCCCTCAATACCAGCACTAGCCCTCACACCGTGTTAACCAACCTCAGACTGACCCACGTTCATACGGGCGCCTAACTAGGTAACTGGCCCTCAGGCATGTACGAGACCTGCCCTTTGTTTTGTCTGGACTGAGCTCACTGGGGTTCTCTCCACGACACACAAGGCACGGGTAGAGCACGCTCGCCGGCCACAGCACGCGCCCGCGCACGCTCACTAGCCGCTCGCCGACTCATGCCGTGATGCGCGCCCTTTGATGGCGCGCTGGGCGGACGACGTGCTCGCCCTCGACGCGTCGGGACGCGCCGTGCGTGCGCCGTCGCTGCTGAATCACACATCAAAATGTAAGAAACAGTAATGAAATCGTTCATTTGAAGTGCATACGTATTCTAGAGAGTAATTAATGGGGAGGGAGGGGGGGAAGGAGAAAAGGCACAAAAGCGCGAGTGAGAAATTTCGCTTGCGCTGGACGCGCCGCTACGGCTCGGTAGCGCGCACGGCGGAGTGAGAGGGCGGAGAGGAGGAGGGTGGTAAGCGCGCTCGATGCGCGTAGGATCGCATCGACCGAGCACGATGGGGGGGAGGCAGGCCCTTGAAGCTCGTCACCGTGCGCTTGATGTGCACGAGAAGGCGGCGAGGGCACGGGTGGGGGTGGGGGCGAGGGGCGCACGCATGCTAGCACACACCGGGTGTACCGTTGCCTGCGCAGGCACTCCCCTCGCACCTTCCCTCGCACTTTCCCCCCGCCCCATCCTCCCTCCTCGCCTCGCCCCTCCTCGTATCCTCTTCCCCCACCCCTCCTCGTATCCTCCCCCGCCCCTGCCCAGCCCCCTTCCTCCCACCATTATTCTCCCCCTAACCCTCTCGGCGAGGCGTGCCCATGCACTCCCTCTATCGGCACATACACCACGCACGCTTCCCATACCTCACTGTCGGCGGAGGTGGTATGGGCATGGTGCGCGCTGTACGCGTCGAAAGAGGGAGCGCGCGGGTAAGCATCGCCCCGCTGGCGATCCCGATGTGCTGGCATAGCCAGCGGCCGATCGAACGTGACACGCTCAGAGGCGTCACGCACGTCTCCAGCAGTGCCGAGCCTCGCTGAAAAGGCGATGCTGCGAGGGGGGGAGGGGGCGGGTGAAGGCGCCAACCGCTCGGCAGCCGATTGCGAGGCGCGGCTTGGGAAGGTGGCGGCATAGCGCCAAAAACGCGATTGGGAACTTGTTCCAGACACATTATGCGCCTGGAGCGAGTTCCCGCGCTCTCAGACACGGGCTGAGGGCAGACTTGAGGAGGGGAGAGGGGGGGTTGCACGCCGCTGCTTGTTGCGAAGACGCATCCCCCCACGGCATCTCATAAGGTAGTTTCATTAGTATCAAGTCGTGAGCGGCGCGAGTTCACGCACCTGTATTCCACTCCTTCCTCGCGCTGTCATCGAGCGCCGCGCGATTGGGATCAGGTGCGTGATCAACGCGAAAGCACGTCCGAAAATGTGTTTTCCGCGTCTTGAGAAGCGTGGTTGACAGTAAGAAGGAAGGGGGAGAGGGCTGGGGGAGTGGGAAGCGTGTACGTCGGTGCGTGGTGGTGGTCAAAGAGCAAGAGATGCGCGTGCGCGCCGCGTCGGCGCACCCTCAGACGTAGTCTGAGGGAGCATATGACGGGAAAGCGGGGCGATGTACGCCCCGCTTCCTCTGCCTCATCCTGCTCTTGTTCCTCCCCCTCCATCCCTCCTACATCCTCTCCGAGTCGCAGGCGTGTAGTGGTTAGTAGTCGAATTGAATGCGAGGCGCGTTCACGCACCTGGAACCCCCCTCCTCGGGCTCTTGCCGATTGCCATTGCCAATTTCTCGTTTGTTTGTGATGAGATTGCGAGTGAGCGCCCCAGAGGCCTGTTTCGAGATTTGGGGAAAGCGGGGTGGGCGAGATGCGAAGAAGGATGGGAGAATCAGGTGGGCAGCGTGATGGTGGTTGGGGACAGGAGACTCGCGTCGTGGATGCGCCGGATGATCGCATCGGCAGCTCCCGAGCAGTGCACGCGTCTTTGAGGGCATTGGATGCAAGCCGGGGACATATATGAGCACATTCTCAGCTGGATGAACTAGGATACACATTAATTGACTATTTAGAAGGCTGTGAGCGATAGACTGTGGGATGGTGCGGAGGCCGAGCTTGAATATCACGACCTTCGGGGATAAATCAACCGTGGGAAGTTCATGCGCCAGCTTGAACTCCACATTCTATGACACCTGGTTGCATTGTGGCCACATAGGCTCCCAAGTATGGTTTTAGGAGGCTAACGTGTATTTATGACCGAAAATAGCGATGAAAGGCACGGACGATCCGCTGGAAAAGGCCGTGTCGAATTATGTGGCGATGCACCTCGTCGGCATCTCCCGAGCACGTGGAAAAGAGTCGTCCGTAGCTCCAGCCACACAGGGTAATACATCCAGAAAATCTTACTGAAATGACAGGCGACATCAAACGAGTAGACATGATTTTTCCCGGACAAACAATGGACGGGATGGGCAAAATAACGCCAGCGCCACATATTCGTCCCGATTTGGAACGTGCCGCTTGGACGTCGAATGGTGATGAATTCCACCGTTGTAAGACGATTCCTGCAAGCAGGTCTCGTAAAGATGCCTCTGAACTACTCGAAGTGGGATGCCCTTGAGGTGTGATCGCCAGCTAAGATCTCAATCACTTCTTTCTGACGCGTTCATAAGATCTCAGATGACTCTGACATTGAGGGACACCCGAACGTAGACAAGAACTCTCTCATCCGGTGCGTGGATACGTCTACCTCGCATGCCACGATCTCACGCCGTATCCCTCAGATGGAAGCAGCGCGATATCCATGAGAAGCGCGAGGCGCGCAAGGCGAGGATCGCCTACCTGCAAGCCCAGATCGCCTGCAACAAGGTCATCCATCCGCGCATAACCACCCTCCTCGCCGAGTACGACGAGAACACGAAGTCCATGCCCGGCACGAAGTACTTCAACAACCTGATCGAGCAGATGCAGGCGAACCCATCGAAGGAGTGCCCCCCGGGAAACGATCCCAACAAGATCGAGCAGACGTACGATGGGATGATCCTCAATCTGCTGCAGCAGGTCGCGGACCAGGCGCGCAAGAAGGTGAAGGAGTCGAATGCGACGACGGACAGTGAGAAGGAGGAGCGCGCGACGAAGGAGATTCACGACGGACTTGCTTTCCATGTTGCGGAACTCGGCAAGGAGATCGCGAGGCACGAGAAGGAGCTTGAGGAGGAGTTGAAGGAGCAGAAGAAGCACATTACGATGGACGATATCCACGAGGGCTTCAGCACCAAGGTGCGTATATCCGCATCATTCCGCTTCTTCTCCTTACACCGTTCTTGCAGTATACCCCACACAAGGAGCCCGAGCCGCCTGCGCCTCTGCCCGTCACCAAGCCGAAGAAGGAGAAGACGAAGGCCAAGAAGCAAGAGATTGAGGTCCTGAACGCCGGCGCGTCCTCATCCGCAGGCGCGGGCCCATCCTCATCAACAGCCGACGCCGAGTCGAGCGACGACGAGGAAGGCGTGCCCGAGCTGTCCGCGACCCTCGAGGCGTTCTCGAAGCTGCCATTACGCGGCTACGAGAAGTCCTGGGAGTTCATCCAAAACCACCGCGACGTCTTTGTACCTGGCGCCTCGGACGCTCTGCTCGTCGCCGGCTTCCGCGCGCAGAACCAGGGCAACGCAAAATACGCGAAGCAGTGTGTACACCAAAGCTTGTTGATTCAGTACTGCGAGAAGCTGGGAGGCGATGGCCCGCGGCTGTTCTTCAATAGGTGCGCGTCTCTCTTCTCAATATGCTTCTACCGCTCACAGTCCACCAGAATGATCAAGGGCGACAAGCGCGCCGAAGGCGTCTTCCTCGACGACGTCGAGAAGACCTACGCCGCCATCGTCCAACGCGTCGAGGTCGCCCGCCAAGAGGACGCCGAGGCCGGCGAACCCAAAGAGCAAATCCAGCTCGTCCCCGAGAACCCCGAGACGCAGATCTCCTTCAACGTCCCCGACGGCCCGCCGCCCGAGCACCTCGTCCTCGAGGGTCCGGGCACGGAGGACCTCGACATCGAGGAGGTGCGCAAGGCGCTGCAGATGCGGTGGGACGTGTTCCAGGCGTTCCCGGAGGATCTGCAGGCGGCGCTCAAGGACGGCTCGTTGGAGGCGGTGAATAAGGTGCTGGGGGAGATGGAGGTGCCGGTGGCGGAGCAGGTTGTGGAGAGCTTGAATTTGGCGGGTATTCTGAACTTCGCGGATGGCGGAATACGGGATGAGACGGGGCAGGGGGCTGAGGCGTGAAGGGCATGAGGTTAAGAGAGAGCGTAACGTGCATGTACTTGTGGCATATCATGTTCAATGTATACTTACCACGCATACGGATGCGTAGAGTCCCATAGGAAGTTCATTCTGCGATCGTACCCTGCCTTCTTATCACTATTTCCCTTTGGTGTTGAATGTGCTCCGGGAGGTTTAGCACACGTGGAAGTCACGGGAACCTGATTTGGCTATTGATGGCACCTCATGATTTTGATGCCTTCGTTCTTCCCTCTCACTCTCATCTTCACCGGCCACTTGAAGAACCTCTTACGGTGCGTGCCCTTCCGCGGACTGCTTGCCCTACTGTATGAGTAGTATATTCTAACCTTCACTTCAGTGGCGCGGCCTCGATCGTACTACCGATGCAAGACGAACGCCTGCGAGACATACCGACTCAACTCCCTGGATCTATGGGCTCCGAGAACTGTCACGATATCAGCGCTTGGTCCTCAGATGCTGCGAGTGACGATTGCCTGCTATTGGGCACCGCGGCGATCGAAAAAGAAGAGGCTCCGCAAGACGCGTCGACCCAGTTTCATCCCAAGGACAGTCTCCACAGAGCTCCCGCGTCTTCTATAGGACGACTTCCGCTCGAACTCCTTTCTGAAATATTCCTCTACTCCGCCGCAAGACACCGTAGGATGCATCAAGGGCGCGTCATCCTGCGCAGACTCCTCACGCAGATTTGTCGCTCCTGGAGGTTCGCCGCGCTGGGAACTGTGTGGCTTTGGAACGATATCGTTGTCAACACGGGCGACAACGATAGCGCCTACAACCTTCTGCGCCTTCAACTCGAGCGCTCCAAGCAGTGCCCACTTGACGTGTTGCTGTACCACGACGAAGACGAAGACTTGCAGCTCGACAGCAGGAATACGACGCGATCATGGGAACTTGTCCTTCAGCACAGTCATAAATGGCGGAACCTGCGCATCGAGAATATTGATGGCAAGGATTTTGAGACCATGACTCGCCGGCCCGTCCACCTGCCCCTCCTCAAGACGCTCGTCGTTGCGAGTGACTTATTCTACCCGTCGCCCATCCTCTTCGACACACTCGCGGACGCGCCCCGGCTTTTCATCGTCTCGCTGACCATTGCTGATCTCCGAGGCCCCCTACGCTTTCCGCCTGGCTGGCGCCTCCGCAGCTTGACGCTCGATCTCGATCGTGTCCTCAACTACGCGCACTGCATGCCCATGCTCCGGGGAACAGAACACACGCTTGAGCATCTCAAAATCGAGATCGCGTTCTGCATGGACACGCAGGACTTGAGCGCAGAGGGCACCATCTGCATGCCCAAGCTGAAGAGGCTGAGATACACTTCCTATGGGCGCTTCCTGACGAAACGCATCGAGGTTCCCGGACTTGCTTCCCTGAAGATCAAAGACTCGTACGGAGACCTACCCTGCATGACCCCTGTCGGCGGCGGCGCGCACACAGGCCTCTCTTTACGCAGACTTACCAAATTGGTGCTCGAAGACGCACGATGGGACACGACACCTTTCTTGGATGCTCTACGCCACGCGCCGAACGTGCGATACCTGGAGATCAAGGAGACGCGGTGGTGGCGCAGCGAGAGCTGTGTCACGGTGAGGCTGCTTGAGGCTTTGACGCGCGGCGGGGCCGACGTTGGCGGTGCGAATTCCACTTGCCCTCTCCCTGCGCTCGACGAGATGCGCGTCAGCCTCCGGTTGACTACCTGCACTAGCTCGTTGATCCGAGCGCTCGCGAGGATGGCACTCTCACGCAGGACTGTCGACGACGCAAGCGACCTCAAGCCACTGCGCGCCTTCATGGCCGAGCGGTTGACGGTCCGCAAGGCATTTGGAAGGACGGTGCTGCATACGAAGACGCTCATGGCATGGGGGACGGGCGGCCCCGAAGTTACGTGCGATGAGCTCGTTGTGGGCGGTGTATCGTGCGCTGGCCAGAGCTTGGAGAGCCAGCGGCGCGGTCGGGAGCGGACTAAAATCCGTAGTAAAGCATACGTGCCAATGTCATCGTCGCGCGGCTACGAGTCGGCTTGAATCATGCTCGTCTAATATATCGTTGTTCTTCTGAGGTAGAATACAATACGTTCCGAGGCAGATCAGAACCGACGTCAACTACAAACCTGTCACTTGCTCCTCGCACCACTCCCACAACGCCTTTCCCAACTCGGGATCCTCAGCCCCCGGTCCTGGTCGTCCTAGGCGCGCCCAAGGGATAAGGTACTGGAAAGAGTAGAAGTAAGACATGGCTTCGAGAATATGGTCAACGCACCTTGCCATTCAGCTCCTTCCCGCCCTTAGTGCCAGCGTATAGCTGCGTGAGCGCACCGAGTGGCGTAGGATGCAAGATCAGCCATTGCTAGCGAGGATCTCAGCTTAGTCATGATGCAAGACTCGTTGAAGAAAGGCTCACAATAATCTTCGCGACTACGGGGTTCATGTAGCGCTGCAGGTTGCTGTACAGGTTGCCAGGGTTCAGCGAGGTCGAGACGATGCCCTGGTCGCCGTATCGGCGCGCGAGCTCATTCGCGAAGATGATGTTGCCCTACGTCACCCGTTTGAGCCAGACAGGGGCCAGGACAACCTGGGAGAGTACGCACGAATTTGCTCTGTCCATACAAGATAGTAGGGTTCTTCTTCCGACGCGCCGGGCCGTCCTTGAGGGTGTTGAAGTCGATGGTCTTGACGAAGGCGTGCCCGCTGGACGAGGTGTTGACGACGCGGACGAAGCCTTCGGGAGCGGCTTGCGCGGTCGACAGGAGGGTAGGGAGGAGGAGCTTGGTGAGGTAGAAGTGAGCTGCAATAACGTCGTCAGACGGAAAGGAGGACTGGCATGAACGAGCTGATCGTACCCAGGACGTTCGTGCCAAACTGGTAGTCGTAGCCTGTGGGTAAAGTGATCAGGACCATATGATATGGCGCTGGACACGACATTATGTACCATCGACAGTGACCATGTCTGTTGGGCACATCATAACGCCTCTAGACGCGGTTCAGCTTGTGATCTGAGCGCATGTATGTCGAGGGACGCACGCATTGTTGAATAGAGCATGTAGTTGCGTCTCCTTGCTACAGCCTCGGCGTCAGCTCGAGCAAGTCTACCAATACTATGGACGCACCTCTGGAACTCAGCGGCTGCAGCTTTCACGGACTTCAGGTTCTCCAGGTCCACTTGTAGGAGAAAAGCCTCCTTCCCCGTCTCCTCCTTCAGCTCCTTGATAGCCTCTGCGGCCCTCTCCGGGCTCCGCGCGCCGAGGTAGACCTTTCCATTGTGCTTGAGCAGGGCCTGCAAGGAGCGGCAATGTCAGTACGTGCTCGAGGACGCGTCGGCCACTCAAAGCGCACCTTCACCGTCTCCTTCCCAATCCCACTATTTCCCCCAGTGACGATCATAATCTTGCCGGAGAGGTCAGGTATGTCATCGACGCTGAACGTCGGGGTAGGCGGGTAGAGCTCGCTGAAGGCTTGACCCATGTTGGGCGTGGCGGGGAGGGATGAGAGGGGATGGCTTCGAGGCCTTCATCGTGGGATCCTGTTGGCAGCCATCGTCTCCATCATCCAGCCGAGCCGCAGTCGTGATTCCGAGGGCCCGTTCTTGTATACGCTCTAGGTACCGTCAACTTCGGCACGCCTTGGTGTGAGAGTTGACATGATGACAGGAATCGGGTTTCGGAGGGCAGGGTACGAAACCAGAGCAAAGATAATTTGAAGGACGCAGCGCCCGTGCGCATGAGAGGCGTTTCCTGCAACGCTGAGGTGATGAACTCAAGAGGCAAGCTGCATGAGCGCTCGCAGCTCGGCTGTTGCCGCCTTGGGTCTGTCCGGTCGTCGATTCGAACCTGCTCCGAACCACCATGTCGGATTGCCAATCAACTGTCCGCCGCCCTCTCCTCTGATTCGTTTACGATCTGGAAGCACATAAAGTACCTGTCCTGCGCCATCCCACAGGCCGAACTTGATGGCATATCTTACTGGCGCACCGATCCTCCAACGGCCCTCGGGGAATTTGATGACTTCATGCTCGAACCTATACCATGTCACAACGCCGCGGTCAATAGAAGCTGAAAGGTATCATACAAACATCTCCTCCCAATTGTACATGTGCATATGCATGACGCTGTATCTACGCGTAGGTAAGAATATTCCTGAAGTACTTCTCCACACTTGCAGCGCTCTTCAAGATGGCGCCGATGACCCCGTCAGGCCTGATCACGACGATCGTCGGGTCGCTGGAAACCTCGTACGCTTTGTACGCGTGCCCGTCCGTATCCGTCAACGTATGCCCTGCCTTTGTCGCCACGCCTGAGGCGGTCCCCTTTGGCAGCACAGCCGTGACCTCCGCCAAACCTTGTGGAAGACCGGCGACTGCATCCACGGCCGCGTCGACCTGCGCCGCATCCGCCGAGAACACCAACACGACATGGTGCGTCGGCTTGAACAAGTCGAATAGGTGGCCCACGCCCCCCTCCACCGGCGCGTCCGGCGCCCGATCGCCCGCGCACACGCCCCTCGCGCCCACGTACGCGCTCTCCCTCTCATCGACCGACGGGGGCTCCCGACGCTCGTCGACGACAAGCGGGCTCCACCGACAATGGACGCCAAGCATAAAGAGCGCGCCGCCGCGGCGCCAGCCCTCATCCGCGTTGTCGCCCGGCCGCAGCGTGCGGTCGAGCAGGCGCGTCGTGCGGCCGAGCATCTCGCGGATGACGGGCACGCGCTCGTCGGTGTAGGTGCGGAGGAGGGAGAGCGGGGCGAGGCCTCTGAGGACGAGCGAGAGTTTCCAGGTGAGGTTAACCTGGGCACGTGTGAGCGTGCACCGGATGAGAATCAGATGCAGATACTCACTGCATCCTGGACGCAGGAATTCATGCCTTGCCCACCGGTGGGACTGTGGGTGTGCGCAGCATCTGGTCGTCTTCAGTCAGCCAATCGCTCTCCGATGGCTGCATCGACTCACCTCCAACTACGAAGACGCGCCCCTCGCCGAACTTGTCCACCATCCGGATGTTTGGTCTTCTCGGCGTCAGCGATACTATCCCACAGATCGCGTCTCACAACACTCACCTAAATATCCCCAGCGTCACCAATTCTCCAAACTCAATATCCGTCCGCCCGCTGATCTCCTGGAAGACCTTGATGAACTCCTCCCTGCTCGACGCCGTCTTCTCGTAGTCGATCTCGGGCCCGCTGACCATCAGCGCCAGCCTGTTGAGGTCTTGGTCCTCGGAGGGGCGCATCATGACGCTATGTAACGGTCAGCAAGCGCTTTGAGCTGGGGAAAATGTTGTATACGCACATCTTGCTCTTCGCATCTCCCCATGAGTGCCATTTCTGCAGGTGCATCATCAGTCAGGGGGGTACTCGACGAAAACGGAGAGATCGAACTCACGCTCCTATTCAGCCCCGGCGGCTTCACCATAATATCCCCAATCACAATCTTGTCCATCTGCCGCGTCTCGCCCTCGAACTTGAGCCCGAGCAGCTTGCGGACCTTGCTGTGCCCGCCGTCCGCGCCGATGAGGAACTTGACGTCGAGCTCCTCCACCGCCTTCTCCGCGTCGTCAGAGCCCTTGGCGAGTCGTACATGCACCTTGTCGGCGTCTTGCGTAAAGTCGAGGAGCTCGGTGCTCATCTGAACCTGGACGCCGTGTCGCGCGAGGTGCTCGCGGAGGAGCGTCTCGTGCCGGTCCTGCGCGAGCATGAGGGCGTTGGACTGGGTAAAGATTGATTTCAGTGAGCCTCGAGAACCTAACTGACAAAGGCAAACCCAGAAACTCACATACGGCACGTCCGGCGTCGGCTCCACGCGCTCTGCCATCGCGAACTCGCGCTCGATCTCCGTCCCGCCGGGTAGCTTGTAGTGCACGAGCGGCTGCGGGTAGCCGGAGCGCGCCTGGACGTCGTCGAGCAGGCCGAGGAACTTGTAGAGCTCGATGGTGCGCGGCTGGGAGGAGTGTTAGTAAGTGTTAGTGTACGGTCTATCGCAACGTGATGAACGGCAGGAGCCCACGCGTCAGACAGGAAGGCATCTTGGGGCAAGAGGAATAGAATGGTAGAGCTAAAGACAACACCTACCTGAATGCCAGAACCTTTCTGCCCGAGACGCGGTGTGGCGAGCTTGTCGATAACGCGAACACGTGCGCCGTTCTGCGCGAGGGCGAGCGCGCAGATGAGGCCAGAGGGACCACCGCCAACCTGAAAGAAGACACAGGTGAGCGACTACTTCTCGCCGTCACATCTTGAACTCGAACCCACAATGAGAACATCAGTCTGAGCAGACATTATGTCTATGACTCCAGTTGCAAGCTTCTGAAAGCTGAAAGCTGAAGAGAGCTAAAAGCTGAAGAGAGCTCTCGAAATGCCCTTCGAGAGAAGATATGTGAGATCTGCGAATGAGCAGCTTTACCATTGCGCCCAGGTATATATAGCGCCCAGCGCGGAGAACCCGCGCCTGGAGGTCCTCCGCGGTTGTTTTACGGACGAGCGCGGTCGCACGTCGCAAGCCCGGCAGGCGCTCGGCAAGCCCATAACGCAGTCGATCATATCAGATTAGATGGTTTCGGCGTCATTTTGGTTTAGTCAAGGTCAGCGTTTTGACTGTCTGGCTTTAGCGTTATGATCGTCGACGAGTGTCAGAGCCCATCCATCCCTTCCAGACCTCTGCTGCGACGCGTCAACACCCATCTACGACACGTCTACGACCCACAGAGCCCCCGGAGGACGACCGCGAGCGCAGCGCTGACGATGTGTGGGTTACCTTGGGTAGAGGACTCGGGATTCCCCCCACTGAGCAGGTGCCTGTGGTCCTAAACATACCAACTGCGGGCAGGAAATAGCGCTCTCCAGACGTTCTCGCGCTTTCTGACCTCTTTACTCACGACGGACTGAATGACTTCGAACGCATATTAGAGTAGCGCCCACCAGAGCAGACTAGCGCCCGCCTGTTTATAGCACTCAGTAACCCACTGTCTACCGACTCGCTCATCTTCCTAAACTCTTGCCCACACCATTTATCTTACCTCTTCCCCCATCTTCCCTGTCCCATCTATCTTCCCTGTCCCATCCCATTAGAATATACACCCTTAGCCTCCGTGACAGTGACAGCGGGAGTAGATCCCTCCTATCGATCAGCGAGGTCCCCATTCGGACAATAGAAGTACTCTTTTGGCGAGCGAAGCACTCTTTCAAACAAGCGAAGCACCTTCATGGACAAGCGAGGCATTTTGAATAAGCGAAGCATGTTATCGGTCAGACGGAGGACAGGTTCGGACACGCCACCGCATTTCCGCCGCCGCAAATCAGCCCCTTCATCGACGAATGCGGACAATCCATCGACAAATCCAGACAACCAAACGACGGAAAAGGCAGAAGCCAAGACGGGACATCCACAAAGGACCACCTACATGCGGTTGTGACTCCAAGGGGATGCGTCCATCGCGTGCTTCAGAGTTCATCATCCCAAAGTCACGGTTGCATGCAAGTTGCATGACGGCCTCGAGGACTGACGAAAGGCGCTTCGCGAGATGGACTTCGCAGTATCCCGGCTATCTCCACGACAGAACACCGTCCATCCAGATTGCCTACTCCTTCTCCCCCTGAGCGCAGGCGTAGACATCGATATCGGCTGGAGACCACAAGACATTCATAAGCGGCGACCTGCGCAGTCAATTACCTCGCCTGGCCACGGTAGTCAATCACCTCGCCTAAGTAGTCACGTCAATAACCTGGCCTGAGTAGTCAGTCACCTCGCGTAGCAATCATCTTCACCCACCAGCTCGAACAACCCTCGCCTTCACTCAACTCTAACAAGCTGACCTTCAGTCTTGTCAGCACCTCATGAACGCCACGCTGGTCTCGTACATGTACACATTCAGATACCGTACGTACATGAAGGCTAGGTCAAGCCCAGGATACATGCGCGTCGGTAAAGAGGAGAGTATGAGCAGCAACTGCGCGAACACGATATCAAAGCTAGGCGCCCAAGCGAACAGACGACACCAAGAGGATCAAGACATTCAAGAAGATATCGAACCTAACAAAGGCGGCGCAGATACTGGTCAAGGTGGAGAAGTACATACATCGGTGAAAGGAGGACACGATCATATAGAATAAGCACATAACATCACAGCCTACCGGGCTCAGGATGCACGGGAGTCAAGACTCGCGAGACGAACACTCGGAACTCAAGCGGAACTCAGGCACGGCGATCGAGACAGCCGGCTTCGAAACTACCGCCTCGCGTACGCCTGCCCCACCGGCGGCGGCGCCTGCTGCGGCATCTGCTGCTGCGCCTGCTGCTGCCAATGCCCCGGCGCGCCCATCCCCTGCTGCCCGCCCTGCCCCGCCGGCGCGCCCTGTCCACCCTGCGCCGGCGCGCCCCCCTGTGCCCCAGCCGCGCCCCCCGCAGGCGGCGGCGGCGGGTACGCGTACTGCTGCCCGGGCGGCGGCATCGCATGCCCCTGCGACGGCGGCGGCATCATGTGCCCCTGCGGCGGCGCGGGCGGGTACTGCATCTGCTGCTCCGGCGCGGGCGCGTAGCCGCTGCCGTACGCGGCCTGCCCGGGCGGCGGGACGGGCGGCGCGCCGGGCGGGACCGCGTGCGCGGGGTGCGGGGAGGGCGTCGGGGGCGCGCCGGCGCGGCCGCTCTGGCTGCCGCGGCGGCGGCGCTTCTCGCCGGTCGCGGCGGGGCGGCCGCCGTGCGAGGACTCGTCCTCCTCCTCCTCCGCGGCCTCGTCTGCTTTGGTGGGGGCGGGGCCCGGGGGAGGGGGGCCGGAGATGGCGAGCCCGCCGGGGACGTTGTTGGGCGGGGGTGGGGGCGGGGCGGTCTGCATGGGCTGCTGGCGGCCGAGGGGCGCGCCGGGCGGCATGTTGGAGGGGCCATGGGGGGCGTTGAGGCAGGCTTGGATGAGGTTCTTGCCCTCGGGCTGGGTGACGAGGGGCTGGAGCTTGGCGGTGGTAAAGGTGTAGACGAGGCCGGTCTCGGAGACGACGAGCAGGAGGACCTGCGTGCCGGTGAGGGTGGAGAGCTCGTAGGCCTGTCAGACGCGCGTCAATAAACATGTACACGTGAGATTATGTGGGGAGCAGTACCTTCTTCATGATGCCTGGGGCGCGCATGAGTCAGCACGTTCGAAGGGGATGAATGTGCAGGCGCGACTTACCAGCCTTGCGTTTGGAGAAGGTAATGTGGCGACGGGACTTGTCTTGGATAAACTCGATCTTGATCTTGCGGCGTCCGGCCTTCTTGTCCTTGGGACCGTCTTCGTCATCGTCATCGCCGTCGTCGGCGGCATGCTCGTCGGTGATGAACGCGTCCTCGTTGACGCTCATGGGAGGCGGGGGCGGGCCGCGCTGGGCCATAGCGGGGTGGGCATCGACAGAGGTGGCGTCCATGGTGCGTTGGCGCTTGCGCATATGGGGCGGCGAGTCGGGCGAGGAGGACTGGGCGAACGCGTAGAAGTCCGGGCGGCGGCTGATCTGGGGTCGCGTCAGGGCATGTCCATATAGAGCAAGGCCATCGCCCGAAGCGGCAGAGGCGCCCAAGCGGGGGGCTGCTGCTCGCTGGGGACAACGAGCGCGTGCGGGAAAAAGCGGAGACGCACGGTGGCAGCGGGGGGCGCGACCTGTTGTGCGGCGCGCGTCGGGCACTGGGCTGGGTGGCGGCGGGGGCGGGGTCGAGTCGGGCGACGCGAGGCTGCCGGTTTGGGAAGGGGGCGACGAAAGAGGACGATCCAAAACGGAAGGCAAGATCACTCGTCCCTTTTGAGAGACATCCCCTGTTGACGATACAAACACGCCCATGGCCAAATAGCCGCAAGCAAGACCAAGCACTTACGTAATGCCGGACCTACCTGACCTCCGCGCCCTGCCCAGTGCCCACCGTCCACAAAGGGAACACCTGCTGATGGTCTGTCCTTTGCGCTTGACACCGCAGCAGCCACCGTCCATTGAGCAGGTCAACGGCTGGACGTGGCGCCTAAAGTCTCGCGCCACGTGTCCCATCGATAAGAAAGGCAGTCCTTGTTCCGGTTCCAGCCAACTCGTGTTCGCCTGCGCCTAATCCTTATCCAGCCCGACTCAATGCCCCCTCCGACTTCCATCCTCAGCACCTCCTCCCAGTCTCCGCGCCCTCTCCTCTCCCAGCGGCAAGCCCGTGATCCTCAGCTTCGGTGCCGCAACTGCCCTGACAATCACCTGCCTGCGAGCGATTGAACGCCTGCGGAGCGCGCCCCAATGAAGCCCACTGTCCTTGTCGAATCACCTGCCTCGTTCTGTCGCCGCGAGCCGCCACGCTTATCGGCAGCCGTGCGACCACAGGCGCGCCCGCCGCGCACAATCGGAGCTGGCGCGGTCAAGAAGCGGCTCCTGAGGCGGTAAAGAAACGGCTCTGACGCCGCGCTCCGCGTCTAGCGGTTATGCGTACGCTCCGCTCTTGCCCTCGCCAAGGTCGACGTCCTTGTCTGATCCAACGACGCTCATCGCTTGCCTCGCGCTCGTCGCTCACCGCAAGTCGTGACCGCTCCTTCGAGTATACGTCCTCGCCTCGCATACTTCTTGATTTTCTCAATCAGAAGGCAGTCGACCAAGCTTCGCTCCGAAGGCTGACCTGTCTACTTCTCGCCGATTCGGCCTCGCATTCTATCGACTCGGCCTCGCATCCTATCGACTCGGCCTCGCATCCTATCGACTCGGCCTCGCACTCTATCCACTCGGTCTCGGGATCCCCCGGCTCGCCCAACGCCGCGGACTTCCAACCAGGGCCACCGGGCTTCGACCTCATCGAAGTAGCGCCACAGAAGGTGTTCGGTCATATGGAGATGCCTGCGAGTCGCATGCTGATGCGGACCGTGCCCATGTCATTGTCAGCAGCAGCTAAGTACCGCTGTCTGTATACTGCTGATGCGCTAGCTAGTCGCACGCAATGTGTATCCCGACGCGGACCTTCCGCTTCGAGACATCGCTACTCAGGTTTTCTACGACTCCGGTCTTCGGCGCCGCCGCCGCATCTGTACCTTGTCTGTGACCACGCCTGCGTCTCCACTGCCACTAGGGCCACGGCTTGTATTCGCTCTTCAACAATGGATTCACCGTGCCTTCTTGCGATGTATTCACCTTGCCTGCTTGCGATGTATCCGTCGCGCTCGCCCTTGCAAGTCAATAGCGCGAGACCTTCCTTTACAAGTCGTCGCTATGCAGTCTTTACCGAGTTCTCATCGGCGCTTTTGTATTCTGCACGATAACCGTGGCGCACGGTACCTATGAATGCAATGACCTTCGTTGTATGCAATGCCAGTGACCTTCCTGATAGCACGTCTCTTTCGCAGTTCGCAAGTCCGATCAATACATCCCGATCCCAGCTCGACACGCTGTGCATATATACCGTTCCTATGTGGATACCGATGCAAAATTCCCCGGTTTTTTCCTCTTTGAGCAGCGGCTGCATAAGCCCTCGACCAACGCCGCTCCCGAATGTCTACCATTTGTACTTCGACTTCTCTCGGCGCTCTCCCAGTACACGACGCGCTGTTCCTGAAAATCATCGTCGCTTCGTTCCTCGCGACGCCTGTCCGGCGTGTCTTTGCGCTGGTCTAGTAGAAAGTGCTTCATTCCCCCAAGACTTTCCTCTTCAAGTTGTTGCTATGCAGTCTTTCGCGAATTCTCACCGGCAACTTGATCCACCGTAACCTGAGGATCGACAATGGCAGAGACATGTAGAGACGCAGATGAGCAACTCGAACCGTGACTTATGTGACACGCGCTGACGCATTTGCGGAACGTCAGCGTCATCATGGACAGCCGCCGGCCCGGAAGCAATTCCCCTCGGCTTGCCTCCATCTCCTCGTCCGCATTCACCTCGTCTCCCGCCCTCTGCCGTCCTCCTCTCTTCGCTAGGACCGTCGCCATCGACCCCTCACATGTCGCAATCTTTGCCACCCTCACCCTTGCGGTCCCCACTTCCGAGGACGTCGTACAAATCGCTGGCCCTCGACAAACGCTTGCAACCGCTCGAGAAGGATGAGGGACATCCCAATCGCGGTGGGGGCATCAACGGTCACGTAGGCATGAATGGTCACGTAGGGAACACCCTCGACGAAGTAGACGAACAGAGCTCCGGCGACGAGAGCGACGACTCGTTCAACAGCGCGCTGGGGAGCCCGTCCAGCGTGCCTAGGACCTCGAGTGTTCCTGGGAGTCCCGCTAGCGCGTCGGGGAGCATCAGCGGCGATTCGAGCAGCGACGCGGGCGGTTCGAGCAGCGACTCGGGCGGGGAGGGAAGCGATTCGGGCGGGGAGGGAAGCGATCCGGGCGGCGAGGGGAGTGACGCTGGCGAGCAGGAGCACGGCGACCGTCTCAGCGAGCTCAACAGCCCGTCCACACCGAAGCACTCATCCATACCGAAGCACTCATCCACACCGAAGCACTCATCCATACCCAAGCACTCTTCCACACCCAAGCACCCGTTCGCGGGCGCGTCGAAGATCGAGGTGCTGCACGATCGGGGCGTGATCGACGTCGAGGAGGAGGTGCGCGCGTATGCGGCGCTCAGGCGGGTGAGTGGGCTTCTCTGTCTGGTTGTACGGGGCTGTGGGCTGATCAGGTCTTTCGCTTCGTGCCATGTTATTCCCTCTGCCATGGTCCTTCCTCCGTATTACAACTCCTCCCCTCTGCACCACAATTTCACCCCTCTACACCTCAACTCCCCCCCCCCCTCTGCTTCACGGGCTGCCCCTTCCATCTCCTGCTCGCACAATCGCCCAAATAGGCCGCTTCGGAGGACGCCATGCACGAGCGATTCTTGGGTCCCTCGCGCGCGAACACCACCTCGAACACATTCTCCGTCCGCCCCCGCCGACGCCCGCGCTCCCCGTCCCCCGCTCCCACATCCATCGTGCTGGCGGACCACAGTGGCGAGGTGGGTGTAGTCTCCTTACTCTGTCCCTTTGACCCTGGTGTTGACGTTCATCTGTCCCTCCCCACGTTAAACCATCTGACCTATCGTCCGGAACCGACTTTTCATGTTGCTCGCAACGCATCCGCCCACGCTCGCCAGTCCGCCGCCTTCGCGCGCGACGTGCGCATCCCCGGCTGGACCTGCGTGGGCGCCGGCCCCGGCGGGTACGTCGTCTACGAGTGCGTCGTCGCCACGCGCGAGCGGCCCGACTCGTACGCGCAGGCCTCCACGTCCTCCTCGAACACACCCGCCCCGCGGCAGCGCACCACCTCCTTCATGCCGACCTCCTCCTCCTCCTCCTCCGCCTCCTCTTTCGCTACGTTCGACTCCTCGTCCGCCTCGCTCGCGTCAGCGTCTTCGTCTTCATCTACCTTCACCTTCACCCCCGCCACGCCCTTCTCCGCCTCCCCCTTCTCCGCCTCCGCCTCCCCCTTCTCCCCCTCCCCCTTCCCCTCCTCCACCCCCTCACCTCGCCCCCCATCCCACCGGCGCCAAAAATCCACCCCCGGCCCCACCATCCGCGTCTACAAGCGCTACTCCGAGTTCGCCGCGCTCGACCACGAGCTCCGGCAGACGCTCCCCATGGCCGCGCGCGCGCACGTGCCGCCGCTGCCGCCCGCGAACGCGCTCGCGCGCTTCAGGCCGCGGTTTCTGGCGAGTAGGAGGGCGCAGCTGGAGGCGTGGTTGATGAGGGTAAGTGCGGGGGTTTTTTTGAAGTGTTGGAGTTGTCTGCTTCGAATTTCTAGTCGACTGATCAGCTTCCTAGGTCCTCCTTCATCCCGATATCGGCGGCACGCGGGCGGTACGCGAGTGGATGTGCGTCTGATCTGCGAAGGTGGGACTATGGGATCTATGGAGCGCATCAATGAGCGCAGGGTGCAGGGCTCGCCTGGCGCGGCTCTGTATGGACAGGACAGCGCGATGGCAAGGCGCAGGCCAATACGATAGTAGGCGCGGTGCCTGCGCACGACGCAGAGGAGGCCCTGTTTCGTCTCAGCGGGTCTACTGCTCTCCTGGTAGAACACGGAGGAGGCAAGTCCGTCTGCGTTGGAGCTGTGAGGCCTTATGCGTGCACCTTCACTCGAACCTTCGGATCCTTCGGCCGGTGAGGCACTCGATGCGCGATCAGGGAACGCTACGATTGGGGCTCAGAGTACGGAATCTGTAACTGTATGAACGTACATATACTGTATGTGTACTGAGTATAGCTATCATCATATAGGAGCTGCCGTCGTCGATTGTGCACGGATTATTGAGATATGGGCGGAGTGCGAACAGTCGACGGGAGCAAGAAGTGAGGCAGCTGGCCATCAGCGGAAGGATGCGTCACGTTTTGTATAAAGAAGAGGCGAAACGCCGTGCTGCTCGATGACAACTCAGCTGACGAACTCCTGATACCGTGCACGTAGTCCCCTCGTTTCCTTCGGCGAGCCCATTTTTTCTATCTTCGTGCACATATCGCGCCAAGGTTTTCAGCTATCTGATCGCGCTCGCGGTCGAGCTCTGCACGTTCCGCCTTCAGTCAAGCTATCTGTCGATCTTGTAAATATGGTGTGTCCTGCTCGGACGTGAAGCATCTTCACCGATACTCTCAGGTTGTCTTCGAGACGGACGCCCTCATGCACTGCCGCCATCCTTTTGGCAATCTCCTCCCGCACCCTACATTGCACCTTCTGAATGACGCCCTGCAGGTCGGCAATGAGGCCTCCGAATACTGCACTCGGATCGTAGTCCAAACCATGGCGCACAGCGCTTCGCAGCGGCCTTGATGATGGTCGTCTGCAAGCGCGCCCGCTTAGCCAAAATGGGATTAACGTTTTTCGATCGCGAGTCCCGCGCGAAGCGACGAGCCCATGACTAGAGGTGACTTCGCCAAATTTCAACGAAGAGGATACGGGAGGCGGATGAGACGCGACAGAGAGGAAGAGGGGAAAGCTGATTTTCCTGCTCGCTTGTGGCTAGGCATTGCTTCTGTCGCTCGAGCTTAAGTAGGCGGTGGTCCGTGGCAATTTCTCCATAGACGATTAACTTAAGTACGACAAGCAAAGCCTTGAGGGCAAGGCTGTCGTGCACGGTCTGTGGGTAAAAGTCAGGGTAGCGCAACTTTCTTGGGCTATAGGATCCTTGAGCGCGCCGTGGTAGAGGAGAAGAAAATCAGAACCAGATGGTCATGACCTTGGCTTGCATAGCTGAACGCGGTAGGAGGATAACATCGGTACCGTCACAGAACTTCACGTGCGATCAAAACGAACTTGAACGCGTGACTGTCACATCTTTCGGGCGATCTGATGTCCGTATTCTGTAAGTGATTCTTTGCACTGACTCGCAAGATCGCTAACAATCTTCCTTCTATGGACAAGGCGCTGTGAGAGCGCTACAGGTATGTCCATGGGGCAGGTATCTCCTTTGGGCGTCGCATGTCCGTAAAGCCAGCGAGTCTGACCGCGCTCCGACCATGCACGTCTACTGTGCATAAACCCACTTGGAACCACGTAAAACAGGCATAGTGAGACTTGAAGCCTGTATAAATGTTGCCCAAGGACGCTAGGAAATGGGGACAAGCTCCTGCGCGACGTCGCCAGTTGCACACACGGAAAGGCGGAACAAGTGAGCATAAAGAATATCGTACATGGTAGTATCAGTAAGAACACAGCGAGGGAGACTTTGCACTGCGATACACCAACAAGAAGACAGAACAAAGACCTGACCAGAGAACAGACAAGGAACACCGACACGATGATCACGATGTGTGCAGGAATACAAAATCTGCGAGGCGTACGTGAGGAAACTAGCGAAGGCCAGCGCTGCCAATAGCCGATGGTCCTGTAGACTAGTTACCGTTATACTTGGCAAGCTGTGCGCGTAGCCTGAGAAGCTCCTGGCGCTCGGCGGCGCTTCGCGCACGCAGCAGCTCATACCGTGAGCTTTCCGCGTCTCTCTGCGCGCGTAGAAGATCATTCTCGGATCTGTCAGCACTTCCGTTCAAACTAAATATGGAAGCCACATACCTCCCGCTGCAGCCTCTCCGCGGCGTTGAGACGATCGCACGCGTCCCGCGCGACCTTCGCAGCCTCCCTTATGATATCCCACTGGTGATCGCGCACGGTCTTCACCTGCGCCTCGACCTCGCGCAGTGGCTCTATCGTCGTGGAGCCCCGCGCGTCTTGAAACTCGTGCAGAAAGGCGTCCAGCATAGTTTCAGACGGCTTGTCGTCGTTCGAATTAGAGGTCGGAGTAGAGGTCGGAGGAACGCGCAGATGCAGCAGCGTGACCACCTGGCTCGCCGCCTGGTCCAGCGTTCTCTCCGGTTCGCGCAGCTTCAGACGACCTTCTGTGTTGATCATGCGGAACATACCAAACTTGCCGGCGTCCCGCATCACGGGTCCATCCTGCACAGGTGGACTCCCAGCGAGGCGGCGCAGGGTCTCGAACAGCATACGCGCATACCACATGCACATGTACTGGAGAGTGGTGTAGTGCACGGCGCGCTGCGTGAGGACGTGGGCAGCCGCGGCACAGTCAACGATATCCAGTTTGCCGGGTAGAGGGGTAAAGGACGCGACGAGCTCGTATTTCGAGAGCCAGCAGCTGGGATTTTCGACGAATGAGACTCTGTCGCGATTCTCGGTGGTCGTTGGGTCCAGCTGCTCACGGGTGATATCCACCAGCGGCGTGGAACTCCGCGGAGTACACCCCGTGTTATCATCCTGGTGGTCTTGCTTGAGCCGCTCGAACTTAGCCGCGCGACGGTCCGTATGAACCATGCCGTTGTCGTCAGAGGTATCGTGGTGAAAGCGTACAATGACGACTTCATGCGCGCCCTTGCTCCCAGTAGAGCTGCGGTAGTGGCCCACCTCGTCGACAAGGCAGTCGCGAAGCGTCTGATCACGGTGAGGATCTGCATTATCGTTTTGCGCCAGGATGTCCAGCAGCTCATGTGGCGTGCTACTGCTCGGGGTACTCTGGACAATGTGAGGAATGCGGACGTGCGGCTTAGACATTGGCGTCGTCGACTTGTCGGGATGTGGTTGGGGAGAGAAGAGCTTGCTAATGTTACGAAAGAACTGCAGCATGTTGGGTACTGGCGCTATAAGTCTCGGGAGAGTGCTTTTTCAATCGACGAACGGAACCAAGGAGCAGATGGTCCGAGCGAAACAAGCCGGTGGGTGTTCTTCCTAGTAGAGCACAAGGGGAATGGGAAACGGCGCGTGAAGGGGGATAGTAAGGGCTGGATGGCTGCGATGAGCAAGGACACGTAAGACGGCGTTTTATGGACAACGCGAAGTTCGACGTACAAACTGAGTGATAGAGCACCGGTTATATTCAAGATACACCAAAATTTGACGCCTTCGAGGGAATGCGCGGCTCGCAGAGGTGTCGTTCAGCGCAAAGCATGGAGGTCACGGCATAGCGCGAGCTGATGGCCTATGCTGGGATATAGCGGTGTAAGTTGCTCAGGGATGTATTACCTATACGTATAGAAGGTTCATTGCGGGACCAATAGAAGCTTTCGAGAAGGAGGGGGTCGAGCGGCAATGAGTCCAGAAGTGGCGGAGCATGACCGTAAGTTGTATGAGCTCTACTTCGGTTCGCTACTTAATGACTCGTCAGCAGGTTGCCATACGCGTCTTTCCGCGAGACACTGCGCGGTTGACCTAGTCTCGGTACACGATACTTGAGTAATCCAGTGCCACGGATTCGGCGCTTGGCGGCGCATGTTGCTTTGGTAGGAGATCCAGCTCTCCACGTCCTGCGCCTGCAGAGGGCTTCGAATTCAGAATACCAGTCATTATAGCCCAACTTCGACTCGAAACCCACAGGTCTATGGTTGAGCCGGAATTATAAGGGTCGACCATGCAGCCTCCACCTGTATCACGGGGAGGACTTTGCTAAGGTTAAGACGGCTGCACGCAAGAAGCGAAGTCAGGGCAATAGGTTCTGCTTGAACGTGGGCGATCGGTTGATAAGCTTGCGAGCCCCGATTTTCTTGCGTGCATATTTTCTACCAGGTCGTCGTGCCGACATCCTCCTCAAGATGTGAGTGAGTTGAGATGAGTTGACAGTATAGTTTGTCGTTATTCCTAGTCCGCCTGGTACCCTTCGGCCGTTCCTATCGCACAAGCACCGATCCTATAGACCCTGCAGCATAGTAATTCAATATTGGAGACACGTACTTCGACAGATGACAACGGGTTATACACGATGAAGGAACGAGGCAAGAAGCTGAGGACGAACACTACTAAGAAGTCCACGAGTCACTGGGTATCCAACTCTATCGGTAACGCCCTATCGTCGTCCGCACGGAGGACCACGGGCACCATGGCCTGGCGCATCGCGCTCTTGACCGTCCTCCACAGAGTGCCTAGACGTCGTCGCGACAACGAATCGCGAAATCGTGGCACGAAGCTCTTTTCCGGCACCTCGTACGAGATGAAAAGGTGGCGCGTAGCGCTCTTCATCCCCGGGTCTTCATCGCCTCGTCGAACACCGACAGGATCCTTGGTGACTCAATCCGCAGCGACTTGCGAGTGTCCGTCGCCGTCTGCCCTTCGCCCGTTATGTATACGGCATGACGTCTTACCTGGGCGGATAGCCGAACCCCTCAAGGGCACGCCGTACTCGCTCGTCATACCCCACACCGTCCAGCCCACGCATCTCTCGCAAACGAGCGCAGAACCGGTCCTGCGTCAGCCCTACACTAGCACGGAACGCGGCCGGGACCACAGCGCAGACATACGCCGCCGTATCGCGGTCTGAGTGGACCCAGAACGCACCGGAAGTCATTCGTTCAGTCGGAATATATGGTCGAAGGACAAGGAAGGAGGCAGGTGAATGACAACGAGGGACATGATCAGATTCGCGAATACAGGGAGCGCCCAGACTCACCGCTTGGCTCGACGCTAGCGATATGCGCGTCCGTACAGCGCGGGTCACGGCAGAGGCCGCCACCGGGAACTTCGAACTTGCAGACCGTCTTCGCAGGGTCGATGGTGCGCGCCGCCGTAGCGAGCTTCAGCCGACGCAGGTCCGGGTACGGGTAGTCGCTGCCAGGGTAAGGGTGCTCCTGGGAATCCGAAGCAAGAGCGCATCCGGTCGTTCGCGGGAGGTCTTCGTTATCCGTGGGGAGGGCCGTGGTCTTGGTTGCAGGCGATGAATGCGTTGAGGATGCTGTAGAGGACGATGGCGAAGGTGGCCTCTGGTCGTTCTCACTGGTATCAGTATAGGAAACCAATGTCCCCATCTGACCCCCCAAAATGGGTGCGGATAGAAAGGGATACTGGGCAAAGGGCGAGGTATAAGAAGAGAAAAGGGGAGGAAGAGTAGATAGAGAAGTCGCCGCGGTGGAGGCGGCATCTTCTAGCTCAAAATGTGGTTGATCATGGCGCTGAACAGTCGTGAAGTCAGGTGTTGCCCGTGCTGGAGGTCTAGGAGTGTTCTGCAAGGATTCAGAAAAGGTGTCGTGAGTATGAGGTCAATGCACAGCGCGCGCTCACAAACATCTACACTAAGCAACAGATGACGTACCTCGGTCGACGAAGCCGCCGCGACGTCGACTGCGTCCTCTTCAGCCTCAGATTCCTCCGGACTCGACGGCACCTGTAAAAGCCCAAGGATACAAGAAAGGAAGATCATAGTGAGATGTGAGTGTGGACGATGGAAGATGGGGTGAGATGAGTCAAAGGGCGCAGATTAGGGATCGTTGTCTGCGAAAGAAAGGACGGGGATTCTTGCCGGTGTTGTTTCAGTCTCTATCGATGAGAACAAGAAGTCAAGTTGGGGGGAGGGCGATGATCGAACGAAAGGAAGCACGAGGCGACGGTTGGCGAGCAATCTCGAGCGAAGGATGGATGGACTTGCCTTGCGCATTCTCCTTCATCTGGACGTCAGGAGCGCTTTTCGAGTCTGGCGAGAGTGTTGAGCAAGTGTTGAAGGTAGACGTGTAGGGCGAGAGGGATAAAACATATGAAAGTCGGATGAAAGTCAGCTTGACGGATCGACAGAGGACAAGGAGATGGAAGGACCGGAGGCGCTAGTAGACGTTGATGGCATATCGCTGTCGCAATTCGCGGGCTGAGCAATTGGTGACGATATAGATACTTCGATGCCCGAGCGTCAGGATGAACGACTGACAGCGACAGAGAACGCACTTGGCTTGGCCGGCTGGAAAGCAGGCGCAGTGGCCTTCAGTGGACTCTTGTCCGCTTGAGGCTTCGTCGGCGCGGGAGTGGACGGCACGGTTGGCGGCAGCGACGCGGACAATGGCTCCGGCACTGCAGGTGCGGGAGCATCTCCCGTCGGCGTTGCGGAGGAAGGCGTAGGTACGGCAGTCGTCGGCTTCACAGGTAAAGGGGCAGCAGTGGCCGGAGTGAGTACAGGAGACGCCACCGTCGACGCCGACGGAGGGGTCGTCGCTGACGCCGGAGCCGGCGTACCTCCACTCGGCGTCCCCGAGCCCTGCGCCGCGCGCGCTGCCTGCATCTGCACCCCGCATAAGCACGCAGATCACCCACCTGCACTCATCCCGCTCACCTTCATCTCCTTCGCCGCGATCGCCTCCTTCATACGTCTGATCTGCTCCTGCAACGACGCGGACGAGGACGACGCCATCATATTCGACGACGAGGACGAGGCCACCACGGGCGACCCCGCCCCCATCCCATTCGTCGGCGTCCCCTGCCCCCTCGTCGGCAGCGGCGCGCCCCTCGCAGACTGCGGCGCGCCCGTCTTCGGCGGCTGCACCATCGGCATCCCCGTGATCGGGCCCCCCGTCATCGTCAACGGTAGCGCGATCGCCGCACCCTCCGGACTCGGCGACTCAAAGTGCTCATGATCGTCCTCCGCGTCGCTGATGTCGATGATGAAGCGCTTCGCCGTGCCGACGCCGCCCGCGAAGCTGTTCGCGCGCGCGAAGGGGCGGGGCGGGGGCGCGCGGTGGTCCTCGGCCTCGATGTAGTCGATGGCGCCGGGGCGCTTTTTGCCGCGGGGGCCGATGTTGTTGCCGTTGCGGGCGGGTGCGGGTGTGTTCTGCTGTTGAGATTGGGGTACAGCGCCGTTCCCGTTGCTCGGCGTCGGCGCCTGCGCCTGGTTCGTGTAAACCTTCGTCGCAGGCGCGGCCTCAGCTCGCAGAGACTCATTCCTCTGCAGATCACCGGCCTGTGGCTGTGCGGCTGCGAGGATCTGAGAACGAGTCGGTGCCAGACCGGCCGCAGTTGGGGTCTGGCTCGTCGATGGTGGAGATGCTGGCGCTGAAGCCTGAGCCGGTCGTACAGTCACCGACATCGGCGCGGGTTTAGTGGGAAGTGGCACTGGCTGTGGCTTGGTGACCGTCGCAGGAGCAGGTCGCGCAGCAGGTGGAGGCACAGGTCGCGGTGCTGGCGGAGGATCCGGCCGCGAAGAAGACAGCCCCGGAATCTCATCCACATCCATGTCGTCGTCGAAGAAGGACGAGGATGGTGCCGAAACGGGAGGATAGGCCGCGAAAGTAGGCTTGGGTGGCAGCTGCGCGGACGGCCCGGGCGCGATGCTCTGCAGGAAGTCCTCGACCTCGTCGATAGGCGCCGGAGGGCGCATCTCGACATCCGAGTTCCTGCGCTGCGAGCGTGGAGGCTTGGACGCCGCCGCCTTGCGCTTCCTCGCCAACAGTTCCTGGCGGCGCTGCTGCTCCATGTCGAGCAGGGCGGCGGATGGGGGTTCATTCGTCACCTGCTGCCTGGAAGACGACTGTTGGAGTGGTTGACCCGGTATGACGAGCGGCGGGGGCTTCGGTGGCAGGCTATGGTGCATCCCGGCGCGCTGGGGCGTAGGCTCCGGGCGCTGCATGTTCGGCGTGTAGGGGATCAGGCCCGTGGTGTCCAAGTTGGCGGGAAACCGCAGATTGAGCTCGCTGAAGACGTAGTAGATGATCTCACGGCTCAGGCCCATGGCGTAAAGGTGATCGGGGTGGACGCCCCAACCAAGGAGGTCGAGGATGATGTCCTTCGCTGTATCGTATTGTTCTTGTGTCACTGCGAAGACATGTCAAGGTTGAACTGATAGCGTATGTATGTTATACGCACTGGTCAGGCCAGGGCGAACGTGCTCCGCGTCTATGAGAATTTCCGGTGCTGGAGGGGGAGGCGGATGAGGAGGATGTACGGGTTGGCTGGCCGCGCTCGGACGTCGCTGTTGTACGGGAGAGACTTGACTCGAAAAGCTTTTCGATTGCTTGCGGGGAGGTGGGGCTATCCGATCCAACAGAGACGGCGAAGTTGCTTCCTGCGGCTTGTTGCTCAAAGCCACCGGGCTCTCCTGAGGGGCAGGTTTGGGAGGAAGCGCTGGTCGTGGCGGTTGGGGCGGGGCGGCGGGTGGAGCAGATGGGGCTGGCTCTTCGTCGCTGATCTCGCCTTCTTCGCGCGAACCTGGATCGGAAGTCGACGCGGAAGGTCGGGTTTGTGGCTCCGGCTGAGCAGCTTCGGTACTGCCGTAGTCGAGCACATCAAATGTCGCCTGTGGTCTTTGAGGTAGACTTGGCGGTGGCGCAGCGACCTCTGCTGGCTTTCTCCGTTTCGACTTGAGAGTCATCAGGGCAGCCGCGCGTAAGGATGAAGGGTCCACCGAAGGGGTCACAATCGAATCCGGAGACGTATCCATTGCAGACGAGGGCTCTGAAAGGGCCGTGTCCGCCATCCTAGGCGTTTGTGAGGGTCAAAAGACGCGAGGACACCGTTGAACACGTCAAAGAGGACAAGGGGAACGGTGTGAAAGCCTGAGATCGGACTTGGAAAATGTCATCACGTGTGTTTACCACGCTGGCGCCCACAAGTTCACATGTTGAGTTCGACCACCACCATCTCGCCCAAAACACGGGATGCCTCGTCATAAACTGAGTACTCGCTTGCCTCGTCCAAGCTTATAGCTATGGAATAGACTGTGTCTTTCAGGCCATATGTGACTCTGGTCGAATCTCTCGATGATGATCTCCGAATCGGACATCACATCGTCCTTCTTTCACTGCTGACCTCGTTCGAGCTGCGTAACTACATGGCGCGTCACTTCGGCAGCTGGAATATGCAGCCGCTGGGATACACAAATGGCTGAACCTGTAAAAAATTACTGCAGGAGCTCGCAAGCGCCGGGGGTCGTATATAAGGCAGGCCATGGATCAGTCTCAGACACACATAGCACTCTCTTTTCATCCGTCATGTCTGTCAACACAGAATTCCCCCAGCGTCGCCTCGGCGCCAACGGACCTCTGGTCAGCGCTATAGGCTACGGTGCTATGGGTACGTCGACGCCACCCACTCGATGACCATGCCTTGAACGCTTTCTTCGACTCAGGCATCGGCGCGTTCTACGGCGCCTCAGATGAGAAGGAATCCCTTGAGACTCTCACCTACTGCGCCGACCGCGGCCTCACTTTCTGGGTACGGCCCATCTCCCAATCGGTGCATCCATTTCTCCCTAACGCCCACTATAGGACACAGCCGAGATCTACGGCTCAAGTATGAGCTTTTCTTCTTCCTTTTTCTTCTCTAATGACTGTTACCTCTCCCAGGCGAAGCCACCATCGGCAAATGGCTCTCCTTGACCTCCCGCCGCCAGTCCGTCTTCCTCGCCACCAAATGGGCCGGCAGCCTCGCGTACGCCGACTCCCGGCCGTCAACCCTTCGCCGTGGTATCGAGGCCGCCCTCGCCCGCCTCCAGACGGACTACATCGACTTGTTCTACCAGCATCGCGTCGACCCGCAGGTGCCGATCGAGGTGGTGATGGAGACGTTCCGGCCCTACGTCGAGGAGGGGAAAATTAGGTGGCTGGGGCTGAGCAATTGCAGTCGGGAGGTGTTGGGGAGGGCGAAGGCGGTGAAGGGCGTGGGGGAGAAGTTGGTCGCCGTGCAGATGGAGTTCAGTCCGTTTGGTGAGTGGGAGGGTAAGTGGAAAGGGGCATTGAAGCGCTAACGCTGTCCTGACAGAGACCGAGCTCGAGAAAAACGGCTTCATCGACTACGCGCGCGGCCTTGGGGTCAGCGTTGTCGCCTACTCGCCCCTCGGTCGCGGGATGATATCCGGGAGGTCAGTGGCGAGTTCGACCTGGCCCTTGACCATTCCTGGCGCTACATCCCCGCTGACCTCTTCACTGCAGATACAAGTCCATCGACGACTTCCCTCAGGACGACGTCCGTCGATTCTACCCTCGCTTCCAGCCCGAGAACTTCCCCAAGAACCTCGAGCTCGTTGACAAGTTCCATGCCGTCGCGCGCAAACTCAACGCGACGCCCGCGCAGGTCGCGCTGGCGTGGATTCTAGCTGAGCATCCGGATAGTAAGCATTGCATTTACCTTTCGTCTTCCGCCCCCGTCACTCTTGAGCATTCTCCTTCGTCTCGTCCGCGCGTCCCTCTCAAACTCACCCCCACCCCCAGTGATCCCTATCCCCGGCAGCCGCGGCATCGCGCGCACCGAGGAGAACGCCCGCGGCGCCGAGGTCGTCCTGTCCGCCGAGGACCAAAAGGCCCTGCGCGACGCGGTCGAAAACGCGACGGTGGCGGGTGGGCGCATGCCTAAGGGGTGGATGATTGAACATGACTGTATCCCACTGAAGGAGTGGAAGGGCGAGGAGGGGTGGAAGATGCCTGTGCCGGGTGGACCTGTGCTGGATGCCTGAGCGCTAGAAAGCCATAGGTCAGAGAATGACTCGTAGTCCGAGATCACAAGCACAACTCAAACCAGCCACGGTGAACAGATATACGATCCCAGTTCATTCACAGCAGTAAGCAAGAGTCGCGGGTAGAGTCTACCAAAAGAAAGTACCGCGAGAAAGGCTAATTACAAAAGGAGATGTGATACTTCAGAGCACTTGTGCATATGATGAGACTAGCGAGGACGCCGACGAGAGTAGCAAAGGAGCGGCAGATCCAGATCTATTTGGCTTTTCAATCTTACAAAGGGTGCACTACCCAAATGCATCGAGACAGAACGAGACGAGATACCCAAAACGTGCATGAACAACGGCCGATGTGACGGCTGACCCTCGTAAGGTGGCAGATTCGTGCGAAGCGTTGACTCCAAGAGGACCAGCAGATCCAAAGGAGCCAACGAACCCACGCGGACCAACCACCGTGGACAATGAAGAACCAGCCACCGCGGACCCAGGACCCATGGACAGATATAAACATTGACAAGCCCGGGTGGCTGGCGATTTTCGGGAGTACTACACGTGGAAGCCGCCCTTGCGATCGTCGAGGGACTGCTAATCGGATGAGCGATATCGTTCTCACACGCTCGGACTACAATAAACGTACCTCGCCGTCCTTGTTATCGGTCATAGCGGTCCGCTCGATGGACACGAGGACGCTTCCTTGCTGTTCGATTGAGGTCAGTATCGAACAGTGCGCAAGGGAGGGGACAATCAGCATACCTGATTGGGCGCGCGGTTCCCGGAGGTATTGCCGGTGCTTGAGGGGCCGCCGCGGTAGGAGAGGGCGTAGTCTTCGTCCCGGCTGCCGCTGCTGGAGGTGCGCAGGCGGCGACGCGTGTTCAGCGAGGCCAGCAGCGAGATACAGTAGACTGTTCGGAATATGTGAGCGTTTTTACGATGCTGATCCGACGGCGTGACGTACTGCGCCCAAGGCAGAAGTAGAACGGCTACGGAGTCGGTCAGTAAACGAGCGTGAAAAGCGTGGGCAGCCGGACGTACATAAGCGACCCAAGTCTGACCACCATTACCGACGCGGAGCTAGAGGGACGATAAGGGGGAGGTCTCCCTGCAAATCATCTTCGAAAACGTACCGCCAGCAGGGTGCCCAGGGCGCACGCACTAAGCACAATGCATGAGAACACAACCATACTGTAAAACCGCGTATCAATTACCTCGTGAGGACACCGGAGTTGACAATGTAGGCCACCAACATCGTGATCATCGTGTCGGTTCTGTGGATGGGAAGAGAGGAAGGTGAAGGTTGCGTCAGTGAGCTAGCGACTACGGCGAGATGGGGACCGACGTACTGCTTGAACCCGGTGCGGCTACGGAGGAGGACGACGACCATGGTGATGGCGATGATGATGTCCAGGCCGGCGCCAATCGAGTTCACCGCCGTTACGAGGTTCTGCGCAGTCGTTAGAGGGGATTTCATAGTTCACGGGGTGGCTCACGTTCAACTTCGTCGCAATCTGGTCCGTCGAGATCGTCGAGCTGCAGTATTTTGTAAGCGCCGGAAGGGTATAACAGATGAAGCACTCTGCTCACCATCGGATGGCGTAGACTAGCAAGAGGAAATCTACGTTAGTTGGCTACGGAGGGGACCCGTAAGTCACATACCGATGGCGCAAACTAGAGGAGAAAAAGTCAGCCTAGAATTCATAGGCAAAACTGGAAGCAAGACGCACCAAACTGAGCGAAACTGAGTGCGCTCTGAGAATACAGGTGAGAGGCAGGAGAGAGACCGGAGGAGCGAGCACGTACCAGGATCGCAGGGTACCAGATATTCTTGTTGAGCACTAGGGAATCGAGGTCAATGGCGAGACGAAAAAATCTCGAGGGAACACGAACAGATGTAAATGCGATAGAAGTAGAAGCCTTGGACAGCAATGGCGGTGAACGCCTAAAGGGGAGGTTAATTGTCATATCCCCGCACGAACGAGGAAAAGCGCACGTTGAAGTACGTTTGAGCCTGGAATACTTCGTTAGTCGCTAGCGTCACCGTAAAGCTAGCACACGCACCATGAGTCCCCTACGATTCGCAACTCCCGCGTGAGTTGAATTCACGAGGCGAACGACAAACGTACCAGCCGATGTCCGCCAAGATCCTTTTGGTCGAAATCAGCATCGGAGACAGGCGACGAAGCGAGAGCACGCACGTAGGGTCCGGATAATACGTGACCGTGTTGACATACACTGAAGGTATTGTGTAAGACAGTAAGCCGATCGCGACTGAAGAATTGCCTACTCTTATCCGTGACCGATATTTGGTGACCTGCCGGTACGTTAGACGTAGCAATGAGACGAAGAGAATGATCACGCACCAATCGTCGTCAACAAGGAGAACCCGACCACAAACTTGATGTACCATGGGTCCTTGGTGTATATCTGGTAGTATGTAGCGGCCTGGGGGACGAGGTCAAGGGACTGTGATGTGACGAACGAACGACCGGCTACTCACTTGTGTACACGCCACTGTGAAGGTCGCAGAGAGGCACAAGGGCAAAGTGAGATGAAGACAGGGCGGAAGTAAACTATGAGGAACGCACCTCCAAGAAGGCTGTGATCGACATCCTGTCAGTACGGAAATTACAGCCAGGGCGCAAGGCACTCACAACGCGGAGAGGACCACTCCCACCAGATACGCGCCCAGAGTAAGATCCCACTGGCCCATGTTTGCGGAATTCCTTCGATAGCGTCGAGCTGGCTATAGAAACAGAGGGAGGACGGATGTGCACCAGATGTCGTGTGGGGGTATAAAAGAGACATGAACCGCTCCCACGACCCTGCGTCGGAGACGGATAAAACTCGAGAAGGCCCACCGGTCCGCCGCAGATCTATGATGGCGCGAAGTGCACCGAAAAGTCAACTTCCGTGCATGGCAACAGCGCGTTCACGGCATCCTGCGCAGATGACATTGGATCCGGCATGAATGGCAGGGGAGGGGGAAGTACGCCGTGCGACTGCGTATCTGCAAGCGTAGCCCGCCCGGCTGCAGTCCCCCTTCAAAGGTAGGCTCAGGTGAGAGTCCATCGATGCTAAAGTCTGTTAGAGTTGCAATTCACACGACTCCAGCATCGTGTGCTCTTCGGGGTCCACTGGCCTAATCGAGCCTGGAGCGTCGCCGCCGCTGAAAATTCAGTGAGCACAAGGTCACCGACGGTCGGAGTCCAGGATCTTTCTCTATTCGAGACCGGGGCCTGCTACACCGTGCGCATTTGGTGCGCATTCGAACTTGGACCGTCGTCAAGGGTTCTCGCGATACGTACGCCGATTGTATACTCCAAGATGAGCGCAGAGCTTCCCCACATTTCGGTGAGATCGCAGTCAGGCAGTGGGTGGGGCTCAATTGACTGCGAGAACAGACCCACGTTTTCCTGAGGCGGCGTTCATGAATTCCATTCTCGGAACCTGTCCCACGTCGCGTGTCACTCGCGTGGATCGGCAATCAAACCGTCTCTCGGGACAGGGCGGAAGTTCGACTTCAACTTGCGCACACCGTCCGAGAAACCTGGTCTGACTCTGGCGAGTCTCGCCCTCGACAATCAAGAGCATCACAATTAGTCTATCACTTTAGGGTCTTCTGGGACCCACAGTCGGGAGGACCTCGGCCGCCGAGCAGACACAGCAGGACCACCTCGCCACAAAACGAAGACCAGCAAATTCTGGGGTGTCTTGGCCGCAGTCGGCGAGGAGCTGGACCCAGATGAGTCACGCCATCCGTACGACTGATGGGACTCTGGCTCTCTCTCCTCTCATTGGCGGGCAAGCTGTCAGCTTACCCTGCTCGAACTAACGCAGAGCATCGGCCCCATCCGAGACCATCCCTGTTTACGCAGTCTTCCCGGTACGTGCTCTGGCGTCGTACGTACGAGTGGGTCCCGAAGATGTTTGGTCGCGCAACGACCCCCGCCCCCTGCATCACATACGCCCGCCAGCGCTCTCGTCGATAGTCGCATGCGGCCATATGATCGCCTCGTCGCCGACATCTCGATGCTGCATCACGAAGAGTCTTTCGAGGGTTCCCACAAGAGACGGCTTCAAAGCCGCCCTCGTCGCCGCTGCTCACACCAACTCAAACTTAGATCTCAGCACGACCGGAGACAATTGCTCTTCGGGGATGGCGCTGGGCGGGATTGGGCTTGGTCGTCCAATGATCGTCGGGCCAGCGCCGCTAGCGTGTGAAGGGCGCGCGCGGCGCTTGCAGGGTCTTCGTGCGGGTGCGAACGCACGGGTATCCCGCTCTTCTCAATTCAATCCTATGACCTTCCCCTCCCAGTTGAGCACTTCGTCTCGTCTGGCCTCCGCGGTAGCTTTCTTCCAGGTGTCCGTTCGACGCTCCCCCTCTCACAGGTTGCATCTACGACGACCTCATCGGGCCAGGGTGACGAGCGCTACTGATCGATGACAAGACTCAAACCCTTCCTTCTCTGTCACGGCCCGGCCATAATTATCGGCACCCTGAGCCACATGGAGCCCAATCCATCAGAGGCCCGCCCGCCACGCTGGGGGCCATGATGCATCGGCGGGCGAGGCGTGCCAACCACGGGCTCGACGCTTCTTTTTGAGATCTGTCGCGCGCGCTTGACCTCCCCACCATCTTCCTTGCCCCACCACTCTCTTCCCCGCACTCAATCCCCCCTCACCATGACTACCACCTCCTCCCCTCGCGTCTGGCTGATCACAGGCGCCAACTCTGGTATTGGGCTTGCGCTCGCGAAGTATGCACTTGACCAGGGAGATAGGGTGCGTCGATCGCGTCTTGTATCGAGTGCTCTCGCTGATCAGCGCGTTTTCCTCCCCATGGACGCACTTTGCCTACACCTTGACGCGTTCGCCAGGTCATCGCGACTGCGCGCGACTTGAAGAAGATACCAGCTAGCATATCTGCGGCGAAGCCCATCCGCCTGGACTTGAACGCGTCAGACGAGGAGATCAGGCAGGTCGCGGCGGATGCACTGAAGATCTATGGCCGGATAGACATCGTATGTGACCCTGTTCAGTGTCCTGCCGTGCATCACGCCTGACTTGCACGCTCAGCTCATCAACAACGCAGGCGTAGGCCTCCCTGGCACCATTGAACACGTCAGGTGCGCGCATTTGCCCTTCATCGTCGTGAAACGGTGTCTGACCCACCCCAGCGACGCCGCCCTGAAGGAGAACTTCCAGACGAACGTCTTCGGCCCGCTCTCCCTCACCCGCGCCCTCGTCCCTACCTTCCGGGAGCAAAAGTCCGGCGCCATTGCGTCCATCTCCTCGCAGGGCGGCCTGCTTTCCTGGCCGGGCTTCTCCTCCTACTGCTCCACCAAGGTCTCCCTCGAGTTCTTCATGGAGGGTCTCGGGCAGGAGCTTGCGCCCTTCGGCGTCAAGGTGCTCATTATTCAGCCCGGACTCATCCTCACGGACTGGTGGACGAAGGCCGCGGCGGTGCAGAACAAGCAGGCGAACGAGGTGTACCCACATATCCCCGGGCTCGAGGCGACGCTCGAGTGGGGCATCGGCACGGGGTGCGTGAGCGACATAACGAAGGCCGTGCAGAGGATGTACGAGTTCGTGACGGGGACGGGAGAGGCGGGCGCGGCGCGGAAGGACGAGTTTATACGGCTACCTTTGGGGAAGGATTGTGCGAGTGAGTGGGCCTTTTCCTATCTTTTTTTTTCTTCGCTTGCTTTGTTGTGATTGGCGGACGCTGACCTCGGGCGCCGCGGGAAGGCATCTTCAAGGGCCGCATCGAGCACCTGCAGAAGAACCTCGACGAGTACTTGCCGATCACGAACTCGATCAACTTGACGGAGGAGCAGCTGGCGGAGTTGAAGAAGGCGCGCGCATGATGTGCTGCAGAGGAGTGATGTGCGAATTTCGGTTTGTATTACAGCCTATCAGAACACCAAATGGAAAGCTTGGGTATCGCCGTCGAAATCTCCGCGCAGCTGAACGGTGTGCTGCATCGACCACATGCATGAGGAACTCCTACCCTCAGTCGCGCCTCACTCGCCAAAAGCTCGGAGTCCGCCAATTCGCCGTAAATTCTACTGCTCGGGTACCCCGTTGTCAGCGCTCAGCGCTTGGGAATGAGAGCAGTACGGAAGACTCACAGCTCAGAGACATGTTCTTGCAATGAACATTTCATGATGAGAGGCAACTGTGTGGGACCGGGTCGATTGTTATTGGCCTTATCTGGCTGTTGTGGGTCCGAGCACGGCAGATGCCGGCAATCATAGCATATGATTGCCGCGTGTTCGACTACTGCGACGCATCTTCTCTTTGACCACCAGCATCTCGCTTGTACCACTGACGAACGCCAGACTCGATCTTCACTAACTTTTTAATAATGTCTCCCCCTCAGCGCGTCAAAGGTACGTGCAGTCAATTCATCCTGTATCGCACCTCTTCTGAATGTTTTCGGTACTTAGCTCTCAAACCCTCGTCCCCCTTCCTGAAGCTTTCATCTGACCTCGTGCAAAATGTTCTGCGTCGTCTCGACAAGTCTCGTGATATTTCGTCTGTCTGTCTGTGCTCTAGAACACTCCTTGGTGCGGGAGAACGTGTTCTGTACGAGGCTCCTGTGGCGACGACTTTCAAGAACACGGAGAAGCTTCTGAAGACGCTCATTGACAAGCCCAAGCTGGCACTTTGGGTTGACGACATACTCCTGTGAGTAATTGGGCCACAACCATCTAGCGTGGGCTGACGCTTCTTCAGTAAAGCGTCCGGCATGAAGCCCTCGCCTTTGTTCCTCGAGTTATGCGCGAAGGCGATCCGTCTGATGCACAACATAACGAAGCTCAACGTGACGTCGCTACCCGACGTTCCTGCTCTCCTTGGCGCTCATGTCCTACCGAACCTGACGCAATGCTGCATCTCCGATCGGAAATCTGCTCTTCCCTTCCTCGAAGCTAACGCCTCCACAATCGAGGTGCTCTTACTCGCTGACAACGACAAAGGCCCTCGTGGCATTGACCGCAAGATCGAGCTCCCCCGCCTCAAGCGTGCTGATCTCCCGCTGTCCTCCGCGCCCTTTGTGCTCCCCGGGACCCAAGCCACCACGGTCGACCTCTCCGTTACCTCCGACCCCGACAAGCGCCCCGCGGAGCTCAAGAACTTCGCCTTCCTCGCCGGCGTCCCCATCACCAGCCTCACCATCACCTCCGAGCGCCTCACGAGCGACGTCATCCCGCCCCTCGCGCGCTATACATTTCGCGAGCTGCAACAGCTGATCTTCGAGACGACCCGGCCGCACACGGCTGCCCAGCGCAAGCGCTTCTTCGATACGCTCGAGATTCAGATCGCCCTCATGCGCAAGGTGCGCACGATCATGGTGCCCGTGCCGCCGGGCCAGGCGCGCTTCCCGGAGCCGAAGGACTTGGACGAGATGGCGGCCATCTGCGAGCGGCTCAGCAAGCGCTGCCCGTCGCTCAAGCTCGTAAGCCCTGGCTGTGCGTATGAAATTATACAGTAAAGTCGCGTCTTTACTAATTCCCACCCTCAGTCAACCTGCAGTGGAAGCCCTACGACGGGTTGTGGGTTCCCCTCACCCCTGCGGTCGACTACGACAGATACGTCGATCTGATTGGGCTCTGGACGTTCAAGCGTATGGCGAGGAACCCTTCCATGCTCAACGCGATGCTCCAAGAGGCCAAGCGGGAGGACCCGACGCGCGTCAGGGAGTTTGAGGAATCGCGCGGGATCAAGATGCGACCTCTCAACGTTCTTCGGAGGGCGGCTGAGGCGAGGATTCTGAGTACGGATTGGATTGAACAGATAGCAACATAGAAGGGGATACATGGACGAGCACGAAACTGTATGCATAGGCACGGCGCTGAATCCGTTTCAACCGTGACGCTTGTGCGACAAGTCACGTTGCTCGTGGGAAACTGGCTGTCACGCTCATGTTCATATTGTCACTTGGCTGAGTTGCCTCCTACGTCCATCGGGACCGACCCCACACATTCTGCATTCCACTCTGCCTTTTCCTTACTGAGCCGGATCGATGTCTAAGCAACACCCTTCCAAGCGCCCTTTCATTGCACAAAACGAACGCACAGAAGGCTTCACGCACGTATTACTCATCACCACAGGCAGCGTCGCCTCTGTGAAGGCGCTCTTGATCGTGAAACAGCTCTTGCAGGTGAGCAGCATTCAGATCGTCATCTTCAATAAAATCATGATTGACTTGCATGCTCTTCCTTTGCAATGCCATGCTCCAGTACGACTGCGTGAAAGTCGAAGTCGTGGCCACAAAGCCCTCCCTCGCCTTCTATTCCCCAGAAGAGATAGAAAGAACAGGAAGCCGCGTATGGACAGACGAAGACGAGTGGACGGTGCGACAGCGAATTCTTTGCTCCACGAACAGGAAGACTGATTTTATGGGTCGCGAACTGACTATGTTGGTCCCGACAATAGGATGACTACTCCATCGGCGACCCTATATTGCACATCGAGCTACGTCGGTGGGCGGATGTAGTCCTCGTCGCGCCTTGCTCGGCGAATACGCTGTCGAAGATAGCGCACGGCGCCTGCGATAACCTCGTCGTAAGCGCTCTACATTCACAAATTCGTGTCCCCTTCCGGCATCTCCCTTCGAGCTTGCTGCCCCATCGCTTTGCTCTTCGTACTCTTCAGAGCTTCGTACTCTTCAGGGCTTCGTACTCGTCACGGCATCTTCCATTGACGTCTTTTTTCTCGTCTTCCCTCACCACCCTCCGCTCACTCGACCTTCTAGACCTCTCTCCTCCGCGCCCTCGCGCCCAGCACGCCAACCTACATATTCCCCGCTATGAACACGCTGATGTACGAGCACCCCCTGACGGCGGAGCACCTCCGTATCGTGCGCGAGGTAGTCGGCTACGAGGTAGTCGGGCCCATTGGAAAGAAGTTGGCGTGCGGGGATGTGGGTGAGTGCCTACTGGTTAGCTGGTGTTGTCTATACGACAGCTCAGAGACGGTCTGCTGGACATGTGCGGTGCTCTGCGCACGAGGCAGAGCGAGGCTGACTAGGTGAACCTCCAGGAATGGGCGCGATGACAGAGTGGATGGAAATTGTCAAACTTGTCGTGGACCGTTTTGGGCTCGTGCTGAAGGGGCCTGCGACTTCGCAGTCGTGATATGTGCGACGAGTATATCAAGCTATGACGAACATGCCACTGTCCTCCTCCTGTAGGAATCACCTGAAGAGCGCTGGAAGAAACCCAGACGCGCCGAATGAGCGGCTGGAATGGACTGGAAACACATGCGACTGAAGTGTCAGTTGGTCAAGCGAGCGGGTGCCGATGGTTTCCGCTCTTGCTTTTCGCCACCATGGCTCACCGGAGCCTCCACTCAACTGACCCTCTCAAGGCTTCCCGGAAAGCGCGTCTGAGGAGATGAAGCCCCTCTCGTCATAGCACCATCGTGATTGGGTGAGACTCGAGGAATTGCTTTGAGAAGGCCCGTCCCCGCTTACGCGATTACGAGAGGAATTTTCGGGTCGTGCGCGCCACCCGACTCATGCTGGTAGGAGCTGCACACCGGCTGAACGTACCCAATGTCCGGCTGACGTCCGCAAATATGGACTCGGCAACGTAGTCAGCCCTGGGCATGACCAAGATGCAGCGCAGATCCTTGCGTCCTCGTTGTCGATTCTCCAATTCGTGCGTGTATAGAGGGGTCAAGAGCTCGTAGGCTGACGTGCACCACGAAGGGCAGGAGGCGCGTTGATGCAAGAAAAGGCAAGCATGCACATCCCCGTTTCGGGAACCGGTTCCGACATCCCGAAGCCCGAGTTCTCAGGCGATGATGTAAGAAATGTTGCTGACGCGCCAAAGAACGTAGCCGCCGGACACGCGCGGCAGTCGCGCTAAAAGGCGCCGCCCGCGATCCTCCTTCATCTCCTTTCTCCCCAACATCATCATGGCACTCGACGGAATACGAGAAGAGTGAGTGGTCGTGGAGATTTCTATGTCGGAAACTCACCCATGTTCTTCCAGACTCTATGAAGGGTTCGTGCAGGCGTACCGGACGCTCGTTCCCGAGCAGAAGGATCGGATACCCATGTCCCCCGAGGCGGCGGGGTTCGCCCTGATAACAGCACTACCCATCCTATTCATGGCATACCTGGCGCGACGACCAGACACCTATCTCATCCGACTGCTCTTGCTACCCCTCACGATCATGGGTCTCGTATCTTCAGGTGCGTGGATCACTAGGCGCGATCGACAGTCTACTGACCAGGTTCGCAGCGTACCGCTACTACTGCGTTACTCCCATTCTGAATGTGTACAACTGGGCGGTCTGTACGTATCCCGATAGTCATTCATTCCCAGCGTGCTGATCCTTCCCAAGCATTACACGTAGCCGTCGCGATCGCGAAGGCCCTACAATACGCCCTGACCCCGGAGGGCATCTTGAAGCGCGACGAAATCGCACCAGGCGTCAAAGCACCACCTCCCAAAGTGAACGGGAAAGTGAACGGCAAGGTCCCCCATCAGAACGGAGACGTCCACGGCCCCGACGAGGCCGAGAAGCACAACGCCGCCGCGGACGCCGGCCCGGGGGGCGACGACTCGGAGGAGCTCCCGCCTCCCAGCGTCCCCAGCGGCCCCTCGTGGGCGCCCGCCTGGCTCCACGACGCTGTCGAGCTACTCATCACCATGCGCGGCCTCAAGTACAAGTTCGGCCACGGCGTGCACATCCCGCCCGAGACGCGCCCGCTTGAACGTGGGCCTTTCTTGCGCGCGACGCTCCGGCTGTTCATCATCAAGTTCCTCATCGTCGATTTCCTGGAAACCTGCATCAAGCTCTTCCCGGGCGTCGGCTCGCCGTTTGGCGGGAGCATGATCTATCCGGAGCTCCCTACCGTGCAGCGTCTGCTCGTTGCGCTCGCCATCCACGCGATGACCGGCACTGCGATCGTCATAGGCTTCGAGATGGTGTACTACCTCATCACGCTCATTGCAGTCGGCCTCCTGCACAGCGACCCCATCTACTGGCCACCCGTACTTGACGGCCCGCATCTCGCCGAGTCCATGCACCAACTCTGGTCGACGTCGTGGCATCAGATGCTGCGCAATACCTTCGTAACCTACGGCGGGATCCCTGGCTTAGTCCTCGGTCGTGAGATCGGGAGGGTACTCGGCGGGGAGAAGGGCGCGAAGGTGTTGGGCAACACGCTAGCGGTCGTCGGCACGTTCTTCGCGTCTGGCCTCTTCCACGAGGTCTCTATGTCAGCTATGGGACGTGGCTGGGATAATGCACCGATCATATTCTTCGCGATGCAGGTTCGTGAACCCACATTCTCCCCCTCTCCCTATTGAACTCTTTCCAGGCCCCCATCCTGTTCCTCGAGCGCGCCTGGCGCGTAGTAACCGGCAAGCGCGTCGGCGGCTGGCCAGGCCGTCTATGGGTCTACTTCGTTATGTTCGTCCTCGCGCAGCCTATGGGTACGTCTCCACTCCTTTCACGCAGCTCGCGCAACTATCTGACCTCGTTGCTCAGTCGACTCCTGGCACCGCCGCGGCCTCGGCGGCGGGCTTGTCATCCCCTACTTCGTCAGCCCTACGAAGCTCGCTTTCCACTTCCTGGGCATCCGCGGCTTCGACTTCTTGCGCACGACGCCGTGATCCGCGCGCACGACGCCGTGATTCGTGCGCATGATGCCATGGTATCCTTGTTGACCACGACTGGGTGACCGGGTTTGCCACTCACCAGTCAATCACTCCCTCGGTGGTACCCGACTTACGACCCTCTTCACGCTCTATATATCTATACGCAGGGCGTCGTTATATCCAACGGCGCGCTGCTCTGCCGCATAATACCGCAACACCTACTTAGCTATCTGTACTGTACCTGTTGTACTTAATGATGGACTTGACTGGAGCACTCTAAGACGTTCTTATCTTGAGAATTCCGAAGATCAGTCTGAAGATGCTCTCGAGGAGCAGCTACTCCCAGGTACGACTTGTACTGACGATGGCTGCACCTCCACCCTGTATGTTCACCATATCCCATTATCTGTACAACAACAAAGCATGTGTTCCGGTGTGCGGTCGGATATGCAAGAATCTAGTGCTTCCATACATTGGCACAGTAAGTACAAAATGCGTCCCATCCAACTTCGATCCCGTCGACCTCGATGACTACGTCGACTTGATGCTGACCTTCGACAGGAGGTCGGCAAGGTCGTCCGTCGCCTTGTCGCTGACCGTCTTCTGCTGCTTCTCCTGCTCGGCAGCGACAACTGGTGGTGCAGGCGGGATCGCTGCTGCTGGCTCGTCCTCCACATCCTCCTTCGAGACCTCGTCCTCCTCTTCCTCATCTTCATCAGTCGCGAAGAGCTTCCCGCCGCGGATCTTCAGGCTCTCTGCGATCTTCGCCAGGAACTCGTCGTCGTCCTCCTGCTCGTTCCACTGGAGCTCGAGCCGGCGGAGGGTGGCGAGCTCGCCGGCGATCGCGTCCGCGAGCTGCTCAAAGGTGGCGGCCTCCAGGTTGTTGTTCTGCAGCTGCAGCGTGTGCAGCTTGGGATTGGAGCCGCCGACGAGCGCCTCAATGACCGCGGGGACCTCGCCCTCGCCCGAGAGCACGCAGTCCGAGAGGTTGAGCGTGTGCAGCGCGGGCCACGCTTTCAGGGCGGCCGCCCACGCCGCGACGCCGCTGAGGTCGCCCTCCTCGGTGAAGGTGTTGTCCTGGAGATCGACGTGGAGGAGGCCCGCGTTCTTCGCGAGCCCGTTCGCGAGCGCGGTGATGCCGCTCATGCGGATGCCGTTCTGCGGCATGCGCACCTCCTCGAGCCCGCCGTGCGCGGCGAACGCGGCGGCCCAGGCGGGCGCGGAGCCGTTCTCGAGGCGGTTGCGCCCGCAGATGACGACGCGGAGGTTCGAGGGCTTGCCCTCCGCCTTGGAGAGCTCGGCGGACTTGAGGAGGGCGTTTGCGATGATCTCGCCGCCCGCGGGGCCGAGGCCGTTGTTGTTGAGCTTGAGGACCTGGAAGCTGCGGTTCTGGGTGAGGAAGGGGACCATGGGGTCGACGGAGCGGCCGCCGAACGCGTTGTCACTGAGGTTTATTTCGACGAGGGACGTTTTGTCGATGAGGGCATCGCAGATGGCGGAGAGCGCTGGGGGGATCTCGGTGATGAGGCGTCCGGTGAAGATGTCGGCAAAGTCGGCGACCTTGGTGCGCGTCAGAGGGTCAACCGTACGCGAGGGGTTGCGCACGCACCTTGATCGACGTCGCTTTCGACAGGAAGTCCGCGAGCGCTTGTGCTGCCTCGATGCCCACGGTGTTGCCGCCAAGATGGATCTCCTCAATCGTGGTGGGATCGATGCCGGCGAGCAAGGGCTCGACGTCAGCGCGAGTGTTCAGCTTCAACTGCCGGCCGTGCCAGGACAGAATTCTCGAAGACATGTTTTGTGGTCAAGGATGAGAATAAAGACTATTTTGGGAACAATAACAATGGGACTAAAATAAGAGAACGGTCACTTGGAAAGCGGGCCGCGATCCGGCCATTGTTTCCCGTGGAATCCAGCGGAATCTATCTTGTTCTCGACTGTCATCTCATACAGCGCTTTCCGTGCAGGAATCATCAATTCCTGTAGCCTGAGAATTAGAAATGTCTGAAGAGCCTACGGCCAATGGTGCACCACCAGTCCCTCTACGCACCGGCCCGCCGACGAAGGAGGAGCTGGCGTACTACTATCCAGCAAAGTTCACTTGGAAGCAGCTGAAGACATTCATCAACGCAGGGTACGCTCATCCCCTGACTGTCCGATGCATTCTCTGACCATCCTAGCCAGTGATCTTGGTCTGCTCAAACGTGACAAGGCTTTGCAGAAGCGGTATGATGCCTGGTCCGCGGGGATCAAGCAGAAGTATGGATCGATGAGTACGCCCTCCCGCTATCATCACGTTCCCCGCATCTTGACTGTCCTCAGTCAACTTCATCCTCAACTACCGTATGGAATGGGGCCAACCTGACTGCTACTCCATGATTTCCTCCCAGCTCGACGAACATCCGCCGCGCTCGGAGCCCCACGACTTCCCCCTCCTTGACAAACCTCGAGAGCTTCCTCCAATCCCTCCTGGCACCAAACCATACTTCACCGCAGACGCGCCCCCCGAAGCGATCTGCATCACGCAGAATGACTGGCCGTACTCGGGTGTGTGCCTCCCTCTGCTTCACGCGTCTTGCCATACTGACCACGCTCTCAGTCCCGCCAGAGATCGAGCACACCCTCATCTGGTCCCGCCTCCCCATGTTTCACCCCGACCTCGTTGACCCTCGGGTCGCGCCCCGTGTAGAAAAGGACGGACTCTGGGGCTTCACCGGAAACACCTCTCCACCGCCTTCGCCATCCACGCTCCCGTCCGCTCTACCCGCGCTAGCAGAGTGGGGCGTCACCATGGACAAGCTCGTGAGGTCGGAGAAGCCAGAGGATCCTGCACAGCGGGCGGAGGAGGACGAGCTGGTGCGTCGCGCGGGCAGCGAGATCGACAAGTTCGTGCGCCAGCGGTGGAATGAGCGCGAGTGGGAGACGGCGTGGTTTGTCAATCCACCGGTGAGTAGAAGGAGCGTCATGCAGCTCGAGATCCGCAGACTAATGGTCTTTCTAGCGCTTGCAGAGCATACCTGGGCTAGCGCACGTCCATGTCTTTGCGAGGAAGAAGGGGCCCGAGGAGCAGTAATTTTCAGATCCCTGGACAGACTAACACGGACAATAGATGTAGAGCGTAGATCACGAATAGATGTACAGTCTAAGCAGGGTTTGCAGTCAACCGAGCTCGCGCATCTGCGCAATTCTTCCAAAAAAGGCGATTGTAGCAACTCAAGACGTCGTATAAATCAGCTCTTGCACACCAACCACCGCCCCTCCAGCCCCTCCTTCCTCTTCACGCGCCCTAGCTGCTCCTGCTCCTCCAGCCAACGCGTCAGCTCCTCTGAGCCAGATTCTCCATCATTCGAGTCGGGCCCCCCACCCAAAGCCAGCGAGCGCGCGAGCCACGGCGCACCATCTGCCGTCGAAGACAGCTCTTTGTACGCCGCGCGCAGGACGCTCCAGGCATGGTCGCACACCCTCTCGCGAAGCATGCCCAGGGCGGCGTGCAACGCATTCTCAGCGAGCGCGCGGCTGGAGCGCGGAATCGTGGGATTTCGTGCCGTGGCAGCCGGGCCCTGTGGTGTGGTCGTCAGGCTCTGTGCCGTGGCAGTCGGGCTCCGTGGCGCGGCAGGTGTTGTCCGCTCCCCGAGAGACAAGTCATCCAACGCGTGCGCGAGCTCGTCGGGCGCTGATATTGGGATCGCGGACGGCTTGGCCAAGCGGCTGAAGCGGGCGACGTTCATCTGGCGGAGAGACGCGGCGAGAGCTTTGATCCAGGTATATTCGGGAGAGTCGGGTGGTAGGAGGGACGGCGAGCCCTGTTGGAACGAAGCCAACTGCTGTTGGTACACTGCCTGCGAGGGGAAGGATGTCGCCAGGTGATAGAGGAGGGCGATGGTAAGCGCAAGTGTGGCGTTGGGGTGCGGTCTTTCAATCCCTTGATAGAGCTCGGGTGTGATTTGGGAGACGATGGGTGATATTCGACGGTGGTTGCTAGAGATGACGGCGAGAAAGAGAGAGGTTTCGTAGACTTTCCGTTACGGATGTCAGCGGAATCGCGCGAGGTCATCGAAGCCAAATGGCCTACCTTCGATAGCAAAGGCGTCGGTACGCTTGGAGGCGGAAATGCCTTCTCGTAATTTTCCTGATGGGTCGAAGTCAGATATAGGCAAATCCAGCATACAGTGTATCACCTACGCAGTAGAATCAAGATGTTGTCGCGGGTTTCGGCTCTCCGTTCGGCTTCCTCCGTAGATAGTTTGTGCACTCCATGCATTTGCCATATTTCGGGAGCGTCATCGAGCTTTGCAAGGCACGTCAGGCTCAACACCTGCACAGTAGTTAAAGGAATACATACCTTCCCTTGTATGAAGGCACGATATTCCTCTTGTATCGCATAGTCTTTTAGGCTACTGACCGTCAACACACGGCAAACATCGAAGAAAAACACTGACTCATCTCCGCCTCTTTCAAGGCCACTGCTTCGGCTCACGGAAGCAATCAAATTCATTTTTCTCCTTCCACTAGACGCAGAAGTGGGCATAGGGTCATTTCTTCGCGAAGCGAGAGCAGGGGCGGACTGGGAAGAGGATATTGATGAGCCTCCTCCGACTTTGTTGGTTGGACGCCTGCCGCGACTATTTCGCCAGGAGCCTCTAGAGCCAGTGTTTTGACCACGAGAAGCCATGGTTGGTATCAAGAGTGGTCAAGTGGAGGATAGAGGTGGTGGCGGGAAACAAGGAATAATAAGGCGGCTCGGGGTATGCCGAACAGCGCCGAGGACACATCGGGCCGGGCGATCCGCCGCATCGTCCCTCCTCCTTCACCATGCAATTGACAGCTCTACCGTTCGTCCATCTGGCTTGTCCTGAACGTCGTCTCGATTTTTTGTGACGGAAATTCATCTCCTCGACCCGGAGAATGTACCTGTGTAGGGCATTGTGCAGACCGCCGAGCTTACCGTCTAATCCAAGTCACGCTTTCGCCTCCAAAGTCCTTGCGTCAGTACCCTGAACGAGGAAAGATGTTGATCATTCAATCCAAGGGATGCGAAGCGCAAGCGCTCCTTCAGACCGACCGTCAGGATATCCTTTACTTCTACGATGGACGACCTCTCTTCGGTCCAGCAAGACTTGGTGCATGAGCGCACCAATCTGTACGATGCCCCAGACGGACACGCTACGGAGGAGAGCAAACGCGTAGGGGAGCGTGGAGTGAAGATGGAAAGGCCTATGTCCAATGACCTGCTCCAGCGGTGAGTGTCGCGCAGCTGCTAGATAGACGATACCTGAACGCTTGCGCACAGGCTGCCGATCGAACTATGCATCCAGATATTCGAGCTTTGTGTTTCCGCCGACGCAGAGCAACTATACAACTTCTTCTTCGATGATACGACCAAGGCTCCCTGGGTGCTGTCGCAGGTGTGCTCGCGGTGGCGCACCATAGTGCACGAATCACCCAACCTCTGGACAGTCGTACGCGTGTCCACCGACCTCGTCGAGGAATCCCAGCAGCCGCTCGAAGAAACGATCGAGCTCCTCTCCGACTACCTCAAGCGCTCCAAGCTACTCCCCATCTCCCTCCTTGTCCTCAGCGAAAGCCACTGCCAACAGCTCATCATGGAGCGCGTTATTGGCTGCTGCGATCGCTGGCGCGACGCGTTCTTCTTCATGAACCCCATCTACCTCCACCATCTCGGCCCCATTCGCGGGCGGCTTCCCCTCCTGCGCTCCCTGCACTTCATCCCGACGCGCATCAGCGACGCAGGCGCCATGCGCGGCATCTTCGAGATTGCACCGAACCTCGAGGCCCTGGCGCTCAACGGTCCTGCGCTCGACCTCAGCTTCACGCTCCCGTGGTCGCAGATCCGCCTCTTCGAGGCGAATTATGTCGACCCTGCGGACATTCTCAGCGTCGTGCCGACGATGCCGCACATGCTGCGCATGCACCTGGGCAGGGAGCCGCCCGAGCGCGATCCCGTAGACACGACGGACTGGGAGGTCACGCACGACGAGGTGGAGGTGGTTCGCCTTGGCGTGGTCGCCGAGCGCGTGGAGGGCCACCCGGGCGACCTGATCGACCACCTCGTCCTCCCGGCCATGATCGATCTCAACATAACCTGTGACGACGAGGAGGGCGTCGACAGCCTGATGGAGCTGCTCCGGCGCTCCGCGTGCCGCATCCGCACGCTCACGCTCGACATCCGCTTCGGGCACTCGACGAAGTTGCTCGCCCTCTTCCGCAATGTGCCGCAGTTCGCGCGGCTGTCGACGCTCACTTTGCAGGACGGGGACCCGGTGGACGACTCGCCGCTGCTGGCGGCCATGACGGTGCACGCGGGCGAGGCGGAGCGGGTGATCCTGCCTCAGCTGCAGGACCTGTCCATCATCACGGACACGGACGAGCCGGGCAGAGCCGTCAGGCTGTGGCTGGATGTGCTGGAATCGAGGGTCGACCCCGAGCAGCAGGATGATCTGGAGATGCCTGACATAGAGGACATACGAAGCGTATCGTTCAGTTGTAAGACCGCGCGCGGTGTCCTCGACGATCCGTCCTGTTTGAATCGCTTCCATCGGCTGGTGGCCGCTGGGGTCAAGGTTGAGTTTCGTTACGGTCCAGGTGTTATCACTCAGTCGACTGATTGAGCGGGATGTGTGTATGTAGAACGTTTAATCTGTAGCATACTATAGCGAATCCGACTATCGAGTCTCCTGTGTTCTGACTACTACTTCTCAATGAGGACCTCTTGCAGCTCATTCAAGTACTCATCCATCGGTGCCTACTCCTCGGGATCGTCTGCCTCGCCCCCATACTTTCGCGGGACGTTCTTCGGGTTGGCGACCTTCACTCCACGCGATTCCTCAAACTCCCTCACCCCTACCGGATCCTCCCACAACGACCGCATCATCGCGCCCCAAATGGAGTTCTTGTCGTCCTTCATCAGCCTGCGCGCCGTCCACATGCCGATCAAATCAAGCCACTCGTCGTACTCTTCTTTGGGGACAAGAGGAAACCACACGCCGTCATAGGGCTGCCACATCACGTTGACTGGCGTGCGCTGGTCAGTAGAAGGCCACAACCTGAGAAAAGGCAGACACGCACGACCGGGGATCATGCGCTCGAGCGTGGGGCAGCGCTTGTAGAGCCGCTGGCAGACGCCCGACATCTCGTCGAGGTCATTGTTGTCCGGGCGCCGCGGCACGCCCGCGCGCAGGGTGAAGACGAGGTTGGCCAGCTTGCGCATGAGCGCGATGTGGATCTCGAGCGTGTCGAAGAAGCGCTTGCGCTGGGCCTTCGTGTGCGGCCGGATGGTCTCGAAGTTCAGCCACTGCAGCTCGCGGGATGCGTAGCGCGCGATGGGGATGATGATGTCGCTCTTGAGGCGCTCGGAGGTGACCTTGAGGTCCGTGATGGAGAGACCGGCGAGCGAGGCGAAGTGCGTGAGTTCCGCGGGGCGTTTCTCGAGGTTGGAGGTGACAGACAGCCTGACCCTGGTGGCCAAGCTTCCGGGGAGAACGTAGGGCGCGACAGCAAGAGAGACGTCTGCAACGTCGAGCTTGGGGAAGGTGATCTTCTGGTCAAGGCCTTGTTCATCGTCGATGTCGACGAGCAGGAGCGAAGTGATCGTCTCGGCGTTGGCCTTGAGGAAAGGTGCAGCGGACGCGGTGTTGACAAGACAGCAAGTGGCCAGCTGCGGTAGAACATGCGTTCCGAGCAAAGAGGGAATCGTCGGGAGCGCCGTCAGATTGAGCTCAGTCAAGTTGCGCGTCAGGCGAATAGCGTCGGCGCAGAGATCAGGGAACGAGCCCGCGGTCGAGCTGAACGGATTGCTACATCATTGTCAGCTCATGTGTTCCGAAATACAAGTCCTCACTCACATGATCAATCTATCGACACCAAGGGCGAGCTCTGGCTTGTCAATGAGCGTCTGCAGAAGCTTCCTCGTGTTCTTGGCGTTCGTGGGGGCAGGCGCCTCATACAGAATAGTCTTCCCCGACTCGTACAGATGACTGGAGCACAAGCAGACAGCGAGGATATCACGAGAGCTTTCCAGGTGGCGGAGAATATCTTGCATGAGGCTCAGAGAAAGGCGAAGCATAGGGCATAGCCTCATCGTCTCTGTGAGCGCTATTCAGCAACGGTGTGATGATGAAATCGCAGTGGCACGCACCTGCAATGCGCTGCGTGGTAGACATTTCAGGGTGGCGATGAGGAGACTTTGGGAGGGTGAGTATCCGAGGGCGTCGATCAGAGGCGCAGGCAATGGTGGGTCAAGAACAAGGTGCGGTGCAACGTCCTTGGCCTTATATACGGTGGTCATCGGCATTAGCCGACGGCGTTGGCCTCGAGGCGACATGAACAATGGAGTGCATTAAGCGAGCCGCCGCATAGACCCTATGCGACAAAATGGGTTTTGCTTGTTTAGAAATTAACAACTCCATGATTGGCAGAGAGATCACACACGGTGCTTTGTTCATATGAAAGAGCAAACGAATTGGCTTCACGCCGGTAGCTCTGCAAAAGTTTAACATGAACCACGTGATGCGGTACCGTCTCCAAGTCGGACAAGGTCTTACGAATCGGAATTAATACGATGATCGCCCACTCATTCCTCCGACCCACTATCTTCGTCCGTCATCCACTCCTCGCCATCCTGCTCCTCATCTCCCTCACCCTCGTCCTCCTCATCTTCATCCCCTTCGAAGTCGTAGTACTGGTTCCCGTAAACTTCTGGATCTCGTATTTTGACGCCGTGCGACCGCTCCAGCTCGCGAAGCTGCGCAGGATAGTCGCGGACTGCCTGCGAGATCATCGCGCGCATCAAGGCTGGATTCTTCGCCACTCGATTCATCATCCACGTCGACAGGACGTTCACGAGCTCGCTGTCGGGAGCAAGCGCGTTGATCGTGCGGGGCATCCAGACATCGCCGGTGGGGAACCAGAAGAGGTCGACTAAGGGATGGGGTTCAATATGAGCCAGAGAAGACATAGAGCAAAACATGATACGCACACCCCATGTTCATGAATTGCAAGGTCCTGCAGCGCGCGGATAGTCGCTGGACTATGTCCGACATCTTGTCCAGGTCTTTCAAGGTCGGAACCTCTGCTTCGAAGTTGAATATCCCCGGGCGCACAGAGACCGCGAACCCCCTCAACCGCTCAAAGGCCGAGATATGTTCTTCGCACGCGCGAAAGAAGAGCTGGCGGGATCTCGGTGTTTGTGTGATGATGCTCTCGATGACCAGCGATCCCAGCCTGGGCGCGCAGCGTGCAAGTACGGGCATCACCTCTGGATGCAGATGCGCTGCAGAGACCTTCATCGAGGTGAGGGGTAGCTCGGCGAGGCATTCGAGATTCTTGAGCTCCTCGGCGCGTTCGTCCTCGTCGTACGCGAGCAAGATGGTGGCGCTAGTGGCCGACGTTCCCGGGAAGACCAGATGCGCGATGTGGGCAGGAACGTCGGCGTTAGCGAGGCGGGGAAACGCAATTTTGCCAGGCAGGACCCGATCTGGCTCGGGCACTGCATCGTTGTCGGCGAACTCGAGGTCGACGATATTGGCAGCGTTGGCTTTGAGGAAGGGTATGGCAGTTCTCGTGATTGCGAGAGAGCAGTGAGTGAGGTTTGCGATAACGCGAGGGCCGAGCAGCCCAGGTAAGTCGGGGACCATCTTCATGTACAGCCCGTAGACGTTGTCCATGCATTCTGTCGCTCGGATTGCGAGCCTCATGAAGGAGGCCAGGACGTTGTCCCCGATGACCAGGGCTGCATCTTTGACTGCCCAATCGCTACGCTGAGGTTACACTGTCAACTTCGCAGCAGAAGAGGATCTCGCTCACAAAGTAAACTGCTTGACGCAGAGCGCCAGTTCAGGCTTCTTGACGATGGACTTCAGCAAGCGTACCATACTCTTCATGTTGTGTGCCAGAGGCATATCGTAGAGGGTCCGGATCCCAACATCGTATAGATGGGTAGAGCATTGGCAGATAGATGCTACATCCTTCGATCTGCCGACCTCGCGCACTATGAGTTCCATCACTTCAGGCGGAAGCCGGAGTAGAGGAGATTTGGCCATCAACTCTGCGAGCGGAATATAGATATCAATTCCATGATATCAGACAAATCTCACCTCGATCGGAGCCCATCCTGAATGCGTGAACGGCGAGGGCGGGGTAGAGTACTTATAAGGGTCGAAACACTTTCCGTGTGTGCCTATCGAAGTCATCCATTTGTGGCGCTGTGGCGCTGGGTTCTGGGTTCAAATCTCGGTCAAACATCTACCTCCTACCAACGACGATGCAGTAGAATAACTCTGAAAACTCGTTTCAAGGCATCAGTAGCCCGCTGACACAACGGCCGGCGGGTCTTGTCGAGCATCCGCATAATCCACAAGTCGAAGTAAAGACAGAAGATCGCATAGCATCTGCACAAACAAAGCTAAGCATCGCGACGACAACATACATGATTGCATATCATAAACAATTCCCTTTCAAATGGCCAACGCTCGACCTTCCCCTAAATCCTTCCCTAACCTCCCCCTGCGTGACTCCAGGTCCTCAGCCGGTGCGCGCGTTTGATCGGGTCACGCGACAAGCCACGATTGCCCATTAGCGCGTCCCAGCGGCACCCTTCTTCCGCTTCGGCTGCGGCGCTGTGAGACGCTCTGGACCGGTGTCGGTGGACGCGCCAGTAGTCTCTTCAGCGTTCCCGCGCTGGGACTGCGTGCTATGGGCCTGTATGTTTGTTTTGCGCGCCGCCTTCGACGTGGCCTTGCGCACCCGCTTGCGCTTGTGCGGCTGCCGTGACAGATCCGCGGCTGGGATCTCAAACGAGCCAGCTATAAGCTGACCCTGCGCGCAGGTAAGATATACCATAGCCCACATGCTTGGCGGCAGCGGCTCGCCCTGGCGCATTTTGTAAGCCTTGATTAGCTGCTTGCGGAAGTGAAAAAGCGCAGGCCGGAGACGCCAACTCCAATCGGGTGGCATTGAGGCCAGCGCTTCATCCAGCGCCGCTTCGTTCTTGAGGACGCGCTCTCGTTCAGGTGTGTTGTCAAAGGCGTAGTGAGGGAAGATTGAACATCAGGAAAAGCGGCCCGGGGGCTGAAGCGGACTCAGCCGGACTCAAGCGGGCTCAAGCGTCTCAAACGCTCAAGAGCCCCAAAAGTTATTGCCCGAAATCAAACGTTCTCAAGACGCTTGACTCGCCCTTGAACCCGCTTGAGCCCGCTTGAGTCGGTTTGAGTTTAGCCAAGCATCATGAATCCACTTCAAATTCAATTCTTCTCAATCACTAAATTCATTCGTAGATCACTAAATTGCCTATCATTGCTCAATCACTAGAAAATAATCTACACTGCACTGGGAACTACTATACGGATCTCCTCCCAGGGAGACCTAGCCTAGTCAGCCCCCCACTGCTCAAGCGCTCACCGTCGCCCTGGCGCGCCCTCCCGAGCATCACAATGCATGGTCGCGCCAACCGGCTTCCAGATCCGTCGCGCACATCTCAATCACCCCCAGCACGTCCCACGCTCTTGCCCATCAGTCGCGCGCATTCCCGCACTTGTCCCCGATCCACCGCCCGCCCCACACTTGTCGTCGCCCGAAGCGCATCTCCCAACGCCGCGACACGTGTCCGCGCAGCGCATGCTGCCGACATGTCACATGCACCTCCTACTACCATTAGCACGTCCTGGGCTCGAACACGTACCTGCAACACTCCTCGCGTCGTTCTGCGTTGTCCGGCGCTCCTCGTGTCGTGCGCTCGCTCGGGCTCGAAAACTCGCCACTCGGCAAATGCCGAGCTCGCGCCGAGGCTGCGCTCTCGCGCCTGCCATCGAGTTGCGCATCCCGGGCATATGCCAAGGACGTGTGGCGCTCGTCGGGTAGCGCACTTGGGCGGAGAAGGTGCCCCGCGTCGTCCTGCGTGTTGCGTTGAATCCTACGTCCGCGCCGGCTGCTGCTCCGGTCTGTCCCGAGCTGGCGCGCGCGCGGCACCTCCTTCACCCAATTCAGCGGGTGTATGCGAGCTCAGCCAGGCTGCACGTACTGGAGTATGCGCAGCTGACCGCGGAAACGAGAGATCGTTAGACGCGGCAACGTGGACATGCCACGTCACGCGGTGATCGGCCCTTGCGTACGCGGCGGCTGAGGCGGGGGTGCATGAACCACCCACGCGCACAGGATGCGCGGCGGCACGTAAGAATGCGGGTGGGGAGGGGGTTGGTGAGCGACGGCGACGTTGATGTCGCCAACAGGCGACCTGGGTTGGCGGTCGCCTTGGTGACGTGTAGTAGGGCGCCTCAGGTCGTAACGAAGCTGAGGGGGCGGTGGTGGCAGCAGCAGCGTCAAGAGAGAGTGAAATAAGGACAACGCGCGGCCTGGCGGCCGACGCGCGTCGAGTGGACAGGGAGATGATGATCGACAAGGACATGAGCGGAGTGGACTGCGGCCGGACTTATTCCGGGTAATCACGTGACCGGAAGCCCGGCACGGCTCGCCGACCTTCGCCGCGTTCAGTGGCGCAGTTGGTCTAAAGCAATATCACCCTTGAAAACGTCGCATACGTCATCGAGCAAACCCTTCAAGCACGCGACAACGCGCTCGGCGCTCGCGTCCGACCTGCACCCTGCCACCTCTGCTTGTCCCCGACCCTCACCCCGTTGCCTCAGATTACCGCTGTCCTTGTACGGTAGCACGAAATAAGAAATTTTCATCTATCCGGGTTGCAGACCCATGCACCACATTCAAGGCAATTGAACTACCGGCTATCCATTAGCGCAGATCCTATCGCGGCGGTCAGGCGGGTCCCATACTGGTGTAGGATGCCGTCACGTCCCTCTTCCCCCCTGTACCTTACCCGTCAACTTGCCCCCTCCTTATCCAGCCCCCTCGCCCGCACGACGCGCCACTTCTTGGGCGGCTTTCATGAGCAGGCTATGGCAGCCACCGAACACATTTATGCGACATTTCAGTGGCGTTTTTTCATTGAGCCACTGAATTGCGGCGAAAATGTAATGCAAACCGAGGAAGTTATTTCCATCCCGTCGACTACTTAGGTTGTATGCGTCGAACTTAGCTGCAGCGCGCTCGGGTGGCATTGTGGGCGCGCAACTTGACGCCTACAAGTCTGTCGGAGATCACCGAACACAGCCGCACGTGCCGTTTTTGTATGACGTATGCGACGTTTTCAAGGGTGGGATTGCACCAGTTGCGCAGTTGTGGTCACTGCCCTATCTTTACCCTAGGTCAGCCTGCTCCCTGTTCTCATAAAGCTCCATCTATGGTAGTTCTGGGCTATTGTACACATACTATACAGCAGGTCCACTACAGCTTTCTTCTTTCACTCCCTGTTAGTGTGCTCTACTAATTCCTTATATACTGTTGTCACTTTACTCAGACTATATACAGTGTGATAAATCAGAATATGAATAAAGTACAGATCCATCAATTCTCTTGAGCTCCCTTGAGCTCCCTTGACATAGGCCCCAGATTCTCAAGTGTGTTCAAGCAGGCTCAAGCGGACTCAAGTGCATTCAAGCGCCTTCGGGATCTGCCGAAATCTCAAGTGCTCTCAAGCGGCTTGGCCGCGGGGGTACTTTTGGTGATGCGGGTGTTCCGTGCGTACAAGGAGAGCGACAAGTTGATCGACGCGGACAAACGCCAGTACTACGCCATCAAGGACAACTGGTTGGAGCGGGGCCGGCGCACGGAATACGATATCTACGAGGACATCATGCAGCGCATCGAGGCGCACAACTGGCAGGGGCGGTACGATGAGGCGCCTAAGAATCGTTCCGCACTTCCACAGTACGACGAGACCCATACCAAGCCAGCGGATCCTTGTACGGGCTCGGCGCAGACGAGCGCAAGAAGTTCTTTGTCAAAGTCGTCACGAGCGAGGAGGTGAAAGTTAATGGTGTTCCTGATGATACGCATGAGGTGATTGGCAGGGGCGTCAGTTTTCCCAAGGAAGGTCGTAAATACCTCGTTGTGAGCGACCCAGCGAAGCTGCATATCAACCAGAAATCGGTGTTGTCCGGTGTCTCCGGAAACATGCACAAGACTGGGCACGGAGTCGAAGAGGAAGGGCGCTTTGATGGAGTCATCCCCGCTAGACGCCATCACAGAACCGTCATGGAGGAGGCCACGAACCTGCTCGATCTCCCCGATATATCGACGATATTCGCAACACTCAAGGATGCCTCCTATGGTGCGTACGGTCTGGGACCTGGAGAGCCTCGTATTGACCGCTTGAACAGCGCTCTTCATCTTGCACTCCATCGGAATGCTGTATAGGGATTTTAGCCCCGGCAATGTCCTGCACCGGCAAACCGACTCGGAGGCAGGCGTTAGAGGTGTCCTTGCCGATCTGGAGTACATTAGGTGTGTCACTGAAACACAGGTGCATGCCATGCGAACAGTGAGCGTGTGTTCCCTGTTCGACGCGACATTCTCTTATCTGAATCTCAGGGTACTGCCGACTTCTGTGCGCTTGAGGTCGTCTCAGGCGATTTTCTCTCCTTGGAAAGTTCCGATTTGTTGGCTATTATTCCGGACCCCGCCCCCGACGAGCCCCCTCCTTCTTACCTTCAGCCCGTCGTTCCCAGTGCCGCCCATTCTGCCTGGAGGTTCCGTGACGTGCACGACCTCGAGTCGGTTTATTGGGTGATTCTCTGGTTGCTTCTTCGGTATAGCACCAGTCGCCATGTCCCTCCTTCCTATGACCCCATGGCGCAGTGGAAGAAGTACAATTCATCACCAAAAGTACCCCCGCGGCCAAGCCACTTGAGAGCACTTGAGATTTCGGCAGATCCCGAAGGCGCTTGAATGCACTTGAGTCCGCTTGAGCCTGCTTGAACACACTTGAGAATCTGGGGCCTATGTCAAGGGAGCTCAAGGGAGCTCAAGAGAATTGATGGATCTGTACTTTATTCATATTCTGATTTATCACACTGTATATAGTCTGAGTAAAGTGACAACAGTATATAAGGAATTAGTAGAGCACACTAACAGGGAGTGAAAGAAGAAAGCTGTAGTGGACCTGCTGTATAGTATGTGTACAATAGCCCAGAACTACCATAGATGGAGCTTTATGAGAACAGGGAGCAGGCTGACCTAGGGTAAAGATAGGGCAGTGACCACAACTGCGCAACTGGTGCAATCCCACCCTTGAAAACGTCGCATACGTCATACAAAAACGGCACGTGCGGCTGTGTTCGGTGATCTCCGACAGACTTGTAGGCGTCAAGTTGCGCGCCCACAATGCCACCCGAGCGCGCTGCAGCTAAGTTCGACGCATACAACCTAAGTAGTCGACGGGATGGAAATAACTTCCTCGGTTTGCATTACATTTTCGCCGCAATTCAGTGGCTCAATGAAAAAACGCCACTGAAATGTCGCATAAATGTGTTCGGTGGCTGCCATAGCCTGCTCATGAAAGCCGCCCAAGAAGTGGCGCGTCGTGCGGGCGAGGGGGCTGGATAAGGAGGGGGCAAGTTGACGGGTAAGGTACAGGGGGGAAGAGGGACGTGACGGCATCCTACACCAGTATGGGACCCGCCTGACCGCCGCGATAGGATCTGCGCTAATGGATAGCCGGTAGTTCAATTGCCTTGAATGTGGTGCATGGGTCTGCAACCCGGATAGATGAAAATTTCTTATTTCGTGCTACCGTACAAGGACAGCGGTAATCTGAGGCAACGGGGTGAGGGTCGGGGACAAGCAGAGGTGGCAGGGTGCAGGTCGGACGCGAGCGCCGAGCGCGTTGTCGCGTGCTTGAAGGGTTTGCTCGATGACGTATGCGACGTTTTCAAGGGTGATATTGCTTTAGACCAACTGCGCCACTGAACGCGGCGAAGGTCGGCGAGCCGTGCCGGGCTTCCGGTCACGTGATTACCCGGAATAAGTCCGGCCGCAGTCCACTCCGCTCATGTCCTTGTCGATCATCATCTCCCTGTCCACTCGACGCGCGTCGGCCGCCAGGCCGCGCGTTGTCCTTATTTCACTCTCTCTTGACGCTGCTGCTGCCACCACCGCCCCCTCAGCTTCGTTACGACCTGAGGCGCCCTACTACACGTCACCAAGGCGACCGCCAACCCAGGTCGCCTGTTGGCGACATCAACGTCGCCGTCGCTCACCAACCCCCTCCCCACCCGCATTCTTACGTGCCGCCGCGCATCCTGTGCGCGTGGGTGGTTCATGCACCCCCGCCTCAGCCGCCGCGTACGCAAGGGCCGATCACCGCGTGACGTGGCATGTCCACGTTGCCGCGTCTAACGATCTCTCGTTTCCGCGGTCAGCTGCGCATACTCCAGTACGTGCAGCCTGGCTGAGCTCGCATACACCCGCTGAATTGGGTGAAGGAGGTGCCGCGCGCGCGCCAGCTCGGGACAGACCGGAGCAGCAGCCGGCGCGGACGTAGGATTCAACGCAACACGCAGGACGACGCGGGGCACCTTCTCCGCCCAAGTGCGCTACCCGACGAGCGCCACACGTCCTTGGCATATGCCCGGGATGCGCAACTCGATGGCAGGCGCGAGAGCGCAGCCTCGGCGCGAGCTCGGCATTTGCCGAGTGGCGAGTTTTCGAGCCCGAGCGAGCGCACGACACGAGGAGCGCCGGACAACGCAGAACGACGCGAGGAGTGTTGCAGGTACGTGTTCGAGCCCAGGACGTGCTAATGGTAGTAGGAGGTGCATGTGACATGTCGGCAGCATGCGCTGCGCGGACACGTGTCGCGGCGTTGGGAGATGCGCTTCGGGCGACGACAAGTGTGGGGCGGGCGGTGGATCGGGGACAAGTGCGGGAATGCGCGCGACTGATGGGCAAGAGCGTGGGACGTGCTGGGGGTGATTGAGATGTGCGCGACGGATCTGGAAGCCGGTTGGCGCGACCATGCATTGTGATGCTCGGGAGGGCGCGCCAGGGCGACGGTGAGCGCTTGAGCAGTGGGGGGCTGACTAGGCTAGGTCTCCCTGGGAGGAGATCCGTATAGTAGTTCCCAGTGCAGTGTAGATTATTTTCTAGTGATTGAGCAATGATAGGCAATTTAGTGATCTACGAATGAATTTAGTGATTGAGAAGAATTGAATTTGAAGTGGATTCATGATGCTTGGCTAAACTCAAACCGACTCAAGCGGGCTCAAGCGGGTTCAAGGGCGAGTCAAGCGTCTTGAGAACGTTTGATTTCGGGCAATAACTTTTGGGGCTCTTGAGCGTTTGAGACGCTTGAGCCCGCTTGAGTCCGGCTGAGTCCGCTTCAGCCCCCGGGCCGCTTTTCCTGATGGCGCGTGCAGCTCCCAAACCCATTCTCAGCACCCTGATTGGCAAGGGTCTTGACGGTGATGTAGGACTCGCCGCAGACCATGATGCGGTACTGATTCTTCCAGCGCTTGCCATTCGTACGATCGGGGGAAGGGTCTGGATCGGAGGAGAGTCGCTTCATCGAGAGATCGTAGCCAAGCTCTTCGCGAGTGGCGAACGCGAGCCGAGAGTACACGTCGATGAGGAGCTTGGCATCCTAGACACGGAATCTCAACAGAGCACTCTAGCGGCGGAAGAGTGCGCCTTACCGTGTTGAGATGAAAAGAATTGCTCGCGACGATGACGGCGCGGTTGAAATGCCAAAGGCGAACTTTGGTGTCTGCAAAGGTGATGCCAAAGGTAAAGCGCCGGCGAGCATCGGTACGCATGGTATGGTGCATGCTCCAGATGACCTTCTTGGAGTTCTGAGCAAGAGGAAGGTCAGTACAATGGAGCAAGATGCGAGGGACGGACACACGTCGAGTAGAAGATCTGCGACCGTCTGGTTCTCGGGGTCGGGGAGACCGATCACCCATTCGGAGTCTTCATCATCGTCCTGGTATGCGTCGCTGTCTTCTTCGTCGCCCTTGACGTCCGAGCCGGCTCCTACATCGTCATCATCCTCGTCCACGGCCGACCGCTGCGCGCCCTTCAAGAGCTTGTACTCCTCGGCAACAACAGTGCTGTCCCAGTTGAACATGCCGTCGGACTCGATCGTCAGCTGATGCACACCATCCGGCATCGCCGTGTTCACTTTTTGACTCGGGAGTGCGCGAGTGCCGTTGCTCTCGAGCGCGCAGGTCTGCTCTAGGCCGTCCTTGACCTCCAAACAGCGCTGGACGACTTGACCGTATATATCGACCAAGTCGGCGTACACGTCCTTCTCGCCGCCGTTGCGCTGAGACGGCGGCGTTGAGTAGTCCGTCCAGCGCGTCTCGTTGTTGACGACCTCGAGAGGGGCACGTCCGATGTCGTCGGATCAATTGCGCTTGTCGTTCAGCTCCGCTTCACTGAAGTGCTCGTGAATGCACCATCCCTCTGTGAGCTTCGTCGTCACTGCGCCAAGCTCTATCTCCGTAAGCCGTTGTGGAGGCATGAAATGTTGGATAAAGTCCTGGAGAGGACGCTGGACGACGCGGCGTATGTTGTTGCAAACAGCATTGCGATTCGTCCGCATATTCCCCACGATGTAGTCGCGGTGGTGGCCTATGCTTGATCGCCCGAGTGGCGTACCCACTGAGGCGGGGTGAGCGGAAGTCATGATGGAGAGAAGCGAGGAAATAAAGAAGACTCACCAGGCGTATATAAGTATATCGGGAGATGGCCTTCTGCGGGCCTGCCGTCACGAGTATGTCACGCTGAGCAACCTGTGCTCATTGTTCGATATGCAATGTTTGCCATCATCATCCTAATGAAGACTTACGGGGCTGGAGAAGTTTGTATATTGCGGACCGTTGTCCTGAACCCTTGTTTCGGGGGCGCACAACCGAGCGGATACGCGTGCGGAGAATTCGAGATGCACGAAGAAAGCAAGGCGCTCGAGGTCAAAGCGGCGCACGCGTTCCCGCCCAAAAAGACCATATTATTCCTTTTGGGTTTCGCCGCTTTGACCTCCAGTGCCTTGCTTTCTTCGTTTACCTTGAGTTCTGACTCGCTTCGCACCCGCTTGGCTGGTCAGAGTGTTCATCTCCGGTGACCTTCTATATTGGTTAATCTACAGCGTCACCATCAGAGCTCACATTTCCGCGTGTGCTTCTGCGACCTTTCAAGCATCGCCTCGCACTGGAAGGCCCCTCGGACGCTGATCACATCTGGCCCCTCGGCCTGCGCGTTGCTATCGATGATCACAATAGCTTCGCTCAGGAACCTAGCCGCCAATGATGGCTTGCACTCTCATCTCCTCCGGGGTCGAAAACGTGTGCATGGCCATCGGGACCGTCTGGCTTTCACCTTTGACTCGTACGACAACTCTGACCACGCGAGAGCTCGCTTCTCTGCTCGGGTTCGTCCACGTCTCCTCCCCTGCGCGACCGAGGGTGAAAGCTCGACGTCCATCGAGTACACCAGATATCGTCTGCTGCGGGAAAAAGGGACGCTGGATGTCGAGTTGCAGCACCTCCTACAATCCATCTGCTCCGAGGAGGAAGCTATCGAACAGCTGTATGGGCCCGTATATGCGGAAGGAACGCCGTCCGCCGTCTATATTGCCGTGCATTGCGATGGCGATTACACGCGAGTGGCCGCTTTTTGGGGTGCCCGGTCCAAATGGAATCGCACTTGGGTGCTCTGCACAGACCGCATCAATGACGCTCTATGCGTCGCGGGCCTACTCGCGATCCGGGGACCATCCTCGCGTCAAGCGCTAACAGTCTACACGTCCTCCGAGTGGCTTATACGCGCTGTCTGCTTTCGAGCGGGTCGGCTCGCCAAGCAGGGGTGGGACGCCAACAGTGGCGACGCGCTCCGAGCGCTGTGCAGGTGCCTCGCTTCCCGTCATGCGAGCACGCACTGGACCAAGTGCCCTAAAGGGGAGCAGATGCGCGCAGCTCGGGCATTGGCCGGCCTGCCTATAACTGCTCAGGACACGAACGACGCAATCTCGCTGGACAATCTCGAAGTTCTGCTGCCTGTCCCTGTCCCGCCGGCCGGCGCCGTGCTTCGCCTGACTGGGAAGGTTCAAACGACACTACCGCGCGATCCTCCAACTCCTCGTCCCTATCACTCTCTCGCTCCCGGAACTGACGACGTTGACCTTCATTCCGAGTCACACCGCTCGCGCGCGCACGACCGCCTGCTTCTCTGGGAGAATATGGAGAGATTGCGGAATGCTGCAAGGAAATCAAGCGCAGACTTCTGGGCACTTGTGCGTGAATGGGGCGACGCCAAACCGCGAGTAGCGAGTGTGTCTCTCCCTCAGCTAAAGGACGCATTCGAAGCACGTATGACCCTCCCCTCCATGGACTCACTCCGGACACTCACGTCTGCTGACGCGAGCGACGCAGCGCGCCACCGCGACGCCACCATGCGCGCGGCTCAGAGCATCCCTGACCGAACCACCGATACGACCGAATTCGGCACATTCTCGCGTCCATTTGACGAAGGGGAAATCAAGCACCTGAAGAAGCAGCTGCGCGCTCGCCAGGACTCCGCTACAGGGATAGATGCGGTGGCGTATAAAGCCATTCTCGACATCGATAACGACCTGCTCGCAACGTTCTTCACAAGATGCATCTCCCTCCTCGACGTACCTGCGGTCTTCCTCACCACAGTTCTGATTGGTATACTGAAGGCTGGAAAGACTCCTACCGACCCCGAGAACTACCGCATCATTGGCCTCGAATCTTGTCTCCTAGCAGCGCTTACATTGCTCGTGGATCACCGCTTCCGCGAATGGGCAGAGGACGGTGGACTGATTCCTCCGTCCCAGAATGGATTCCATGAAGGCTACCGCACTAATAACAACATTTTCATCTTACGATGTGCAATCGAACGCGCGCGCGCATCTGGACGGCCTCTATATGTCGTATTCGTGGACCTCAAGAACGCTTTCCCCTCCACTGACCAGGCGATGCTTTGGTCCAAGCTCTGGAACAAGGGGGCTTCAGGGCCGATATTCGACTGGCTGCGCATGCTGTACCGCCGCATGTCCTATGTGGTCAAGCAGGGCTCGGCGCACTCCGACGCCTTCCTCTCGACGGTGGGAATCCTGGCGGGCGACTCCGCCTCTCCCGGGCTGTGGAATTTATATTTCTCTGACCTGGACATCCCACCTCGGGCTGGAGACGTCTTCTTGGATGGCATCTGCGTCTCCCACGTGGAGCAGGCCGACGACGTCGCGCTCTTTTCCATGGCATGGAGGGACCTACAAATGCATGTGGATACTTTCAGCGCCTGGTGCAAATTCAACTTCGTCGTCATCAGCACGACGAAAACCAAGTGCATGGTCTTCGGAGGTCCCGCAGATGCGGACTATGTCATCAACGTGGATGGCGTCCCCTTGGACATCGTCACCTCCTACAAGTACGTCGGCGTGACTATACGCTCCGACCATCGGAATGTGTTTGCTACGCATTATGTCATCAAGGCGAGCAAGGGAACGAGTGTTGGAAGAGCGGCTTTTTCGGTCGAAAGCATCGTCGGTACCCTACCCGTGCGCGACGGGAAGACCATATACCTCGCACGTGTGGACCCGCATCTCACTGCCGGGTGCGAGGTCGTCCTAGACATGGACCCCGACGCGCTCAAGCTGCTGGTCAACTCACAGACCTCATTCATACGGAGGCTCTTTGGAGTCGGATCACAGTCCATCCTCGCGCCCCTACATACGGAGACAGGAATTCTACCAATCGCATTTCGGCGGCTACTGCTGGCGCTAGGCTACCTTCGTTACCTCCTTAGCCTCCCCCCAACACACTTGGCTGGTGCTGCTATGCGCGACTCCATGGCTCTCGCGAGCGCATCGAGACCGGGGTGGTTCAATGACCTGCGCATAATAGTCGGCCGCCTATGCCCGGCCCTCACCCACGTGTGGGAGCGTCTGCGTTACCTCGATGGCGTTGCAACCCTCATCAATGGCGTCGAGAGTACAGCGGGCGACAGACTCCGACAGGACCTGAGGACCGATCACCGGCTGGTACTGCTGCAGGGACAAGGCGCATTGGGTGGGAGTGGACCGTTGCCAAAGACACATCGGTCCTACTTGGACGTGCACATCCCCGCGCACCGGAAGGCGCTCACTCGCCTCATGCTGTCAGAGCACCCGCTCGCAATCGAACAATTGCGACGCGTTTCGCGATATCGACCACGATTCGATCGCGACCTTCGCATCTGCCGGCTGTGTCGGTCCGCGGTGGAGGATGAGGTCCACGTTCTCCTGCATTGCGATGGTGACGACGACCTAGTGCAGCTCCGTGGTGAGTTGCTTGCAGGATTACAATGCTCCATGCCGCGGTTAGAGCAGACATACGACAAGGAGTTCATACAGTCCGTTGTGGCAAGACCGCCTGCCGCTATCGCCTCCTTTGCTCGTTTCGTCCACCGCGCTTTCCTGCGTGTAACCGCTACACCTTTGCTGCTACCGAACAATGCGTGCGTGGAATTCGCTGCCTCTGCCGCATCATCATTGCTTACGTGAGACCCCAGGGACGTTTGACGTGGACTGGGATATCAGAGCGTATGCGATCGTGGTGTTCTGCCAGGTAGACATTGGCTCGCAGTCTACTAGGGCGGATAGGGCTGGCTCTGTTTAGGGCCCTCGCCTGAGAAGTCATCTACCTACCTACCTACCTACCTTTGCTGTTGACCTCGTGCACATCCAACACTCCGTCACGCTGGACTGTCATGGCTGGCTTCCGCCGCGGGGTATGATGGGCCTCCCCTTTTCGACGTGCACCCTGCTGGCGATTGCCATTGATACTCGGCTGTCCTCTGCATTTCGAGGAATTTCAGTGTTCGGTGTCATCACGAGAGAGGACTATCTCGCATGCAGCTGCTGCACGCATGACGCTCGTCTCGACTAACCGCTCGATGTCCGTGCAAAGGTACGCGCGCATCTGAGATGACCGCGTATCCTCGTAGGATGCTTTCGGACGTTGGGATGGCTCGAGAATTGAGATCCGTTGGTAGGTACTAACTTTTGCTCGCATACGACCAGAAGACCGTCGATTGCAGCGGTGAGCACCGTTGCCCTGCAGTTCGAGCTGGCTCAATACAAATTGTCCAATTTTGGAGAATTTGCGCGAGCGCGACCATTGAGCGAGGACTGCCAGCAGAGCGGAGACTTATGATGGCGGTTCTGTTGCACTATGCTCACAGTGAGGTCGAATGCGTTTCGGACTGAACTGGGACTTTTGTTAATAGTGATATCTGCGCATTCAATGGCTGATTGCTGCGAGTCTGGTTTCACGTCGACATCGCTATTCAAGCGCCAGACGCTCATCAGGATCACCCTGACAGAACCATTGACAGAAAGAATTATGCCTGTGTACAGCAAGCTCTCGCGCCCCACGACACGCTCTCGCCGCGAGATCACCTTCGCTATGACGGGCGGCGATGCTCGGCCTGCTCCTGGTTCTGCGCAATGCATATCCAATATATTTGTGTGCGCTCGTATACATATCGTAGAGGATGCGAATTCCGACTTCATCTCCATGAAGATGGCTCGAGCATTGGCAGATGCAAGCTACGTCCTCTGATTTGCCGACCTCGCGTCCGATGAGCATAGGCGGAAGCTCAAGCAAAGGGCATTTGGCTATCAGCTCTGCGTACAGGGAGTAAGTGTCAGAAACCCCATCTCCAGTAGCGTTCACCCTACGCACAACCCATCTTCGAAGACCTTCCCGCAAGATTGAGACTTCGTATAGGGAATGGGAAGAGGGAAAGCGTCAAGCGCTGCTACATGACTTAGACTTCCGGTTTACGCTTATTTTGTGGCGTTATGCGCGCCTAATTCATGGCGATACTGGACTTGGCCTCTTCCACAACGACTAATTCGCTCGCAAAACGCGGAGACTATGGCAGGCGACGAGGAGATCCAAGTCGACATCAGCGCTACGGCTGTCTGTCGTATCCTGACCGTGTCGACGTCTCGCCGGCAGGCGACGGCTCTGGTTAACCGTGCGCTCAGTGCCTAATGGTCGTTCACAGACTGACGATGACCCCTGCAGTCGTCAAGTGCTTGGATGAAGCTTCAAGTAGTGACGCTACGGCATCTGAAGAGGAGCAGATCCCCTGGACGATCTCGAACAAGTACTACTTTGCGGACGTGCACTTCGCGCCACATGCCATCCATGGATTGAGCCCCCATCGTGTGCAGAACGTACCTGCAGTCATATTTGCCTGGGCGCATGGAGAGGTGCGTATACATCTCTCCTTTCCATACATTGACTGACTGTCTGTTCAGGCCTATAAACATCACATCCAGCGACTCGCGAACGATCTGGACGGGTACGAGCCCGAGGTCTGCCTCGCCGTCCGCCTCGATCCAACGCAAGATATCAAGGACGAAGACCGCGCAGACGAGGAAGATCTCCGCGAAGAGGAGAACGCGATCGACGAGTTCCTCGCCTCGCACGGCTTCGAGTTCGTCGACGCGTCCGCGCGGTCGACACCCCGCGCGGAGGAGAGCACGGAGACCCACACCGAAGCCATGTCCCATGGTGCGCGCTCCGATCCCGCTGCATCTTCAGCCTGATCTCACCCCGACCCAGGAATCCCTCGCCTCCCGCGCGTGGTCGACGCGCTGAGCACCATCATGTGGCCATCCATGCAGTCGCAGGCCCGCCCGCGCGCCACCCGCGGCCGGTCCGCCGAGCTCCTCGACTGGGCGCAGGACTCGCCGGACACGTCCATCGCCCTCGACACGGACCACTCGCGCGCGGCCGTCGACGACATCGTCGCGCGCTCGGGCTCGGGCCTCGCCGCGCAGGAGGGCCGCATGCGCCGCGAAATGGAGGCGCTGGAGCGCTGGCTCGAGAAGGACGACTTCGACTTCCACGACGACCCGTGGCGGTTCAGCGCGCGGGCGGGCGGGAGCATGGTCTCCTCGCCCTTGTCGGAAGAGTCGCTCTCTGTGTTTGGGGCGCGGACGCCAAGCGCGGTGCAGACGCCGGGCGCGACTCAATCTCCTGGCGGATTTGACGACGACTTTACGGTCTTCGTGTCTGCGCCGCCGACAGAGGCGCACGTAAGCGACGTGCCCTTTAGCTCTGACGCCTCCTTGCATGCCGATACATCCTTTACCTCCAACGCATCCCTCGACCCCCACACCTCCTTCGACGCGCCCTTCTCCTTCGACCAGGCCCGCTCCCGCAGCAACAGCCTTGCGCCGCACGCGGGCCCGTTCTATCACTCGCTGGGCTCCGTATCCGACTTTGGCGACGAGCAGGCGCCAGGGCCACACGACATCCTGCCCAGCGACGACGAGGACGAAGATCTGCCTTCCCAGGCCGAGATCCGCGAGGCCTCTGCACGTATCTTCGGGGCACCGCACGCGTCCTCCTCGAACCCAGGCGCACCCTCGAGCACCGCGCCTCATACCACCAGTGTACCTTCCGACCCACCCACAGCCGCCCTCTCAGACGACCAGGACGACCCCGACGACTACGAGATGGCCCCCTTCGACCTGTCGCGTGTCATGTCCGCGCTGCAGGGGATGAAGGAGGAGATCGCGGGCATGGAGAACGAGGACGAGCGGCGGAAGGCGGCGGCGAAGGTCGCGCTCGGCTTGGTTTATGGGCTGGAGGCGGAGAGAGGGGGACTGGACGAGGAGAGGAGTGGACTGGAGGCGGGGAGAGGTGGACTAGACGAGGAGAGAGGTGGACTGAATGAGGCGAGGAGGGAAGATGGGGCGCGAGTAGGCGGGGAGGATGCGTAGCTCAGTCCGGGGTGCGTGATCCAGGCTACGATGCCGAGGACTTGAGGTTGTGCTCGGTGCATGTGTACGGAGAGGATCGCGTTCAGGGTTGGGCTGGGGAGGACGACAAACTATACCACGAGCAACGGAATGGAAACTCATGGGTTCGCGGTGTAGCATAGGCTGTACACTAGCTGTAGTTTACCAATCTAGACTTTCTTTATGCAGCGTATCGCGCGCTGGTCATCCTGAATCGTGCGTAGTTGCGGCATCTCATGCGCAGCGGATCGCAAAGACGATCTCGGGAAAGAGGCAACCGCGAGCTTGCGTTTTGCTCCTCGGGATCATGCTGACGGCGGGATGGGTCTACAATTGGTATCTTCATTTCGTATTGTTCCGACCAAGGTCGTCGACTAGTGGGATATGTACAGGGATGCGCTGGCGGCGCGGAAGATGAGGGCTACGGCGGAATGGCACCTGGCCACGACATATCTACTTGAAGCGCGACGCCTTGTCCAACACTACGCACAGCCGTCAGCCGAAGCCCATCGAAGACGATCACAGCACGCACCAGAGTCGTATGCCACCTCGCTCAGGTCCGTTCCCTGGATCTCGACGGCGATGCCGACAAGAGAGCGTCGAAGCGCGTCTTTGGAGGAGGCGTAAAGCATCTTGTTCTTGATCTTCGCATCATCCGGCGACCTTATCGAGGTGATCAGCGTCCATCATAGGCAGCCGCGGTCAGAGTGGCCCGCCTCCGTCATCGTCATCGTCCCATCGCGCGGGATCTCCCGCCAATGCGCGTAGCGTGCGCAGTCGAGCGCACAAGCGCCCTTCCGCTACCATACGCCCCGAAAGAACAGGCGCGAGACTCACCATGCAACAAAGCAGATCTTGCTCCGCTTGCCGTCCTCCTTCTCAAACTCGAAGTCGTACACCGCGTACCGGCACTCCTGCTCGGGCAGGCTGCTCACAAAGTCATCGTAGTCCTTGCTCTGCGACGTCTTCTCGACGACAATCTCCGTGTTGTCGTCCGAGAGCTTGTAGATGATGTACTTGATGCTCTTGCCGAGCTTCAGCTTCTGGTATTCGTCCAAGCATACGGGGTTGACGCCGACGCCGGAGGCCTGGGAGGACGTCAATCTCGAGGTCGCCGGCGCGGCGAGGGAGCTCATAATCGCGTACCATGATGAGGACGTGTGGGGAGGGATGCGACGGCGGTGGACGGAAGAAAGGCTTTATAGGCGTGGCTGTGCAGCCCAGATCAGCACACGATAACGACGCGCGACAGGGGCAATCGACTTTTATAGTAGTAAGCGCCCACTGCGCCCACAGTGGCTGCGTTTGGCGATGCGAGAGGCTGCAGCAGCGCAGTGGTGACTAGCAATGACTCTAATTGCTGCGACTGTATAGGTCTCAAACCCGCAGCATAACGGGTCCTCAGAACGAACGTAGTCTGAGATGTATGGACATGCGTCTAATCTCGCATACGAAATACGCGAGCGCGCACAGATATACTGAATCGAGACTATGCATTGCGTAGAGCCAGGAACATGTCGAGCATCGTCGCGCGTCATAGCGGAGGTGACACTGCGGCGAGAGCGTCTCGAGGGGCGCGAGAGTTTGCTGTTCACAGGCATGTTTCTTCTCGTCGAGGCTTGTGGTCTTGTCACGGAGATTCCAATGAGCGTCTGGCGCTTGATTGTCGACGTCGACGCGCTACTAGCCTCGGAGCAGTCGAACGTCGAGTGCGCAGATATCACTCTGCCAGAACGTGTTCAACCTCACTGGAAACACAACAGAACCGCCAGTGCCTAGTCAATCTCCACTCTGCTGGCAGACTTCGCTATAGATGGTCGCGCTCGCGCATGTTCACCATGAGATGGGGATTCTATCGAGTCAGCCCGACCTGCAGGATGGTGCTAGTAAGCCGAGCGCCTCATCGCTGTTGAGGAGCGCACTCACTTCGGGGGGTGTTTTGGGCGACAATGATACTGGTTGCCTTCCAAAGTCAGTTCTTGTAGTTCCTACATCGCGGATCGGTGGTCCCGACTGATGAGAGTGGCTCAAATTCTGACAGCAGACTGTCAAACTGTACTCGACGCACGTACAGTGAAGCAGCGGAGGGGCTATTGTGGTCGGATCTTGTATAGGGCCCGCGAGACAGCCACACATTTCTAGTACTATAAAGGTCCACGACAGGGACTAACGGAGGGTGCTGACAGCTCTGTGTGAGCAGGTTTAGAGAAGTGATGGCCTCATGCACGAGGCCAACAGCAAGAAAGAGTTGAAGGTCGAAAGCAAGTCGATCCCTTTATGGATTCAGGGCGCAAACATCCCCATATGGTCCTTTTGGGTGGGAAATCGCACGCGTGCGCCGCTTAGACCTTGAGCGTCTTGCTTTCTTCCTTCACCTCGAATTCTGACTTGCTCGGCACCCCCATCCGCTTGGCGGGGTCCGCCAGAAACAAGGGTTCAGGACAACGTATCGAAAAATTCAAACTATCCCAGCCCCGTAAGTTTTTAACGATGCTGATGGCAAACGCATTTTGAACAATGGGCGCAGTTTGCTTGACGTGACATACGACGTAGCGTCAAGGAAGCTTTTCGATAGACATATACAGGGACCTGGTCTCTGGTCAGTTATCTTTGAACATGAAGACGAATCGAGATGCCATTTGCAACGACATACGGCGTGTCGTTCGACTTCCAGTCACCGATTTCCTCTGGCATTTCCTGCCACCGCAGCGGCTTACGCAGGAGGAGCTTGGCGTAGTGACGACGAAGCTCACAGAGGGATGGTGCATTCACGCGCACTTCAATGAAGCGATGCTCGGCATCAAGCGCGCTCGGTTTGACGCCATTGGACGTGCCAGTGCCCCTCTCGGGGTCGTCAACAACGAGACGCGCTGGACCGACTACGCTACGCCGCCGTCGCAGCGTGAAGGCAGCGAACAGGACGTGTACGCCGACTTGGTCGATATATATGGCCAAGTCGTGCAGCGCTGCTTGGAGGTTAAGGACGGCCTAGAACAGACTTGCGCGCTGAAGAGTAATGGCGCTCGCTCACTTCCGAGCCAGAAGGTGAACACGGCGATGCCGGGTGGCGTTCATCAGCTGAAGATCGAATTCGGTGGCATGTTCGACTGGGATAGCACTGTCGTTGCCGAGGAGTACAAACTCTTGAAGGGCGCGCAGCAGTCGCCTGCGGACGAGGATGACGAGGATGTAGGGGCTGGCTCGGACGTCGAGGAGGACGAAGAAGAAAGCGATGCATTCGAGGATGAGTATGACGACTCCGAGAACCAGACAGTGGCGGATCTTCTACTAGACGTGCGTCCGTTCGTCGCTTCTTGCTCGCTCGATCGTATTAACCTTCCTCTTCCTCAGAACTCCAAGAAGGTCATTTGGAGCATGCATCATATCATGCGGACCGATGCTCGCCGGCGCTTCACCTTTGGCATCACCATTGCAGACACCGAGGTTCGCCTTTGGCATGTCAATCGCGCCGTCATCGTCGCGAGCCAGTCTTTTGACCTCAACACGGTAAGGCGCACGCTTACGCCATTTAAGTGCCCTGTTCAAATCCCATTTCTAGGATGCCAACCTGGTCATCGATGTGTACTCTCGGCTCGCGTTTGCCATTCCCGAAGAGCTTGGGTACGATCTCTCGATGGAGCGCCTCCTCTCCGATCCAGATCCTTCGCCCGACCGTACGAATGGCAAGCGCTGGAAGAATCAGTATCGCATCATGGTCTGCGACGAGCCTTACATCACCGTCAAGACCCTTGCTAATCAGGGGGCTGAGTATGGGTTTGGAACCTGCACGCGGGTATTTCGCGCGTACAAGGAAAGCGACAGGTTGATCGACGCGGACAAACGGCAGTACTACGCCATCAAGGACAACTGGTTGGAGAAAGGCCGGCGCACCGAGTGCGAAATTTACGACGAAATCATGAAGCGCATCGAGGCGCACGACTGGCAGGGGCTGTACAACGCTGCGCCTGCGTCGCGTATGGACTACAAGGAATACGACAAGGCCCACAGAAAACCCGCAGATCCCTTGTACGGGCTCAGTGCAGATGAGCGCAAGAAGTTCTTTATCAAGGTCATTGGGAGCGAGGAGGTGAAAGTCAACGGGGTCGTCGATGATACGCATGATGTGATTGGTAGGCGCGTCACTTTCCCTCAGGAAGATCGCAAATACCTTGCTGTCTGTGACGGGGCGAAGCTGCATGTCAATGATAGAGCAGTGCTGTCCGGCTTCTCGGGCAACATGCACAAGACCTTGTACGGAGACGACGAGGACGGGCGGTTCGACGGTGTGATTCCCGCTAGACGGCATCACCGAACCGTCATGGAGGAGGCGGCGACGCTCCTCGATCTTCCTGATATCAAGACGACTTTTGCGACCGTCAAGGACGCTTCTTATGGTCAGAACCTTTTTGCTGCAGCAACGCACAGTGCTCTGACCGATCTTCAGCCCTCTTCATCTTGCACTCCATCGGAATGCTGTTCAGGGATGTTAGCCCTGGCAATATCCTGCGCAGGAAGACCGAATCATCTGGCAGAGGCGTCCTCGCCGACCTTGAGTACGTCAAGTGTGTTACGGAGACGCAGTCTCATGGCGCGCGAACTGTAAATAATTTCTTGTCCAACGATGCTTTCTCTGACGCCTCAGTAGGGAACTGCAGACTTCTGTGCGGTGGAAGTCGCTAGCGGCGATTTTCTGATTCCGGAGGAAACAGCTTCGCCGACTATTCCACCCGACGACAACGACGGCGATCAGCCGTCTGCTCCTGTCCTGCCTGTCGCTGGCCGCGATCTACAACAGAATGCCTGGAGGTTTCGTGACGTTCACGACCTCGAGTCGATCTTCTGGCTCATCCTTTGGCTGCTTCTTCGGTATGACACCAACGAACAGGTTCCTGCCGAGTACGACCCCTTGGCGAAGCGCAGAACGTTCAACAAGATCTTCCCCCATTACAGGTTTGAGAACAAACCTGAACGGGTAGCCGTTCTTACGAAGGATCCGGCCCTCGACAAGGTGCTCGCCTTACTGCCGCCCACGTGGACATTGGCGCTCGGAAACGCTCTCCGCCACTTTCGCATTGCACTCATGGAAGTTTACGGGGGGCCGAAGCGCCAGCCCTTGCCTCCAACCATGTGGGCCTTGATCTATGTAACGTGCGCGCGGGGCGAGCGCATAGAGAGCTCGTTCACAGACTCGTTCGTGGGGATGTCTTGCGAAAGGCGAAAGCGCAAGCGGCGGATGCGCAGGGCTTCGTCGAATGCAGCGCACAAAGCTGTCGGCACGAACAGACCGTCTCACAGCGCGCAGACCAAGCGTGGCCATGATGAAATGGACGGCGGCGTGGAGGAGGTTGCCGGCGAGTTAGCGGGTGCCGACTCGGCGCGTTCCACGTGGCCGGAGCCCAAGCGGAGGAAGGGCGAGACTGCGCGGCGCTGACCAGCGTGATGGGGCACACATCCGGGGTGGACATGCTCATTGGCTGGATATCTGGATATCTGGGCTGACGCCACGGAGAGATGACAAGGGTGCTTTGAGCGTCAGATTCTTTTTGAGAGGGTGCTAGTTATCATGTGCACCTATGTATGTTTTTATCATGATGCTGTACTTTGTTTTTGTGTATGCTGCTATGTGATCTTCCCGGTAAAGCCTCGACTCGTGAATGACGCGGATCCTGACAAGGACCGCTAATCAATGTTGTACGGAACGGGGCCGGCAACATGCGATCCACATGTGATCCCCACGTGGTGATGATCAGTCGGGATGCGTGGCCATCACTCGGACCTCGGCGCGCCTTGCCTCCGTCTTCCATCTCTCACTGTCACTTCGATCTTGAGCTCGCTTCGCACGCGTTCGTCATTCAACGCAAGGAAGGGCGTAGACTTCGAGTATCAACTTGACACCCGCGAATAAAGAAAGCTCAGCCCGGGCGAATGGCAGCCACCCGCGAAACGGTCTGCGCGAAGATGGGCTCCGTTCCCGAGATCCCGCTTGAAGACTTCATCTCCTACTTTCTTCCCTCACAGAAGCTCGACGCAGGGCAGCTGAAAACCGTGTTCGACAAGCTCACGCAAGAGTGGCACGTTCATCAAGACTTGCCTGCGGGAGATTGCGCCAAGCGGAAGTCTTGCGCGGCCATCTGGGCCTCTGACAACGCTCCTCTTAGCGTCGACGATCAGCACCGAACTTTCTGGACCGGCTACGTTCGTGCGCCGGCTGAATTGTCGGGAAGCGCGAGAGTGGACTACAGCGACCTCGTCGCCATACACGGGCAGATAATCCAATGTTGTACAGAAGTGGACGGAAGCAAGACACTCAAGCAAATGACAACGCTAAAGAACAACGCTACACGTAGCCTGGCTAGCCACGAACTGCCTTTGTCTATGCCCGATGGCGTTCACCTGCTCACGACCGACCTCGCCGAAGAGTTCGACTGGCACGATGTCGTTGTCGCCGAGGAGTACATGTACCTCAGGGACTGCGCAGAATCTGGGATTTGGGACATCGACATGGACGTGGAAGAGCCGCACCCAACAGAGACGCAGCAGAAGCTAGAGGTGCGTTGCTCGTGCCTCCCATGCTTCATGCACTGATCACTGTAGCAGAACGCGAAGAGAGTCCTCTGGTGCATGCATCAAACCTTGTGTACAGATCCCCGACGCCGCTTCGCCTTCGGTATCACCTTCGCGAACACCGAGGTTCGCCTCTGGCATTACAGCCACGCCGTCGTCGTTGTCAGCAAACCCTTCGACTTGGACGTGGTGCGTTGTCTTTGACGTTGTTCTGGAGTTACGACTCAGCATATCCGCGCAGAACGCCAAGACCCTGATCGACGTCTACTCACGCTTCGCCTTTGCCACCCGGGAAGAGCTCGGCTTCGACCCCAAGATCGAACTCATTCGGTCACCCACTTCTCCCTCCAGACTTGAGGCGCCGCATCAGTACAGGATCACCGTCCGCGGACACCGCTACATTACCGTCAACATCATCTCGAACCAGTCCGCGGACAATGGTATCGGGCGCTGCACGAGGGTCTGGGCGGCGTATCGGGAAGGGGAGGACACGAAAAAACTGTATGCCATCAAGGACTGCTGGCTCGAGGAGGGCCGCAAGACGGAGTACGACATATACCAGGACCTCATGCAGGCCATCGACGCGTACGACTGGGAGCGGTGCTGCCATAAGCCGATGAAGCGGAAGAAGCTTGCGGATTACAAAGGCGCCGAGCCTATCGACCCGCGGTATGGCCTGTCCAAGGAGGAGCGCAAGGCGTTCTTCATCCCGATCTACGAGGGGGAGAAGGTCGAGATTGCGCCAGGTGTTTACGATAACACTGAGAAGGTGATTGGGCGAGGCTACGTCTTTCCTTGTCCTAGCGACCGCCTCGTGTATTCTGTCTATGAGGGCGCAGTGCTTGCGGGAGCGCAAGGCTCGGTCTTGGTCGGTGTAGCCGGCAACTCGGATACCACCGACTATCCGAGGCAGTCCAAAGGGCGCTTTCTCAGGGATATTCCCGCGCGGGAGCATCACCGTCTCGTGATGGCAGTAGGCAGGAAGTTACTGGAAGTCAAGGAGACTAAAGCCACGTTCTCGACCATCAAGGACGCTTCGTACGGTGCGTACTGTAACACCCCATGGATCAGAGTCTGACAACGTTCGCAGCGCTCTTTATCCTGCATGCAATGGGCTACCTGTATCGCGACATCAGTTCTGGCAACATCCTTCAATATAAGGGACAGGGTGTCCTCGCTGACATAGAGTATGTCAAGGCAGCAACTGCATTGCAGACGCACAAGCAGAGGATGGTGAGTAATCAGTGATGCATTTTCACCAAAACCCGCTAATGGCTTATCAGGGCACCGCGGACTTCGTCGCCGTAGAAGTCGTCAATGGCGAATTTTTGACCGAGCCTTCCGTCAGAAAGGGCGTATTAGCGATCTTGACCGGTCGCTTCAAGGACAGCAAGGGCGATCCGGCATCACAGGATGATGAACCGTCGTCAGACGAAGATGCCTCGTCCGAGGAAGAGGAGGAAGATGCTCCCGTCGCCCTCCCTATCGATGGACGTCAACTCGAATGGAGGTTCCGCGAAGCTCATGACCTGGAATCCATTTGGTGGCTGGTTCTCTGGATTCTGTTCCGTCATCACGCTATCGGAGTCGGCGCCCTCCCATCCGATTACGACCCTGTTGCGCAGTTGAACCGCTACAACTCGATGTTCCCGCACTATCATTTCTCGACCGCCATCGAACGGGTGGGAGTCCTCCTGTTTGAGCGCCATCTCGTCGCCGCCCTCCAGCTGCTTCTTCCCGAATGGCGTAAAGCGATGACCGCGCGTCTGAAGGAAATCCGCATCCTCCTGAAGGAGATCTACGACGACTGCCAGGGGAAGCCGCCCCACCCGGTGACCTGGTTCCTCGTCCACGAGATGTGTGCCGCTGGTGAACGCATTCAGGGTAGTCTGGCTCCGATCGCCGAAGAGACCTTGGACGTCGTCGCCCACACTGACCGGATCCCGAGGGAGACACTGGATACAGTGGATACGCAGGGATCCCACCGCGCCACGCGTATCAAGCGAAGGCGTCAAGATATGCAATCGAGTGCGGACTCCACTGAGTCGCAGCCCAAGCGCAAGAAAACTGGCGCTGGAAAGGCGTCTACCTCGCAGGGTCCTCGTCGCAGCGTTCGCCTCAATGGACAGCAGCACTGAATTGCAGCCGTGACATGGCGCTCCTGAGTCCTGCCTCGCATCTCTATGTGGCTCCCCGCCATATTGTCAAAGTTCGGTGTCGGCCACCTTGGGGAAAGTTATCTCTTTTACGCACTCAGGCTTCCAGGTTGTCTTCATGTGCGTTTATGTATGTTATCGCTGTACCAGCTTTGGGGTTTCGTAGACCTTTTCACTTGGTATTCTAGCTGGGAATAACGCTCTCAACATCGTAAATCGCAACTAACAATGCGCAATCGTCATACGGCCAAGATTGGTACGAATCCCTGCACCGCTTAGGTAGAAGTTAGACATCAACGTCCTTTGCTTTTGACTTCCACTTTGACCCCGCGATCTTCGTCTCTCAAACCACTTGCACTAACTCAAGTCGCTCTACCTCTGAAACCCGCTACTCAGAAACCTCTCGTCAGCAGCCGTACCACACTTGCGAGTGCTCAGGTGCTCTTCAAGTTCATTGGTTTTCACACACGATTTACGCTATGCATGACTCGATATGTAGATGTTCAGACGAGATTCTATGTATAAATTCGGTAGACGATTGTCCATAGTATACTGTACGCAGGTCAACACGCGCGATGAACAGGACAAATACAGAAGATGAGTGAGTAGACGAGCACCAAGAAAGAACGAGTGAGATTAGATGATGAGAGATGCACAAAAGCAAGAGATGCGGGCAAGTGACTGTGAGTAATCTGTGACACCAGGCTAGTAGACAGTGTGTAGACGTATCCCGGTATATGAACAGAAAAACAAACACGGGTATGAGGAACACGGAATGAAATAGGGAATAAAATGAATCCATAAAATACTGATCTGCGCACGGGGAATATCATCCCCTCTATCTTTTCTCCTCTGCCTTCCACCCAACAAACACACAAAGCGCGCGGCTCACCTGCCGCTTCTGCCGTCGGTCGCCGAAGGCTGAGCTCGCACCTGACGACCGAGGCTCCCGTGATGCGCCGGATATCTTCCCCACGTCCCTCGACGCCGACCGCGCACTCCCGCTCCGCTGCAGCACTGAGCTCATGGATCCCCGCCGCGACGTGACTGACGCCCGCGCCCGTCGCGCCGCCTCTTCTCGCCTATCCTGCTGAGCGCGCCACTTCTCGTATCGCTCGCATGCCATGTCGAACGCCTTCCGCTCCGGACTGGGTGCACTTGCTGCGGTCGGCCACCCAAAGCGAGACTCGAGAGCATATCCCAAGCCGCACCTGTCGCGCATGTCCATTTCGAAACGCGCGACTAGCTCGTCGAAGTCTTCCCGGGCCAACATGGCCACTTCATCCTCCGGCCCACGTTGACCCATGTCCGATAGTGCAGCGAGCGATGCGCGGGATCGAGAGCGCTGCAGTGCGCGGCGTTTTGCTTGATACTCTTGCACCCATTCCCACATCGGCTCAGCGCACGCCCGAATCTCCGCGGCACGCAGAGCGAGGTGCAGGTTCAAACAACGGACGTCTAGATGCATGTTGAGGGAAGGCACTCGCCCTAGCCGTTGCCGCGAGTTGGCAAGGCCTTCGTGGAAGCGGAAGATGTTCTGTCTTTGCGGGCCGCTGAAGCTGGTGAATCGGGACTCGTCGAAGGTGACCAATTGCGAGTCGTGCCGTACGATATTTTGTGTAGTGAGGATGCGGTTGCTCTCCTCAATTTGAGGCTCTGGTTGAGATGGTCTGCTGCCTCTCGTATGGCGCGAGCTGGGTCCCTCGTCGTCAGAGTCCGAGAGCGAGTCGTCGGAGCTGTTGTCTTCGGCTGGCGGAGGCGGCCTCGGCGGGAAGGAAAACTCCAAAGGCGGGTGTGATCGCACATCTGGAGGCCGAATGAATAATTACGTCGACGACCAATAGATGTGATGACATACCTTCAAAGTGCAAGCGCAGTGTATTCGCCAGCAACGACAATGGTGCTAGGTTCACGAACCGCGATGCGTGCATCTCGGTGTAAATGTGCTCGAGCACGGAATGGTCTCGCGGGTTTGGTGGGATGTCCTCGCTCAGCGTCGTGGTCTCCATCGATACGCGCTGGTGGAGATCGACAGATCTCGCCCGCCCACCCCGCGCGATGTCGAATGACCGACCGGACCTGGCGCGGGGATCATACCGCGTATCCAGCACAACACCAAGTTCAACGCCCTCCGCGGTCAAACCGCCAGGCGCCTGTACACCGAAGTCGTCGACGACCTCCGCGAGGCTCGCCATGCCGCCCTCGACGAAGCGAGAGCCAGAGCCGACAGACGTAGGGATCGAACTGTTGGTCAACGTGCGTGCGCGATGGCTGAGTCCACGGCCGCCCACGCTTGCGGGCTGCTGATAGTGCCGCGGTAGCGTTGGGCTCGGAAGCGGAACAGCGGTCACTTGCGACGACATGCTCTCCGTTAGCGATGGTCGAGGTTGAGACTCTGTCGTCGGGCTGCGTGATCGCCCGACGGCTGCAGGTACTGAGCCTTCTGCCGCTTGTTGCATTTCTTGCTCCGCCGCCGGTGACAGAGCCGTGTCGAGAAGATGGAGTACGTCCTGGGAGGCGTCCACATCCGGCGTCTTTTCCTTCTTCGCCGGCGTGTCGCCTTCGTCCTCTGGCGTACCCTCACCGATGCCGTGCGAAGGTCTTTTGCCGTCGGCATTGTCCGCATCGCCCTCTGGCGTGTCCGCGAACGTAATGCTCTCGATCGAAGAGCGCGCATCTTCATCTCCGTCGTTCGCAGACTGCGCGTCCTCTTCCACCAGGACATCATCCTTGTCGCTCTCCGCACTTGACTCCTCCTCTGGCTGCATTCCGGGGAAGAACAGATCCTCTTCGACCATCTGTAATCAAAACATCAGCCATCTGAGTTCAACTGTAACAAAGCACCACTCACCTCAAATGCAGCGCCTGGTTTCATGACCCGTGTGATCTCCTCGAACAACGCATCCCATCGATCCTCTGGCACGCCGAGCGCGATCCGCTTGACATGCACGTAGTCGAACTCCTCATTCGGGAACGGCAGACCCTCGAGGAAGTTCGCTTGAACCCACGTCACGCGTCCGGCGAGTTCAGCCGGAGCGCTAGGATGCAGCGGAACGACATCGAGACCGACGAAATGCGTGTCCTTCCACAGGCTGGCGCAGTTGAGAACCCAGGTTCCAGTGCCGCATCCGATGTCGAGACTTAGAACCGCTATCAGCAGATGGAGAAAACACGATGCGACGGACGTACACTTTTGCAGGAATAGGGTTACGCCTAATATCGCCCTTGAGCAGAGGATCCGCACCGACCTCCGACTTGGCGGCAGACGTGTCCGCTGGTTTCGGGTCGGTGGTCGAGTCTGTGGACGGCTCGACATTTGTGTCGTCCTTCTCGCTAGAGTGGTCGACCGCCTCGCTTTGCTCTTCGAAGACATGCCACGTATTGCTCCCAGTCAGCTGGTGACAGAATAGGTTCTCCCATACATCCCTGTATATGACCTCGTTAATCCGCGAACAACATGATTACAATCGTTTGCTCACAAATCCAAGACCTCTCGCTCGTAACTGCGCGGGTATGGCACTTGGTCTCGAGGATAGGGATGGTGCTTTTGCGGATGCTGGGGTAGGCCTGGGTAGATGTTATGAGTCTGACACACGGGCACTAATATCAGGAGTCCAACATACCTTTGATGACGAACTCTGCCTCCCTTGCACTCTGGTTTCGGCGCAATTCCTGCAGAATCGTTCGATCCGTCGTGTTGAAGCGCCCACCGTCACTGTCCAGGTCAGAAAGCGCTGCATCGAAGTCGTCAGAAAAGATGTGCCAGAAGCATTCACCCAACTTACCCTCTAAACCCTCCGAGCTTCTCGCCCTTCCCGAACTGCTACTCCCGCCCGCCACCGCCTTCGGCACCCCTCCAATATCTACAATCATCCTCCCATGCGCGCCATCTGCAACCAACACGCCCCTCTCATCCGTCGGCAGCACCCGCCCACGCGCACCAGACCCGTACACATGTCCATCCGGCATCACCACCACTCTTCGCCCGTCGCTCTCTTGCCCGACATCCGCTACCAGCACTCGCCCATCAGGCAGCACGACGCGGGTCGGACCACTCGGTATGGGCGGAGTATTGTCAGGAGGCAGCACCCGCCCCTTCTCGTCCACTGGCAGCGCACTCCCATCCGGCATCAACATACGGCCGTCCGCCAGAAACACCGGCTCGTCACCATACCACGTCTCGCCCACCTGCCACATTCCCTCTCCGGGTTTGCGGCCTACGTTGGTATTGCCACCGCCTCCGACGAGACCGCCCGCAACGCCGGCCCACATCCGCGCATGTGAACCCTCGTCGCGGCGGGAGCCTGGGGCGCCCTCCTGCGACTTGCCGTGCGACGACCCGCTGCGGAGGCTCTCCTCGCGCCTGACCTCATCCCCCTCTCTCGCCTTTCCCTTCTTCTCAGCATCCTTCTTGCTCCCCTTCCGTCCCCAGCCCCAGCTGTAAGCGCTCTCTCCGGGGACTCTCAGCACTTCCCCATTCGGGCCGCGCAAAACCTCGCCCCCGCTCGCGCCGCGCCTGTGCTCGGTGCCCGTGCTCTTGCGTCGCTGCACCAACGCCTTCGCATACTGTACATCCGGATGCACGCCGGGTGAGCGGACAGGAGGCGCGTTTGCGAGGTGCAGCGCCTGCAGTTGTGCGTGCTGAACCGACCCCGTCGACGTTGAGCCATGCCCTGCAGATGACGTGCCCGCTTCGGAGTGAGCTAGGGTTTCAGACAGTTGCGCCAACGACGCCGAAGATAGTTGCGAGAGGGACGTCGCTGATAGCAAAGAGGATGCAAGCGTGGATGACTCGGAGGTCGAAGGCCCAATAGAGGGTGCATGCACGCCCAGTGACGTCGCATACGCTGATGGCGGTGCCTGCGTCGAAATTGGCGGTACAGGAGTGCCTGTACGGACATGAGCCTCAAGTCTTGTTGACAGCCCGGCGAAAGCGCTTACTCTTCTTTCCCGAGCCCCTCAGCATCCCCGCCATTGTCCGCATCACCGGCGCTGCCGACGACGATCGCAGTGCAGGGGCAGCAGACGCAGACCGTGGAATCGGCGCCGCGACAGGCGAGTACGCTGTAGGTGCCGCGGGCACTGACTTCGCGCCCGGCATCTCCCCTGAACCTCCGTCCACTCGCGCCAGCGGTGAGCCTCGCCTCGGTATGGGCGACGCTGAGCGTCTCATTGTCGCCGGTGGAGAGCTGCCGACTCTCAGTGGCGGGGAGTGTCCCACACGTAGCGGTGGCGAGTTCCGTGCACCACCCGGGGGAGAGTTGCGCGCGCCCCCAGGCGGCGACCCGCCCATCCTCAACGGCGGCGAGTCCCCCGCAACTCTCGCTATCGGGGACACAATCTTCGCAACGGGAGACCCAATGCGCTTGATCGTGCTCGCGAGAGCGCCCGGGGTCATCGAGCTCGCCATGGACCCTGGCGAGGTGGCACGCGTGGTCGGCGACGTCCTGCGCAAGATCGGGGACGTCCTACGCAGTATCGGCGAAGTTGTCCGCTTGACGGGCGGCGCAGACAGGGGCTTCTTCGCAGCCGTGAACGACGGGTACACCGGCGTAGGGTCAACAATAGGCACTCTGCTGGCCTGGTCGCCGAAGCGAGAGGCCGTATCCGCGTTACCCAAGCGCACAGTAGGCGGCCGCGAGCTTAGCGTGGACACGCTCTGGCCCGCCAGACCCGTCACACCCAGCTCGGACACTGTGTACCCACCATCTGGGCGCGCATATGCGTACGTGGGTTGCGGCCTCAGCACACCGGGGCGTGTGGGTGACGCCAGGGTCGGCGAGGCCTGCGTAGGCGAGCCAAGCGACTGTGTTTGCGTCGGCGACCCAAGCGAGTGCGCCTGCGTTGGTGTCTGCGCTTGCCCAAACGCGTACGTCGGCGCTGGCTCTGGCGCGAACGACAGTCCCGAAAACAGCTCGCGCGGCGTGAGCTCTCGCGAATGCGCCGCGGGGCGGTGTTTGGTGTCCGCTGGATGCCTCGCGTCATCCTGCCGTTGATCGCGATGCTCACCACGCCGGCTCTTGAGCGCATCAAGCGGGTGCCGCAGGATGCCCGAGAGGTCTGCAGGGCCGTGCTTCACGTCTCCGTGGTCGCGCCCATGCGCGTGCTTTTCTGAGTCGCGTCGAGGGAGTTCCGACCCTTTGGACGGGGTATAAGCGTGTCCATGCCTATGTCCGTGGCCATGACCAGACCGCGAGGAGGTAGACGCACGCGGCGGTGATACTCCTTCCTCGTCTGTCCTGGAGTCGAACTGCGGAGGGGATGTCAGTATTGTTGTGGGGGAAAATCGAGCGAAGGGCAGGACAATGAATGAATGCGGAAGAAAAGAAAGCACGACACGGACAGTGACAAAACATCTGAAGCGAACAATGGCAAGACGAAGGCGCAGCTAACAAAACTTGATAACAGCAGCGAAATTGAGAAGCAGCAAGGTCGAAGCACAGCGGTAGAGAGCACACGAAGACAACGTGAAACCATCCGAGCCCCAAACTTACCCCATCATCGCTCTCGCTCGGTACCTCTTCGAACTACGCCAGCGCTTCTGAGCCTTACATCCAGTGTGAGAGTCAACTTACTCACCTCCCAGGGCACAACCTCCTCTCTTTTCAACGCGCTCGCGGGGTTGCTGCCGCCTGCGCTCGACGGGCCTTGTCCTTCGCCTGTAGGCGTTGGCGCCGTAGGCGTCGCGGCGCTCATCGCCAAATCGCCCACGCTCGGCACGCCCCGCACGCGACTCCTCGACCCGCCAACCGGCAGGACAGTCGGCGACACGGGCGAGTTGACCGACGATGCAGACGAGGGCGCCAAGGATAGCGTGCTCGCGCCGGGCGCCGTGACGCCCGGCGAGGTCGATGAGGAGGCAGTCATGTAGGAGCCCAGGGTCGACGTCGACGGATGCATGAACGCGGCCGGGTTCGCGTGCGAGGTCACCTTCATCCCGCCCGCGGCGCTGCGGGAGCCGCCGGCTGCGATGCGGGGCTCCGTGCTCTCTTGCGTCGTGGTCGACCCGCCCGTCGTCGGCCTTGACTGCACCACGAACCCACCGGCAGTGGGGCCCCTGCCTTCCGTGGCAGCGAGCCTCGATTCCACGACGAACGATCCGCCCTGCGGGCCCCTTTCGACCACGAAGGACGAGGTGTAGGGCGAGGGAGCCTCCGCAACCGCGCGCTCGAGCGCCTTCCCGCGGCCCTTGTCTGCGAGAAGGGCGAGGTAAGTCGACGGCTGCGCGGCGGAGGGGCCACCAGGGTGTCCGCTATGTGAATGGTCGGGGTGCGCATGGTGTTCGTGCTCCGCATGCGCGCCCTCAGCAGGCGACTTGCTCTTGCTCTTCAGCGTGCCCCGCTTCGTCAGGCTGACGCCCTTGCCAGAGCCGCTTGAGTTGCTCTTGCCTATACCGAGAGACGTCTTCCCCGTCCCAATCGCAAGACCCCGGCTCGACCCACTCGAGTTCGACTTGCCAATCCCGACACCCCCCGCGCTCACCCGCCTCAGCCCCATCGTGCCGAGCACGGACTTGGGCCGCGACTTGGGCGCATCGGTGTCGCGCCGGCGGGAGGGGGTGCTCGGGGTCGGTGTCGGATGCGCGAGGGCATGCCCCGGCGTCGAGAGCACATCATGCGGACCATCGTCCTCCACCACCGGCCCGCGGCCCCCTAGCCCATGCTCGTCCTCCTCCGGCTCGTCCTCGAACGCCTCCCAAGGACACAGCTCCTCCCTCTCCCTCGTCAGCTGCCTGACGGGCCTCTGGCTATGCGTCGAGGCGCCCAAGTGCGACTCGGGCAGCGTCACGGACCGCGTGATCGCGGGCGTGAGGTCTCGGGCGGGGTCGTACGCCTGCGAAATGTGCCCGAGCGCGGAGGGCGGGAGAGAGTAATCCGGATGCTCGTGGTGCGCGCGACTCGCGAACTCATGCCTAGCAAAGTCCGGGTGCGCAGAATGCGGGTAATCATGGTCGTACAACGCAGAGGAGGGGTAATCGGCGTGCTGTCCCGCGCGTGGCGTGAAGTCCGCCGAGTCGCCTGAGGTGTGCCACGCAGAGGCGGGCAGGGAAGGGTCGAACGATAGAGGAGGTAGGGAGAGCGGCGGCAGAGAAAGGGACGGGGTGGAATGGTTGTGCTGCGAGCTCTGGGTGTGCGCAGACGAGGAAGAGCTCGTTGTATGCGCTGAGGCCTGGCTTTTTACAGACGAGAGGCTCTGCTGCGACCCATGTGTATGCACCGAGTGGCCGTCGTGACTGTGGGTAGCACCGGTGGACGTCGCGGTAGAGCTGGTGGAGGTGGAGGATGTGCTATCGCGGGGCTCCGAGGGGTCGAATGTGGATGCTCTTATGGTGTCCATCCTTCTTGGGGGTGGAGGTGCCGCCGGCAAGCGCGTCGCAGATGGTCTTCTAGTAAGCATGCTCGTCGTTCGACGACGCGCAGGGGAGGCCGGTGGGGGTCCTGCGTGTTGAATGTTGGCATGGTGGGGCAAAGCTGCAGGTGCAGGTCAGTCAGGTGTTCATTGAAACTGTAGAGGATCATCAAGAGCGCATATATTAGGGTGTTGGGAACGACGAAAAATTGGGGAAATAGGGAGGGGTAGGATAAGCGGAGAAGAATGAGAGACGCAGTCGAGTGAGGACGGGAGCAAGGAGAAGAGAACGCACCTGAGCTACCCGTATGTGAAGGACCCACACTTCCTGGCCATGCCTTATCCACTTCGTCCTTCGGTGAGCTCATCGCGCCGCTCGCAGTCTTGGGGCGCGTGCGGCTTGACGCCCTCGGTCGCGTAGGGGTGCCGGTGGAGGTGCTTGGACGTGAGGTAGATACGGTGTTGGAGCGCGAGGATGTGAGCGCGCCGAGCAAAGAAGTCGAAGAGGAGCTGAACAGAGTACTAGCACGCGCCGGGGAACGCAGCGGGCGCGGGGGAGGGGAGGACGGTGCGAGTACTGGCGACCGGGGTGGTATAGTGGGTGACGAGGGCGGAGAAGCGAGGGTAGGGGATGTCGGTGAAGTCAACAAACTCGGCGAAGTTGGCGGTGAGATGATCGACGCGGTTGCGCCCGTGAGCGTCGCGCCTGAACCGCCCGAGCTGAATGTCGCTCCCGAGGCCGGGGAGGGGAGCGGAGACGAGAAGGAGACGCGTCTTGGTGGGCGCGCGGAGCCCGACGGGTTTGCGAATGCGCTCTGGCGCGGTGTTTGCTGGGAAGGTGACTGGGGGAGGGGTGGTGGTTGCGTCGCGTGTGGTATCTCCTGGGTAGCGTGTGTCGGCTGGCTAGCGTGTGCTGAGCGCTCCTCGTCCGGCGGCTGCGCTTCCCCGTCCCGCTTGAGGAGGTTGGAGTATGAGCGCGGCCGGGTGAGGTGTGCGGGGCGCGTGTATGGGATAATGGTGGGCTAGTCGGTCGGTCGTGTCGTGTCTGCACGTTGTGTCAGCGCGGTCTAGACTGGCAGCAGGCGGGCTGCGCACGGATAGTCTGTGGGTGTATGCGCGTCGTCGCCGCCGTCGCCGTCGCCGCCTCCGTCGTGTCGTGTATGTACGAGGTCGAGTTGGTATAGTGGGTGGGCGGGCGGGCTGGCCGGGTGACAGCGAACGCGGATGATCGACCAAAAGAAGGCGGCGGACGTCATCGATCCCCGCCGCGCTCTCCTGATTTCTGATTTCCTGCGTGCGCGCCCCCCTTTTCCTATTCCGCTATCCCCATCGCGGGATTTTCGCCAGCCCAGGCGGCATCTCGTGCGCCCAGCCGATGCGCTAGGCGCGCAGCCGGCGATCGCGACCTGCACCCCATCGTCCCATGTGTAACGCGTTCGACGTCGACAGTCGACAGCCCACCCTCGCGACTGCCGCCCGTGCCTTGCTTCCCGCAAACGCTATCCCCCACTCAATCGCGACGCTCGAAATCCCGCTGGGAGGGTCCCTCTCGTCGACCTCGGCTATCCCCTCGCCTCTGATTGCGTTCCCGACCGTATGCAGCCCTTTACGTGCCCGCGGTCTTCGCTCTCCGTTCGCGCCTCGACTCCTCCCGCCTCTCGACAATCACAGCGCGCATCTCTTCTCGACGCCGTCCACGCGCGCCGCGTCCGTCGGTGCCGCCCCATTCGACTTCCCTACGCTCAACTTCTACCTGCCATAACCAGAACTTCTGACCCTCCTACAACTCCTTCGTCCCCAGCAAACCGCAGCCTCGCCTCCTCTTGCCTCCGGTACTCCGCCTGCATGTATCCGCCGCCACCCCCAGATCGACTTTCTGCTATCTCCGCGCTCACATTCTCCGCGTCGCAATGTCCTCCTCTTTTCCTGGCGCCTTTCTTCAACAAATCTTGCCCTTCTTGCAGAAGGAGATATCTTCGAGTCGCACCTGATTTTTGGCCGTACATACACTACTTGAATTCCGCGAATTCGCTCTTCGAACTCCGAGAACGCGTCCCATGACCAGTCCACCTCAATTGACGGCACCGGCAATGTATGCGAGAAGGTATTCGGCGAGCTCGCCGCCACGCGCAGCGTCTTGTATTCACTCTATGTGGCTTCTACAGAAGCAGTTACGCCACCATCCCCGGCCAACTTTCCTTATACACTGTCCATATTCAATACTCAGTAGCCATACATTCAGACGGCCGCCTCCTCGGCTTTCGCGAACGGCTTATCGCTGTCCCTCTGAATCCTGTCCTTCTACCCCCCATTGCCCTGCATATCAGTCCTTCCCCCTTCCTCGCACATAACCTTTGCGTCCTCTTTCCCACTCTTAGGGCCCATTCACCTCTCCACAATCTAAATCGCTGCTTATCCCCCTACTCTCCAGCGTATTATCCCCTCTTCCCATTTTCCGACCTCTTTGTCTGCGATCTCACATCTATTCTTCACGATTCCTGCCCTCATTTTATTCAATCTCTACATCCGATCTTTTGCAAGTTCAACGACGCCACATCGGAGACTGCCGAAGTATCGGTCCCGAGGCACGTGACTCAAATGCACATCAACTCGAACATCGAGAGCCCGCGCTTCCTTCCGACAAGGATCTGGAGCGTTACAGTGGCAAAGTGTGACAGGGGCAAAGGAAGAATCCACAATATTTCAGCGAAACCTGGAAGCTATCAACTAGCACTGTAGCATTTCATGACGATTTGACAACAATACACGAGTGAAGCATGATCCACGGAGAATGAAAGCTTATATTACGACCGCAACGACCACTGCTGCGAAGGGACCATGGTGGACTTTCTTCGCTTGAGCTGGGGCTCCGTGAGACATCCCGACTCCTCGACAACCTCCTCCGCATCCTCGCGCTCACGCTTGTCGCCTACCTTGCGAGCTGACCCGCATATACCGCTGGCCGCGCCTGCTGCCTTCGCGTTCACCGAAACCGCACCCTCCTCACGCTTGTTGTCCGATCTCGAAGTTCCCTCCTCCAAAGCCGGTGGCACGAACGAGCCAGGAATACGCTCGCCCATCGCACACGTGAGATGCACCATCGCCCACAGCGTCGGAGGCAGAGGCTTGTCACGAGCCCGGTAAACGTCCCACAACTCCTCGCGAAGAATCGCCAGCGCGCCTACCATGTATTTGTTCCACTCCGGCGGCAGCGTGCCGAGCGTCTGCTCGAGGAAATCGGGATCGGCGAGCGCGCGGGATCTTGCGGGGGAGTTGTAGAAGGTATGAGAGAAGATTTTCGTGTAGTACTGGTCGTATTTTCTGTCGGCGTCGTATGTTGGCGAGACAGGACCTTCGAGATCATGCCGGAGCAGCAACCAAAGGATGAGCCAGAAAATCGACTCGAGATCGTGCGCGTCGCGAAATTTCCAGGCGAGACGATTATCACCTTCAGCAGGGGCTTGAAGTGGAGGGGCTGGCTTCTCTTTTGGGTCATCCGGGTCGCGGAATGCTCGCTTAGCATTATTGCGCAGAGGCTTCCCGGCAAGGAAGTCGCCGAGGACGACCTCCAGCGCGCAGAAATCTGGGGTGCCCTGTGACGTTGTTAGTAGGGACGTGAAGAGCCGTAAAAAAGGACATACAGTGCGCATAGTGCTCAAGGTCGGGTCAGTGACGCTTCTAACGGACTCGAAGTCTGTGAGGACGCCATGGCCGTTAGGTCGGCGGAGAATGTTGCCGGAGCTCACGTCCCCGTACACCAAACCAACGGAATGCAGCAGGAACAGCGCTGGAAATGAAGTCAGTTTACAGTCAAGTAATGGACGAAATGGCCATCGCGACTCACCGTAGGAAGCGTCCTTCATTGTCGAGAACACCGTCCTGATCTCGGGGTTATCGAGCAGCCGTTGCCCCTCTTCCATGACTATGCGGTGATGCTGTAGAGCAGGGATTTCGCGTAGAAAGCAGCCTTCTTGCTGGACCGGGAGGTCTATTTCAATCCCGTGCCTGTACGTGGCGACGCCGCACAGCACCGGCTCTTCGCCGACACGCAGGATAGCGCGCTCGCAGACAGCGTAGACCTTGCGATTCTCAGGAGGAAAGCTGCAGCACCTGCCAATCACCGCATGCGTGTCGTCGACAACCCCACCGACCTCGACCTTCTCACCAGCAATTACCCTGACAAAAAACTTCTTCCGCTCATCAACGCTGAGACCATACAAAGGGTCTGCGGACTTGGTCGACTCAGAGATCACTTCAAACTGCAGGAGGTCCGTGATGTTCGTCGGCGCCGCGTCGTGAAAGCCTTCCCAGTCGTGCTCTTCGATGCGCTTCATGATGTCCTCGTATATCTCGTACTCGGTACTCTTGCCGGCCTCCACCCAACAGTCCTTGATCACGTAGTATGTCCGGACCTTCGCGTCAATTGACGCGTCGCTCTCCTTGTACGCGCGATACACACGCGTGCATTTACCAAGTCCGCGCTCGGTAGCATGGTCGGCGAGGACCTCGACGGTGATGTACGCCTCGCCGCAGATAGTGATGCGATATTGGTCTGAGTGCGCCCGATTCGGGCACGATGATGGGAGGTTGCGGAGCAGCTCGATGTTGGGGTCGTATCCAAGTTCTTCTAGCGTTGCGAGGGCCAATCGAGAGTAGACGTCGACCAAGGTTTGTGCGTCCTGCGGAAAAGATCGTCAACAAAAGGGCACCGCGCTAGGAAAGCAGGATGAGACAGCTTACGGTGTAGAGGTCGAATGGCTCGCTCACGACGGCCACCGCGCGATTGAGATGCCATAGGCGGACTTCAGTATCCGCAAAGGTGATACCGAACGTGAAGCGCCGACGAAGATCCGAGCGTAGAGTCTGGTGCATGCTCCAAAGGACCTTCTTCGAGTTCTAAAGATGTGTCGGGTGAGTAAAAGGCAATGCGGAAAAAGAGGGTAGACACACGGCAATGATCTTGTTCATTGTTTGATGGCTTGGACCCGAACGCGAGATCGAGCTATTGCACCTACGATAGCTTGTGTGTTCATACTCCTCGACGACGACGACGTTGTGCCAATTGAATATGCTGTCTTGCTCAGCAATCGGTTGGTGCACGCCGCCAGGAAGTGACCACTTCTCCTCTTCACTTTTAGTCTCGAACGTCTCGCAGCTCTGAAGCGCCAACGTCTGCTTAAGCTTGTCATTCACCTCCGAGCGACACTGCACGATCTGCCTATGAATAGCGACGAGACCACCGTACGTGCCCTCCTCGACTTCGTGCAAGTGAGGCGGTAGTCGCACATAGTCGGTCCATGATGTAAATCCACCATTGCCCGTCTCGGGAGACGCACGCCTCGTTCCCGGTTTTTGCGAGCCACGCTGCTTCATGTTGGCATCTTCCTCGCCGAGATGTTCATGAGTCCTTGATTTCTGCCTGATCTTCGTCATCACTTGCTCAAGCTCCTTCGCGGTAAGTTTCTGTTTGGGCGCAAAATGGCGGAGGAAGTCGTTGAGAGGCAGCTGAGGAACAGCGCCCAGGCGCTCGCAAAAAGCATCGCGGTCGCTTTTCATGTCGTTTTGAGGGCCTAGGGGATGCGGGCTGCCGAGGTTGCGTGATACCAGCGCTGAGAAAATAGGTCCTGAAAGTGCTTACAACACAGAGGAGCGTGAAAGAAACGGGAGCCAGTGAGCGACGTGGAAGGCGGAAGCAAGGCACGGCGGGGTCTAAGCACCATGCTTTGATCAAAGCGTGGTCCGACCAATCATTACCATATGGAGATGGTCCGAGCGTAGGTCCTTACTGGTCTTCTCCGACTTCCTCACCTTGCGCGTGCCAAGCGTGAGCGTAGTCTATTCAGTACGCATGCGGAATGGGAGATACCGCTCGGCAATGAATAATAGCCGGACGCGGCAGGTCAAGGCATAACAAGCATGCCATGAAGCGTGCACTGGTTGCGAAGCACCTTCGAAGCGTTGCGCATGGTCCTTGCCTGGTCCTTCCGTCACCAGTTTGGCCCAAGCTCAATTGTTATTGACTGAGGGTGGTTGCTGGCGCTACTCAGGATTCCCATCGTGGGATTGCCTATTGTTCAGCGGGGACTATAAAAGTGCTCGGTCGGTTGCGGGGTCCTTACAGCCTTTTCTACCCTCAGCTACCCACCCAGCCTAGCCACTCGTCATCCACGAAGCAAAAGCACCTCCTCTCCTTTCGCGACAATGCCGACCTCCGACTCGATGTGGGCACCACACAACGCGGACAAGCGCGATACGTGGTTTGGCGCCAAGCGCGCCCAGTCGAATACCACCACAGATCGAGCGAAGCATTCCTCGCCACGCGACATAGCGAGCAATATGAAGCCGCTCGACAATCAAGAAGATGCGCCAAAGACTCCCACTAACATCCAGCCTCCCGCGACCAGTGGAGCTTACCAGTCGATGTGGGCCCCACACAATGCCGACAAGCGGGCTAGATGGCTGGCCCAATCACGTCCGTCTGCTGAAGACGAGCCGAGTCCGACTTCGGTCCGCAAGGCAAGCCTGAGTGTGTTTGTGGCAAGCGAAGCAAGACTATTGCAGACCGCTCTGTACGAGGCGCTGGATACTTCCTCGCAGGAAGGGGACATTGCTGTCCATGGAAAGCCCATGAATACCGGTACAGCACTGGACGAGCTGGAGGACGCGCCGAGATCGGCGAAAGGTTTCGCCATTCGTGGAGCGAGCGCCGGGGAGAGAGTCGTCGAAGATTTGGAAGAGAGCGGTGAGTCTCGGACGCCTCGCAGGGCAAAGAAAATCAAGAGACACACGGCGTCCGAGAGCGCGCCGTGGGGGAGATGGGAGCACGATCACTTCGAAAGCATGTAGAGGAGCTATGACCGTTGTAGGCAGGAGGAATCAGTGAAGGAAGCAAGACAATCTCGCGGCGTGAAGCTTACAAACCATCTTGAAGAGGTTGTTAACATAGCCTGAATAATGTTCAGCAATATGTACCAAACTTTATCTCTTCCCACTGTTCGAAGAACGTGCTTCTCAGAGCTCAAGTAGGGGCGGGGGCGTCGAAGATGACTGTCGGAGATAGGCGACGTGATATTTCGGGTATTGCCGGCGCTCTGCTACCGTCACAATCGTGTCACGGACCCACCCTTGTCTTTCGACCCTCAGGGTCACTGTGCAAGACCTGTATCGCTTCGACATCTCTGGTATCGAGATCGGATGGACTACGCGGGACTTAGTAAAGAACGTTCATTATAAGCGACACCCACGATTCTGCAGGTATGGCGCATCTCTCCCGTCACCCATGGGCTTCACCGGATACGGGCTCGCGGGAGTCGACCCGTTCGGCTCCATAATAAACCTCCAAAGCGTCTTCTACCTTGCTTTTGTAACAGTCCTACGATCAGACTGCGACCTGGATTCTCTGACTTCACTAGCGATGGGTCATCCCACGAAATTAGCCGACAACTTTCAATAAGCAGTTTTCCACCTCGCCTTTTATCGTACTGCCCATGTCCATGTGCAAGTCAGGATAGCTGCCGCCTCAGGTGGCATATATGCAGAGCGCAGCTCAAAGGTTCAGCATCGACTCAGTTACCACCTTAGCTGCTATACCTCCACCAGCAATGGCCCGCATCGCTACCGTCTTCCTCGCCACAGGCGTTCAAGGTGAGACTCTCTGATCTATCGGTCGTCTACTCTTGTGATGCCCTTTGAGCCTGAACTGACTTCTTCTGGTCTCGAAGGCACCTCCGTCGTCCAAGCCCTGCTAAAGGACGGCACCTTCAAGCCTCGCGCTGTGACGCGCAATGCTAACTCCGACGCCGGGCGCTCCCTCGCTGCCCTCGGCGCCGAGGTAGTGGAGGCCACGTTCGACAACAAGGAAGCTCTCAAGCGCGCTGTTACCGGTGCGGAATGCGTTTTTCTGGTGAGTCCGCCGTCGCTCCATCATCACCTATCGCCGAATCTCCATTACCGCACAAACAAACCATGCCTTTACACTCTGCTGACACGGTCTCTCACCTACAGGCTACCATCCCTACCCCGGGAGGTCTGCCCGAGCTCACGCAGGGGAGGAACGTTATTGAGGCTTGCAAGGAAGCTGGCGTGAAGTTTGTTGTTTTGAGGTGAGAGCTTCATGCGCAAAACGATATCACTCACGCTAAATCCGAGTCAAAGTTCTCTTCCGAGCCTGAACGAGCTCTCGCACGGCCAGTACACCCATGCGCTGCACTTCGACCGTACGTGAACAACTTCTCGAGGGCTCAAGCATACTATTTACCATATAAAAGACAAGGCGGCGCTCCAGAAGGACCTCGAAGAGTCCGGGATCCCCTGCGCATCTGTTTGCCCTGGCTCTTTCCTCGAGAACATCTCGCGCGGGTAAAACCGTATTCACATCTTTTCGTTACATATGCTCACTCGTGGACCCTCCCCAGCATGCTCGGTTGCCCCTTCGAGGAAACGGATGCGCACTACATCCTCCACACCCGCGAGGTCGCTGGCCTCCCGGTCGTACAGACCTGGACTGGCCGCGACATGGGGCGCGCCGTGGCTGCGCTCTTCACGCAGTACGACACGCGCGGGCCCGAGATCGTCAAGAAGACTTTCGTGCTCGGTTGCCAACGCGCTACAACGGAAGAGGCGGCGGCGGAACTGGCTAAAGGTACGGAGGACAGGCATGCACGAAATCAGAGTGCTCATCGCTCATCGCCATCCTTCACGCAGGTCTAGGCAAGCCCGTCGAAGTCCAGCGCCTTGGTGCATTTGGGATCCCGCCCATTGATGAGATGGTATGTTTCCTCGCCTTCGACATCATCTGGAAACTCATCCAATGAACTGCGACAGTGGGCTGCCGCGGCCGAGTTCGACTGGTACCCTGGCGTCGACGTCCCGGACAAGCGTCTAGCTGCGCTAGGCGTGGAGGTAGGCACTATTGAAGGGTTTGGGCGGGAAGTGCTGAAGGGGGCGCGCGTGGAAGCGAGGGCAGCGGCGTTCCATTGAGGGTGCGCAGGCGCTCTGCCTGGTGCTATTGCAACCGGATCACTCCAAGAAAGAGATGTATCGAACGGTTTTCCTTATTGTTTATTCAGATTCAATGGTCTTCCCAGTTTTGGACGTCTCGCATCCCAGAGAGACTCTATGCCGACCACAGAACGTCACGGTCACGGTTGAAATCTGTAGATATCACGTGATCTGTTCGCATTGATCCGGAAAGGATTCATGGCTTACATCAGCGCGCGAACGCCGTCTTGTTCGAATCCCGCACGTTATAACCCTCGTCTGTCGACTTTGAGGGATTCCTGACGCGTACAGCTGTAAGTACAGACTTCCATACATTGAACTTCAAGACTCAAATAAAATCACAGAATCGATATGGACCCCGCACCAAGGCAGCCGCTATCCTCGTCAAAGTACCATTTGCCGTACTTCAGCCCGTCCGAGGTCGCCATACTCTCCGCAAAACAACGCGGAAAATTCTCCATCCATCAGGAGGAGCGGCAAAGACAGAATGCGTGCTCTTTTCTTGAGGCTATGGGCGGTCGTATCGGATTGTACGTATACTTTCCGCACTGACACCACACCTTCGTCCTTAACGCCGGCACTGCTATGCTCAACGTTGGCACCTATTCGTTCGCTGACCAGATATACAGCCCTAGGAAGACTATTGCCATGGCTCAGCTCCTATACCATCGCTTTCACCTATTCTTCCCGCTAAAGGACTTCATATACACAGTAAGCTTTTCTATGGCCTACGAGCCGCGATCTAACTCCACTACTCAGGACGTCGCGCTCGCCGCCCTCTTCGTATCGACGAAGATGCAGGACACGCTGAAGAAGCCACGCGACCTGCTTGCAGTCTCTTACGCAGTTCGCTTCCCCGAACTGGCCGCGAAGACCAAGCACCCAACGGGCGAGATCGACATTGACACCATGGATCCTGCGGTAAGCCATCCTAGCGTGCAATAGCCTCTTGGCGTCGTCGTAGCGTCTGCCCGTGATCGTGGGACTGACCCTGGGCAGATTGTCGAGCAGGACCGGCAGAAACTCCTCGCCATCGAGCGGCTGCTTCTGGAGACGATCTGCTTCAATTTCACATCGCGGCTCTGCTTCCCCTATGTGATCAAGATTGCAAAGCGGCTTGCGGGTGAGTACGCTGTCAGGCAGAATCTTCATATATAACCGCTTATGACGCGCTAGCGTCCAAAAAGGTCGCCCAGTTGGCGTGGCGGTTGTCGATTGATAGGTGAAAGGAGTCTGTTTACCGGGTTCGAGCCGTTTACTAATGCGCACAAGCCACCGCACCCTCATTCCGCTCCAGTACCCGCCGCACACGGTGGCGATGGGCAGCATATACGTCGCCGCACTCCTTTCTTCGTTCGAACAGGCTCAGGAGGACGACCCCATCGGCACGACCAGCAGCCACGACATCGCGCAAATGCTGCACGAGCACGGTGCCTGGGAAGCCTCCTTCCAATGTCAAGTCGACGACCTCGAAGGTAATAATCCAGCTCCACTTCACCTTCTACCTAACCTCCAGCAACTGACTCTGACCCTTACCCGTAGCTATCGCGCACGCCTTGATCGACCTCATCGGCCAAGGGCTCCAAAACCCCGCCACGAAACCCTCCCCCCGCACGCCCTCTTCCCCCTCCGCCGCCGCCTCTACGGCGCCCGGTGGTAAAATGAGCTCAGGCAAGGCCATCCTCCGCCTCTACGACGCCGACCAGCTCCTCCGGCTCAAGATCAAGCTGCGCGAGACGGAGCACGAGCCGCGCGCGCGGAACCCGATCGGGCAGGCGGACCCGACGGCGGGGCACAGGAGCGACGATATCGCGATGCTGGGAAAGAACGAGGGGACGGTGAGGTTCATGTTCGGGCCACCGGCGGTTGTGGGTGCGGGGTCGTGAGGGATGGGAGGGGTAGGATAGAAACGGAGCTTGTGGATATGGTAAGCTGGTATTGTTTGTGAAAAGACGGTAATATACAGCGTCTTCGTGAGCTACATCGAGAGGGATATGTATATGCAAGATCGTGCTATCTGTCCATTCAGTCCTTTCGTGTCCGTGCGCGGTTCCCCGAAACCCTGTTTCATCGTCGACGCGGCAACTCTGACAACGTTAGACACCATCCCCGCGCGATGGCTTGCAGAAGTGCTGCGAAGGTTTCAGTCGAAGGTCACCTAACACAATATTCAACCCACGTTCAGCCTCGTCGCATGCTGTAGCCTATGCGTCTGCGTACGGCAGTTCCAACCGTACCAACAATTCTCAGCTGGGATCGTTTCACCGGCTATGAGGAGGATTGGTCAGAATCTAATGATAGCACACGTACCAGAGGGCAAGAACGAGACCATGGGCGAACAGAGGGACAGAACGTACCGTTCCTCTTCCTATCGAGCCACCAACGCGGCAGGAACTCGGATATGACGCCTTTCAGGCACTCGGCGCACAATGCGCTCGACGTGGACAGCCCGTCCCACGGGCCGCGCGGTGAGGATGGGAGCGCTGGCTGAGCCGATGCGCTGCTACTAGCGAAGGCGCCCGAAGCGCTGCCGCTGGAAGCCTCCGACGCACCACTCTCGTCATCGTCTATTGCCTCGGCCCACTCCTCGAGGCTCATGCTTTGAGGAGCTGCTGTTGCGGCCACAGATGAGGACGCCGTTGCAGCTGCGGCTGCGGGTGAGCGAGTAGAAGCATCGGCCGGCGCGGAGGCGTCGGACGCCGATGCGACCACCGGCGTCGAGTACGCAAGGATCGCCTTCAGAAAAGCGCCGTAGTCAAAGAACGCAGTGCCGTCGAAGTATGCCCCAATCTCGAACCTTTCGGTATAATGGCGACTGAGATGGCCCTAGAGCGATACACAGTGAGTTAGAAGAGTCCATGGTAAGGAGGGTTCAACAAAACGGTAGGAGGGTTCAACAACCAGGGAGGAAGGAGCGGTCGGGAAAGTGTAGGGTTAAGCCTGAAGAATGCATACCTTGAACAAGCTTGGCAGCTCGCGGTGATTCAACCCCTCCACGCCGAAGAGGTCATCGTAGTCTATGAGGAGGGGTCAGACACGTGGAGAAGCGAGCTCGTTAAGGGTGACATGCTCGACTTACTCGTCTCGTCGTACAGTTCCAGGCCCTTCACTTCATGACAGCGATCGCACGTCGCATGCTCATCGGGTATGCTATCCAAAATGGCCCTCCAATGGTTGCTCCTATAGTCGGCCTGCCAGGAGGAGTCAATTATGATGTTCCGACAGAACGATCCATTACGATGCAACGATAGAAATCAAAGAAGCAGATATCGAAATAGCAAGAAGAATCGAAAGGGTAGCAAAATACACACCTTTCTTGCACTCATTATCCGCGCAACAGGCTGGCTGAGGAAAGCGCAGAACATCATCTCGGACCCGTCCGCGTCGATGGCATCCTCTTCTATCGGGGCAAAGCTACGCGCGTCGTAGCATTCCAAGGCTGCCAGCGGCCCGCGGGCGAGGAAGAAGTCGTCGAAAAAGTCTGAATAGTGACGGTCAGTCAGTAAGTCGGATCGGGCACAAATGGAATATAAGTCACCCATGGAGACAATGACATGTTCCCCTGACTCCACCTCTCTCCGCACGCAGTGGGCTATTTCGGTGATGAAGTCGGCCACTGCTTGCATCTCCCGCAGGTCGTCCGTGCCATATTGATCCAAAAAGTCGCGGTGCTTTTCGTATAGCTAGGGGGGCACTGAGTGTCAGCAAGGCCGAAATCAGGAGTAGAAGGCGGAGAACACGTCAACGTGAGGGAGAAAAACACGGACCTCTTCGATACTTTCCCTATCGGACTCTTCCGCCTCCCAATCGTCGTCTACGCCGCCGTGTATGTGGCAGTACAGCATGAGCCGGTACACTGCGCGCCGGAATCGAAGAGACTCCAGACTCGTCAGTTGTGAGACCGTAGGCTTGCGAGTCTTATGCCTGCAGCTAAACGTTAGCAAACCCGAACACAAAAGGTAGTGTTGGTATAGAGGATTGCTCAAAGTGCAGCGCGTCAAAGGGAGCAAGAGGCCGAGCTCACCTTCTGCTGAAGAGCGTCTCCAAACGGTCGACCTTCTTTGTGTACTCATAGATGAGCTGTTTCTCCTGTCTGTCCAGCCGAACCGGCCCGTTCGTCTCGGGAAAGGCGTCCTTCCGCTCCTCGACTTCGCCCGTAAGGTCCTCAAATAGCTCAAAGCGTGCTACTCTCAAAGCCTGGGGAATCGACGGTCCCGCGATATTTGTGGCGACCGCGTACTCGATCTGTGAGGGGCGCCACATTTTAGAATGGAGGCAGACGAAACGCCACGAAGGCCACAAACCTGGACAGGATAGGTTCTATAGATGCGGTGGAAGGCTTTGCAGGAGCAGATAGCAGACTGTAGCGACTTGTAGTCTGGAAGTTGACAGAGAATGAGCTGGAGGATGTCGTCGTCCAAGGGGAGAGAAGTGAAGTGGCGCATTGTGGGAAGGCGGACAGGTAGCATGCGCGCGTTGAGGTTTGGATAGGCTAGCAGCGGAACTCAGAATATTCGTGTCAATGCTACAGAGGCAGTGGTTAAGATGGAAGATGGTGGTAAGAGCCAAGGTGCGACGGCCTCGCTGCCCCATTGTTCGAGCCCTCGGGGCCGAGGACAGGGGCTTCGGATCACCGCGCCGGGGCCGCGTGACTCACTGCAAGTTGAACTTGTCACAATTCGTGATACTTGACTCCCTTTATGCTGACTCCGAAGCTGTGGCTACTCTCCGACTCACGGAGACCGCACTGATCCTGGATAAGTTATGCAGCACCAATCCCAATGACTCCCATTAAACCACGCACAGCGCGGCGAACTAGCGATACATCAAAGACCTCAGGCCGAACATGACGAGCTCCCTGAGCTACAAGTACCCTCTATATACACACCGATGCTATCCGTACGCCCTACAGGCATAGAGACAAAAGGCTACCAACTGCGACGGCTGCAGTAAGCCAGCCGTACGATGTCGCCCAAACAGCACTGAGAGCCCCATTATTCGCGGTGGCGCCAGACACGGTGGTGTTCGTAGTGACCGAGGGCACGTAGTCTGGGTTTGCAGCCGAGCCGGGAGTGACCTGCTTGGCAGTGCCCTATCGAATTATGTCAGTAGCGCTCTAAGCCTTACGCAGCCTGAGCCTCACCTGGAAGTCAGCAAAGGTCTTGTCCGCAGTCGGGTTGACGGCGAAGACCATGCCGCGCGGGCAGTGGCCAGTCTGACCGCAGAAGAACCAAAGCGGTGTCGACGCGTTGTTGATCTAAAGCAGGCTTCAGTCATGGTGTTCAAAAAGGGCAGATGCAGTATTGAGGCGCACCGTGATGCTGTAGTGAAGCCTATCGCCGCCGCCTGCATTCTGCACGTCCTGATATCCCGAGTCTACGCCACCCTCCCTGTTCGCATGGTCAGCCTCGGTCTGAGTGGCAAAGCATCTGTAAAAACGCACTTGGCCTTGCAGGGCTCGTCGAACGTGCTCTGCGTCAAGGTATGATTGCCAGAAAGGCTGCAATTGCGATCAGCTCATGATTTCAGTCCCTGGAGCAAGGCCACGCACAAATGGAAGGTGATCGTGTCCCCGTTCTGCACGCCAGTGAGCGAGGACGGGTTGAACGTGAGCGCCGCGTTCTCGCCGACCGCGACGTCGAAGTCCTTGGCCAGCGCGCACGAGAAGAAGAGGGCCGTGAGGTAGAGGAGAGCGATGAAGAACTGCATGGTGAAGGAAAGCGAGGGAGTAGGCAGGCAGGCAGGCAGGCGGCAGCGAGCAGGGAAGAAGAGTCAACGAGCGGAACGCGTAAAGCTTGAACTTGAAGAAGATGAACGAAACGAGCCTATATATAAAGGGAGGGTAGGGGAAACGGAGGTCAGCGCAGCACGGACAAAGAGAGCAATGCTTGGCACGCACACAGCTCTACCACGCGAAGAAGAAAAAAAGAAGGGGACAGGACTAGCCTGCGACTGCCAAAACGCCTAAAACCTGGGCGACGGACGGAGCGGGGGGACCGTGGTGCGCACAGCCCGTGCAGCGACGGTGCGATGCTTATATACGACGGCGACGCGATGCTGGGATAAGACGTCGCGTTGCGGGTACCCGGAGGACGATCAGTGATGGTTGCATCCGCGCCTTGGCCTGCGATTGGCGCTGCCTCGGTGTAGCGTATGAATCGTGTGGGGAGGGGGGTCCGAAGCGCGAAGTGGGCACAACAATTGAGTCTTCATGGCTCTCGCATCTTCCGGGATCTCATATCGGGTTGGTGTCGGACTGGAGGCGTGCTATGGAAGATGGCTTGCAGCTGCTCATTGGACGCTGTATAATTGTGCGCGGCAAGAACATCAGGGGCGAAGGCAAGGTATCCGTGCGAGTGCCGAGGAAGTGATGCGCGCGTGGCGGCCGACTTGGCTTGGCATCAGTGACGAACTCAGCGCCTATTTTGTGGACCCACAAGACCATAAACTCCAGCATATACAGCAATCGTCAGGCTCGTAGTCACCTCTGCGCTCGTGGAGCGACGCCTGATTGCTGTTTATGTGGAGCGGGAACAAACAGCACAGATAGCGCGCGGCGTGGACGCTTAGAAGGGAGCACCTGGAGACCCTGTACTTGAAGTGTACCTCGTCTGGTGCTGGAAGTTGGGTAGAGGCTAGTGTGCGCCGGGAAAGCCCTGACCTAACAGGGTACAAGGGCTCAAGCGCGCCGATCTCGCCTGCCGGGCGCAGACTTCTTTTGTTTGTACGTGCTCCAACTAAACACAAATCAGGGCTGCTCCACGAGCAGGGAGGTGACTACGAGCCTGACGATTGCTGTAAATTCCTTCCATTACTCACACGTGTCAACGCAGCCCGCCAAAACATCCTCAATCACACATAGGAACTGTACATTGGACATGCGATAACACGTATAAGGACATCAAGTACGTAGATCATCTAGATCGTCGCAGCCATGAGCGAGAAATGCGTAGCACGTCAGAACATTTCGTGATCCTAGATGAGACTGGATGTGATTCAGAGGCAGAGGACTCGGAACGATGAGTATGAGAATGGGAAGGTCAGGTCAGGATGAGAAGGTCGTCAATAACATCATGAAATAATCGATAGCGCGATGGTGGATGAGGTTAAATAGAATGCAGCGATGCGTGCGTGCGACAGACCATGGAAAGCAAGCGGCAGCAGAGGAGGAGGAGAGGACATAGAAGAGCATGGAGCATAGAGAGGGAAGGAAGGAAGGGACGGGAAAGAGAGGCGAGACGAGAGTATGAACGGAAGAGAGTCCGACAGAAGAAAGCGGTAGAGAGGAAAGAGGTATCTGGAGTTTGGAGGTTTTTCTGTGTATGGTTTCGACGTGATGAGGAGGCCAGGGCGAGCTCAAGTGGCGATCTTGGACAACCGACGCGAGACGGTCTTTCCCGGCACGAGGTTCTTCAGTGCACGACGCACGGACAAGCCCATCTTGTTGGTCTCGTCCTTGAACGCCGTCGACCCGATGCCCGCCCCAATGTGCATGCCCAGCTCGTCCACAGATCCCACTCGCGATGTGTCCTCGCTCGACACCGGGGGCGGCATGGCCACCCGGCGCACGGACGCGAAGACGCGGTGGTCGGTCTTCTTGATCCCGCGCGAGCTGACCGTGTTGCTGACGGGTCGGCGCGCGTCGCTCTGGTAGCCCTTGCCCAACCGCGTCACGCCAGACGACGACATGAGGAAGCGGTCGTAGACCTGCTCGACGCGCTTCCGGCATGGCGTATCCGGGAGAGGGTCCGGCGTGCGTGACTGCCGAGCGGGGTACGGCTCGACGTGCAGTGGTGATGACGTCAGTTCGTCGAAGGACTTATGACGACGGCCCTCGAAGCTGGTGTGCAGCTCGAGCTCGGGCGTGTTGACAAAGACACTACGATCCAAGACATCAGCCAGCTTGGGCGAGAGCTGGGGCTGGTTCGCGACAGCTAGCAGAAGGTCAGCAAAGGGTGCAAGAGTACAATCATTGGCCTCACCTTCGCGCTCAAGCTCAAGCTCAAGCTTCGCAAGAGGCGCGATACGCCGCTGGAAGAGGTCGCCTTGCGATTTGGACTTCTCCTTCCTCGACAACGGCGACTCGTTGACCTGCTCCATCGTCTCCGAGACAGTCGCCCTCCGTTGACGGGAGGGCGTCACGATCTCCGGTACAACCAACACAGACCGCGAGCGCTCATTGACTGTCTGCGAGTGACCCGGGGCTGACGCTGCCATGGATGCCATAGACGTGGCCAAGGAGTTCCTCTTCGTGTTCGTGTTCGCCACACCTTCTTCAGGTCCATCCGCGAAGATCTGGTACGCAGCCGGAATCTTGCGCGGCACCCGCGATGAGCGTTGGGTGTAGTGCGTCGAGCCAGACCGGGAGGCTGGCGACAGCGGCATTGGCGGCAAAGGTTCCACACGCTCGGCCTCGAACTTGAGCTTCGCGTCCTGGACGACCTCTGGGGGAATGTTAAGGGGGTTCAATGCGTGACTCGCGCAACACTCACTCTCGACGTTGCGCATCCAAATCGTCATCCTGTCGGTGTGATTGTCCGCCGCTACACGCTCGCTCGCCAGCGCATTCTTCACGACTGGCAACGACGAATTGGCTGTGAAAACATCAGCGATGAACCTTCAGACACGCAAGCCCCACTCACCAGCACTGCCGAAGACATCATCTTCCTCTGATTGACGGCCGCGAGGCTCAAAGTCATCAGAGTCTAGCGTCAACGCAGACGTGTTCTTGCTCGAGCCGAAGCGGAAGGTCCTGTCTAAAGGTCGCGTCAGCCTCGCCATCCCACCGCATCCGCGCCTCTACTCACCAATAGACCTCTTGAAGCTATGCGTCAAGCTATGGAACGCCGAGTCACTCGGCTTCCTCGAGTGTCGCCGAATGAAGATCGGCTCCGCTGCTGCAAGTCTATCAGTAAACACCCTTCCCCTCCATCCCGGCAAACGCCACTCACCCGCCGCGAACGACTGACTGATCATATTCGACGCATCATCTTCCCCCTCCGAGAAGATGAACGTCTCGTTCACCCTCCCATCCTCCTTCGCCCTCTCCCCATCATTCTCCTTATCCGACTCCCCCTGCCCAACCTCCCTCAGCCCCAACATCTCCTTCTCCTTCCTCTCCTCCTGAATCTGCTCATCCCGCTCCCTCTCTAGCTCCTCTAGCCTCGCCATCTCCCGCAGGCGCTCCTTCTCGCGCTCCCACTCGCGCATGCGGTCCTTCACGGAGCCCTTCTTCTCGTGCTGGGCTTTCTCGTGCTGGGGCCTCTCGTGCTCGCGCCGCTTTGGGCTGCTGCCGTTCTCCGTGTTGTGTGCAGTGCTCGTGTTGTGGGCCGTGCTCGCGCTGAGCACGCCGCTTGCGTTCAACGCGCCGCTCACACTCGCGCTGAGCACACCACTGCTATTCCCACTCGTATTCTCCACATTCCTCCGCGCGCTCGTCACGTCGCCGAGCACGCGCGCCGGCTTCGTGTTCGTCTTTTGGCCCGTCGGGGTCGTCGGCGGTCCGTTCTGCAAGCGGTTGCTAGAGGCTGCGTTGTGGAGGCGGTTGCTAGACGCTGCGTTTTGCAAGCGATTGCGCGACTGCAGCGGCTTGCGGTCCATAAACGACGAGAGCGAGGCCGCGGCCGACCCGCTGGGCGACACCGGCGGGGACTGCTTGATCGGTGACAGCTCGACGGGCACGCGCTTGCGGTGCGGGACGACTGAGAAGGAGGTTCAGTCAGCGACAGTAGATAGGCGAAAGCGGCACACGAGAAGGCGAAAGCGGTACACGATTGTGAGTAGCGATGACAAAGGTCGAACGCACCCTTCGCGACCTTCGGCTGCGACTTCGCGCGCTGCAGCGAGCGGTGACTGGGCGACTCGGCCAGACTTGGCGAGCTGTTCGCATTCTCCTTCGCCGCGGACGACTTGCTCCACGATACCGGCTTCGCGGGGGTTTCCATCGAGGTATCGTACGCAATCGAGGCATCATACACAATCGAATTATCACTCGCCGACCTCCGGTGCGGGTGCGCGTCCGCCGACCGGTCCGCCGCCCAGTACGCGTCCTCCAGCGCCGCGCTCGCCGTGCAGCGCAAATCCGCGTTCGGCGACATCATCCGCCGCAGGAGCTTCTCCATCCCGCGCGACATCTTCCACGTGCCGATCCATTTGCCGCGGAGCTGTGGTCGGAAAAAAAGGGAAAGAAAGAAAATACGAGTCAGCCTGCTGTTCGTACAACACATGACGGCGAGAGGAAGGAGACGACGATAGGTAGGGAACGACGACAGGAAGGGAACGACGACAGGAAGGAAACGACGACAGGAACGGCACGACGACAGGAACGGCACGACGACAAAAGGAACACATACCGTGCGCGCCCAATACCGCTCGAGCTCCTCCGTCGTCGAGAACTGCTCCGTGTCGGAGTTCTCAAAGGGCGTGCGGCCGGAGAGGATCTCGAAGAAGGTGACGCCGAGCGACCAGACGTCGGACTTGCGCGTGTCGTGGGGTAGTCCTCGTGCGCGCTCGGGGGAGAGGTACTGGGGAGGAGGTTAGAAGGGTGGGTAAGAAGGGAGAGAAGGTGAGCAGGGTGAGAGAGAAGGATTGGGAGAGAAGGGTGGGAGAGAGGGAATGGGGGAGAAGGAAGGAGGGAAGAAAGGAAGTAACCTTACCTCGGGGGTACCATACGAGATGTTGCTGAGGAAGGCTTTGCGCGATTCTAGCCGGTACTGCTCGGCGAAGCCGAAGTCGACTAGGACGGGCACGTTCTTCTCGGAGAGCAGGATGTTCGCAGGCCTATGAGGGTTTAGCTTATGCAGAGAAGCAAAGGGAAGCCACTCACTTAATGTCGTTGTGGACGATGCCGCGCTTGTGGAGGTATTCCACACCGGATAGAAGGGACTTAAACCATAACCGGGCTTTGGGCTCGGCGACTTCGACGGGCACGAGTGTTGGTAGGTACTCCCTGAAGACGTAAAGCGTCAGCACTTCTCAACAAGCGCCGGTACAAGCGCAGCGCGCCCTGACGACGCGCTGCGGGGAAGGAGACGCACATCGTGATCAAGGCATAGGACGGCGTGACGACAAAGGAGTAGAACGGGACGATGGACGGATGCAAATCCGGCTTGAGGGAGCGAACAATCTTCATTTCGTTCCATCTGGTGGACAGAACATGTCAATTCAACGTCAAACCCAACACAGACTTGACTACGCACAGCGACTTCACCCGCGCCGCCGTCTCCGCCGTCCGCTTCTCGTTCTCGTCCTTCTTCCTGTGCACGAGCTTTACTGCCATCCGGCTGCTCTGCAGGCGCGAAAGTTCGTCTGCGCCCGGTGCCCTCGGATTGTGTCGCGGCTTGCACAACCATACGCTGCCCCAGTTCCCGAAGCCGATCTGCACGAACACAAAAGCATCAGCGACACGTCCAGAGATACAAAATTCGCGTCCTCCCGCGCTAATATACACCATACCTCCTCGATGAACTGCAACTTGTCCGCAAGCACCTTGTCTGTCGTGTGGAATACGTCGTTCGCATCGGGCTGGGGCTGGGGACCCTGCGCCGGCTGGGATGGGTCCATGGCGGAGGGAAAAGGATAGAAATACAGAAAGCAACCAACACCGAAAGCAACGCGACCGACGAACCCAAGAAGGCTCCGCGGACCTTTCAACGGAACCAAAACACGCCATAACAAATCGCGGTCACGTGGATGACGCGTCCGGACAGCGGGGCTAATTCCGTCGGACAATCCCGGCGGGGCAGGGGAGCTGCGCGCTGTGTGGATTTGAAGGTATGGCATAGTACTGGTAGAACGTATATAGGAGACTCAGTCGACTCTTCAGTCAGGAAGTAAGTAATCGGCAGTACGATACGAGTCCGCAAGTCGCATAAAAACAATGTCCGGGAATGCCAGTAACGTCTCGAGCACCCTCCCCCTCAGACTCACCCCACCTACAAGTTTCCGCTCCTTCAATGAAATCCAATGCAAGCTTTACATGCAAAGTGAACGTGGAGATTGGCGAATTCGTCTGCAATGTATGCTTACTCCTGTCATCATCCAGGTCCTGCCGTTTGCTAATGATGGCTTGGACTGAAGCTTGGGTTTGCAGCGCTGAGTCCAGGTCCTCACGATAATGGCTGGCCGAGACAGTCGTGATGCTAATTCCATTGCCTGAGGAATCGTCGGTGAAGAGGTGGGGGAATGGTGCCACAAGTCATGTCCATGATCGCGAATAGCATCATAAACCAATACTTCCTCTGCTACGCAGTGTTTGTCCAAGCTTCCCAGCTATGGCATTCGTCAGAGTCTGCCAAGTAGTAGGCAGCTTGCAGCGCACCATGAGCGTGTATGGATTCCCCCTTCGACGTCTTCCCCCTCGCAAGCGCTGGCTTGCACTTTTTGCGGATCTTTTCACGTCGGTATCGCAACATGGAAAGGCTAAAGTTCGATCAGGCTTCCTGGAGAGAAGGGGGGCAACTGTATGGTGATTCCCTTGTCCGCAGCGCCATCGTGCGCCGGGTCTACACTAGTCGCATCCGATTTAGAACCCGTGTCACAGACCCACGTACACGGCGACCTTCTCGTGGGCTATGCAACGTCAAGCACGTAGACTCGGCAGAGGACAGCCAGTCGAAGGGCAGCAGTACGTCCGCCAGCAGGCTCACAGCCCGGAGAAGATGCTGGAACGGCTGGAAGTTCCAGAAAGCCAAGGATAGAGACGATCGGGTCGTGTCTTCCGTCCCCCTCCCGATGACCCGGAGAGCCCGAGGTAGGTAGACAGACGATGGGCTCAGAAGCGCTGCCCTAAGCGTGTACGCTCGTGATAGCCGCAGCGCGATGCAGAGAAGGCCGCCATTCTCGAGCGGGGAAGAAGGACGTGGACGAATCGACGGCTCGCGCGCCTCCATTCATGATCGCGTGCTCCGAGCACGCGACGGCCAGGAACGTCGATCGAGCCCCGCCTGTGCACGCGGGACTGTTTGCCCGTGTTATCCTCCCCGGAGGCTATATAAACCCCGGGCTGGGCATCGCGACGTTCCCCCGTCGGCCTGCTTGTTCACGTTCTCGCCGCATCCCGCCGTTTCCAAGTGCGTAGCCGTTGGCTGCTAGGCGATCCTTGCTGAACTCGCGTCGCAGACAGTCACTCGCTAAACGAACACCTCAACGTCCACCATGCGCAACTTTGCTAGGTGCGTGCGAGTTGCATGTTTGCTCTACTTCTCGGTAGAGCACTCTTTGAAGAGCATGCTGACCCGAATCTCCAGCATCCTCGCCTTTGTCGCTGCTGTCTCGGCTCTCACGATCAATGTCCCGGACGACCCTACGTCCAGCGGCGAGGTCACCATTACTTGGGACGCAAGCTCCGACGACAAGTAAGTGTCACTTGTGAAGCACCCCACACCCACGCCGTTCCAATATTGCATGCATGCACTCGCATCTCCACCCCAATGCCTCTGAAGCCATGCGACCGCGCTGTGCCCACTCTTCCACGCGTTCTCGTGACACTTCGCCATTCATCTCGCTTCCCCTCCCTGCCCTTCGATCTCCACGCGCTCCTTGACTAACACCTTCACAGTACGTTCAGCTTGTACTTGACGAACGAGGCGTTCCACAACACCTTCGCCATCGCCAACAACGTCGACCCGTCCTGGGGCGAGATCACGCTCCAGCTCCCCGTCGTCCCCGTCGGCGACGGCTACACCATCATCGCCACCAACATCGGCAACATTGACGACGTCTATGCGAGCAGCGCGGGCTTCGCCGTCGCCCCTGCGACCTCGACCTCCGCGTCCTCGCAGGCCTCCACCACCAGCGGCGTCTCGAGCGGCGTGTCCACGGGTATCACGGTGTACGTACCTCTTTCCGTCAGCTGGGGCAGGATTTTGTGCTGACAGCCGGTCCTCCAGGACCACCTTCCCGTCGACGACGTCCAGCTTCGGCCACACCGCGTCGAGCTCGGGCTCGGCCTCCTCATCCGGCTCGCGCTCGGCGACCGCCTCGTCCTCTGGCTCGTCCGCGAGCTCAACGCAATTCAACGGCGACGACAACGCTGCCGCGGGCCTCCGCACGCCCGCGACCGGCATCGTCGCCGCGGTCTTCGCTGCCGTGGCTGCGCTCCCCTTCCTCTAAGGGACTCACCGCCCTTCGTGCGAGGGAGCGGCGTCTCTCCCGCGCGAAGCCCTTACATCGTCATGGACTGTGACTGGCTGTAATGGACTTCTGATGGGGTTAGCATACATGAGGAACATGTGTTGGCCCGCATAGCGACATTTGCGACACTAGCAATCTTGCCTTCGTGCACTAGCGACCTTGCTTTCGTGCACTGGCAATCCTTGCGGATGCCTATTTGCGTGCGACTTGTGACTTTGGACTTTACCTCTTTATCTCCCTTTTTTTCCAGAGCTGCATATGTACCTACATCTTCTCTGGGTTTCATTTTACGATATGACGGACTGGCGATACATTTACGCATTTGAGTAATTCCAGTGCAATGCGGTTTCTTTGCGGGTGGTGTGGGTGGACTGGCGCAAGGTGTGGGACGACTGGTGAGAGGTGCGAGCCAAATGGTGAAAGGTGTGGGAGAAGATCTTATTGGCTGCCCGCGCGCAAGTAGCATAAGGTGTGTCGGGAAGATTGTGGTCATCTGGGTGACACGCTATGAAGGCTCGCCGTAGCACAGGCCAGCGCGTCTCAGTTGTCTCAAGTCAGGCTGACCTGGTTTTATGGCCGAACATTTGGCACGTGGTCCGGCAGTTGCCGACTATGGTTGCACGGACGCCACCAAGAGTTGAACTCGACCTCCACCTTCATCAAGATACAGTCGTTGAGCTTTTTCAAGACCACTCCGTCCCCTGTCTCATCTTGTACCCGATGCTCCGCACAATAGACCTTTCGGAGAAGATGCGCGACTCACTGCAGGACGCGCGGGAACGTCGCGGAACGTAGCCGCCGGGTAGGGATGCGCCTCGCCTACCCTCATTGAAGCGGGCGATGGCTATTCTGACCGATATTGGCGGGCTCACACGCATCACTGGCGTACTCATCTGCATTACGCAGCACACCGTCTCTCCTCGAAACGTTTCCTGGCTTTCGCTGCGCCTCCTGGGTCCGCTCCGTCGATGCGCGTATGCAACCATGGAACGATTCCGAGGCTATATATAAGAAGAGAGGCGCGGTATATAAGGACCCTCGTCGACCTTCATCCTTCATTATTCAACCCAATCTTCTACAATGTCCCGCATCGCCACCGTCTTCCTCGCCACCGGTGTACAGGGTACCTCAGCCGTGCAGGCCTTAATCAAGGACGGCACCTTCAAGTCTCGCGCGGTGACGCGCAATGCGAACTCGGATGCGGCGCGAGCTCTTGCTGCGCTGGGTGCCGAGGTCGTGGAGGCGACTTACGATGACAAGGAGGCCATTAAGCGCGCTGTTACTGGCGCGGAATGCGTGTTTCTCGTGCGTATCCTATTCATCTCTGCCATCATCTTCACAGGCTTGCTGATTGCCCGCGAATCGCTACACAGGTCACTATGCCCAGCCAGGGGGGCGTGCCCGAGCTCACACAGGGTACCAACATCATCGACGCCAGCAAGGAGGCCGGCGTCAAGTTCATCGCGTTCAGGTGAGTGTTCTGGAGCTACTTCGTTCGCTCTGTCATCCGTACTCACGCAAATCAATAGCACTCTGCCCAGTCTGAAGGAAATTTCGGGTGGCAAGTACCCGCATGCTTTGCATTTTGATAGTACGTGGTCCGTCTCTCCTGTGATTTCGAACAAAAAGCTGACTCCGCGCATCGCAGACAAGGCCCTGATACAGAAGTACCTCGAGAACTCTGGCATCGCCTGTGCATCCATCTGTCCCGGAGGTTTCCTCGAGAACCTAACTCGCGGGTGAGTGCCTATCGTTCACCTTGCTATATCTCCCCTCGCTGACCTCGGCTCCCACACAGCCTACTCGGCTGCCCTTTCGAAGAGAAGGAGGACAAGTACATCTTCAACACCCGCGAGCCCGAGGGCTGCAAACTCGTCCAGACCTGGACGGGCCGCGACATGGGGCTCGCGGTGACGGCCCTCTTCACGCAGTACGAGGCGCGCAGGGCGGAGATCGATCATCAGACGTTTGTGCTGGGGTGCCAGCGCGCGACGACGGAGGAGACGGCGGCGGAGCTGGCGAAGGGTGCGTGGGGATTGGCTGGGTTGAAATTGAGTAGCTTGTTACTGACAAGAAATTGGAAGGCCTGGGCAAACCCGTCGAAGTTAAGCGCCTTGGGAAGATGGGGATTCCGCCGGTGGATGATATGGTGCGTGGACGTCGCGCGCGCTGTAGCATCATACTGACTTTTCGGTAGTGGGCCGCAACGGCCGAATTCGACTGGTTCCCAGGCGTCGACGTCCCCGACAAGCGTCTTGAGGCGCTCGGCGTCAAGGTCGGCAGCATCGAGGAGTTCGCCAGGACTGTGCTCAAGAACGCCCCCAAGAGCGTGACGAGCGAGGTGTTCAGGCGATAGATGCTAAAATGTATGAGATGATGTATATGCAGATGTATTCTCAACCTATGCTCGTCGCAGCAATTCATGAGCGCAATTCAGGTTCATTTGCACCGCAATTTTTGAGTGAACTGGCTCCTGCCTGTCTCTGGCCCTGGTTTGCGATTACATTCTTTGCACATGTGTTGAGCGCTAGGCATCTATACCACACATCTTGCACTGCCCACCACTTTTACTGTAATCACGGCGAACAGTGTTCTATGTCTGTTACTGAAGGCTGAGATATCTCGGATTACCCATTGAACGCTCATCTGCACCTTTTTCTATCCATTGCTCCCCCTCATGCTGCTTGCTGATTAGCAAGCTCCTTGAACAACTCTGGCAAGACCTCCTCGCATCCGCCTCTGAATCTGAAGTCCGCGCGCTCGTCCGCCTCGCTGGGCTCCCGATTGAAGATCGCGACAGTTCCCCCATGCCGGTGGACGCGGTACGCATAAGTCGACGCAGGGCGGACCTACATGGCACATCAGTACTCACCCCCTCACCAAACCCAAACCCAAACCCAAGCCCAAACCCAAAACCAAAACCAAAACCAAAAACAAAACAAAACCCAAAACCCACTCACCGTCGCCGACGTCCCCACCACCAAACACATATCCGCCCTGAACACCAGCCCATTAATCTCGTCCAAGAAATACGGCCTCTCCCCGAACCACACCACGCCCGGGCGCGCGAGGGCGCCGCACTTCCGGCAGCGCGGGAGGTCGGCGCGCGGGATCTCGGTGAGGAGCCGGCCGGAGTCGGCGTCGGTGGTCTGCCGTCCGATGTCGGTGACGGTGGTCTGCCGTCCGATGTCGGTGACGGCGGAGAAGCCTGCTTCGGCCGCGCCGAGGGCGGGGGTGAGGGGCGTCGAGCGGTCCTCCTCGACGTGTCCGCACGAGGAATCCGTGCATCGCACGTCGAAGAGGCGGCCGTGCATCTCGAGGATGGAGCGGGGGAAGACGGAGGGTGGGGAGCGGCGGGGTTTGGATGTTGACGCGGGCTTGGAACTGGAGGCGGGGGTGGGAGATGTAGAGGTTTGTGCGTCGGAGGCTGGAGTCGACGAGTCTGTAGTCGGTGCGCTGGCATCCGCCGCGTCGGACTCGGAAGAAGTGGACGCGGCAGGCTTGGCTATAGGTTCAGCCCTCGCCATCCTTGCATCCGAGTCAGTCGTCAGCTCTTCTAGCGCTTGCACGGAAAGACGGTCCACGTTCTGCGTGATGAGGTGGAAAGACTTGGCCTGAGGGGCGACCTTCTTGAGCTCCGTGGGGATCGACATCTTCGCGAGGATCTTGTGCGCGGGGTTGGGTTTCGCGGAGAGGGCTCTGAAGGACTGTCAGTACTGCCGGAACGGACGGAGATTGGGGGTCAGAGCGGACGGCGTTTGGGGGTCAGAGCGGACGGCGATTGGGGGTCAGAACAGACGGCGATTGGGGCGGGATTAAAGAAAGTAAAGCGAGAAAAAAGAGTCACTCATCGTTGCATAAGAAAGCAACGCTTTGAAGGACAGCAGTTCCATTGAATGCCTGAATTTCCTACTCACGTCGTCCGCCTATAATGATAGAACTGCCACACCAGCGCCGGATTTGCCTCAAATGCCACTGGCGTGGCCAGTGCTTGCGCGTCGAGCGAGCGCCACATGCCACCGCCATCTCGGAAGGTGGGTATGCCTGGGAGGAGCCCGTAAGTACTGGGTAAAGCACACCTATGATTAGACGGCGTTTTATGGGCATAGCGGTACGGATCGAAGATGTATGAGCGGTGCGGATCGAAGAGGATTTCATAGCATGGTGCCGGCATAGAAAGCAACACATGTTGTCCGAGTGGCGCGAAGAAGTGAGCGTACCCGAAGCCGCAGACAGCCCAGCACCCGCGATGACAATTATGTTCTTGCTCGCGCGGAACTTGGCACGAAAGGCGGCTGCGTCGTCTTTGGCTGGTGGAGGTTGGTCGGCAGACATGTTGAAGGGTGAACGAGCAGCTACGATAGTTCTCAGAGTGCGGACAGAGTAAGTCAAGCTAGATCTGAGATAAAGAACCGATGAGAGCAGAGGAGGGCTGAGCGAACGCGTGCAACGACTAGTCGTGGTGAAAGAGTGACCAGTCGTGATCAAAGTCAACTTCAACATGCATCACACGCGTCGCTTCCGGGACACGTGCGGACTGCCGATCCGTGGGTTCGAATCCCAACATATCCCAACTACGTTGGCGCTTCCACTCCCCTCGAGATCTTGTGGTCAACCTCGAGATGTTCTGGTCAACCTCGAGATGTTCTGGTCGATGCTGAGGAGCTTCTCGTACAGCACAAGAGCTACTGTATCCTCTCAACGACGAAGCCAGCTCATTCCTGAATGGTAGAGCAGGGTGATCTGAGACACGCGAATCATCTCTGCAAACCTCCCCCTACGCTCGCAATCTCCGACTTACAAATGATGAAGGGGTTGCCTTGGTGAAGAGAAAGGGGAGGGATGTCGAATTGGCATGTTATGAAATCAGATCGGCGTGTCTTCCCAATCTATCGAGGAAGAATTAACATAGGCCATTGCAAGCTTCAGCGGCAGAAGAGAGTGATCCAAGCAAGGACGATCGAGGGTGCATGGGGAATGCTTGTCGACTGATTCAAGACCATAAGGTGAGAAGGTCTTGGGATGCAGTGCCGAGCTTCATGACGGGAAAGGGCCAGGAAGGACAGGCCAGATAGCATGCTTCATTTGGTACGGGCAGAGACGCGAAGGCCGCATCGCGTGAGCTAAAGGATCCATGGAGCCAAAACATACACAGGTCGGTACAGACATTCACCGTCTAAGCAAGCACTAAGCATTGGATCAGCGTCTATGTGAGTTGAGTCAAGGGGCAGTCGACGTACCTGCGCTCCTCCCTATCAGTTAACGCCGCGCTCCCGAATAGTCTCCTCGCCCTGCGTCTCCTCCTCCGCGCTCTTCATTCCCTTCTTCGCGTTCTCATCCTCGACGGCTAGCCGCCAGCCGCCGTAGAGCTGGTTCACGATCGCGCTTCGTCTTAAGACAGCAAGCTCCTTTACGGCCTCGGAGTACTGCTTCGACAGCGCACTGGTGTCATCCGCCTCCTGCAATGATGAGGTCAGAAGAGCTGAGGGTCAAGACAATGGGGGGTACACACCTGCATCGCGCGGAAATTCTCGCGTGCCCTCTTCAGGAAGTAATTGCGGAAGTTGTACGAGCTGAAGGAATTGGAGACGCGCAGGGTGGAGTGGTATAGGGACAGGATAGCATGCTTAGACGGAGCTGCTGTGGCGGGGGACATCGTGAAGAAGTCTACGCTGCGATGATCGTGAGGGGAGGAGAAGAAGACGATGGTGGGAGTGGCTGACTGCAAGCTGACTGGAAGTGAAATGGTCGGCCGGTGTCAAACGGGCGGCTGACGTCAACCCGTGCCGCGATCACTCCGGTCCGAGCACCCGAACCCCGCATCCGAGGGCGGCGTTCGACTTGCCACCACCGCCTGGCATTGGCCTGATAAGCGCCCGCCAGCTGAGCATCGTCTCTTGCACTTGACTCTCATGAGAATGGCAAATCTGAAGTCTCTCCTACGCGTCGCGGTCGTCCAGTTCAATCCCAAGGTGCGGGGATCGCCAGTGTGGGGCGGGATTCTGCAGCTCATGTCGATGTTGTCTGTACCCAGATCGGCCAGGTGCAGGCGAACATCGCGCGAGTACGGGAGCTATGTGGAAAGTGTGCATGAACGACTCTCGAAATCCGACTTTGTGTTGAGGCTGCGTGACTATCAGGCTCGAGCCACAATCCGTTGACCTCGTATGCCTCCCGGAGATGGCTTTCACAGGTGCGTTTACATTACACACACTCACTTGCCGTCCATCAGGTACTTATGGACTCTATACCGCAGGCTACGTCTTCGACGGACCCACCTCCATCAAGCCCTACCTCGAGCGCCCCCACACCGGGCCCACCTCCCGCTTCTGCGCCGAACTCGCCTTGCGCCTCCGCTGCTACGTCGTCGCCGGCTTTCCCGAGTTGCTCCTGCCCGAAGAACTTGCGAAACTCGGTAAGGACGCAGGAGACAAGGTCGGCGCGAATGCTGCGGTGATATACGACCCCGAGGGCGAGCGCGTGGGCGACTACAGGAAGACGAACTTGTTCGAGACGGACCAGTCGTGGTCGATTCCGGGTGGGTTTCCTCTTCTCCTTCATGTCCTCCCCCTCCTAGACCACTCCCTCCAACCCTCCCACCTCCTCACCTTCCCCATTCCCCCACTCCCCTCCCTCCCCAGCCCTTCCTCCACTCCCCTCCTTCATTTCCTCTAACTCACCTAACTAACCCTCACCCCACTCCCCTCAGGCACCGGCTTCGCCACCTTCACCCTCCCCCTGCCCCTTTGCCGCTCCAGCCTCCCCCCACCCCTCGGCCGCCTCAACGTCCCCCCTCCCTTCCGCCTAACCCTCGGCATCTGCATGGACCTCAACGCGCAGCCGCCCGCGCTCTGGTCCGTCGCCGAGGGGCCGTACGAGATCGCGGAGCACGCGCGGAGGGAGGGCTCGGGGCTGTTGGTGCTGTTGAATAATTGGCTGGATTCGGGTGAGTTTGGATGCATGCGTGTGAGCGAGGGGATGTGTGTTGTGTCGGAGAAATAGCTGCCGAAGCTTTGCGTATTTTGATGCCGACCACAACGATGCTAATGACCTACGCACCCAGGCGAAGAACTCGAGGAAGACAAGGACTGGCGCACGATGAACTTCTGGGCGGCGCGATTGCGGCCGCTGTGGCAAAAGGAGGATGGGTCGGATTCGGTGGGGGAGGAGAGCGAGGGAGAGGGCAAGAGGACCATCGTGGTCATCTGCAATCGGACGGGGGAGGAGAATGGTACGTTCACCTTTTCGAGCGATGCGACTATGTTCTGTGAATGGCGTCCTGCCCCTTGTCGACCCCGCTGTTCCCTCTCCATCGACCCGAGCATATGCGTATTCCGACTGACCTTTCTCACAGGCAAGACCTTCGCCGGCTCCTCCTGCCTCTTCGATATGCGCCGCAGCTCTGGCAAGCCGCGACTCGTAGATGCGCTGAACAGGACAGAGGAGGGTGTAAGGGTGTGGAATATCCCGATAGACGACTAGATGTGCTTGGACAATCGCATGAAGACCTGCAAAGTCCTGACTCTTTCTATGTAAGTCCCAACTGGTCTCGCAAGTTCTGACTAGGTTTGCGATTCAGCTAGGCCTGCGACTCAGCTAGGTTTGCGATTCAGAAGCAAACGATTGTGTCGTCGCGACAAAGCGAGCTCGCTATATGTGACGCGTCTTGAATCACACCTACTCAGCTTTGTCAGCCCCATCCTGCCAAGCCAGGTGCGAAATCATTCCGAACGGAGGGTGGCGAGGGTTTGGTCAGCGCATACGCAATATGTTCCTACTTTACTGCCCTACACGAAGGTTGGCATGGATCACATCATAGCTTTGGCGATTGCTAGTCTGCATAAGCGCCAAGTGCCATCCACCAGAGCGCCAAGTACCATCTACTGAAGCGACGCGTACCCTACCCAGACGCTTCCGAGAGCCACGTATGCTCGCTCTACTATAAGAAGGCTAACATCCCGTCTCTGGCATCATCACTCAACATCGCCCCCGACCTCCGAGTCATGTCCCGTATCGCAACTGTTTTCCTGGGGACGAGTCTGCAAGGTGAGCATACTCACGATGCCACTCTCACCCCTTCTCACCTCTTTGCCCTTCTCACCTTCCCTGCCCCTTCTCACCTCCCTTCCCCTTCTCACCTCCCTTCCATCCCCTGCCTCTCACAACCCTACTAACCTCCCACCTCACCATTCCCAGGCTCCTCCACCATCGACGCCCTCCTCGCCGACGGCACCTTCACCCCGCGCGCCGTCACGCGCAACGCCAACTCCCCCGCCGCGAAAGCGCTCGCAGCGCGCGGCGTGCAGATAGCGGAGGCGAGGTTTGACGATAAGGAGGCGGTTAGGCGTGCGGTGGAGGGGGCGGAGGTGGTATTTTTGGTGAGTGCAGTAGCGATCTCTCAATTGCAGCAACGATCTCTCAATGAAAGAAACAGACGTTAGTATCGGACAGGTCACCATGCCCTTCAGCGATGTGCCGGAGGTAGCGCAGGGGATCAATGTCATCGATGCGAGCAAGGAGGCCGGTGTCAAGTTTATTGTGCTCAGGTGTATGAGATTTCCTGTACGCTCTCTGAGAACCTTGCGCTAACTTGGGACCTCTCCAGCTCCCTACCCAGCATCAGTGAATTCTCGCATGGAAAGTACACGCATGCGGTCGAGTTCGATGGTGAGTTCGTCTGTTACTGGTATAGGAAGAGTTTGGGAAGTGTTAGCTGACATACGACGCGGCCAACAGACAAGGACACCATCCGAAAGTACCTCGAGAAGTCAGGCATACCCTGCGCTTCGATCTATCCAGGCAACTTCATGGAGAATTTTCCTCGGGGGTGCGTTACACATCCACGCCTCTTATCCTCCCTCTCTCCCTCTTCCTCTTTCCCCCATTCCTCTCGCAATCCTTCTCCCTCATAACCAACTAACCTCTGACATCACACCCCAGCGTCCTCGACTGCCCCTTCGAGAAGACCGAGAGCGGATATATTCTCAACACCCGCGAACAAGAAGGCACGCGCTGCGTCCAAGTCTGGATCAAGCACGATATGGGGCAGGCGGTCGTCGCACTGTTCAAGAACTACCAAACGCGTCTCCCAGAGATCGAAAAGCAGGCCTTCGTGCTCGGCTCCGTCCGCGCCACAATCGAGGAGGTGGTGGCGGAGTTCGCAAAGGGGCTGGGGAAACCAGTTGAACTCAGGCGGCACGGGAAGGTCGGAGACGTAGCCACGGATGATATCGTGAGTGGTCCTGCTGTAAATTACGGTAATCGATCTGACGACGTCACATTCAGTACGACGCACTCAGAGAGTTCGACGTGTTTCCCGGGATTGAGATTCCGGACCCGTGCCTGAAGGCGCTGGGTGTAATGGCGGGGACACTTGAAGAGTTCGCGCGCACGGTCCTTCGTGACTATGTAGAGAAGAAGTAGCAGTCACTCTGCCCATGGATTCAGTTATACATCCATGAACGATTGCCCTCGAAGATCAGTCGTTGCAAGTTCAACCGTGGGAAGAAGGCCGGTTGTGTCACACGTGACCCGCATCACCTCCGATCTATGCGGCTGCGGCAATGTCATCTTGTCCTCTGCCATCGTCTGTTGGACCAAATGTCTCTATTTCAAGCGACAACCGTGGACTATCCAACTGGACTGGAGTGGATATTACATGGCTCTGGCCTTCATTCCATTATATTCACCCTGCGTACCAATCGGAATTCGCTTCAGCGCCGGATGACCAAAGACGACTTCAAGATACTCTCGAAAGGCCGCTCTCTGACCTTGTACCCCACTGGTGCTTAGGAGTTTCTCAGATATGATTGTGGCGGCTAGTTTAGCAGTGGCTCGCGCCACGACAGCTTGTGTGGGTCTACTGATGACCACTGCGCAGACCTTACAGCCCCGCAGTGTCCGTACAAATGAGGGTGCGTCGGTTATGAATGTGTGCAAGACGTACAAAGTTCATCTTACTACTTTGCTGTGACTCACGGCCTCTTCTAAGTGCTTTAATAGTGGTACGTCGCCTAACGCAGCTTGGTTTTAGAAGGCGCTTATACGTCCGAACAGTAGAGTACGCGGCTAGAAAGCGTCACAAGCGACTTGACCAGGGACCCCGTGCCCCGTCTTCAATCGCTGACGAGAGTATGCTAGGCCGATAGACTGGTCTACATAAGGTCCCAACGAGACGGGCTGTCGACCATCTCGTTGCTGCTTACTCTGCATCCCAAGCCTCTTGTCTTACTCCCCAGCATCATGCTCGTCTACAACGGCAAGATCAACTGGCAGCAGCGTGCCGATAATGAATGTCTCACTGTGGTATTCCCTGCTGGTCTCGCGTTGAAAGACCCCGTCTGCGCGTACTGGCAGTGGTCCGACACAGCGAAAACGAATGTTCACCAGGCGAGCTCAGACCAGTATCTGACAAACCTTCTCTCATGCATTGACCAGTATGGCACCATCAACGTCGTCAGAAAGATTGGCACGGAGTACAAGATTACCTTCGCTCTTACGGACTTCCTCTTTGATGCGGAGTTCACCCCCGACTACAAAAACATGACGCTCAAGATGTACACCGCCACCGACACTACGACGACGTCGACGTCAACGCTGCTTCGTTGGACATCCCTCCCCAACCTCGTCCCCTCCACCAAGGTCTATACCGGCAAATTGAACTGGGGAGATTTCGCCACAAACGAGATGATGACGCTCGTCGTCCCGAACGGCATCTCCCCGCGCGCGCCCGTCAGCCTCTACTTCCAGTTCACGGTCGACGCAGGGGGCATCCCCAAGGCGCACCACTGCCTCAGCACCACCTTCTGCAACGTGCGGTCGTCCGCGCCGGGCCAGATTAGGGCGTCGTTTGACGGGAATCACTACTATAAGTTCGATGTCATCATCTTTCCTGGGACAGCGAACGCGAAGGTGGTTATGAACCGTACGTCGACGTTCGATATGCAGCAGCACGATTGGAGGCAGGCGCATCGTAAGAAGGTGTGTGCTCTGATACTTCCCCTGCCCACCGTATCTCACTGCGACGGTTCCGCAGGCCCTCATCGTCCGCTACGGCACCGGGTCTGACAACGGCATCTCCCTTCTCCGCGACACGCTCACCACGGACCTCGACTTCGACGTCAGCGACGTCGAGATGCTCTACTACAACTCCGAGCCTGCGGACGGGCCCGCCGTGGTCTCTGACGGGCAGGGTGCGCCCACCGCAGCGCGCTTCAAGTCGACGCTCGCCACCTTCCTCTCGGGCGCGGAAGCGGGCGACGTGCGCTTCCTGTACCTGGACACCCTCGGGGCCATCCGTCCCGGCGGAGAGGCGGACGTGGAAAGCGGTGTGACCCTGGCTGCGAACGAGGAGGGGACTGAGAAGGAGGTGGTCTACAACGACTGGCTAGCAACTGCCATCCGCGACGTATGCCCTCTGTCGACGCAGTCCATTTTAGCATGACTGACGCCGGGAACAGAACCTCAAGGGCGGGGTAAATCTCACCATCCTCACCTCGTCCTGCTTGGGGCGGGAGATGCTGGGCGCGACCACCGCTACAGGTGGCATACTCCTCTCCGCGTGCCACGAGACGCAGTCCAACATCAAGTCCCTGCGCATCGGCGACAACCAAGTCGACCCCTGGATGTACGCCATCATCGCTGTCATCAAGAAGCAAGTGCGTACCCATAACCTTTTCCACACACCTCCATCCCTAACATGATACCCAACACGCCCAGATCAAAAACAAGCGTGGCGTCCCCACCTACTACTCCCTCTACAACAGCGCCAAGAAGTTCATCCAATCTCAGCTCGGCCGTCCACCCTTCGATTCCGCCAAGTACCTGGGCGCCAGCGCCGACGAGTTGTCCCCGACGAAGCGTGGACACGAGGGCGCGAGCAATCAGGATCCCCAGCTCATCTTCACCAAGGGGTACGTCAACCCGTACGAGGAGAGGTTCTTGTTCCCGTTTGTGGCCCCGCGCGGCGGGCAGCCTGATGGTCCGGGGATTGCGCGCTTCCCTCGGGACGAGTATCCCATTGGAGTTGGTGGCGCGCTGTAGGAAGGAAGAGCGAACTTGAATTCGTACATGGGGCAGGTGTAAAGCTATTTGAATGATGAAGTCATCCAGCGATCTAATGCCACTTGAAGGGGCAGTGGCAACAATCGTGCCACAAATTACTCCCCAGATCGCCGACGCCCCCCCGTTAAGAGTCCTCAAACTCGCCCGACGCCTCACACTCGCCCGACACACACTTCACATCCACCCACCACCTCCCATCCACCTCCCACCACGCAATATCAGGATCTCCCTCTCCCTCTCCTTCGCTGCCTTCGCCTCCTCCTCCTCATCCCGCTTTTGTCGCTCTTGCTCACCCAATCTCGCTTGTTCCTCCCACTTGAAGCGCTCCTCGCACCAAGCGCGGTCGTCGTCTATCTCTTTCGACTCTTGTTCGCGCGCGGCGTATCGGAGTGCTGCTTGGTGGCTGGACGACCTGATGTGTGACGTCGCGCTGGAGATGCGCATGGTGGTGTCGTAGTGGCAGAGGGTGCATTTTATGCGTGTGGCGGTGGGGGTGAGGGGGATGAAGCCTTGATAGGAGTGAGCAGCGATTGGGAGGTTGTGGCCACATGAAGATAAAGAGAGTGGAGATAAAGAGACGAGAAGACGGAACGTACCCTCAGGGAGTGGCCTTGTGGCGCGTGGCATCCTTACAGCTGGGTCACCGTTGGAGTGTGCGTCCAAGTGTTGTTTTCCCCGTCATTACGTCGATCAGAGTCTTATAAGGCCGCATGCTAGTCATAAACATCGAAGGCATAGCGCAGAACATAGACATCACGGGCCACGTGTTGGCCATAAACTGTCCGCCACGTGCGCGCCGTGAACAATGGCACTGGCATCTCCGAGGGGCGTGGCAGCGCGGTTGTGCTTCGAAATCTGAGAAACAAACATTTTTCCTCGGTGACGGTGTTGTCATTGTGGGTGGGTGCTGCGCGTAGGAAGACGACGGAGAATATCTTGCGACGGACGCGGAAACAAGCTGGTCAGCGGATTCGAACATACTGGCCACCGACTCAGTGGCTTCGACTATTCGCGACTGAGCGGTTTTCACCCTGTCCCCCAACTCCGAAGGCTGAGTAGCCTTTGAATGAAAGCGGCTGGACGTTAATGTTCGAACAATGGTAGGCATCGTGCGGGCCGCAAACTGATCGTGGCGTTATCAGATAAGATGCTCCGAGTAGACGCCCGTTCACCACCACGAGCGCTTAGCGATCTATGATGTCGGACGATGCAGCCTCGTCCATCGCGCAGCACCTCTGTGTATTCTATGTCGTGATCAACGAATTAAAGATAGATCTTACCTCCACGGTAGAAGATGCAAGACCCGTCAGGATGAGTCGACCGAGCGAGGGAGGTGGCGCGTGCCAGCCGGATGAGTCGCGCGAGCCATCGGCCTCGGGCATGCACTCGAAGTCGATAAATAGGAGTGGCTGGCGGTGTCGTTCAGCAGGCATCTTCCCGCTCCTGAGTCACATCGAGCATCCATCTCAAGCATCCATCCGCGCATACACTCACCTCCCAACAACCACTGTAACCAAACCTACCAGCCTACCCAACCACCCATCATCCAATCCACAATGGTCTCCGGCACCCCCGCATCCGCTGACATCTGGGCCGCCTCCGACGCCTACCACACGCGCTTCCTCCTCGGTGGGCCCGACCCCGCGCTCGACTTCGCGCTCTCCAACTCGGCCAAGAACGACCTCCCGGACATCGCCGTCTCCCCCGCGCAGGGCAAGCTCCTCAACCTCCTCGCGCGCTCCCTCCACGCGAAGCGCATTGTCGAGGTCGGCACCCTCGGCGGGTACTCGACGATCTGGCTCGCGCGCGCCGTGGGCGAGGGCGGGAAGGTGGTGACCTTCGAGCTGGAGGAGAAGCACGCGAGGGTGGCGAGGGAGAATCTGGCGAACGCGGGTGTTGGGGAGCGCGTGGAGGTCGTGGTGGGGCCGGCGGCGGAGTCGTTGGCGAAGACGGCGGGCGACGGGACGTTCGACTTTGCGTTCATCGACGCGGACAAGCAGTCGAACGTGACGTATGTGAAGGAGTGCAAGCGGTTGGTGAAGAGTGGGGGTGTGATTGTGAGTGGTTCTTGGCTTGGGTTGGGTTTGGGGAGGGAAGCTGACGTACATTGCAGATCGTCGACAACGTCGTGCGCAATGGGCAGGTCATTGACGAGGCGAACGATCATCCGTCCAATGTGGGTGTGCGGGAGCTCCTGAAGTACTTGCAGGCGGACACGGAGACCGAGGCGACGACGGTGCCGACGGCGGATAGCAAGGGATTCGACGGGTGGATGTATGTCTTGCGGAAGTAGCGAAGCGGCCATGAAGCCAACGGACAAATGATGACCGAATAGCAATGTAGTATTTTCTGTATACACTGTGCCTATGGTACAACGACCTGTGAAAGCCCTAGCCTGGGATGAGCACATGTTCAAGATGAAAGGGTATACCACGCACCAAACCACGGTCGCTTTTCTCCCTCCGTGCTTTCCAGACTACTCCGACCTTTCGAGTTCACATTGACCTTTCAGCACCTGGGAACAAGTGTCGAAAACGAGCCATCCTTTGAACGGGGACGAGAAACGCCCAAAGTCCGATCATCACTGTGATGTCCTCCTAGAGGATCACCGCCACATCGGCCCGGCACCCGGATCGCCGCTTGTCATCCGTTCCCCATACTCCATCTTTTCCCCGTACTCTCATCTACATCTCCACGGCTCCCCTCAGACTCTGACGAGTCTCTTTCTTCCTCGAGCTTGATAATTATCACTATCGCAAGGAAGTCTAACGCTCTCACACAAACCAGATCCTCTGCGAAACACGGTCAACTCAACCATGGAGCCGGAGGAGAGAGCAAGGACGAAGAAGCGCCGCATGCGCGGCGCATGCGATAACTGCAAAAAGAGGAAGAGTGTGTCTACATAGCTCATCAGAATATGGCCACGCGCTAACGCCCTTTAGCCAAGTGTAGGTCGCGCCCTGAACCTCTTGCGGTGATCGTGATTGACATGGAAAACGCGCGTAGGCGACAGTAGCAAGATGCCGAATAACCAATGGTGCGCAAACAATGCGAAGGAATAGTCATCCATACTGAGTTTACTCGCAGCTCGACATGTACACAACTGAAGGTTGAGGTGCGTTGGGGATACCCCGAACGGTCCGGCTTCGTCTGATCGACCATTTCCAGTGTACGCACGCAGAGATGACCAAGGTGAGTACTTGCACTCAGAGGCCCCGCCCTCTTCTGACCTTCTCGCAGAGTCTTGGTTCTGCCAAATCGTACGCGCACCCCCTCCACCATGATCGGACCCTCACATCAGCTCAGCTATGTCGAAACACTTGAGCGACGCCTCAAGGTCCTAGAGAGGCTGTTCAGGAAGGTGAGCACAGGAGGGCCCCTTCCAAAGTATGCGTACTCACCAGCCTCCCTGTCACCCTCCTCGTGTCCTCCAACCTGCCTTACACAACTCTCTAACCCAACCCGCATTATCCACTCCCCCTCACCACCCTCACCCCCAACGCAGTACCTCCCCGGCCTCGACCTCAACCACGAAGTCGACAAAGCTATCGCCATCGAGGATGACGAATCCGAGGACGAGACGCTCCTCCGCAACGACGACGACTCGCCCGAGGCGCGGCTCGTCAGCAAGCTCGACAAGCTGCAGCTCGCGCCGGATGAAAGGGTGTTCTTTGGGAAGAGCTCGTCGGTGATGTGAGTACTGTTGTTTCGTAAGGCCTCCCTAGTCCCCCAAGATGTCCCTAGTCCCGCAAGGCGTCGCTAGTCTTGCGAGGCATCTCTAATCCCGCAGGGCATCTCTAGTCTCACAGGAAGTCGTTCTTCGTGATTTTTGCGCCCCTACAAGCGGGCAGGTCGACATCTATCGCCTTCCTCCTCTCGTGCTTGCGCTTCATACACAGACTGACTCACCTCTCTCCAGGCTCATCAAAGCCGCCCTCGACATCAAGCACCAGTACCACATCCAGTCCGGCGCCGAGCCGCCCGATTCGGCTTACGCGCGGCCCAAGATCAGGTCCGAGTTCTTGTATCCGCGGACGTGGCAGGTGGGTGCGGGAGGTCTTTTTCATTATGCCTTTGGGACCTTCGCGTGCAGAACTCCTGCCCGCGCGACGAAGATTGCTCGTAGCCTTTTAACAGATCTGCGCAGTCTCTCTCTCATAGCCACGTTTGCAATGAAGGTCACAAACTGACCTCCACCCTCGCAGCTCCGTGCCCAAGACGCCACGGGTTCGACCCTCGGCACGGGCACCCTGGGCCTCAGTTTTCGCTTCCCAGAGGCCGACTTGTTGGACAAGCTCGTTGAGTTGTACTTCGAGCATGTAAATCTGTATTTTCCGTTGTTGCATCGGGTGAGTTTGACTTTGTGTCTTCGCTCTTGGATTTCCCATTGCGCTGCATTCCACTCGATTATTTTATCGTCCATCTACACTACGGCCGCTTTATGACTGCGTCCTTACTTCCTACCCACCTCCTCTTGTATCTTACGCTGATTCACTAAAGAGTACTCCCACAGCCGACCTTCATACGCCTAATTGAGGAAGGGACGTACCTGCGGGATCGACATTTCGCGTATGTGTTACTGCTGGGTGAGGACTTTCCTCCTTTGTCCCCAACCCTATCTTCCTCCCCATCTCTGATCTTCGCATTCGCTACCCCTTCCACTATCCACCCTCGTTCATTTACCTTCGTCTTCTTCGCTCTACCCCGTTCCTACTCATCCTCTACCCCACCCCCTACTCACCCCTCTCACCACACAGTCCTCGGCCTGGGCTCCCGCTACTCCGACGACCCGCGCGTCCTCGTCGACGGCACCGCCGACCTGCACAGCGCGGGGTGGAAGTACGTTAGCCAGGTCACGCAGATCCGGCCCGCGATGGCTGTCAGACCGTCTTTGTACGAGGTGCAGGCGTATTGTGTGAGTGAGGGAGCTGATTCGCATATGCTCCATATTCTAGCCAAAGAGAGGAGAAGCGAAATAGATGGGAGCTGAGATTGGGAACGTAAACTGACGGTCTTGCCCCCTAGCTCCTCACCCTCTGGATCGACGGCAGCTCGATGCCGATGGGGACATGGACCGAGATCGGTGTCGGGTTGAGGCGCGCGATGGAGGTGGGCGCACATCGAAGGAAACATGGGAAGCCGACGAGGCAGTTGGAGTTGTGGAAGCGGGCGTTTTGGTGCGTGCTATTGATCAGGCTTTAGTGAAGGAGATGTGCTCATTGACGCCGCGTACTCAGGGTCCTGCTATGTCAGGATGTGTACCTAAGCGCTCTGTACGGCCAAAGCGTAACATTATCGACCGACATGTGAGTAGCTACGGTATTCCGTGATATGTATGACGGCGCTAACCGGCTCGTAGGTACGACCAGGACCTGTGCGTGCCCGTTGACGATGAGTACTGGGAGACTGGGAACCCGGAAACTTGCTTCGTGCAGCCGGAAGGGAAGCCCTCGAAGGTCGAATACTTCAACGAATACATCAAGTTGATGGAGATCTATTTGACCGCTATGCGGTCTATTGTGAGGATTTCACTGTGTACTGTATCGAGGGCGGAAGTGCTGACGCTCAGCAGTACTATACCCGTAAACCTATCCTCACCACCGCCTGTCCGACAGACCAGCAGACTGTCACCATGCTTGACTCTGCGCTCAATTCCTGGTCAAACGGGTTACCACCACATTGTAAGCCTTTCCACAGAGGATCGGCGTGCTCGACTGACCCCCTGCAGTAAAGTGGAACCCGAAAGAGAAGGACCGAATCACCTTCGAGCACGCCGCCTGCCTCTACACCACCTACCTCCACCTCCAGATCTTCGTCCACAAGCCCTTCATCACGCCCCTCAACGCGCGCTCCAAGCTCAACTTCCCCTCCCTCGCGATCTGCACCTCCGCCGCGCGCGCCTGCGCCCGTGTCATGGACGCGCGCAGCCAGCGCGACGCGGTCGCGCTCCCGCAGTTCCACATCCCCGTCGCGATCGCCGGCTTCATCCTCGTGCTCAACCTCTGGACGGGCAAGCACGCGAGCCTGCAGCCGAACCCGCGGGACCTGGACGACGTGTACAAGTGCATGCGCATGCTGCGCGCGTGCGAGGAGCGGTGGCACAGCGCGGGGAGGCAGTATGATTGTTTGCGGCACCTGGCGAACGCGGCGGAGGTCGGGATGCCGACGTGGGAGGTGTATGAGAATGCGAGCAAGAAGCGGAAGAGGGTGGGTGAGGAGGGGGCGTCGCAGGACGGGTCGCCGGCAACGACGAATAGCTCGTTGGAGGTGGTGACGCCGCAGACGACGAGTGCGCTGCAGGCGGCGGCGACTGTGGCAGGGCCCGTGGCGAGCCCGGAGCCACCAAACATCGCGGATAGCGCGGGAATGCTCGACTTCGGCATGAACTACAATCAGCCGTTCCCGGCCGACGCGTCCTCCCTAGACGGGTTATCGGGATCCACTTTCTCCACGGCGACGCTTTCATCTGTGCCGCAGTCACAATTCGGAGGCGATGCGTTGGCGGGCATCGACTTTGGACTGGGCTCGAATTCCCACTCGTTGTCCTCAAATTCGTTGTCATCGGGCCTTGACAGCCTAGCGGGAAGTGTCAATGGCGCCAGCCCGGACGGCGCAGCGGCGTTGCAGGGGGATGCAGGGTCGTCATCTCTCGGACTCGCTCCCTACGATAACTTCCAGTTCAGCTTTAACATGCCGGCGCCTCCAGGGTTGAACATGCTCATGTGGAATTCCATGTCGCTTGAGATGGGGTGAGTTATATCTCGTCCTGCCCTTTTCGGCGGACGTGTCGCTGATCGTGCTTCAGCAACGAGGATAGCTGGACGCAACTGCTTACAGGGTTGCAGAGTTTGACGCCCGTCAGACGAGGGGACGACGAAAGCGGTAACAACACCTGAGTTTGTGCGGTGCTATATGTATATTTTGTACTTATCATATCCAGCTTCGCTTCGTACGCCTTGGGTCGCAACGCTTACCCTTGCGTGAGTCAGTGATAGGTGCGACAGAAGGGACATCCATGCTGCTCTTCCCACCGTGCGCGCGAAGCGACTCTTCCCGCGTCAGCCACAGCTCCCGGCGCTTACGGGTACACCGCCTGGGAGGCGCCGGCATCGCTAATATTTCACCTGAAAAGCAGCTTCCATGTACTTCCCAGCGCTCAGACCTTCTCTCCAGCGCCTAATAGAGCGCTGGCGATGCCAGTGGTAGGAATCGGATATCCCGAGGCTTCTAAGGAGAGAAGAATCCGTACTACTACTGCTCGGAAGCGGGCTGGCGAGATGCGATGAGCGTGGAGAAGGTTTGACATTACGAGGACTACTGCGCATGCCCTCATGCCTGGTAAGTGGGACTAAATCATTCAATGCAGGCGGCCCCGATTCGCGCGCCACAGTCAGGTTGCATGGTTTCTTGGGATGCGGGGCGTCAAAATGCAAAAGTTCGGGCCAAACCATTATTCGGCGAGTCGCGCGCAGGTCTGACTCAACGTATAGTTCAAAGTAGGCGCCATGATACTCATTCAGTACCCCAGTCATCATGGGCGAAGCGCCAGGGCGCGCGCGCGCTTATACTCGATTCTCTCGCGTTCTCCGCGGCCCGTCGTACGGCGTATATGCTTCACCTCAGGCTCTGCGCCACACTAGGTAGGTCAATTTATATACCTGCGAGCAAGCTCACAGCCTGAACAGCATCTACTGCCCAGTCTCCCCTCTGCACTGCGCAATTTCCTCCCCTTGCCCTTGAGAGGCGCAAACACCATCCACTATGACTGTAGGTCTATCCCTTGTCGTAATGCCTGCTGCCCACTGACTCGTACGGCGCACAGCCGCCCCTGGGACCCCAGAAACCTTATAAGCGTGGCGGCCGTGTCACCGCTATCATGGTAGACACCAATCCTTTTTTCTGCTGTGTTTCCCTCTTTTGGACAGAGTTGTTCACATAAGCTAACTGCACTCTTCCCGTTGGCAGGCTGGGCAAATTCGCCTCAGGATATGCAGTGGTAGCAAGATGTACATTGGCTTCTACGTGAATATAGTCAACAGTGCAGATGGTGTGAGCTCGACTCTTCCATTTCATGATTCGAGCGCTCACAGCGGATGTGTCGCAGTCCTTCATTGCACGACGCCTATTTGCGAGTTGCGTCAAGACGCGTGATTGTAGCCCGGTTGGCCGGTATTCCGATCAAAGGTGGCTTGGGATGTTCCGCTACAAAGAGGGCGACGAATGTAACATGCTTGTGTCGGATTATCTCGCCCAGAACTACCCTTGAAGCCGACCGTGATACGAAGGGCCCAATAATTCGGGAGACAGAAGATGAATATTTCCTTGGAGATGTAGTACCAAATAGAACATCAGAATTCATTCACCGGAGCGGTCAAGCGTGTATCCTCATTGTCAGCCAGTAATCGCTTCCAAGGTTTGTTGCGCTCAGGCTACGGCCCTGGCGAGGATCTCAGAGCTATGTGTGGGGGCGGCCCTGCCATGCAAGCTTAGACCGACTCTTGATTGTACGTCGTGGATGTCGGAATCGTCAGCTCACGTGCAAAGTTGAACTTCAAGTGCGCAGTCACGAGTATCGCACGTTGACCGCACGCGCGCCTGAGAGCGCCGTCCGCAAGCCCAATCAACGATCTCAAACCCGACAGACACAAGATCAGGTCAGAGAAGTCGGTGCGGGATCTTCTCTACTTATCTATCTGCGATCGGTATTCGTGGACGTTTTACTCTAAGGCTTCTGAGGCTGCTATTTGCATCTATTTTGCAGTATGGGTCCAACGGATTTTGCCGGTCAGGCTTAGTCAACGCTCAACTGTAGTGAAACTCAGCCCCAGTCAAACACCCCTGTCGACGGCTGTCCCCTGAAGACAGAAGAAAATGACGGAGCTCGCATCTCCAGCTTGAAGCAATGACTCACATCGTCGCCGCCGCCTCGAGCCGGCAAACATGTTAGGTGAAAAGAAACGACTGAAACTATCCTAACCCTCCCCCACGGGCCAAATTCAGCCGTTGTGCGCGTCGAATTGACGCCGCTGACGCGTTCGGGCGGCAACGCCGCATGCTCTTGCCCTCCGATTGGTTAGGACGTCTCAGATTCTATTGAAAGGGCCTCGCTGTCTGGCGATTCGATCCCACGAAGGCATCGAGCTTAATGGAGTGCGGGATGCGAGCCGTGCGCCCTTGTGGTCGAATTGTGGCAACACCTACCTTTAGGGACATCTACTGGATGCTGGACCGCGCTTGGGCGTATGCCTCATAGGCTCGTATCCGCCTCTGCAGGCCTATAAAAGCGATCAAGTCGACGCTCAGCACCAACACTCGACTTCTCCTATACTCTCTAGCGCTCAGCAAGCTTTCCAAGCTCACCGTCACCAAACCACCACTACAATGCCTCGCATCGCTACCGTGTTCCTCGCTACTGGTCTCCAAGGTTATGTGAGGCGAATGTCCTGTTAATTCCCCCATTCTCACTGCTGTCTAGGCTCTTCCGTCATTCGTGCCCTCCTGAAGGACGGCACCTTCACTCCTCGAGCCGTCACGCGCGACGCGAAGTCTGACGCCGCGCAGGCCCTGCTGAAGCAAGGCTGCGAAGTCGTCGAGGTCCAGCTCGACAACAAGGAGTCTGTCAAGAAGGCTGTTACTGGCGCTGAAGTCGTCGCTTTGGTGCGTCCGGCGGTTTTGCAATCAATCCCTGGCCTACGGCTTACCGGTTTCCAGATCACACTCCCCAAGTTTGGCCCGGTCGGCGTACCCGAGGTGACGCAGGGCACAAATATCATCGACGCCTGCAAAGAGACCGGCGTCAAGTTCGTCTCTTTTAGGTTCGTAATGACTCTCATGCGCCTAATGGTACCGTCCTGACCTATCGTCTCGCTGCAGCACTCTTCCCAGCTTGAGCAAGATGTCGAACGGCAAGTTCACTCAGGCACACCACTTTGACAGTAGGCGTTTTTAGCCCTTGCTTTTTCTAGCGCGCCTCACACTGTTCCTCAGACAAGCAAGTTATCCAGGAATACCTCGAGAAGTCGGGCTTGTCCTACGCCTGCATCGGGCCTGGCTCATTCATGGAGAACATCTTGCAAGGGTACGCTTTCCCTTCTGCCGTCCTCTGCCCTTACCTTCAAACACTAACGAACCCCCCAGCCGCCGCGGCGCGGACTTCGCTAAGACCGAGACGGGCTACCTCATGAAGACCTTCGAGCACCCCGGCACCAAGGTCATCCAGACCTGGATCGGCCACGACATGGGCCCTGCGGTCACGGCGCTCTTCAAGAACTACACGACGCGCCTCGCGGAGATCGAGAAGCAGACCTTTGTGCTGGGGTCCGGGCGAGTGACGGCGGAGGAGATGGCGGTGGAGCTGGCGAAGGGTACGCTGCTGCTCCCCATATGGATGCGCGACTGACGCGCCAATCCGCATAGGTCTCGGCAAGCCCGTCGAAGTCGAGCACCTTGACAAGTCTGGGATGCCGCCCATCGACGATATGGTGGGTTGGGCTGCTACCTATAAGCAACGTTGCACTCATCAGCTACCCTCTTCCAGTTCGCTTGCATGGCCGAGCACCAATGGTACCCGGACGTCGAGATCCCCGACAAGCGTCTGGAGTCCCTCGGCGTCAAGGTCGCGACGATCGCCGAGTTCGGGGCGACTGCACTCAAGGAGCAGTTGGAGAAGGCTTGAGCGATGGGTACTGTACGATTCGGCGAAAGTGAAGGGGCACTCGTAGCTATGTATCTTCAGTAAACCTGTTTGTATAATTGAGAATTGGTTTTGGCGTACTTCACGAGTTACAGTGCGATACGAGCCTGTCCGCATAAGAATGTGGCCGGGCAACTCCAAAGCACACCAACTGTACTCTTTCGCTGAGCACCGTTCAGAGGGTTGGAACAAATCACTTCGGCACAAAGACAAGTCCGTATATTAGACGGAGGGTGCATACTATACAAATACAGACAGTGGTAACCTAACCAAGGCAGGCGAGGGTACCATCTAGCGCGGGTAGGTTGACAGTTGTACAACCTACTCGCAAGGGCGCAAGCGACCAGGGAGCAGGTGGCTACAATTGGCTAGCGCGCGAGGATCGTAAAGGTCCCGTACGTCGAAGCCAATGGGGGGGAGTACATAATTAATTAAGACATTGAGATGGAGAGGTAAAACATTGTTGAAAAGAAGAAATGAGTGAGATCCAGAATCAATCGAGAGATCGTCGTAAATATCGTGAGTCAGAAAAACAGGAAACTGTCACTTCGCAGAGCCCGAAAGGGGAGTGTGCGTGAAGAGTCTAGGTTGTGGCCCGTCGCAGGCCGCGGGCGATCTAAAGGACGGATATAGCGCTGCGCAACAGCGTTACAACCTCTTGACGGTGAGTATCGCAACAAGACCGTCTTGCTCGATTCCGTGATTGACGCCTGTAGAAAGGGCGTAAGCATGTCAAGGTCACGGTCAACATCACAAGGTCGCCTGATACTCACCTCTCTTGCCGGGCTCCAGCAAGCCTGCGCGCCACTCGACGTCAGCCTTCCACCAGTTGCCCCTCCACCTCGAGCCGGCGACGGCGCGCTCAACGAGCCAGTCGCGACCGAGGTTGTAGCCATTGGGCACGATCATATGGTGCTTGCTCGTGTCCTACAAATTGTACTTCAGCGGATGCGACGGGCAGCATCACAGCAAGCCAACCTTCTCGCGGGATACGCTGAGAAGCAAGTGAGGACTTTGAAGAAAGCAGGGGTATCATTGTGACTCACCCCAAGAACCATGCGCCGCTGTTCGCGAGGGTGCCGTTCTGCTTCCAGGCGCGGAAGTGGTTACCGCCCGCGAGGCTCTCCCAGCACGTGCCAAGGACGGGGAAGTAGGACTCGCGGTGCAGGTAGTGTTCAAACTCCCTACCATTCCCAAGATCGGCTTCGTGGACGTACTGTGGTGGGTGCGGGAGCTGGTTAGTCGTCTGAATCATGTCAGGGATGATACGGCACATACGCCCTTATGCAGCCCTAGGCATTCCTGAGCGAAGCCGATGGATCTTTGAGGAGTCAGGATTGGGAGAAATGAGGGAAGAGACGCGTGCGTACTGGGAGTATGCGAGGAATCCGGCCTCGGTAAGAACGAAAGGATCAGAGTGCGCAGATATGATAACATTCAGTGGTTCCCCGCGTCCCCTCTTCGTTGCGTACTGCGATGGGGGTTAGCACTTATCGAGCAGAGAAAAGTGGCACGCACATCAAGAAATCGTCCGCCGTACTGCCTCGGGTCGTACCAGCCCGGGAAGACATCCCCGTCATCAGTAAGGCTACCTTCTGTGAGGACCTGCTGAGACTCCCCAGGGACGATGACAGGCGACGCAAATGCGCCGACAAAAAGCAGCGGAATCAAAAGAAAGCGCATGGGAGGAGAACGGAGAACGAAGAAGGGGGGCGGAGGGAGATGGTGGTCAGCAGCAAGCCTGATAACTCCATTTCGGCCGCGCGCCACAGCGACTGCCGTCCGATCACGCCATCAATCACTCACGTGCGCGGCGGGCGAGCGGCGCGACGGAGGCGACGGAGGCGACTCGCCCTTCGTCCTCGCCACCATGTCCACCGACGCAGCATCACACTCGCCAGCACTGGAGGCGACCCACATTGCGGACTTCCTCCAACCCGACGACGATGACGAGACCGCGTCCCAGCGCTCTATTTCCCTCTCCTCGCCCGCCGTCTCGGCGCGCAACTCAACAGCGGGCAACATCTTCGCGAGTGCACGCGACTCCACGACATTTTCCAAGCGCGACTCGCACCCTTACACCTTGTCGTCCGACCTGAGCTCTGAGGTGGATGAACGCAGCTCGGTTGCGACCGGTGCGCAGCGTTCGTCGACAAGCACCGCCAATACCTCGGTTGAGGAGGAACCAACGACGTCTGCACAAGAGGACAAACCTTACACACCGCCTACATATCCTCCTACACCACCCAGCAGAGATGACGCCATGTCCATACGCTCGACCGGCTCGTCATCGCGCAAGGCGCGTCCCGAGTCGATGATTGTACTTCCTGGAGGAGGCCCGATCATTCTGGGAATTGCCCTGGTCGACTTCAACCACTTGGTGTGTATTACCCGTATCTTCCTCTCTGCATACTAATGGACCTTAGGTAGGACCAAAGATTGAGTACTCCCGGGGAGACATCTTTGAAGACGAAGAAGTCGCCAAGATCTTGCCCTTCCTCGCACTGCCTGATGGCGCGCACTTGGTATGTCTCGTGCTATCCGCCGTTGTACGTATCGCTTACTCCCCTCAGAGTGCGGAGGATTACTCCTACTTCCACCTTGTGCCCTCTGGCCCCAAACCCACGACGGTCTTCGGTATATCGTGCGTCGTTACGCCGCGCGCTTGCGGACTAGGACTCATTCTTTCTCTCAGATGTAATCAACAAATCGCCGCGTCCGCCCTTCTAGTCAAGATGCCCGACGTAGTGCGGTCAACAGTACAGAAGGCAGTCGTCGTACTTGCGTCAAAGCCGATCTTCGGTCCCATACGGTATGCACGGCGGCGCCCGTTCATTGCGCGCGACTTACCGTACCTTCAGCGACAAACTTGGTGTCGTAACCACAGCGCTCTTCAACCAACGCGACTTCACCGACCTGAGCATCCTGGACGCATTTGGCGAGTCACTGGAAGCTTCGATACGAAGTCAAATGACGGAGAGCGGGCTGTTGATGGGGACTAGCCTGTAAGCCATCGCATTCAGGACCGGCCACCTTCAACACACTGATATGACATCAGCCGGGAGTTGGTGCACAAGTTCCGACAACGAACCTTAGTCCTCGTGAAGACCTTGATACTGCAAAAACGAGTGAGTCTGTGCCACGGTGCCCCAACTCCGCTGAGCCTTCGCAGATAATGTTCAGCGGCTATCCTGTCGAGCGACTTTGCACGTATCAATATTCATTGATATCGCTCATCCCTGGTATGACACCGGTCAATCACTCGTTGGGGACCCATTCTGATCATCCGCAGGCTTGCTGCAAACCCTCGAGGACTGCGGCTCTCCTCCCATCGCTGCACGCGCCCCAACTCTCTCAAAGCCAACGTCATTGAAGACATCCGACCGCAAGAGCATGATGGCGTATCTTGGCTTCCCGCTGGATATCTTCGGAAAGGTTCGCTTTCCTGCATCAAGCCTAATGTACTGCCTTGAGTTGACGCGCTCCACCTTTCAGGACTCCTTCTTCCAACCATACATACCCTTGCAGCAATTGGACATGCTGAAAGATACCCCGACCTGGCTCTGCGGAAGCACAAACTCGATCGTGACGCAGCAAAGTTGCGTAGACTTGCTCGTGAACGTGAGTACGCGATATGGATGATGAGGCTAAGTGTAGCGGCTAACGCGAAACCTCTTTGCAGACGGACACTGGGGTCTTCGAGTTTAGGAATCCGAACCTCGAGCGGCTAGTCGCGTTGACACCTGCGGACCGGAAGTGGATGGACGGGATCGTGCAGGCGGTGAATGAGAGCTGGCTGGAGTCGGAGGAGGATCAGTTGCGGCCTGCGATGCAGTGAGTTGTGTTGCGGCACTGACGAGGCTAAGATGCTCATCATCTAGCAGATTCAAAGGCAGCGATGACTATCTGCGTGTTCAGGTGAGTTGGATGATACCAAGTAGACTATGCCGATTGTTGACTCTGATTCTGCAGTTCGAGGAGTATATCTCGTCTATGCTGGCATCCTTGCGATACCAGGACTTCGTTGCAAAGGAGGGCGCGCCGATTGCAGCCCCGGGCACGCCTGATGCGACACCGTGGATGGGTACGTGTCCGTCTCTGAACAGCAGTCATCTTTCTGACTCAATCAAATTAGACTTCAACCCTCTCTGGTTGCAGGAGTTCAGGGGAACGAATGCGTATGAGTTATGGGAACGTACGACTGACTCTTCTTTGTTTGACATCGTCGAGCCAAGGTATTGCTTTGCTAGCCTATATTGTGAAGTCATTCTGAGCATCAGTGCAGACATCCCTGTGTCGACAAGCCGTCTGTTGTCGCCGACATCGGTTTGCGACTGTCGGAGGGCATTCAAGAAATGAAACTCGACCAACAACTTGCCCCCGCACGAGAGGCCGTCACACGCACCCTCGCTAGCTCGTCAACGAACTTCTTGAACGCTGTGGCGGGCGTTCGCGAGCGCTGGAACGCACGACCCTCCGCGCCGCCGTCACCCAATCCCGGTGCCAGCTCGTCGGACCTCAACGCTACGCCGGAAGAAGTCACGAAGGAGGAAGCGGAGGGGAGCGATGCGCGACCACCGCTGGCGAACCGCACGTCGAGCTCGTCGTCGACGGGCACTCGGACGAGCCTGAGCGGCTGGGGCGCGTTCTTGTCGTCAAAGGCGCCCAGATTCTCGTTTGGGAAGGGCCAGGAGGGGGCAGAGGGCCCGGCGGCGACGTCGCCAACGGGTCCGGATGGCGAGCCGACGGCGGTCGACTTGGTGCAGAGTCCGACGAAGGAGACGAGCAAGGGCTCCGTGGATATCAAGTCGCCGGTGAGCGGGCGGTTCTCGTTCTTCACAAGAGCAAGCTCGACGAGCTCGGCGGCGTCGGTGAAGAGCACCTCATCGATGGACGCGGTGAAGAGCGTGGCGTCTGTGGATGCGGCGGCCAGGCCTCTCTCGCCTCCTTCCAGCAGTCCTGCGTCGCCCGCGACACCGGTGGCCTCGTTGCCTACGGATAAGGCGGACGTCAAGATTGAGACCGAGCCTGCGAAGGTCGACACGCCAAAGCCCGCGCACGACGGTCAGGCAGCGTACGACGACATCAAGCCGGTTCAAGACGACGTCAAGCCTGTCCACGGCGACAGCAAGGCGGACACGAAGCACGATGTTGAGGACGAGGAGGAGGGCGCGTACACGGGGATGGCTATGTGAACGCGTCGCGCATGGGCTGGTCTGCATGCATCTGCATCTCATGTCATGGAACACTACTTTGTCGACACTTTTATGCTATCACGAAATCTTGCAACGTCGTATTCACGCTCTAATGAAGGTTGTAGATGTGCTGGTATTCATGCGGGCTGCTGAGCTTCTCGCCTCCATAAATTACCATCTATGGGCAAACCCCCAGGACCCACGACTCATCGGTGCTCGTCGGTGACAATGGGTGACATGTGACGCTATGGTCGGCCGTCGGGCCGATATCGCCCTCTTGACTCGACCCCCTCATGTCGTTTTCTGTTGTTCGACGGCCAATGATAGGCCTTAGAGGTATAGAATAGATAACTTCTTACGTATGGATGCGAGCACCGCAGACCGAGCTCCTTCTCTTGCACCATCATGTCGGAGGGCACCGGACAGTCGACGATGAGCGAGTCGAGCAAGAATTCCGTGGAGTTGGCGACGCGCACGCCGCTGCCTCAGTCGACTTCGACGTTGTATCTAACACATACGAGGGACGGTGACTCGAGCTCTGTTACTGATTCTGAGGAGGAAAGAAGGTCTTCCGAGTCATCGATACCAACCTGGGCTTCCTCGCAGCTACCGCCCATGGATGGAGGATTCGGGGCTTGGTCTTTCGTACGTCTTATCATTACCAGTGAGGTGATTGTAGCTTTAGTAACAGTATGAACTATCCAGCTCGCAGGCGCCTTCATGGTTGAGACCATCGTATGGGGCTTCCCCACATCCTACGGAACTTTTTTAGACGGTGCGTCCATCTCTCTACAATTCCGAAATCCTTGTACTGGAGTGCTCGCAGCATACCTGGATGATCCACGCTTCAAAGCGCAGAAGAATGCGACGTCGCTTCTTGCTCTGGTCGGCCCTGTAGCATCTGGGATCATGTACTGTGGTTGTACGTCTTGCCTGTCCATCTCCAAGTTACTACTGACAACGAGTCTAGCGCCCGTCATAAACCCAATAGTGGCGCGTCACCCGCGATACCGCCGTCCGCTCATATGGTTGGGGACGTGCTTGTGTTTCCTGAGCCTGTTCAGCGCCAGCTATGCGAAAACGGTAAGTCAATGTCCGCCGATATAGCCTAGAGGGCTACGCTGACTCGTCATGCCCCTCAGGTTGCCCAGCTTGTCGCATTACAAGGCGTCATGTACGCCCTTGGAGGGTGTAGGTGGTTTGACTACAAGCCTTCGACGCGTACTCATTCCATATACAGCGATGATCTACGCGCCCACGATCTGCTATATGTCCCAGTGGTTTTCTGTTCGTAGGGGTCTTGCTAACGGTGTTATGTTCGCCGGTCGGTCTCGTCATTTTTCAACTTTCCTGTACACTCAAAACTACACCTAGGAACATCGCTTGGAGGTATCGTCCTTCCTCTCGTCTTCCCGCCCCTCCTCTCCCGGTTTGGCATAGCGACTACGCTGAGGATCTTTGCGGGCGGCATACTCGCTCTATTGATACCTCTGCTACCTTTCATTAAGGGCCGCATCCCTGATGCACTTAGCTCGCCCATTCATGGCCCTCAGCCAAGGAACCGTAAGGAATGGTACAAAGAGCGCGCTTTCCAATTCCTCCTCGCTACGAATACCCTCCAGGCATTCGGGTACTTCGTGCCGCTGGTCTGGCTACCAAGTGAGTAGACATGATGATGTGGCCGCCGCGCATAGTTGACTGTATATAGCGTTTGCGAGCGCATTGAACCTGAACGCTAGTCGTTCGTCGCTGACGTTGGCTTTACTCAACGGTACGTTCCACTCACTACTGTCCATGTGCGCTGCCTACTTATGATGCAATGCAGCTGCCTCGGTAATTGGTCGTCTCTCTATGGGCATCATCTCCGACCGTTTCGATCCTTGGGCGATTGCTTTCGGCACCTTACTTCTGACGTCCTTTGCTGCCTTCGTCCTGTGGGGCGTGCTCTCGCACACGTTTGCGGGGCTTGTCGTATTCGGCATCGTTTACGGCGCGTTCTCGGGTGGATGGTCGACGCTCTGGACCGGCTTCCTTCGGCCTATTGCCAGTGAGTGTCGTGTGTGATTGCTGGCTGCGAATTGCTCTGGACACTCAGCACAGAGGATGACCCTAACTACTCGACGACGCTCTTTGGCTGGCTCTTGCTAACCCGCGGACTCGGCAACATACTCTCAACTCCAATATCTACCGCGCTCGAGAAGCATGTTGCGGGCAACAACAATTCTACGCTCGACCTCGGATTCCATGTCGCAGGCGGTCGCTTCGAAAAGATGATTGTGTATACGGGCACATGTTTCGCTGCTGCTGCTACTGTCGTCATTATTGGGTGGGTCGTGGAGAAGAAGAAGCGGCTGTCAACGACTAGTACAGAGCTGTAGATATTTCCGATGTGCAACGCCTCTACTAGGACGACCGAGTAGAATGATATTGAACATAGCCTCTCGCCTTCAACTTTCGCGCGGTCAAACTCGCGGACTCATCGAACTCACTATTTCCTACGGTCTCAACTCTGGGTCTTCAAAACCTTCAAAAGTGCCTAACAAAAGCCGCAGAGAAAAGTCGAACACGAGCACGTGACGTGTAACGCGCTCTGCCGAACACTTTCTCACGAATATGATCCTACTTCCTATCCTCGTCGGCGCTTGGGAAGGAGCGGCCCTCGCCTCCTACAGTAGCTATGCAGCTAGAAGATCAACCTTCCAAGCTCAGTTGCGCCTGAGCGCTTGAGCACGGAACTCCTTGATACTGCAGCGATGTTGCACCATTGCGCTGCGGAAACAGCTCTTTGTCCCTCGCTGTAAAAAGATGCTTACAGAGACGCAGCCCACATTCCTCCCTATGACCAAGGTCCGATGCCATGCTTGACGACAAAGGCCCACTCAATTCTGACCGTTTCTGTCAAGGCAAATAAGCGAGACACCCGATCGGGAGATGAAGGCTGTTGAGTCATCATGACGGCGATCCCGTCTTGTTGATCCTGGCAACACGGCTCTATTCTTACTCTTTTTGTCCTCGAGGTCGTCCAGGAGCCCCACCTAATGCCGCCTCCATTGCCTGCGCTTCACTGCGCTGGAATCGCGAGGCTTTGCGTTATTCAGCGGCGCAGCTCTGAGTGAATACTTTCGTACCCATCTACGCAGCATTCTTTGCCGTACGAGGACCTTTATGGCTGCGACGGTCCGTTATGTCCGGTGTATTCGAGTCTTGGTGAGTCAATGCCCCTTCATTCATGACTGCACGCCTCACCGCCGCAGTTGTGACTCGGGACGCGCACAACGGATCGCCCTCAGACATCATGATGCACGACAACGCATATAAGGCCCGGGCACAAGAACCGAGCGCAACTCTTCCGGCCCCGACGTGACTTGCACACCCGCTGTGGCGACTCACTCCGCATACCCCTGCGCCAGCGACTACCAGGAAATGATGTCCGACCTCCTTGCAGTGCCTTCCTATTCGGAAACAAAGGCGTCTTCGTCTTCGGAATCACTCCTCGGGGACCTTACCCCGCCGCGCTACACCCCATCCCCTCCTGCCCCGCACTACACGAGCGAGCCGAAGCGCGACGAGCTTACGCTGCAGGAGGCGCGCCGGCCGAATGCTCTCCCGTCGGGTAGCTTCGTGACGTCCGCGGGTCCTCTTACCCTGGAGATCGCCCACCAGGTCGACGGCGTCTCGACACCCACACTGAATGCGCGCGGTCGCCTCCGCGGTACCCTCGCGCTTGACATGCGCGACCGCTCCAGTATTATCGGCGTCACCCTGACAGTGCGTTCTACGGCTTTTGAGTACTTGCATTGAGTACTGATTATGGTTTAGCTTTCAGGTCGTATGATCCTTGAGGCCGCAGGCGCTGGCAGGGAAACAGTGACGCTCTTGAAGGAGACGCACGACCTTTGGTTGGACCAAGGTCCCGTTCCGAGCCTCGTTCCGATCGACATCGTGGTTCCTTCGACCTTCGTCGACAACGATGGCGAGGTGCGGTCGCTGCCGCCGTCGTGCGACTTCACGGACGAGCCTATGGGCCCGGCTGCGCCGGTGAGCGCGCAAGTGGCCTACAACCTCAGCATCGTTGTCGAGCGCGAGCGGCGGCATGGCATATTCTCGCAGACCAAATCGTCAGTGAGGACTTCATTGAACGCGCACAAAGTACTGACCACAGATATCAGACTGACAACACCATTTGAACTCGTCCCGCGTACGCGCCCCGACCATGGCATCATTCCTGTCCCGAGTTTCTTCTCCACGATGAAGACGTCTCCGGAGGAGTGGCATCAGGCGGTGTCCGAGATTGCCACGAACCCAGCCTCCGGCGTACAATCACTCAAGTCGCATGTGCGTCCTTCTCCCTTCGCTCAGTGCCCTTGTCTGACATTTCTATAGCTGTTCCTGCCCGCCGGCAAAGTATATTGGATCGGCGATGCCATTCCGTTCCACCTGTCGGTCACCGGTCCCTCGACTTCATTGCACGCCCTGTTCCCCTCGGAGTCGGCAGCTGGCGCGCCTTCGACCGGTGCTCAGATCACGGTCAAGGTTCTTCGACAGATCGCGGTCACTGCGCGCAAGCACCGCGCGGTGCGGAACGTCATCATCGGCCACGGCACCCTCCGGAGCGTCGAGCCCTTCTCCAGCGCGCGGGGCGAGCAGCGGGACTGGGATGGGTTCGTACAATTCACGCCGTTCACGAAGTCGGTCCCGACAATTCGCAGTGTCCTCTCTCGCAGCGAGCTCAAGATGGACAACAACAGCACCGTGTGTGGCTTCAACGTCGGTAGTCTCGTTGTGAAGGTGTGTAATTTTCATACACCTTACACGCTCAAAAGCTGATTTTCAGCAGGACTTCATCGTGCTCGAGATCAAGCCCGTCAGCCCTGCCACCTCGCCCTTCCACACTCATCAGAACCCGGTCTTCGTGCGCTTCACCACGGACCCATACGTCGAGTCGTATGGCCCAGACCAACCGTCGTAGCCTCAGCCGTTGGCGAAGGAAGAGCATACCGCTGGCGAAGGAAGACCGCGCCTGGTGGACAAAATCAACGGTGGACGCATGTGAATGCGGACGTCTCGTAAATCGGTAAACTTGCCGTCGCATACGACGCACTCTCTCCTCGTGGACGCATGGGCCGAGGGCCACTAGTCCTTGAGTACGTCCGGCCCCTTCGGGAGGTTGACGTACGAGGAAGAGACGCGAGTCGGCGTAGACTGTATAGGATTGTAATTTATTGGGCAGAAATGCACACTATCCGCTGGGATCGTCGCTCTAAAGGCCGCCTACACGACGCACGTTGAGGTATAAGAACGGACGCTCGCATGGTCCACCTACAGTGCCGGGTATCCCAGCACGCGTTGCTCCTTCAAGTCCAACCTGAACATGCGGGTCCACGCTGTGATATCCACGTGACGCGGATCAGTCGCACGCCGCGGCCGGGCCTGAGTTGCTGAAACGACGGACCTGCTCTTTCCACATTCTCAACAAAGGGCGAAGCTCACCTTGCACGCGCTCCCAGACCCATCCCCCGCGTTGGCAGCCACCGATGCCGTCCTTAAGAACCCGCCTGCCCGTCCCAAGAAGCCCACGTCCGCTCCAGTGCCCGGTGCGAAGCTATTCATATTGTGATACCGCCTGGCGTATGCATATGGCGTCCCATTCACGCACATGCATCGCCATCTGCGCGATGGGCGACGCTATAAGTTAGCGGTGAGGATTGCGGGCAGGCCTCCTCACCGTCGCGCTGTTCATGATGAGCCAGTCGTACGCGCTGCCGTTCCCCTCGCCGCCGCTGGCTCCTGGTGGGCCACAAATTGCGGACACGCGCGTCCCAATAGGTGAAAGCCACAGGTCAAGGCCGAGAGGCGTCTTCCTGAAGCACTCCAAGAACGCCGAGGTTTCTCTCCGGCTTGACGCCCAAGAAGAGGGCACGTCCGTCCCGGTATATGGCCGAGGAGCGGATATAGAGGGCGCCGTGCTCGTCCAGCGTACGGATGGTGCACGAAGCGTCGAAGTGAAGGTGCGTGAGACATTACTCTTCTCGTTCCCTGTCTGACCAGAAATATAGATTGAGGGAAAGTTACGACTGAAAGAGATGGGTGAAGGCGGAACCAACTCGGTCAGATTATGTTCGGAATCAGCTCTCCTTTGGATCCGTAACCCCCGCCGCCCCGACTGTCCTCCCATACTGCCCTTTAGGTTCCAGTTACCACTGAATTACGAAGCAGAGGACAAGACCTATGTGCGTTTTTCCATTTGTTTGCCTCGTTCTAGCGCTCATGCTTTCATTAGCCTCTCCCGCCTTCGCATACCGTTAAATTATCCGGTCTTCCAGGATTTTACGCAAGCATAGAGGTGCGCTCGTCGCTCGTGTCGATTCTCCTCCGCTGACCTCTAGCAGTACACAATAATCGCTACCATACAACGGCCTCCCTCGGGACCTAATCTACCCCTCGTCAAGTCCAGCTTTCTCGGTATCACTCCAGGAACAATGTGTGTAGCACCTCCTTGGCAATCACAGGCACCCACCTACTAACCCCGGGCTGCTCCCTCGCTGGCTCTAAGTACCTTATCCACAGCATTCCTCTACTACCCCCGCACACGACCACCAGACCCACTCCCCCGCCCCCTCCCACTCTCCCGGCACGGCTTCAGGTCCGCGCCCGAATGGATCTGCCACGACGCGTCCATCCAGCCGCAGGCTGGGAGCGGCGCCCACAGCATCGCCGTGCGGCTCTATCTACCCACCGCGCGCGTGTTCGCGCTCACGCAGCGCATCCCCTTCCACCTCTCCTTCCACTCCACGTCGCACACGCTCGCGCTCTTCCTCCCCATCGGGCCCACCGCGCACTTCCTCGGGGGCAAGCGGCCCACGCGCCTGCAGCTGCTGCGGCAGTCCGCGGTCAACGTGCGGTGCGTCTGCGCGTGGCGGCCGCCGCCGCGCTGTGCTCACGCTGCTCAGGAATGCGACCAGCTTGGGCACGAAGACCGACATGTGGCGCGTCGACTGCATCGGCGAGGCGTCCTTCCGGCACACGGTGCGCGCTTCGCTTCTGCTTCCTCTCATCTACCCTTATGCGGTCTCATCTACCCTTACGCGGGCCATCTACCCTCACGCGGACTCAACTAACCACGAACTAGGGCGACGGTCCCACCTGGAGCGCCTTCTCCGGGGTAATTGACATCGAGGAAGGGGTAACTGTCCCTGGCTTTCGCGCGGCGGGACTGAATGTGAAGGTGCTTCCGACCGTCCTATCTGCGTTCTCTCGCGTGCTCATTGCCTCCCGCCACGCAAGGACTGCATCGTCCTATCGATATCGCCCCCGGAGGGGTACAAGTCGCCGTTCAGCGAGCTGCGGGAGACGATCCCGGTGCGGCTGACGACGGATGCATGGTCGGAGGAGGTGCCGCATGCGCAGCCGCCTGCGTATATTCCGCATTTTTCGCCGCCTCCTGGGTTGCTGGCGGATTGAGTTATCGCTTAGTACTTACGACGTAACGCGAATGAATGAAGCGGCCTCACGCGCTCACGATGTACTATATCATGATGTTCACGCGATGACGATTGTAGCATTAGTGGGTAGAAGTACACGTTGGGTATTTATTTGATCATGAGGCTACAGTAACTTCGGATGGTCATACATGATACAAATGAGGATGCAGTGCTGTAGACATCGTAAGCCAGCATTTCTACCGAAAGAAGAGATGTTCGCGCACCGTTGAGTCTACTTCTTGGGCCCTTCGCCTCCATGCAGTCCGGACTGCTCTCCGTCGAGGATTTGTTGCGCCTCTTCCTTCAATTCTGGCTGTAAGGCCCTTATATAAGCGACATGCGGCAAACCAGGCGTGAAATACGCACCTTCCCTAGCACAGTCCCGCGGGTCTTCTTCGCGGCCGCGATCACTTGCTCCTTGAAAGGCACCTTCTCGTGTACCCCCGCGCCGTCACCAGGCATGGTAGACGCTGTACACAAGCGTGAACTTCTCGTCATGCTATATGATAGTGCAAGGCTCACCTTGCTGAGGTACGGAGTTCGTACGCGTCGGCTCCGCGACCTGCGAGGGCATCGTAGGGTGGTACGCCGTCGCCTTGTCGTCGGTCTGCGGGTCGATGACAACGCCCTGAGGGTGCTCAGAGCGAGCAGCAGTTTCCTTCGAGATGGGTGTAGACATTGTTTGCAATTGGTTCGAGTGTGTCTGAATCGATTACCGCGATAATTTGGGAGAACGAGAGTCGAGTGCAGAATGTCCTCGCTCGACCAGCTCTTATACTGCGCGCCACCGACCATGACGACGCCGGCGACGTCATGGGCTGAAATAAGCGCCAAAGCGATAAGATAACCAAAGACTGATTAGATGCTAGCGTGGGAATGTGATCTGCGTGTTGGACTTGCCCCTGTCGATCTTAATTCCGCGTCTTTTCTACGTTTTCGTGAGTTGAAAGCCCGCCTGCAGCCATGACAGTCATCGCGGCGAGCTCAAGAGATACTGGTGGTGCGATAGCTACCACCTCGAAGCAAGCGGCTCGGAATGCAGACACTCACAACGGGCACACTGAGGAAAATCCTGTGATCGCGGGGTGCGAGTTCGTATATGAGGTAACGCCATCTAGTATGACCACTGAAAGAGGCTTCCTAATCTCTCACAGAACACAGACCTCGTCAGAGTAGACGAATCCGGCGTCCAAGCCGCTGCCGAATACGTACGTGCTTCCCAACCCACTCACCCACACCCACTGACCATAATCCCTCCCAGATCCACCGCAAAATGCTCTCCGAGTCCTACAGTCCGCAAACCTGGCGGACGCACCCCTTGCACAATATCCCAGACGATACGAAGCCCTTGCACGACCCGGCGAACGTGCGCGTCCTGGACTGGATTTTCCTCATCTCGTCTCTGAACTTCAGTTTTTGGTCCGAGAGGGAGGGAACGGACGCGAGGTATGGCGTGCTGTGGCAAGAGAGCTGGGCCTCTGGGAAGCCGAAGGTGTTCACGGGATACTGGAGCCTGGTCGCTGCGCTGAATCGAGGTCAGTGCCTTTTCGCTTTGCGTAGCGTTCTTGTTCGGTTCGCTGGCACGGTTCGCGGCACGGATAGAGAAAGTGGACGCTGACATGACCCCAGCATCGAGCGAGGGTACCCCGATTACCGACCCCAAATTCTACGCTGACAAGGACGCCTGCCCCGTCGAGCTTATCGCCCACGTCTTTCGCCGTGCGCCTCAATCCAAGGAGGACATACCCCTGCTGCAAGAACGCATCAGCATCATGCGCGAGAACGGTCGGATACTCTGCGAGGTGCGTCTCGTTGATCTGGAGTTGCCTTTTTAAACCTCGCACGCGTCCAGAGTGTTATCCGACGCCTGCGGCACTATCACAAACCCTACTAACCTAACCGCCATTCTCCACATAGGACTTCGGCGGCAGTTTCGCTGGCTTCATCAACGCCTTCCACGCGAAATTCGAGAGGCAGGGCACCGCTCTCGACCTGGTAAAAATGATCACCGAGACGTTTCCCTCTTTCCGGGACGAGACCGTGTTCGAGGGCCGCAGAGGTATGTGGGATCTTCCTTTTCTCGCTTCTTTCCGCCCTTTTTTATGTGCTTCTCTGCGTGTTATTGGATGCCCTCCGCGTGGTATCAACCCCTTGAATGTCTTCGCTGCGTGGACGTTGTCCATAGTCTGGACCCATTGCGCGCGCTCGCAGCTTTCGCCGTGCGAGTTCGCATACTTCCGAGGCTTCCTCGTTCCCTGGCAATATCTTCGTTCCTTCGTTGTCCTTCGTTCTACTTCGCCGCCCTTCGCGTTGATTCGACCTAGCCCGTCCCTATCACTTAGATCTGCGCACTTCCTATTCCTTGCATCTGCGCACTTCCTATACCTCGCATCTGCTCCTTCACGACCTCGGCAGCCCTCCTTCCTCGCCGCCTTCAATGCCTTCTGCCCCTCCCCTGCCCGCTCCTACTTCCCCACACTGACAGACCCCACGCAGTCTGCATCTGGAAGCGCGCCCAGATTCTGGTCGCGGAGCTCTGGGCGGCGTTCTTCCCCGAGTGTTCTCCGGAGAGCACGGCTGCAGCTTCTGTGGAGAGCACGAATGTAGCTTCTGGGGAGAGCTCAGCGTCTCCGTCTTCGACCTTGTCGGCTGAGCCGAGTCCATCGTCTGCCATCCCGGATTCATCGTCGGCCAACCCGAATTTATCGTCGGCGAACCCGACATCGCCGGCAACCTCCGCCCCACCTACGACCCCCACTTTGTCTCTCCCCGCCTCCACCTTCACCTCCACCTCCACCTCCACCTTCACCCCCACCTCCACCACCACCACCACCACCTCCCCCACCCCGCCCCACCCCCTCTTCCCCGGCCCCCGCGGCCCCGCGATCGGCGCGCTCACCATGTTCGCGGACTACCGCGTGCCGCAGGTGCTGCACCACCTCCGAATCCTGAGGTACGCGCCGGGGTTGGAGGATTTGTTGCGGGGCAGGACGACTTTGCCGCATGGAAGCAGAGAGGAAGTGGCGCTGAGGGCGGGGAGCGTGCTCGCGGTGGAGCGGGTGAGGGGGGCGATTGGGAGGAGGGTAAGGGAGGCGGTTGAAAAAAGAATTTCGACTAGGTTGGAACATGGTACTCGAGACCGTGAGGGGAAGGACGAGGACAGCGGTCCCAAACTGGAAGTCTCCAGCGTCCTCATCGACTTCTACCTCTGGGACCTGGCCAAGCGTGTCGAGAGCGGGGCGGAGCGGATCGAGGGGATTGAGACGGCGGAGGTGCTGCCGGCGCATAGGACGAGGAGTATTTGGTATTAGGGCGAGGAGTAATTGGTATGAGGGCGAGAGGCGCAGTCGAGGACTATCGGTTGAGCGTAGTCGGGGAATACTGGATGAGCGTAGTTGAGGACTGCAGGACAAGCGGAGGCCCGAGTTTCTTTGGACTCTTGTACTTCGATGATTTTTTTGTAGACATGAAATCGTTTTTGTAGACGAATATAGACGTGGGGTGCCGTGAGCGGCGGAGCATTGCGCGCTGATGACGGTTGTCCGATGCCCAAGCTGTACCGTGGACCGCCATGTAGATGGTGCGAACGACAGGTAGATGGTGTGAACGGCAGGTAGATTGACGCTACGAGCATGACTACTTTCGCCTACAGGACAGACGGTTGAAGCACCGGGAGCTGTAGGGGTCGTCATCTGAGGAGCGGAAAGGCTCAGATGGGCCCTGCTATGGAAAGGCGAGTCGCTCGACACCCAACTGGTTAAATCAGCAGGCGCACCTTCAAGGCTAGAATGAGAATGGATGGATGGATCGTTGGAGGTATCATGCGAAGCTCGAGGTCAACGAAGGATCCACAGTTGAGGCTAAGATAGGATCCGAATTCGAGGCCAGGAAAGAATCCAGACAATCTCTGGGAAAAACGTTGGCCGCGAAATGTGGGTCCCGCCGAACATCGTGCTTGCGCGCGAGAGAGCCAGGCACACTGTCGTTTGTTTTGTTTGTCCCACGTTGGCATCCGAATCGGAAGCGGTTGACTTGGTCTATGATGCTGAGAATTTGTGGCAATAATTACGGTGAGATGGCAATGATTATGGTGAGACGGCACGATAGGCGCATAAAGCATTCTGGAGGTGATGCGCGTAGGCGAGAGGTGATGCGCTACAGGCCTACGCATGCGGTTCAGATTGTCGCGCAGGGCTATTACGCGGCGACGTGCTGGAGTATTACGAGCAGGGATGAGTCCACACGAGTAGCGCATCCACACGAGCCTGGCGCTTCCACTCTCAGCCTGCGATACGCCTATCAAGTCGCTACGAGGGTGCGGACGTACTTAGAACAGTTGTGATCAGACGGCGAGAACAGCTGCATTCAGACGGCGAGCGCGCGAACGTGGAAGTATCCCCGGCCAAGTGAGCAGTTGAGCAGCGGTGAGCGAAGCCGCAGGGTGGCATGGGGCGTAAGCGGGCGGCATTGGTCGAAGGCGAAGCGGTATAGGCCGCAACAGAGCGGCAGAGGTCGAAGCCAGAGCAACAAAGTTTGAAGGCAGAGTCGAAGCGGCTGGAGAAACCGCGGAGAAATTGGCTGGGACGGGCACGCTCGAGGTTGGACATGGAGCGCATCAGAAGAGGACTTGGGTGCGGAGCGATTACGCGAGGAGTGCGGGGGATCGCGAGAGCACGTCGGAATCGACTGGAGTCCTTTGCTGCGAGGGACCCGCGCCGCAGGCTTGCAGGCGGGTGTTTGGCAAGCTTTGGCGGGCCCGAAACAGCAGGCGCCACGTTGGAGTCCACCGAGGCGGTGCATGCACGGTTCGACGGCAGTGATGAGCGGGGCCGAGCCGAGAACGCGGGGGCGGAGACCTCCGCGGCCGTGCCGGCGCGGGGCAGAGGCGACAGCGCTGTGCATCGGCGGCGGCATCGCGACGATGGGCGTAAAATAGGAAAATTGCCTTACTTGGGAAAAAGGCGGCGGCGCGGCTTGGCTGGGATGGCCGAGCCAGCGGGCGATGGGGTCTGTCGCGCGGGGAGGAAGCGAGGGGGCGTGCGCGCGTCATCCCTGTCCCCGCCCACATGATCCCCTCCGGCGGGGCCCGGCATCGGCGGGAGCGCAGGCGGGCGGTGCAGTCCCCAAGGGATCGCGCGCGACGTCGGGGAGGGCGCGCCCCCCAAGGCCGGCGACGGGAGCGGCGGCGGGGGGCGGGCATCGGGGCGCATCCATATCGTCATTTTCCCCAGATAAGGGATGTGCGGAAAGGGGCAGAAGAAATTCGAACCTGGCTCACGGCGGGCGTAACCGTCCGGTATCACCGGCGGCGACGCGGGGTGCGTTTCGCACGCCCCGTCTTGCATCTTGACCATCACCTCCTCCGCCCGGTCTCCCCAGAGCACTAGCAGCCAGCCAGCAGCCCGCCCCCGACGCCCAGAGCGCGACCACGCACGCCAGGATATTCGTTGCAGCGCCCTTGAAAATCGATCGGCTTCCATTTTGGGGCGTCACTCACCCTATTTGCTCTCTCCCGCGCGGTGGTCTTTCCTCGGCCGATTACATTTTTTCTCCAACTACCATCCTGCCACCGACGGCCCCGTCCTCCTCGACGACCAGCCGTCTTTCACCACGAACGCTCTCCGCAACCTGGGACACACCGATAAGCGATAGTAGTCGGGATTGCGTCGACGTGCGTGCCTTGCCCCTCCCTGCATTCGCCCGGCGTTAACGCTCCGTAGCACCATGACCGACGCTGATGCAACCGCCTCCGTCACCCCAGAGGGCAACGCTGCCGACGCCTCTGCTGGCAATAACGCCCCCAAGCCCGGCGAGAAGCTCGTCCCCCGCCCCTACAAGTGTCCGTACCCCTCCTGCGGCCGTGCCTTCAGTCGCCTCGAGCACCAGACACGTCACATACGCACGCACACCGGCGAGAAGCCCTTCGTCTGCACGTTCCCCGGCTGCGAGAAGCGCTTCTCCCGCTCCGATGAGCTTACCCGACACTCGCGCATCCACAACGCGGACCACAATACCCATGTCGCGCGCAAGAACACCTCGCAGGCTGAGCAGGCCGCCATGAAGGAGGCCGCGAACAGGCAGAAGAAGGGCATGAAGGCGCGACACATTGCCCGAGGCCCGCCTGGACCTCAAGGCGCATCCCCGTATCTAGGCGCGGGGTACCCCGGCAACGGCAACCCTCTCAGCCCCGCTTACTCTACACCGCCCGGCCCCGATTACCCCGCACCTAACTATCCCGCCTCCTCATCGGCTGCACTGCGACCTCGCTACCCTCCTCCTTCCTCGTCAGAGGGCGATAGCTCGACAACGTCTGAGTCTGAGATTGAGGTCGACGCTGTCGACCGCTATCGACACGACCCCGAGCGTTACCGCAACGACGTCGACGCCTTTGACAAGGCTGGCCGTGGCGCATACCGACCCGATGTTAACTCTGTCGATCAGCGCGAGTTTGACAGGGCTGCGCTCGAGTACCAACGGGCGAAGAGTGTGGGCGAGCGCGCCATGATTGACCGGGATCGCGGCATGAGGATTAAAAAGAAGGCCCGGAGTCGCGCGAACAGTGACGACGAGGTGAGTATCTCCTCACCATCGTCTTCTGCCTGTACTTCCCGAATTGCTATTCCATTCCCCTCGCCTCTCGCCCCTATACCCTATACCCTCCCACGCACGTTCCTCGTCGTCCTTCCCCATGGGAGTACCGCTTCATCGTACTCCCTAGTCGCACACTGCCGTTGCTGCGTGTGCGTGGGCACTGGAGGCTGGGCGCCCGATCCGCTTCCTTCCGGGCGCACGCCTTTCAAGCAGTTTTCCCCACAATTCCCTTCTTGGCTCCCCACATTGCGTGTCATCATATCGCCACATCACTCTTCTTGCCCCACTTTGTTTGTTCCTCCGGGAAGCCGGCCCGGAAACGTCTCATGGCCCATACTGACACGTCTCACAGGCCGAGTCCTATGCGCGCCCGACCTCGCTCATAGACGGCCCGCATTCTCGTCGACACCATCACCATCACGCTCACCACTATCACCCCTACGACCATGCAGCTGGATATCACGACTATGCCTACGAACGCACACCCTCGCACCCTGCTTACCATAATTATGAAGCCTACAACCACCACGGATACCCTTACGGCTTCGACATGAACGTGGCTCAGGGCTTCCCACCTGGCGCGGCTTTCCAGCCCAGTAGTTCCTTCCCGCCGTCTGGCGCAGCTTTTCCTGGCGCAAACGGCATCCCCGGCGGTGCCCCTGGGTTCAACTTCGCACACGCTGCTGGCGCTTTTCCCCACCCAGCGTCCATGCCTCCCACTCCAGGAGGACCTCCTCCGGGAAATGCCTTCGCCTCGCTCTCCTCACTCGCTATGGACGAGCTCTATACCCTCGAGCGAGAGGAGGCATTACGCCGTGCCGAATACGAAGCACGACACGCCGAAGCACTTCGCCGTGCGCATGTCAACATGCGAACCGCCGCAATACACGACGGCCAGCACGACGGAAGAAGAGACGATGACGGGAGTAATGGCACGCCCGAAGACCACAACAGCACGAAACTCGGTGAGGCAACTCATCGGTTTCGGCGGGACTTTCTCGCCGGACGAATGGATGCTGAAGGGCTGGGACGCCTGGCCCGCGACCGCGACGGCGGGTACGAACGAGCCGCCGGCCGCGCCGCTGCCGCCGCCGATGGCGCGGAGCGAGAGCAACGTGAGCGGGCGGTCGACGCCGCGCGCGAGCGAGACGATGCCGCCGCCCGAGCAGCACCCGGCGCAGTGGCGCGGCGCGCTCCGGGGGTGGGACGGGGACCTGGGCATCCTGACGCCCACGGCCGAGAACCCGTACCCGCTGCTGAGCCTGACGAGCGAGACGGGCCCACCGCCGGCGCCGGCGGCTACGGAGTGGACGAACGGGTGGGCGAACCTGGTGCACGACGGGGAGGCTCCCCGGGCGCCGCCTCTCCCGGACCCATGGACCGCGAGCTGGCCCGCCGGCGTCGATCCGACGTGGACGGACGCGGGGAGCTCGCCCGCCGAGAGTTCGCCGAGGACGCCCGCCGGCGCGGGTTTGGGATGAACCTGAGCTTCTCGCGCCTGAGCAAGAGCGCGACGACGAGCCCGGTGTCGACGCCGTTCATGTTCGGCCGCATGCGGCGGCCCAGCGAGCGCGAGGAGGGCTACTTTGGTAACGCGCCCGGCTACTTTGGCGTCTCCAACGAGCGGGGCGGCGGGAGCGCGCTCGAGGACGAGGAGGAGATGCGGCGGAAGTGGGAGAAGGAGCAGGAGCACGCGTACGATGTGGAGGAGGAGGAGGACGCGGAGATGGGCGATGCGGAGGAGGATGAGAAGGAGCACCAGCCGCCGAAGCGCAGGCTCAGCGGTCCCGCGTGGATGACGGTCGGTGGCAAGCCTATCAAGGCGGACGACATTGAGCCGCCGCGCGCGCGCCTCCCGAGCAGCAAGAGCACTGGTCATCTAGCAGGTGGGCCCTACAGTATGTTCAAGCCGCTTCGTCCGGTCCAGTCGTCTGATCTGACTATCTTTTGCAGGCGTCTACAGGATACATGGCAGCACGCCGTACGGTTATCCGCCGCCTCTCTCGTCGTATGGACGCGCGCATCCGCCGCGCGACTCGTACTCGAATCACCGCTCGATGTACTCGCGCGACACGCCCTCGCCGGTGTCGGACGACGACGATGGCCTCACCATTGGTCGTGGCTACTCTGGTGTTCGTACGTCTGATGCGCGATCCTCGTCTTCGAGTACTGCTCGCGGACGGAGCAATGAGCACGATGGCTCGTCGCGTTCGCCCAGTGGTGCCGTCTCTCCTGGCGCGGGACAGGCGCTCGGTTACACGCCGTCGACGTCGCCTTTCCTCGGCCCGCTGCGCACGCTCAACCTGCACAGCACTGCGCCCAGTCGCGCTGGCAGTCCTGGTCCGATGATGTTGCCGCCACCTGGCCTTGCTGGCGAGGGTGAGTATTGTCAAGTTCTTGTCACGCTACATCCGCTAACAGTTGTTTAGGCGCGATGACGAGCCCGCCGCCTCCGCCACCGGCAGGTAGCACACCGCAACTGTCTGCCAGCGGGAGCACCTCGACAAGTAGTCGCAGCAGCCCCGCCATGAACAGCGCTGGCAGCTCGCGTGCGGGAAGTCCTGGTCACCACCCTCATGCCCCGAAGGATCTTCACCCTGGCAAGGATGTACACCATCTGTCGGCGAAGGAGCAGCACGGTCGTGAGCTGCAGCACCACGGTGCACCGGGAGAGCGTCCTCATCACCATCAGCATCATCACCTGGCCCATTCCGTGCGACTGGCTTTCGGCATGACGCCAATCGTTCCGCACAGTGGCTTCGCTTCCTCGTCTTCCTCGCTATCGCATCCGTATGCTCGCTCAGCGGCCTCAAGTCGTGGCGGCAGCCCACCGGTCCAGCTTCCACCTCTCAAGTTGGCATCGCATGCTCCCAGCCGCAAGGGTTCCCCAGGCCCGAAGAGCGCGAGTGCGGGAAGCAGGAGTGGCTCGCCCGGCCCATCGACGTCGAGTGGTCCATCTGGATCCTCGTCAGGTGGCCCGTCGACCGGTCCCAGCGGGCGCACGTCACCAGAAGGAGATGTCGAAGCCTCCGCGGAGGCGGGCGCGGCCAAGAAGGGCCCCACGGGGCTCGTCGTGGAGGTGAAGGAGGCCGAGCATACGCCGGATGCGAAGGCGACGGACGCCGCGCCTGCGGAGAAGCCAGCCGTCGAAGGGCCTGAGGTCGAGATGGAGATCGAGCGGCCAGAGCTCCCGAGCTTTGCGGCGGTCGAGGCGGCGACGCGGATGAATGTTACGATCTAATAAGCTGGTTATCTCTTCCCTTGGTTGTTTCTACCCCCCTCTCATCCTCCTTAATTTCTCTCCCTCTCTTACTCTTTTGGGCTGGTCGGTGCTTGTATTGCTTAGCGCAAGAACGCTTACCTTGCTTGCTATCTGCTCTGGCCGTCTACTACCTAATGAATCTGTCCCATCTCACCCCCGGCTCAGTCCCCTGTACCCCTCGCCGCCGTCGCCGTGGCCTCCCAGCGGGCGTGCCTTTACTATCCCATAGACATCATCGAAGTAAATAACAACATGCACATCTTCCCTCCTTCCCCTAGATTCTCTCATGCCCTATAGATCTGTTTCGCGCCACGAATTCGTGTACATAGACGTAGATCACGGTAGTTGTTTGGTTCGGTCTTATTGTGTACTGTGATGAGTACAAGGTGTTACCCAATGTATATATGCTCTCAATTCGCGAAGGATGCGGGATCTGTCGCTGCGACAACGGGCTTGCTTCGATGGACCAGTTTTTCCGAGATGTGTTGCTCGAGTACTTACTGAAGTTGAACGTTCAACTTGCATCAACGTCCTCTGAGTTCTGCGAAGTCGGTACGCTGGAGTGCACCGCATCATGAAGGATTGGAAAGGATGCATGAGCTTTGAAGTAGCGACGCCTAGAAAAGACGTATTCCCATTGTGACTCCGCCAATACTGAAGGATCCTCATTCAAATCGGTGCAGTACAGTATATATCGATGGCGCCCGTCGTATCACTACGTCTCGGTCTGGGGTTGGACGACTGGGCTTCTGGCCCTAGTCACGCACATCTCTCTGAGTTCAGCGCTGCTCGGAAAGCCAGGGCCGTAATGTACGACAGGCGGAATCAAAAGTGACTTGGGCAGCATATCCTCGAGACATGCACGCAGTCGAGTCAGCGCATCGTGTGCAGTCAGACGGTCTGCGGGATCGTCGGACGCCATGTAATCCAGCACCTCTTCCACCGCTGGCAAGGTAGACTACATTCTGTTAGGTGAGACGACCTGCGGGAAGGCAATAGTAGACGCACATCGAAAGTCGATAATGAGGTCGCAAGCTGCCAAACGTCAAGTTTGAACGGATCATAGGGCTCTCCGGTATCCATCTCAGGGATGCGCGGGGCCGTGTACTTGTCGACGTCTGAAAGAGAGTTGATGCACGGGGGTCCGACGCATACGCGGTCCGACGGAGGACAGTCTGCAGAAAACTCGATCGCGGACTCGAAGTCGATGAGGTAGACGCGGGGTCGGGAAACAGGGACCACGCGCGTGAGCAGGGACTCGGGATAGAACTGCATGAGGAAGTTATACTTGAAGGCATCCTAGGTAAAGTGGGATTAGTGGTGATCCTCATGTCAGCTTGATCGACCGACCCTGTGCGCAATACCAAGCGAATGAATATACGACAGGCCCTGAGGGAAATTAGCACTTTTGTAAGGCTGAGGCATGCGTCCGACCGACCTCAAGTGCTTGCATGACTGCGTTGAGTATGTCCCCGACGGAGTTTTTCGCCCAGCCCCCATATATCCTCTCCATAGATTGGGCAACGTAGGGAAACACGGCAAAAGTCACATGTTCCAAATTGATCTCTTGGAGTAAGGGAAGAGTGTGATTTTCGCTCATTAGAGCATGTGGCGCAGTTGCCAGCTTGCGCCAAATGCGCAACTGTTCACGACCCTCGTCGTGGATGGCCACTACTCGTAGTACGGCATCCTGTCCGTCACTTGTGCGGACGACATGACTGGAGCTGTTCTAGTGAGCGATCCGTCAGATGAAGGGTATGACAGCGTGTAAGAGCTTGCACACTCTGATACAAAAGAGGCGAAGGTGCGCGACCTTCCCTGGTCCGCTTCCCTCTTGACGGGCAGTAGTCGTGTAAACGTATCCGTTGGGAAAAACATCGCTTCCGTCGGGTGTGCGCTGAGATCCTATGTCATCACTTTTCCATGGTGTAAGTCCTGCGTCCTTGAGAATAGTCGCCAAGTCGAGCCACATTTGGTAGGCATCATCCTCGCACTCTGGCACTCGCCACGCAAGAAGTGCGGTGGGTAGCTGCCAGTGGCCTTAGCCCTGGTTGTGCGCCACACAATCTTCTTACCTTCCCTATCAGCTGCATACGCTTTCTTGTCTGCAGGTACGCTGTAATGGTCGACCACGACAGAACGAGAGAGGTTGCAACCACGGTTGCAGCTGCAAGTGCGAACTGAGGACGAGAGTACATGAGGCAGCCAGCCGAAGCGAGACCCGCTCCCAGATGATGGCGGTAGCTGTAAGAAGTTGAACTGAATGGGCGTGGGTTAAGGCAACCAACAAACATGAACAATTACGGACATGCTAATCTGCCGCGAGCACGTTACTGTAATTCCCAAACTTCACTCACCAACTATAGCGCAGTCAGTTACAGACGCGGTAGTGCACGAATTATATCTCCCCATCGGGGGGGGGGGGGGTAAGCAGGTCTTGAAGATTCCCTCACGAGGCGCAATTACTAGTTTGTGGACTCTGGTTCGGTCAGCGCTACAGGGCACGTCGTCAACGTTGCTTGCAAAGCTTCAGAGACCCTGAATTCAAAGCCCGCTACATATGATCAAGCATACATGATGGTCATAGTCTGAAGACTTCCTGACGAATTGGGATATTCTATCTCTAATACAATGAATCCCAAGCTGCTGGACCGAGACGCTTCATTACCTTCGCATATTCAAGGGGAGTGGGGCGAGATTGGATCGCTGCGTGGATGCTAATCAGTATCTGTGTTATTTGGGCGTCATCAACGCGTACTTGGTCGGGGTGCAGCGATCGTGAGGCACCATGAGCTCCGTGTGGTCCGCGAATCCGAGGCAGAATTTAACCTGCCACCCAGTATTCGGGGTGAGCAATGATATGAAAACACGGGAGGGGCTGAACTCACCCCAGCAATGGTTTCGAGCATGTTGACGAAGAAGCCGACGTACTCCATGCCGGTGTTGCGGTCGGTGAAGCGCCAGCGAGTACCCTATGGCGAGAGGTCAGTCAGCTTAGCGGTTGCCTCCTGTCAATAGAAACGGGAGCGCTGCGCACCATGTAGGCAGTTGGAAGCGCAGCCACACCGCCGCTAGCCTTGTGGTTCTTGGAGAATCTCTTGGGCTGCGCATCGTCGAGGTCAATCGACAGCGGGCAAAGCGGCAAATGAAGGTCATACAGGCATACTGAATATGCGCACTTTTCGAAGATAAAGTGAGCAATTTGCGCAACACGGGAGCGACCAAGGGATGCTGTTGGCGCCGTGAGCTCATCCCGGGTATATAAGCTTTCCGACCTAGTGTGGCGCAGACTTTCTATTTACTGCGCTGGGAACGCGAGTGAATTGAGAATAGGCGCCTACATGAGTCCTCCTGACCCTCTGCACCCGGACGGCACAGGGATTGGATGGGCATCATGGCGCCTACCTTGAACTATATCGACATACAGGTGAGTCAGTCCTACGTTTGGCACAGCAGGTCTTCGACCCCATCGCTTCCGAAAGTTGTTTTTGAGCTTGAGAGCTGCGAGCGAGCTACAGAGGACTCACCGATTCCCTGTCCTATCATCGAGCCGTTCGCGGTGCATTTTCGGTATTGTCCTGGTGTACTAGGTACACATCCTCGTCAGGTGCAGCAGGCCCTCCGCCGTATAACATAGCCTCGCTCTACAGCTAGAAGCATCGTGGCACCCATCCAGGACACTGAAATCCCACAGTTAAGCGCTGAGAAGATATGGAAGCTGTCAGTGTCAAGCCATGCAGTTCAGGCGCGGTGCGAACGAGGCACTGGAGAGCGACGTACTATCAATGGAGTGACAGGGCGGGTCCGAGGAGACTTCAAGGAACTGATTCGAGGTAGAGTCCGTAGCGTCCTAGCCACAGTCAGAAGCACAAGTCATTCGGCAGAAGCATCATCATTTCCACGAACATCTGACTTACAATCGGCACACTCGAGCATACTTTGAAAACAGGAGATTCACCACGCGATTACTCCTTCGTACCCTTCCCTACTTCCTCAGGACGTAGGTCCAGCCATCAAAGCCCCGCTCGTCCGCCGTGGGCACCGTAGCAGCCTCCAGCTCCGTGTCCTCCTGCAGGTACTTCAGAAGGTCGCGCACGCCAGCGTTCTCCTTGTCGGTCTTGTTCAGGTCGGCGACATAGCCGTTGCGGACGACGTTATCGAGGACCTAACAGGATATTCAACGAGGGAAACAAGCAAGAGATTGTGGGGCTTACAATTGCGCCACCGCTGCGGACAAGTCGCTTGGCCTCCTTCGTGTAGGTCGGGTACGTGGCCTTGTCAGCGTCGATGAAGGCGAAGTCGTACGTGCCGTCGCCCCCGAACTTTGCAAGCGTCTCCGCGGCAGGCCCGACAATGATATCGACACGATCGGCGACCCCCGCGTGCTCGAGATTCTCGCGAGCGACCTGCCAGACAATGAGTGAGCCGGCCAAAGGATCAGACGGCAAAAACAAGCGCACCTTCGCATGCTTCTCCGATAGCTCGAACGTGACGAGCTTTCCGTCTTCGGGAAGCGCGCGCGCCAGCCAGATCGTCGAATACCCGCCGAGGGTGCCCACTTCGATGACGCGCTTCGCGCCCATCGTGCGAACGAAGAGGTTGAGGAGCTTGCCCTGCGCAGCGGCCACCGCAATCTCAGGCAGGCCGTTCTTAACCGAGTTGGTGAGGGCGAAGCTGAGCGCCTCGTCTTGATCCCCCACGAGGAAGCGCGTATGGAAGGCGTTGCTAGTAGCCCAGACGTCGAAGGTGGCGGGAGGACCGTAGGATGGGATAGGCATGATGGTTGTAAAACGTTGAGTCGATTGAGAAGTGAAGAGTCTTTGTGAGGCGGATGGCTTCACAGTTTGCTGGATAACAGGGCCATATGCGGAGGCCTTTATAGGCAACGCTGGGGGTGTACGCGCAGCCCATCGGCTTGCTATGGAGCGGGCAGCGCCTGCGGCTGTTGCGAGAACCATCGGGGCTGGATGTACTGTGACCGTAAAACTTACGCATCTTTTCTATACAGCTTGGAATTTTAAGCCAAGGTCACGCCTCAAAGGCTGCCGACGACGCGTCGTAATCTCGTCGGCAGTGGACTCTGCTTGCACACGAAGCCCCTACAAAGTATGATTGTGAGGAACACATCCGTCGACCAGCATGAAGATTGCCGAAGCTAGCTTAACTCACCACATACAATCCAGGAGCGATCATCTCGGAGGGTGCGATCGAAGCACCTTTGAGGCGGCTGAATTTACCCAAGCTGCCGTGTAGATCTTCATGATGTTGGGCGCCGCTGACGATGACAGCCGGCGTGGCGGGCTCAAGCCGCGGACGCGTATGCTCAAGAACTCCACCATCCTCCAAATCAAGCGTGCCAGCATCAATCGGTCCTGCGTAGCAATAATACTCTTCAGGACGCGTCAGAGCGATATCGTAGACAAACCTTGACACATACTGGACGAGATGTCCTCCATTGGACTCGAACCTGATACGGTCAGTGTTCGCCGGGTGCGAACGATGAAGTTCAAAACAAATCCTTGCCATGATAACTGTCCTCACGAGCAGTGGGGACAGTCAGAAAGGAAGCATACCGCAGGAAGTCGGATGAAGCATCGTCGATGTGACCATCCATTGTTTTCCATCCCTTAAAGTTACATTTGCAGTGAACGCGCCACGTACAAGGATCGATACAACAGGCCAACGGCTAACAGAGCGATACATTTCTAGTGTCGAAAGCCTTCATCCGCGTTTGCCGTCTCGGGCGTCATCCACTTGCTCGTCCCCGCCCCCGCGCAGTTGCTCTGGGGTATCCTCCAGTCGCTCCCGGCCAGCCGGATGGTATATCATGAAGAGCGTCCATGACGACTGTAAACAGTGTCCACGATGACTTCAAACCTCACACTAGGTTGAGCCGCCGCGCTGTTAGAACGTGGTGGCCCAAGCCTCGAGGTCGAAGTCAGACACGCGAGCCTGCTGGATCCAAATATGTCTCTGCATGGAACATCAGCATTCCGAGCGCCCAGTCAGCAAGACGCAGACATACCAACAGATCCTTTGGCGTGCGGCGCTGGTCTGGGTCCTTCAACAAGCAGCCGTCGATGAAGTCCTCGGCGAGCGGGTAGCGTCCCTCGGGCGTCAGCTTCGGCGCCGGCTCATTCACGATATGCTGCAGAAGCTCTAGGATGCTCATCGTCATCCCGCCGCCCTGCAAGCTGACGCCCTTGCTCTTGCGCTTGTCGGCCTTCGACGTCTTCTTCTGCGCGCGCGACCGTGGGGGCGGAAGGCCTTGCATGTACGATCCGGGACGCTCTGGTTGGAGTGTGCCCTCCAGGTCGGAGAGGTCCGAGTCGTCCGAGTCGTCGGTGCTGCTGGAGAAGGGGAAGCGGCCGAGCGCGAGCTCGATGAGGGAAATGCCGAGAGACCAGACATCAGATTTGACGGTGTACTGCGCGCCTTGTATCCGCTCGGGCTATGTACGAATGCTCAGCTTCGAGTAATCAGCCAAGACGACGAAGACGCGCACCGACATGTACGTCGACGTCCCGACGAATGTGTCCGCGATGGAGTTGATGAGCTCGCCAGACACACCAAAATCGCAAATCTTGATCTCGCCCTTCGAGTTGAACAGGATGTTGGAGGGCTTGATATCTGCGGAGTCGTTAAGCGACGCGTAATGAGACGAGGGAGGTACATACCACGGTGAATGATTCGATGCACATCATAGAGGTATGTCAAGCCCTCCAACACGGCCAACGCAACCTTCCCCACGACCTCCATGTCGATGGGCCCTATCTTCTTGTAGATGCCATCGAGGGAGCCCTTGTCCATGCATTCCATACAGATACAGATGTTTGGATCGGCGAGGAAAGCCCCCCAAAAGGAAATGATGTACTTGGAGTGACAGTCGTGCATGATTTGGAGCTCGCGCAATATTTGTTTCCGCACGGCGGGCTTCGCATCAATGAGGACATTCTGCAGACGTTTTAGCCACACCGTTGCACGGTGAGACCACTACAGACGCACCTTCTTCGCCATGATGATACCGGTCGGCATGTGCTCGACCTTCTTCACGCTACCGCCGTTGCCCTGTCCCAACTCGCGTATGTCGCGTAGGTCCTCGTTCCGCAGATCGAGCTTCGTCTCCGCGTTCATATCCAAGTTTGCGAGCGTGTTCGAGAGCGTAGCATGGTAGTTGTTTCTGCGCGCCGAGGCGGGGGACGCAGTGTTGGGTGCGGAGTTCGACGCGGCGTGTACGGTGAGAAGGTTGCTGTTGTCCTCCGGTGCTGGCTCGACGGGGGCGATGGGTGCAGGGATCTTCGGTGCTTTCAGCACCATGGGTGGGGGGCGTTTCTTCCCGCCGCCGCGCCCTGCTGGCGCAGGCGCAGGACGCGTTGCCGTGGGCACGTTCTGGACGGCAGGCGCGGGCGCGGGTGCTGGTGCGGGACGTGTCGGTTTGGGCTCAGGCTCGTCCGGCGTCATTGGTGACGCCGGCCCCGTCGCGCCCGGGGGCAGCTGCAGCGCCTTGAAGTTGCGTTTCTTGCGAATGGGAGTCGCCATCGTCGAGGAGCGTGTCGTGTAGGAGATGCTGATCAGCAGCAACGGGAATTCAGCACAGCGCCGTTAGGTAATCCGGTGATGGCCGGTCACAAGTTCGACTTGAACTTCGAGGAAGATGGGGGATGGCGTCCGCTGTGGTCATGTATGAGGGCATGAGGTATCTGGGCGGAGGGTACTCATGCGCAGAGATCCCCTCGAAACAGTGAACTGTGATGGCGTTTGATCACAACCCATTGGCCTTGACACGGCTTTGTCAAGGTGTTTCCCTATTGGACAGGCCAAGAAGGCACATGCCCTTGAAAAGATTGGGATTTATTCTGTCAATATGTTAGAGGGTATGGTGGTCGTTTTCAAGGACAGTGAATGGCATCGAACAAGGCGGTAGCTTGCAGAACCTCTTGCGTCAGAAAGAGACGACTGCGTATAGACAGTTCCTTATTCTTAGCCATCCCCCCTCGTTCTCTATACACCCATTCTATGCTTACCGTCCCTTACCCTGACTTCCCTTATAGTAGACATTCATCCGAGATGGCCCTCGTATATCCAGGCACCGTTATTACAATCGAGTGGCAGGTTGACCAAGTTTCGTTCTCAAGCTAGTTCACATATGAGGCAGAGAAAAGCTGCTGCTCGCTGACACTTCTCAACTCGTGTCTCTCTTGCTTGTTGTGCCTTGTGTTGAAGAGTCACGTAAATATCGACTGAAGGCAGGCTAACCACCGTCACCTCGAGGTTAGGCGTAGAAGATGATTATACCTAAATCTCAATGTGCTCTGATTCAGGGTCAATAGGTAAGCGAGACGTATCCTCTATTAGCAAAGCTTGGATTTAGCAGGGGACGAATGGAAAATCAAGACTACGGTGAACCAACCACACGTGCTCACGCCACGTGAGAATCACGCTGAGCGGAACGGAATTTCGACCCGGATGCAATTTCCTTCCTCAAGCGCTCTTGTTCTCGACGATCATCCGGCATTCCGTTTGTTCTTACTCCTGTTTGAGCGCCTTTAATTGCACCTATGTGTTATACTCTTGCTTTCTCGTCTTATGTGAAGACCGCCGGCAAACCAGCCGGATCGCTTCTTTTGTTACGCGCACATCCGAAGAAACAATAAGACAAGATCAGGTTGCGATCCCGAGCGACAGAACAACTTTCGGCTTCCAAGGGGAGCGCCCGCTCACCAGACGACGTCACACTCCCCGGAAGGCGCCTTTTGTTTGGCGCCCCGTTCCACAATAGGCGAGTCTTATCCGGAGGCCTTGTATGGCTTCGGGGTTCGTCAGGCGCCCGGGGCCTTCGCGACCGTCCCGGAGCTCCCCTTTATAATTGTCTGCACCCGCCTTATAAGCGCACTCCGAGTGGCGTCGCGAGTCACATACCCACAGGTCCTGCTTCGGGGCCGCACATTCCTTCCCTCTCACGCTCTAGCTGTATGCCAGCGAAGACGATGGTCGAGCGCAGGTCGGGGGCCACAAAACGATCTAGTAGAATGGGACGTACGACGAAGAGCCGCAAGGGATGCTCGTGCTTCGACCCGCCAGCACCAGAGACGATCACGAACTGCCCCTTCAGGTGTCGGTCGGAATATCTCGTCTACAAGGTGCGCGGCTATGTGTCGTGCAAGATCTCCCTGCTCATTCTTTGCTCAGAAGTACTCGATGTCGTTTCAAGACGTCTTCAAATCCTTGTTCGACACTCCCCGCGACGACGCGCACCTATGCTTCTATGGCAAGACGCCCGCGGAGTCGAGATGCATACTTTGGGCAACCTGCACACAGTACGTTATCCATCCGAGTCACCATTCATGCTCATCCTAACCGATCGTGCCAGCCCTCTCAATGACGCGAAGAGAATAAGTCCCCAAATATTAGGCTCCCTGGCTGAGCTCTTCTACCACTACGAGATTGTACCGCTTCAACACTGGGCAGTCGATGCCCTGCAAGAGATGACCTCTTTCCCAAGCACACTACTTCACACCTGTTCCACTGCAGTCATGGCCTACATCTCCCGCGTCGCACTCCTATACCGCCTCAAGCCCTGGTACGACCACATTCTTAAGCACTGGAACAAGCGCCTCCTCTTCCCCTCCAAGCACCCCCTCCCACCCGAAGAAGCCATCATCTTCGGCGCGCAGACGGGGAACATCACCCTCCAAGCGAACGCCTCCTACGCGTATCTCATCCACCACCTCCCGCGAATAGCCGCAGACGCGAGGGCGCGCACGCTGCGCACCCCGTACCCCCTCAAACCGGTCATGTATCGGCATATCGTCGCGGGGTACCTGTCGCTGAGCACGCTGGCCGCGAAGCTGCGCGCCCGGCCGCCCGAATTTGCGCGCGCGCCCGAGTGCGCGGAGTGCGAGCATTGGAAGTGCCAACTCGCGTGGGCGAATCGGTGGCGTACGCTCTTCACTGAGCCTATGTCGCGCCCAGTCGTCGCCGACCCCATGTCGCGTACGGTTCATGGCGAACCCATACCTCGCACAGTCGCGGGCGACTGCATGTCCCGCACGGCCGCGGACGACCCCATCTCGCGCCCCTGCGACGCCTACTCCGTGGACGTCATCGACCGCCTCACCACTGCATACAACACCCTGCGGCGCGATACGCGTTTGGCGCGGCAGATGAACGACGCGTGCCGCGAGGCGGGCATTGCGGCGCTCAAGAAGGCGAAGACGGACGTGATGGAGCATCTGGAGCACCACTTTGACTTGTAAGGGCCACTGTGGTGTGGCTTGGAGGGTCTGTAGACCTGCACCAGGGGTTGCTTCGAATTATGGGGGTTGCTCCGAACTATGGTGGCTGCTCCGATTCATAGGGTTCATGATATGCGTGGACGCTCCTAGCTGCGCGCACGCCGCCTGGCGTGGGGTGCGTGGGGTGCGTGGGGCTGGGACGATGGAGACGAGGACACTAGTGACGCGTTTGGAGGGCGCTGCGCGACCTTCGATGCGTCTACATGTGCCAGCTGGCCTGCCTTTACGAAAGACCTGGACGAATCCTCAGGCCTCGGGACATACCCTGTTACACTTCACCTTCAACCGAGGTGCTAATATATTTACTTACTTACTTGTTTTCTTCGGCCCTGATAGAACTCCCACTGACCTTTCTATGTATTTCTATCTATCATCTTACTGTATCATACTCGCTTTCCGCACCGTATACGTACATTGCTACTTGCCCCCGCCGTGCATGCACTACCCATGTAACATAGCACATAACGTGTCTCTATACCATCGTTCATCTCCTCCGCGCGCTGGTGGTGTTTCAATTGCGTTCGTCTTATTGCCAGATCCAGCGACACTCACAAGGGCCCTTGTTCTTTCACTTCCCTCTTGTTTGGGACTGGTGCCTCAATAAAAGGACAACGAGAAGCCTCCGCGCTCGGCCTCGAAACGCGTCGGAACAACAGCTACATGGCTTCGCGGTAGTAGTATATGGTTTCGCTGTAGTACAAGAAAACCCGGAAGTGGACTGGGGGCGCAGGCGCACTGATAGCTTGATGACGCAGCAAGGGAGGCCTTCAACATACGATACATACAGCATGGACAAGATAGAGGATGAGTAGATGATACAACGAACAACAGCAGTCTATATTATATAAACCTCACAAAATCACAAGAAATAGTCCGGCGGTGGTCGTTTCGCGGGTACGGAGCGGACGTCCTGGGCGGGTGTTAGCATGCATGTAGGTATCAGAGGCGAGGGAGTTGCCGATGAGAAAGAATGAGACAGCGACGAGGGAGGGTGAGACAGCGACGCGCGGCAATGGTCAAAGAGAATATGGCGACGGGAAGGCCGAAGAACAGAATAGCGACGGAAAGGCGAAGGGATAGGATAGTAAACACCACTCACAATCGGCGCACAGTGGAACACCTTGTACTCCTGTGTGAGGTGCTCGTCGAGCTCGAGGATGGACGCGACGTTGCCGCATCTGTAGCAGTAGTTGGGTGCGCTCCAGACTGTGACGATGGTCCGGTCGAACATGAGTTTGTAGCCTGAGAGGGTGGGTCAGCGTCTGAACTTCCGGCTTACATTCTTGAGCCTTTCGCCTCGCATCTCATTGAGCCTTTCGCCTCGCATCCTATCAAGCGTCGAGAAGAACAAGGGATTGTAGATGCAGAGTACCAAAGATGTGCGAAGGAGAAAAGGCACGCACCCTCCATGGCTAACTGATGCGCTCTCGCGACCAGGTCGATGTTGTTGTCGTGGATGAACGCCTTCGTGATGTTCGGTCCAAAGAGGTAGCCCGCGCCGCGCGGGGAGAGGCCCCAGCCTTGGATATCTGGAAGGTGCAAATCAGGCACGCGGTTAGGGGAGGAGGGAACACGATGAATGGGCAAGAATGGCATCTCAGAAGAACAAGCGCTCACCATCCGGATCCGACCACAGCAGATCACACATCGTCCCGTCGTGCGGGACCTCCTGCTTCCGGTCAATAGCCCTGATCTGGTCAATGGTGCGCAAGTTGGGGCTCAAGCCGCCGTGCACGCAGAAGACGCGCCCGTCGACCATGGCCGCGAGCGCGAGGTAGTCGAAGACCTCGCAGCACCAGCGCCACACGTTCGAGGAGCCGTACTTGCGCTGGCATTCGTCGTAGAAGCCGTAGACCTGGAGGTACGGGTAAGTAGGGTGTTGAGGGGAGGGAGGGTGGAGGTTGGGCAGAGACAGGACGGACGCACCTGAGTGATCTGCCGGCTCTCGTGGTTCCCTCGGATGAGAGTGATGCGATCGGGGTAGCGTACTTTGAGGGCGAGAAGGAGGAGGAAGGTTTCGACGCTGTAGAATCCGCGATCCACAAAGTCGCCTATGGGGTGTTGTGAATGAAGTATCGAATTGGTGGGCCAGGGGACGCACCCATGAAGAGGTAGTTCGTCTCCGGGCAGAATCCCCCCAACTTGAACAGCTCCAGCAGGTCAAAGAATTGTCCGTGTATATCACCGCATATCTAGCAGGGTCAGAGGGGGCAATATAGCAGTAGTAAGTACACGCACTGTCACCGGCGAATCGACGTGCTGTACGTTCCCCTCTTCGATCAGGATCTCGCGCGCCTTCAGACACAATCGTTGTACTTCCGCCTCAGTTATCGGCTCGCATTTCTGTAGCTGCGCTATTTGTCTTTCATCTGAATGAGTATAAGAGCCAACCCAAGTATTCGTGCCCCCTCACCTGTCGAGATCACTGGTCATGGCGCGCGCGACGCGTCGAGGGAGATGACGTCCCTGAGCAAACAGGCGCCTCCATTGTATTCGCGATCGCGCCCGCACGCGACAAACTTCCCACGCCCCGCGTCGGCAATGACCCGATGTTTCCCCGCATCCCGTCGGTCCCCCTCATGACCGTCCCCGCGTTCGATGTCAATTGGCACACCCTGAGCCCAGGGTGTTCGCCCTTGCCGATGTTCCTTGAGTCACGAACGAGTCTCGGCTGATCCATAAGATGTCTGCTTCATCAAGCGCAGGTTGCTCTCTTCCGGATATCTCATCGAGGTGAGCGAGCGCAGGACACGATGGTGATGCTCGAGCCCGAGCTGGTGGCGGAGACGGTGCGGCGACCGGTGCAGTGCATGACCCGCGGGATGTCGAAGGGGTCTGCGAGCGAGGTCCAGGTCGAGTACGAAGAGGTGGTCCTCCCCGTCCTGCGTTCCCCGTGGACCAAGGTTCCTGCGTTTTCGCGGCGGCCCCCAGAAGCTTTCCTGTACTATGAAGGTCCGCCATCACCCTCGCCCCCGCCGCGGACGCCATCGGTCCACTTCTCAGTGCAGTCGGCCCAAGAGGGACGGACAGGGAGACAGGTCAGGGAAGGATACTTGCAGCTTTTCGCCGTCTTTTGGTCCATGATACTTCTGGGATGGAATGACGGAACGACGGGACCCTTGCTCCCCCGCATTCAGACCGTATACGATGTGCGTAGCCTTTGGGGATTCCCGGCGCACCACTTATCTACCGCGCAGGTCAACTACACGATCGTATCCTTGCTGTTCGTCAGCGCGTGCACGGTGAGCAAAGTGACAGCGGCAGGGGACGATGACTCGAAGTATTGCAGGGCTTCGTAGCGGGAGCGATAATAAACGTTCCCTTGTCTACGCGTCTCGGGTTTGGGAAGGTGTGTGCTCAGATATCAATTCAGCCATGTTTGCTCGTCAACTGACGGCGTATGTAGCTCATGGTCCTTGGCAAGTTGCCTCCTCCCACCACCTCGACAGCAGACATTGACACCGGACTCCCGATCAGGCTCTGCTCTGCAAGTAATTGCTTATGCCGTCGACGCCACCGCCCCTCCCTTCCCTGTTCTGTGCGTAGCATATGCTGTCAACGGCGCCGGGATGTCCCTTCAGGTGCGCCACATCCTTTCCACACGCATATATGCACTCCCCTGCCTATATTTTCATCTTGTATGCGCATATACTGACTTCGCTTCTTTCAGGATGCCCAAACAAACGGCTACGTCGCTTCCCTGACGGAAAACCAGGAGGCCAAGATGGGAATGCTTCACGCTGCCTACGGTGCGTGTACTCTCCCTCTCTTGCAAACTGCTACCACCCCCTGCTCTTGAGGTCCCTGCGGTGCTCAACCCTCCCCAGGCTTAGGCGCTTTTGCGGCCCCACTCGTCTCGACGCAATTCGCGCAGATGCATCGCTGGTCCTTCCACTACCTTACCTCCATGGGCGTCGCGCTCGCCAATATGGCTATCTCGGCCGCGGTCTTCCGCTTTGAGAATCAGGACCGTACGTCCTTCCTCTGCATATACTTTACACCCGCTTCTCTCTAACCTCTCCTTCCCTCCTCCTGAACCCTGCTGACCGGCCTCTCAGAATGCATCGCCCGCATCGGCCAACCGCCCAAGGAGGAGTCCACCCGACCTGGCGCCAGCTACGACAACAACAATCTCACCGCACGCTCAGGAAACAGCCTCATTCAACTCTTCCGCCTCAAATCCATGCACCTCCTCGCGCTCTTCGCGTTCGTCTATGTTGGTGTCGAGGTCACGCTCGGCGGCTGGATCGTGTCCTATGTAATTGACAAGCGGGGCGGGGGCCCGGATTCGGGGTATATTTCGTCGGGGTTCTTTGCGGGTGAGTAGGGTTCGTGATTAGGAGGAGGAGGTGAGGGGGTAGGGTGGTAGTGGCGTTTGGCAAGGGGCAGGGAAAGCGGCGTGGGCGTGGGGCAGGAAGAGCGGAATGCTGGGCAGTTAGGCAATGGAATACAGGGGCTGCGAGCTGACGATCAACGAACAGGCATGATGCTGGGACGACTGGTCTTGCTTTGGGTGAACAAGAAGGTGGGATAGTTCGTCTGCTTCGACTTCGCACATGCTCACATCCCCCAGATCGGCGAATGGCCCGTCATCTTCGTCTACGGCCTCCTTGCTATCGGGTACGTCCCTATCCTGCTTATGATATCCCACCTTATCAACCCCCGCACAGCCTCGAGCTCGTCGTCTGGCTCGTCCCCTCCCTCCTCGGCGGCGCCATCTCCGTCGCGCTCGTCGGCCTCCTCCTTGGGCCCTTCTTCCCCATCGCCATGAACCAGGCCGCGCGCATCCTCCCCGGCTTCCTCCTCACACCGAGCATCGGCTGGATTGCGGGGATCGGGCAGGCGGGGAGCGCCGTCTTGCCGTTCGTGACGGGCGCGCTGGCGCAGGGGACGGGGATCGGGAGTTTGCAGCCGTTGTGAGTGGTCATCCTGCAGCGGGAGGAAGAGTGTGCCTAGAAAGTATATTGCTAACGGTGTTCCCAGCTTGGTTTCGATGATGGCGTTCATGATGATTCTGTGGGCGATGGTGCCACGGAAGGCGCAGCGTATGGATTAGAGAAGACTTACGATCGACAAGGTGTGCTGCTCGGGAGAACTGCAATTCTCGGACAACGAACTCATCGTGTCGCAGAACAATGGGTTCCCTTACATGAAGCTACATTTATGTCCTCTGGTCAGTAGAACGAGCACGGTTCGGGTATGAGTACTAATTGTTATTGGTATAGATCCTGGAAAGTTGTCGATATAGATATGTCCGAACGAACGATGCGTTGTTGTACAATACTCTCCGATGGGTTGGCCGTATGAGGGCACCTTGGGCGTTGGATAAGGCAACCTTGAGCGCCGAAAGGCCGCATCAAGCATTGGAACTAAACCGCCTCGAGCGCAGAACCTTCGCCTCCTTAGCAGAACATCTCGCACGGGCAGCCTGTGCAATCGTCTTAGCAACACGAAGACGACACTCGCGGTACAGAACTCACAGATGATGTCCGCAAAGCACTCGCAGAGGCCCTGATGAACGCTCGTGGTCAGTCAGGACGTGCACAGCTTCGCGCCTAGGTCTTACCTCGCAGCACTCTGGAAGACATGGGTCAGTATCGATGCGATTCGGACGAAGGGAAAGCGCAGACGTACCGCAGCAGATGAAGCAACCAAGACAGCCGAGGAGACAGCCCTGCGGATAGCGGTGCATGTTAGCGGACAGCCTTGCTAGATAACGATGGCCATAACGAATGGGTACCAGCCATTGCTTGGCAGCTGCGCAGAGGTTTGCGCAGTGGCGAGCGACTGGTGCTGGACATAGCCGAGAAGATACCTTACCTTACCGGCGCCTCCTCCACGGACGCGCATAGGGGCTTGTTGGCCTGGCTGGGTCGATGTCGGGGCGTTTCCGACGACGCCTAGGGTGCGTGAGCCGGTCGTTCAAATTGAGAAGCATGAGGGTTCCTTGAGCAAGAAACTTGACGTACTCATCTCCATCGCAGGCTGCATTTGCATCTGCTTGGGCGGCTGCTCCTGCGACGTCCGCGCGTTGGTGGGCTGGGATTGCTCGGTCGGCTGCATGACGGTTTGAGAGTGGGTGTGCGTTGCAATAAGAGTTCAAGAACGCGTCGAAGGGGTCGTGAAGCAAACCGGTCGTGAAGTGCTCGTCGTGGGGGACGCGGATATGAAGGGAGATTCCACGACGCGACGAGCGCGCTCTTATAAGTACGTCACCGCATGTTGCCAGCGCGTGGAGACCTGCAGTGCAGGGCGGCGCAGTGAGGCGCCTCATGACCTACGCCGAGGGGACGGACACCGGCTGGCACCGAGGGCTGTCCGGGCGTGGGTTGTGCGTGCAACCTCGAAAGCTGCGACTTTCGTCGGGTGGTTGACAAGGATATCATCTTGTTATCCGTCTCGACAATCGAGGGCGACGCGGGTGTTCTGCAGAAGAGGCTGCCTCGGACCTCGGGTGAGTCACGTAGGTTTACTCAAGCTCTACTCGCCTCGGAGACCTGGCGCTAAACATGGACGCGTGAACATCAACCCTCCGGAGTTCAGGATGAGCGGTGCGCATTCGGAATTGACCAAACGTTCTTATTGTCCTTCTCCAAGCTAATGAATACATAGAAACAGAGTCTGACGACGCGCCGTGTTCTTCTCAAGTCGATGAGCAGTCTTCCTTTCCTTCGCACTCGGGGCTCTAGCAGCACATCTCGCAAGGGCAACCTAGAAAGCGGGTCAGAAAAGATGGAATCAACAGCATCCCGGTACGCACAGATGATGTCGGCGACGCAGTCGCACATGCCCTAAGTGAATGTTAGTAGGTACAGAAGGACCGAGACACGGAGTCAAGCCCACTTCACAGCATTCTGTTGAGAAGGTTAGCGGTAGCGAGCGAAGAGAGTGTGGGCTAGGACATACCACAGCACAAGAAGCAGCCAAGGCATCCGAGGAAGCAGTCCTATACGGCAAGGGAGCGCTAGTCAGTGACACGAATCCGTACGAATCTGCTCCTTGCGCACCTTTCCCGCTCCGCCACCGCGTATCCGCGAGGCCTTGTGTCCGTGAGCGCATTCTTGCTGGCCGTGCGCTCGTCCGCTAGCAGGGCTGCCGGTGATGTCTGTAACTCAGGTGAGCCCCCGAACACGTTCCTTGCCTCCAGCAATACTCACTCATTTCCATCGCAGGCTGCGGCTGAGCCTGAACAGGCGCCATCTTAGCGGGAGCCGGTTGAGCAATAATGGGCTGCATGGTGAGAAGAATAGTATTTCGCGTTCAACGACGTCGGTAACAGGGGGAAATGCAGGAAAAACGACGACATCAGGGAGGCCAAGCTTATATAGCCCCCTGCCCCCTGCATGTTGCTAAAGATACGCTGGTGTCTTACAGCGATCGCAGCTGTCCTGGCGGCGGAGGGGGCTATTGTTAGGTGCGTCATTATCCTTTTCTTAGGCCCTTTGGCACACGTGGAGTTGATGTCACTCAGCTGTCGGTGGACGAGGAGGCAGTCGAACCGGTGCTTTGAGGCGAACTCGAGGTGGTCGGTGCCTTTATGGGCGGTATAAAGTACATTGAGTGTTGCGGCGCATACGTAGGCGCGTCTGTCAATACATGGTGTCCACGGCCTTATCGGTTCCTTCATTCGCTTACTGCTGGCCTAGAATGCCGTCAGGTTAAAAGGTTAGGGCATATGAAGCCGCTTACGCACCCAGAATTCGCGCCACTCTCGTTTCTCGCCGTCTTCGCTGTCATGGCAGCGAGACTACCTGCAAGAATGTCAGACGAAGAGAAGTAGGCGAGACTTGGCTACCAACCACGCAGCTTGTTTTCAAAGGCCGGCTTCGAGTCGCTGTTCGTGCTCATGCGACGACGCTTGAAGCGGCCCGCTGCTTGTCCTGACTGGTCATAGGTGCTAGCTCCACTACCGATAGGAATATTGGTCGCCTGCGCAGGCGCGTCTTCGGCGACCACAGTCACTGGCTTCGTCGCAGACATTCTCAAGGCAGCTAGATGAATGGGGTGTGTCGGTCTACTGGCTGGCGCGAGGCGAAGAGAGGTGAAGAGACTCGTTGGATCCTTGGCTAGACGGGCGCCCCGTTGATATATGCAAGTCGCAGTGGAGCAAATGACGAAGGTAGGCCAGTTCTAGATGCAGCGAAACTGGAGCAGCGGCTGGCTTATGACCATACACGAGGTGAGAGCGGAGGTACGGCTTGCGAGTCGCCTGGATGGGAGCCAAATGGAAGCGAATCGTGCTGCGGTACTCCAAGCAAGCGGGGATTTGCGTTGTTCGGCTGAAGCCGCAGCGTCGTCTGAGCCGCCGTTTACTTATATGCCACCCCAAAGGCGGCTCCGCGCTTGGCGAGTTGTCTGCTGATAGGGCGGTCCGAGCTTCAGTCATTCGAGGACGAGACTTGGTAGAAGAAAGAGTCACTTGATAGTCGATACACGTACATAAGTTGTAAGTCCATGGCTTCTGCATCAGTCCGAGCACCTCGCGCATCCGTCGAATTCAGAACGACTTGTAGAACTCCATGATCCTCGTGTCAGGCGGGATCGGCCTTGACTGCAGCGTCACTCGGGCAGCCCATTCCGTCTGCGAGGCCTTCATCTCCTCCGTCTCCAGGAAATTTGGGTTGTCCCATTCGTAGTAGGCCAGATACGACGGAATATCGGTCGGCGTCGTCGCGCCGCCCGCTATGTCGTTGACGGCGGTGAGCTTAAAGCGCCTTGCGCGTAGATAGCTGCAGAGGATGCAGTGTCAACCACACACTTATCGAGGGGTATGCGCAGAGAACCTACCCCGGCACCTTGGTGACCAGCGGGAAATGCTCCTCGTCATACCTGCGTAATCACCGATAGGTCAGATAAGGGCTAGATACGAAGCGGAGACGTCACCGACCACTTGTTGAACTCGACCTCCTTCTCCGCGAGGGGCTCCCAGAACACGAGCAGCGCGTACTTCCCGGGGAGCGCGTTCGGGTCATCTGCCGTCGATGGGTGCTGCAGGGTGGAGACGAGCGTGTACACGCGCCGCTGGAGCGAGGATATCCGCGAGATGATGCTCTTCTCGTTGTCGGACGCCTTGGGGAAGAGGTTTTTGTAGTCGTCCCCTTCGAGGACGGAGGGCGACTTGAGGTCATAGACCGCAGCGAACTTGGGCTCGTGCCCGTCCGCGGCGATGTAGCGCAGCGCACTGTTGATACCCGGCACTGTCAGCCGCGCGGGGCCGTGCTCATTGTCATGCCAATCTGCTTTCAAGTCAGGATAAGAGCAGGCCGGTCAGTGGCGCACACACCGTTGAACTCAGCCTCGGAGACGTTCTCTCCGAGCTTGCCAAAGACGAGCAAGAGTCCGGCTGGAATGTCGACCGTCATCGTTACAAGCAAGAAGGGTCAGTTGACCTTAGCGAGCTGGAAAACTCCACAGGATGGATGGCGCCTTGAGCGCTTTCGTGGCAAATCGGGGTCAAGATGCGCTCAAAAAACTCCTGGCCTCCCACGGCTAATGTACACTACAAACCTCTCCTTACGAACCCTTGGCGCAGCGGTAGCGCGTCTGATTCCAGCCATCCCGCAGGCAGCAGTCGCAAGCGCTGCGCTATGGTTATAAGTCAAGGATCCAGAAGGTCGTCCGTTCAATCCGGGCAGGGTTCAGCCAAAAGAGCTTTTTGACGCCGGAGATGACGAGGAACCAAAGGAAGGGCAATCATGCGTTGCTGGCAGGTGGGCGCAAACTAGGTCAGATCTACAAAGCGTATATCGGTTTTGGACGAACACCCCTTACCTTCTGTGACCATTGAAGAAAAGGCAGACCCGGCTCTAGCGTGTTCGCCTCAAGGAACCTTTGATATGTTGCCGAAGCAGCGCGTACATTCTGAGCAAGACTATGAACTACAGAGTCCGTGATACAAACACTGGTGACGATCGTTAACAAGCAAGTACGGTGCCGCAAGAACGACGCGTACCTAATGCTACGTCTTCATGGAACTACTTCGCATCCTCACCTCCCTCCAGCTCTCATCCGACGCGTCCTCAATAAGGAACCTGTACCACACGATCGCTATGGGCGCCGTCGCAAGATGCCATAACGAATGCGCATCGATGATAAGACCCCACGGCGGAAAGTCGAGAAGCTCAAGGGCCGTCGCCGCCGTAGTCAGCGCGACAAATAGCGCGACCTTGCTAACGAAGGCGGGGCGGTATGCTTTAGGCCGATGAGGATACCGTCTAAAGAGCGACCATCGCGCGGGGAGGGCGAAGAGTAGCCAGAGAAGGTTGTGCGTCATACCGATGATGGTGTTGAATATGATATTGTACGCGTAGTCGAAGCGGGGAAGAATGGAGAGGTAGGTGACATGCGCGATGTAGACGAGGGCGCATGCTGCGGTCCAGACGTTGCGGATGGTGGCGCGCTTGGGATCTGGCGGGTGCTGGGGATAGAGATGAAACAAACGGATAACGGTGTATTGCAACGCGGACAGGATTGTGAGCGCAGCTGAGAAGTAGTCCAGCTTTTCGGTGAGGGGGAAGTCTAAAAGCGCATTAACGACGCGAGGGGAAGCGAGCGTGGCGCGGACGCACCTCGCGTGTGGAAGGCTGCTGACCATATCCAGGTGTTCGCGCTTATCCAGGACCATGCAGTGTAGTAAGGTTTCATCGGATGCCCCCTCGGGACGCGTCGTTGTAGCGCGCGCGACCCTCGAACGTGCGCCCAGAGGTTCAGCAACGAGAAGAGCACCGAAGCCGGCTCTTGCATGCCAAGAAACCTCCAAAATGGCCATTTCCCAAAGTACTGTCTCGGCCTCTCCCCCCTCCCCATGACATTGGCCGTGATCTGGTGCATGCAGGTGTACTTGCAGTCATCGAGACACGTCCATCCCGTCAGCCGTAAGTCCAGTGGTAGGGGTTCCGAACATGTGGTGGTGCAGCGCTCGACGCATTCCTTGAAAGGTTTGGCGCGGTCTCCGGACGACGCGGCAACGCCGGCGATGATGGCGGCGACGACAGAGATGAGGGAAATGCGCATCGCAGGTGACGGATGCGGGGAAGCAAGTGCGCTCGGGACAACCCGAACCGGCATCCGGAGTCGTGGCGCGGGAAAGCGGACTAACCTGCGATGTGGGTGACGGTATCCAGGCGGCAGGGGTAGTCTTCCTTCGTAGTCATGTCATTGATGGCCGGCGTGCCCGTGGATTTGTCGCCCTTGGAAAAATTCTGACAGATGCGGTATTTTGGGACACCGGGGGCCGATGCCGTGACGACGACGAGGAGCGCCGAACAGTAGATAGGTCCGCGCGCGATGCGGTTGATGTGTTCCAAGGTGAAAGGGCCGGAAATGCGACCCGCCTCGAGTTCGCCGGCGATCCATTGATTGACGGGGCCAATGTTCTCGTCGACGGAGGCGGAGTTAGGGATGATGACGTTGCGTGTGAGCGGAGGTAGGTTGCCGATAGGGAAGCCGTAGGTAAGGTGTTTGATAAGTAAGGGGTGTTGATCCGAAACATTCATAGTACGTAAAGAGGCGGCGAAAGCGGCAGCGGGGTAAGGGGTAACAATTCTGGAATAAATTTCGTTATCCTCGGGGGAGGAGTTTGCAAGCGGGGGTCGAGCGACGGCAGCGATGGCATCGGAGAAGTCAGTGAAATTGAGGGCGGGAAGTGTTGGGCGGCAGTAAGTAGCGGGGGGCGGGGAAGGTATGCTATGCGGGGGGAGGGCGGAGCGGAATTCTGAGGCGATGCAGTCGGAAATGAAGGGAAGCGGGTCCGGGTCGGGTTCTTCGGCTACTGTCGGTGCGGTGTCCGACGTGCCGACTAGCGCGGGAGGCGCGCGTGCCTCAGAGCTTGATGCGGCCGTTGACGCGTCTCTCGCAATCGGGTGAGGCGTCGCAGACGGCGTGAGGCTTGAGGCAGTGAGCGCATATGTGTAGTCGGCGGTTGGTACCCTCTCCGTGGTCGTGGTTCTTGTTGCAGGTACCGGAGTTGAATTTGATGCAGATCTGGACAGAGCGATCGTCGGCCTTGACGAGTGTACCCGGGTGGCCGGGGATGAAGATCGACTTGAGCGGCGTGCCGTCCTTGAATGTCGTGGCATTTGCGTTATCGGATTTGTCGTGGTCGAAAGTCGAGTGCGCGTCGGCGCAGGAGTAGCAGGTCTTGCCCTCGTCGTCCCGAAATCGAGGTTCGCGTCGTGGAGGGCTTGCTGGGCGGCGGCTGCGGTCGTAACCGTTGTCGCGTGGGCGATCGGAACCATAGTCGCGTGGGCGGTCAAAGTCGCGGGAGCGGCGTGGCTCAGAGTTGAAGCGGTCGCGGTGGGAAACTTGATCGTAGCGCGAGTGATGGTGATCGGGTTGCGGGCGGTAATCCTGACGCCGCCTATCGTCGTGTCGGTCGGAGAAACGGCGGCGGCGGTCGTCGAAGTCGCGTGTATTGCTCGAAGATGCGTACTGAGTGTGAGTAGGAGGGGCGGTATAGGTAGCGGAGCGGTTGAATTGTGGGGGAGGTACGTAATAGGTGCGAGGGTTAGCAGATTCTGCCATATCGAGCGGGCGATAGGCCTCGCTGATGGCGGCTTCGAATGCGGACTTATCAAAGGCGATACCTTCTTTAATGATGCGGTTGAGGAACATGCGCTCGATGGGGCGCCAAACGTGGAAGCGTTCTTCGCGTTCGCGAAGTGACCGGTTGAACTCGATGTGGGGCCTCAGGTGGTGGGCGATAGTCGTCTCGTTGCCCACGGCTTCTTCCGGGGGGCTAACAATGATGTATGCGCGGAGTCGATTCAATGATGCCTCGTCGAATTGGGCCAGGTTCAGGTCGGCTTCGTCCGGCAGGCGGAGCGCGAGTTTGGTGGCCGGGATGTCGATCAAGGTGGCGTCTTTTGTGGCGTGCTGCGTGTGCGTGCGGGTCTTGATATTAGTCTGATCGGCGAGGAGGCGGAGCGTCTTGTTGAGGAAAAACGTGTCGTCGAGGGGAACTTTGCAGGCGAGTTGCGAGATGATGATGTCGGGGATGGGAACAGTGTCGACGTCGGTGACCTGGGCTTGCGGGGTGGACTTGAAGATCATCGGGGCGATCTTGATCGGCACGGGTTTGAGCTTGCGGGCGTCCTTCTCCGCGGCTTCTATTGCCGCCTTAGCCTCGTCCGCTTGCTTCGCGTGAGCCTTGCGCTTCTTGAGGGCCGCCTGGAGGAAGTCGGGGTAGTTCGGCCATTCGCGGGCGATCGTGCCGTAGGCGTCCTCGGCGAGGTCGTCGATCTCCTCCTCCGTGTACGCGAAAAGCGGCCAGAGTGGTGCGCCGACGTCGGTGAGACCAATATTGGCGCGGGTGATCGGATCTTGATATAGAAGCGTTTGGCGGATACTGGCCGCGTTGTGGGCCTCGGAGGCGCGATTGTCGTTATGGCGCAATTTGATTGGCATCAGCGATGGATTAGCGGGGGGCACGCGCATCCAGGCGTCGTAGTCGAAGTCTTGCGGGATGGGCAGCGCGAGACCTGAGACCTGGAAGGCGGGTGGTTGGTAGCCTCCGCCTCCGCCCCTGGCTGGGTGCGGGGGCGCGTTGCTGCCGCCCGGGGGCGCATTAGGCGCCGCTGTGCCGCCGCTGCCGGTAGGCTGCTGCGGGGTGCCTGGCGCGAGGCCTCCGCTGATGTGCTGCGGAGCGGAGGAGTGCGGGGTGCCTCCCGCGACGCTGCCGGTCGTGCCTTGGGTGCCGGAGGTGGGTATATGCGCACCGTTTCCGGTCGGAATGGGTCCTAAGTTCGAATTGACCATTGTGGAGGTGAGAACGGTATGTCGTGAGACGGAGAGGGCGAGAAAAGTCGAGGGCAGCGAGGGGGCGAACGTCGGTCGGTGAGCGCGTATTCGAAGAAGCTCGCGCTGTGACGCCCCGTGACAGCAACATACGCGTTGTCTGCACGTGGCGTCGCCGACCGGCGTTTGCCCGTCCGCTCCTTAGCTTGCCTATCACCGCGCTAGTTACTCGTGCCTCGTGCTAGCGCGGCTCACACCCATTCAGGTTCACTGCTCGAACCCAGAAAGAACTGCGAGGCTGTTATCCGAGATGTTATCCTCCTATTCACGGGCTGTCGTGGAGGCCATGGCCACTGACTCTCCTCGCTCTTGTGCGCGATGTACATAGGTACGTAGAATCTCACGGATTGAGCCCCCCTCCCCCGTGATGCAAGGGCCGGGCCGACTGCAGGTTTCGTCGTGCCGGTGCGACTTCTCTTGCTTACAGCAGCTATCTGGGCTCTTTTGGTCCTTCCCGTTCTTTCCTACGACGCTGGAGACCACTCTGGCTATCCTGATTCCCGAAGGTGCCCGGCGTAAATCATCCCGCAAACTGTCAACGCTTGTGAGTACTCGGTACGAGGAACATATATGCCTGAGCTCACCGCGCACAGGTTCACGCCCTTGTACAAGCGATCGACTCGCCCTATCGAACTCATCTCCGCCTCTCAAACCACCATCACGACCTGTCTGAAGACGTTCGATCATGGAATCCCTCGATCATCTCCTCCGCACGAATCGCCAGCTATCGGATGCAGAGGAATGCTCTGCTCTCCAGCTCTTGCTCGACGCTCAACAACGGCTGGGAACCGTTTCAAACAGTGCCGCTACGAACCGCCGCGGGGATTGCAGTCGCCTGCTCGCGCGTATCGACGCCCTTATGCACATCCTTGCCCCCATTCGGAGGCTCCCACTCGAACTTCTTTCCATCGTCTTCGACTTCTACATCGGCATGGTGCATTACGGACCTATGTCGGTGAAGGGAGGAATCGAGACCTTCTTCTGGAGAATACACGAGGGCCCGTGTCTACTCCTGCACGTATGCTCTCTATGGCGTGCCGTATGCCGAACGACGGCTTCCCTCCAGTCATTCTTTGCATCCATGGTGCTGTCGACTCCCGAAGCCTCCACGTACGCTGTGGGCGGCGACTTCCCTAGGTCGCTCAGCCAACCATCCGTCAAAGCATGCCTTGCGCATTATCTCGCGCTGTTTGACGTGGGACCATTGAGCATCGTGATGCGGAATGGCCGTCGCATTCCTGTCGCGCTTGACACAGAAGCTAAGCGCGCTCAATGCGCAGAGCGCTGCTCTCAGCTTGTTGTACACTGCCACGGCAGCCAGGACCCTCTCGCCGCCATTCTGTGGAACTTCTTGGGCCGGTTTCATCAGGAACTGTCTTTCTTGGACGGTCGTCTGAAATGCCTGGAGTCCCTTTGTCTGGGTTTCAGGCGGGCCGGGGATGGCTACGAGGAGATGTTGGGGGTGGATATTCCAGCAACCGGGTTGGGGAAGAAGGTGAAGAAGACGCGACTATTCGCTCATGCACCCAAGCTTCGTCGATTGAGGCTGCTTCAGGACGGTATCAGACTTCTATCTGCAGCAAACCCTCGATTCGCTCTTCCGTGGAACCAAATCCAGGACTTCTACACGCATTACGCCAGCCCCGCCGAATGTCTTGCGGGCCTATTCTCATTGCCGTCTGTCAAGACGGTCAGTTTGCTGAGGTTCGCAAGACATAAATCCGCTTATCTATCCTATCATCCGCCATGGCCTGGACACTTCATCAGTCAACCGTTCCGTCTTCCACTCATGGATTCTCTCACTCTCTTTTACCTCCCTCGTCAACTAAGTATCGCCGATGAGGACGAGTCAGGATGCTACCCTGACTTCACTTCACGGTATCCAGCGGAGGTTCTAGATTTGTTGGAGGCGCCATTACTCAAACAATTGCGTGTTGGCTTCGCGGAGTCCAAGACTTCGACTGCCACTGTCAGCACAATCACAGCATTTCTCCAACGCTCCGGATGTGGCCTCGTCAAGCTCTACCTCTCGCTGCAAACGCAGGACATGGACGATGACATCGCGGACCTGCTGCGCAGCGTCGCGTCCCTCCAGGAGCTCACCCTCTGCATGCACGCCGGAGTGACCCTCTCCCTCGGCGTGCTCGCATCGCTCGTCGTCACTCCAGGAGGCTGGAACAATCTCCTCCCCGCCCTGCGGCGCTTCACCCTTATCACGGACGACTCGCCCGATACCATGGAATTCAAGTCTGACCCGCTTGCGGGCGTTGTCGAATCCCGCGTAAACGCGGGCCAACGCACGGAGGGGGTGGTCATGAACCTGGAGATCTTCCAGATCGCCTGTCAGGAGGATCACCCGTTCGCTTGGTGTCCGAGGATCAAAGAGAGGGCGAGGAAATGGATGCGGGCCGGACTGAAGGTTGCGACCGCGGTTGTTGATCTTCCGACCCAGTTCGTCAGCAGTCGAGACGAAGGGGAGTTCATGGTGGACTGGGAGTGGCTTCGTCCTGAATGATGGTTTATACGTTAGAAGGGAAGAAAGAACTGTTACGTGGCAGCGGTGCTGTGGCAAATATCATGTACAATTTACATCTTGCAGTTTGTTGTTCTACATCTACGGTGCTTCATTATCTATTCCCTGACGACCGGCATGTAAGAGTGGCGACAACAGTGCTCGGTCGCGTTCACTCACGACCTCAGGCGCTCAGCCAGCCATCGCACGATATCGTCGAACACTTCGCTCAATTCATTCTCCGCGCCCGGCGCATAGTCGAAGGAATGCTCTCGTCCAGGAATAATGCGCAGATCGATGGGCACACCAGCTTCGTGAAGTAGATCGCGAAGGTAGACGCTCTCCGCGACAGGGACGGCAGTATCACACTCGCCGTGGCATATCAGCGTCGGTGGCCAGGAAGAACTGAAGTTGAACTGCGGAAACAGTCGTCGGTGCTGAGCGGGTACTGCATCCTCTTCATGTGTGTCGCCTTTGAACTCGCGCAGGGCGGCGCTGAGGCTGGGTTTGTGCTGCCCGGTATAGTAATCGAGGAAGTTGCCCATCTGAAGATATAGTCGAGCGAGCTGCATGCGCGGGTTTGCCGGATATCCAGGTGTCGGCGAGTCGTTTGAGTGGTACGCGAGAGGCGAGACGGATATAGGCGGGAGTCTTTCTGCTTGAGGGTGCAGGAACTCCGCGAACGAGTCAGGATCTAGCAGCTCACGGCCGCGAAAGAAGGGCTCCGTCTTCGGCGTGAGATAATGCGAGGTCTGCAGGAGCACAGTGAGCTGCCATGGCTGTAGCGCAAGGAGTAATGGACCAAAGGGATCTTTATAAGCGCCAACACGACGCACCAAAAAATTCGCGCCCATGCCATACATCGAGAGGAGAGCTTTGGGCGACACGGCACCCCTGGACTTTCCATGCGCAGCAGCAAGGTAGGCGCACAGGCCACCAGAGCTGGTGCCTGCGACAGCGACAGCATTGCAGTCAAGCTGAAGCCTGCGTTTCCGGCGGCTAGCCTCGTATTCAGCTCGCCGTTCGTGATGAACGTCAGTGCATCGCACACGTCTTCGAGAATTTCGTGCCCCGTCGCAGGAGGTAGGAGGCGGTAGTCGGCAGATATAAGCGCAATTCCAGTCGTAAATAAACGCGCTGTTTTGATAATGAAGACCCTGCCGGTCATACAGACGCTGTGGACGAACCGTGAAGCCAGGTAGGAAACCAGGACGAGCGATCTCCGACGGTAAGGCCGCCGCCATGGTAGTACACAACGGCGGGGACAGGCTGAGACCCCAATTCTTGCGGCGGGTATACATCGAGCGCGAGCTCAAGGCCATCAACCTTCTTGAACGTGACCGTCAGAGCCATGATGGTTATGTCCAAAAGCGGTATCATCAGAGTTGAACTTTCGTGTGACTCACCGCCCTGATGGTCCGTGCGTCCTCCTCCCCCATAAAAGCCCATCCGCGCCTCTGAGCACCTCATACTTACCTTGAGGGCATACTCCCCTTCATGGAATTGGGAGTGTGGCGCAGGGGAGGCACCCATAGCACGGCGACCCTGTCCGCAGGTGCAGCCTCTGTGTTGTGTGCGCTTCGGTGCATGCACCTTCGGAATATTTGCCTGTCCCGCTCCGGCCACTCTGGCTGGGCGGGCCCTTCTTTTTTGGAACTTCCAGCCGCCTGACCCTAACCCTATCTATTGTTCGGCATGCCAAAGAAGGGCATAATACGTCTTCGATGACCGTTGTCTGTACTTCACACCAATCCACGAATTTTAGGATCAGAGAACTGTCATCAACACGATGGCGCGCATGCTAGTGGTACATACATAAAGGTATAGATACGTCGTGAGGTCATGGACACTGCGAACAATGCAAGAGATACAACAAAGGATAAACACTGGACGTTGACATCGATGAATGTCTATGCTCAACCTGGGACGTAACACCAACAGAGGGAGAAACAAAGAAGACCAAAAGATGAAGACGATAAGGACAATGGAGGAGAGGAGAATGCAGCTCGACGATTCGTTGGTATGCCGTGGCGCGGGCGCGAGCGAACGTACGGGACGGATGGCTGAGGGCAGGCTGGATCGCGGGGACCTAAGGTCTAGGGCGCACGCAGACGCGCTTGTGCTCCTCCCAGTCCATCTTCTGGTGCTCGGCGCTGCAGTACCGCACAAGCTTGCACTTGCTGCAAACCTGCGGCGCGATGCGCTCGCCATTATCGCTCCCGTCGCTGCTGCTCGTCTCGCTGCTAGAGCTCTCGCTGGGCAACGGCGGCTCCTCCTCGAAGCAGACGTCGCAGTCGACCCAGTTGCACATGGATCGCGCCCGTATGCGCTTGCCGTACTTCCCGCCCCGCCGCACGCCCAGAACGCTGGCGGCATCGATTCCACGCCGGGGGAATCGTATCATCTCGCAGTCCTCGGTGCAGCAGGGATTCGGGCAGCCGGTCGGGTAGTCGTAGAAGATCGCCTCGTCAGGGACGAACGAGTTATGCGTGAAGAATATCTGGGAGTAGGAGGTCGTTTGATGCGAGAAGAGCACGATGAAGCGCGGCTGCTTCTCGTACAGGATGGCGCGCAGTGTGAGGTCGATCTGGGGGAAGCATGGGGTGCGCCGTTGCTTGAGGAGGGTATGCGAGAGTCGGATATCTGGGAAAGGCGGAATTTAGTCGGGGGGAAGGGGGAAAAAGAATCGCGCCACATACGCTCGGCCTGTATCCTTTGTGCGATAGACGGTTTACATGTCCGGCCGTACGCATGTCTGCAGACGAGCTTGAAGTACTCCGTCACGTCGTCCATCTCCTGCCGCTTCAGATCGGTGACGATGATGAAGATCTCGTCGCAGCCGATATCGTGCATCCCGCGCAGGATCATCAACTCTGGAAGCTGTGCGCGGGCGTGTTAGCCAAGCGCCGCTCCTCGCCATACATAACCGCGCACCATAGTAAAGACAACGGGCATCATCGAGAGCTTACGCTCCTGCATGGAGCGGTGGTGGTAGACGTGCGTCGTCCACGTCCGATCGAGGGGGATCAGGCGCCCCGTATCGACCGTGCGACAGAAGATGTTCTCGGGCATGAAGTCCCCCTTTGTCCAGAGGAGCGCCTGCCCGCGCGCGCTCGCGGCGTGCTTGCGCTCCCGGACGTCGAGGAACCACTCATGGTAGGCGTCGTGCGCGCCGCCGCGGTGCTCAAGCCATTTGTCGATCAGCATATCGGTCGAATCGTGGTCCAGCGTCGCCTGCACAAGCTCGGACATGGCCAGGCTGGGGATGGCAAAGGGGGAGTATCTGCTCGAGCGCTTCGTCATCGCGATTATCGGGGAGGGGGACGGTGATAACGATGGCGACGGTGTAAGAACAAAAGGAGAACAATAGATTGCACCCAAATGAAATGTCGCCACTTGGCCGCCCCTCAAGCGATTGTCTCGCGTGATTCAACACTGCATTGTCGCGTCTGGGCTGAACTGGACTCGCACAAAGGGTAGAGGGCAACAAAGGCTTGTTCATTAAATAGTATGGGGAGTACCAATGGCACTGAAGGATAGATGGCTACTGGACTGGACGAAACGGGTTGTAAAATGACTGTATGTTATGGATGTTTAGTAGCGTTCCGAGCAGTATAACGATTGTAGTATAGCGTCCCATTAGAACAGTTGGTTAGTCCGTGAGACAACATAGCATGGCTTTTCGTCAGAAGGAATTACAGGCAGTACCCAGAGGGGTGGCTGCAGGGAGACTTCATGGTGGGGGAAGAGTGCGAGGTCTTGAGCATCGGGGTACCGACGCGGTGGGGGATCTGGATCGTAGGTTCGGGAGTGCGCATGCCAGCCGGGCGGTTGTCTATCAAGTTACGGTCAGCAAGTGTGACTGAGGACTATCGAAGGATCATGCTTACCGACGACGAGCTTCAAGGCCTTGTCCTCGTTGATGCCCTCACCCCACTTGAGGAGGTCCTCAACGGGGATGTGGTCCTCGATGCGACGCCCGCAGATGCCCTGCCAGTAGACGAAGGGACGAACGTGGGGCGGCAGGTAACCCTCCTGGAACACGTAGTTCGTGACGTGGGCGAGACGGCGAATGTGAGGGGCCTCGGTCAAGCGGACGCGCTGGGCGACTGTCTTGGCGCTGGGTTGGTCCAGGTTGTGGTAGCTGAACCACAAAGCCGTAGGAGCATCGTCTGAAGAAGCACGTTAGTACATCGTCGAGAAGCACGAACGGAGTACTCACCGACGACGAGCTTGAGAGGGCTCTCAGGAGTCATGCCGACACCCATGGTCATAACGCCCTCGATGGACTCGCTGGCCTTGACAGGCGTACCGTCGGCACGCTCCCAGTAGGTGCTGGAACGGTACTTGGCCTCAATGTAGCCCTGGCGGAAGACTACAGGGGCGTGTGAGCTCGGGAGACATGACACGTACACGGTGGACACGTACCATAGTCAAGCACGTCCTCGAGGTCGTGCATCTTGCGCGGCGAGAGCGCGAGGTCGATGAGCTGCGTCGTCGGCGGCGAGTGGATGCGCGACGCGAGCTGGTAGGTGAGCCAGAGTTCAGAGGCGTTGTACATCGTGTAGTGTAATTTGTGGACGCGACGTTGAGATGGGTGTAGATGCGCGAGAGCGGGGCCGGCTGGAGGCAGCAGAAGGACGACGAAGGCGTCGAGAGGAAGAGCCCGGACAAGTCGCACGAAGAGGTGGACGAGGAGGGTGAGGCTCAGAATATGCGACAAGCATGGGAGCATTTATAGGGAGCGAGGGCTGGACCCTGATGCATTCAGAAGCCCGGCAAAAAGACTCGGGCTGATGAGGCGTGTGCGATCGGCTAGGGTAGAGGCAGGGGTGAGGTTCCCCGGGCAAAATTAACGGAAAGGGCAGTGCTATTGAATGCGGGAGGTCCTTCTTGCAATCCGGTTTCGCGGGCTGGGCGGCGTCGGGGCCCTTTCGTCGAGTATCAAGCCTTGGCACAAGGACACGGTAGCACGATTTCCTTGAAGCCAGAAAGCCGCTTGACACGTTGAGGACACCAGACGTCTTGAGCCTCGCAGATTTTCGACGTAAGCTAGTCCGTGCATAGCATGAGGTCCCTTGTCCGCGAGAGGTGTTTGGAGTTTGAGCATGTTGTATGGTCAGAAGAGAGGTTGCAGAGAAGACAGAGAAGTGCAATTGTGACGTCTCGAGCGCCTAGCGATTAGATCAAGAGCCACGTGGGATCGGCAATCAGCTTGCTGGACCCACAACGCTTGCACTGAACGAAGAAGTTCTCGTTCACTCCCATCGGGTAGACGGCTCTCAGCCAGGCTAAGCAAGCGTACCAATCGCATGTTAGGTTAAGGTCCGGGTGAGAGAAACTTCCCCTATCTGTATGCTGCTGACTGAAGCGCCAAAGGCTGCATCGATGCGGGATTACAGCGTCCAGTCTATGTTGATCATTGACCCAACGCGCGACTACAGTGGGAGTACAGCTCCGATAGACTTGAAGTTCGCGACCACCTTCAGGCGTCGTACAGGAGCTGCAAGTCTTGCTTGTCGGAGGCGCATCTGGCGTCTTGTGATGCTGGCTGTTCCGCGGATGGGGGTATGCTGATGTCGTGCGCCTCCAACTATCACCCAGGACGTCCTTGTGGCCACCGCAGACGACCAACCAGCGTTCGCCTGGCTCGGCGACACATTGAGGCTGACGGCGAGTGACGGTAGGCTGACGAGTGCCCCGTGACCATGACATAATCTCCGGAAACAGCAGGAACACCCCGGCCCTTATAAATATGTTGGGCCGAGGGATTAGGCGCACATACGCACCTTGCCAGAAACCATGACTACCTCACTCGACCTCCTCAAGCAGACCGGCACCGTCGTCGTCTCCGACAGCGGTGACTTTGAGTGTGAGCACGCTCTGGACAGGACGGAAGAAAGAGATCATTGACGTAGCGACCAGCGATCGATGTCTACAAGCCGCAGGATGCGACGACGAACCCATCGCTCATCCTCGCCGCGGCGGGCAAGGAGGGCTACGCGCGCCTGATCGACGCTGCCGTTGAGTACGGCAAGTCGAAGGGCGGCGACAAGGAGACCCAGGTCAACGCCGCGATGGACCGCCTGGTGCGTAAATCGGTGCGATGATGGGTCCGATCTCGCTAACAAACCGGTAGCTCGTCGAATTCGGAAAGGAGATCCTGAAGATTATCCCTGGTCGCGTCTCGACCGAGGTTGACGCCCGCCTGTCCTTCGACAAGGCCGCCACCAAGGCGAAGGTGCGCGTCAAAGCCTTATAGCCCTTAAGGCGATTTACTGACGGTACCTGCAGGCGAAGGAGCTGATCGCGCTCTACGAGAGCGTTGGTATCAAGAAGGAGCGCATCTTGATCAAGATCGCGTCGACTTGGGAGGGCATCCAGGCCGCGCGCGAGCTCGAGAAGGAGGACGGCATCCACTGCAACCTCACCCTCCTCTTCGGCTTCGCCCAGGCCGTCGCCTGCGCAGAGGCCGGTGTCACCCTTATCTCGCCCTTCGTCGGCCGCATTCTCGACTGGTACAAGAAGAACAAGCCGGGCCCGAGCTACGAGGGCGAGGAGGACCCGGGTGTGCAGTCCGTGCAGAAGATCTTCAACTACTACAAGCAGCACGGCTACAACACCATCGTCATGGGCGCTTCGTTCCGCAACATTGGCGAGATCAAGGCCCTCGCGGGTGTTGACTTCTTGACCATCTCGCCTTCGCTGCTCGAGCAGCTGAAGAACTCTACCGACCCGGTCCCGAAGAAGCTTGACGCCTCCAACGGTTAGTTGTTTTGCTCTCTCACGCCACCGGTCTTTACTGACTTCGTCCGTTAGCCAAGTCCGCCGCCCCCATCCCGAAGGTTTCTTACATCGACAACGAGCCCGAGTTCCGCTGGGAGCTCCTCCAGGACCAGATGGCGTTCGACAAGCTCCACGAGGGTATCAAGAAGTTCGCTGAGGACGGCGAGACCCTCAAGAGCCTCATCCGCAAGAAGCTCTAAGCGCTCACTGAGCGTTAGGCGCCGATTGCGACTTTGGGATGGCTGGACTGCAGTAGAAGTAATGAATCTTGTATACGTAAAAACAACTCGCTATAGAGGATCGTGTACCGACATGTAATGCAAGGATTCGGCTCGGCCGATGCCTTTTGACTTTATCCTTGCGTACGCTATGACTGGCAAATGAGGCGTTTGCCTTTGTGGCTGACGCTGGCGTCGCCTTCAAAGTCTACCTGAGTGACCTCAGATCGATGTTGGTGGCATTAGCGAGTCCTTCGACCTCATAAGATGCTGTAGGCCTTCTTCTGCCGAGGATCGCCAGTTCGGATTCTGTAAGGTGTGAATCTGCATGCTCTAAGTACGGCACTTTCATATCTACCCATGTAGTGTAATCTGCAATGAATCCGCCGTCGATGATTAAGGAGAAAGGAAACCGGGTCCTTCTATGCTCTATGGTAGTGCTAATGCTGCCCGTCCGAAACAGATTCCAAGAATATGGGCACATGGGGAGAAGTTGTTCGCTGTGTGGATTCGATAATGCTTAACGTGAAGGATGAGGGAAGAGTCAATGCGCATCTATGGTCGTGGTCGCGTCGTGCCGTGTCGTTATACGTATCCCGGAAATTTACAAGCTGCAGCCCTCTGCCCACCGCGCGGCCGACGACCGTATCGTCAAGCGATATCGAAGCCCATGGCGACTTTCCGGCCGTACTGGTCGCGCGAGCCGCGCAGGCGCTCGCTGTCGCTGCCGCCCTTGGCAAGCAATTCCGCGCTGAAGACGTACAGCGCGCCCTCGATGCGCGTGCCGCGAATCTTCACCGTCTGCAGGAAGCGGCCCATCCGCTGCCGGTACATCTTGTCGTGGCTGCGCACGTAGCGGAGGATCTCGGAGACCTCCTCGCCGTCGATGGCGAGCGCGCGGTTGTAGCGGATCTCGAGGTGCGCCAGGGCGGGCGCGTCGAGCGCACCGAGGAGGCGGGAGACGTCGCAGCGTACGTCGAGGAGGCGGAGGACTTGGAGGTTGTGCACGCGCGCGGCGAATTCCATGTGGAAGCGCTGGGAGAGGACGAGCTGCTCGTAAGGGGCGACCTTGGTGTCGTCGGCGCGGACGTGGTCGAAGGTGGCGGAGCGGACGTGCGGCGCGTTTGCGAGAGCGTTGGCGCAATCGCTGAGGAAGACGCGGTGGGTGAGGTGGAGGTCTGCCACACTCGCCCACGGGACGCTGAGCTCCTGAGGCAGGAAGGGCGCGGGGGTGGAGACATGAACCGCAGCAGGAGCAGCTGAATACGACGCACGACGAGGGCGCACGAGGGGCGTAGTCGGGGAAGCAGGCTTATGGATCTGGATAATTTGAGGCGTCGGGGGAAGACTGCAATGCTTGGTGGAGGTGGTCGTGGGGATGGGGGTATACAGAGGATACGGTGCATGCGCGCTGGAGCTTCTGCGTTCGCGACCCATGCGGTTCAGCTTGTCGAAGCTCCTGCTACCGTGCAGCTTGCGGTCCAATGGGCGCCGCTGCTGTATACGGGCAGGGTTAAGTTGCGAGACCGAAGGCTCCTTTCGCAGCTGAGGATGCAGAGGACGTGTGGCAGACGACGACGGCTGCTGTGGGTGACGGCCGAACAGCTTATCAAAGCACTGGAAGATCTCATCAGCTCCCGTATGAACGCCGGCAGATGCGTAGTGGTACGACGCACCTTCATCGTTTGCGGCGTAATTAGTATAAATTTTTAATGTTGATGTCGACGGCGGGGCTGAGTAGAGCGAGAGTTACAGTGAGCAAGGGGGACATATATACGAAGGGAGAACACAAACACACCAGTCAAAAACGCTCAGGGTCCTGCAAGCTATCGCTATGACAGGGCAGATCCTGGTCGTCTTTGGTGAGATGCATGGGCCGCGCTGCTGTCAGTTATATGAAGCATTTCATCTATTGTTCCAGGCGGGGCGTGCGGCCGAACAGAAATCTGGCGCAGACAAAAGGGGGAGCGGGCGCCCTTTGACAAGGAACAATGACCACAGCCACCCCGTTACCTAAGTGGAAGTTGCTTTGTGTCGCCCGCATAAGGAAATCTTACTTCTAGACCACGGATGCATGCGCACAGATCGTACAGATGGCTATTGCCACCGCGACGTCCCGGCGCAGGCGCGTCGGCGTTCATGTCCAGCGTCCGCGAGGTGATGCACAACAGAGCAGGGCAAGGCAGGTCCCTGGAATCCCGTTCATTGGTGGCAAACGCGATGCGCCGTATCGCCGGGGGACACGTACATCGCTTACATACATGCGCTCAAAGATACACACCTCACCAGTCCGACAACAGCAGCTCTGCTCTGGCGCTGACTCTGCACACCGACGGCGACGCGGCGGGCGGGAGTGTTCATATCATCGCTTCATGGCGTGCCGCCGGCTTTTGCCCGGGCGCTGTGGCTTGAAGCCCTTCTTGCCACCCTTGGCTGGGCCGCTGCGGCCGCCCTTGCCACCGCCGAAGTCGAAGTTGTCCGTCGATTCCTTCGTGTTCTGCTTCGCGCGACGACCGACGGTGCCGTAGCCGAACTTCTTGTCGCGGGCAGAGCGAGCCATTTTGGGGCCGTTGGGTTTGCCGCGCTTGGCAGGCCGGTCTGCGATCGCGTCCTCGACGGCAACATCGAAGTCGTCGTCAACGGGTTTGTCGAGTACGTCTTTGTGTTCTGGATAGCAAGATCAGCGGCGCGCACGACGTGGGAAGCGACGGGGGGAAGGCGGGCGGCGGGTCGGTGATCATAGAGTAGAAATGAAGGGTAAACTTACTCCGCTTGAGCGAGCGCAAGCGCTCTTCCATATCCTTCTTGCTCTGCTCGCGCTCCTTGAGCTTCTCGATCTGCACCTGCTTGCCGAACTTCTTGCCCTCGCGCTCGCGCCGCTTGTCCTCGCTCTTCTTGATGGTCGCTTTCTCGTCGAGCAGCCGCTGGCGGATGCGCTCCATGTGCGCGTCCGACTTGACCATCTCCGCGAAGTAGTCGGCGGGGCGGGTGAAGGGGAAGTTGTGTTTGGCGGCGAGCGCGCGGGCGGCGTTAGCGCCGTGCAGGGCCTGCTTGTAGCTAGGAACGCCGCGTTAGCCTCGGGAAGGGTAGTGTAAAGAAAGCGCAGGACGTACAAGGCAAGCTCGCGATTGAGATCGTCTTCGACGTCGACGTCGATGGTGTTGGGATAGGAAAGAACGAGGGTCTCGGTCCACGGTAATGAGGGGTCGAGCTGGATGGTGTCGCGTATGCGCTCGAGAGCGACCTGGGGATGACGTGAGGGAGGGTTGAGGGGCGGAAACCTGATAAGCACGCACCGTGTTGTCGATCTCGAGTTTTCGTTGAGGCACGGCGTCTTCGTCCACCTCATCTTCGACCTCGTCCAAGGGTATCGCGTCATCGTCGGCCTCCTGCGGCTTAGTGGTGGAAGGACCCGCCGCAGCCTCTTCCTCGTCAGAGTCCGCCTCTTCCTCACTGTCGCCTTCCCCTTCTTCCTCTCCCTCCTCCTCGCTGCCAGACTCTTCATCGCCGCCGAGCATCGTGTTGAGCTGCGCCTGGTCGTACTCGTCCAACCCATCGTCGCCGAGCAGCTTCATCAGCCGCTCCATGCCCTCTTCATCCACACCTTCGTCATCGCTGTTGCTCTCCTCGTCCTCGTCCGAGCCAGCGTCGCTGCCCGACACATCCTCGCCTGATCCATCCTCGCCGTCAACAAAGTCCTCATCCTCCTCATCGTCATCGTCCTCCGCCTCCTCGGCCACCTTGGGGGGCGGGACCTTCGATGTCGAGGCCTGCTTCTCCGCAAGCTTGGAGGCCTTTGCGGTCTTCGGGCTCTTCTCCACGCTCTTGGTCGCCTTCTCTGCACCCTTCGAGCTCTTCGCAACCTTCCCCGCCGTCTTCTGTGTAGAGGGGGATGCCTTCGCGGCTGCTTGCTTCGCCGCCTTAGCCATGATGTGAGTGCTAATCCAACAATTTCGATCACTGACATGCCTCGATCACTCGCCCACGAGGGGGAAAATAGAGGTAAATATGGAGGGTCTTTGTTCTCTCCTGCCATCTTCGCTGCAATTATCGTCCTCCGAAATACACACGTCTCTAGATTGTGCGTTCCCAGGAAGCAATCCTCTGTGGCACCTCGGGGGAACAATTCTCTCTGTCGTCTCATCGCTTGGCACGCCGCTTTACTGCCTGTAAAACCTGCTTGTGGCAGCAGACTGTCGTCAATTCAGCAGCCTAAGCGCCTCGTATCCCGGCCGAAAGGCTGCTGGGAGATCGATAGGTATAGCCTTACGAGGCTACCGGCCTTCACCATAGAGCTCGGTAATGGCGTGCTGGAGAGAACCGAGGTGGAATCGCAATGCTTTTACGGAGACTGTACTTCTTCCACGTAAAGAAATCTATCGCTGCGTCTCATCCGAACTGCAATGTCCGTTTTTTCGAGTCGAATCAAAGCCCAATGAGCTGAGAAGAGAGGGTTTCGAACGCCTTGACTTGTGGGCGCTTGACACGTGCGTCCCCCAGATGAGCGAAGATGCCGATCTGGGTAACCGCCGAACGGATCCTGGTCTCCTCCCCCGCCCACAGGCTCATCTTGTCAGCTCCGGTCCGGCATCTGCTGACCAATTGGCTACGCGCTTAAAATGGTATCCCGCGCGTCAAGCTTTTGGGCAGACGACAGCATGCCCTCTTACCTCCAAGACGAAGACATCGAGGAGCAGGAGCGCCTCGTTGGCGACGGCGACGTGGACGATGGGCGGACGGCGGTGCGTTCCGCTTCTTGGGGGGACGAGGAGCACCCATCTGATGAGGCATTTCAGCTGGACAGAACGATAGATAGAATAGGGATGGGCTCGTACCAATGGACGTTGCTCTCGCTATGCGGTTTCGGTGCGCACCTACCCCGTCCCCTCGTCAAAGTTCCAGCTGACGAGATCGCAACCCAGGCTGGTTAGCTGACAATGTATTTCTTCACTCCTCCGACGTCGAACGAAGCCTGGCAGGCGGCTTTGGGACTGACGTCTGCGTCTGCCCGCCGGTGCTAACCGCGCGCGACAGATGTGGATAGAAGCGGTGGCAATCATCCTTCCCAGAGTACAGAGGCATTATGACGGTGCGTGGCGTGCATCCCTCTATCATCGTGTTCTTATCCTACGCCCAGTACCCGACAACCATGTTGGAACCTTGTCGTCGACTATGTTTGTGCGTAAACGAAGCCCTAACGCGTCTAATCCCTTAATCCTCTCTACAGGCTGGCATGATGTTCGGCGCCGTCGGATGGGGAAGCTGTACGTCGTACAATAAGCGCTGGCGTAGCCACTCATACTCATCCCCGCTCAGGCTCCGATCTCTTCGGTCGCAGTACCGCCTTCAACGCGACGCTCTTCTTCACCGCCCTCTTCGGCATCCTCGCCTCCCTCGCAGGCTCCTTCACCCAACTATGCATCGTCCTCTTCTTCCTCGGGTCGTCCGTCGGGGTGCGTACTAGCACGCAGGCGCACGCGTGGACCTAACAGTTGTCACAGGGCTCTATGCCTACAGACGGCACGCTACTGCTCGAGCACATGCCGGACGGGAAGCAGTACCTCGTAACAGCTCTATCGGTCTTCTTCTCCGTCGGAGCCGTCCTGTCTGCGATGATCGGGCTATTCATACTGCCTCAAAACTCGTGCTTCGAGGCCGAGTGCGATGTCGAGACGCAGAATAGAGGATGGAAGTATCTGCTTGCTATCCTAGGCGTGATCGTAAGTACGAGCATCGTGGATCGCCCGTGTCGCTGATTGAATGCGCAGACCCTGGCCATGTTCTTTGCCCGCATGGTCTTCTTCCGACTGCATGAATCGCCGCGATACCTCGTCCACGCAGGGCGGCACCAAGAAGCACTGCAGAGCCTGCAGATGATCTCGCGCTTCAACGGCGCCGATCTATCACTCAAACTAGCCGACGTGCACGACGAGCTGCATCCCGAGGATGCGGATGCGAAGGAGGACGACGACCCGTCTTCGGCGCGCCGATCGTCCTCTTTGCGCCGCTCGTCAACGCTCTTCGATGCGGGCGATGATCTGGACGAGGAAGGCAACCAGCGTCCACAGCACCCGCGACACACCTCTAGTACCGGATTTGCCAATCTGGACGCGGATGCGCTGCCCGACTATAGCTCCACAGAGCCGAACACACCAGAGTCCGGCCTTCGTGAAGACGCGGCGAAGATACCTTCCGTATCGCCACCGCGCGCTCGACCGTCGCTTTCTACCTCACCACCGCGCCCCTCCCTCTCGGTTCGCCCCCGCCCGATTAACACAACGCGTGCGAGTATGATGTCGCGACGGCGGTCCTCGGTCTACGAGGTCGAGCGCAAGGTGTGCGCGTTCCTGCCGCAATTCATCCGAAGGCCGCTGTGGGCGTGGTGGGACCGGGTGATGCTGACCCTGACGCCGGAGTGGGCGAAGACGACCATCGTGGTGTGGGTGGTGTGGTGCGCGATGAGTGCGGGTGAGTGCTAATTTTCTCTCCGCGTCAACCCCTCGGAGTGATCATGAGCATTTGCGACACTGTACTGACGAGAGTCTAGCATTCACGATGTTCAACATCTTCCTGCCGAAGTTGCTGGAGTCGAAGGGGACGCCGACGTCCTCGATGGCCGATCCGAGCTCGTTGACGGCAAGCTTATGGGATCTGGCGATATTCACCATCGGGGGGTGTCCGGGGTCTATTGTGAGTGTCCTTTACTGGCATCATCCATGTCTACGAGCCGATGGACTGACGCGCCCCGCAGCTCGGAGCCTACATGGTGCGCTCCAGCATAGGCCGAAGGTGGTCGCTGGCGGGGAGCACGTTCGCCACCGGGGCATTCTGCCTCCTCTTCGTGATGGTGGAGAGCTCGTGGGCGGTGCGGGCGACGACCGTGGGGCTCAGCCTCAACTCGACCATCATGTGGGCCGTGCTCTATGGCTGGACGCCGGAGATCTTCAGCACTGAAGGTACGTGCGCGTTTGTGGTGGATATGGCGACGCACGTTGCTGACCTCATGTTCAGTCCGCGGCACGGCGTGCGGGATTGCGTCTGCGCTTTCGAGAGTGTGAGTTGTTGTTCCTTGTGTGTCGAAGGCGACGCTAACGATGATCAGAGGCGGAATGATTTCGCCCGTGCTCGGAGGCGTGCTGTTGATGATCAGCAAGTCGCTGCCGCTCTACGTGTCCGCGGCGATGTTCACGGTCGCCGGCTTCTGCATACTGCTCTTGCGGGAGGATGAGGGAGAGGGGCGCGTGAAGGGGAAGGCCGTCCTTGCGCACTAGCCCGCGATCTGTATCATAAGTATCTTGCATTGTAAACGGGACTCTGACCTACATGATCTTCTACAACGCATAGCATGTTGATTGTATCGTCATGGTCAACTTTCTTCCTACTAATATCTTACAAGGTGAGCGCTCTTGAAGCTCAAGGTATGATACACATACAGTAGGTACGATACAGCAGTGACACAAGTGTTGATACAATTGTCCATCGTCTCCTGAAAAACTTATTTACTAGGCTTGACGTGGTTCTTCCACTCCCTATGCGCCTTGTCGAACGCCTCCCTGGAAATCTTCCCCTTCTTGTACTTCTTCGTCCACTTCTCCGCGAATTTGTACCAGTCACCATCCGCTTCCCCAGGCTCATTGTCCATTTCTCCGGGGTCGGCGTCGATGGCGAACGACGGCGACTCAGGAAATCTCGTCCAGTCGCGGTTCGCCAGCGTCGCGCCGAGAAGGTCGAGGTTGTTGATCGTCCACTTCATCATGAGGTCGACTTCGGTCCTGGGAATTTGCTTTCCCGCGAGTTGCTCCATCCACTGGTGGATCGCGCGCACGTCCTCTCCGCCGATCGCAGAGCCACTTGTACGGATAGCCCTCTGCAGCGCCGGGTCGCGCAGGACAGACGCGCGGCTGCGCTCCTGCGTCAACGGAATGACACGTTTTTGGAACTCGCGCTCGTAGAGGTACGCCGGCGCGTATCGCATCACCTCCGACGGCGGGCAGTGCGCGTTGCGGTACGGCGCCGTCGGTACGAGCATGCACATATTGAACGTGTACATGTCGAGGTCGAGTGTAACTTCTTCGCCGCGTATCGTGCGGAACCACAGCCAGTAGTGCTCGTTCGGGTCCTCACCCATCCAGAAGCGTAAGTCCGGCGCACTGAAGTAAGCGAAGCGGTCCTGCGTCTTGACATCTGCACTCCCTTTCGCGATCCCGAAGTCCGCGATCGGCGAGCTGCGGTACTTGAGGCGGAGACGGGGTTGCGGCTTGATATCCAGTGATGCCTCCTTCGGCACGTAGGTCGTCGTGTACATCTCGGAAAGGAGGGCGAGGCAAATGGAAGTGAGAATAGACAGCGAGTTGCCCTCGCGAAGGAAGCGGTTCGTGAGTTTCTTGCGAATCTGATCTGTTTGACCGGTAGGCCACCAGCGCGCTGAGCAATTGTATTCCAAGGGGACGCGATCGCCGAGCATGACGAGTTTAGCGGAGGAACCGTCGTGGAAGCGGGTGGGAGGGACTCCCGGGTTAGGGGAGTTGAGGATTTCGTGCGCTATGGCGGGGTGCATGGGTCTCTCGGGGTGCATGCGACTGATTTCGGCAAGCAGAGCGAGGAAAGGGTAGAAGGAGGTAAGACTTATGCGGTCGGTCTTGCCTGGTCAGTCGATCAGCTATGGCGCAGTGAAGTTACTTGGTGGCGCGTACCGCATACGCGCTTGTGCTCAGGCCAGTCCGTCGTTTGGCATTGTTCACCACAGTATATGCGCTATAAGATCGACTGTGAGTTTCCTCTCAGCACGGGTGCCCAACTGCGGACGTACCTCCCCGCACCTGGAGCACAGGCGTAGGTTGTTCGTCAACCCGCATACAGCGCACTTGTCAAGCCTTTCAAGGGGAAGGTAGACTTTCCTCTCCTTTGAATTCCGCATAGTGGTAGGGAGCCTAGGGGCCAACTTGCTAGACGCGAGGACTTGCCAGCGATCACGCTGCAGTCACACTTCGTCCTTCACGTTCCACAACCGGTCGGCGCTTGCAGATAATCAGACTGAGAACACAGCGCCAAAACGATTAGGATAACGTATTGAGTGCGAGGGAGTATGGGCAATTAATATAGAGTAAGACTCCAGATGATGAGAGTTCAGGACAAACCACAGCGGCGGTGGCGTTGCTGTAAGCGCTCTAAGAGAACAAGGACTACCAAATCAGGCAATAATTCCGGTGAGGGCGCTTTCGCAGCCATGATATTATCAAAGTAGAGGAATAAAAGGTATATACATGTCAATCCATGAGTCCGAAGTACGCTAGAGCGCCCGCGCTCGACTCAGCGAGGGGCAGATCCCTAGGAAGATCCGCCCATCGTTGAGCCCATCCCGAAAGTCGTCTGAATCCCCCGAAAACACAAGATCCCTCAGATGACTGTCGTTACCAGCTGCGACAGTCATGGATACCAATGTCATCATCGCAAGTCGGCGCCACTACCAGCTGTGGCGCCGACAGTCCCCTCGCAAAGCCGTTACCGACTACGGCTGTCCCACAACTTGAAAGATCCCCCCGAAGACGTCGCTACCAGCTGCGACGCCCAAGAGCCGAGATTGACGCTGCTACCAGCTGCAGCGCCAACGCCGCCTCAGCTACGGCTGAACAAACCCAAAGGCCGTTACCGGCTACGGCCGAAAACCCACGCAGAACGTACCAAAGCCGTTACCAGCTACGGCTAAGCCCACAAGGGCGTGTATCCAACTTGCGTGTCGCTGCCGGCCGCGGTTCCGGCAGCGACACGCAATTTGGATACACGTCCAAAGACGACGACAGACGGGATGGCGAACAACGAAAACAAATAGCGGACCAGCCGAGCGGAGACAGCATAGGTATTAGTAAGTAAAGTGTCCAATGTCACGGTCCCATTGTCCAAGGTCCATGTCCAGTTAGTCCATGAGAAATCAAGAAAAATCTGAAGGATGAAGTCAGCGACTGCGAAAAGATCACGAAAGACAGATAAACCCACCAAGACCACCACTCCCACAAACCAATCATGACAGGACGATGTCCCAGTGGCGCTCGATGCCAATCCTCCAGAGGTCCTCATTGCGCGACCACTTGTCCGACGATGGAAGACAGCCGACCTCGACCGCGCCCTCCCCCAATATGGCCGCCAGTCCGGGTACTTTGTCGGTGTCCGGGAGGTATGACTTCGTCGGCTCACACTCGTCGTCCAGCGCGAAGGTCGGGACGTCAAAGGAGGGGAGGGTGGGGAACGTCTCCGGGGTGATGATGGCGGTGCTCTGCTCCGAGGTCGATCCGTGCGCCAGCGCAGGGACGGATTCGTAGGTGAAGCGAGGCGTGTGACCGAGGAGGGGCGCGCGACAATAGTGGGGCTCGTCGGGCGCCTGGGGCGCTGTGACGACAAGCACTGGCGGGGCGTCCCCCGCGTTGAAGTCGCTAGCCTGTTGATCCTCGGTCGCCGCATCCATCGCGTCCGTCGTCTCATCGTCGAAGCCGGCGTAAAAGGTGCGGATCCCTCGGAGTCGTGCAGCAAACTCGACGAGGGTGGGGCGTTCGAGGGGGTGAATGGAGAAGACGTCGAGGAGGAGGTCGCGGAGGGTGGGCGAGATGTGGCACTCGTCGAGCGCGGCGGAGGGGTTGGTGAGGAAGTCCACGAAACCCCTGTCGGTACGATCCGCCTTGCTCCACGGTGTGAGGCCCGTGGTGACGGCAATGAGGGTGATGCCGAGAGCCCAGATGTCCGCGCTGTCGTTCCACACGTATCCTGTCGAGAACTCCGGCGCACCCAGCGCTTCCGGCGCCATGAACTGATTCGTCCCGGTGCCGCTCGTACCAGAGGGCGATATCGCGGCGAGGCCAAAGTCGGTGAGGAGCCACGACTGGTAATCGTCCGACACGAGGATGTTGGCCGGCTTGATGTCGCGGTGGTAGACGCCGTGGGCGTGGCAATGGGCTACCGCGTCCACGAGTTGAAGGAAGCACCGCTTGATGAGGTCGGTCCGGCCGAGGTAGACCTCCTTGCCGATGATGGATTGGAGGTCGCCGTTGTGCATGTACTCCAGGACGAAGCAAAGGGCATTAGGGGTTTCGAGCATGCCGAGGAAGGCGACGACGTTTGGGTGGAGGGAGAGACGAGCGTGGATGTTGTGTTCGCGGCGCAGCCGCTTGTGGTCGTGGTCTCCATTCGGTTTCTTGCGCTGCACCTTGAGAGCGACAGAGGCGCCGAGGATGAGGTTGTCCGCGGCGCGGTAGACGGCGCCGAAGCTGCCTTTTCCGATGATCTTCTGGATGGTGTACCGACCAGCGAGTACGTCTCCGGGCTGATAGTAAATGTAGGAAGTAGAGGTCGAAGAGGTCATAGCAGAAGACATCGTTGAAGGTGAAGTGAGGGTGATGGTATGCGGAAAAACGGAAAGCGAAACTTTAGAAAAGAGGGAGACGCGCTCCTTTTGACCGCGAAGACGCGCCTGTCTCATGGTGAGATATCTCACTCACCTCGAACACCCCGGGGAGGCCTTCTCCGGACAGAGACTGCTAGTTGTTTCAATCATCCCTATAGTGATAAAATACATCCGGGGTCTCAGTGCACGAGTTTCGATCGGTCGACGCTCAGAAGGTCGACAATCTTCATCAAGCTGGGGTTACCACCCAGTCGGTCGATCTCCTGGCGCATTTGCCTTTCCAGGCTGTCAAGGACGTCGAAGGTGTACTCAAAGGACTTCGTCCGGTCCTTGAGGTACGATATGGTGTGAATCTTGAGCGTTGGGGTCGCGGGGCGCTTCTGTAAGACATCTAGAAGGAATCTCGGCTCAGCAAAAGCGCGCAAAAGGGGGAAAGGAGAAGAAGTCTCACTGAGAATCTGGCGGTTAGACATGTCAGCGTGAATTCCATGGACGACTGGGAACGAGAATTTGCCCTCTGTTAGGTCTTCGGCGAATCCCTTGTTTGAGCTATACTGAACTGGAAGTCAGGTGACCGCGTTTCTTGCGAGATCATCATTTCGAACCTCGACGCTCTGCAGGTTCATGAGATCGTCCCTGATCTGGAAGAATACACCAATAAGGTTGACGAGCGGGATATAGTTCCTTGCGAATGATCAGCCTCGACGATGGTGGCGCAGCCTTTCGCGCTCACATATCCCTGTTCTGGGTCGAGCACGCCATCATGAGCCTGATGCCTATGCGGAGCAAGCCTCCTGTCTCTACTTCGTTGTCAGTGAGAGTTCTCATAAACTCTAGCGGACGAGCGTACTGTTGTTCACCATATCGATGTACTCATCCTCCGTGGGACATTGCAAAGAGTCTCGCCAAAGAAGTTCGAGTCCTTGGCCCCGGTGGAGGGACAGTAGCTCATCTGCTTAGCGTGAGCGCCCACCTATTCCCCGTCAAGTACAGGCTTGCCTGTTACTAGCTTCTCAACGTCAATGCCCTTTGCGGGCTCCCTGAGCAGAAGTAGCTCGCGATACGCGAGAAAGTAGACGTAGTTCCCGGTGTTGATCGTCTGCGGGACGCCATAGATCTTGTGCGTGACTAGCGTTACCTTAAGTTCCGAGTAGACGGATTTGCACCGTTCTCACGAACCTGGCTTCCCCCTTCGTAGCTGTGAGTCGTCTTCGATATCGTCGACCCTATATTCCATTCAGTCTAATGTCAGCCACCCGCATAGTGGACCCGCGCACATCAAGCTCGCGGAGTGTAGCATGTTCACGATCTTCGCTATGATCTGGAGCGTATCGCCCGGCACTGCGAGCCATTTATTGAACGCGTCGATGAGCTGTGTGCGAAATTCCTTTCCCGGAGTCGAGAGTAGATACTCGTAAGGCTCAAGTACAGCCTAAAGCTTGTCAGACCTTCGTCGCGGAATACGAGGAAGCTCTCTGCACCTTCTCGTTCTCCGGCGTCCATCGCGACTCAGATGAGAGTCGGGCAAGGATATTGTCGTACCTGGACATAGCTAGAAAAATTTCGGATGACGAGAGGAGGATGGAAGGTGTTGCATCAAGATAAAGCTATGCGAAATATAGGACTTTGAAGTTTAACATCAATCACTGCCGCCGCCGGTGGCGGTAGGAAGAGAGAACTGAGAACGCCGAATCCGGCCTCGGACTTCCTCGGGCCGAGCACAGCCACTGCGTCATTGGACTTCGACGCGACACATGTTCAACTCCAGCCACTTGCCTCTAGCCACCATCCTGGCTCTGGAATCGCTTTCTCCAGGTGGTCTGTACGCTGGGTGGCTTTCTAAGCAGGCTTCATACCTCTGATCTGTCTGTCTTCCATGGGTTTCGCTGTCTGAACTTCGCATTTCGTTGTACCATATAATTGCACTTTGCATGGCCGTGGTACGACAGGCTTCTTACCGGTCGGATTGGAGCTGATACTCGCACAGCGCGCTATTTCGCAAACTTCGTCCTGGAACTCAAGTGCCAATCCCTCTCGGGAAGCCGCTATACAAGAAGTTCACGCATCGTTGACCGTGCCCGGCCCCGGCGTACGATTGCTGGCATTTGGTACGTGATTTATCTTCTTTCCGGAAGCAAAGCGAACTGAGTATCGACTGTTAGATGATGGCGGCATCCGTGGGCTCACTATGCTTCTCCTACTGCGAAAAATATTCGTCAGGGTTCAACAAATGGCTTGTTTACCAACAATGCCTCTTCCTTGCGAGTATTTTGATATGATAGCAGGTAGTGGTACAGGGGGGTGAGAGGTGCTTCTCTGATGTCGCTTTGAGGTCACTGACTCTGCTACCAGCTGCATCGCGCTCTTGCTTGGGCGTCTACAACTCCCCATCGAGACCGCTATAGAATGCTACGCGCAAATAGTCAAGCAAGTCTTCGCGCAGATCAAGGGAGACGGTAGCTTCCGCCCGTCGCAACTCGAAAAGGTTATCCGAGAGATTTCGCGGCGCTATGGGGACGGCGAAGATACGCCCCTGCTCGACACCCAGTCATCAGCATGCAAGACGTACGTCGCGTCGATCTATACAGCTCTCACGTCTGATTGGCTAGATAGGTTTGTATTAACCCGAGAAGATGCTGGCCTCGGCAACATTGCACTACGTCGATTACGAACCTACACTCATCGTACGGAACCCACAACACAATATACGCTTGTGGAGGCTATTCGCGCTACCATGGGGAACCCGACATTCTTCAAGCCACTCTCGGTTCGGAGAGGACCCGCGGCTGTAACCTTCTTAGACGCGGGCGATCCTCACTACAATCCGGTCTTCGCTCTCCTGGAGGAGGCGGAAATCACCTATCCCGCACGTCACGTCGCATATCTACTCAGCCTGGGTGCAGGTACAGCCAGCACAGTCGGAGAAAACTCGTCTCGTATATTCTCCACTCACCCTAGACTCCCCTTGCCCACCCTCGCCGCCATCCGACATCTAGCGCAATGCTGCGACCAGACGGCAGCTTCCTTCGAACGCGGACATGGCGATCTCGGCCGCAGATACTTCCGTCTGACGCCGAATCAGCCTCTGCGCGATGGGAGAATACCATGGGAAGGGGTGGAGGATCTCGACGCTATCGTTACGCCTTACGTCGAAACCGTCCAGCAACAAGTGCGCACGCTGACTACCCTGATGAAGAATCAGAAAGCGTTGAACAACGCACGCGGAGGCAGACGCTAGCAGGACATATCGATACCTTATTTCGAACACGATTTGCGGATTGTAAATTCGGCCAACAGTGCAATCACTTTGCGTATCGGATTGCTTCAGAAGCCTGTGACCAAAACACTGACGATCAGGGCAATGTCAACACCGGCGTGTATGACATGAGCTTGCTTACCCTCGACGGTGCTGTGTGGCGCACGTATGGGTCGCATTCCCAGGGACCCGGGGAAGATCAGGACTCAACATGTGCTTCCAGCGTGGTGAAAACAGGTCGCTTCACCTTGTCCTCCGCCGCTCAATCGATCGTCCTACAATGGCATTCCTTACCTCCTCCCAGAGCACGCTTCCCGAAAAATTCAAACGCGTCATCCAGGCGCCTTTCCGGTCACCTATCCCTGGACGAGATCGAATGAACGACTTAGAAAATGTCGGGTCTCCACCTTTCTGCATCCGATTGTCGCTGATGTTTCCGCAGGGACGGAGTGATGCGCCCAGACCGAGTGTACGTATCAATACTGCGTGACCTGGACCATGGACTGAAAGAACAGCAGCGAACGCATTCAGCGGTCAAGGATAGCATCGCTGCGCCCGAAAATGTCGGCTATCGTACTTTCCGTCATGCTTGACCGTACTGACATACCTGCAGCTCATTGGCAGTCCTCGATCCAGCATGTCAGAGGAAGATATTGAGTCCAAGCCGCCGCAGGTAATGTGGTCATCCCAACTTAAGTCGCCAGTAATGACCATGAATTCTTTCAGACAAATTGGCGAGTCGGAGGTCCCAAATTCGTCAACGAACTGGCGGACGAAGATATTGCCTGGCGCGAAGGGACTCAGCTGGTCGATCACCTTGACTCGACGACGTGCCGGGTCGCGCGGGAGAATATTGATACTCTGCTTGTTTTTGTGCGTGAACTACTTATATCCTAAAAGCCTACTGAGCTAACGCGTGATCCTTAAAAGGCCGGTCTGTTCTCCGGTGTCGCAACTGCTTTCATCATCGAGTCCTATCGCTGGCTGCTGCAAGAACCTGATGATATGTCTGCTGAATACCTCAGACGGATTTTGGGCGTCCTCACGAACTCGACTATTCCAGCCATCCCCCAGTCCAGCGGCCGACCCTCGTTGCCGGATGACATCGTAGCCCTCATCAACGGCCTATGGTTCAGTAGCTTGACGCTGAGTCTGTCTTCTGCCCTGCTCGGTATCGTCTCCAAGCAGTGGCTTCACGAATATCTTCGTGACGCCGGCCGCTCGCAGATGACCAATCTTGCCGTTCGCCAAGTCAAGTATCAGGGATTCACGCGCTGGTCTGTCGAATTCATCATCACTTTAATCCCCCTTCTCCTGCAAGGCGCGCTCTTCGTATTCTTGACCGGCGTCGTATATCTCCTCTGGCACATCCAGCCAGTCATTGCCGCTGTCGTCAGCGCCTTGGCTCTCTTCATCGTGATCTTCTTCATCGTCACGACCGTCCTCCCGGCCTTGCAATTCATGCTGGGTTGGGCGGGTCATTTGCGCATGCACACTACAAACCAGTTTCCCTTCAAATCAGCTCAAGCGTTGATATTCCTTCGCATATCTATCTTCATCGCCAACTCTCTCGCTTGGATCCATCACTACTTCATATCCATGAAGGGCTTTCACTTTGGCTACACGTCATTCCATGCGCCCTTCCCAAGCTACTCGGCGTGGCCTCAGCTTGATCTCGATTGGACCCGCCTTCGGGACCAAAGTGCGCGACAGAACGACGAGCCAACATCGATTGGCTTGTTCGTTGGCTACATGGAGCTCAACTTCGAGCATCGCCTTTTGCGCGATTGGATATGGGGATGCCTCTGGAGCTTACGGGATTACGCCGCCGACGCCAAATACGTCCTGCAATGCATCAGACGCAAGCCAGATATCAAAAGTGATTTCCCATCCGTAGAGGACCACCTGGCAAAGGAGGTTATCCCTCTTCTCTCGGGTCGTTTGGCTTCTCAAGCAACATCCGAGCTGGTGATGCTCTCTCTGCTCGGTTCTGCAAACAAAGGTCCCCACGGCGAAGCTCGTATTGAACATCTTATTCGCCTATTTAACAGCCTTATATATCGCGATGCGGGGAGGGTCCCCATGAGTGTTTACGACACCCTGCAAGCCACGCTCCAGGAGACGGTCCACGAGCCACTCGGCTCCGGTAAGCACATCTTCTCAGCGGTGCGAGCTTGTCTGAAGGTAGATCAGAGACGCGATGCCAGCTTCTCAGCGTTGCTCAGAGCATCTTGCGAAAAAGCCAACACGCAGAAGATCTCTTCGACAGTCCTTTCCTCGATCTTGTCACCGTCATCGTAACATGCCTCAGTGGCGGCGAAGTTCCTGAGGATTCAGACGTCTGGATCATGAACCGCGACTTGAGCTTGGACCTCTGTTCCGACGTGACAGAATGGCTCGAGCGGTATCCTGATCCTAGCAGTAATTGGGAGGACTATAAGGCTCGCGTCATCTGGTCAGCGCACATCACTGTGCTGCTCGCCCGTATACTCGCCGGGTTCAAGAATATAGAGCCGGCTAATTTGCAGAAGACCCACCGACGCTTTCCAGCTATTTTTGAGCTGAGTCGGCTCGTGTACGAGAGGGCACTTTCCATACCAGTGGATGTTCTACCCACATGGGTCCCAGACAAGTCCGACATGGAGGAGTTCGCACGCGTGAAGGTGGCTATCGAAGAAGTCGCGCAGAGGGGTCCGGACATAGCGATCATTGTTCAAGCGAAGCATACGACGGTGCGGATGCGTCCTTTCTCCCCGCGATTATGTTTTCTGAGACCGCATGACAGAATGGTCCTACACGGCACGGCGTTCATTGGGATGATCAGAACGGATCTGCTCCGGCAGTGAGTCTGACTTCCCTGGCGCCTAATGTGTACTATTGCTGACGAACGTCCAGGAAACTTCCTCCCAGATCAACGACATGGATACGCCGGATACCAATCCGGTGGCTAGCGGAGCTGAGGGTGGATCCATGTCACCGGAGAGCGCGCTAACAGAGCGGAGTGCGTCGGCGCCTGCGTCCTAGGAGTCTCAATGGAGAGGGAGAGGAAACGAGAACGAGTTAAAGAACTCAGAAGGAATGGTTGAAGGGGATGCACATTGATCTGGCTAAAGAGGAGCGACCTGCAGACGCTACACTTAAATATTGTTATGTTCCAAAACCTAAATATGGTAACTAATCCTCGTCGGAATTTGCCGAGGCACTGTTGTCTTCAGCCGTCACCATCCACGAACCGCGAAGCGTGCGGATATACCGCATACCCTTTGTTCTCGAGATCTCCGCTGTATTTCAAGCATACCCTCTCTGATCTGACAACTCAGCAGCAGGTCAACGATCTGCGACGTATTTCCCTGTCGTCACCCAACACCAATTCAATCGCCTGCTGCCTCCTTCATCGCGACTGTCAGACTGCGTCAAGCCCAGAATCAGCGTTCTGTATCCATCACGCGACCTTCAGTTTCCCTGGCTTGCTGCTCCATTACTTCGATCGATCATCCATGTCATTGTCAAGAGCTCTCAATGCGAAGCGGAGCCGGTGGAAACGCGCACTGGACTCGGTCGTATACCCACCGACATGCTAAGTATCTATCACCGTGTTGGCGGAGTCTGTGGTGCATGATTAGAGATTTTCTACCGTCCAACTTGAGCGCTTTGACCCGCTGGCGACGAACGAGAGTCGGCCTTGAACCAACGCCTCAGATACGCGCCTCTCGGATAGCCTTTTTCTTCCGGACCTGATCTAGTCCCGAGCGCTTCTCGCTAGACGTGCGCAGTGCGTCATGACATCTTCGATGTTGGAAGATAAACACTGCACAACACGCCGCTCCCAGTTATATATATATATGGACGGCGCATCTACGCTCCTTCTTCCTCTCGACCACCACCCCCCTCTCGCACAAACCACCACAACTTGATGCCTACAAAGATGCAGGCCGACCATCCACCCGTCCAGTTCACGACGAACCTTGCCGAGCAGGATGCGAGGGAGATCCTCCGTCGCGACCGTCTCCGCGCGCAGATGCTCCTCGCGCAACACCAGCCCCATGGGCCGCTCGCCTTCAACATGAAGGCAGGCACTCAGCCGGAAAAGGTCAAGAGCATCGCCGTCACTGACGCAGGTGTGCCGTCCGTCCATCGGCCTCATTTCCTAGATTGAGCACGAAACCACAGCGGTCACGTATACATGTGCTGTCGACATCGGTACTCCACCGACGAAATACGACCTTCTCATTGACACTGGTACGTTTATATCCATTCCTCGCCGCATATATGCGCCTCATATCGTCGCTAGGGAGCTCCAATACCTGGATTGGCTCTGGCAAGAAATACGTCGTGACCAAGTCGAGCGAGAACACGCGCCAGCCCTTCGTGCGTCTCCCATTATCGAGCTCGCATGTTTCGTCTAACACTTTCGCAGCAAATCAGCTACGGCAGCGGCTCATGCTCTGGAACGCAATGTATGCGCGCTAGCGGTTGTCTCCCTCCGTTCAAGTCCATGCTCATATATCCCAGATATCGACCACGTTAGCCTCGGAGAAGGCCTTGACATCCCCAAGCAGTCCATTGGCGTCGCTAGCAAAGCTGACGGCATGAACGGCATTGACGGCATTCTGGGCATCGGGCCCGTCGACCTCACGCAAGGGTGAGGACGCCTTTGTCTCTTGGTCGAGTATATGCTGATCTATCTACAGAACTGTCCAATGGGGTGATCGCATCCCTACGGTCACTGATAACCTGTAAGTGAACGGAGTCGTCTCGCATCGCGATTTCATTTTACTGATTTATGTTCTGAAGATACAAGAATAAGACGATCTCTACCGAGAGCATCGGTATCTTCTATCAGCCCACCACTTCGGTGGATCCCGTCCCGAACGGCGAGCTTACTTTCGGCGGTGTCGATACCTCGAAGTGTCAGGGCGAGATCACCTGGGTCCCTATCACCAAGAAGTCGCCCGCAGACAAGTACTGGGGTATGTTTGCGGTTAACAGCAAAAGGTCGCCCACTAACGCCGCGCAGGAATCGACCAGACGGTCACTTACGGAGAGCACGGCGAAACGCTGATGAAGAATTGTGCCGGCATCGTAAGTAGCCCCAAAACTCACCGTCCGTTTTGTGTTGACTGAAGCCCTTTGGGTAGGTCGATACTGGCACGACTCTCCTGATGATTGCCACCGACGCCTTCGATGCGTACAAGAAGGCGACGGGCGCGAAGGTCGATGAAGCCACCGGTCTTCTGACCGTAACGGCCGAGCAATTCAAGAAGATGAAGTCCTTGTACTTCAAGATCGGCGAGGTGGGGTTCCTTGTCAACTAATGGGGGAATGATAACTGAAGCTCATTAGACTACCTTCGAGTTCACCCCCAACGCACAGAAGTGGCCTGCCATGCTGGGCAAGATGATGGGTGGGAAGGAGGGCCAGATCTACCTCATCCTTGCCGATATGGGTGCGCCGAGTGGGCAGGGCTTGGACTTCATCGGTACGTAGTCGCATCGATGTGTCGAGCACCATCTCACACGCTCTGCAGACGGATTCGGCTGGCTTCAGCGCTTCTACTCGGTCTACGATACAACGAATGGCCGTGTTGGGATCGCGAACACCAAGTATACGAAGGCGGAGAGCAATTAGGACGAGGATATGGTCAGTCGAGCGTAATAGATACGGACATACGCAAGATGGACTTTCGAAAAGACGGACGGTCTCGCATATCCAAATGTAACATTAGTGACGGATATTTGAATTGGAACTGAGCAAGTTACACGCATACGTGCCAGCATGGATGAATCATTCTACATGCCGCTTGTGGTCGCCAGTGATCCCTTCTGCGCTGCTGCCCGCAAGTTTCTGGAGGTTGTAAAACGGTTCATCCAGCTGTCGCGTCACCCAAGGCAAAACGAAGCGAAGCGCGACGAAGATTGTCACTACTGCAACGCCGAGGAAGGGTAGCACAGATTGCGGGAGTACTCCGAGCAGTAGAGGTTCCATGGTTATGACGAACGGCGCGCGTTCGATGTCTGTTGCGACGGCGTACGAAGCGGGCACTCCGATATGTCGCGCACGCACTCGCACGAGCTTTGTTCGAGGTGACTCGGTGTCGAAGACAGCCAGGTAGAAGTCCGCGGGAACCTGATGAAGAGAGAAAGATATAGTAAGAGGGGAAGTAATAACACCAAACGAGCTCAAGGCTTACAGATGCCGGCGAAGAGATACGAACTGTGAAGTGGTCGTAGGCGGACCAAGGTCCACTGCCAACGCGAAGCTCAACCCATAGCTCCGAGTCGCCGACGCTCAACTCATCCAGATCATTCAGATTTCCTGATTCCTGCAGAGGCACTATGCTGAGCACTCGTTCGCTGATGGTGGGGTCCAGCCAATACCTGCCGGTCACAGGTAAATATCGAATAAGGTCTTGCGGGACGACGTCATGGGGGTCTTACGGTTTGCTCGGAGGTACGGTCGCATTATGCGTTTCCTTGAAGTTAAAGTTGACGATCTCAGTGTTGGCCAGAACGCAGGGGAGGAGGAACAGAGCGAAGAACCATGATGGTGGGACGAACATCGTGGCCGCTCACGTGTGCAGCCAGACCGTCACGAGGGAGTGTGATGTCACGGTTCGTATTCACTGTATCGTTTGACTTCGGCGACGAGCGGTAAGACTAGTACATGTCATCCAAGCAGGATTAGCTATGTTTTCCGAGAATATGTGTGGTAGTATAAGGTCGATTTTGGTGGTAGATCTATGGCAGGCTCGGATCAGGCGGCAGGCTTGTCGCCCCGGACCTCCAGGATCGTATCGCGCAACCGCTTGCACGCCTCCTCCGCCTCCGGTCCGTTGGTCAAGCTGAAGCTAATTCGGACGTGGTTTGTCGGTCCTCCTGCGGGCATAAAAGAGATGCCAGGTACGGCGAGGAAGCCGCGTTCGACCGCCTTCTCGAGGATGACGGCGTAGGAGTCGATGTCGCGTTCGTAAAGGAGCTGCGGGGAGGATTGTGAGTTGACATTGACGAACGATTCGAGGAAATATAGTTCAGGGACGAAAGACATAGCAGAGCCGCCACGCACCTCAATGTACACGAACATCCCCGCGACCGGGCTATTCCACCTCGCCACGCCGGTTAGGTACTTCTTCGCAGCGGCCTCGAAGAGGTCGCGCTTATCGCGGTAGTACTCGGCGACGCGGCCGACGTGGGCGATGAAGCCGTCCTGGCCCCAATGCTCGAGGAGCTTGTAGACCATGGCTTGGGTGGTGGAAGCGGTTTGGAGGCTGGGGTGCGGGACGTTAGCATGATGCAGCGAGGGCAGAATGAAAGCGCGAAGCTTGATCAAAAGGGATGCTATGGAATAACTTACTTGGTGTTCGAGGTGATGAGGTCGACTTTGTCGCAGATCTCCTTTGCAGCGGAGAGGAAGCCGATGCGCATGCCGCTGCTCAATACCTTGCTAAAGGAGTCGAAGCTATGACAGATGTATTGACGGTCAGGTTGATTGCCACAGAGATAAAGTGGATGACGCCGACGCACCGAACGACCCGCCCGACCTCATCATTCACCTCCTTTTCCAAGGCGAAGTAACTCTTCGCCTTGCTACCCTTCTCGCCGTAATGAACGAATGCGTATGCATCATCCTCGAGAATAAGGAAGTTGTACTTCTTGGCGAGCTTCAGCCTACGTTCTTCGTCAGTGCCTTCGCATGAGTCGCTTGGATACCACTTACACTTCGACCTTGCGCGATTGGGGAATCGAGGCGCCAGTCGGGTTGCTGCCTAGATCTCTGTTGTATCCGTTGCTTCCGGGCCACAAATCAAAGCGTACCAGTGGGAATGGTGTAAAGCAGCCTCGGGAACCTTTGGCCCGGGCGCTCGGTCTCCCAGTTCGACAGAATTTTCTCAAGCGCCTCAGGGTTAAGACCTTGTGTATCCGTCGGGCACTCAATTAGAGTGCAAGGCTCGACGTTCAGGATGCCAAGGGTTCCCCTACAAAGGGAGTCAGATAAGATCGCGGCAGAGAAGGTGCGCTACTTACGCGTATACAGGCGTCTCCACTAGCATGTTGTCGCCTTCGTTGATGAGATTTTGGAACGTCTGAGGAAGGCTTAGCAAGTTCGAAGCGATGGAATGTCCGGAATGTCCCACCTTGTGCATAAGGTCCTGGCTGCCAGAGCCGATGGACACTCTCCAGCCCTCGTCCATGGAGCGACCGTGCACCCTGCATTGGAAGTCTTCTAACCACTGTATATCGTCAGACGTAATCCTTGGGCTTCGAGCGAGACATTACCTTCACGAGGCGCGGCAGCCCGGAGGTTGCGCCATACCTGTATGTTCAGCACGTGCATCACATGGAGTTGTGGTGCGTGTGACTCACTGTAGGGCTTCCTCGAGGTCTTTTCCGTCGAGTATGAGCTCGAGGGGCGGTTCGTTTCCGACGGGCTTGACCTTCAAGGTGATTGCCTCGAAGGGGAATGTTTCGGGGGAAGGCTTGCCTGGTTATGTCCTCTGTTAGTGACGAAGTAAGAACGTAAGTCTGCACACAAACCAGCAAGCAAGGAAATCATTCCAGGCCGCTTTTCAAGCGGGAAGAGTCCGCGTACTGGATTGGCACTGATGAGCTTCAAGCAAAACACCTCGAAAACAGTTCATCTACTTACTTCCGCTAGGCTTCCACCGCTTGGAACGTTCAGAGAGGAAAGGGGTGACATCTACTGTCGTAGGCATGGTGGTTGTCAAGAGGGAGGTAAGCGAGGACGATAGGGGTATGACTCGAGTCCTTTTGAGGTCACGGTTGAAGTTGAAGTGATCCGGCGATAATCGGCATCCGTCGGACTCAGCCCCGGCGGACTGCGATAATATCCGTCCGGCCGCGGCGGTTGCGCTTCAGCTTTACCAGTGACCAAGGCTTTCATGACTCGACTCTATGGCTCAGAAGCTCTTGAGGGCTGAAGAGTACTTGCGCCGACGTAAAACAGGGAGGGCGAGCGCTGGAGGCTGGAAGAGGCGCCGAGCGCTTATTCGCCCTCATTGTTCTGGCCTAATAATGAACAGAGCTCCGCAAAGAGGGTCCCCACGACGCAAGCCACTCGTGCAATGATGCCAATGGAGCCTACCCCGATGGAAGTTCCGCTTCGCAAGTGCGGTCCGAAAGCACCGGTCTTGGCACAAATATTTGGTCGAACGAACTTCCATCTTTGGCCTTCCCTCTGATCCATCGGAATCAGCCACTATGACCGAGCCCCAACGCCAACAACAGACGGAAGCGGAACTCCTCTCCTACGTCCAAGCATTCTGGGCCAGGCAAAGAGACACTAGCCCCCTCTATAGCCTGCTCATTCCCGACCTGACCATCATCTCCGCCACACGGGGCCGTGTCCTCGCACAAATGCGCGTCGCGAAGCAGCAGCTGAACTCGAAGGGTACGCTGCATGGAACGACGTCTGCGTGTCTGTTGGACTGGGGAGGTGGGATCGCGATCGCGTCGCATGGTGTGGAAAAGACGGGCGTGACGACGGACTTGCACGTCTCCTGCCTTGCACCGGCGAAGGAGGGCGATCTGCTCGAAATCGAGTGCATCGCAGAGAAGGTGGGACGGTCGGTGGCGTACACGACGGTCACGGTCAGAAAGGTCATCGAAGGAGGCGACAGCATCATCGTCAGCTCGGGGAGGCATACAAAGTTCTTGTAAGGCAGAATCTCAATCATTGTTGCTGCCCACCACGGTGAAGATCAGCGTACGCATAGCTTGTAGACACTATAGAAAGAATGTATGCCCCACAAACTACCCCAATCGCCCGCACTGTCCTCGCGATGGCAGGAGTCCCCACGTGAAGCGCGTATTATGACTGTATCTGTTACGCTTGTTTTCTGTAGCCAACCCCCCTGTCCAGGATACGACCACGACGCCCCAGGGAACCGCAGAGCGCTCCACCGTAGACACATCGCTCCGGGCCCTCGTCTACTCAGTAGCATTGACCAAAAGTCGCTGAGCAAACGAGGGCGCGGCGGGGGCATTTCGCGACAGACCACAGAACGCACCTTCGTGACCGAGGCATGTCGAGTACTAGCAGCGTTGGCGAGGTAGCCGACGGTGGATATCCTTTCCATTAGCAAGCACGAAAGCATTATAACCCAGTAAGTAGAATAGCATCCTAGGACCGTCCTCGGGCAACAGCACACCCACAACAAGAAAAGAAGACCAGCACGCATCCCCCGCACCTCCTCCAACGCCCTTACTACTCCACCGTCGCCGAAGGGGGCTGTGCCTCTGGCGGCGGCGGCGGCATACCCGAAATCGCCCCAGGTGGCACCGTTCCCGGCGGCGCGAGCATCCCAGTTGGCGGCGGCGCGCCCGCCATAGGCATCGGGATGGGGATCGCCCCCGGCGGGATCATGGTGCCCATGGGCATGACCGCACCCGGAGGGATCATCGAACCTGGCGAGATCATCATCCCCGTCGGCACGAAGCCTGGAGACATGCCTGCGGGATACGCACCGGGCGGGAGCATCTGGAAGAAGCCGGGCGGCGCGCCGCCGGGGAAGGATGCGAGGAAGGCCTGGTAGGCGGCGAGGGAGGGGTTCGCTTGAGCGGAGGGGGAGCCAGAGGGTGGGTTGGGGGTGTAGGCGGGGTAGTGGTTCTGACCTGGGAAGACGTTAGCTTGGTCGCCAGCGGCGTGCGATGCGCATCGTACCTCGTCCAGTGGCCGGCTGCTCTGCTGTCTGTCCTTGCGAAGGCGCTGGCTGTGGTGGAGGATGTGCTATTCGCGGCTTTCCAGGTTGCTGAGAGGCTACGTGAGGTGGGTAATAGGATTGTCGAGGCTGTGGAGGTTGTGCTTGTTGCTGCTGTTGATGCTTCTGCGCAATGAGCGTGCTCATGGGCATTGTCGAGTCGTATTCCTCTGGTAAGGCCGGGATGACGGCGGCGTGTCGTCCACCAAGCGGCCTGGGAGCTGTAAGTACAGGGTCATGCCAGCACATATGAGCGGACGCACCCTCCCTCAACGAAGTTCTGCCATACGTAGTCGCGCAGATTGCCAGCATTGGGCAGCTCCTGGATGAGGTGCTTGATGGTGTTCTGTCCGAGCCCGAAGAAGTCTGGTCCAGAAACAGAGTTGGAGTGTTGTCGGTTGCGGATGGCATTCGCCTGCTTGACGATACCCGACCAGGCGCCGGTCGCGGTGCCAGCGATGATTGGGCGATCGGGGCAGTCTGCAGGTATAACCTGGAACTTGGGACCATCGCCACCGTCGAGGATGGTACAGTGGTAGACGACTTCGGCGTGCGGGTCAATCGTGGACAGATATCGTCTGCGCAGATATCAGTATTGCACACAGGGGTAGGGGATGCATGACTGACCGTGTCACTTCGTAGCCGACAGGGAAGATGTACCGCTCCGTGTGAAAGTGCTCTCGAGTGCACACCTCGCCGAGGCTGATGACCGTCATAATGCCGACATTCAAGGGTAGCATGGGCTTCCGATTGCGATCCCTTGGCACAAGAGGAATGCTGTAGCTCTTCGACTTCACGGTGTGTGACTTCGTGCGCTTCGGCTTGATCTGACGAGGGAAATCATTCGGGTTCTGCGCTTGAGGTTGTGGCGGAGATGACTGTGCGGCTGGTTGGGGTGCTGGTGAATAGCTGGCGGGTGAGTACATGGCGGTGAGGTAGTAGTAGGGGTTCCCGTATAGGTTTGCGGCGGAGTAGTAGAGGGAATAGGGATTGACGCTCGAGGATGAGGTAGATGGCTGAGGGGCGGGAGTGGTGGAGCTTGATGATGATTGGGTAGCAGATGTGGTAGATTGCTCAGACGAGCCGCGAGTGGCCTGGGTAGAAGTAGTGGCTTCCCCGGAGGCGGGTGCAGTTGCTGCCTGCTCGCTGCCATTGCTCGTACTACTTGCAGCGTCTTGTTGTTGGTTGTTGAGTGCTACGCTATATTCAGCAAAAGTTAAGTCGGACACTGCAATCGACGAACCTGATTCTGCACTTGCAGCAAGGAGCCCTTGATATGGCGTGAGATCGGGCAGGAGCACGAGGACAAGGCGATCGTACCTGCGAGGGTCTCTGCATCGAAAGAGGACAAGTCAGGCTCCTGTTCGTCTGTCCGTACACGCTTCCTCGACGGTTCATCGGCGGTCCCAAAGTCATCTTCCTGATATAGAGTAGAAGGGAAGCCGGACTCCGCCTCATTTATGTTCGTCTGGCTCCCATGGTGCGAGCCTGAGTGGTCCGACGTGAGCGTCTAGTACTGACTATGAGAAGTAGCACGCACCAGGTGGGGTATCACGCGCAGGTGGAGAGTTCGTTCCTTGTGCTGGATCTGAGCTCTGCGAGCTTTCGCCGATCGCCTGGAAGTTCTATCCGCGGCAAGAATAAGAACCATGTTCATGGCTTCACTGGCACATCTTTCTGACCTCGTCTAACTCATCGTGGCGTCGCTTCGGCGCCTTCTGCGACGCGTCGATGTCCGCAGATCCCTTAGCGCTCAGAGTGTCGGAGAAGGACGATAGCGCAGAATTTGACGCCGCAAAGAAAGGGGGCAGTATACTCGAGCTAGAAGCGCTGCTCTCAGCCGTCGTTGCCGTCGGGGTATAGTTCATATTCTCGAAATATCCGGCGTGGCGGTTGGGAAGCAGATGGTGGTGGTCGGGAGCAAGAGCGGGGAGGCTGCAGCCAAACAAGCCCGTGACAAACATTCCGTCGCCTTCCGAAATCAATGCCGCAAGCGCCCCAATCGGGAAGGTATGAGTCACAGACGGTCACTGGATCGCGGAGTGACCTCATTAAGCGCCGGCGCGTCTTTCGTTCCCCTTTACTTCCTCCCCTCACTACAAGTAATCTCTATCTTTATTCGCGTTATTTATCATGTCCGATGCTGAGCCCATCATCTATAACGACGACATCGAAGACAGCGAGGACGACTTTGACTGGGAAGAGGTCCCTGTTCCCGAACCTCCGGGGCAAGAGATCGTGCTCGACGAGCAACAACCTGCCCCTCAGAACATTGAGATCACCATCAGGACTAAGCCAAAGAAGAGTGCCAAGGCAGACGTAAAGTCCGTGCGTGCAGCGTTACTCTACCGCCGCTTGCCCTAATCTTCAATAGGAAGCAGGGCATCAGTCATGCCGAGAGATTGTTGCGCGTCGACTGCCACAAGCTCCATACACTATGTCTCCTTGCAAGCGCACGTATACGCAACAAGTGGCTTAACGACCCCCTCCTGCATGTGCGTGATGCGTACAGCTACCTGCATCTGTATTGACTGGCGCGCAGGCACGACTACTATCCCTTACCCCGCTCGAGCTGCAGAATGCCTTCTCCGCAATCCACAAGTCACGCATGCCAGATGCCAATCATCGCGCGCACATGTTTCGACGCGCTCTTGAGGGTCTCGTCGAGTGGTGGGCGGACGAGTTCTTCGACGTCAGGCCCGAAGGTCACATCCGCAACCGTACATTCGCCGAAGTCCAGAAGTACATGATCAAGCACAAAGTTCCCCTCGATGAACCCGACGCGACCATGGATCCCGAGATGCTAGAAGACGTACTTGATGACGAAGGCGAGACTATACGAAGTCCCAAGAGCTTCATGAAGCATGCGCTTATGCACAGCGGCTCGCGGGACGTGAGCGCGCAGTTGTTTACTGCGCTGTGTCGAGCTCTCGGCCTTCCTGCACGCTTGGTCGTCAGTATACAGAGCGTGCCTTGGCAGACCAAGGATACTTTATACAGTTCGCCTGCCAAGAAGAAGCAAAGCAAAGGCAAGGGCAAACAGAAGGCTATTGAACTCGAAGACGATGGTGGAGCCTCCGCGACGCCGTCTGGCTCTGTCAACGGGGCTTTCCCCGGCACTGGTCAGTCGGTGGCGGGTAGCTCGACGCCTATGAGCGAGAAGGCCAAGGGCAAACAACGAGCGGAACCGCAAGTGAGGCTCAGGAAGGGGAAGAGCAAGGGTAATGTCTTGGGGAAAGCTTCGACACCGACGCCCGGTAGGTCTATCCGTATTCACGCTAGCTTTCACTTGCTAATCATCCACAGTACCTGCCGATCCTCTGAGCTCCCCACCCGTCTTCTGGACCGAAGTCTTCTCCCGTACTGACGGGCGCTGGATTCCCATCGACCCCATCCGCAACAAGGTCAACCGTCGCAAAGCCTTCGACCCTTCGCCCGCCACCGCTGGTCCCAAGTCCGCGAAGCCCGAGCGCGACAACATCATCGCGGTATATAACCAGTCCCAGGCCCTGACTGCGCCAGCGAAGCGCGTCGGCGGTCGCCCTATTAAGGAGGAGAATCGCATGTTGTACGTAGTCGCCTTCGAGGAGGACGGGTACGCGCGGGATGTGACCAGGCGGTATGCGCATCAGTATCTGTCGAAGGTGATGAAGGCGCAGGGAGGGAGCAAGCAGTTGACGAGGGGGAAGAACAGGATACAGTGGTGGGAGGGGGTGATGGGGCTGGTGACGCGGCCGTATCGACTGGTGAGTGTCGTGTACAAGGGCCAGATACCAGGCGTTGGGACTAATCTTTTCGTAGCATCGCGACGACATGGAGGACGAGGAGCTCAACTCGATGCAAATGTCCGAGGGCATGCCTACCACTCTCGCTGGCTTCAAGGATCACCCTTTGTACGTACGCCTCAATCCCGCACATAGATATTGATCGAACCTTTCCTAGATACGTCCTCGAGCGCCACATCCGCCAACACGAAACCATTCACCCTCCACCACCCGCCACACCTGAGCTGGGCAAATTCCGCGGCGAGCCCGTGTACCCCCGCTCCAACGTCGTCGCCCTCAAGTCAGCCGAGAACTGGATGCGCACCGAAGGGCGGACCGTTAAGGCGGGCGAGCAGCCGATGAAGTTCATCAAGCTGCACGCGAACACGGTGGCGCGTCTCCGGGAGATCGAGCTGGCGAAGGACGAGTTACGGGTAGCGGGGGAGTCGGCGGGGGATTTGATGCAGGGCTTGTACGCGAGGTCGCAGACGGAGTTGTTTGTGCCACCGCCTGTGGTGGATGTGAGTGTCATGAGGGTATTCTCAACGAGCAGTCGCTAACACACAAGCACAGGGTAAGATACCGAAAAACGGGTTTGGTAACGTCGACCTGTTCGTGCCAAGTATGTTGCCGCAGGGTGCGGTTCATGTTCCCTGTGAGCGACTTTCTTCATTGCACGGTCATCAAGCAAGGCTGACTGCTCTGACAGACAAGGGCGTCGTCAAGGTTGCGAGGAAACTGGGTTTCGACTATGCAGAAGCACTCGTACGTCTACTCCCCTGTTCGGTGTACTGCTTGCGCTCATCTCGATTAGACTGGCTTCGAGTTCAAGAAGCGCAGGGCGGTGCCAGTTATCCAGGGCGTTGTTGTTGCGGTCGAGAACGAACAAGCATTGCTCGAAGTGCGGCGTCCCTTTCGCCATCAAATCTTACGCGCTGACGCTCGCCACATAGGCCTATTGGGAGGCCGAGCAAGACGCTGCAGAGAAAGCTCGTGTCAAGCGCGAAGAGCGCGTGCTCAAGCTGTGGACGCGTCTCGTGCAAGGGCTTACTATACGCGCTCGCTTGCAAGACCAGTACGCTGACCGTGACCGAGGAAGCAAGGCCCCGGCCAACGAGCCGCCTCCCACCGCTTCGACCACTGCTGCGCAGCCCGAAGATGACGACCTCATCGAAGTGGTATGCATCCTCGCCCCGCGCTGCAGAACCTTACGCTCAATACCCGTGTACGCATCTTTAGGAACTCCCAGACACCGGCGGCGGCTACCTCGTTGGCGCGGATGACGTGGTGCAGTCATACCACCTCCCGAAGGCGCAGTACGCGGCTGGCGTGTCCAGGGAGACATCCCAATCAGGCGACGACAATGGGGTGGCTTCTTCTGGTACGCCCGCGCCTGAGGTCATCTTGCAGACCATGGAGCTGGACGAGGCGGACACCGTGGAAGCGGTCGCACCGGCGGCAGATCGCGTGGCCCCGAGGACGATGGAAGCTCTCGCGGCGGACTCGTCACGGGCGCAGAGCGAGGGCGCGCACGAGGAGGACGAGGATATTTTGGTGCTCGACGGGCCTGTGAACGCGCACGCGAATGGAGTCGGTCAGGCCAATGGCACCAATGGGGCGGGGAGCCGCGGCTCGTCAGCTGGTAGACAGACGAGGAAGGCGGCTAACGGTGCGACGGCGGCCAATGGCGAGGCGTCAACCAATGGCAAAGCGCCAGCCAAGCGGGTGGCTGGAAGGAAAAGGGGTCGGAAAGCCATTGAGGAGAGCGAGGGTAGCGAGGACGAGAAGCCCTCGAGGAAGCGGACGAACACGCGCAAGCGGGCTTCCCCTGCCAAGACGCCCGTAGCGGCGGAGTCTGCGACGACAGAGACCGCCAGTGCACCTACAACAGCGGAGACGCCCGCGCGGCGGACTCTTCGTCCGCGGAAGACAAAGACTGCGGAGCAAATCCAGCAGGAGCGGGAGGCTGAGTTGGCGTATCGAAGGGCTATCGCGGACTCGTAGGTACAGGCGGGAGTCGATGCAGCGTGTTGTGAAGGCGTCTATTTTACGTTGAGGTACCTTTCCCTGCAGTACAAGGTTCCTTATAATGGTATGATGGCTACACTGAACACACAGAAGTGCTAGGTGCTCGGGGCCGTAGCCGCGTCCCCTGTACTCGAATCCACAGGCATTGCATCGCTGCTCGAAGGTTCAATCTTCGACAGTGATGGCTCTTCCTTCGGGAGAGCTGCGTGCGCCGTCTTCTGTGGCAACAGCGACGCGAAGGTGAGATACGACGTGTGCCCGCGCACCTCGTTGAGCACCTTCGACAACGTTTGCGTCTTCGGTGCCGCTGCCGCTGCGACCTGCGCCCCATTAGCCTCCCCGCTCGCCTCGCCCTCCGTCTTGACCCGCTTCGTCTCGCTTTCCGGCGTGTCCGTCTCGCGCTTGCGCTTCTCGCCATGCGTCGAGTCCGGCAGTGGTTTGCCCTCGCGGAAGGCCTTCGCCTCCGCAATCTGGCGAATGCGCTTATCCTCCCTCCGTGCCTCGGCCTCTTTCAGCCTGTCGCCTACTTGCCCGATGGTTTGCAGGGCTGGCGGCTGCGAGACGTCGTGTGGGCGGATGAGCGTCTCGTACATTGTGATTTCTGTCGAGGGTCGTCAGATGGAGATTTCTTTGATGAACTAGAGGTATTTGAAGATGAAGATAAGGAGAATCCCGCTTACCCGTGAATCCTGCCTCGTTCAACGCGCTGACAGTCCGTAGGACTTGTTCCATGCACGGGCTGAAGCAGCATATTCGTGTTTGGCGGTCTTTCTAAAGAGGGAATGTTGTTAAGCAGAGTCAAGACAATTCTCGAACTCTACTTACCCGCAAGGTGACCTTCGCATGCTCAATTGCTTCCCAAGGCGCGGGTAGATCCAGGAATACTGCATGGACTTTAGCGCAGCCGACCAAGGGTCAAAGAAATATACTTACCGGCGTCTACCTCTTCAGTGACCGTGAAACCTTCCTTGCATACATTTCTGTGGGTAAGGGTGACTTGTTCTGCCATTCCATGCTCGGCGAACTCCTCCCTGAGAAGAAACGTAGGTCAATTGACAGAGCGAAGCTGCCATCGGACATACCTCGCTTTGTTCGCTCGTTGCTCGTGAAATTCGTACGACCATAGGTGGCCGAGGCTGCCTATTGTGCGCACGACGGAGTGGGAGAAAGACCCTGACCCAGTGCCTACAGTCGTACTAAACCATGAGCGTGATCTTCCGCAGGGAAATGGGACAGGGGATGGAAGATCGATCGTCGCAGCGGCATATACGTGAGCCATACAAGAGTGGCCCAGACGTGGGGGAGGGGAATACACGGGGCCATCGATAGGACGGTCATGGGCACTGATAAGAAGGGACGTACCGGCTTCGATGACACGACTGCCTGGGCGGATTCCCAGGTGTGCGGTTACGAAAGCGATGTCGGGCAGGTAGAGGATTTGCGTGCGGTGGGGAAGGGCCATAGTCCAGAGCTCCGGCGTAGGGCGGAGGACATGAATGAAGCCCTTGCCTGTGCGCGACCCGACCTTCGAGCCATAAGGGACGCCAATGAAGTCGTCGTGTCGGTAATTGCCGTACTTGTTGTTGAAATCTTTTCCCGGAGTTATGAGCAGGGGCTGGATGGCCTCTCTCGTCTGAGACGTAAATCCTCAGCAAGCGGGTGGAATCATCGAACCTACCATCCATATAATAACGATGTCGCCTGCCGCAATTTCGCGCCCGGCCGAAAACATGCTGATGATGGCGTGAGGTATGAGTTGATGGGGTGCGCCTCTGAATCTTCCGCGTGCACGCGGCCCTGGACCGCTCAGATCTCTTTCTGCAGTTGAATCTGAGGCTATCGAAAATTTCAAGATCCGACCGCGGAGGGGATCTGGTTGGTTGGCAACAAGGCCTCGTGATCGGACGTCGTGGATAACGACTGCCAAATATGGACACGGCTAATTGCATTATTCCCCGAACGTTCAGGGTCCCTCATTCCGGGACACGAACGACCGCGGACGAGCGCAGTCCGCCGAGGTCCGAGCCCCCTTCTCGAGTGAGCTCACGGGCAGGACGCGGGGTGGTGGTAGTTGCAGCCAGCCGAAGAACAATAAAAAGACCACGGCTCGGTCCCTGTCGCCCGAGCTCACCTGCCACCCTGTCGGCCTGCCGCTAGCCTCGCGCCATCATCGGCTCAGGAAACCTCTTGTTCTTCCTCTCCGTGCACGCGCACCCAACGCGGGTTCGGCGTGGCGATCAAGGGCATTTTGAACGGTGTGTACACATCCGCAGGTCATCAGTATTTTGGTCATGCCATACAAAATCTATCAACCATCAGGACGCGTGTGACTTTGCGCCTTTCCCTCGTACGCCATGGACACTCCTTGCGTTTCTTTCAGTGAGCCACCGCCTCTTGCGCTGCCCCGTCCTGCTCATCATCCGCTCTAGTCGGGATCGTCGATTTCTCACAAGAGGTAGGCAGCGGAAGCAATCTCGCCGCCCCGCTGGGCCTGACGGAGGACTGCATCGCAGGCGAGATGGATCTACATGACGGACTCTGTCACTGATTTGCTTGGTGAGTTCCCCCTGGCGCTGCGAGGAATTGGAGAACTTATTCGAACCTGTGCAGGGTGGGAGCCCCGCGAGCTTGTCGGACGGCCTTCCTTGGAGCTCGTTCATCCCGATGAGTTCCTGCGCGTCCGTAAACTCCACTAGTATGTCGCTACCGACCTTCGAGGCGCCCACATTCTCAGACGATCCAGCGACACCATCACCGAGGACAAGGCCGCCGTGCTCGCCTACCTCAGGATGCGGCACAAGGACCCCTACAAAGGCTACGTCCTCTGCGGGATCGTACGTTCACCGTGCTCATTGTGCGATGCACTCATCCTTTCATACCTATCTGATACGTTGATCAGTCTAGGTACGTCTGCGCACTGCTCATCGCCTGTCTATGCCCGCGCGCTAAGTGCGCCGCGCCAGAACCGTCGTCCACAACGTGCTCATGGGGAGTGTCTCCTTCGCGCGGCCGGGGCCCAAGCAGCTGCACAACGCGTCGACGGCGACGGAGATAGAGGTCATCACCCCCGCTGCCAAAGACTTCCAGTTCAGGGTGAGTGTATACTAGCTCGACGCCTCGCCCGTCCTCTCCCCCGCGTCGGCTAATTTCCTCACAGCGCTGGAACGACCCGACGCCCATGCCCCCGAGCCCTGGGACCGTGCAAGAGCTGCCGACGACAGAGGAGGAGAACCCGGCGGCCTGGCACCGGCGCAGCGAATCCAGATCCCCCAGCCCCCGACGCGGCCGGCGACGCAGCCGGCACCGGAACACGGGCGACGGTAGCTCCCCCGACCGCCATGGGGAGCCCTCCTCCCGCTCGCCGTCCCCCAAAGTTGACCCGAGCGTGTCCTTCGACCCGCTGCCGAACCAGTCCTTCCGCACGGCGTTCATCGTGGACAGGTTCTCCCTGAGCTGCCCGATTATGTACTATACAAACGACCATTTCATCGAGACGATGGAGATTCTGGGCCGGAGCTTTTATGACTTTGTGTCGAAGAAGGACGAGTCGCTGGTTAGGAGCTGGATCGATTTGGTGAAGTCGTGGGGGGTGAATGAGAGGGGTGCGTGGGGTCTGGTGCGAGGCGTCTCGGGGCTGATCCCTTTGCAGGTCAGCCGTCGGATGGAGGGTTTGGGTTTGGACGTTTCCGCCTACTCACTCGCGGCAGGAAATCAGCGTACGCTGTCCTTGTATTACACCTTCATCCGATACTCACCCCCACCCAGCGAAGCCGAACCCGCAGACCGCCGGCGCACCTCCATGTCCCGCGCCCGCCAGACCAGCCGCCAACCAAAGCCAAAGTCCGTTTCCCGCTCAAGGCCGGTCATACAGACCGATGCGCACCTGGCGGACAACCATCCCAACCACCAGCGCGGCGACCGCTCACAAACACATCCATACACCTACGTCGATGCGATATTCTCTGCGCACTCGGATGGGTTGATGATCATCCTTCGTGGCTGCCCGAACGTCACGCAGCCGTTGCCGCCGACTGGCAGCCAGGCAGCAGGCCCGTCACGTCCCAATCCATGAGCATCTCGTCGCCGTTATCGTCGTTCGTCGCCATCGCCAGCATTGTCCGTCCGCAGAGATTTAGGGAATGTCGGGTATCTTGGGGTCTAGTGAGTCCTTGTGTATTCTGTATGATATGCTTGCTTCTGTCTGTGCTTTCACCTTTATCGGTCTCTCGCAGTATCATGTTCTTGCTATTGTTTTCTATGCTATTTATCGCGCCGTCTCCGTTCCTTCCCATCGTCGCCGATTCGGTGGACGTGACTATCATCTTCGAAGCCAGTGACATGAGGCGCCCTCGCACTACCGTATGGCAGTGTTTTTGGACATGCCCATCGCTCTCCTCTACTCAAGACGCCTCCCGGCATCGATGTTCCGCCGCTCCGTCTGTGACCGAATGATAGAGCGGTATCATCAGGCGAACATTGCACGCTAGGCGCTATTGAGTCTCAATTGGCCGAGCCAATAAGCTACAGATGGTCAGTCAATGTAGTCAATCACGGACTTGAGGCGCGGGGGTTATCAAGGAGGCTGCGAGGAAGAGCGCGGGACGTGCTCGCCAAAACCTCCGCGGGACGCCGCATCGTTCGAGCTCGTTCGCCGCCGCCATCCTTCCCGCACCCCGTTCATATGTTTGAGAAGGTACGACTGGGCTATAAGTGAGGCCTGTGCCTTGGCGGGTTGTTGAAGCGCTGCGAGGCCGCAGTCTGGGATTTTTCAGGCGAAGACTATCCGCATGGGAAAATTGTGCAAGTATCCGACGAACTCCTCTGAAACTGAGCCTGAGTAAGGCGGCGTTGAGAGCGGTTGTAGGGTTTGGTGAGCGACGATAGCCTGGCGCAAAGTGAATCCTTGTTTGAACGGCATGGTCGCGGACGCCGTTTCATTGACCGCGAAGGCACGCCCTCGGAGCCGAGAACAACGAAGTTGATGGAACTTTTGCGTGGGACTTGCCTCTACGCAGGTGCGCATCGCGCGGCATCATCGAGCGAAGGCCGGAAGGAGAGTATAGGCATAAACATCTGGCGGAAAGAGACGCGAATATCCCGTGGGCAGGGACCCAGAGCGAGCCTGATGGCGGCAAAGTTCAACATGCCTCCCGGGCCGCCGGCCCCGCGACATGAGTGTGACTCTAAATGAGATGCACACGTGATGTGACGCGTACGCGTTTGACGCGCGCGGTCATCTGCTCAGACGCGGCGCTCATTACGGTCACACCTTGTCCTCCTTCCTTCCCGATATGGGGTCCGACGATGAGTTCGGGAACGAAGCTGACTTCTATGGAGGCTACTCCGACGACGAGCGAGCGGAAGACAGGCGAGAGTCTCCGCACGCCAGCAATGACCCCCAGAACGAAGCTGGACCGTCTAAACCTCGGTCGGCCTGCAAGCCACGTAGCAAGAATAACTCTATCTTGTCATATGTGAAGGTGGAGAAGTCTGCCAAACAGAGTCAGCCGCTTGATTGCGAAAGGTGAAAGCTTTATTCTTCTGGATACTTTGGCGCCTCTGACGACCGAGCCGTAGTATTCTCAAGAAAGGTCAAATCACATTCTGAGGATCTTCAAGAGTAGCTGAACAAAATATGCATAGTCTTTGGCTACCCTTCTTTCCGAGGAAAGCAGAAAGAAGCGGTCGAGGCTGCAGTACAAGGTCAGTGGCAGACATCGTTCGCAATTCATAGCGTCCCTCATGTCGGAGCACAGGTCAAGATGTCTTCGTCCTGGCACCGACTGGCATGGGAAAGGTATATATGAGCGTTGTCCTGTCGCTGCACGACTGAGTTCTCGCTAGAGCTTGTGCTTCCAAGTTCCTGCCGTGGCGGCCGCGGTACGTACCATTGGTATCGCCAGAACGTTGAGCACTGACACGCTGAGAAGCATGGAGTGACCCTGGTCGTATCGCCTTTGCTAGCCTTGATGAAGAATCGTGCGTCGGTTCAACTCATCTTTGAAGACGTTCCCTTACCGACTATCTACAGAGGTCGAGGCTCTAGATGCTAAAGGGGTGCATGTAGCCTCTCTGACCTCAGAGACGCTGAAGAGCGTCAAGAATGCGGTACGTAGCCCATACTCTGCGTTTGAGGAGACCTTACCCTAACCCTTTCGTGGCAGGTGATCAACGATCTGCGGTCAGCGCGACCGAAGACTCGATTGCTTTATGGTACGTCCATATTGAAATTCTGAGTAATAAATTCGCTGATAGTATTCTCAGTCAGCCCCGAGCGCTTCTGCACTGCAGACTTTCAAGCCATTTTGGAAGGCCTTCACGACAACGGCATGCTGAATCGGCTGGTCGTTGATGAGGCGCACTGTATATCGGTGCGTAAACCTGCTTTCTCCATTGCGTGCATCCTCTGCACGCGACACATTGCGCAAATCATTTTTGGGCTCACGAACTGGCCTCCTTGACTAGCAATGGGGCCATGACTTCCGCGCCGAATACCGCAAGCTGGGCATGTTTCGCGACAACTTTCCCGAGGTGCCCATTATGGCGCTGACGGCCACTGCGACGCCTGCGTGAGTGACCTCTCTTTGTCTTCCTCCCCTCTTCCCGACACTGCTATTCTTCAAAGCTACATCGTTGATACCGTCGTTATGACACCGCCATACGCCTATGACGCCGCCATACGGACGCTAACCACCCAACCCACCCAGCGTCCAATCCGACATCCTCCGCTCCCTCAACATGACCGACGATCGGCTCTTCAAGGCCCTCCACCCCTTCAACCGCGCAAACCTATATTATGAAGTTCGATATTCCTGTTCGGCGACTGGGCAGATGAAGGACATATACGACCTCATTTCCCGGCTGCATGAGCGAAGGGGGAGGCCGTCGAGCGGGATTGTGTATTGCAGGCACGTGTCTTGTTGGCTGTAGTGATGACCTCGTCGCATGGGGCGGCGGGAGGCAGTGGCGTATGGTAGTAAAGGGCGTGTCGCACTGACCTATCATCGACGTTACAGGCGCCGAGACACCTGCGACGAGCTGGCAGAATTCCTGCGAAAGAGGGGCATGAATGCGCGGCCGTATCATAGAGGGATCAAGTGAGTGTTTCTTGGGTGTCGCGATTCGAGTCCGTAGCTCACGTGGAACAGAGGCCCCACGCTCGACAAGACGCTGGCTGAATGGACGGCGGGCGGGCAGGTGGAGGGGGATTTGCATGTTGTAAGTTCGTTGGGGTTCTCCGAGCTCTCGACGTTCAGGCATTGACCCCTCTATCAGGTCGTCGCTACGATCGCCTTCGGTCTTGGGATAGACAAGCCGGACGTGAGGTGAGGACCGTCTCCTCTAAACATGAACAGATACCTCGAATGGCAAGAACTCTAGGTTGACCCGCGTCTGTTCTAGGTATATCATCCATTACGACCTACCCACCAGCTTCGAGGGGTACTACCAGGAGACGGGTCGTGCGGGGCGGGATGGAGCGGTGCGTTGTACATCTTCACCCCACCTTCCTTCCTTCCCTTCGTTATCATTTCCCGTCGCCATTATTCCCCCGTCGCCATTATTCCCCCGTCGCCATTATTACCGCGTCGCTAACCATGCCCCCAGCCTTCGCGATGTATCCTCTACTACTGTGAGTTAGGTGTCATTCGCCATCTCCCAGCAGCACTGACCGGGAATGACAGCGCGCGAAGACGCGTACAACGCCAAAAAGCTCGTACAGATGTCGCTAGCTAACCGGGCGTCGCACGTAGGAGCGAATGGGCCGGCGCCTAGTCAACGGTCGGTGGATAGTTTTGATGAGGTGAGTGGGGTTCCTTCACGATGCTCCCTGCAGGATTGATTGCCAATTTTTGATACCCTTGCAGCTAGTTACTTTCGCACACAAGGCCGATACCTGTCGTCATGTTGTACGTGCCGCTTTCTACTGCAGGCAATCGTCGTCACTGCAAGCACCCCTCGTTACTGCGTGCGACCTTGTAACCGGGATTCCACCGCTGACCATGCACCCACTGGCAGGCTATCTGCCGCTACTTCGGCGAACACATCGACGCGCGCGATCCGGCGGTTGTGAAGCAGTATTGCGATAAGATGTGCGACGTGTGCAAGAATCCGGACAAGACCCGACTCCTCCAACAGCGCCTCTCGGACGACTCGACCGCGCTTACGCGGACGTCTTCATGGGCGGACCGCAAGCCTGTGTCGCGCACGTCGTCTTCGGAGAATACAGGTGAGCAGTCTTCAGATAATACGTACTCTTCGTCTTCCAACCATGCAAGAACTTTGTCTTTCGAGGGCACACCCACTTCGTCTTTTGGAAACTTCGCCTGGTCGTATCCCCATTGCACAGGCACATCTATCTTACGAGTACACAGGCTGGCAGCTCAACCAGCGCGAGAAGCCCGTTTCCACCAGTGCACTACCAGGGTTCAAGCGCCCGACGATCGACGACTATGCAGAGGGCAGTCGCGCGACGAAGAAGGCCAAGGTCGCGGAGAGGCTGAAGGAGAAGGAGAAGGTGGAGATGCCACCGAGGCTGGGTAAGTGGGTTTTCGTCTTATTTGCGTGCGGTTCAGTAAAAGGGCAGGAAGGCTGGAGGAGAGAAGAGCCGACGTCGGGACAGGAAGATTCGGAAGATACAAGTGGAACGGGAAGAGCTGACGCGGGAGCACACAGTGACGCGCCAATACGGATCGTACAATGCGCTGCGGAAGCCGTTCAGGCCGCCGTTGATGAAGGTGCAGGCGGAACAGCAGGTCAGGTCAACCTCGAACACGAGCCGTTCAGCGTCCTCGACAATGGCCCGAATGCGACCGCCACAGCCCACACCATCGCCGCCGCAACCTGGACGTCATGCAAGAAGGGTGGTCTCAGCGCCGGTAAAACCGGACGACGACGACGACGATGTTGTGGAGATCGTGGAAGACGTGCCCGTCAAGCAGGAGAAGCAGACGTTGGCGGAGATATCGACGGAGCCGGAGGAGGATGATCCTGCGGACCTGTTTAAGCAGGACCGAGGCGAGGGGTCGTCATGGACAAGTCCCATGGAGGTCGACGATGATGTTCAATCAAGACCATGTGCGTGTTTTCCTTGCCCACTGATGAGAGTGCTACAATTGACTGACACCCCCGACAGCCTCCCCTGTCGACCTGGAAGACATGGATGCCGAGCTCGAGGTTGCATTCTCCAACAAAATTCCCGTGGACGTGCGCGAAGAAGGCTACTCGTCCATCCGGAAGGCGCTACACAAGGCATTCCCAGACGGCTCTGAGAGTTTGTGGACCGCATGCGGGGTCTCCAGGATACCCAGCGCGGAAGATCTGTGCGTCGGCTTACGACCTTTCCTCCAGAGTGGGTTTTGACAGCAGAGCTAATATTCCGCCCATATAGCGAAAGCATCCTCCTAATCGCCACCAAGGAGCTCGAGTTCCTCGCTCAGTCGCTCAGTACGACGCCGAGCGGGTACGAGGATAGAATCGCGGGCAAGGTGGACGCGCTGCGCTTGATGCGGAAGAAGGGCAAATGGTTGGAAGAGGATGATGAGTATGACGACGCTTGTGAGGTTGCGGGGGTTCTAAAGAGGCTTTGTGCGCGAAAGGGGAGGAGGTGAGGAAGGAGAGACGGAACCACCCTTTGTGTGTCTTGCTATCACGGGTCTGGATGGACTGTCTTTCATATGACTGACCTTTCGCATTGAGTGCATACCAGGATTGATGAGTGAATGCGGGAGGACAGGTCACAATGCGTGTTAGTCTACAACTTCGCGACCTTTCCCCCCTTCGCCTGATTGACAGAGAACGGTACGACAAGAGCGAAGTGCGTCGCAGTAGCCAAACATCGTTGGGGCTCCCGCCAGTCCAAGTTCTCGTCTCCTTCACCCAGCTCTGCTGGCGCCGTCCACACCTCGACCGTAGCGTCGTGTCGCCCATCGTTCACAAAGCGCCCGGAGAAGTAGACGCCGACCGTTCGCCGTGCATGATGTGGAGAGTCCTCTGGAGGAATGGGGAACACGTATTGCACGGCCATGTTAAGGGTTGGAAACCAGCTGGATGTGTAGGTTAGCCTTCATGGAGATAGGATACCGAAGCTCGAGCGTACTTGGTTTCGTTCATGGCGCATTTGTCTCTCGCATTGAAAGCCCACAGAGCAGGAGACCCAAGAAACACGTCCGCGATGAAGCACAAGAACGCGGATGTGATGCGCTCCTTGGGGTCCTTCAGCTGCATCCACCCGCCCCACTCGAAGCCTCCGCCACCAACGCCGCCTGTGCGTGTTCGAGAGGGGCTTTCTGCCGCATTACGCGCGAGGATAGTAGGATCTGGTGCCCAGGTGAGGTGCTGCGCGTAGCTCATCTTGCCCGGGAGGTGTCTGATCGTGGCGTTTCGTGGATGATGGTGCAGGGGGATGCGGCGGGCGAAGGGGGAGGGAGGCTCCAACGTCATTTGTGGGGAGGGGGAGGAGACACCGAAGATGAGGTGCACGAGGATGCGTTGCTGGCGCTGGTAAGAGGGGGGTCAAGTCGGAGGCTTGGGAGGGAGTGGACGATAGCACGCACGTTCTGGAGGAGCTCGGCGAGAACATTGGCGTATGACTTTCCGACGCGTAGTCTTTTGACATGCACTTCACATGCATCTACGGTGACAGCCTGGAGGAAGTGCGCGGAGACATGGACGATCTCGCTATGAGCCGTCTTCCGCTGGTGCAGGATCGCTGCTTGCACGATCAACGAGAGGGTGAAGCCTGGCAGGAGTTCAACGCGAGGCCAGAGTGAGGATTGCTTGCCCACGCACCACCATGAGCGACACTGCAGGTCGTGATGAAGACATCGTCAACGCGCGCGCCGAAAGGAAGCAAAAGAACAATGCAAAAGAACAAAGCCCTCACTTTCCCACCGTCCAGTCCCTCGGCACGCTCCCGGCGTACACGTCCGAGTCCCCGCTCTCCCGGAAGAGCTCTTGCGCTACTGAGGTCAAGCGTACTGCTTGACTGTACGGCGGCATGCTCGTAGTCGAAGAGAAGTAGCGTCTTTACCGGCGACTACAGCTTGTTATAGCCGGCGCCGCCAAGATTGGCATGACATCGCCTTCGCGCTCAGCGCCAGCGCTTGATAGCCACGCGCCGCTAAAGCGCTTCTCAGAGGGTGATGTAGGCGCGCGATATGCGTACATACAAGGTCAGCATAGGTATTCCACCGAGGTACATTGGATAGTTGTACAGATTCTTGTAACGTTAACTTCGTCGCGCCTGTCGCTCTACTGCTCGCCAGCCAGCACTCTGATGAACTCGTCCGACTCATTCCCCTCAACCATCTTGATGATCGGAATACCCGCCCTAACACGCCCCTCCGCCTTGTGCTCGTTCAAGAACCTCTGCGCGTACTGTACGACGAGGCGGCGCTCGTGCAGCGACGCACCCTTGCCGATCCACACGAATATCGCAGGTCGCTCCTTCGCGAGGGAGTAGTCCAGGAGGAAGGCGTCGTCGGTGTGTAGCGAGGACTCGGAGACCGGCTCCACCTTCTCGAAGACAACGTCCCCTGAGGCGTCGGAGAGGCGGTACAGGGTGGGCGGTATGCCGCTGTCCTCCTCGGGGACCTGCTCGCGGAGCGTCGTGCCGTCCCCGAACTCGGCGAGAAAGATGCCTGCGCCGGGGCCGCCTTCGTCTGCCATATTTGTGAGCCGTGAACTGGTGCACCTTGACGATTCCCCCACTCACCATAAACCGTCACCTCGCATTGCCCCTGCCGCTCGTTCACCAAGCTCTGCGCAAACTCCGCCGCCTTAAACTTCTCTTTCCCCGCGCTCGCCTTTGTATTGAGCTGCCACACCCGCGCGCCCATATCCAGCACGAACACATCGCCCGCGACCAGACTCTCCGCCTCCGCCGGCACCTCGCGCACGACGAGGTGGAACTTGGCGCCCGCGCGAGAGAGCGTGACGCGGTAGAGGCGGCGCACGTCGGGCGGGGGCGCCTCGGAGACGTGCCGGAAGCCGGTGGCGACACCGCCGCGAAGGACGAGAAAGCGGGGGAAGTAGGAGATGAGGCGGGCGGATTCGAGGTCTTGGACTTCGCGGTATTGAACGGGGAGGCCGTGAAGGTCTGGGGAGCGGTATGTGTCAGGTAGGATGACGACAGGTCGGAAACAGAAGGAGGGCACGCACGATCATCCAGCTCGACGGTCTTGTAGGCCGCAGTGCCAGCTTCGTCCTGGGTGGTGTTGCTGCCGAGCCAGAAGTGCAGATCGTAGGAGACCGACTCTGACTCTGGAGTCTTCTTGTATGTCTTGGGATACTGTCAGAAATCAGACATCCCGCGTTCCTTCGGACGACATACGTGAAGGATGATATACGAATCGCCGTCGTAGAACGATCCGTACCGCTCCTTAGGCCATTCTACGACGTGGAATTGCTCGATGCGCCAGATGCGGATGCCGGGTTCGTCTAGATTGGCCGCGCTCCAGGCGAGCTCCTTGTCCCCTGCGTGCTCGCGTACGTTCTTCTCGAGCTAACTTGCAAAGGGTTGTCAGATGAAGTGAGTGAATGTGGGATGAGAAGCCTCACATCCGATCCCAGAAGCGCTATGTTCGTGTCTTCAATGTTGTAGGTCTGGGGCTTAGTGAGGTGAGCCATGTTTTGTGTAGAATGGCTTGCTGAGGGGATGTTAGGTCAAGGGAGATCGTCGTCAGAAGGAGGAGATGCACGTCGTGATATTGAAGAGTGCATCATCGGATCGTCGGCCCGGTGTGATTACTTCCGCCTCGGGACGTCACCGGGCGCTTAAGGCGGTGCGTCCCACTTAAACGCGACCCTCACCAGCACCTCGCGCTCTCGCTTAACTCTAACATCCACCATGTCCTCCATCCAAGGACCCGAAGCGCAAAACGCGCTCTTCGATGACTTGCACCCCAAAGAGGCCGTGCCAGCTGCGCTCGAGCGCGCCACCGATCGGCTGGAGTTTCCCCCGTCCTATGTAGTGGTGGGGATTTATAGGTTGTTTACGGACAAGACGCTCTTGATCCCGACTTGGAAGAAGTGTGAGCATGGGACGATCCGGGGCTTGGGGGTGGGGCTGGTCTGGGTGCGTTGCGAGCGCATTTCCTGGGAAGGAACCTCGGTGCTGATGAGTATACAGGGATTCCTCACCTTCGGCATACAGAAGAAGTTCATCGAGGTCTTCCTTGCTAAGTATGCGACCGTAACGGACTCTTCTAGAAGCTACTGTCATCTGACCACGCACCTCAGCTCCCCTCGCATCGTCGGTCTCACAAACGACACCGTCTTCGGATACAAGGTCCCCTTCAACGTGCATACGTGTAAGCCTCCTTCCATCTGCCTCCCGCCTGCTCAATGACCTCCCCAGATGCCGCCATCCTCCTCCTTGGCTCCCAAATTTCCGCCATCCTCAACTTCTTCCTCTACAAAAACATCCGCATCGCCCGCGACCGTGCCTGGGACCTCACCGTCGCCTCCCGCGGCAAAGGGCCCGACTTCTGGTGGCCCTACGTCGAGGAGTGGGACAACCCACCGCGCGTGGACCCCGACCACCGCTCGTTCTCTGAAAAGTGGCTGGGCGGATTCTTTGGGCGGTATGTGGTGCGGAAGGCGATTACGGTGCCGTTTGCGCTGTATCCGGTTGTGGGCGTTCTGGCATCGGCGTGGTTGAAGGCGGTGGGGACGGCGAGGTTCTTGCATAAGCAGGTGGGTGGTATGGGCTTGTTGTCATCTTGAGGAGGTGCTGATGGGTCTGGGCAGTACTTTGCGTCGAAGAACATGACGAAGGAGCAGATTGCGATTTTTATGGCGGAGCGCAAGTGGGAATATCGCAGTAAGTGTCCCTTAGACATGTCATTAGCTCCCATCATATCAAACCTTTTCTTAGCTTTTGGCTTCGTCGCCGCCCTTCTCGAGGGCTTGCCCATTATCGGCATCGTCTTCACTGTTTCAAACAGGATTGGGGCAGCTATGTGGGCCTTTGGTGAGAAAACTACTCTCTCAATGACGCAAAGTTACTCACGCTTGCTGTAGATTTGGAGAAGCGACAGCACTTCATTGCTGAGAAGCGCGGCATTGGATATCCTCAGAAGAGCCAGTAAACTAATTTGAGCGTGTATCGTATATACATGTCAGAAAACGCAGTCGAACAGAGAGGTTTACTTGCCTCACTTGCCGCGCATTGTATTGTCCCGTATCCTGTGCGAAGACTGGAAAGCAGTGATCCTAAAGTTGTTGCGAGCTTCTGAAAGTCGAACCGTGACTCACGGTGGCGTGGGAGAACCCTGCTCACCGGCGGCACCCCGGCCCGATCTTCTGAACCCGACCTCCATCATCCATGCGAGCTCCCTAGACCGCGCCCCATGGCATTGCCGCAACCTAGACGAAGCACATTAAGAGACGAACCTTTGCTGAGGAATGGATTTCCGTATCATCAGTGCGTAAACCAATGCCAGTGTCAAGGGTCGACTGACGGGACTGTTTAGGCGCCTGCGCGCACACTCTTCCTGCGTGAATGCCCTGGCGTTCTCGACCTACGATGGCGGACGGTATATGGCAAGTGGGGGAGATGGTGAGCGGGTCGTAGTCTTTGTCTCAATGGGGGATCCAGCAGGAGGAGGACAATGACTAACGCACGACACGGCGTAGACCTCAAGGTCCAGATCTGGGACTTCCACAGGCAGGACCAGCGCGAGCCGAGCTGCTCGATGGAGGGGTCTATGGTGCGTTCCAGCGCTTCCATGGGCTGGGATGGAATAGTGCTGATGTGTGATTTGTAGGCCAACATCTTCAACATCGCTTTCTCGGCGACGAATAAATATGTGTTCTCGTACGTGTTTCTCCTCCGTGGTTCACGCGATTTTATCCCCTGGTATACTTCCCCCTTTGCGATGCACACTTCCCCCTCGTGATGTATCCATCCCCTCTACTCTCACGCGACACGTATGCTCACACACACCTTCGCAGCGGGGGCGCCGACGACCGTATCATGCAGTACGACTTCGCCTCTGCAACCGAGCTTATGGCCAGGAGCGCGACGCCTCCTTCGTTGCATGCGGATGCGAGGTATCTGGAACATGATGTGCGATTCCCTCCTTTCCTTCCGTCGTCTGATTCCATCTGCCGCCCTCTGACTTCATCCACTCACCCACCCGCAGGCAAGTATCCGCGACATCTCCTGCCACCCCTACAATGATGAGATCTTTATGAGTGCTAGGTATGTTACTGCCTTCCTTCACTTCCTCTCTTCCAGTACTAGTCCCACATGCCTACTCCGTCGCTCTCCCCAATCCGCGCCGCTGCTGAACTCATCTCGCCTCTAGCGAAGACGGTAGAATCGTCATCTACGACGCGCGCGCCTCCTCCGTCCAGGGCGAGATCCAGCTGTCTAGTGAGGCCACCGGCGCGCGCTTCAATCCCACCATGGAGCACATATTTGCCACGAGCGATAAGAGGAGGCTGCAGCTCAGGGATGCAAGGATGGCGTTTGGGGGGAGGGCGGGGACGGCGTTTGAAGGGAGGGATGCGAGGACGGCGTTTGGAGCGAGTTGGGACAGGGGTGGCGTGGTGAGGACGGTGCGTGTCGATTATAGTTATGAGAGGTGATGGGAGGTTTATGATGGGGTGTGGGGAGGTCTATGATGGAGTGTGGGGAGGACATGTGGGGAGGAATTGTCAGGGTAGAGGGGGGGAGACAAGTGCGCGAAATATGGTTCGATGCTGACGACAATTTGCAGTTCCACACGCGCCTCACGCGAACGACGAAGCGCGGGCGCGAGATCTGCAGCCCGGAGGTAAATAGCTTCACCTTCGATGCGGAGGGGCAGAGTATCGCGGCGACGATTTTGGTGAGTGGGGGTTTTTCGTTGTTTCTGGTTGTTAGGTTGCCTACTTGACGTGCGCTTGGGCGGGTAGTGGGTGCATGGCGTGTATTGGGTGCATGCCGTGTATCGGGTGCATGTCGTGTATCGGGTGCATGTCGTGTATCGGATGCATGGCGTGTATCGTGTGCACGCCGTGTATCGGGTGCATGTCGTGTATCGGGTGCATGGCATGTATTGGCCGTATTGTTCAAGAACATATTCGCGACGGGCAAGAGCTCTACATTGACACCGTACACAGCACCACTACCCCGTCATCTACGCCCTCTCCGATCCGGCGCCCATCGCGGTGTGCACCAGCGCGGAGATCCCGCCAGAATTGGGCGGCTATTCGAATTCGTGCACGATGAAGGTATGTTTCGTTCAGTATATCCGCTGTCCTTCGTTGTATCCGCTGCCCTGCTCTGTATTATCTGCCCTTCTCTGTATTCTCTGCCCTATCTGTCCTTCGCTGCCTGGCCAAAGAATGAGGCTGTATTACGTCTCCTACCGATGTCGTCGCTCGCACACTCTCATTGTCTTTTCTGCCATCTCCTTCTTGGCGATCTCCCTCCTCCCGCCTCCCATCTCCCTCCTCCCGCCTCCCATCTCCCACCTCCCGCCCCTCTGAACCACCACTCACACACCACCCAGCACGGCTCCTTCAGCGGCCAAGCGTCCAAGGGGAAGTACTACGCGGCCGGCTCGGACGATTTTCGAGGATATGTCTGGCGGATACCGAGCGTGGAGGAGCTTTTGGAAGGGAGGGAGGAGGTGAGGAGGGAGGAGGGGGTGCCGGAGGGGGTGATTGGTGAGTGGGGTTTGTGATGAGCGATGAGTGGGCTTGTGATGACTGTTTCGATTCATACGGGACCATTTTCGATGCTATGTATCGGGTGATGGGCGAGGATCAAACTGAACGTGCACCATCGCAGCATACGCGGGCCCTGGCACGAATAGCAAGGCCTATATACCTGTCGCGCTTACGAAGCCCGTGTGTCAGTTGACTGGTACGTCTTTACCTTCTTTGAATACTTTCCTTTATCTACACATCCTCCTCATCCTCGTCGCCAACTAACACCTTTCCCCTCCGCTGCAGGCCACACCTCCATCGTCAACAGCACCCTCTTTCACCCCACCCTGCCACATATCGCCACCGCGGGCATCGAGAGGGACGTGCTCCTCCACGGGCCGACGCCCGGTTCGCCGTGCGTGGCGGGGTTGAGGCGATCGCCGGAGAGTAAGGACGTGAGGAGGGTGGGGAGCGGGGAGGAGGAGGGGGCGATGACGACTCGGCAGTATTTGTCCATGGTGTTGGGGATTGACGAGGTGGGGGACGGAGAGATGGGGGGTGGAGAGGTGAGGGATAGAGAGGTGGGGGGTGGAGAGGCAGATGTGGATAGTGGTAGCAGGGCCGCGGGAGGTGCTAGGACGGATACGAATGGGGACAGCAGCGAGGACGCGGAGGCGGATGCGAGCGAGAGACGGACGATCAGCATGTTCGACTATATATTGCGCCGGGAGGGGCATGCGGATGTGTGGGAGGCGGAGGATACGAGAGTGGCGGGGAGTGGAGGGTTAGACAGTAGCGAGGAGGAAGACAGCGAGGAGGAAGAGGATGACAAGGGCGAGACGGCAAGGGGTAGCAGTAGCGACGACGAAATGGTCATCGAGATTTGACGAAAAGCCCTGAGCTCGCATGCTTCATGTGTGTTGGGACGCGACGCGATGCAGAGACAGCCCAACAAGGCCGAGAATAGCTCTGACTGTCGTTGACTTCTTCTGACTTCGCGCTGGGCCGCGTCGAGGGCGCGACAAAGCGGGCACCATCTCGAACACCTCCATTTGCACGCGCCGGCATTCATCTCGGTCAAGGCACCGGGACCGAGGCTGACATGGCGAGACACCGTTATTCATCGATCAATAAGCGCCGTGGACGTGACCTTGTTGACGCGCCGAGCTTCGCACGACTTGTCGACGCGTTCCAATTAGCGTGACAGCACGCGTTCGACAACAAGAACAAAGAGCGCGTTGTTGATCGTCCAAGGCACGCGCGTTTCTCTGGCGTCCTTGATGACAGAAAAATTCATGCATGTTACCTATGTGTGTGTATAGCCCTGAAGACACCTTTTGCACCTTCGGAATATGTGAATGCAGGAACAGACGCACAAAACGTCGTCAACAACAGAGATCGCCCCTAATCCGCCGACGCGCACATGACCGCGATTATTTGTCACAATCTCGTTGTTTAAAAGAGCGCGTCTCGTTTTTACCTCGTTGTCTACCGACCTCCATCTCCCCTCCGCTGATAACATCCCCTGCGCGACACGATGTCCAACCAATACGTTTTCAAGCGAGGTACGTCGAATCGCCATTGTACATCGCCGCTGTTTGCTGACCCATCCCCTCCCAGACGGGTATGTACACGGACGCGGCGCGACGCGTAGATGCGGTCTCTAATTACACTTATATCTTAGGCGCAAGGAGCAGATTCAGCTGGGGAAGGTACGTGGTGGCTCTCAGTGGCGCGATGATCTGCTCACCACTCGTCGACAGATCCAGTCAAGAATCAAGAAGCTTTGCTATGGCCTCGACATGCGACATGTCGACCCCCTCGCGTACGTGAATGCGCTCGAGCTCTGATTGTCATACTCATCATACCCCAGCATCACAATCAAGGTCGTGCAGGGCGTGTACCACGGTGTGACAACGGTCGAGCTTGATGTGTGTACTCCATCTCGCACCCTTAGACAAGACTGACGCGTCGGCTTTTCGTAGAACCTCGCCGCCGAGACTGCCGCATACCTCACTACTCAGCACCCCGACTACGCCGTTCTTGCCGCGCGTATCGCCATCTCCAACCTCCACAAGGAGACGACAAAGAGCTTCTCCCAGGTGGTTGAGAAGCTATACAACTATGGTGCGTTTCCTCGCTCAGGGGCATAGACGCACGAGCTGATTGAGTGCCACAGTCAACCCGAAAAACGGCAAGCGCGCGAGCATGATCTCCGACGCAACCTACAAGGTTGTCATGGACAACGCGGAAACCCTCGACTCTGCTATCATCTATGACCGTGACTTCGCTTACAACTAGTGCGTCGGCTTCGTCCTAACTTCGCCCTCTGTCTGACTCTGTGCAGCTTCGGTTTCAAGACGCTCGAGCGCTCCTACCTCCTCCGCATCAACGGCCGTGTTGCTGAGCGCCCTCAACACATGATCATGCGTGTCGCGGTGGGCATCCACGGCGACAACATCGAGCGCGTTCTCGAGACCTACAACCTCATGTCCGACCGCTACTTCACCCATGCGTCACCCACCCTCTTCAACGCCGGTACCCCTCACCCGCAAATGAGCTCTTGCTTCCTCGTCTCAATGAAGGACGACTCGATAGAGGGCATTTACGACACCCTCAAGCAGTGCGCTATGATTAGTAAGACTGCTGGCGGTATCGGCCTCAACATCCACAACATTCGTGCTACTGGGTACGTGCCCCAGCGATGTCGTCGTGCTATATCCTGATGTTTTGTAGCTCATACATCGCTGGTACCAATGGCTACTCCAACGGTATTGTGCCTATGCTTCGCGCATACGACGCCACCGCGCGCTACGTCGACCAGGGTGGTAACAAGCGTCCGGGAGCGTTTGCTATCTACCTTGAGCCGTGGCATCCAGACGTCTTCGAGTTCCTCGACTTGAGGAAGAACCATGGCAAGGAGGAGCAGCGCGCTCGCGACCTTTTCTACGCCCTCTGGATCCCTGACCTCTTGTGAGTCGGAAACCTTCTTTTCCCCGAACGAGGCTGACGTGGGATTCAGCATGAAGCGCGTCGAGTCTGGCGGGGATTGGTCTCTGTTCTGCCCGAACGAGGCCCCTGGTCTGGCGGACTGCTGGGGAGACGAGTTCGAGGCTTTGTACGCCAAGTACGAGGCTGAGGGCCGTGAGCGCAAGAAGATTCCTGCGCAGAAGCTCTGGTATGCGATCCTTGAGGCCCAGATCGAGACGGGCAACCCTTTCATGCTCTACAAGGACTCGGCCAACCGTGAGTACCTTCGCACCTGTTCTTGCGCGACGAGTGCTCATGTTTCTGCAGGCAAGTCGAACCAGCAGAACCTCGGTACGATCAAGTCGTCCAACTTGTGCACCGAGATCATCGAGTACTCTGCACCCGATGAGACCGCCGTCTGCAACCTTGCCTCCCTCGCGCTGCCCACCTTCATCCGCGACGGCGTGTATGACTTCCAGAAGCTGCACGATGTTACGAAGGTGGTCACCCGCAACCTCAACAAGATCATCGACGTCAACTACTACCCCGTCCCCGAGGCGAGGCGGTCGAACATGCGCCACCGCCCCATTGGCCTTGGTGTCCAGGGTCTTGCCGACGCCTTCATGGCACTGCGCATGCCGTTCGACTCGCCTGAGGCGCGCGAGCTGAACAAGCAGATCTTCGAGACCATCTACCACGCAGCGTGCGAGGCGTCCTCTGACCTTGCGGAAGAGGAGGGCCCGTACGAGACTTGGGAGGGCAGCCCGGCGAGCCAGGGGCAGTTGCAGTTTGATCTATGGGGCGTGACGCCGTCGGATCTGTGGGACTGGGCGTCGTTGAAGGCGAAGATTGCGCGGACGGGGATGCGCAATGCGCTGCTTGTTGCGCCGATGCCGACGGCGTCGACGAGTCAGATCTTGGGGAACAACGAGTGCTTTGAGCCGTACACGAGGTATGTCCTTATGACTGCCAACAGACGCTGTCGCTGACCTTCGTCCACAGCAACATCTACACACGCCGTGTCCTCGCCGGCGAGTTTCAGGTCGTCTGCCCCTGGCTCCTCCGCGAGCTCGTCGACAAGGGCCTCTGGGACGACAAGATGAAGAACCAGATCATCGCCAACAATGGCTCCATCCAGTCCATCGCGCGCATCCCGGACGACATCAAGGCGATCTACAAGACGGTGTGGGAGATCTCGCAGAAGAAGGTGCTGGACCTGGCTGCGGACCGGGGCCCGTTCATCTGCCAGAGCCAGTCGCTGAACGTGCACCTGGCGGCGCCGACGCTGGGGCAGCTGACGAGCATGCACTTTTATGGGTGGAAGAAGGGGCTGAAGACGGGGATGTACTATTTGAGGACGAGGCCGGCGTCGCAGGCGATCCAGTTCACGGTCGACCAGGCGATGCTGAAGGAGTCGAATAAGGCGGAGGGGGAGGTGGCGGGGGCGCCGGCGAGGCCGGTGGTGGCCACTACGCCGAGGAAGGCGGCTGCGACGCCGTCGTCGTCGGGGTTGATGACGCCGTCGTCTTCGTCGTCGCCGGAGCGCTCGCCGGCGACGCCGCCGCTGCAGAGCAATGGGGCGACGCCGAATGGGAAGGTGGCGAACGGGACGGCGCCGGTGGTGACATCAAGCGGGACAGCACCTGTGGTCACCGAGGGCATGACGGTGGAGGAGAAGTCGGCGGCGCGGGCGGCGGCGGACCCGGAGTATGCGGCGGCGCTGCAGCGGCAGAAGGAGCGGGAGCTGGAGGAGGCGAAGCTGATGTGCTCGCTGGAGAACAAGGAGGCGTGTGTGATGTGCTCGGGTTGAGTGATGCGCTCAGGCTAAGTGCTGAGCGCGCGCTTTCCGTTGTTGTGCCGTGGTCGCGCGCTTCGCGTTGTTGTGCCGTGGTAGCGGACTGTATCGTTAGACTGCATGCTTTTCTTTGCCTTACCTTTCTTTCCCTTTTTGTTGTCTCGCTGTACGATCTATGCATTTCTGTAATAATAGCTACTGGTCCTCTATCGAATAGACTGTAATCCTGCATTCAGAGTGACTGGGATGGTCGGAGAAAAGACCTACCACGTATGGCAATGAATGCGGAGTTCCAGAGAGGCTGACAGCGCAATAACGACTGACACCAGTGGCGGGAGTCAACGCCATGTAGGCATGATGTGAGGCAGAGGACGGCACCTTCGATCACGTAGGAGGGGACTAGTGATGGGTGATCAGCTTAAGAACGACGGCGCTGCACATCTGTGAATAGTCGTCCGCCCACCTTTCGATCGGAGAAGGGAAAGCAATTGAAGTCTGCTAAGTGTGTGCCGAACAAACAATGGGACAACGAGAATTGCTGAATGCAGGAGAAGCAGCAGACCAGATGTTTCCAGTGTTAGCAGAGGTCAAAAGGACACCCTTGGCTCCCTCACTGTGCAGCGACTGATACGCTGGACGAGAGTAAAGCACTAGTGATCATGAACGGCGACGTGAATCGGAAAGTGCTTCCCGGAGGGAAGCAGCAATATATTAGTGACAATCTCATCCCATGTTCACATCCTGGTTCGCAGACATAGGCTCTTCTCTCGGGACGATTGGACCAAGATCCACCACGGTGTAGAACGCAAAGGTCTTCGTCTCTGGCCCTTTGCTCTTGGTCGGGGTCTCGTTGATGCCCAGGTCAGAGCCTCCGGTGTCATCCGAGCGGTAGGTATAGGATACGAGCATGTTGAACTAGTGTGCAACATCAGAAGGGATGCGGTGGATAGCAGCGCAAGGATATACCTTCACGTTCCCTCGGGCCTCCTTCCCGATGACCACCTCCCCGCCGACGACTGTCAGGTTCCCCTTCTTCTCGAGCACGCCGACCGTCTTGGGCTTCGCCGGCCGCTCCTTCTCGCGCGCGGTGACCGCGCCGCGGGCGATGCCCATGAGCTCGTCGTCGTCCATCGTCGTGAAGTCCTCGTCATCGTCGTCCTCGTACTCCCACGCTTCCGCGAATGGGGCGATGGAGAACATCGTCGTCGGCAACGACACCGCGAAGGGTGGCCTCCGCTGTCGTTCCGCGTGCACGCGCTGTACGCTGAGTCGGACCTGGATGGGATCATACAGCGGATTCGTGAGAGCGAGATGGAACTGGTATGTCCGTCCGGCCTGCATGGGCTCCTCTACGACGGGAGGCGTCATGGTGGACTTGGACATGGAGCGCGGCGGTTGGACGATGGGCCGCGCGAGGTGAGGAAGGCGCACGGTCATAGATGGGAGGTAGTTGGCGGCGACAAGCTTGATCTTGTATCGTACAGATTGCGCCTTCTGCTCGGGCTTGATCAGGATGTGAGTGCATGCTGGACATCGCTTTGAGCGCTTCGAGTGCAGCGGGATCCGCAGCGGCTTGAGGTCCCTGCGCAGTGTCAGCGTGCTCGAACAATGCAACCCAAGACGCACGTACTTCGCGCGCAGCGGCGTCGCCCAACTGCTCTCCCACCGCTGCTCCAACGACGCAACCTCCGCGATACCCTCAAGGTGCCGCATGAAATCCACATCCGCCTCACCGCCCCCGCCGCCGATGATGCTCACCGCCGCGACGTCCTGCCGCGCGCGGTACTCCGGCATCTCGTCCTTGTTCGCCGACTTGTCCTTGCCCGCCCGCGATCGGGAGAGCGCGTTGTACTTGCCGACGCCCGGGATGTCGCGCGCGAGCGCCGCGGAGGCGGCCGCTGTGACGGAGCTGAGGGACGATGTGTGCTGCGAGGGGGAGCGGGCGTGCGCACTGGGGCCTCCATGGACGGATGCGGACAGCGCGGACGCGCGGATGACGGGCTCGAAGTGCTCCTTGAGCCGATCGAACTCGAGCGCGTCGGGCGCGGAATCTTCGAATTTCTGCAGCTGGGCTAGGGGAGGGGTGAGGATAAGGATGGGGTGAATGATGATGCACGCACCGGCAAGGCCTGTGGGCTTCTCGAATGTGACGCCGACCTCTGCAGAATCCCATCGGCAGTGGTTGCAGAACAGGAAGAAAGGCGGCTCGCCAACAGCGCTGACAGGGATGGACATGAGACCATCGCCCTGATCTGGTGGGTCTGAGGGTACGACAGAAAGTGTATTTCGGCAGTTGGGACACATGAAGCAGTTGCGCGCGCATCTGTGCTTTGGTGAGCCGACTTGCCGTGCACGTCAGCATGACACGCACCTATTCTTCTCCGCCCTCACGCTCGCACTCGGCACCTCGAACAAGCAATTGGGGCAGTAGTACCCGCTGACCTCTACGGAGACGCATCTGTTGCATCGTACCGCGTCGCATTCCTCGCAGAAGTACAGCGTATGCAATGGATGGAAGCTATAGGAAGAGGATGCAAGATGCGGGGGAGGCGGTACTGAGGACGTCGATAGACATGGACAATGGTACAGCACGCTAGGGGCCATGGTGGCGGAAAACCTGGCGCGTACACGGGGTCGGTGGCGCGCGCCTAATCACGCAGGTCGCGCGTGTATCCCGGTCTCAAGTACTAAATCGGATTGCCTCGTACCGCGACTGATGTCCAGCGGTCTCTTGGGACAGACAAGTAGGAGGAAAGGTCGGTGGCCGAAGTCAACTGCAGTCAAACCTTGGAAGAAGATTAACCTCCTTTGGGAAGTTCGGAAATCCATCTTGGCTGGCCAAATATTTGCTCGTCCGTGATGTTTCCCACGGTCGCTTTTCTTTTCCTTCCTTCATATCGGAGAGCATTGCGGATTTGGGACGACAAATCCGCCGTCCGCCGGTGGGCGGATTGATGGCGGATTGATGGCGGAACACGTGGCCGGCCCCGATAGACACAGCCCTATGATGTCACGTTCCCTCATTCAGAACAAGTACTCGACATGTGCCCAAATATGCTGTGTAGTTCTCGCCTAGCCGCCCGTTGATGTTAGGCCCTGACGTCGCATGCTTGTCCGTTTGTAGGCACTTCAGTCATGCAAGGCATGCTCGGCGCACTTGTACGTGTCACTGCCTTTGTCTTTGCGCGCGCGTCGTACAAGCCTTCAGCGACAAGGACCGGCCGCTCCTGACTATAGGGCGAAGGGTGAGTAGCCCATAGTCGTTCCGGATTCCTAACGCATCGACTTGACGCCCGCTGACCCCTCTCGCACAGTGCCTTACGCCTTGCAGGCCGTCACGCCTGCCTGCTGGCACAGGCTGTCTTTGCGAACGCTCGTCCAGGTCCCTCAGCAGAGGTCCCCCGGTAAAGGTTGTCAAAACCGCCCCTCCCGCGAGGGGCTCGCTATGCGGGTTCTCTCAGGTGCCGCCCGAGGGGCTTCCGAGGAAGGGTGGCTGGACTACCCCTACACTGCTGGCCCGCAGCGGAAGGGGGTTCCACTCCGTCCCCCGCGAAAGCGGGTTCCACTCGGTTACCCGGCCGCGGGAAAGGAAGGAGGAGCCGAGCATGGATGCGCCAATCGCAATTGTGAGAACTAGATTGCGGGTGCGTACGCGCACACTTTGCGCACTGCTGCCGGGCTTGATAACACAGCACAGGTTGACGCGAAAGAGAGCGAGTGCTTCAAGCCCGTCGTTGTACGTGTCATCCCATCGCCCTCAAGTATCATTGCTAAGGGACCCCCAAGCGTGCCACGCTGGGGCGATACGATGCATAATGCACCAGGCGTTGCTGCAAATCGCGGATCTCCCCTCTGCACCCGCCGTTCGACCTGATCTGAGGGCGCGGAACCTCTCTGGGTGAGTCTCATGGGCTGCGCCGGCGAGGATAGCGAGCAGTCATCGCACAACGGTTTCGTGCTGGAGATGTCCAGGCGCGCCTTTCTGCTGCATCTCGGCGACCACGTCGTGCACGACGACGTCGACCGCGCCAGCCTCGCCACTATCGAGGCCAAGTACGAGGACGGCGACACGATCCCTGATGACGAGACCGTCGACTTCGACGTTTACCGCCGCCAGTCGATGATGCTGACGAGAGCACGGACGGGTACGATCAAGGCCACGCGTATATTTCGTGCATCGTCCTGTCTGGCTCCGAGGAGCAGTTCGGCGTCGCTGCTTTGCTTGACGAGGCAAACTGGGCAAGGTTCTTGAATAGAAGGTGCAGAAGGTAGGTGTACGGCGCCAGAAGGAATACCGATCCACCCTACCTGCGCCTGGGGTTTGCTCACCTCATCTTCCAAGTCTCGTGGCGCGCCAGATGTGCAGGCTCGAGCCGCTACTCGCCAGCGTCGGTGTGCCCTACCCTCGGCATGTACGAGGCCGCGCCGCATGCGCGGCAGGACAATGCTGACTGCGTGTTACCATTGTCGCTTGCGCTACGCTGCCACTGCTGACTTCGTTCGCCCGGATAGCTTATGTACGCATGTACTTGTGATGAATTGAACTTGATCAGACCTATGAGTCCGCGCGCAACATGACCTCCAAGAAAACTATTCATGGAATTGTGTTCCCCTCGGTATAAACGAGTCAATGTACGCAACTCACATGCACCGTGTCTCCCTCTGCCACCGCAATGTGCTCGTCCAAAACAACTGAAACAAGCTGCCCGTTCTCTGGAACCCTTCGCTTCAGCGCTGTAACATCGACCTTGGATAGTAGGTCGCCGCGCATCAGTGCAAGTGCATCCTTCAGAATAACCCATCCGCCCGCGTTGCTGTATATCACTACCATGTCATTGTCGCCCTTTTCGAGTTTGTTTTCAGAATCAGCCCGAGTACGTTGGTGAGATCGCACCTCCACGGACAGCTCGATTTGGCACAAAACTTGCCTTCCCTCCAACGCGGAAGGTCGGTATTCGCCGTAGACATTGAGATCCTCGCCTGCTACGGGAATTCTAGAGTCCCAGTCGATAGCCTTCGCAGCTCCGTTTCGAAGCAGTATATGCGGCTTGCTCAGACGCTCCCTCAGGCGTAAGGCCTGTATCGTCATCTCGAAGTGCGAGAGTATCACCCAGCCTGCCGTTTTCCAGAGGGTCACAACCTCGGGAAGGCGCTGCGAAGAACTCTTGATTAACAAGACGACCTGCATGTGAGTTGTACACACCTCCCCAGGGCAGTAAAATCGGACAACGATTCGTCGTCTGTAACCAAGGGCATTCTCGTCAACGCTACTCAGGATGCTGTCTCCATGAATGCCAGCATCGGCAAGTAAGAGCGTGTATCGGGCTTCCATGATGGCCTTCAAAGTCTCCAGATCTCCACCCATGATCGCTGGGCGAGTCCGAGCCAGATCCTGCAGCTCGAGTGCAAGGAAGTCGCACCAAGCCGAGTCTTCTACTAAAGCATGTTCAGCTGAGAGCTTCACGGTTGGCTTCGGTTGACTTGCTTGCAAAAGGGCGCTGGATAGGGCCGAAAAGAGCATAGAGACGTCGAAATGTCTCAAATACGCTCATGATTGTAGGAGAGGGTCTGGGTCAAGTGGCGGGCCTTCAAATGACATGCGCTGTCGATCATCATGTAGCTACCATGGAAGCTATGTGGGAAGAATGCCGCCTGCACGTAAGGATATCATTCCCTTATGTTGGCTTCCGTCCTACCTATCTAAAGTGCCGTGCTAGGCTGAAAATGAGTTCTAAGTATGAAGTCTACTCCAGAGCGTTGAAATGCCAGACATAGAAATCGGACAGTTTTGTGTTCCAGTTCAACTTCAGCATGTGATGATCACATGGTCCGTGGGAACTGGCGGGACAGCTTCTGCCGGTGTGACATCATGAGTCATACATTGGGCAACCTTCACTTCCTCGTCATGCGTGGATGAGTCTACTAACCGCATCGCACGAAGTGTTCCTACTTTCCACCAACTATTATAACGCCCACTTCTCACTTCAGACCATCAGAGATATCGATGAATTCTTCTGAGCCTGCGTCATGTGTACGCCCTTCCGCGGTAGCCTACCGCGAAGGCTGTCGTGGGACAAGCACAAAAAGGATGCTTTCCCGTGTCAGACTGGTTTCCTTCTCTCCATCCCCCGTCATACTCTGCGCTTCACATTGACATGTCCTCTGTTCCATCCGAGTACAGCGGCTCGGACAGTAGTTCTGACTCGGTGACTTCTTCTTCTCGCTCTCGAGTTAAAGCATGCTAAACGTGTTCGTGCAGGTCGTGGGCGATAGCATGGATGATGGCGTATCAGAGGTACCGGCGCTGTCGTATATTCCCCCTCCCCCTATACTCACTCTTGTCCAGGAGAGCCAGCCCGTCCACCCTGCCACGCTCGAAGACATTCTTAGCGAGTGGGCCCATGCGCTTGCGATCACCTCGCAACTGCGGGAGCAATTTCATTCTCTCCGGAGCCGCTGTGCTAGCGATCGAGAGGTCGCCTCGGAGCTTCATCGTGGCTGGTTGGAGAACCATGGTCGACACATTGCCGCTACTGAGGGTTCAGCGGACGGCCCCGATCCAGCTGCGACATCGCTGTCTACGCCTCAGGCCGATGTACGCGCTGAAGTCGCTGCTCATTATGCGCACATCCTCGAGTTGCGGGCTGAAAACGCTAGCCTGTATCGCGCCGCCGCCGAAGAGCGTGGATTGGCAGCCGCGCAAGGGCATCAGAGCGCCGTCGCCGTCTGCACATACCTCGAGGACGCCATCAAGCTCGTGGGAATCCTGCAGCGCCGCACCGACCATCTGGAGGCCTCTCGCAACGATCTGCGTGCCCAGCTCGCTCAATCTGAGCAGCGGCGCACCCACGATGTCCGCAAGCTTTTGCAGCTGCACCAGCGCGATATGCGGGAGGTCCATCGACTTCGGGTGCGGCATATGCACGATATCCAGCTGCTTGGTCAATTCCAGGAGCAGCACGTCCGCGACGTGAATCAGGTTGCTACGCTTCGGCAGGACGTCTTGGGTCTGCACCACGCTTTACCTCCCGCTGGTAGTTCGGTGGAAAGTTATGGATCGTATCCGGCCAGCCTGAGCGCTCCCTTTGGGGCGCTGCCGGCGGCACCTATACTGCAGACGGTCAGCGGTCGGCCCTTGTTTCCCGCCACGTACCAACTCGATGCTGCCGACCAGGGGTCCATTGAGGTACATATCCCGACTCCATCTTCTCTTCAACCTCCAACCTGATTCCCCGCAGACGCCGTGAAGCAGGCCATGCATCCCGTGGGCGCAGTCCGTAGGTTTCGTAGATGTTCCGATCTAGCACTTGTACGTTTTCCATAGGCGTAGGTATATACTCTCTAGAGTGTTTTTCATTCATACGTACCCATAATTTTTAGCTTTCATCGTGCTCTTATCCTTTGCTCCGCTACTCTGCAGGCAAGTTCTGACATTTGGTAGACCCGCTTGCCCGAGAACCCAATAGTAATAGTCTCGTTTGTGCTTGTCACAGTGTCACGATGTCACATGTTTACTACTTTACATCGGGTTAATTCTTGTCATCCATTTCCATCAAGTAAGCGCCATGGGTTGCAAACAAGGTTCTACTCCGAAGTCTCGCGGGCTGTCGTCAACGGAAAGGTCTCGCAAGTATCGCCAGGATCCAGCCGCACGGGCCAAGGAGAACGCGCTCGAAAGGTTGGTCGTCTGTCGTAGATGTTCCCCGAGCTCATTCACACGTCATGTCATCTCGTTCATCAGGTTGCGCAGACGTGGTCTGAAAGTTGGAGTTACTAAGCATGCTCCGCTCAAAGGTGTGTGCTCCTCTGAGGTATTGCAGTCCCACGCTCAACCCCGGTGCGAAGTTCTACCTCCCGAACAGGTCGTGCACATGATGTGTACCCTTTCGGCACTGCAGCAACCCAACCTCCTCACGTCCCTGCCTGCTCAGCCTGACCGAGATCCCAACGTCGTATACGGAGAATTGCACTCGCACTTCGCCTGTCAGCTCCTCGATGAGCTTCGTTTATCACAAAGGTCCACATTTGTTCACCTTGGTTGTGGTTTCGGCAAGCTGGTTACCCAGGCCGCCATGCAGACAGGCTGTCGCTCCTATGGTGTTGAATCGCAGCCGTCGCTTTGGGCAGAAGCCATTTCATTAGCGCAAGCTGCACGCCAGCGATGCCAGCAGGCCGGCGCGTTGTTCGGGCCTTTGATAATTGAGCACGCAGAGATCTTCAGCGGAATCCATGTTCAACGTTGCATGGAAGCCGCTGACGTCGTCTTCATCAACAACCAGGGCTTTGCGCATCAAGGTGAGACGTGCACGTTTCTTCTCTTCCGACAGATCTGACCAAATTGTCAGCCAATGCACGGATCTATCAAGAATCATTTCCTATCCTGAAGCGTGGTGCCGTTGTCGTCACTACGTATCCGCTTACTCCCAGTTCTATCCCACAAGCCGTCTGCTGGACAAAGGAAGAACACGCCAGAAAACACGTGCGCTCGTATGCTTGCATCGTATCGCTCATCAATTCATGCCTCAGCAGGTGCGACCTGGCGACATCGATATGTCCGTCAAGCAATATCCACCGGGGTCAGTATCTTGGACTTCGTGCGGCGGCGTCCTCTATATACACCGGGTGCGCTCAGCTCGCGGCAGACCGCGGAAGACCAATGGCATCTGCTCTCAACCTGGCCCCCATTAGAGCTTTTTGTTACCTGCCTTCATCCCTTCGTTACGCTCGACGCCTCAATTTCCCCTGATATGCCACAGTGTATAACGACGTCGTGCTGGACCGACAGTACTTACCCTTGTAGGCCTCGCGCCCGTACGAATATCCGTACCATGTCCCCGGCATGTCTATCTACCTCCGATATCATATTCATGAAAATTGAACTAAAGGAGCTCACCGTATACGCCGCTAGACCGGAAGCCGGCCCATCCGACCACAGCAGACCGCCGGCAGTCGGAGGGATTGGTCACCAGGCTAATACGTCGCCTAGTGTAGTGAGTCACTTTCTCGGCATGAAGCCGAAGGTGTACTGTCCGCTCCAGGATGGCACACAGTCTACAATTCCAAGCATACAAGAAATATCTAAGCAATACGCGTACAAAGAGGCCAGGCAAGCGGGGTGGTGCATATCTGATACATCCCGCCATTTTGTCGCATGTCCCAAGACGGGGTTGCGTCGTTCATGCAAGGATCGTTCGTCAGCCAACCTCCGATTCCGCCTCGTATTCCTACTTCGAACGGCGGCACCTGTCGCACGTCAGTATAATCACACGTTGCCGCTGTCTACCCACCACTGCCCACGCCGGCACCGCCCTCTGACCCGCTGTCCGAAGTGGAACTGCTCTCGTCCTCTGAGCCTCCCTCCGCCTTCGACTTCCTCTCCTCCTTCTCAGCCTCCTCCGCTTCGCTCTACAGCTCGTCAGCCATCTCAATCTGGTCCGACCCGCTCTCGCTCTGGCACCCAATGATAAGATAAAACGTACAACAAAGTCTACGCAAGGTCCTCCGCAGGCTCAATATAGGCATCCAGTCCACGACCCTCCAGCTCTACAACACGACGCCCAGCACTTGCACTACATACGTAAGCTTGAGCTGGAACAGACATGGGGAATGACAACTCACAGGCTGGCATAAAGCCTCACCGACCCGTCATTCGAACAGACCACCTTCCACCACGTGCGCGAGGGCGGAGAAGCCGCATTGGCGTCGTTTTGCTGGACCGCCAAGCCTGCAGCAGACGACAGCGGTGGTGAAGGCGTTCGCGCGCGGTGCTTCCCATGGCGGGAGGCTCGCTGCGGACGCTTCTGCGGGGAGGGGAAGCGAGGGTCAGGGGAGCTGTTGCTGGCACCTGCGCTTGACTCCGTAGCAAACGAGACGGTCTTAAGCTTTGCAGACGTGCTTGCACTGGAGGAAGAAGACGCGGGGGTTGAGGACGGGGTGTAAGGCCTGAATGGTATAGGTGATTGTGAGGGGCTGGTCCTATACGGCATGATGCGGAATGAAGCCGCGGCCTTGGGCGGCACTGAGTGCTGGCGCGGCTTGGTCGACCCCTCCGCAACTTGCACCAGCCTCTCATCCTCTGAGCTAGAGCCCACGTTCATTGCGCCTCTGTCCCTGCCCGACGAGCCCGCAGTATGTCGCGTCTTGACCGGCGATAGAGACGCGGCTCGCGAGGACGACGGCCTTGAGGATCGGGCAATGACCTCCCCCTCCTCCTCGAACCGGTCCCACCCCTCGACCTCCCATGAATCTGAGGCGTCGCCGTTGTCGAAGGAGGGGGGGGTGGGTTGTACGCGATATGAGCTGTCGAGAGCGCGTGCAGAAGAGGAGGGCGCACGCCGAGGAGCGGGAGCGGAGGCGGGGGCTGACGCGAGGGCGGGAGCGGGAGCGGGAGCGGGAGCGGGGGCGGGAGCGGGAGCGGGGGCGGGAGCTGGGGCGGTGGCGGGCTCAGGCGCCGGGAGACGTGCAGTGCGTGCACGCCTGCGCGCCTCGACGCGCTCTCGCTCCTCCGCAGTATCTCGTCTAAGCACCTCGAGACGGAGGAGAAGCTCCTCTTCGTTGAACCGCACAAACACCGCCCCTTCCTGCCCATTCGCCCAGGCGCGCCAAACACACCACGCGTGGACGGTGAAGTCCTCGTCGTTGAGCTCGGGGGGAGTCATGTGGATGTGCGAGGTGACGCAGATCTTCTCCCAGGCGTGCTGCCCTTCCGCTGCGTTGGTGAGCGACTGGCCGATGGCGCCCAGTGGGACTGTGAGACTACAGAAGACCGTCAGCTACGTTCTCTCGCTGTTTGCACCCTCGTACTTGTCGGCGTATATGCCCGCGTGGGGTCCTTCCTTCACGAGAACGACGGACAGGCCGATATTCTTGGCGGGTGTGTTCGATTTGACCCAGCGAGCAAAGCAGATGTAGCGGGACATGATCGGGGGAGTGGGGAGGAGAGAAAGGGAGGCACGGAAGGTGAGATAGGTGGTAGCGGGAGACGAGAAAGATAGGGTGAGAGTAGAAGGCAGGTCAGGCGCGTGTGATCAGCTTGCAGCTGTGGCTTCCCGCGGGTACCCGTGGCCTCGTTTCCCACCAATGGCTCACACCGTGGGGTGCGCGCGTTCGTCGCAGGCGCAAATACTTGCATGTATAGAATATTGCTGAGTACAAAGATAGGGCCTAATCGCACTATTACTCGTCATCGCGCTCGTTGACATCGTCCTCACTCTCAATTAGACGCTGCAGTTCGTCATCGTCCCAATCCTCCAGAAGTTTTCCGTGGGGGATAGTCGCACGGGCATCCGGCGATGAGCAAGATATGAAGCTCGATCGAAAGGCAGCAACGCCATGTTCCTTGAGGTACGACCTAAACAGCATTAGTGCGCGCACGTAGGGCTATAGCGACCATGCACAGTGGATGCTGGTTCAGGCGCCGCATGTGGTAGGCATGCGCATGCACCGCACGCATGGCGAGAATTCGCAAGTACTTCTTTCTTCGGGCATTGTCGACTCCAATTGACAAAAACGGTTGGGAGAGCGCGCGCGTCAGCGAGGGTGGCAGCTAGCAGGCGATAATCTTACAGGATGCGAAGTGGGCGACGCGGATCAATGGAGTCAGGTTGATGAGGTGCAGGAGGATGTTGGTCATAGCTTGCGAGCTGAGATTTCCGGGTGCCTAAGTCTGGGGGTTGAGCTAGAGGGCGCTGCGCGAAGGGGGTTAACGCACCGTTTGACCGCCGCCGTGCGACGTACCCTGCGCTTCCGCCCCAAACTGCCCCCGGCGATGATCGCACGACTCCTGACGAAAGCGGACGCTTCTGGCTATCTCGTCTGCAAGGGTCTCGTGGACCTTCGTCCAGTCCTTGTCGTTTGGCTGCCCGGCGAGGACCCCGAAGACGCGCCCGTCCTGAGCCGCTAAGCCGCAGGTCTCTCTAAGCACGGTAAGCCATCTAGTATCCAGATATCCGTTGGCGTACGCACCTTCCATCCCAATCAATAAGTTTGAAGCCTCCCTCCTTCGCCTTGGGCTCGATCAGGTCGTCGAGAGAGTACTCAGTCTCATCACGCTGTCCACACCGGCCGGTGAAGCCGGTACGTGTGAGGGGCTGCTCATCCCAGTCGAGCGCGATCTTCTTGAACTTCGTATCGCCGATGTGGCGGGCGTTTCGCAGGAGGGCGGCCGGCGGGGGCGAGAAGTTGCCATTCTCCTCACGGCGGTGAGCCTTGCGGCGGGCTCTTTCGAGAGTCAATGATTTGACACCTTCTTGGACGGGGGCGTCATCGCGGCCTGTGAGCGGGTGGGAGGGGATAAAGAATGTGCCGGGTTGAGCACGGTCGGGGCAGACGATTTGCGGGAGGGTGAGCGGGGACACCAGATGAGACCGAGGTGCTGAGAACATCTGAGCGTCGACGTGGAAGATGGCCGCACCTACGACTCTCGCGCTGCTGGACCCATTTGAGCGAGCGAGCCGAGAAGGGACGGACGGGACTGTATAGAAGAGAGTGTCGGTCGATGGCGCCAGTGCAGGTGGGCGGTGATGTTGAGAGAGAAGAAAAAGAGGCGCCGCATAGCCCGGCGGCGCGTGGGAAGAAAGCCAGAAAAGGCGTCTGCCGGCCGGACGACGCAGTCTTCGGGTGTACCAAGTGAGGTGTATGTTGAACAAGCGTGGGATGTGGGGTGAACGAGCGGTATTACGGTGGGGAGACACGACTGTAGCTCTTTTTCCTGACAATCATGTCTGAGCGCGCTGGATCAAGCACGGAGGCCGAGAGCTACATCGCGAGATGGCACGCCCGAGGACATGGCTGGGTGGGACACAGTCAAGCACGTGAGCTACACTACCTGGTGTCGGAGGGCGTGCGACCCGAGCATCTCGCCGCCAAACTGAAGATGGCACGGGGAACCGTTAGGTCGGCCGTCAAGAGGTGCGGACCGGGACCAGCCATGGAAGGGACCAGCAGCCTCTTCAAACGGCTGGTCGCTAGTGGCGAGGTATGGAAGGCAATCGATTGGGATCGGGTGAGTTGCAGACACGTACGACACGAACGCAGTGTTGAAATAACCATCATAGAACGTCGCCGAAAGCTCCCCCGCCATCTCGACGTCGGAATCCTCGGCTGGAGACCAGGACGAAGAGCAGCGGTGCGCCGGGCTGACATGGTTCTGCGACAACGACGAGAGCTTACACGATGATTCCAGCGATGACGATGGAAGAAACGACGATACGTGGACGGACGACATCTTCGTCGAGGTCAGAGCGCCGTGGAGGGCTGCGTACGAACAAGGAGGTGCGAAATCCGTGCAAGAATTCCTGGCAGCGACCGCTCCGCCCCTCATCTGTCGTGTGGAAGAAATCATGAGTGGAGGCGTGGAGACTGTAAGCAACGTCAAGGAACTAGGAGGTTGGAGCCGCAGCTCGCAGAAGTCGTTCGCATTGCGCGTGGGCCTGTCTGAAATGGAGGGGATGGTGCTGGCGGCGTACGCCGAACAGCTCGCCGCTGACGATGCAGTCCAGCCAGATGTTCTTCGGGTGAGTAGCCGTGAGATGTGTATTGGCGCGCGCGGAGGTGTGGCGCGTCTGGAGCGTGGTCCGTCATGGCGAGGCTCACAACCCTTAGGTGCTATACGAGTGGGGTGAGGAAAAGCAGCAAGTGCGGGCCTGGATTAAAGACGATGGAAAGCCAGAGCTGGTTGACGCTGTCGCCCGCGGCTTCGCGCGTGCAGGGATCACGGAGCGGGGAAGGCTCGTGCGACTGGGCTGGACGGGCGAAGAATGGCTCGTGAACATCGTCAGCATGCTGTTGCCCGACAGGGAACTGTCCTTCCTCGTCCATCACATCTGTGAGAAGATCCTGCGAGAGGTGCGTGCCGCCTGGGGCATATGGACTGCCATGCCGGCGGGCGAACGCGAGAACTACTTCGTCTACAGCTAGGTGCCGCCTTAAGCTAGCTCGGACTTGTATTTTGTACGCAGCTCGTACCTTCTTGAATGATTTAGTACTGCACGGTTTCGACGGGCCCAGAAACTGCTCGTATTCCTTCCCCTCTCAACGCGCAAGTGTTGGAACGACAAGGCATGATGAAAGTGAATGCAGCGTGAGCGAAAATCGCCGTTTTAGGGAGAAGAAGAAACGGACGCGGGAAGCGCAAAAGGCCCTCCCAAAATAGGAATGAGGACGCGGTGCGGACGGGCACTTTTCGATACTCCTACTTATCCAGCACTGATACCTGCCCGCGAATGTCCTGCATTTGTGGCTTTAGAGACATTCACTTTGCCTCCGCGCGACAGTCTTTCTCGACATCGCTTCCATCGTGCAGCGCAGAAATGATTCAGAGGAAATTTGAGTGAACACCCATTTCGCAAGCAAGGTCGGCTGTCGGCCTCGCCGGAGCTTATCTAATTCAAGAACGACAACTAATACAAGATATGGCAGTAATGACAGTTCGTAGGGCCTTGGAATGACATGCGACAAAGGCGTAGCGACGCCAAAGGGTTCTCACGGCGTAAACTTGGAAGTACTGGAGCCTCACCACTTCAATCGGACACGCTCTACAGGACACGCTCTACAGATGAGGTCTGCAACGTGTTGCTGGCCGTCTCCTGTGACCCCAGTACGGGACTTGGCGAGCTTGTCGTCATACATGCCATTCTGCTTGGAGGGTCAGCTCGGTTCAGGCATACCATGAAGAACGACACACCATTTGAGGAGCGCTGACTTGACATCGCCACGATCATCAAGCGTCGCGGTGGTGAACTCTCCAAAAGCAAAAAGAACAGGAGGCCGTTGCGGGTTCTTGATTTTCTCATATCTGAGCTCTTTGAACTTGCGACAATTCTCGATAAAATTGTCATTGCGAAGGAGAGCGTAGAGCCTCGATGCCCCGACCAGATGCTCGAGCGGTGACTGTAGCCATTGAGAAATCAAGAACGGGAGAGGGATCCGGGTGTTGGGGTTCTCCTTTGCGTAGTTTTCCAGGACGGGAGGGAGGTATTGGATCTTACTCGTCGTCAGGCGGAATCCATGGTGCAAATCGAAGGGAAGCTCACCGCATCCCGGAAATCCTTCCAGGTCTCCCAGGCCGTTGCGATCTTTGTAAGAAGAGAGGAGAGGATAGCCATGCTCTTGCAGGACAAGGCCTGGAAGCAGGAGGAGCCGGCAGCGTGTGGGCTATCTGGGATCGTCCTGACGAGCTTGATGATAGCGTCCTGCGCAAAAAGGGTGTTCAAGAAGCAGAGGAATGCCTCCTGGATGAGCTCTGGGCACTTCGGAGCTTTCGCTAGCTTCGTCTTCGACGGAAGGACCAACAATTTGGGCCGGAGCGGTAGGGTCCCGTGGTCCCAGGTGTACTCGTGGCGTAGCCGTTCCAGCCCACCAGGTGTGCGCGCCAGGTCGTCAAGCTCGGCTTCGAGCTCGGGGATCGCCACGCGCTTGAAGCCGGCATGCAGCCCCTCACGTCGCAGTACTGCGACTTGGGCATCTTGCTTCGCGCCCGTGCGGGCAACGGATATACCGCAATGGAGGAATCGCGACATCCAGTGCACCCATTCCTCGGTGGACTCCAGGTCGGACGTTGGCGCTTCCAAGCCCGTGAGAAGGAAGGCGTAGCTGAAGCCAGAAGTAGTGTCCGCGGTTGCGACGCTGACGGGCACGACGTCAAAGAAGGAGTGGTCGATGTCGGTGACTCTGCCGCGATGGATGGTCCCCGCGACGTCACTGAGCCATTGGTCGCGGATCTCGAAGCGTTCGACGTGGTACCCAGCCTCGCGAACGAAGTCGGCGATACGCGTCATGACGGCCAAAGGCTGGTCTTCACTGCAATACCACATCGGGGGTTTTGAGGCGTTCCCTGAATACCCGTTGATGTGCCCGTTAACGCGCATGCTCCAACCAGTCAGTTTGTTGTGGTTTCGGTCGACTAGGGTGAAGTGCATCTCGCAGAAACTCAACTTATACTCCTGGGCCAGGGTTCCGGTGATCAGATCCATGTGAATGCAATCCAGATCGCGCGGAATGGGAAGGAAGGTGTACGTCCCCGACGCCATGAAGTGCTTCGCTCCCGGAAAGAGAATCAACTCCATGACAGTGCGCGATGAGTCGTTGTGGACGGTCAGAAGCCCAAAGGCCAGTTCCGACAGAGTTCCATTGGACTGCAGTGGTGGCTGAGCGACTGGAGAGGCGTGCTGGTTTTCGATCGCGCCATTGTCTCTGATGATTGGTGGTCGTTCGAGCGCGTGCATGATCGAGCTCCAGTTGATCTTGGCAATCAGCGTGTCGCTGACGATTAGTCGTTCGCCATCCGGATTGGTCACGAAGGGGAGGGCAAAGCAGAGGGGGGTGTTCTTCGCCGTCTTAGGCAGAATCGCTCCTTGGGAGTGGATATACACCATGATGCGGGCGTTTGCGTCAGGCTCATACGAACGACGTCCAGAGAGGCTGCCGCCTACGTTGGAACCAGGGAAGAGTCCACCCAAGGCCACGCTCGCGGCCACGCTGTCGCCGAGCATATCGCGCTGGGGCGCAGCGGCGTTGGCGCTGAGCATGCCGCGCTGGGACGCAGCGGCGTTGGCGCTGAGCATGCCGGGCTGGGACGCAGCGGCGTTGGCGCTGAGCATGCCGGGCTGAGGTGCAGCCGTGTTCAAAGCATTGTAGGGGACATCATTCGTGACATGAGTGGACGAGGTGTACGATGCTTGCTGAAGCGCCGGAACAGAGGAACCATGCGGCGGGTTGTAATCGGGGTGGTCATGGTTAGACGACAACGAGTGGTACTCATGACTCTGGAAATCTGGGAAGCTGTCAGAGGCGAGCATGACTGGTGCAATGGTCACTAGATGCGCACCAAAACTGGTGTTCGACGTAAAGTCTGTTTCGTCCAGTGCGTTGTTGGGCCAGAGGTTGTTCGTGTCGTTATATTGCTCTCCTTGCGCATTAAATGTACCGAAGAATATATCTTGTCTGTAGTCTGCGAGTGGCGCAAGCGAAGGATCGACCTGACCAGGTGCTTGTGGGCATTGAGAGCTCACTTCGTCGGGAGCACCGCCAACGCCGCCTAAACCTCTGCCAGTAACGGCACGGTCATCGATGCGCACGAATGGAAGGGGCGTTTTGACAGCCTGTGGGAGATGTGGGCGGACGTGCTGCGCGCGACCTTCAACAAGACGGTCAACAGAGTGAACCGGAGTTGGATGGGTGTTGGTGGCGCCGAGAAGGAGACCGGTAGCGCCCGGCGCTTCGGTATGTCTTCCAGTGGTAACCCCTTCGCTATTGCTGGCGCCGAAGAAGGGGAACGACGAGGGCGAATATCCCTGGGCTTCGTTGGACATATGGGCAACGTCTGCGCTGCCTGTCCCATCACCGACATGCTCAGCACCAAGAGGTACGTGCAGAGAGGACGCTGCGATGGGCCCAACACCAGGTGCTGCAATAGCTGTCCTTGTATCGCTATTGGTAGCGGCGGCAGCGGCAGCATGACCCATGGTGATAGTGGGATGGTGCTGGCACCCTTGGGCCTGCATAGCGTCAAGGCGGGGGCGCGGAGCTGAGGCGGCGATGGCTCCCGCTCCGGACGCTGCAGTGTCCGTCGTCGAAGTGGCGGCGGCGGCGTTGGCGACGAAGGCGGCGGAGGGCGTGTTCGCGGCGGTGGAGGGGGCGCTCTGGGCAGGCGCGGCGTCCGTCTCCATTGCATGCTCATCGGCACGCTCAACGTCGTCAGGTGCACTCGAACCCGATGCGGCGGTGGCTCCCGCTCCGGACGCTGCAGAGTCCGTCGTCGAAGTGGCGGCGGCGGCGTTGGCGGCGGTGGAGGGAGCGCTCTGGGCAGGCGCGGCGTCCGTCTCCATTGCATGCTCATCGGCACGCTCAACGTCGTCAGGTGCACTCGAACCCGATGCGGCGGTGGCTCCCGCTCCGGACGCTGCAGAGTCCGTCGTCGAAGTGGCGGCGGCGGCGTTGGCGACGAAGGCGGCGGAGGGCGTGTTCGCGGCGGTGGAGGAAGCGCTCTGGGCAGGCGCGACGTCCGTCTCCATTGCCTGCTCATCGGCACGCTCAACGTCGTCAGGTGCACTCGAACCCGATGCGGCGGTGGCTCCCGCTCCGGACGCTGCAGAGTCCGTCGTCGAAGTGGCGGCGGCGGCGTTGGCGACGAAGGCGGCGGAGGGCGTGTTCGCGGCGGTGGAGGAAGCGCTCTGGGCAGGCGCGGCGTCCGTCTCCATTGCCTGCTCAACCACAACATCTGGGTCGTTTTCGGTGGTGATCTCCTGGTCGACTTGCTCGATGGCATCACCCTGTGTATTCACAGTCAGAGATAAGGGCACGCTGCTATAGGGCCTTCACGGACCGGTCGCTTCTGAATATGCTCAACCGACGCCGTATGTTCAGAGCTCCCCGGCGTATGATTGTTTACAACTGCTCGGTAGTCAGTCACACTTCAGAGATGTATGGTCAAGGAGGACCTTCGGATGAAGATGTGATGCTTGGGGTGAGGGAGGTGAGAGAAGATAATGAGGACGAAGCCCTGGCTAGGCCTGGGAAGAGCGAAAGTTAGACCTCATTGCTCTGTACGTCACAGGATCACCACGCACCATTTTCGCAGTCATGGGTAGAACGAGGCAGCGCGTCTGGTTTCTTCAACGGAGTGGGATTGCGAAGGACATTCAGGGCATCTCTAAGAGCATCATCGTCCTCGGAAAATAAAGTCCTGAGAAGTTGTCAATTATCGACATGGCGGTCGTGAGGATGACAAGCGTACGAGGTACACTCCTGCAGGTTTGATTGGTGCTTCGTCAGCTCTGGGGAGAGAAGAGGGGGCGTTTGCTTTGCTGACCTTGAGCTTCTCGACACATGATTGCGGATCGTTCGTGAGGGCGGGGGAGATGAATTTCCTGAAGAAGGCCGATGCGTGCCAACGGCTCGAGGAATACGGCTTTGCTCCCTTAACGGACCTTGCTGAGCGACGAGGAGCTTCTTCGCTGAATGCAGTTTGGAGCGTGCTGATCAATGCGTTGTCCCGCTGTTTGCTGACAGAGAATCAGAGTGGTGTAACGGTAAGCGGCGGGAAATACCACCAACGATAGGACGACGACAAAAGCGTCTCGGACCCTTTTTACGGAGGCTGAATCCATGCTGCGCAAGTATCTATGGCGTAGCAGACGATACCTCGAGGAAAGACGGAAGAGCTTTCGTGCAGCGGGTTGATCGCGGGAGCTAAGAAGACACGACACCGAGCGCAGCTGCAAGGACGCAACATGGCTGAACTAAATTGAATGGCAAAACGAAAGGCTTCCACGGAGGCCCTAACGCCAGAGCTGAGCATCTATAGCATGGTCACGACACGTGAGCTTGCAGAAGATGGGATTGATTGATCTCACCAAGACGAAATATCCTGTTTCTGTTCAGCCATCTAGTAAGTCACGCCGGCTTCTACCACAACGTTTGGCGGTGGTTAACCCTATACGTAAACCACTGACGCGGTGGATTATGAGTGGGCAACACGCATGGGTACCGTATGTACTGAAGGTGACATTGCGGGCCTAATCCACCTCACCTAACAAGCTGTGTAGCAATCATCATGAACCTGGGGACGGCGTCCCGACGTACAGCTTAGATGAGTGAGTGAAGGGGGGAGAGGAAGAGAGCGCCGAGCGAGGGTCAACCGAAGAACTGCGGCATACAACACGGAGGTTGATTGCTGGACGCGATAGATGGGACTGAGTTCGTCAAGGCAGGTAAGTTGTGACGCACATAGTTTGTGATCCATCACCCGAACAGAGATTTGTGGCGTAAGTAGCGGTCGATCACTGACTTTGTGGCGGGGGGTCCCGTGATTTGTACATGACATTCATGCGCACGTCATGTTTCGTGCTTCACTCAACAGATAGTGGTCCACTTTTGAGCGGCTGTCTGTTGGTCGATACCCTCGCACAGACTTTGCTGTCAGATACAAATACTTTGCTTTCAACGTCACTATGAACTGTATACGGACCAGAAGGCCTCCGGTGTAAGGGGCCCCTTTGGCTGTCCTCCACCGGACCTTCAGTGGAGGGCCGCCATGGTAGGTCCGTCCTCAATTTTCCCCTTATATAAGGATGCTCGCTTGCCGTATGGTCTTCTCTCGACGACCGTCAACATGAGCAAGAGGCCGGCGACTCCTGGCATGCGTGCGTCTCCCGCCCTCTCCAAGAAAAGTCGCTCTGCAAAAGTGTTCGAAATTGAGTCGGATTCCGAAGATGGCGATAAGCCCTACAGGCTGCGGGTACGTCGCTACTCCGTCCACATGTTCTGGTTCTCATTGCCGTAGGACGTCAGCGATAGCGCTGGGACCCGTGACATCCCTTCCCCCAGCACTGATACCAGGAAGACCAACGCCTCTACGAAGGCCGTGGCGGACGTAGGCTTGACAACGGCCCAGCGACTTCAAGAGGTGCGCAGTTCTAGCCAAGTTTCCTCTGACCAGCCATGACTAAGATACGACAGGCGCGCAAAGCCAGTGAGCAGTACAAGACGCTCGCGCACAAGCGCCTGAACAGGATAGCTGGCGCCGTGGCGAAAGTCCAGCAATCCGATCAAGCCGTCGCTGCAGCCAATGCCAAGATGGAGGCGATGGACGGCGAAGTCAGGGCGGCGAAGGCGGCTGCTGCAGTATCCGAGGCGAAGGTCACTGTGTTACAGTCTGAGGTGGTAGAGTTGGCGTGCGAGTGCGAAGATCTGGTGAGTTGTAGTGAACGAAGTAGCGATCTCATCTAACACGTTTTCGTCAGCGCCAGATGCAAGCTGCGCTCACGCAGCTGCTCGAGTGCACGGTGTGCTATGGTACTCTCAAACAAGCATTTCTGTTAGTGCCCTTTCCTAGGCGCCCCTCCTCTCCAAAATGTCTGACCTTTCCTCTAGCATCGTCCCTTGTGGTCACTCTGCCTGCGGCTCCTGTCTTGCTAGATGGTTTGCGGAAACGAAGCCCCCTCGCTGTCCTACTTGTCAAGCCCGAGCCACTGGTGTGCCGCTGCCCAACCATATGGTACGTCACATCTCGGAGCAGATAGGCACCTCCAGGGAGGACGTTGCAGAGTCGGCACGAGTGGTCGAGGGACTTAATGACGGTTCGGCTTGGAAGGATATTGATTTCGAGCAGTCCGGCGGGGAGTCGAGCATGAATACCAGCGGGGCTTAGAGTGGTACACAGACTACGCTGTAGGCCGTTCAACACGGCGCCTTTGGGATTTGCAGAACGACTAGATCGGTTGTCATCATAATGAGAGTGATTAGCGACGAAATTGCCAGCAATACTGGCGTGCAGCGTGCATATTGACTACCTTGCATTTCCTTCCAAACAAGCTCAGTCGTCCCTTTCGCCGCCGCACTCGCTGGGCGAGGGGTCATTGATGGAGCGGATACCTAGCCCTCATCCAGACGTCTGGTCCAAACCCGTCCGGTGACTCGCGATACCACGCCTGTATCAAGAACGGACTGGTATATCGTGCCTGCAGGTTACTGGGAGCGGTAGCAGTAGCGTATGTAAACTACGATGTCCCGTACGAGCGCGATATGATCCTTCATCCAACGACGAGCAATCTCCCTCAAGAACATCATTGGAGACATTCTGCGGCAAAGGATGTACACGCCTTTGGACCATACCGAGAGGTCGTCGTGCTTGGGGGCCCACGCGGTCGAGTCAGCTGGATCATCATAGACACCCCACAGCCGGACATGACGTCCCTCAGCAACCACGTCGAATCCGATGTTATCCAGCCGAGTGTGAACCTGGCCATCGATGAAGTACGCGCAATTGAAGACGAAGCTGTTGGCGTTGAATTTGCGCCACTGTAGGCTGCTGAGCTGGGAGCTGAGGCGGGCATAGACGTGGTAGCAGACGAGCGCATCCTTGAAGGCGTCTGGAAAACAGATCAATACAAAGCTGGGGCGCAATGGAAACGAGAGACGCGCACAATCAAGTTGAGCATCGGTGAGCACCTTGGCTCTCCAGTCCGACTTCTGCTCGTTCTTCTCGATGTTCTCATCAAGAACCCAGAGTGCTATATCTCGCATACTGTACTGAGCAGTGAGGGGCGCCGCGTCGATTGAGGGATGAAGGCATTTGTAGAGGTGGGAAAGATCGACGACGTTGAGCATGCCGCGCCCATATAGATACGCAAACCAGAATGCGTCGTCTGTGTACTCGATGAGCTGACCTGATTGGTTTCCAACATGATCGACGTACTGTGAAGGGCAACACCGACTTTGGGGATGGAAGGGTCGGCGAAGATGGTCCAAACGCGCGATGGGATGCCTGTTACAGCCAGAATTCAGCGCGTGATCGAGCGGTAGAGTCAGGTGTGCTCACCATCCAGCTCTTTGACGTCGAGTACGAGGATGATACGCGAGGTACAGAGTTGGATAAGGCGAATACCCAATCGAGCCAGGAAGGTCGGGCTTGCATGTGCAACCAGAGGCATGGGAAGACTCGCCAGCCGCGACTGCTTCAACAGAGTACCGTAGTACTCTGTGTCCGTGCCGACGCCAGGCTCCTCGTGCAGAGCGTCGTCAGAGAAGTACTGCTGAAGAAGTATGGCGGCAATGAGCCGGTCGGTGACATAAACTCTGAGCGCTGGCGAGAGCATAGTCGACCAGCAAGGTATGAGAAAACAGCAAGGAGTCCGGTTTCGGCCTTATATATGCACCAAACGGTGCAGGCCTTCCGTCACAGGCCTTCAGCCACAGGCCTTCATGGAAGGCCGTGCTTTGTTAATTGATGTGCCAGCTGAGATAGCGGGCAAAATTCTCAGCGGATAACGCCTTGGTATTAGCCAGGAATATACACATAGGAGGGGCTCTGGGAAGTTCCTCATCGGTCAGGCAATGTCGAGCTGACTTGAGAGTATGAACTTGGGATATACAAACCTTGGATGTCACGCGCTTCGCTAGTGTCACACGAGCAGTGACTCTACGTGATTGAGCGTGACCCTCCCTACCTGATCAGTACTCGCTCCTTTAACTTGCCCTCATCGACAGCCTCTGACTTGGAAACACCAGTTCTTCAGTATGTAGCTGGTGCCCTGATTCTTGCGCACAATAAACCCGAGCACACTTGCAAGAGTACTCGATGTATGACGTGCGGGCCACCGTACAAGCCTTCCGCGAGAACCTATGGCGATAGCTTGCGTGGGTAATAAGCGCCACAGTACTGCACCGTAGCTTCGAGACAACCACGTTCGCACCTGCGACAGACAACCTCTACCTTGGGCATACAGCTATGTGCGCTCGCCCGGTGCCCCTGGACAGACTCACTCGACCTTTACTCGAGAGCCTATACCCATTGACGGCATTCAGGGATGACGACGACCGTATCTATGTCGACATGCCATGCCCTAGCTGTTTCATCAGGCCCCTTACACTTCCACGTCAGTATCAACTGGGTCATGACAGAGCGTTTGCGGTGCAGTTTTTCCAAGCGGCGAGTTTTTCTCATCATGCATGAGGACCGATGGCTGAAGAGAGGTGGAACAGTGCCAAGGGTATTATACAGAAACCTCTCCATGCAAGTTCTATTGCGAACGTACGGATCTCGACGCATTGTGGGCTCAGAGAGCGCTGTCGAGCGGCATGTTGGAGACGGCGCCACCCGTGACATCTGTGTTGGATACTCGGCAGGATGCGACTCAACGCGCTCCTTCTTTTCGTGAGTACCACTCGGTATATCATTCCCGCCATGACGCTCATATAGATCACAGACAACAACCCGAGAGCGAGCTTGGATAATACCAAGGTTGCCACCATTGCTCCGCTGCCAACGCCAACGCACCCGCACCCATCCTATAGCACCCATCCCCTCCCCGTCGCCGATCATGCAGCCAAAGATCGCCATGAGACGCGCGTTCCAACCCCGCCTCTACAGACGGGTACGGAAGAATCTCAGAAAAAGCAAGCGGATGACCGCGTCCTTTCCGAAGCGCGTCCCATCGTCGTCAACAAGCCGAACGCCAAGTCGGGCGCAGGCTCGAACACATCTGCCTGCACCGGAGAACTCTGCCGAGTGAACCCCTCGCCCGGGAAGCTCAACCAGAAGTGCTCTCGACGCGTATGCAAGGCCTGTTGCCAGCATGTAATGCGTAATTCACCGGACACGGAAGGGCGGTGCGCGCTGAACCACCACAACCTTGCTCGAGACACGCCGGAGATCGATGAAGATAGAGGGTTGCGTCGGCGTGGACGCGGACCGGTGCCTCCGCCTAGTGCTGTCGCTCAGCGCCCGGACGGTGACACGCGCGCCATCCGGCTTGATTCCCATGCAGGATACGTGGCTTTATCTTGGGAAAGGACTTTGGCCGACAGCTCTTGGCAGCGAACTCCCACTGACGGACTAGATGCGCGCAAAGAGCGTAGAGCACTGGATAGCTCCGTCCAAGTCTATTGGTGGCTTCATAACGACGAAGAGCCAGCCAAGATGTCGCTACGGACGGACGGGCATGCGACCTTTCTGCCGTCTACGTACGCAGAGCAGATGAGACGGCTGGTCCCGGACATGCCTACGGACCTTTCAGTCTTTGGCGCCTACAACGTCGAGATCTGCGAGTGGACGCAGACGGAGCTGGCACAGAAGATACCGTACCAGCGGGTACTCTTCCTCCGCAGTTCCTGCGTGAGACGAACGCCGGGCCTCGAGCAAAGGGTCAGCACACAATTCAAGCTCGGCGGAGCTACTCCTGGCAGCGTTTGCACACCAACGCACTCGGCGCCCAGCAGGAAGACGACACCAACACCGATGTTCTTGGGTCGCATGGCTGACTCATACGAGGCCAGAAGGTCGGCGCAGCGCGACTGCGTCCCAGATCCAAGACGAATGCTCGCCGAGGACTCGGGCGCTCAGATCGTCCCCGAGTATGGGCTCGGCATCGAGGACGTCGGTCAGCACGCAACTCCGAGCATCGAACGCACCCCCTATCGCGAAAGGCCCGATACCATACTGCAGCTGTCTCCTCGGAAGAGGGGACGATCATGCACCCCGTCTCCGCGCGCCTCGCTCAGCCGGACAGATCCGTCTCGCTCTGTCTCTCCCAAGAAACGAGTACGCGGTTGGTCTCCTCCTTCACCATCTCCGTCTCCCGGAACCCCTACCAAGCGCACTGTCTCTCCCAAGAAACGCGTACGCGGTTCGTCTCCTCCGTCACCATCTCCGGCTCCCGGAACCCCTACCAGGCGCTCTCTTGGGTCGTCATTCTTCCCAGGAGGAAAGTTCCCCACCCCTCGAACGCCTCACCCAGTGACTGAGCCGGCGCGTGGGCGTCTCGCTATCAGCAATCTCCTGTGTGGCTCAGACCGTTCATCCTCCCCCACTCCGACGTCGCCTTCCTTTGCTGGTGAGAGCTCCTGGCCTCCTAGCTCGCGCTCGCCCACGCCTCATGGGTGCTCAGAGCACTCGGAACCCGACGAGGGGATCGATAGGAACCAAATCATACCACCGTAAGTGTTCGACTCGACGTTCCCCGTAACTGGCTGACTCTTGCTTCAGCCCTCAAGATCTTGTTGCGGTGAAGAATTGGCTACAAGGCGCTGGAGAGGCATTTCCTTTGCGATTTGCCTGCGATATGATTTTGTTTTTTCGAGCATGTGACTTCATGGAGACGCAGCAAGGATGGATATCAGACTATGCAACTCAGCAGGGGCGGTTTGCCGTACTTCTCCCGGGTACAAAGTTTGTGAGGAGTACGATGTCAGAGAATTATACCGCATTCAGACGAATACCTGACGAGGAGTGCGATAGACTACTGCAGCTTGGTAGAATGGGAGGGGCACAGTGGAAAGAGACGGCGCGTAAACATAGGACACGCGCTTTGAACGGGGGACGTTGATCTCGTTATCTGACTGCCGTATTTATAATCATACGCTCTAATGACTATCGACCCAGTAATACATACGTGGTACGGCAGAAGATGAACCCAAATATGCTTCAGTGCGCCCTCTACTCAAGGCGAACCGACTTTAGTCAGAGGCGGGTACAGCAATATGGCGCAGAGCATCCTCAGGGATAATATGAGGGCGCTGCCCCTCGCGCGTCAACTTCTCAACAACCTTCTCGTTGTGTAACATAACCATCTCGTCGAGGTAGAAGTTGTACCTATTGACGACATGAGACCGCGGGAAACACATGATTAGCACCCTCACTCACCGGTACGACGACATGTCCCGCACGATAGCAGCATAGGACCCGTACCACATGAAGTTGATCTCGCAAACTTCACTGTTGAAGCGCCAGGCATCACCTTCGTCGGAAATGAGCTCTGGATAGTTAGCGGGGTTGCAGTGCAGCCCACAATAATTGTCGCTTCGGCTGTGCGCGTGCTGGAGATGGAAGACATCGACGACAAGGCCAACGTCACCAAGGAAATACGTGTCGCCCTTGTTTTCCAGGAATCGACGTAGTTTGCAATTACGATCGTAGAAGATGTAAGACGGCTTTCCGCCTGGGTATTTTGGGGGGAAAGTGCCGCGAAGGATTTGCTGGAAAGATAAGGTCAGAAGGATCATGGTGTGGAAAGGCGGGAAAGGCACCTCAACCCCCGTCTCGGCCTCTGCTCGAAACATGGTAGCGCGGCTCGCTATCACACCGCAGGGGAAAATGGTCACAAATTCGTATTTGGTCCATCTGCGCCGCGTGATAAATTCCTCGCGTCGGCGGCGGTCGCGTCGGACCTCAGGGAGCTCCTCTGGCGTACTGTCAATGACTTCTCCACCCATGACTCGACTGGCCGCAGAGTGCAGGCCGCGGCGCCTCAGATTCTCCAGTGAATGCTTGGTATCCCGCACTACCTTCTCCTCCTCTGCCTTGTGCTCCGTCAGTTCACAAGACAGATGCGAAGGGCGTCTAGGCAGAGAGCAGCGAGCCATAAAGCAGAGCGTTTCTTTGTGACGATGCTCGACACAGAACCGCTTTCGTGGATTCTCCAATGGATTCCTGCAAACGTCGCCGTATGAGCAGCAGGGGTGTCCCATCACGACACCATCGCAAACTACGACGCGGACGTATCCTGGAGCTGATTTCAGCAAGGTAACGAGGATGATGGATAAGCGACGCACGGAGGTGATTTTCAGAATCGCGAAAAAAAGAGGTACATCTGTCGCACGCGTGCGCCCACTGAGGTTGACCTGTGCCTTGAAATCGCACATTCCTGTCGTACAGCGCTTGAGTCAGGCGATCCGCCTGATTACCGGCATGGGGTAGCGATAGTATCTCCCCTTGTCTGTTCTTGTCGCGGAGGAGGGCATGTAGAAAGAAGGCATAGTATACGTGGGGGCCCTGCAACGTCTCCTCCAATGTCGTCCGATTGATGGCCTGGCACCCACCCAAAGCTGCGTTATACGTCTCGGCGATACCGTCAGCCGATGCCCTGTCTTATGTGTCAGCTGGTCAATGTAATTTGCGCAAGAAGACGAACAAGGCGGACCTCTGATGCACCATCTGAGCTTCAAAATGCAGGATAAGATCCCTTTCGAAAACGACAGTTTTTTGCGCCGAAATCCACTTAGGAATTCCGCCATAATACAGGCGTTGAGACCGAGGGTCGCCAGGGCGGTGGACGCTGTAGTTGTGGTGATAAAGGGTATCACACGCTAGGAGAAAATGGGTCAGTACGCGGTTTGGATACGTAAGATCAGAGCAGACCGCGGCAGTATAAACCCTGCTCGAACGCAGGGAGCACCCCGCGGCGGAGGGTGAATATCCTGACCCTCACGGGACCATGTTTGGCGATCAGGCGCTTTCCATGGCATTCATCGGACTGACAAGTGATGTACGGAGGATTGAGGGTTTCTGCGGCAACCATGAAGTCAGGTCCGTGCACACGGAATAGCATATCTTGTTCGTCAAGGTCTGCTGTGTCAAGTTCGGGTAAAATATCGCATATTGCCGCCCAGCATTGCCGCACAGTTTCCTCGTCTTCATCCAATACAGCGGCTAGGAACGATATCGCATTAGGCGGAAGGTCGTGAGGCCCGCCCAAGGTCTGCACAGATAAGCGCCGGCATAGGTCAACAAAAGTTGTGGCTTGCTTCCACGTCCACAGTCTTGACGAGGGTACGGACTGGAAACGGGCTACAGCATCAACGAAGGAGAGCATCCTGGCGGGATGGAGGTCGGAAGCAAAGACACAAAGTTGCCTTTTGCGGATGGCAGTCGGCATTGGCCGGTTTGTGTCGCGCGCGTCTGCTTGGGATCGACGACGTGGCTGTCCGGGTGAAGAGTCTCGCAAGGGCATTGGGAGAGATAGTATTCTATGCATAATAAGGAGAGGAATATATGAGGCTATTCGTATGCGAGCTCAAACTGTCGGATAATATCAATTTGTAAGCGCGTCTTCGTCCGAGGTCAGTAGTACATACGCGGATAGAGGCTGAGCCTGGGCTAAGGGAGGCGAGGCTTTTACTTGCGTCATAGCTAGCTTAGGGTACGCGTTAGTAGGCTTCTCAGGAAGGCTCACGGTACCCATCCTGGCTCGGGCACTAATTGTAATGAACGACCGTTAACCCTGGCGGGGCGCGATGACGCGACGACGAGTGACGAACAAGAATGTTATTCCAAGTGCCACAGTCGGCTGGGCTTCAGGCGGTGACGTGGTACGTGATGGAGCTCCTGGCTCTCGTACAAGATATGCATGTATATAAAAGTCCGTGATAGCGTTGTCCTGCCCAGTACTATATCATATACGTAGCCCTTTACAATCCCCAAGAGACTGGACCTCCAGTAGCAGCGGAGCTGCGGCTTCCCCAAGAATTCCCCGCGAGCGCGATTAAGCAATGCGGTTCACCAGCGCGGCCAGCGGCGGTGGCGGCGACGGAGAACGACGACGCGAAGGACCAGGCAGGGTGCTCGGCGGCGTGTACCCTCGGCGGCGGCGGCGCTTGCGCCTCTCCGTGGCCGCCTCTCCGTCGCGCCCCGGCTCCGACGGGTCGGTCAGCCGATCCGCTAAGGACTTGCGCGGGGAAGACGCCAGCCAGGGCGCGCGTGGCATGAGTATGCGGACCATGGTGTCTAGTGGCAGCGTCGCGGTGCCCTCGCTCATGTCCAAGCGTACTTCGACACCTGACACGTCGACCCCCATCTGCGACAGACGCGGCAGCTCGCTCAAGCTGATGGTCACGGTCCTGGACACGAAGTCGATGCGGGTCTCCAACTGCGACAGCGTGCTCGACGCAGAGACAGACGAAGACGAAGACGACGACGTGCCGGGCTCGGTGGACGGATAGGATGATGGCGGGGGCGGGGTGGCGCCACGCGCTGCGCTAGTTGGTGGCTGCGGGCGCGGTGCACGATAGCGAGGAGTTGGTGGCCGATAACTGGGCTGCGCGGTGAGCGCCTGCCTATCCCACTCCCTTGCGAAGTCTGTTGACTCGCGGTAAAGCGTAAACCAAGGGTACCGCAACACATCGTCGCTCGACGACGCGACCGCCACGTCCTCTTCCCCGACGAGATACAGATGGAAGGCATAGAAGCGACTGTTCGATTTTATATTGCGACGCCCACCCGTCGTCGGGAAAACCCAGGGGTAGCCCGCATATTCCATGGCTAGAAACGCGTCGCGCACGGTGTCGAAGGTGAAGTAGACGTCAAAAGTCGGGCGTTGACCTGTCCGGTCAGGTTCGCCTGTGCCTGCCGACAAGGCGCGAAGGAGTCCCAGCCCGCGCTCGCCCACGGCATCCATGAGGGCCCTAATCGCGTATTCCAGGTCGGCGGCGCTGACCCAGCGGTGAAGGCCACGGACGACCATAGTGTGCGGCAACAAAGGAGAGCCTAGCGCCGGCGCGTCGCCACGCGGTGAGTACCCCATCAAGGCCGAGCCTCCCTTGAGCGCGCGACCATTCCGCTGGACGAAGTCTGCACTATAACGGCCACGCACGATGTAAGGGCTATCCGCCGGGACCATTGACGAGCGCCCAGTCTGCGCGCCGTCGGGTGTCGTGTCCATGGCGTCTTCCCTCCCTTTGCCCTTGTCGCGACTGCCGCTGGGTGAGGGCGCAGGACCTGCGCGCGCGCGAGATGGTGATGGGAGCGGGTCGGTGTTGGTAGTCGAACGAGGCGGGGACAAAGGTGTAGGTGCCGATGTTGGCGCGGCCGGGCCTACTGACGGCGCTCCCGATGGAAAATCGTCGGACGTGTCCATCGCATGATCACCTGCCTGTGTAGCTGAACCTCCTGGATAGAGAGGTAGAGGCTCCTCGTCCTCGGCATCCGTATCCTCATCGATTACTGAAGGTCCGTTGAACTCCTCTGGATTGGCGTACTGCTCGTTCCAGTAGTCGCTAGCCCGGGCATCCAGAGGACTCATCGCAAAGATGTTCCTGGACACCGCGGACCGCGGCGGCAACTGCTCTGGGCCGGGACGTGGCGGCGTGGTCCCTTCCCGCACATGCACACGACGCACTCCACTACCCTCCATCGGATACATCCATCGAGATGGCGAGCGCACGTGCGCCCGTCCGCTATTGCCTGCTAGACCGTAATAGAGCACGTTCGGCGCCGGGAACCCAAACCTCTCTCCGTCGACGACGCCAGGCCAGTTCAAATGAGGCGGGTGCGGAAATACGATGGCTCTCCTGTTCTCGCGGTCCTCGAACGGATAGCCAGTTTTGGCTGCTGAGCGCTTGGAGCCGACGTGACGGGCGACCAGCCGCGTCTGACCTCGAATGTTCACTTCCATCAGCACATAGCGCATTAACCCATTTGTTTGGAATGGTCCTTTCTTTGCCAATGCCTGGACGGCGGGCGGCTGGATATGGTCGACTCGATGTGGGTCGATTGTGACGAATGTCTGTCCGACCGGCTGCACATCGCTCGGGGGCTGCTCGTATCGAACTCCTTCTTCGTCTTCCGACATATCAGCTGCTTGTCCTTGCGGTACTGTCGAATAGCCCGGAGGCGGCATCTCTGCTGGTAGTTGACTGGGGCCGGCGACGTCAGACGCTTCCATATGCGGCGCGGTGGCGTTCACGGCGGCTGCGCGATTGCGCCGTCCACCGGGCAAGTCTTCTGGCATGGGCGCGTTGCTTGGAGTCCGTCTCGGTGTAAGTTCTTCACCCGGGAGGGCCCACCCGTAGCTGGCAGGGTCCGCATTGTCCATCAGCCAGGTATGTTCGATAATCGGCGTAAACGTATTCGAGATTGTATCCGGCGCGGTCGTTGCTATGGACAGCCTCTCGGTGAACGACATCCACTCGGCCGACCAGTCCGCCTGACGAGCATTCATGCCCAGCCAGTTCACATCTACCCCTTCGACGAAGTCGACGAACGCCGACGGGTGCACAAGGTAAGCCGGGTACTGGTTGCGCAGCAGGTACGCGGCTATCTCCTGAGTCAGGCCGTGCAGCCAGCGGCCTTGACGGTTCTCGTTCTTTCGGGCGACCGGACACGACGCGATCATGGTGTCGCAGGCATGCGTGTCGGCCGCGGCTTCGCTGCCCATCGCCGCGTAAGCCTCCAGGGCGAGAGAGACACGCGAGTAAGTCATGCCCAGGTCGACGGCGTCCTCGAAGGTTGAGCATCGCTCCAAGTCGTCGATGGAGGGAGTGTTGGCGTAGCGCGGCCTGGTAGTGCGCAGCTTCTGTACTATTCGGCTATACTGGGCAGTCTCGAGTTGCTGCGTCGCAGCAGCGGTACGTTGCTCAAAGAGAGCACGTCGAGTACGTAGTTCGTTTAGCACCGCGGGGCTAAATTGCCCGTGGTCGGCGCTGGCTTCACAGCTCCAAGTCTGAAAGACAGGGAGTAGCTCCACAATGGGAGCGGCATCATCCTCGCTAGCAGTCAGCATGGCGGCACTCCATATATCACGCTCCCCGAACTGCGGAAAGCGCGAGTAGTCGAACCTTCCCAGAGCGCCATCCACGTGGCGCAGCGTACGCTGGCTGGAGGGCAAAGGCCACGTCAGAGGGTCTGAGAGACTGCGAATTCCGGGATTGTAGGACACAGAGTCGTGATTGGGCGACCATTCTATGTACTGTCGACCGGCGAAGACCACGACGCGGTGACTGCGAACGCGAGTGTCCTCGGGCAGCACGATCGGTAGCCCGTACGATAGTCGGGGCGGCGTTCTGAGTCCGGCGTCGGCGGCCAGACGCTCCGTGCTGAATCGATAGACACGGGGGTTGACGTTAGACGGCGGTGACATAGTCGTTGGACGACGGCGGCGATGGTGGAGGTCGGGAGCCAAACGGGATCAGATTGGCGACATCCATCCTCCCACGGTCACGTTTGTCACGACCGGTCACGGCACGGTTCGTTACTTGGGCAGACCTCTCATGCTCCGATATTCTTGCTTAGGCTCCGGCGCGCTGCGCTACTCGTACTCAGATACCTCATAGTCGCCGCTCGGCTTGTGGCCTACCCAGCGTACTTATATTCGGCGATTCCTTTGGCTATACCGTTTGTTGTTCTGTGAGGCCGAGCCTGATGGTGGACAACATACAACGGGTAGGTGTTTGTATGTATGAATGTCCGTACCGTGACGATCTATTCGTCTGTGCAGACTGTGCGTGCGTATACGAGCGCTGTCTTCTTCATCTTTTACTGGCGTGGGGCACAATCAGCGATCATTGCTGTCCTTTCGCTTGAGTAGCTTATGGCCCAGGAACGTTGCTGCGGATATTCCTGAGATTAACTAAAGGCGATTCTGCGAACTCTTTTTCAAGGTTGACGGTATTCTCGTTCTTCGATCCAGCAATAAACATTGAGCGCAGTCTTCAACCCCGAGAGGGACGCGATGGATGCTGCTCGCCGTTTCTGCTGTTGCAGTTTGACCTGTCCAGTTCATATATCGTATGCGTAGCCCCTTACAAGCATCTTACAGCTAGTACAGGGCTCGGTGGCGAAGTAGTTCTACCTGAACATGATGCCTGAGGTTCGACGACACCACGGTGTTCAATATGCCGCGCAGATTATTCGCCAAGACCTGAACATCCGCTGCACCCACAACGGTACCGTCGTCAGAGGTGCAGTCTACCTCCAGTCGCACAAAAAGTCGGCACGCGAGAGCAAGACTGTCGGCTGCGAAGATGTCAGCAAAGTCATCAGTCGGCCATAAGAAGACGCTCACAATAAGTATTCACGAGATGGTGCATCAGCGCGAACAGATTCATGCCCAAAAGGATGTGGGGATTATACCGTCCACGACGAAGATTGACCCTAGAATATCACGCTAAGTGAGCCGTCCCCGGAGCGGCTACGTGGAGAATATGATGTCCACATACCACTCGCGTACCGCGCGTACTGGCGAAGTCCATCGAATTAACGGAGGAAGGAGGGCTTGAATGGCTTGCCGACTTCCAAGCCGGCATTCAATAGATGCCACGTTGAGGAACGCTACACTGCTTGCCTAGAGGGAAGATGAATGTCGATGCATCTGGCGAGTAACATTGATGGCTTACATCGGCCAGTTTCCGTTGATGCAGGGAGGATCGTGCGGCATAATCCTCGAAGAAGTGCTCAAGGTCTTGGCGAGCAGGGCCGTCCGATGCCCAAGGACTGCAATACGCAGTCAAGAGAGCTGCAAGGATCTGCAAGGATGTGAGCAATCGGCAACTATGACGGCCGGCTAGCCACGCACCCGATACTCGACATCAGGACTGAAGAAAGGACGCTCGAGATACAATTGGCCGATTAGATGGGAAAGCATTTCGCACAGCAAAGCCTTGTTGGGGGTTTCGTCTAGGAAGTCGACAACAACGTTGGTAATTGGAGGAATCTGGAGGAAAACAAATAAGGAGAGGATAAGTTTTGCAAGAGTAGGTGATGCGCACGACCTGGCGTGGAAGGATGAGTTCAAACACATGGGTATGGGAAAGGTGGCTCACTGCAGCGTCGGGGTCTACCTGAAGATCGTGGTACACCTCCAGGATCTTGAATAGCGTGGTCGACGCCAATCGCACAGTGGCAGGCGAAGGTACGGCCACTACGCTGTACTGGAGGTATTCGGCGATGACTTGAGCGGTCTCGCGCTACGACCAGCCCTTGTCAGTATGGATGGGCATGCGCAGTTCGAGATGGCCTACTCACCTCAGCGTACATGATAGCGTCGAGAGTCTGCGCATCGGGAGATCCTCTAGGCAGTGAGGGAAGACGTCGGGTGGGTAACATGAGGGATGGTGGTGGGACGTTACGGTTTAGCGCGAGGGGTTCCGCGGTATATATATGTGGTGTCTGCGATATGCATGCCTGCGTGGAAGGCCCCCGCGATACCGCCCATGTCTGGGCGTTCAGTGGTAGCCTTCGCGACAAGGCTTGACGGCAGCCCTTACCATGGAAGCCGTGACGCCACGATATCCGTTATGTTTGGAAGCAAGTTCAACTCTCGCGAGTTACATCACCCAGGAAGGGGCCAGGAGACTGCCTGAAGGCGCACTACAACCCCATTGATGTGCACTGAGTTAGGACAAACGGCGAGCAATGAGTAAGAGATCAAGGACGGCAAACAGCAACGCGCCCACAGCCGATAATCAAGGCCGCAAAGATGGGCTTGCTGAGCTTCCCCCGTGCCCTAGCACGTCTCCGATGACGAGGAGGATCCTCATCCGGCCACCGTGTGCTATATATTGTCCGACATACAACTTCTCTTCGAGGTTGATGACGGGATGGCGTCGGGGACCTTTGCGAGGCGGAAAACAGAGGCCGCAAGCGCGGGTGCGCTCTGGTCGTTGGATTCGGGATCAGGGAACTCGGGAGGGGACGAATGATGAAGGTATGGGCTTATCGAATGAGAGCGTGTTTGTCCGCTTGGGGAGAGCGGAGCGTGAGCCACGCTGCTTGACGCTGAACATTCGACCTTTCCTTGCTGAATCCGAACACATCCGTGGTGTCGAATCAGGCGCATGCCCCAACACGTTGACGGTCACTCGGCCTGGAGAAGCAATTTTGGAGGGAAATCGGTGCGAGAGACACGTGAAAAGGCGATATAGTCTCAGGATGTATAAGGGGTTTCCTCGCTGCTATCAAGGGGGTCATGACAGTGAGGCGTCGAATGAGATGCTAAGGTAGGACTTCAGCGTGGGCAATGACCCTGAGAGATGAGACAAACCTGGCGCGACTCTGCAGCCTGGTCTTGCGCGGCGCATCGTACAGGAAGGATTGTTGACCTGCTCTGGCAGTCTCCGGGCTGTAGCGTCGTTCCTTGGCTGGACGGTGTAGCCGCTAGGATGATAGAGTGAAGTGACGCAGCTCGTACTAGGCAAGAGCCGTCTTACGATCAAAGATCGATAACCGAATTATGCTAACGGCGATGGCGAGTCGACCGCTATTCCTCCTGAAGAGAGATTGACAGCGCTGTCGAACAGTATCATGCAGTAGTATATTCCGGGAGAGCGAGACCATCTTGCATCGAGGGAGTAATCACGAACAACACTGATGGCCGCGAGGCCAGAACCGGTGGAAATAAGATAATCCACTGAAAATCGCTGGGACAGTGCGTGTCGCGTTGCCGCATTTGAGGCCGACGAGGAACAACTCGGGTTGAACCACTTTATCATGACGATGTGCGAGACAAGCGTCCGACCTATCATCCCACGCCTCTGGCTGGTACGAGGCAACCCTGCGATTCGTGTGAGATGCTCTGACGATCCGCATGCAGCTATCGGAGCAAAAGTGTGACGACATCATACCCGTCGAGTGGCTGGACGTGCCCATGAAGGTCGGAGTGGAGATCAAAGTCTCTGGGCGGGTGGCGAAGGTCAGTATGCTTCATCGAGTAAACTCAGAAACGACAGTCACTCACAATAGATGTTCTCTTCTCTCACCAAAACCAGCGCGGGGAGGACTGCTTAGTGATGACCGCAAAGAACGACGAGGACATTTTCCTGTTTTTCTCCCCTGATGTAAGGAGGTGGAATGCGCTGCTGGCCTTGAATCTGACTTCCCTTGGACCCGTAGTTCTGCAGCACGCTGTCCATCCGGGATACGACGGGGAGAGTCTTCGTTATTGGCTTCACGTTTACCGAGAGAGCCATGTACATCATGAGAGTGAGGGAGAACAGGCTGAATGGGCGCTACAGCATGCCTCCTCCGACACGGGCAAGTACATCTCACGCGTGGGCGTTATCTTAGTGCTGACGTTCCGTGACAGCTGGCGCGGCTCGATACAGGGAAGCTTTGCATCGAGGATTGGGCGAAAGATGTGATGCGGGAGAGAGAGCGGATGGAAAAAAGCCTGTGTCATTCGTCGCGTGGGTAACTGTCCCGGCGGGACGGTGGGGAGGTTTGTTCGTTGGCCATTGGGACATTCTTATTGCATATATCATAAGACTGGATTGGAGTAGTGTCACTAAAATGTACAAGCTTTATGAAGGGGGGGCGGTAATGACTGCAAGCGGCGTGGGCCGAACCTTCAGGCCGAGCGCTGGTCACTGAGTGTCTCGTTAAAGACTGTGAATACCTCAAGCAGGCTGGCGCCGATGCGCGCGGTCACTCTAAGTACGGACAAGCATACAAGATTCGGCAATGATCGGCCATAATAGCTGGATATCAGGAAGCTACTGTAGGCTAGCTGCAGAGCTCGCTCGGTCGACAGTTCGAACCGGAAATGCTAGGAGTCCACGTGGCCTCCGCCCGCCCCACGTGCCTCCGCCAGCCCCACGTGCCTCCGCCGTCTTCCGCCATCATCCGCCGAATTGGCGGACGGCGGATTTGTCGTCCCAAATCTGCAAAGTTCTGTCATATCGTGTGACGATGGCGGCCCGGACATGTTCTCAGGCGGCGTGGGCAATACTGTAATCCCATACTCAACGAATAACTCTCCTACCACTATCTGCGCGCGCAAACCTTCAGCGCTGGAATAGGCCCCCTTTGCTTCCCTGCCAGCCATTGAGAGAGCCCACAAGTTTGTCAACCTTGACTGAAGGGGGGACAGGAAGGGGACTTGTAGAAGCGGGTATGCTCTATCATCGATCGCGTCCAGCGTCCAACCAAACGTTCTGGTTTGCAGTGACTCTCCGCGCCGTCCAATCCCTTGCCCTGTACCTCTACGCCAGCAAACCCATCGTAGCTCTGATCAACACCGCATCGTGCAGGATCAACATGAGCTCTCTCGATCTGATTTGTCGAGCGGACGACGTTATACAAGGCGTGAGCGCTTGCGGGGCAGACCTCCGCCAGCACGCCGAAGGACAGCTCCATTCAATCCAGCCTGGCGCCGATTCCCTCCCTCGCCCCGTCGACTCATACGAGAATGGCCTCTTTCCGATAAACAAGCTGTCCGCAGAGACTCTGTCCATCATTATCGATTTCTATCTCTCGGAGGATACCTTCGTGTATGCCCCGATGGAGGTCAAGTTGCGGTGGTTCATGCATCCCGTCGACCGGGGCCCTTGCGTGCTGTTGCGCGTATGCTCTCTGTGGCGTCGCATCTGCACGACTCGCTTCGCATCGTATTATGCGTCCTTGATTGTGTCCATCTCGCAAGGTACCATCCCACCGCTTCCCGAGGGACGAGAATACGACCCATCCGTTGATGGTGTATTTGTCGGACAATGTTTACGGCACTATCTCGAGCTCTTCAGCAGGGGCTCCTTCGTGCTCACGATGGAACATGGAGCCAGGCGCCCGGCGGTCATTCCACAAGAAGGCCTTCTAGATCCAGCGGTGGAACCGTCACTCGACGTCGCCGATACTATGCTTGCTTCACTTGCCCAGCGTTACCGCGAATTGATCGTGCGACCCTCAAAAGACGAGGTCCTGAAGCATTCTATCCAGACGGCCGCCAATGCGTTGTATACACTGTGGCCTGCGCAGGGGTTGCTACATCGCCTAGAAACACTCTCCATCGACTTTGGAGATATCACTCGTCGCGGTACGAGCCTCCGAAGCAGCGAAGAATGGAGAATATTAGCGCAAACCAAATTATTCGCTCACGCGCCGAAGCTCTGCCGGCTCAAGTTGTGGAGAAGAGCTATTCACGTTTTGGACGCGCATCATCCGCTTGACCTGCCCTCGAAGCAGATCAAGGACTTTTCATGTCAATATTACGAGCCTCGCAGTTGCCTTGCCGCTCTGCTACAATTTCCGTCCCTCACGACTTTGACTCTTCTTAGATATGTCTCATACAAAGCGCACACAGATGCGACCGCCCTTGACCGCCATCGTCTGTGTGTCGATGCTCCCCAAAACACAAGAAACCCGCGTCCAGTCACGACACCCATTCGCCTGGCACATCTATCGCATCTCAGCGTCTTCTGCCAACATGGATGTGTGGATGGCAGCCAGAGGAATTTCTACTACATCGCGGATTTGCTGAAGTATCCGGACGAAATCTTGGACTGGATCTACGCACCCGCGCTCCAACGCCTGCGCATTGGGTTCGCCTCCAACGAGGCGCCATTCGGCAGGCGACCTCTCACTGTCATCCGTACCATTGGCTCCTTTCTCCGCCGGTCCAGGTGCGCCCTCGTCGAGCTGTTCGTGTTCCTCCACACGGAGGAGACCGATGAGCATTGGCTCAAGCTCTTCGGCTGCCTCCCCTCCCTCCGCGAGGTCACCCTTGGCATGTCCTACGGCGTCCGGCTCTCCGCCAAGGTCTTGCGAGCACTCCGGGTCGCGCCCGAGCGCCAACTGCTCCTCCCCCACCTTCGCCGCCTCACGCTTATTACGGACGAGTCGCCCGCCCTCGACATCGAGACATATGCGCTCGCTGAAGCCATCGAGTCCCGCATCGGCGCTCACGAGCGCACAGGTGGCATCGCTGATGATCTGGAGATATTCCAGCTAGCGTGCCAGGGGACGCACCGGTTCGTGTGGGACAAGGAGATGAAGACGCGCATGAAGAGCTGGGTGCGGCAGGGCCTTTGCGTAGGGCTGGCGGTGGTGGACGTGGCCCTGCCGACGGAGTTCATCGATATCAGGGATCAAGGAAATTTCTTGATGGACTGGGAATGGATACGTTATTACGACGACGACGACGAGTAGGATGTTGCACTGCCGTGTAGCACGCTGCCTTACTGGGTTTTACGACTTTTCGAGATCATGATCATACCATTTGCATACTTACGGCTATCCGTGGCACTGGGTTTAGACCCTATGCAGACACACATATATGTTGATTGTACAGTTATTTATGACGACTTGACTTCTGGGCTCGTTCATTTATAGCTTCCCTCCCCTCGGAAGCTCGACGATTTGGTCGAAGCCCGGGTACGGCGGTAGATTGAGCTGGTACCGCTCCGCAAGTGCGCTGTGAAGAACGGTCAGCCAGCGTCCACGCCATTGAATGAGAGCGTCGACGACGTATGGGAGCAATTGTGACAGTGCACCACGGGAGAAGCCAACAGACGCGAGCGAGGGAAGGGATAAGCACTCACCCTGGCACGAAGCGGCCACCTAGGAAGTGACGCCCCTGGAAGAGACGCACGCCCTCCTTCGGCGCCGTCAGACTGATAAGAACGTCTGGCTCCAAGCCGACCTTGCTCCCGCTCTCGGCGTCGTCGTGGACATTGCCTGGAAAGTGGTTAGTTAGTTCACACGTTCCTCGATGTAACGACGTGAAAGGGCTGAACTGTCAGCACTGCAGAAAAGTGCGCTCACCTCCTTCGACATCCCAACCGCTTGGGATATCTACCGACATGACGGGCTTCTTCGACTGCTTGATCAGGCGGAGGACTGCGTCGAAGGGCGAGCGGATGGGCGGTTGGAAGGAGAAGCCGAAGATAGCGTCGAGGACGACGTCGGTATTGTCGAGGGCGGATTTGAGGGTAGCAATGGGGTCTGGATAAAGAGACTTTGTCAGCTTAGAAAAGGTAACGGACGGCAAGCATCATTTTACCAGGTTGCACATTGAGAATTGGGATGTCGTTCACAGTGCATTGATGCTGAAGGCGCTGCGGGAAAGATTAGTGATGCTGCGAGGCGTACTGATGCTCTTGTACCTTGTATATGTCCTTTGACCCAGGCTTGGGCATATAAACAGAAGGACTGTATCCAAACATGCCTGAAGGCATCAACTACTCAGTCAATAATGAACGTCTGATTGCAACTTACGAAGATGGCGAGCGGCCACCAGTCCGTCGCCGCCTGAGCGTTAACGACGTCAGCCGACGTACAAGGAGGAAGTGGTGCGATAGCGTACCCTGGTTGCCTGGCCCGCAGCAAACTAGAACGCGAGGGTACTTGTCATTCTTATACACTGTAGCCAGCGTCTGCGCACAAGCCAGACCAGCAAGCTCCATGAGCTAGAGGATCTTGTATGAATGGGATATCATTCGGGGAGTGTGCTAAGGACAAACCTGGTCTAGACTAAATTGCGATCCCGAAGCGCTCATGAGCTCCTCGTCGATCTAGGTCTCCGCTAAGTCAACGCCGTCGCGACGGCTGCAGGCTGCAGCAGCAAAACATCATACCTGCTGCGCAAGCTTAGATGTGAGGTGGCGGATAGCGGCCATTTCTTAGCGTCAAGGAGTACGCAAAGGTGAGAGTTCAGGACAAGTTGCAGAATGGTCGAGATGCGAGGCGAATCATTGTGACGTAATGCACAAATAGGCGCCCGTCGGAAGGGCGGACCGGTATGTTTAATTCCGTCACATCATTTCGCGACTTGCTTCCGTCCACCACCATAGGACCGTCCGGTCCCCGCTTAGCCTGCTTGACTTCGTGAAAGAATACAAGATCGATTAGCATGACAGAATGCCAGTATCATAAATCCACATGTCCTGGACTCAAGGCCCCCCGTCAGAATGGAACGTCTATCGCTTTGGCAGAGGACCATCATAGCACAAGTACAGCGGCATAAGGTCAGTCTCCTTTTACTGATCTAGGATCTGGCTAAAATTATTGAAGTAGCTCGACTGGTCTCGCATGTCCCTATTTGCCTTCGCAACCTTGTCTTGATCATGCAAAAGCCTAAGATTCAACGCGTCTCGATCGCGTCCCCAGTCAGACATCTCAGGCAGCATGAGTCGATTCGCGCCAGAGTCCCTATTCAATTTCCTATAATATTGCGTGTTGCTGATTTAAGACTTCCTTCTTCCCCGGTTTTACCCAGAATCAGCATGTTTGCCCTCACTCTCCCTTCCTCCCAGCTCGGGCGTGTACTCGCCGGTCGCTACACGCTCGAGAAGACTTTGGGAAAGGGTAGTTTTGGCTCTGTTATTCGCGCGCTGGATCGCGCCACCTCTTCCACCGTCGCCGTTAAGGTGCAGAAGAAGTACACCAAGGATTCCACCATGGAGATCAGGCAGCGCCGTGAACAATCCCTCCACTCAAAGGTCTCCGAACACCCCAACGTCGTCACCTTCCTCCACGCCTTCGAGACCCCCGACGCCGCCTGCATCGTCCTCCAATATGTCCCCGACGGCGACCTCTGCAGCGCCATCGAGAAGCGTTCGTACTACGGCGACGGCCCTCTCATCTCCCACTGCTTCGACCAGCTCCTCGATGCCGTCGCCTTTTGCCACGCCCGCGGCGTCTACCACCGCGACATCAAGCCCGAGAACATCCTCGTCTCTGGGGATCGCCGCACATGGTACCTCACAGACTTCGGGCTCGCGACTCCCAACAGGACGTCTTCCGGCGCCGGCATTGGTACCCACTCATACATGGCCCCCGAAGTGCTTGGTAGCCCCGAGTTCTCTCGCGCAGTCATCTGGAATACCGCCGCAGACGTCTGGGCACTCGGCATCACACTGCTCGCCGTGCTCAACTCCGCATTACCATGGCCGCGCGCCGAGCGCAAGGAGAAGAAGTTTGCGGCATACCTCGCGAATCCGCAGCCGTACCTCGTCAACACCATGCCTATATCCTCCGAGCTCGCTATCCTCCTCTCTGAGGCACTGGCCGTCGATGACTCGAAGCGCATCACAGCACGCGTCTTCGGGCACAAGCTCGTGCAGGTCGAACGCCTCTACAACTCGACCGTGAAAGAGACGGGCACACCAAGCTGGCTCGCCGAAGAGGACACCACCGCGGTCTGGGCGAAGCAGGCTCCTCAACCCAAGCGCCCCTCCCAGCAGCGCCCAGCTCCGCCCCAGAAGATGGTCGCCCCCCAGCCCCGCCGCAACGGCTTCCTTGCCGTACCCAAGCCTCAAGCAGCGCCCCAGGCCCGCCGTAGGTCGCCATCCCCCGTCGGTGCGAGATCTTCATCTCCCGCGGGGCCGAGATCAATATCACCAGCTGGATTGAGATCGACCTCTCCAGCTGGACCGAGGAGAGCGCCGTTGCCGGCTGCCCCGAAGAAGGCCACCACCACGAGCAAGAAGGCGCATCTGCCAGTCACCCCGAGGAAGGCACCCGCAACACGCAAGGTCGTACCCGCACAATCCCCCGCCGGTCCGCGGAAGGCGCGCCCGGCTCCGACACCTATACAAGCACCCATCATGCCAGCCCCGCCAGCCCCTCTTCCCTTCTTTGCCGACTATCGGCGCGCCCCTACCATCAAATATCACGACATCCCTGCAGCCTACCTCGACATCTCAGCCTACATTCGCGCATCAACTACCGACGACATGTACATCCCTACTGCCGTCGACGCGGCTCCTACCCATGCGCCTATCAACGTGCGGCCAAGTCTGGCTCCTATTGTGACTCGCCCCATGCCCTTGCCACCCATGGCCGCCTTCGCAGCTCCTTCGCCAATCGACGCCTATCACCCCATCCTCGATATCGCAGATTACCTCTACGCACCTTCACCCGTCGACCTCGCGCCCTCGCCTACGGAATACGGACCCTCACCCATCTCGGCGACACCTTCTCCCACCCGGAAACGATTCTTGCCCATCCCTCCCCTTCCCACTCCCCCTGCCCTACCCGACCTCGCTTACAATATCTCGACCCACGAAAGCGCGATGCCCGTGACGCCCGGCGCGGAGCGTGATACGATGGACATACCGACGCTGGCGCCGGACCTCAAGAAGCAGCAAGTCATCGCGGAAGCGAAGCGGGCGCTGGCCGTGCCGCCGGAGAGGATTCTGGTCATCCCGGATGGGGCGAAGCAGACGTTGAAGATGCTGGGCGCGCAGCAGGCGACGGTTGTACCACCGCGGGCGGTGAAGCTGGTGCGGAGGGAGGTGGCGCGGGCTGTGCCCTTGAAGGTGGAGGTTTCCGTTTGCTGAGTGACTGTAGCTGGGCTACAGGCGATGGAGGCGCTGGCGCTGGCAGGCGGCTGGTCCGTATCTCGTTTGACTTTTTCATCTCCTCGTTCGCCTCCGCACTCTCTCCCTCTCGCTTTCCTTCTCTTGTCTTGATCTCCTTTTCTCCTTCTCTTCGTTCTTTCTCTTCTTCGTACTCTTTCTCCCTTTCCTTTCCTCTCCTTTCTCTTCTCTTTCTCTTCTCTGCCTCGTCTCTACTCCCTCTCTTTCTCGTTTCTTTCTCCTCTCTTTTTCGTCTCTTTATCCTTTCTTTTTTGTTTCTTCTTTTTCGTCTCTTTCTCGCTCCCTCTCTTCTCTTTTTCTCTCTTCTGACTCTTCCTCCCGTTCTCTCTTTCCCTTTTATCCTCCTTCTTCCTGCCTCTTCTGTTCTTCTCGGCCATTGTCTCTATCTCTCTCTTGTCCTTCGTCTCGTCTCCGGCCCATTTCCTTCTCTCTCTTGGTCGCCTCTCTGCTTCAGTACGTGCCTCGTCATCTCTTGAGATTCCTGTCTTCGTCCTTCACTTCCTTCTTTTCCTTAGGCCTGGCCATTCAAGTTCGTGGCGTTGATCGCTCTTTCACTTACTTGTCCGCTGGCGTCCTTTGCTTGTGTATTGCGCTGGTCGCAGATCTTCAGTGTGCGAGCCGGTTCTGCGAACAGGCGTCGATCGCCTGGGGGTAGCTGAGCGATGGGATGGTGACGACCATCCTCTCGCTCAATTGGTCTATGAGAGGGAGCGAGTGATTTGGCAGGTTCGCCGCCTCGCTCCCTCTCGTAGACCAGCTGCTTCCTTCAGTCTCTGTGGTAGGTTTCGATCCGTTGTGCGGCAAAGCTGGGACTTGGGGCTCCTCTGGTCACTTCCTCCCATTTCCATTCTTGAGCTGGTCTCTGAAGCGTTGATCGCTTTCCCGCTGGTCGGGCTTCGTCACTGGTTGACCTTCGGTGTCCAGGCTGGTCCTGGAAAGGCGTTGATCGCCTTGACATGGGCAGCTGGTCTGCGAGTTTGTTCATGTCTGAGGCTGGACCTCGGATGAGGATGAGACTGGTTCTCATCCGACGGGGCAGCGTCACGGTATTTTTGTGCAAGGCTGGCCTTGTCCTTGGAGGCTGGTCCTCTTTGTATATATTTTCGTGGACTTACTTACCACCATACTACCTACGGATTCGCGCTTTACTTACCAGATCACGGACCACGAACTGTGCATGGACCTGGACAATGGACACTGGCTCAAACTACGGACTTTCTCGGACACTTATCGCGTAGATTACTGTTCGGACTTTGCTATGGATACGCACACACCTCTGGTACGAATGCAATGTTCAACGTATCATCCACCTCCAAGATACGACCAAGAACGCTTGACCAAGAAAAGGCATCACCAAATATTGCGCGAGCCGACTTGAGAAGGAACGCCAGACCAGGTGAATAGTCTGAGCCAGCCCTCATCTCGCCGTCCCTTCATCGGAACCCGCAAGTCAACCACCCATTCGTCGAGTAGAAGCCCGTCACCAGATGCGGCTCCTTGATCAACGCCTGACTTCCCCAGGGGTTCCGCCGAGGTCCAAGAGCCGAATTAAGGGTCGCGCCAGCGTCAATGAATCGTCTTGCATCACCTTCCGCCTCTTCGCGATTGTAAGACTGGTATTCTCGCATCAATACAACATTAGCTGCATGCACAACGACCTCGCACGCACTGTGAACACTGTCGGGATCTTCCTCGCTACGAGCATTTTGATAGTCCCCTCCCATGAATCCCTCGCCTCGTGTGAGCAGCCTGAATTGAAGGCGACAGCGAGGTCGGGAGCTTCGAATGCTGAGCCTTGACGTAGCGCGTAGTCGTGGTAGGTGCGGGTGTAGAGGCGTTGCTGGCGCTTGCGACGAGAGCTTTCGCAGCGGCTGGTGAGCGTGGATCAGCATCGACGGCATACAACTAACGGTGACACTCACGGGCATGTTTCCATGTCAAGCCAATTCTCGGCGGTGGGTAGTTCGGGGCCGCAAAAGGTTATCTGGGATGAACATCAACAAAGTGCGGTGATGAACAGCAGAGGCGAGCGCACCTGCAAGTTTTTCACTTCAGGACACTGGTGCATGATCTCTTCAAACAGCTGTGCATTGATGATTTCTTTCCCAAGAGTCGCGCCCAGGATCTGTGTCCAACATTTAGACTTTCGACTACTGGTTCGAGGAGCGAAGCAACACGCACATGAATACTCAGAGTTTGCTTCCTCGTCCAAGCATCATCCGAGTTCAGATGCTCAAGTGCGTACAAGATCGTCAACGGCATCGACAGGCCGTCCGTCGCGCACCTCAACATCGGACCCAAAGCCATCGACTTCCCCACCGCCTCCGGCGTCGCCGCGTTGATGGACTCCGCCAGGACAGGCCCTACTTCCGATTCCCATGTCGCGTCGTCCGCCAATGGCACCCACTTCTCCTTGGTGCGGTCCGGCGCGTATTGGAAACCCTCGGAATCGCCCGTTGAGTTCAAGAACAGGACATCCAGTCGTATTTGACGATGGAGGGCGCATTGCGTGAGCTCGTTGTGGCCGTCCGGGTCCGGAACTTCGGTGTGGACGCGTCTGGCATCCTGCCAGTGTTCGGGCTTACAGTAGAAGGATAGATGGCAGTCCGGGCAGGACGAAAGGGGGACGGGTTCAGTCTTCTTGTGAGCAGCTTCTGCACGGATAAATGGGTCCGTTCGCGCACTGTATCGATGCGTCAGATTGCGCAGAGAGGACGTGAGTGCTAACGCACCAGGTCATGCACCGCGGCTGCCAGCATACGATGTTACGCTCGGGGATGGTCAGCTCTCTTCCCAAGCGTGTGGATACAAGATGCAGCTCCTTCACGCCCATCTGCCCCGCCATGTAATTCACCCGATCGGCGCTATACGGTGCAATATCCCCATCGCCGAGAGCGTACTGAGACAATACGGTGTAGAACTGTGTATCGCCCTCGGCCTCCCGAAAAGCTTTGCAGAGACCCTTGTGCGTCTTCCAATCCGCCTGAAAGCGACGTACTTAGATCAACGGTAGAGGGCGATCGCAGCCAGGCGCGCGTGCCTTTTGGCATTCAGCAGAACAGTAACGGATGCGACGGCAGCCGGTGCAAATCTTGAGCATCGCGCCCTCTTCGACAGCCTTCATGCATTTGCGACATGCCTGCCCGACGTTGACAGTAACGGGAGGAACACGTTGGATTTTGCCGACTTCGGACATGGTGGATCAGAACAAGACGCGTCGCGCGTGCTCTAACGACCAAATAATGAAAGTGGACAAACAATGCCGCCCTTATAACCGGTCGTCAATGCATTCAAGGTGTGCGAGAGCTACTAGAATACATGTAGAACAATCCTCTCGTAGCGTAAGCTTGCATGTAACAATCGTGCATTCTAGTAAGGTCCATCTAAGGGGTCACCCCTAGGCCTTTTCGTTCGACTCCTCCGTCAGTACCGCCTTCGTCCGCGGTACATACACCCATCGGCTCAACAATACCCTCCTCGCCATCTTCCAAAGCTCGCAAGACGCCACAAACACCAAGGACATGCCAATGACGATTCCCCACTCCCAACCGATGGCAGTCTGGTAGAAGACATGGCTATTGAAACCGGGAACATAGATCGCTGAGGGGAAGCGTCAGAACGGAGAGGAGAAAACAGAGACGTAGACATACGAAGAACGACGGTAGCCATGCCAATGACAACGGAGCCCAAGAGCACCTTGTTAGCCCACCAGTCCTTCCAGAAAGCGCGGCCGGGCGTAAGCGCGAACATGGAGCGGTCGACTGCAAAGGCGTCAGTGAAGAAATGGATGTCAACGTATAGATGAACTTACATGACTTCAGCTCGAGCGCGTACAGCAAGATCTCGAAGATCAGGGTGGCGAAGACTGTCGACCGACCCCGGAACACGAGATGGCACTCGTCCGACTCGGCGTGGTTGCATTGCGAGCCAAGCTCGCCGTTACCACGACCATATACAACAATCACGAACTATACAAGTAGTCAGATAAACATAGCGAATATCTGTGGCGAAGTGAACTCACGCTAGCCAAGCACGTCGCACCCATGACGATACCGTACACGACGGTGTCGATGATGATGGGCCAGGTGAATACACCTTGCTTCATCGGGTGAGGTGGTCGCTTCATCAAGTCTGGGTAAGCGGCCTCGAGACCCAAACCGAAGGCAGGCGGAGAGCTGGTAAGCTACATAGTGGTCAGCTTTTCGACTATCTTTGGCGACGACAAGTGACTCACCATGTTCACCCAAAGAACGCCCAACGGACTAAGAGGGAACACGCTCATATCATCGCGATCGATGAACACCAAGCCGACGATCAACAACACGACCTCCGCCACGTTCGTCGTGAGGAGATGCAAGATGAAGCGCTGGATGTTGGTGAAGATACGTCGGCCTTCGCTGACGGCGGCGCGAATGGAGTCGAAGTTGCTGGAGGGAATATGTCAGTACTTGATCCCTTACCTCACAAGGCTGTTCAGTCGACTCACTCGTCCGTCAAGACCAAATCCGAAGCGTCCTTCGCAACATCGGAGCCCGCCATGCCCATAGCAATACCGACGGGAGCCAGCTTGAGACTGGGGCTGTCGTTGACACCGTCGCCAGTCATTGCGGCATGCTTGCCTCGTCGCTTGGCTGCCAAAATCATGCGGACTGAGGAGGGGTCAGTGCTCTCACTCAACATGGAGGAATACATGCTGCCCACCCTTCGTCTCGGGCGCGCACCGCGCGATGACGAGCGGCAGTTCAGGGAGCGCGTCGATCTCCTCGTCGCTCAAGCGGTCGAACTCCGTCGCAGTCATAACCATGTTCTTGGGGACATCCCTGGGTACGATCTCGACCATCTCCGCAATAGCTCGCGCCGTAGTGATATGGTCGCCGGTAAGCCTGTAACAACCAGTCAGCACAGCCGATGTCACAAGAAGGGCAGTCAACGCACATATGAACGACAATCCCCGCGTCCTTGCATGCCCTCACCGCACCCAGCGTCTCCGGCCTTGGCGGGTCGAAGATGCCCGCGAGCGCCAGGAAAGTGCAGTGCTGCTCGGTGTCTTCACGACTGATGCCCTCGACGGCGGTCTTCTCGATATAGCGATGGGCAAGCGCGATGACACGCAGGCCCTCAGAGGCAAGCTCCTCCGCCTTTGCGAGGAAGACACTACGGATCGCTTCTGTGAGAGGCGCCGTCTTCGTCGGCTCATCTGGGTTCGGAACATAGGCGACGCAGGACTCGAGAACGCGTTCGACCTTATCAAGGATCAGCACAAGCTACGAATACTCGTATCAGGTACCACTCACCGCTCCCTTCAACATCACCACCGCGTACTTGTCCTGCTCCCGGTCGTAGTAGATCGTCGACATCTTCTTAACCGAGCTCGAGAACGGGAACTCCAGCTTCAAGGTGAAGCGCTTAGCTGCGCGCGTCTCCTCGTCGTCCGCGCGGTCAAAGTGCACCTTCTCGTCCTGCATGTCAGAGTCGACAGGCTTGTCCTGACCAGCGACCAAGGAGGGCTGACCCATGCGCAGCTTCGTGGCGAAGACCTGCAACGAAACCTCGGTTGGGTCGCCCGTGGACTTCCACTCGCCGCGAAGGTTCTTGTGGACGCTGAGGGCATGGTTAGCACTTCGCTCAATGTCAGAGGAAAAGGAGGGCTTACGTGGCGACATTGCACAGCGCTGCGACACGGACGGCTTGCGCGAGGGCCTCGTCTACATTCTTCGGGTCGACGATGTCCCCGTTGGGAGCACCCTTGTAAACGTCGCCCACGGGCTCAATTGCGTTCGACCCCGCATCCGCGTAGTACGTCTGCGCCTTGTGCGGGTCTGCTGCTAGCCAGAACGACCGCACCGACATCTGGCCTGCATTCACGTCAGTGAATCATCACATTCGACTGAACAATATCACTCACCCAACGTCAACGTCCCCGTCTTGTCACTGCAGATATCCGTCACGCCGCCCAAGTTCTCCAGCGCCGATAGTTTGCGCACAATCACATTCTCCTCCGCCATGTGCCGCGTGCCGACCGCCATGGTGAGCGTCAGCACCGCGACGAGCGACTCCGGGATGATGGCGATGGCAGTGGCGATAGCGTAGAGGATGACCTCGTTCGTAACATTCCAGCGAGCGACGGAGAAGACGATGATGGCGAGGATGATGGCGCAGCCGAAGAGGACGTAGGCGAGCTTGGAGAGCTTGATCTGAAGGGGCGTGCCGCTCCGAAGGCCGCTGAAGAGGAAGTGAGCATGAGGTGAGGTGAGGGGCACGGATGAAAGCTCACAGGAACTCGAGGACGCTGTTCTTGAGGCGGCTGGCGTGAGGATGGGATGATGAGCTTGTATCCGTGCGCGGCTTCTTGTTCATGGCCTCTGCGATGCGGCCAATCTGCTTCGTCGTCAGCTAGGCTTTCGCTGGTGGGAACTTGCAACGCACCTGAGTGTTCATTCCGGTCCCGATGACCACGCCAGTGCCGCGGCCCTTCGTGACAACTGTCGAGGAGTAGCAGAGGTTGGTGCGGTCGCCAATTGGCATTTCCAGAGCGTGGTCGTCAAGTGGCTCGATGGTCTTTGCAACTGAACAAGGATCCTCAGCACGATCGTGGTGACCATGAACTCAGGGCTGACGTACCTGGTACAGACTCGCCGGTCAGCAGCTGCTCGGAGACCTCCAAGTTTGAGACATATAACATGCGCAGCTGATGGGGTTTCTTAACTACTACAAGACTTGGTGAAGGACATCTGGAACGCACATCGGCAGGAACCACATCCCCATCCTTGATCATGACAAGGTCTCCGGGGACGACATTCTTCGCGGGAATTGCCGTACTTTCGCCATTGCGGATGACAAGAGCAGTGGGTGAGGAGAGCTGGCGGAGCGAGTCCATCGTCTTCTCCGCCCTGTATTCCTGGAAGAATCCTACGCTACGGACATCAGCATTCTGCGCAGATCCATGGCCATGTATGAAGACGTACGTGGTATTGAGGACAATGACAGCAGCAATGACGGCGCCTTCGACGAAGTCTTGGACGCCGAAGCTCAGTGCAAGTGCGGCAAGGAGGACGATGGTGAGTGCGTTAGCTAAGGCGGATGTTAACGAACTGGGCGCGTGGAGGATAGAAGTAATCACGCACCGACTTGCCCAATGAGTACCCTCCAAGCTGATACCCCATCCTTTCCCTTCAACAGGTTCTCCCCGTGCCGCTCTAATCGCCGGGTTGACTCGTTCTTCGAGAGGCCATCTTCCGCGTTGGTGCCGAGGTCAGAAAGGATCTGCTCGACCGTTTGGGTGTGCGCGTACGACGCGACGCTGGTGAAGTCGGGGTTCTGGGGATCGACGGTGACGGTGTAGCTGGTGTCCGTCCTGCTGTTCAGCTTCAAGTTGCCCGACGAGTGTCGTCGGAGTATGGCTGGGAGTCCCATCTTTGGGAGAGTGTGTGCAGATGTGATGTGAAGTTGGTACGCGTGCGTAGTCGATATTCAATCGCGTGCAATGCTCAATCGTGACAGTCGTGTCGTGTCGGTCGTTGAGCGTTGTAGATTGGATGGCGTCGGAAGGCTTCACGAGCGCGCGATGGGGGCCGTGGACGGGAATCCCACTGTTATATACGCGAAGGCGTCCAAGACCTGCGTCTTGGCATTAGGCAATCTCAGGACGCAGGGGGTTCATGGGGTGCGTCGCGGGAATACCAAGACCTTGAGCGCTCCGATCCAGACTGCAGGCGGAAACATTATCAGTAGATCGTACTATCCTTCTGGGCGTTCGGGGAGGGCGCACCTGCGGCGTATGAGGGATGCACTGGATGGGACGTCAGCTACAGAAGATGGAGGCCGTCATAGCGTACCTGCTGGTATCCCATATGCAGGCCATCGAAGAGGAGGAAGCCCTGTAGATGAACCCTAAGTATAGCACGCAATGTCCAGGTCGTGTCGACCCAAGACATAGCCAAGAACCGAACTCCAACTACTGCTTTCATGCGCCCCCTACGCCAAGCTTTGTACCGGTTTGGCATCGTTATCCGGGCATTGCCAAGCGGGGCATAGGGTTGCAGGAACCCGAGAAAGCGCCCCTGCATCTCGGCATAGGTCTGAATCTCGGAGCTCGACGTTGACTTGCACCGCCTCCAGCGGCGGATGTGCTCCTCGGGGACGGAATTGCTGCCAGCCCGGGGTGTCTAGGGCCTGTTGCCGAATCTGTCCGGAAAGAACGAGGAACAGGGACCTCCTCATGACCAGTTTGGTCAATGGCCAGTACGCATCGGCAAGTGGGTAGAATTCTGCCAAGCCGCCGCAGAGCAACCTGTTGACGTCTGAATCGCGACTACCTTGGGCTCGCTCCCAATTCTCGAAGGTTCTCGCATTTGTAGAGGAGATAAGGCAGTTTATTGCGGATTTTCGAGTCGCGTGAGGCTGGATCTTCTGTCGATAAGGGCGAAGTACTGCCAGGATCGCGATGGCGAAAGACAAGTCGAACTTCCACTCGAGAAGGAGATGACGTAATCAAGGCAGATCGGTGACCCGGTCCGAGTCACGCGCGATCACGCCGCGCCTTTGTTGACAAGACGCGTCACGATTTAGTTCCGTTCACGCGTCTTGACCTCCTCCATCACCAAAGCGTCCCCACCAAACCCTCGAATCGGCCTCGGATAGTTTCCCGTGCTTTCTTTATTGCAGACCCTGCAGAGCCGTACCGGGAATCTTTCCTCGACATGTCAAACCCAGCGAACACTACTCATGCCGCCTACGATCAAGGATTGGGGCGTGCAGCCTCGCCTGCGGACTCAATAGGCACCAAATATGCGGAGGATCAGACCACTTACTCGGAGGATGAAATGGACAGTGAGACCTTTGAGCGAAGAGTCATGCAGCAAATTCGTCTCGACCAACCACGACCCCAGGAGGAGGCTATACGGTCTCCTCTGATCCCCAGACCACCAGAGATCAAAGAATGTGCGTGTCACGTCCTCTTCTTTCCGATTTCACTTACTTACCCTCCACATGACAGTTCATTTGCAACAGAACTACAACGCCCTCTCGCAGCGCGTACAAAAACTCCAAGACGACGCCGTCTTTGAACGAATACTCCTTCGCGGTCCCCGCTTCGCGCTCGACTCTGTCGAAGTGCAGCCCACATCCGACGACATAGACACCCTGATGCGCAACATGATGGTTACGCCCGATACCAGCGAGCGCCAGCGCATGACCAGGGGACCATGGAGCGAGAACAGCACGTTGAATCCTTCACAACAAGCCAACCAGGTTCTAGACCACAAATTCTCGTTCACGAGCGGCGGGACCGCATCGACGATGAAGAGAATTCCTACGAAGGGGAAGGGGAAGGCTCGGCAATAACATCGCGCACCTCGAAGGCATGCGTTCGTGGCGATCGTATGTTGAACCTGTTTGCGCGTTATTCCGGATGCTTTACGGACTTATTCGCTTGGATTACTGTACTTTAATGTATCTCTACGGATCGAGGATACTCTCCTATCCTGTTGTATCATGCCCTACTCTCCCCAAAGCGTTTGCAGACGCCACACCCCTCCCGCGTCTGCCTGCTGAAAAATCAGCGGGGATATCGACGGCCCGATCAGTCCGATTTGCCTCCGCATCAACGCAACATCAACGGGTGCTTTCGCTACGTCTCGCTCCTTGTTCTTGACTTCCATATCCCGTTTTCTGAGAGGGGCTCGTGCTATGGATCACTCCCCGAAGAAGCGAAAACGCACAGCGAGTTCAGACGATACTGAGAAACGGGCCTCGTCCTCGAAAATGCGCCTGGAAGACGTGGGCTCCGACGACAGCGAAGGCGCCGAGTACTTCATGCCAAACGATCATTTGACCCGGTCCCCCTCCGCTCGACCCCCGAGAAGGGACGAGACCTACTACCTTGAGGATGGGAGCTGCATCGTCCTTGTTGATAATGTTTTGTTCAACGTCTGTGCTAAGAGTGCTGTCGCCTTCATCCTAGCTAATGAGACGATCATCTTGCAGGTTCACAGGTCAATCTTGTCGAAGGATGGTTCGTTGTTTGCCACAATGCTGAGCCTGCCGCAAGGCCAAGTTGTCGTCGAAGGCTGTTCCGATGAGCATCCGATCGTGCTCATGGACGACGCAGCCCAGGAGTTTCGGCACTTCTTGAGAGCGCTGTATGCATTGTGAGTTTTCTGTCTTGGTCCTCCAAGCATACCCTGACAACTTCCTCAGACCCCACGAGCTGGGCGAAATTACCTCCGACGTTAATGTACTCATCGACATCGCCCGCATATCCAACAAGTACGCCTTCAAGTCCCTCGAGACATGGGCCTTGGACGCCACCCATGACTATGTCACCCGCAAGCCCTCCCCCATCCTCTCCTCCCTTCCCGCGCCCAACAAGTACCGCCTCACCACCGCCGATGTCGTTGTCGATTCCGATTCCGAGGAGGGCGACACAGAAGCTGACGCGGAAAACGCGCGCAGCACTGCGCTGCTGTCCCGCCTCATCCGCACGGCACACATGTGTCAGCACGACAGGCTACTGGAGAGCATGATCGCCCTCATGAAGCCGCTCATGGTCGGCTCGCTACAGTACGCGCACCTCGCGATGCGCCTCGCAGACGAGCTCGACATCCGCGCGCTCCGCGGCTGCGCCTACCTCGAGGTCATGCACAAGACGCCGCTCGTGCCCCTGCCCATGACCCCTGCCACCACCCGACCCCCGCTCCCCCTCGCGCCCACGCAGCGCTTGCGCTTGCTCGCCGGCTACTACCGCCTGACGCGGACGTGGGAGACGCTCCGAGGTGCGGCGCCGCACTTCGACCATGCCTCGGCGTGCGGCGCGACGTGGCACCAGCCCGGGTGCACGCAGAGCTTCAACGAGTTCTGGCGCGAGAAGACGCGCGGGGACGGCGTGCTCGCGCTGGGCATGGCGGATGTCATCGGGCGGCTGAAGCAGATTCAGCGTGACTTCGACCGGTGGGGGACGGCGGCGTACATGCACCACGACTGTAGGATGGCGGCGCGGAGGAGCATCGTGGACGCGGTGAAGAAGGTGGAGGAGGCGTTGCCAGACTACTTCTCGGATGGGTTCATGGATTGAGGGACAGTGAAGCTGGGCGTGCAAAGTGAGCGCGTTGCCATCTAAATAGCCGTGAAGCCTCAATGCTTGTGTCCTTCAGGCTGCTACTTCTCGGGCTCGACAGGCGAGGGCTAACTCCTTGGATAGATAACTATCTGTACTATAGGTCTCTGAATGCGTTTGAGCGAACCATGGCCAGAAGCGCACTACCTCCGTCAAGTGATGTCAGACTTATCAAGATAGGGTGGAAGTGTCCTGGTGACATGCCAACTGTACAGACTAGATTCGATCGCCCTTCAGAGTGGAGGATTTGTGGCACTCCGGGTGAGGACAAACGTCCCTGACTAGCACATACGTAACATTCATCCCTTTTGTCCTCCACCCTCAATCTAACACATGCCCACCGACATCGGCAGCGTCCTGGCCTTGCTCGGCTCGGCAGTCATCGTCGTCTACGTCGTCCAGCGCGTCGTAGATGGCTGGATGGTCAGCAAGTCAGTCGGGTGAGTACCTCATCTCGACTGTACCTACGTTCCCTGGGCTGAAGGCCTTCTTTACAGCGACAACGCGGGACCACGCACACTTACAAGTGTGTCGAGCATTCTCGCCCATATCCTTCCACCGATGCCATTCATCCCGGGCATCAATCATGAGTTCGTCGAGAAGTTCACGCGTACGAGGCATACTCATCAGGGTGGCACGGGCTCTGACAATGACTACCAGTCTTCGAGAAATATGACCGCGACGTCCTTACATGGGTAAGCGCTCTTGATTTTCCACTGAAGTGGCAAAATGGCTTCATAATGTTCGCCTTCATAAGGTAGCCTACTGGCCTCGCGGACGTGCCACCATCGACATCGCCAATGCCGAGATGATCAAGGTGAAGAGCAGTTTTAATTCCTTGCAACCCCTCTAATCCCCTACGTTGACCTCCCAAGGTAGCCTCCTTGTCCAAGGCGCGATACCCCAAGGACCTCGAGCTTTACTCCTTTCTCAAGTTTTTCGGTAACAATATCGTCGCCTCCGAATTCGACGAGTGGAAATTCTATCGTCGGATCGCTGCACCGGCGTTTTCGGACGTGAGTGGGGATCGTCGCGCTTAAAGCGCCACCACGGGGTTCGCGGGGCGCTGACGCGTTCGTAGCGTAATAATGCCCTGGTGTGGGACGAGGCTCTACATGCGATGGAAAGCCTCATCGTAGACGTCTGGAGGAATGGGAACGAAGTGCATGTGAGCGATGTGCAAGACATAGCGTTATCGAGTGCGCTCTTCGTGTTCTGTGGCGCGGGCAAGTATCCGATTACTTGAGTTGTGTCTCCGAAGACTAAGCGCTGACGATGCCTCGCGATAGCCTTCGGTCGTAGCATATCCTGGACAGAAAGCGAGGTGATTCCGCCCGGCCACAAGATGTCCTTCAAGGCAGCCGTGGTGTGCGCTAGTACGAACATGCCACTGTATTTCTCGACACCCAGCTGGGTTCCTGGATTCAGTGAGAACTTGCGCAGAGCTCGGGTTGCTTTCGACGAGCTTGAGGTGCGTATAATGTTCCATGCGCGTCGGGCTAGCGCATTTATGTGGTCAAATGGGCAGAAATACATCTCTGAGATGGTCGAGGAGCGAAGATACCCAAGCAATAAGGAGGGGCGGTACGATCTACTGACTCGGTTTTTGCAAGACAATGATAAGGATGCAAGTGCGATGGACTTCCGAGGCATCCTATGTACGTGCAGGCGCCATCGAGTCTGAGCATCACCTCATACTTCACCCCAGCGAATGTCTTTGTTTTCCTCGTGGCTGGTCATGAGGCAAATTAGAGTTCTTGTCTTTCGCTTCGACGCTTAACGTCATGTTTTACAGACTGTAGCGCACAGTATTTGTTTTGCTCTGGCTCTTTTAGCGTTGCACCCAGAAGAGCAAGACAAGCTATACGAGCATGTCAGCAGTTTATATCCGAAGGATGGGCGTCACCCCGTAAGGTTACGAGTCATCGTACTTCGTACTAGCTAACGATTTTAGACATACGACGATATGAACAAGTTTACGCGAACCATGGCGTAAATATCTATATCACGCATGCCAACCTGTTTCTAACTTAGCTCGTTAGAGTATTCAACGAGACGCTACGAATGTTCCCACCGGTAAGTACGTCCGGTACTTATTCCGTCGCATATAACAGTCGTCTTCGCAGGCCGTATCTGTCCCAAAGATCAGCGCACAAGACCAGGTTGTGACCGGCACCCAACTGTCGGATGGGTCAAAGATTAGTATACCCTGTCCGGTCGGCACCGCTGTCACCTTTTCTATCACCGGATTGCACTACAATCGTACGTATTTCACACACTCGTACTGACAGATGGGTGTGCGCCGTGCTGACAAACGATCAAAAGCACGTTACTGGGACTCTCCGCACGAATTCAAACCTGATCGCTTCCTGGGAGAATGGCCGAAGGATGCGTTCGCGCCATTCACGCTCGGTGCGCCGCATTGTCTGCGCTATTCTGTTAGTCATTCGAAAACTAACCTCTAGGACCTCGGGCGTGCATCGGGCGCAAGTTCGCCGAGACGGAAGGTGTTGCAATACTTTCCCTTCTTATCTCGAGGTACAAGGTTGAGATAATGGAGGAGCCCCAGTTTGCGGGAGAGAGCATAAGGCAAAGACGGGAGCGCGTCTTGAGGACGAAGGGGGGCGTGACCCTAACGTGCGTATTTCTTTACCTAGTTCAATGATTCAATTATACTGAAGCAATGGTCAGGCCCATCGGTGTCCCGTTGACATTTCGGCGCAGAGACTAAGAATGTCCTCTGCGGAACTTCAGTCAACGTATCATAACAAGAAAAATGACAATCAAGCTTGCGACTGTTGGGTGACGCCTCCGACATCCTTCAGGCCAAGTCCAAACCGGTCCACTACAATCTGCACAATCTCCAGCCACTCTGTCATTGCGCCCATACCTGGAGTCGATGGGTCAGCTTCCACTTTCAAGCATTATGTCCGCTTTCTTGTGGCTATACAGAAAAGAAAATAACTGACCAACATCCCCGCACGCCAGCGTCTTGCCTATTGGCCCCACCACCTCGTACCCAACCACCTCGCCCACGATGCGCAGGTGCTCTGCCGTCAGAGGATGCTCGTACATCAGCGTGTTCATTGCGGGAAAGACATATGTAGGTGTTGTTGGCGAGAGCGCGCGGAGGAGAGAGGTCTTCGGATTGTTTGAGCCAGGAAGTGCGAACAGCAAGACATACTCACTGCAAGATTGTCGCAAGCGCCGTACGCAATCTTCGACAGAGTGTTCGCGGAACATGGCGCGACGAGCACGATGTCTGCCCAACGGCGGAGCTCAATATGCAGAATAGGGTCGCCAATGGTGTAGCCTCCCTATGCGCGCCGTCAAAGTACAGCCCAGTGACGTGGATACACGCAGGGCATTAGCTCACTCTCCACTCGTCCGCATCGGTCCAGACCCTGCTTCCAGCCTTTGTGATATCTTCCGTCGAGTAGAAGGCGAGCGAAGGCCTGGTGGCCACTACTTCCACTTTGACGTGATCATACTACATGAGGGGGCCGCATCGAGCAGATTTGAGTAGGATACAGGAGGATGAATAGTCTGGGATGCTCGCCTTCAATATTTGCTTCACAATCAGAGGCGCTTTCACGGACGCAACACTGCCTGTGGTGATGAGTAAGACGTGGGTGAAGCCCTCTTGGCGTTCATCCTGGGCTACAAAAGCTGCACTGGCCGAGGACTTGTTGGGCATAATTACTTCCGCTGCTGGCGAAATAGACAGGCTTGCGGAGCGAGGGCAACGAGAGACAAGCGCCACAAATATAAACTGAGCGTGACATTATATCGCCCTCAATCACACGCTTCGTGACTTTGATTGGCATTGTCCGAACCAGATACAGCCATAGTTCTGCCTGCCTTTCCACACGCCTGATGTAAGCTATGCGTACTCAAAGCTATACTCGCCCGGCACCTCCCTCATCAGCCTCAAGATCCTCCGACCAACCCCCTAGTACTCGTGGAATCTCATTCACGTCGGTGATGCCGTTTGCTTCCTCGAAGTCGGTTATTCCCGTGCCATGCTCGCGCAACGCAGTCTGCCTCATCGGGCCCCAGATAGAGGGGTTATTCGCTACTTTGCGCAAGCCCCAGAGCCCGATCAGGTGAGAGTATCTCTCGTAGTCAGCTTCAGGAGTTATAGGGAACCAAGCGACACCGTAAGGCCGCCAGTAAAGGTCAACTAGAGGTTGTTCATGAGCCAACATCCAGCGTATGAAGAGAATATACATACAGCCGGGATACACGCATTGAAGCGTCGGGCAGCGCTTGCTGAGCCTGTTGCAAACGTTCTCCATCTCGTCCAGGTCCGCAATAGTGGGCAGCCTCGCAGTGCCCGATGTCCCAGGAACCTTGACAGCGTGCAGGTTCCTCATGAGCGCAACGTGGATCTCGAGCGCATCGAAGAAGCGCCTGCGCTGGGCAGTGGTGTGCGGGCGGGCGGTCTCGATCTCCAGTTCTTGAAGCTCGCGCGATGCATACCGCGCTATGGGGGCGATGATGTCGCTTTTGAGACGCTCGGATGTAACCTTGAGGCTGAGTATGGGGACGCCAGCGAGCTGTTGGAAGTTGCGGAGCTCCAGCGCGCGTTTGTTGTGGTCGGAGGTGACGGTGAGCTCGACTCTGACGGGTGAGGTGCCAGGAAGCACATAGGGCGCAAGACTCAGCGGGATGACAGCACGAAAGAGGCGTGTGAAGTTGATCTTGCGGTTGATGTCGGGTAAGCCCCCTTGATCTATAAGATGCAGCTCGAGTATGTTGTCGGCGTTGGCCTCCAAAAAGGGAATTGCAGACTCAATTTCAGTGACGCCGCATCGTGTCAGCTTCGGAAAGGTGTGAGGGCCCATAACGGCGGGCAGATAGGGGGCACCGGTCAGATTGAGCTCGACAATGTTGTCCATCATCTTGATGACCTTGGAACAAAGGAGCAGAAAGAAAGGAGAACACGAGTCGCCGCCGGTGGGGTTGCTGGGATTGCGTCAGCTCACACAGCTTCAGGATACGTACGAATTCACTCACAGCTCTAGTGTGGCAACCCAGCGCGCGAGATGAGGTTGCTTGTCGAGTTGGATCATAAACTCTTGAGTGCGTTCGTAACCCGTAGTCTTGGGAGCCTCGTATAGAACACGCCTGCCCGCATCGTAGAAGTGGCTGGAGCAGCGACAGACAGCGAAGATATCACCAGTCGTAAGATAGCGTAGGATGTTTTGCATTATGTCTTGAGAGAGTCGCAGGATAGGACACGAGGCCTTGAGCGCTACACGAAGTTGTTCGTGAACCCGGCTTACGGCGAGTGGCAACTACACATACCTTCAACACGATCGTTCGCAGTCATGTCTTCTTCACCTAGAATGCCGAGGATTCAGGAATGGGGCTTCCTTAACAGCGGCAGGGGAGTCTTTGTGGGATGAGGTGGTCGCAGGTCGGGAACAAGAGGCACGGTGCAAAGACCTTAACTCGCGGAGTTATATACTGGGCTTGCCGGAAGTTGCCGGTGGCTGTGGGACACAAACAATGGGCCTCGATCCGCATGGTCAATGGCCATGATGAATGGTTCTAGGGAAACAAACAGACCTTCGGCTCAAGCATTACAAGATACTGGAGCTGTTTCCCCGCCTTCAAGTTGAACGGGACACGTTAGAAGGTAAGCTTGCTGTATTTATACAAGATCGTCTACGTCTACGAGAATTATTCTACTTCTACTTTCGTCCCTTGCCATTAGCGTCCATGCGCGCGCTTCAAGACCGAGCTCAATCGCTCAAGCGTTGGAGGTTGCGCGACAGGTTATACGCCGCCGAGATGAGAGTGACGTGTCTGCAAAGACATCAGCGCTGCATCCACTCCGACAGCCAAGCGACACGTACGTGAAGCCCTGCACAGCGTTGCCGAGGCCCTCGCCGGCCTCCGAGATCTCTTCCGTGCACAAGCCGACGTGGTTAAGGTAGAGCAGGAAGTCCTTTGCGCGCTCGCGTCAGCAGCATAATCAAGCCGAACATCATGTCAGTTCGTACCTCGAACATGCTGACGGCCTTCCTTAGCATCGCCTTGTCGTACTCGCCTGCACGAGCGAGCGCTTCGACACACCTGGAAGTAGTTAGCAACTGGCACCAGAAGGTTTGTTCGAGCGCACGTACCAAAGCGTGCACAAGCAGAAAGTGCCTTCCTCGCCACCGACACCATCGTCCGCCTTCTTGACGTCGTACCGGTAAACAAGGTTCTACACTTCGTCAGCACCAATATATCATCCGCACACCATCTTCGACTCACATTCGACGTCAAGCCACCCCTCTCCGGCGTCTTCAAGATTTGCTTGAGCGTGCTGAGGAAGCGCGGGTCCGACTACAATGCGTCAGCATTCTGCCCCCTGCTCCCCGCCAAAGCTCACTTACACCATGCAGGAAGAACACCAGCGGCATGATCAGCACCGCCGAGTCCATCACATCGTTCTTCTCGTAGCTCTGCCCGAACGCCTTGAGGTCCGTGTTCCACGCCTTCTGCATAATCTCCTCGTAGATCGCGTCCCGCGCCGCGTACCACTTCTCGCGCTGCGGGCAGGGGAAGGAGCGCTTTTCGGCGAGGCGAATTCCTGGAATTAGGGAAGACGGTAAGACAGCGAATGGGTAGGGGTAGGCAGGGGACGAGCGTACCTCGGTCGATGGCAACCCATAGCATGATCTGGCGCGCGCGGCTAGGGTCAGCAGCGCCTTTCATTGGGTGGGGGGAAGAAGTACCTTGGAATACTAGGCAAAGAGTCAGCAACAGCGACTCCATGGACGTGCCGCAGACTCACCGTGAAGTTCCGCTTCTGATTCCGGACTTCCCAGATCGACCTGAAGCCTAAATGAGAACCGTCAGGATGGAACACAGTTGCCACTCACAAGTCAGGCTGTTGCCATATTGACACGACGTCTGCGAGTGGATATCGTCAGCCAACAGCGCTCCATTCTTCGACAGTACACATACAGTCCACCCTGTCGCGATGTTAGCCACGACACACCTCATCGAGAACAGGGTCACTCACAGATCGCGAACAAGCACCCAGTCATCGTATGACTATCCTCCCGTCAGCCTTTGTTTCAGACTTTCCACCACAACCACGTACCAATGGCTTCCCGAACTTCTGACCCAGGTAGATACAGTCCATCCTGCAAGCCCATCAGCACGATCCTCGCGTCTTCCGCCCACCCTACACTCACAGCTCGCCATAGATATCCAACTGGACGTGGTCAGCCGCGCCGTTGCCAATGCGTACAGGCTTCGAGCCCTTGTGACCGTCAAGGTGGTTGAGCTCTTCCTCCTCGAGATCCTTTGAACCGTGGATGGTGTACATGATTTGGATGCTGCCGTCTGGGTTCTTGTCGCGAAGGCGCTCAAAGATGAACTCCATGTAAGCTGGGAGGGGCGGCAATAAGGGACGGCGATCTACAGGTGGGTGGTGCATATGGCGTACCGTTGGCCTCATGGGTGTAGCCCAACCGGATGAGCGCGTAGAGGATGAAGGACGAATCACGAATCCACGAGAAGCGGTAATCCCTGCGAAGGGATCAGTACACGTTCTGGGCCAACTCCCTATCGGAGGTTGGACTCACCAGTTCCGCGTACCACCGATGTACTCCGGCAACGAGAACGTCGGGCTCGCGATGACCGCGCCCGTCGGCTCGAAAATCAGCAGCTTCAGCGCGAGCGCGCTCCGGTGCACTGCCTCCTTCCACAACCCGTCGTACTTGGACTTGCGCACCCAGTCGTTCCAGTATTTGTTGGTTGCCTTCAACAGCGCCGCAATGAGCTCCGCGGTTAGGTAAGGGTCATCCACGGGTCGCGTTCGTCCGTGACCCAAGGAGGAGACGGGGACCAGGGCCGGCGGTGTGGCTATGTCGGCAGATGACTGGGCGCTGATGCTGTTCTGGGTGTTCTCCGGGACGTCGCCGTCGATCTGGATCTTGGCGTCTTTCGCAGCTTTGGAGAGTAGGGAGGGTGACGGGGCGCGGCTTTGCTACAGAAATAGGTGAGTATTCAGCCGGGTACGAGGAAGGGACAAGAAGCACCATAGGGGTCTGGGAGTAGAAGAACGCCGGGTACTCGCTGGGTGGCGAGCGCAACACGAACGTGACGCACTGCCCAGCGTCGAGGTTGAGGTCCGCAGACGCCGCAAGGCCCTTATGGCCCTTCGTAGTGAGGTCGAGCGACTCCAGGCGGATGACCGGAGGATTGACGGCCTCCATCGTACTCTCCACGACATAACGCAGATCAAGGTTCATGCCGTCCTCGGACTTGAACATCGCCTTCATGTGGCGGAAGCGCGAGGAAACGAAGGCGTATGGGCTCGAGTCGTCCTCGATGATTTCCATAGTGTGCTTCGAGCGCGCGTAGTTGAAAGCCGGGGCGCATTGCATGGTCATGGGCATTTGACCACGGATGACCTAGGGTAAAGGTGTAAGCACCGAATATTCAGAGGCTATCGAGGGGCATACCTCGACACGCCGAATGAGCCATGGGAGGAGCGGTTTCTTCGATCCGGACTCCGTAGTCGGTACACGGGGAAGGAAGTCTGTCGAAGGATCAACATCATCAACTCCCTTCCAGGTTGACTCTCGACGAACCCGTGACGCTCGCGACACCGTGTTCGTTCATGAACCTGTGCTCGTGGCCATGGTCAGACCGCTTCTCCGCCGCCGAGAATCACAGCGCACGCACTTGGTCTGCAATACATTCGAGCTCGGCAGGTAGTTCTGCTTCGTCGTGAATGGTACAGTGGGTGTGATCGAGAAGTGCCCGCCCTTGTCCTTATCCACAATGCGCGCGAAAATGGAGGGGGAGTCGAAGTTGGGCACGCAATAGCTTTCGACTGGTGTCCGTTTCGTGAGCGCGTCGTTGAGTGCTCGATCCAGCCTAGCACTCACCAGAGCCGTCGATGCTGATGAGCGCCGCGGTCCTCAAGTTCCCAATTCTGCGGGGATGGACATCAGAAAAGTCTCCGCGACGCCGTACGCGCGTACTCACAGAGCATGGTCAGAGATGGGTATGTAGTCGCGGTCGGGGCTCGGGTGCAGGACGTTCATCCTATGGTAGGCGCTCATGAATGAGACAATTGGCGGGATAAGACGCTTTTGCAGGCGAAGGGAGAGGGAAAGCCTAGACGACAACGACAGCTGACTAACAGCGCGGCGGCACAGGAGCATAACGGTGAGAGCTCATTTGACTGGCAGATTCGAATGACATCAAGTCTCGCGGACGAAGGTGCCGGTCCGTCCGCGAGCACGTGGTCGTGACGCATTTTGTGGCGCTGTACGGACTTCATCGTTTCCGGCCGTTGTTCTCTTAGCCAAAACCCACCATCGTACACGTACGATGAACATCACCGTGGCTCTCTTCCGCTGTAATGTCCTCTCACCTACTTCATACGGCTCTTCCAATCCCTATGCTTGAGCTGAGCCGGCGGGCATGCCGGTACGGCACCTACACCACGCCGAAAACTCCCTCCTTCGAGTGAATTCTCGGGACCCATTATCGATATCACCCTCGCCAATAGGAGGATCGTGCGCCCGATGTCAGCAGCAGCTACAAATTAGCCTTGCTGACTTGCCTCAGCAACACCCATCAGTCCTTCCGGTCTCAGGACGGTCAGCAGCGCGAGCGAGACAATAGTCACGCGTTTGCGACTGTATTCAGCAGCAATCTATTGGGGAAGGCGCGACAGGATCTCCTTGTACGTATAGCGTCAAGCTCGGTGTATACGGAAGAGTACGCAGATGGAAGTGCCGATTGTTGTTCAACAGCGAGCAGGCTTCCGTGGCCGACATCCTTGTGCTCGTACAACAGCGGGGGACAGGACTTTGAACTGTCTATCATGTTTTTGTCACTCCCGTGCAGACTAATCGACGTCTGGTGGGGTCCCTGATATCTCAAAGAGCTCGAACTCGCGCCGAGCATCGTCTTCATAACCTCCAGATAACACCTTCCAACCAAATTCCCTCCACGCATCCATCGCCGGGCTCTTTCGAGTGAGCCAGATCCACTTCATCGCCTCCCAGTATAGAGGCCGCCATCCCGATTGTTCCCAATCCAAGAGCGCCACAATCTCCACATCCTCCGGGCCCTCGCCATGGACGCGCACCAGCACGTTGTTCATGTTGATGTCGCCGTGCGTGAAGACGATAGGGTGATCGTCACGCATCTCGCGCCTCTTCTCTGCGACGCGGGCGGCCGTCTTGGCGGACTCCCGTGCGAAGATGTCGAACAGCGATATGTGCCAGTCGTTGAACGATGCCTGACTAGGGAATGGACCTAGGGCAACCTGAGACCAGGTGACCGCAAGATCTGTGAAGGGACCGCCAGAAGCGGAACCAATCCATCCAGCGGACGGGAGGGATGGCGAAAGAGGTTGCGGGATAGCTCGCAAGGCTTCCACGTAGCCGGCTACGGTGCACATGACATGCGCGTGCTGTTCGCTCGACAGATTCCTCCAAACGCGCAGAAGCCGTTCGCCCTCGATGTACTCCATGACTAGGTAGCCCTCTTCGTCAGTTTCCCAGTAGTCAATGAAACGAGGAACGGGAATTGGGATGGACAATCTTTGTCGGCTGAGAAATTGCATTGCATCGGCCTCGGGTCGAAGCCTGTACGCTTTCCGGCGCTTCAGCACGGTCCCTGCAGTGAGGCGATGAACGCTGAGTGAAAGCCTCGGATAGCGCGATTCTCCCCTGCGAAGTAAGTATGGGACGAACAACCGACGAATTCGGTCGAACAGAGGACTGAGAAGCCAACGCAAAAATGTGAGCCTCAACATTCGCCACGAGATGCGGGATGGCAGTTCTGGTCAAGAAGCGAGACGCGTGCCACACTTCACGTGGGTTTCGAATTGTCGATGACCAGGTCCGCAACACGAGGATCGTTGTACGCATTTAAGTAAAGCACGATGGCATACGTATCAAGACCATGTCCCTTCCTCAAAAAGGCGCGAACAAAATCCTATTTGAACTTGTGAATGACCGGAGGTATCAGGAGGGCCTTAGGAGGAACGCTCTCGACGAATGCGCGCAAACGACCCATTGCTTCATCCGCCGTCAGGCGTCCCGCAGGGTCGTCGCTGGCCATACTATCGAGCAAGGTCTCGACAGGCTCAAAAGTGGACTGCGACAAGCTATGTCAGTATCAGAATCGCAGAGTTGTAGAATTGAGAGCGTACGTCAAATTCACCGAAGGACGAAGCTAGCTGCCAAACATCGAGCTTGAACGGGTCGTACGGCTCGCCCGTCAGCATTTCTGGGATGCCCGGACGCGCGTACTCCGAGACGTTTGACAACGAGCCAGTGCACGGGATGCCTGTGCAAACACGCTCGCTTGCCGGGCAGTCGTCGGTAAAGTGGACTGCGACCTCAAAGTCGATGAGATATACTCGCGGCTTGGATATCGATACCACGCCATCCTTCAGGGATTCTGGGAAAAACTGTACCAAGAAATTGTTCTTGAAAGCGTCCTAAACAGGGCATGAGGTGCGGTTGCGATGCGATGAATGAAGACTGACTCTATGCGCAACTCCCTGGCTGTGGATATAAGCCAGACCCTGGTAAGCACCGTAAGTGGGTGAGGTTTCCTCGCTGAAATCGATTGCTCGCCTCAAGAGCTTGTAAAACCATATCCAATATATCGCCAACGGAGCTTTGGGCCCAGGATGAATAGACCTGTTCAAGATTCTGGGAGACGAGAGGGAAGACTCCAAGAGTAAATCTTCTTATGTCTATCTCTCGCAGGAGAGGAAGTGTATGATTGTCGGCGAGAAGGACGCTCGGGGCAGTAGCTAAGCCACGCCAAATGCGAAGCTGCTCACGCCCATCGTCCCCGATGGCCATGACACGCAGCATTACATCGAACCCCTCCGGGGAGCGTGCGGCTCGGCTGAGACCGTTCTACGCCGTCGTCAACACAGACTGGGTTTGTACCGGACGACGATGATTACTCACAAATAGCAACACTTCTCTCAAAGCATCAATTGTACCTACAGGACCTTCTTTGCCGCGCATGGGCGTGACGAATAAGTATCCGTTGGGGGACACCGTAGCACCGTCCGTTGACTGCTGAAGCCAGCCCCAGTCCGCCTTGGTCCATAGGCAGTAGCCTAGGGCACGCAAACCCGTTTCGCTGAGTTGATTCCAGTGTGCGTCCTCGTCCTGTAGCTTGTCGGGAACACGCCATGCGTCCAATGATCTGGGCAACTTTGCTGTGTGAGCGCGCCTAAACTTAACACCATTCGCGAGAAGCCAACGTACCTTGTCTAGTCCAGCCATACTGTATCAACTGTCGTCGGAACGGCTACGATACTACACGCAGGTGTCTCTGCAACTATGGAAGACGAAAGTCACAATCTAAGCATCACTGTCAAAAGTCAACTGTACGGTCACCTGACGCTCAGATCAACGCACCTTCTACAGTTCCCGAATGCGATCGATAATCCGTACGGAGGGACACGGACGGATTGGAACCGGTATGGGACTCGAGTCGAGCGTTGGTAGAGAGCAAGTAACGCAGAACAGCCTGTATTATCCTGACAAGCCCGATAAAGTAAATAGTAGGGTACCCATGCATGCGGGATCAGTCTGGATACCCCCCCTACAGCGCCTGACCCTTCTTCCTCCCTCTCCCCTTTGCCCAACCCGGCGGCTTTTCCACGTACGAGAAGTTCCGCTTCGAGGGCTCCACATATTCCATGCCTAGTTCGCGCATAATGGCCTCCTCCGTCTCTGCGCGAAGAAGGCGCCAAAACCCGGAGTCGAGGTCCTTGAGTTGGCGTCCCGGAAAACGAACATGCTTGAGCGGCGCGTTGGGGTTGGGTAGGATGGCGGGCAAAAATGGTATATCGGAAGAGGGAGGGCTGAAGGAGGTCGAAGCAGTGGAGTCGCCCTCTATGTTGTATGAACTCTCTGTTTGTAACCACTTCCAGAGCCCGTATTCGTTCAGGTGCAGCTCCATCTTCTCGGCTTTTGTACGGAGATGCAAGTTAAAGTCCTTGTCGCCCGTCAGCGCGATGAGTGCTGCGCCTTTGGATTTCATGGGCGCGAAGCTAGGGAACTATCAGCCGAGCGAGTTGCGATAAGTTCCGCTTCCACGTACCTGAGATCCAAGCGCCTCAGCGCCCCCGTACCAGGCACTTTCACCATTCCCTGCCACTTGCGAGGCACGTTCATGAAGTTCTCCCCAAGCAACCCTGCACCCTCCAATGCCGGAATCACCTCCTTCCGCAAGGACGAGTTGTCCGACGGTGAGTCGTGCTCATTGAATGGTACTCGCCGCCTCCCGTTGATTGTATGAATCACCTTGCGGAAGTGCGCCTCGATTGCCGGGACGGGTACATGCGTATGCAGTGGGTGTAGCAGGAGAACGTCTACTTCGGACGAGACAATCGCGCCGCGGCGGTAGCTGCCGACGAGGATGCACTCGAACTGGGATGGGATAACGTCCTGGATAGCGCGAAGGATGGACTCGGCTTCGTCTCGTTTGACACCGCACTTCATGTCTTCGTAGTACTTGACGCCAAATTGTTCGACGGGACGGAGAGTGTTGAAGTATTCGGGCCGGTGCAGGTCAGCAATGGACATGCAGCCAGCCTCCACAAGGGCGCGAGACCGGACACGGCTGGGGTAGACTGAGTAAAGCGATAGATTGCGACAAAGTGAGACGCACCCAATCCCTTGAACCTGCCTCAACTCTTTGCGCGCCTGAGCGTCAAGCGCTCGCTTGTCCAGCTCATCCCTGTCAGCCTGAGTCGTGTGAGACGATGATCAAGTACAGTAGGGGCAAACGCACCGCATTCTTCTCCTGCAAGAATTCGGCTATGCGTCGAGTAATGCCAGGTCCTATTCCTTCGATCTACTACTCGTCAACTGCAACCTAGGTTACGAGGATACGTCGTACTCACATTGCTAACCTCCCTTGAGCTACGTATGGGGAAGGGGACCTGCTCTATAATCCTCACAGCGAGACCGAGGGCGCGCGCCTTGAACTGGTTCTTGTCCTCCTTCTGCTCTTCCTCCTCCGCGTCTGCTGCCATGTTCAGCGCACTCGCCAGGTCAGTTTCGGCATGCACGTACTCTTCTTCAGCATGTCAGCAATGGGCTGGTTCGTCGCATTGCTTGCGACATAGCGCCTTTGCAGCAGGCGAAAGCAGGTGCGCCCGCGGTGTCGGGCCGAGAGAAGAGACATCCATTTGTCACGCTTCGCGTGACAAACGCGTATGGTCACTGTTTCCCCGTTCTGATGGGATCCAGCATACGAGGCACCGATACTCAACTTCTCATGCTCAGATACTGTAATAGTATTCACTAACAAGCACCGGTAATTCGACGACTCGGGCTCCTCTAGATTGTAGCACAACAAATGTATGCGAAGATAAGAGAACTTGCGGAGGATTACGGTATTGCCGATTAGTGACGGTGTCTGGAGCAGTGAACAGGGAGCTCAACCTTCTGGACGACGCCACTGAGAATGAATAATAGTAGAGGAATGGTGAGCGAAAGCATTGGTGGCTGATGCGTTCGTGAGTAAGATAGAAGTTTACCCTTATTTGCTCTTCGGTAACTGTTCCAAAATTGGAAATGCGATCATCAGTCTCGTCCATTGTTCTCCGCCTGCATCAAGTCTGCACTTGGCTTCCAGTTTTTGCTAGAGTGCGACTTTGTGTACGCTGACACGCGAAGCGCGCGTTACCAGCTCTCGCATAGGCAACCACAAAATCAAGTCCTCGGCTGCCCTGCGCAAAAGCTCGTAGCTCTGCGCGACATAGCAGCACGCGTCGCATCACGCACTTACAGCGATGTCGGGCTACATTGGAGCCCATTACCCGGGCATGGCGGAGACGCAGATGCACCATACAGGACAGACATCGTATGCGCAGCCAGTCGCAACTGCTCCCCCACCGAGAGGTACGCGCTTAAGCTCCCCTCTCGATCGTGTTCATGCGCCTGACCCTTGCTAGGTGGCCATCGTGGGGGACGGTTGACGGTCCAGCCAACCAGCACGCCCGTCTACCAATCTCACTACCACACCCCTACTCCAGCACCCGCCCCACCACCACCACCTCAAGTCCCCTCATACCCTCCCCCACCACCTGGCGTCCTGCCAACGACTCCCCAAGCTCTAACCTCGGATTATGCCTCGCGCATGCAGACTGGGATTACGCTGTTGATGCAGCCGATCCTGAACAACACCAGCGCGGTAGCAAACCCCTCTACGACCACTCGGTCCAGCAGGCGCGGTGCTGCAATCAGCTATGTCGAGCCCGGGTCCGACGTCGATGACGACGTCTTAGACGCCGGCGCCATCGACTCCGACGGTTCAGACTTCGTTGCTAGTGGTGGCGTGCGTAACTCAGTGCGCAACGCGCGGCAGCGCTTCCCCGGCGTGTCAAGCAGCACGCGTGCTCCTTCTGCCGCGCCCACACCACCTACCGACGAACTCGATCGTAGTTACCTTGGTCAACCACCACCGGCTCGCCTTCTTCGCTCCCGCCTCATCAACCTCACTCCCTACCCGCTCGTCCCCTCTGCCCGCGCCGAACAACAAGCCACGCTCCGCCCTTCCCTCATCCCCATACGCGTCGAGTTCGAGACTCCTACGCATCGAATCCGCGACTGCTTCACGTGGAATCTGCGCGAGCAGATACTCACTCCCGAAGCCTTCGGCGAGATTTTCTGCCACGACCTTGACTTGAACCCCACCACATGGTGCGGGACAATCGCCGCGCAGATCCGCGCGCAGCTGGAGGAGTGGGAAGGCGTGGCGTCGATGGATATGGGCATGGATGCCGCGGACGAGCGAGGGGAGGAGGCGGAGTGCCGCGTGATCCTCAGCATCGACGTCCAGATCAATCACCACCACTTGCTGGACCACATCGAGTGGGACCTGCTGTCGCCGCTTACGCCAGAAGCGTTCGCACGTGCGCTGTGCGCGGACCTGGGGCTGGGTGGGGAGGCGGTCGCCTTGATTGCGCACGCCGTGCACGAGGAGCTCGTAAAGCACAAGCGCGACGCTATTGAGTGGGGTATTCTACCGCCGGCCACCGGAACAGAGGACTACGTCTACGATCGCGGCGCCATGCTCAAAGACAAGCGCGCCCTTGGAGGTCAGCGCAAGATCGCACCTGTTCTCAAGAGTGTATGGCGCGACTGGGCCGACGCCGAGGAGTGGCGGACACGGTACGAGGAACTGTCGCTGGAGGAAATCGAGCGCAGGGAAGTCGAGCGAGAGCGCGCGAGCCGGCGTTTGAGAAGAGAGACGAGCAAGTTCCAGACGGCGAACAGGAGATCACGAAGATGAGAGCCGGGCCAAAAGTAACGTATATATATCTTTATCTTGTAACCTATCCCTTGCGGTAATGGTCTTGTAGCATCGGCGCCTCAGTGCCAACCTCAGCGCCTTTCCCTTCGCGAGCTCCCGCCGCTCCACTCAGCTCTCAGTCCTTCGTTTCACTTTGTGAATCATCCTCAAATATATGGAGCTCAGCCCGACATTAAAGCCTCTTCACCCGGTACGGCTGCTGGTACGCGCGCATGAAAGTCTCCGAAAAAGGAAGTGCTTGTTCTCGAGGAAGCTTCCCCGACATGACGTCACAGGTTTCGAAAATTCCGAATGGGATTCAACGTTGCTGCCTGCCTTCACCAGCCTCCCCTCTGTGTGCTCGTCTATCATGTGTGGCCCTCTCGCCCTGTCTTTTGACGCGGCAAGCTGCACGCAACGATGTTAGCCCCCTCCCAGTAGCGATCTACAGGGCAAGAGGATTTGCAGTAGCTTTACGTACCCTCCCGGACGTCACCCCAGTATACTCGGACACCACCTTTGAATACCCAGCGTAATGTCCATCGTCAGCAACTGGTCACCGCCTGGCCCGAGCAACGGCGTCACGCGCGCTCGGGAATTACGCGCCAGGCGTCGCAGGGCGCGTATATAGCGGGCAGGACGAGGGACCGTGCATCCCAAATTTTCTTCCAACCCTTCCTCAAACCCTTCACCACTTCCCCCATCATGCCCGCGAAACGCGCAGCCAACGGAAACTCCAAGAAGGCTGACGCCAAGTCTCCCCCCTCGAACCGCCAGATCCTCGTCACTGCCGCGGAAGGCCAGACGGGCAGGCTCATCCTCGAGTTGTTGTCTACCGATGCAAACTACTCGGACAAGTACGCTGGCCTCACTGCGCTCGTATTCAGTGAGGAGGCGAAGGCGTCCGTCGAGGAAGAGGGCTTCAACGCGGTCAAGGTTCTCGTGTACGATGCCAAGGATGAAACTGCGCTTGTCGAGGCGATGGAGGCCGTTGACACTTGTCTCCTGATCCCGCCTGCCCGCAAGGTAAGCACTTGATTGGAAGAGGCGGTTCGAGGCGCTCACTATTGTTGCAGGACAAGGCGCAGATCACGAAAACGCTGCTGAAGGCCGCGAAGAAGGCCAAGTCGGTCAACAACTTGGTCTTCCTCTCAAGTGCCGGGTGCGACTACGCCGAGCGCGAAAAGCAGCCGAGGTGAGCCGGCCTCGCTTGCAGGAGATCCTTCATCGTGTTAACCGTCTCGCAGACTTCGCGAGTTTATCGACCTCGAAACGCTCGCTATGGCAGCCAAGTCCGATCCTAGCAGCGGCGATACCGGTCACTCGCCCTGTATCATCCGGTATGTTGTCCCACCTGCCACTTTTGACCCTCGCACCCCACCTATCTTTGCTACCTCCGGTTTACCTCGAGCTCATCCCATCTGACCCTCGCTGACACGCGTTCTCAGCGCTGGCTTCTACGCCGAAAACCTCCTCCTCTACACCAAGCAGGCCCAAGGCGAGGGCAAGCTTCCCATTCCCATCGATGCCGACCACAAGTTCGCGCCCGTCGCGCTCGGCGACGTTGCTCAGCTTGCCGCCCACGTCATCACGTCCGTCGGGCCACAGGGCCTCGCGGACGAGGTTCGTGGGCAGATGATGGTGTTCACGGGCCCGATGCTCGTCGCAGGCCCGGAGCTGGCGCAGGCGGGGTCGCAGGCACTTGGCGTAAACATGGAGTTCGAGAGCATCACGGAGTGGGTTGTGTTGTCTCAGCGCGAGCAGGCGGTGGCTGACAAACTTGCTAGGGCTAAGGCGAAGAAGATCCTGGCGTCGGAGCAGGGCGAGGAGGTGGACGATGCGGAGAAGGAATATCTGCTGGAGTACTACTCGCTCGTGCGGGAGGGGAAGACGGCGTACGTCAGCAATGCCGCGTTCCAGGCGATCTTCGGGTCGAGGGGCCAGGAGATGCCTGACTTCTTCAAGGCGTACTCTGTGCGTGGTTTTGGTACCGTAGCCTTGATGATTACTGATGTGTCCTATAGGCTGAGTTCAAGCCCAAGAAGCGGAGAGTAGAGCACTGAGGATGGGACACTGGTAGGGAAAAGGTCGAAGCACGCTCGTGCCGTAGCATTTATGGCCCAAGCTTGAATCTATTTTATCGCATGCTATATATCTTGAGTCAGCCAAAAATACTCATGTAGTGTGTACGTTGCTACCGTGGCAATGGAGACAGCGAGAGAACGTCCATGGCAATTGCTGAAAAGGGAAGGTTGCTTGGTGTTTGTCGTCGTTGTTCTTTGTTGTGAGGCTGATCGACAGTTGCATACACACGCCTCTTCCCGAACCAGAAGGCGGCCGTGATCCAAGTCCCTAGGTTGCGTTGGGACTCGAACGAACCCAGCAGCTCGTTGTTCATATTGTTGCACTCAATGAAGGACAAGAAAAGGAACCTATTTCCGCATCATGGACAAGAATCGCGATTCTTCTACGAAGCTCCAAACACAAGGCATCTCTACTCTACAAGGCGCCAAATACACTTCGTTGATTTTCATGGTCTCGATGTCTACTCCTTGGACAACTCGCCGGCCTACATATATTGCTCAGCTTTCGTTCGAAGAGCCCTCCCCGAGCTCACCTTGCGCTCTTGGCCTGTCTCGACGAGGCCCGCGTTTCCGGTCAATCGGCCTGCCATGTCTTCCATCGCGCCTGCAGACTATCCATGAAGAAAGGACCTTCAAGCATGCGAACCACTCACCGCGCATCTTATCAATCGCAGAGGGCTGCCCGTACGTGTCTTGATTCCCTGCTGCAAGATCCCGCCCACTATCATCATACCCGATCCCACTATGCTTCGCATGCGCTCCAGGTGGCTTATAGCTCTCCGGCTCCTTTGCCCCTAATCTCTCCCCAGCGACGAACCTCCCCGCACCAGGCCCGGTCGCCGGACCTATGTGATGCGCCATCGCGTATTCGTTCGTGCCGCTGCTCGGTGCGCCCTGTGGGGCATGGTACTCCGATGTGGCGACGTTTGCCTGGTCACGATTGCGCTCCGCGGTGCGCGGCTGAGCGTCGTAGTTCTCGTAATGCTGGCGCTCGCCGGTGCTGAAGTCGTCGACCACAGCACCGCGAAGAGCGTTTCTTCTGCTAGTCAGGACGCCGTTGAAGTCGCCAAACTCGGAGCCGGTGAATGCCATCTGGGATGAATTGGATGTAGACGGCACTGGGTTGTTTTCTTTGAACGTCCCAAAGGATGCGAGGGAATTGAGCCTTATCTTTGCGCAAAGCTCTCGCAGCTTTATACTTCCTCGCCGCCATCGCGTCACCGACGTCTTTCGACCTTCGGACGAAGCCTGGAGCCCAGCACGTCGAGAAGGGGCCCAGTACGTCACCTGCACCCCTTCGTGAATGGTGAGTCGTTTGCTGGTGAGTCCTTAGCGCTCCCTTGGCTGGCATATATGAAGGCTGACGTTGCGCCTCAGATTGGCAAACGGTCACGAGAGAAGTTGAACTTCGCGGTCACGAGCCGGGTGAGAGCCTTCCGTTCGTACTGGAGCAGAGATGGCGCGACCGCGATTATGACGTTCCCGGAGTCGTCATGGATGAGCAGGCCTTTCCCGTACCCAGAACGCATATAAGGACCCAACCAAATCCATACTATTTCCTTTCATTTCCCCATCACCCCTTCGAACGAAATCTTATATCGTCTACCGTATACACCATGTCTCAACACGGAGTCCACGCCGACATCCTCAAGCGTGAGGCGCAAACTGGCGCCCCCCGCGAGCACTTCCAAACCTCCGACGCCAACGACTTTGCGTCGGCCAAGGAGACTGCGCAGTCTACGTTTTCCGACCAGCGCCAAGCTCAGGAGCCGGGCAGCTTTGGGCAGGCAGAACGATTCAACGCTAGCGAGATCGAGGGTTCGCGGAAGCAACCGACGTTGACTGAGAGACTGCAAGGTAAGTGGTTGAGGAGAGACGGAAGCGTCAGCGGCTAATGTTACTGCAGAAGGCGTTCAGCAGGCGCTTCCATAGTGACTGGCAGCCAGAGCCAGGAGAAGGGTGGGCAGCGCCAGGTGCCGGTAAGTAACGTTGCTCTGAAGGCTTCGCAGGCAGCGACTCAGACTAACCCCTTATATAGACTGGAGAGAAGTTCTGATCTCGTGAAATTAGTTGACAGTAGAATCGCAAATGTAACCATAGCACCCACGCGGTGTATTATGACTTCACATACAATGCCGCATCTTGTCTAATGCGACGGATAAGCGCATTCTTGTGCAGTTCGAGCTTGGGGTTGGGTGACACAGCTTCTTGGAAGTTGCCATGAGGAGGAGAGCGTTCGCGCAAGGGAGATCTGCACAAATGTTGGCCATAAATCTTTACTTGGTCGTATTGAATGGTGCAGGTCCACTTTCGTGACCTTCCGACATTAGAAACAGGAGCGAATATGAGGCAAACTTCCTATCGCCGCATCATTGAGGAAGCCTCTTCATGAGCAGTCGCTCCTTGGGCTTGGCCAGGGAGATCTCTAGATGATATGATAAATAGCCTGATCAGGTGAAGGAGTTGTCGCTACGACATGAGAAGTTCATTGTGTGGCACGAGCGAAGACTTGGCCGGGTTGCCATTTGCAGGTAGAAGGCCACCCGAGCACGCGCCAGTCATCGGCTACACGCCTTGTTTTTGTTGCAGAAGGACAGTGAGCACGAGACCCCAACGCTGACGCGAGAGCGAGAACGAATGGTGCGAGTGCCCATGTATGGAGAAGGGCAGGGCATAGACACGAAAGCAGGCAGACAGCGGGGCGCGGAAGAACGAGGAAACGTTAGCTACGCGTCGCGGAGCCGGAATGAAGGGGTATAAACGGGAGCTTCGCACGGTTGGAGTGCGACCAGGGGACGAACGTTGGCGAGAAGGTGCTGACGAGAGCAGCTAAGAAGGTCCGCGAACCAGATACAGCGCTGCTATTTTTTGTTGGCTTGTAGCCGGAGATTGAGGCGTATGAGAGGCTGGTCGACGTCTAGTCCTGTTCTTCGACTTGAGCAACCCCTAAACAGGGCTAATACCGTCCCATTAGCTCTTCAGAGGCTGTCCGCTTAAGGTGAGAATCGTGCAGAGCACGAAGCTGAATGTCCGCGGCTTTGCGAAGCACACATAACATGATTGTTTCATTTGTTCGGCCTCCATGCATAGAAGTTCAGGCTACAAGTTCCGCAGAGGCTTACAAATTCCGTCGTGGTTCGGAAGCCAACAAAGGGGAGAGGGAGCTGCTATGGAGCTCATAAAGACATGTGAGGCGGGGAGAGCGGCGCTCGCCAAGCAATAGATGAAGGTGATAGAGGAGAAGGTCATGCGCTGGTTGGACGGTCATGGACTGAGGAGAATAGGTGAACACGGGGGGTTCCTATGTAATGAGCACGCGACTCGGCTATTCCCAGCAGTTGACAGCGAAGACACTGTTGGTGATGACTATGAACTAAGGGGATGCCGCACTGTTTCCCGTTCCTCGTCCACCCATGGTCGACCAACAATGTACACAGCGCTAGTGTGATGGAGAATGGAAAGGCTGAGTGAGCTAAACGCGAGCTGGAGGCGGAGGCGGTGAGTCAGACGACGGGGGAGTAGCCGAGACGGCACGCCAGAAACGGAGTCCATCCGAGCGGAGAACAAGCACAGTCCGACGCAGCGCGCAGAGGCCACCGACGGAGGACGATTGGGGGACAAATGAGGCACTGTTGTCGTCCTTTCAGATCGATTTCATGCTCGCAGCTGGTGGGGGCTCAGACGCCTTGAGCAGAAGCAAGACCAGGGGGAGGGCAATAGGAGAATTCGAAGGGGCGATGTGGGTGGGTCATGACCTTATCGGAGGGTATAAGAAGAGCTCGGCGCTTGTGAAGGGAGCAGTCAGGGGCTGCGGACCGTGACGAAATTCCATCAAAATCGACATTCTTGGCCACATCCTTGGCGTTCTACTCCTTGACTTCCGCCACGACGAGCTCGTCGTCCAGCATAGTCCCGACAACGACAACCCTCTGCCCATCGGCAGCGGCGCATGCTCTGCACGTAACTTCACGACCTAGACGCTGAGAAAGTCAACATTGGACATACCCTATAAGCGGCGTTGATCATGTATTTCCATCCGGTGCGTTCTTCAACATTGTCGTTGGGGGACTCGATGCTGACGACCGTTGCCCCAGTTCGAGGTCAATGTACCTCATGTCGTGTACACCTGTCTCGGCGGCTTCGTTGTCATTGTACGTTAGCGTGCCCTGCGCGACCGTCGATCTTGCTAACCGCCCCTCGTAGTTTGGCATGGTCTCGCTCTTCCTGCGCGAGAAGGCACGTCGCTAACCGAATCGAACGAAGCAACAAGACTGACAAGCTTACAGCTATATATCGGCGAAGCGAACTGGGCCTTCTTGTTTGGCATCATCATCGGTGCGTTCGCTCAGCCCTCTCGGCTCACTTGGCATTGACCAACCGCCGTCTAGGTCCCTATGGCGCAGGCATCTTCGACCCCCGAGCATGGGCAGGCGGCGATGAAGAGACCACCAACGCTATCACCCTCGAATTCACCCGCGTCGTCCTTGCCATCGGTGTCTTCGCAATAGGTGTTGAATTACCAAAGGCTTACATGGCTCGACACTGGAAGAGCATCTTCATGCTACTCGGACCTATCATGACATACGTGCGTACTCTGCGTCCTCTCTCGCTGTGCACCCCATACCCCGAGACGGTTCTCCGCACGTCACGCAACCTTGTCATGCCCTCAGGTCGTGGCGCGCTGCATGAACGTTGCATTTGTATATGGTGCACCGGATACCGATCATTCTGAATGGAGGATGGGATGCTGATAACCTTACAGGGCTGGTTTGTATGCGCGGGGCTGATATACGCCCTCATCCCCGGCCTCAACTTCCTCTCCGCGCTCGCCGTAGCCGCATGTCTGACGCCAACGGATCCCATTCTCGCCGCAGCTGTCGTCGGTGGAAAGTACGCCGACAAGCATGTACCAACACATATTCGTCATCTGCTCGCCGCAGAGTCCGGATGTAACGACGGAGCCGCCTTCCCCTTCCTCTTCATCGCCATTTACCTCACTATCGACCACAACACCGGCAAGGCGATAGGCGACTGGTTCCTCATGCTTTGGGTGTACCAGGTTATCCTCGGAACGACCATTGGTATCTTTATTGGATGGGGCTTCCGCCACCTAATGAAGTTCGGCGAGCGGCACGATATGATCGATCGCCACTCATACGTCGCGCAGTACGTCTCGCTCGCCCTTCTGACGGTCGGCGTTGGTACACTGCTCGGTTCAGATGACCTGCTGGCATCATTCGCATGTGGCGCGGCCTTTGCATGGGACGGTTTCTTCAATCGGCAGACTGAGGAGTCGGTGTTCTCCTCCGTTATCGATCTGTTGTTCAACATTGCGGCCTTCGTATATGTGGGGGCGTGGATGCCATTTGACTCTTTCGCGGACGATACACTTACGCTGTCGGTCTGGCGGTTGATTGTCATTGCTATCCTCATCCTGCTCCTTCGCCGCCTTCCGGCTATCGTTGCGCTTTACCGTTGGATTCCGGACATCAAGACTTTCCGCGAAGCTGTCTTCACCGGGCACTTCGGTCCCATGGGCATTGGTAAGTACAGCCACATCCATCCGTTAAGTTCCTTTGCTGATACCGCGTAGGGGCTGTCTTCATTTCCACGCTTGCCGCAGAAATCCTCAGCGAACACTCGGAAGACTCCGAACAAATTGCTCTACTCGCCGACTCCATCCAACCCATTGTAGCCTTCATCGTACTGTGCTCTATCGTCGTGCATGGCCTGTCAATTCCCGGCTTTTCGCTCGGTCGTCGCGTACACTCCGTCAGTCGTACGTGGTCACGGCACGCCAACGCGCCTGAGTGGACAACGCAGGCCCGCCATGTCAACAGAGGCGAGGATGTTGTTATCAACCGCGACACGGACGATGCCATGGAGCGCGGGGAATTGGAGAAGGAGGCAGACAGCGAGCCTAGCTCGGCGACGCGCACGACCGCGGGCGAGCCAGAGAAGGGTCCTCCGACCCCGGAGATGCCGCCCGACGGCGATGATGTACTTTCGGAGTGGCAAGAAGGGAGGGATACGGTCATTGAACGGCGCGCGGGGCCGGGCGAAGAGGTGCGTCGCTGTACGAGGATCGAGGGTACAAAGCTAACATCGCCGCAGGTCGAAGTCGAGGTCATCCGTAACGACAACGACACGGAGTCAATCAGGAGTAAGTTCCGCACGACCCGCCGCGATGCCCCCAAGGTGGCGAAGGAGTACATGCATCGGATGCATCATGCGCAAGAGCACGCAGGTCAAGAAGCGGCGGCTGCGGCGGCGCACGTGAAGGCGGAGATCGAGGAAGAAGGCAGGCAAGCGGAGCAAGCAGCGAAGCACGCAGAGGTCAAGGCGGAGGACTTTGGGCATAAGATTGCCGAGGCCGTCGCCCCCGACCATGCCGCCCGCTCACCGAGTCCACGATCGCGTTCGCCCTCTGAGTCCGAAGCGGACGACGAAGAAGCCTGGGCTTCCGACGAGCCAGCAGGCGACAACTCGCAGCCGCGCTCGCGAAGCTCACGCACTAAGGGGAAGGCCCTCGCGAGCATGGCGCGCAAGGGCAAGCGGCGGAGCGGCATGAAGCACGCGCACCACGAAAGTCTCGGCTCGCTGCGCCATCCGCGGCTTGAGCAGGTGCGCTCGAGCGGGACGCACGGCGGCGGGCGCGAGGCCAGTCCTGTGCGCTCCATACGCTTCGCCGATGAGGATGCGGCGGCGGGACGGAGAGGCTCGGTCGCGGGGAGCAGTATGACGGGTGGGGACTCCGAGCCGCAGAGTCCGACGAGCATGCGGAACTCGGGCACGGGGAACCACATTTCCTTCGACCTGCCACCCGAGGGGTCTGCGAAGGCAGGGGCATCTTGAGCGACGGTGGTTGGAGCGATGCTTTTGGAGTAATGGAGAGGGGAGGATGCACGGACGATTGAATGACGCGACGACAATGCGCAACCGCTACACGATGACTGCGACGCCCCGGTATGCATAGCACAGCAAAGGCTGACGTGCTTATCCGCTGCCTGGCTGGCGCGCTCACCTACCTAGCGCGCTTACCTGCTATCAAAGCTATGCTGTAGTAACCTACCTCACCGCCATACCGATACACGCGCGCACATACCTAGGCGTTGCACATACACTCCACACATCCTATGGCCGCACGAGAGGGTCACTTCATTGTATTTACAGTTTTTGCTGCGCTATCCTTTTTCTGCAATTCAGTGATTGTCAGAACTAGCTGGAGCTTGAAGGCCGCTGTACGCGGCTTTTACATTACAAGACAATAGGTGAGTCTACTCGTCAAGCTTCGCCCTCAATCCTCCTTCGCCCGAGGGGACGTCTCGTCCAAGCTAATCCCAAGCGCCGAACGCATGAACGCCAGCACCGGACACGCAACTTGCGCCACAATCCCGGGGAGGCCCACCCACTGCATAATCCTGAACATCAGGCCAACAAGCGCAACCAGCATCGGCCACTCTCCGGGCACGCGCTGCAGGTGTTCGTCGATATCCGTCACGATGGGGAACGGAGGGAGAGCTGGCGAATCTCCCTCAACGGCCGCCATCGCAGCGGCAAGTCCGGACGCGAACCCGTCTTCGTGGAAGCCGTACTTGGTGTAGGCGCCGGCGTACCAGATGGAACGCGTTCCCTGGATGAGCTTGAGGAGCTTTTGGGCACGGACGGCCTTTCGGGGTGGTCAGACAAGAGAGGCATGAAAACAATCACGAGAAGAAGACTCACCTTCGCATCGAGAATGGGGTGCTCGTACTTCCATCGACCTACGATCTTGTCAGGTGCGGGCTCGAAGGGTGCGTTGAGCGTGATGAGGACGGGGCCGTGCTTTGCGTATGAGATGTGCTGGAGGTCGTTCATGCCGTCTGTACGATACTGCTCAACAATAGATGCAAATAAGCCGTAGGATGCTCACATGTCCTGTAAGGATGAGGGTAAGCTCGAGCAAACGAAGGTCATAACAGTACCGACAGTGATATCCGCGGCTCGTTGGGGAGACGCTGGCCGTCTGCATCAATGGTGGAGGTCGTCAGGTAGTTCCAGCACGACCACGCTAACTTGCTCTTCGGCATCAGCTTTGGAACGCGTCAGTTCCACATTAGTCAGCTCATCAAGCCAACGTACCCGCTCATCATGGTGCAGGATACACTCGTTCTTATTCCACTTGAACGTGCCGAGCAAATCGCGCTCCCTCGACGTGATCCCCCCGCCGAGCGCAGGACCTCCTGCTTCCAGAATCCGCAGAGCAGTATCCGAGTGGCAAGACATGATGACCCGGTCGTATATCTCTGTTGTGCCGTTGGCGGTGCGCAACTGGACGCGCGAGTTGGGCAAGGTTTTGACGCTCTGAACCGGCGTGGAGAGGTGCAGCTGGCTGGAGGGGAGCCTAGAGAGGATCTTGTCGACGTAGTTTATGCTGAGTTCGTGGTTAACGAGAGAGTCGGTAGAAGGGGAAATGTCTTACCTGCCGCCCTTGATGGTGAGCCACTTGGGCTTTCCCGTGATTTGCAGAAGATGATGGTTTCGCATGAAGCGAATCTACAAATCAATAAGCGGGCTTGTATACGGAAACGGGGTCAGTGTACTCACCAGCGTCCGTGCAGGGAAGTCGGTGGCACACTCGTCCGGTGGTGTGCTCCAGATTGCAGCGGTCATGGGCTTGAAGGTGGGCAAGCTCAGCGTGACTGGAGAGCCAATGAAAAGGAAAAGGCACCCACGATCAAGTAGTTATCCCTGAACGAGTCAGAGTAGGCTTCACGCTCGAGATAATCGCCGACAGACATATCATCGGACACGGAATGGTCTGATAGAATCCGTCGCGCGGAGGCGTTGAAGCGCAGAACATCGTACAAGAGGCGCCACATATCCGGGTCGAGCAGCCGCTTGGGCTGACAGAAGACAGAGAATATATTGTTTCCTGCCCACTCGAAAGCGCCGTTATCCCGAGAGACGCTGAACGTCATCTCGGTGGGTAAGATGGTGATGTCGGGCTGCATTTGCAGGAAGCGCAAGAAGTTCGGGTATGTCGTGGGGTTGAACACAATCTGTCTGGGGTAAGTACTTTTCTACACTTCCCCGCCGATGAGAAACCCACGAATCCGCTGCAAAAGCCTTCGACTTAGCGTCCGGCGTATTTGACATGAGCGGCATGACTTACGTGTCCACATCCACGCCCTCACTCGCGTCCTGACCTTGCCTTCGAAAACGGACGGTATTCGCATGGCCGCCAGGTCGGGCCTCTGACTCATATAGATGCACCTCGTGAGGTGAGTACTCGTTGAGCAGCTGAATGCGCATTCAGATCCAGTAATTCTTGACCTGATAACCAAACTTACCCAAGTAGCGCCCAATCCAGAGACGCCAGACCCGACAACTGCGATCTTCATGGTTGAGGACAAGCATTGCGTCGCCTGTGGTAGTAGGGCGGCTCATAGACGCGATCGCCAGCCGACCGGGAGACGATCAACGGAAATGGAAAGAGCAAAGGGACGTCCTCTTTGGGATCGAGAACACGTGTCATCGTGGTTGGCTGCACGACTTGAACGACGGCCTAGTTTCGCAAAGCCAGCTATATTTTGCTTTAGGCCTTCGCATAAGAGCACTATACCCGCTGGTGTGCGGATATGTATCACCAAGGTGCCAGAGGTGGATCATTTGGTCCGAATATCGATGGGGGAAATGCAATTGAGGGGAGGCGGATACCCCACCAGTTAGGGCAGCGAAAGTAGCAAGCTGAGAGACCGGAGCAATGGATAGCCCTCAAAAGGAATCAAGGTCGGAACTCATCAAGCGCAACGAACCATTGGGGCTTGTAGGCGTATATCGCATGGCAAGCACGTTGTGTGCTGATGCGTGTGATTCTGAACGGGTCAGCTTGCTTCGCACCAAGAGGCAGCGTATGACGCATTCCCCAGGTTCTTCCCCGCACTGTCTCTCCTCCGGCATACATGCCTGTGCTGGACTTCATTGACCTACCGCCATGCGCGACGCCCCTACCACCGACAGGCTCTCAGCCCGAGAAGAGACCAGCTCGCCCAGCGCACACGATCAGAGCGTCCCTACCCAGCATCGACACAGACGTTCTCGCCAGGGAGCGAAAACTGTCTTCACCAGCAAGTCCGGCAAAGGCATCACCCTCTTATGCATCGACAATCATACCTCAAGTGCTCTTTGCAACACTGCCGACCAGTGAAACAGGCGCGCCACAGAAGAGGGACCCCAAGTCGCAGAAGCTGCTGTCGAAGCGGGACCCGCTTTCGATTCAAATCACGACCATAAACTTCAAGAGGTTCATTGAGGTAGTTGGCCCCGTCTTCTGGTTGCAAGATCGGATCGAAGAGATCCTGTGTTGGCGGAAAGGCGCCAAAGTCACCGGGGTGTGGATGGCCGCCTACGCGTTCATTTGTATGTTATAAGCTCTTTCATCTGTATTTCCATCTGATACTCTTGCAGGCTTGTACCCAAGACTACTACTTGTACTTCCCAGCATGGTCCTCATCGCCCTCATACTCCTTCCCTCTACTTCAGCCGCACCAAATGCCAATGTCAAACCCGGACCTACCCAGCCGCTTGACACTCCACCTACCGGCGTTGACTACCAGGCGAACGTCCAAGCCATCCAGAACCTGATGGGCTTCGTTGCAGACATGCACGATGCTGTCGTCGTCCCCTACGTGATACCCTTCTTCTCACCCAACAACGCGACGAAGCGCCATATCGCCCTCACTCTCCTCACCGCCACGCTTCTCCCTACCCTCTTCCTCGTCTCCCTCCCGTATTTCCCTATTCGTTGGCTTTGTCTCGTGGGCGGGCTTTCCTTCTGGTCCCTCTTCAACCCGCACGTGCGCTACTTCCTCCTCGCGCCGTCGCAGGTCCTCGAGCCCGAGTGGTCGCACGCCTTCGTCGACCTCTTCCACTCCTGTCGCGCCGTGTTCCGCAAGGTGCGTGGTCGCGCGGAGTCGCAAGCGCGCTGGCCCTGGCTGCACGCGCATGACGCGGGGAAGTGGGCGCGCATGCGGGCCGTGCGTGCGGTGGACGATGACAACCTCACGGACGACGTGTGGCGGAGCGAGATGGAGGAGGTCGAGCTGTACGAGAACGAGCGGCTGGCCCCAGGGGCGGACGGGAAGCAGCCGGCGTGGTCGAAGGAGGCGCTGAAGCCGACTGTGGATCGCGCGGCGTGGACGAGAGGGAGGGATGGGTGGAGCGGGATCGACGAGCAGGGCGGTGGGACTGTCAGGTGCGGAGATCTGCTTGGTTGAGGTTGGAATGTTTGCTGACGATACACGACTCCCGGCAGCAGCAATCTGACGTTCTCGCTTGCGCCTGGCTGGAAGTTTGTTGAGACGGAGACCTGGCGAGCAGACCTAGTTGGCGAATGGAGTGGGGTTGGTGCAGACGACGGTACATTTTCTGTCCATGGCGCTCATTCTCGATGTCGTGCTAACGATGTTCTTACCAGACGGCTGGGTATACACTACGGATGCCTGGCAGGATCCCGCACCCTATCCTGAGCCAGGAAAGGTCACGAGGAGGAGACGATGGATACGTAGAGTTTATTACGCTGGTGAGCAGCGGGGGCCACGACCTCACGGCGGTAGAACATGTTCTCCGTCTGCTGCCTAATGCTATAACCGCTTCCATTGTACTTCAGCTGCCCTGAAGTGGGCTGTGCTCGAGGATGACGGAAGAGAGGCGCAAATCTCCCCGAATATTCTAGCCAGTCTCTCGTTTGTATTGCGCAGAGGGCGTAGGGCGAAAGGATGCCTCCGCTGGATGCGCGCCCGAGAAGCCCGAGCATCAATTCCACTTCAGGGAAAGGACCCGCGCAGAAGGTGGCAATACTATGTGATTTCCGCTTGCATCGTATCTTACGATGGATAGAAGGTTCGTCTGGACGATGACGGGCACATAGCGGAGGCCCATCGATACCGTGGCTCATTGACGGTCGATAGTCGTGCCACCGTGTCACCCTACCTTAAAAGCGGCTGTGAGGAGTTACGGGACATTACAGATACCCTGTATGCATGAGTGAAGGCGGGTACCTCTCGCGGAACATGCAATGGGAAGACCTGAATTTAGTGGAAGGACGAAGAGCGGAAGGAAAGCGAAGATTCATTAAGCTGCGGCAAATGCCGGAACATGTTCGAACCTCAACGATCTGTTTGCCCTTGTCTTTCTGAAGCGACCGGGCTCAATGGCGCAGACGCGGTCACATGTGGAACGGAGAGCAGGAGTGCAGTGCATACGACTATTAGAGCGGTCTATTTTATGGTCGCGCCTCTGTCTTCGGTGCGGGCTTCTGAAGCGCGGAGGCACTAGCACGGTAGGCGTCGAGCAAAGCCGGGTCGATGTTGCGCAACTTCTCCTCCAGCTTGGCCTTGTCCACCTTGCCCTTCGACGTGCGAGGGACCTCGAACCCATCCGCCTCCCCAGCCCACTGCGAGTGCATCTTCTGCGCGAGGACGTTGTCATCCCAGTCCGCGTTGCGCGCCGCCGACATGATGCCGTCCGCAGCCGCCGCGAACTGCTCGGGGATCTGCTGCACGGGCCTGCGGTGCTCGGGCTTCAACCACTCAGCGGGGAAGTCGTAGATGGTTGGCTTGTGGAAGACGCGGTCGCGGATGTGATCGCCCTTCTTGGCTTTCTTGCGCTGCGCGAAGACGTGGCGCATGTCGACCGGGAGCTCGGAAAGCTGGAACTGGTCGTCCGGTTTCTGGGGGAGGTAGTGTAAGAAGGAGTGGAGACCAAAGGATGACAGGTATGCGCACGTTAGCTTCCTTGCACAACCGCACGAGCGTGTCGCGGATCCACTTCAGGTTCATGGCCGGGTCGGGGAAGTCCTCGCAAGAGATCTTGATGAACCCGTTGGCCCAGACAGCAGACCCCTGCACACCAGCGTCCTTGGGCGGACTGGGTGTCCAGCGCGTCCCGGCCAGCAGCTTGACCTTGTGCTTCGCGCGCTCGCTGTGCAGCGGGAGCTCGTCGACGGAGACCGTCATGGCGCGCTTGTTCGTTACCGGGTGCTCCTCACCGGCATAGTCAATTGACCGCACGATAAGGGGACGGTCAGGCGATGGCGGGACGAATGGTTTGCGGAAGGCTGCATGCAATCAGAACTCGATTCACTGTGGTATTTAGCGCGACGCACCAACAAGCTTCGGACATTCGTGCTCGATGAGACGCATGTAGTACAGCTTGTCCCGCAGCTCGTCAATCATGTGGTGACCCAGCGTCGTCGTGTCATCGTCCTCGAACTCGTCTTCGAGCAGGTCGAACGCATCCTCGGAGTGCATTTCCTCCTCGCCTCCACGGCGACGGAGCTCAGACGCGCGAGCGGATGCATGAAAAGCTCGAACATGAGCGCCAGACGGTATGGCACGGTGCGACGCTTGCAGAGCGCGCGACGGCTGAAGCGCCCGACCGACACCTAGAGCCTGGCGCAACATGGAGGTGAATTGCTGAAAACAGCACAGCCACGGTGTCGAAATGCGCGGCCCGGGGTGCCGGGCCACGATTGAGGAGTTGCTTCCGCTTTCTCACGCGCGTACTTCCTACTCTCATCACAACGATATTCAAGATCTCTACGTTACACATTTTTCTTGACTTTGCGACCTTCTCCCCCTTGATCCTACGCATCAAGTCAAGTCTCCTGCCCGGTTTATGAAGGATAGATATTTTGTTCAAATGCAAGTTAAGCGTCCACTACGGTCACCCAAAGCCTGGGTTGGCCTGGGCGCGCCTGGCCTCCTCCTCCCATGCGTGACCATCAAGTACTTGCGGGATAAACCGGACATCCGGGAGACTATTCACGGGACGCCGCTGCCATCCATCATACGCAATTTATCAGTTTCGTCCATGTTTTCTCCTCCCGCTCCCCTTCCCGCTCCCAATCCCTGCCCTCGAACGTCAGTACCCTTTGGAGCGGCGCTCGATTCGCTGCGGGAGGGTAGCACAGCTCTCCCAGCACATGAGGGTGTAACAAAGCACGATACGGGGTGAGTCAGTCATCATGAACTTACCTGCGCGCGCGCTGAGGGAATACATACAGTACGTGCCTTGACAAAGTACGTAAGGCCAGCTGGCCGTATCCTGCCCGCGAGTGTCACGAGAGCTGCTGGCTGCAGCAGTCGGAAGGTGCGCCTCTGCGGCTGAATGACGACAGGGTTACCGGGCGATCGTGGTGGCTGGGGTAGCGCGCTTCGCTGTATTGCGCTGTCCGGTGTGATGATAGGCGGAAGAGGGTGCTTTGCAGGGTGCGCTGAGCGCGTCGGACGATAGCTGTCAAGCTGCGTTTGGGGGGTCGCCTTCCCTGCTTCGTTAGGCGTGGTGTTGGAGATCATCGGTGGCGTGGGCGTGGATAAGCGAGGTGCGTCTCCTGTATGTCCCCCCGAAGCTCTTTCTATGAGTCCCCGAAGCCTTCTCTTCATTCACGTTATCAGCGTACTTCCTTCGCGCATTCAAGGATATCCCTCGCTGATGAGTGAACGTCTTCCGCCTCGCTTGGGACGGTTCTTTTGCATGCTGCTGCGGGGACAATATCAGGGCAATATGCCCGACGCTAAAGTCACAAGTACACCGTTCCTTGCACGGTGGGATCGCGCAAAGAAATGGGGTCTAACAGCGCACCGGTGTCCGCGCAGCGACTACCCAGGACTTCCCATCCTCAGCTGCGGTCGCCTGACGTTTCTTGTCCGATTGTGTGCTAACGAACGGGTGGCGCACCTAGCGTGACACATCAGGCTTCCCATGGCATTTTCCTGTAGCCATGCTACCGCCTAACGCTCTTCTGTCTCCCATAGAACAATTGGAAACGGTCTTTCGGATTGCTGTGCGCGTTTTTGAGCTTCACAGCGATGCTCTGCCTGAGTCATTAATCCTCCTCTGTCGATCCTCAACCGCGCTCAGGACAATCCGCGCCATAGTTCCTTTTGCTTGACAAATTTGTACACCATTGCATGAGGCACGCTCCGCAAAGCGCAGACGCCAACGGCGAGTTGTTGAGTTTCTGGTAGGTCACGGTGACAAGTGCTCGGGATTTTCGAACGGCATCAAATTGGTATAGCACGTCAGGAAAGAATGAACGGGTTCAGATATGCCAAGCGGAGGTACCTGTGGGCGCTTGACAAAGGATGGAAGACGTCACCAATTCACGGACGTTCGACAAAGCCCCCAACGTCATGGGAGATTGGCGAGCAGAATATACTCCTCGTCGCTCCCTCTCGACGTCAGGACACGCGGCGTACTCGCTGTTCATCGTGTGCTATGTCGGGGAGGCGCGCTCTGACACGCCCGGCTGGCCCGAATGTGCGGGCAGAGCTGTATTGGCGGTCATTGTTGTGTCTTGTTGTGCCGTGGGGTACTTCAACATAGGATTCCCACGCCACCAGCTCGGAATCCCGGATCCGTTATCCCCGTTTTGATGAAGGGACCCGGTGTTCAATCGCGCGTCCTTACCCATGACGCATTGTCATCACCTCCCCGAGGCTCTCCGGCCAATTCGGTACCGCTTCTTCGGCGCTTCTGTTCTCATGCAGGTTGAGGGGGGAATATTGCGCGCCACCGAGTGTACTATAGCTAGGGCTACTCCCGAGCGTTGCCGTGGGGTCGGGGGCGGGGCATGCACGTCCCCCCGGTCAATAAAGACGATCTCGGAGCGGAAGGCGTTGATTACTGCGCTCATCGGTGCGTCGCGCGCAGTCGGCACGCGCAGATGGAAGACCGGACGTACTCCAAGGGCTCGTTCACCCTTGGAGTGCTCAATTTGTCGAGACGCGGTCAAGAGGATGACGTCTATGTTCCCACGGATTGTTGTAGTACTTATAGTTGATGACCGCGTTCGGCGGCGAGCATACACGCCGAGCCACAGCATACACGACCTAGGGCACAGACAAGTTTATATGACAAGTACCTGCATAATTGCTCTTGCATATTAACTGTAAGCGCGTCCCCTGCAACTCCCGTCAACCCATCGTGAACTGCCACCGCCAACAGTATACAAACGCATATGATATCTCAACAGACAGAGATGGTTGAACCAGCAGTACAGATTCGCATGTCCTCTTCTTCGCGTACGGCGACGCCGACCCAGGAAAATCCAGGAGGTGAGTGTCTAGACGATTCCCTTCGATTCCATTCTGGGCGCGTGGCGCTCACGTGGAGACGCGATCTCAATTTTTGGACGTTGGGAACTGGCACCATCCCCCCGCTGGCTCTTGTCCGATTCGAGATATTTCCGCGTGTTTTCGCGTCTTGAAGATGCCCCTCTGATCCCCTCTTTCTTTTTTCTTCAGATTTTCCGTCATCCCCTCCTTCCTCTGGTGCGTGGCGAGCCATACGCGACGACGTGTCCTGACCGATTCTCGCAGAGTCCCCCGTGCATGAGACGTCTGTAACAGGACCTGTAGCACAGGACGAACCGCGCCCGGGCGTGAAAGATCCGCCAGTTGGAGATCCGCACCGCGATGCTTTGGGAATGGCGCCAGACTCAGGACGATTGCCACCGCTCGGTCACCCACGACGCCCGCAGCAACCACCGTCTTTATCGCAACGATCTCAGCGCCCCCTTCACTCAGATCTTGCACAAGTCGGCGCCGTTGGCCCCCCTCCACTCTTCGGCCAGCATGCGTACGCCCCCGCGTCGGGCTCTCACTACAACCAGGGCTCTGGCTTCGCGAACCAATACACGCTCGCCCAACCCCAGCAGTCTCTGAGCATGGTCCATTCGCCCCCTGCACCCTTCTTCCCCGGCTACGCTATGCCGCCCGACAACGCCATGATGCCTCAAAACATACACGGCAATTATCCCATGATGCAGCATCACGGCTCGGTGTACGGGTACCAGCGTCAGTCGCCGCCTGAAGGCTCGCCAGCACCACATACACCCTACGCCGGCGCAGGCCCATCCCAGGTGTACTCCCCGCAGGTGAATCCGTCCCCTCCGCCATTATCACCCTCGCACTCCGGCTCGCCCACGTACTCCGGTTCAGGGCAATTCCAGTCCTTACGTTACTCCACTCTCCCCAACGCTCAGTATGGCTATCCAGCTCCGCCGCCATCGTTCTCCGCCTCCCCACCCTTGTACCAGAGCCCTCCATTCAACCCGGGATATGCGACTTATGCTCCTTCCGGTGATTCAGACGGCTCACAAGGAACCTGGTGGTTCATGCCCCACGCCGCATCGTCGTACGACTCCGCGCAACCGCCGTATCAATATACGATGGGCTATCCACAATCGCTGCCGCCGCCGGACTCAGACACGCCGCCATACACGCAACGGCATACACCAGCGCCCGTTCTCGCCTCGCCCGTCCCTTCGCCACGCTCCGCCGTACCAATGGCGTCGAGCGCCCGTCCTCCAGTAGTCCCGGGTAGCGTCTCCTCGCCCCTCGCTCTATCACCACCGTCGTCGCAACAGTCGCCTAGGCCCGAGAGCAACAGCGGCAGCTCCTATCGCGCCGGTGGTAGCGAGCGAACGCCCGTGCGCCGCCCATACCACCCGAATCCGCCCGCTCACCGTTCGGAGTGGGTCATGTGGGTAGGAAACGTGCCCTCGGACGCGACGCATGAGGAGCTTTACCGCTTCTTCAACGTGCCCTACGCTCCTGGCGAGAATACTACCGGCGTCGTCTCCATCTTCCCCATCTCGCGCTCGAACTGCGCCTTCGTCAATTACTCTGGCCAGGGCCCGCTCGAGGAGGCCATCAAGCGTTTCAACGGCAAGCAACTTCGTCCGAACGATCCACGGTGTCCGGGCTTCGTCTGTCGTGTGCGCAAAGTGGACGACGACCTCAAGGCGGGTGTCGGCGCGCAGAGGGGGATGGGCATACACTCCAAGTGGATTCGCGACCAGAACAAGAACAAGTTGAAGGCGGGTCCGCCATCGGTTGCCTCGGCCACGTCCGCCGCCTCGGAGGACGCGCCGCCTACCACTCCATCCAGCGCCTCCGGCGACGTCGTCGCGGGCATGTCGAACCTTTCTATGTCCAGCGACGACCAGTCCGCGACGACTGGTCTCAAGTCGAACAGCTCCGGCTCCTACGCGTCTACAAATTCCAGTCTTCTTGCGAGTCACTTCCCGAAGCGGTACTTCATCCTAAAATCGCTCACGCAGGTACGTCGCTCGATCCCACCATCGCCGAAACCGCCGACTTATCGATACGCAGTACGACTTGGATCTCTCGGTTGAGAAGGGCATATGGGCGACGCAGAAGCATAACGAGGGCATCCTCGATCAGGCGTACCGCACGTCGAAGGACGTTTACCTCATCTTTGGCGTGAACAAGAGCGGCGAGTTTTACGGGTATGCGAGGTGCGCGATTTTCATTGGCGGAGCTCGAGGCCTAGACACTCATTTTGTTTCGCTCTAGGATGGCGGGGCCTGTCAAGGGCGAGCGCAAGGTATCGTGGGCCAGCCGTGCGGGCGACTTCTCACCGTCGGTATCGCCCACGACCGGCCGTCATAATTCGATCACGGCTGAGGAGGGCATCGCTTCTTCGGCCGCTAAGTCCCCAGTCACCAACTTCCTATCACCAGCGTCGGGCCGCCTGGTCGACAACTCTCCTCTGCCGCTCAGTGGGGACTCATCGGCGCGGCCTACTGCTATGCAGCAGCCGCAGCCTGCGAAGAGTGCGCCAGCCGAGTTCGGCGCCCGCCACCAGCTCTCTCTGAGCATGCACCCGGTCGGGCGGCATACTCACGAGGACCAGCCGAGTCCCGAGTTCGCGCTCGACGAGACGGCGCCGCTCAAGGCGCAGCGGAACGCTCCGGCGAGTGCTACCACAACTGACGCGTCCGTGCGCGCGTCTGGTGAACGGGAGCAGTCTGAGCCGTCGAAGCCGCCCATTCCGTCACGTACCGACAGCGGCCGCGAGGAGACATGGGGCGAGTCGTTTAAGGTGGAATGGCTTTGCACGAAGCGCCTACCCGTGAGCACACGATTCTTTCATCTTCTACGCTAGCGCTAACTCTATGGTAGTTTTTCCGTACGCGCCATCTCCGCAATCCCTGGAATCACGATCGGGAGGTGAAGGTGTCGCGCGACGGGACGGAGCTCGAGCCAGCCGTTGGGCAGCGCCTGCTCGACGAGTGGGAGAAGTTGGCGAGCGAGCCGATACCCTCCCCGGCGGCCGAAACCCCTGCGGCTAAGGATGCACCATCTCCAGCACCTAAGCGGACAACCCCGGCCGCACGAGAGCCCCGTCGCCGAGACGCCGGGGGTTCATGATCATGATATACGACGATCATTCAAAAACATCATCGCACGACCACTCACAATCCCGCATAAACGCATCGCATTCATCACGGCATCCACAGCATCTCGGTCTTTCCTCTCGTGAGTTGCTCAACCAATTGTTGGATTAGGGACTGGGTCGTCACACGTATCTCCTATAGTACCCTTCGCACTGTGCTCCGCGCAGCATAATTTGCCAGTACTTACCTACTTACCATCATCCTCCCTGCTTCTCTGCATGGCATGATCTTGTCATTCACGAAACAAGTAATGTCGACGTCCTCTTCACTGCACGTACCTTCTTTTGGATATTGCGAGGTACCCTCCGCTTGTCGCGCTATTTACTAGTCGCTGTCTGTTGTCCTGATTACCCAGTATGTAGCTATAGCTCTGCTCTCACCGTTTGGCACCAATACACGCATTCACGCCGCACTGTTATCGTCAGAGTATCACTGGCTTTGATCACGTTCTATGATCCTCGACCTTGAGGGAAAGTTCATGTTGGACTTGGGTCGAACGCAGGCGTGCACGTGGATTCACGTGCGCTCGGCCCCGGATCCCTCGGATCAATTCCAATGACAAGCGCGCCGTCGCCGAACACCCTCCCTACTCTTCCCTTCAACAGCTCTCGCCCCCGACTCCAGGTCTTGCTTCCTTAAAGGTCTCTTGATATATATCTTTGTCCGAGTATCTTGCACCTCGCATTGTAAGCGAAACACCACATATCGCTACAAACGGTGCAAGTTTCGACGCGCACGCGGCGCAATTGCACCTTATGGCAGACACGAGCTCCGCCACCGATACAACTCTCGCCGCAGACCAGTCCATGGAGTCCGACTCGTCGACGCTCACCTCTGTCTCCGATGTCACCGACATAGCTAGACGCGGGCGAGATGCGGTATACTGGAGACCAGACGGCGATGCGGTCTTCCTCGTAGACGGCGTACTGTTCAAGGTTGGCTGCTTTCTCTGTGCCATACAAAGATACGCATATACAAGTAGATCCACAGCTTCCTCATCGGACGCGACGGCTCTGCATTTGAGGACATGTTCACTTTGCCGAACAAAGGTGACCTTGCCATTCGAGGCTCTGAAGAAGAGCCAATCGAACTGCATGGCGATACGGCGGATCGTTTTCGAGCCTTATGTTGGGCGTTGTACGCTCTGTACGTCCGTCGTATATGATTTGCACGTGGTGTGAGCTCATCCTTGCCCCTAGCCCGACGGAGATACACTCACAGGCCACAACGGACATAGACCTTCCGCGCATGCTGGATATCGCCGAGATGGCGAACAAGTATCACTTCAAGGCATTCGAGAAGTGGGCGATGGACATGATATCGAAGTACAGCCTCCGGAACAGGAAGACGCAGCAGGATTACTTGTCAACGAGCTGCCCGCCAGAAGTTCTCGCTCGCATCCTTCGTCTTACCGTGCTTTGCCACCGGCAGACCTTCCAAACGCAGGTCGAGCGTATCTGGATAGCGCGCTTGAGCGCTTCGGACACCGCGTCCTTCACACACGCCATCGACGTTGCCGACAGTTTCGGCTTGCGCGACTTCCAAGGACACGCCTACTATCACCAGCTCCTCGCTATGAGTACCGACGCTACGCCCGAGTCCGGTGGCCTCGCTACGCGCTTCGAGCACCCCAGCCTGCACGGCGTGCAGCTGATGCGGCTGCTCAGCGGACATTGGTCGCTCACAATGTTCTGGGCGCGCTTCGCGGAGCAAGGAGTGGTAGTGCCGGCGGCAGGCGGCTGCGACACCGCGCGCCACCATCCCAATGTGTGCGTGAAGGCTTGGGAGGGGCGATGGGCAGAGGCGGTGCGCAGCGAGAAGGTTCTCGCTTTGCCGCCGTGCGATGTGCTGGGCAAGGGGCGGGCACTACAAGCAATTCTCGCGTCGGACTCCGTCTCGCATGGGTGGACGAATGCGCATTGCCGGAGGAATGCGTTGCAGGCGCTCCAGGACACGCTCGACCAATTGCAGGAGACGCTCGCAGACCATTTCCTTGGCCCCCCAAGGGAGGATGCGCCGGACGAGTCGATGGAGTAATTGCTTGCTGTACGTGCGTACTTTGGGCTTCGCTGGGTTGGACACTACATATACGCTATCCATTCCTTGTTACTTGAGCTTCGCTGTGACCTGTATTCACCGCCTGATTGGAATGCCACATCGCAGTTACCTGATTTGCTGCGGCGAAGGCCGATTTGGGGACGTCGAACCCGGTCCGCAAATCCGAAATCGGTGTCGTCGGCGTTGCCCCTGCTTCCGTGCCACCAACTGCTCGCCATTCGACGTTTCTACCTCATTTTTATCTCGTCTCGACGAAAAAGTGAATGCATTTTGAACCTCAAACCATGAAGCTCAAATTCCCGAAACAGCATGTCGAGTGGATAAGCGCCCAGCGTTCCACACCGGGTCTCTGGATTGCTTCCCGGCCCTCGATTGGTCCAGGTGTCGGTGGTTCCCTTCACGTACTAGGAATGCCGTCCTCGCACTGCTGAGGAACAGCTGGTGCCATATCATCGACACTTCCCACAATGGAAGCCAGTCGCCGCTTTACGCAATATTAGCGGTGCAACGGTGGCCTGCCCCCGATCTTCATCTCTGAATTGCTGCTCGAGGAGCTGATGCCGCCTCGCCGATCTGAGAAGATAGCTGTCAGCGCTTTGGACCTCACGGCCGCACGGTCAGTGAATACTTGCTGGGGCTCATGCTGTGTGGAAAGGCGCTAACAGATAGATCGCGCGATTCCCTGCATTCTTTCTCGGCGAACAAATTCAGGACGGTTAGCCGAGCACGGTGCCACCCGAAAGTCTGCTCTTTCGTGGCACCGGAGTAGATGCGCTGCACTCATTGTCAAACCCGACCTTGACGAGTGGTACCATTCTTCCTTCTCGGCTAGTCCCGGTGTGCTGGCATCCATGTCCAGGTCTGCCTGCTGTGCCCACAGACGCGGTTACAAGGTTTCGATCGGTACACTTCCTTTACGTCGCGCCTATACAATGCTAGTGGCTTCACGCGTAGACTCTCACCCCTCCCTCGGCAGACGCCGCGCCAGAGGCGCTGGCTTCGCGTCCTCTGGGCCAGGGCTGGACAGTGGCGTGGTGAATGCAGAGCGACAACCTGTTATAGCAAGGAACGTCGGCTGGCGATGTCAGTCCGGCACCCCAGTGCCTCGTCTCGCGAAGTCAGCTCGCTCACGTCCGTCTGTCAGACCTTCTAAAGCCCGGCCGTACCGGCTGACCATGGCGATATGGGTGGTCTAATCAGTCTGATGCGATTGAATGTCATCGTCCGTCTCTATACATACGCTCGCTACCGATGCTGATTGACAGGCTCGCGGAGTCCGTAGTGAGCCCCTTGCAGGCTACAATCACCCCTACCACTTCGGCTGTGAGAGGCATTGGAGGCTTCAGATGGTTAGGAGACACTCGAAGCACGATTTGGGCTAGTCAGATAATCGCGCGAGGCGCCGAATCGCCGGGGCGGATGATAGTGCGAACGAGTGTAGGGCGATGTGATCAGTAATACGACTTGAACTCCACCATTTCCATCCTTATTCTGTCCACATCAGCGCATCGAACGCGTCTGCGCTGGAGCCAAGCTGGAGCGAACAAGGTTATAGAACCCCCGCAAACGCACAAACATATGTCAATAGACCCCGAATGTGCCATCACTCTTCCCCGACCGGCACCCTCACCTCCCCATGGGCAACAGTCCCTCATCCCCCTCGCGCCCGCGCGAGCAGCGGCACGACCGCTCGTCGACTGCGTCTCTCTCACCGCGCCCCATCCGCCACAACCGTCGCTCGCTCGAGCTGCCCGATCTCGTGCCCTCTCTCGCCCTGCAGAACTCCTTCCGCCGCCGCAACGACATCCCCCCGAAATCCGCCTCGATCCCTATCCCTCACGCCGCGCCGGACGACCCTGCGCAGAGCATTCGCCCTCAGAACGTCTTCTCCACAGAATCTATCCCAGGCTCCGCACGTCGGTCCTCGCGCTCCAGCCGTGGCAGTAAGACTAAGCGCGGGTCTGTGAGAGTGGAAGAAGTGGAGGTACAAACCATTGAGGAGGTGTATGGAAGTGTGGATGAGCTTCCCCCACCGCCTGTTCCTCCGGGGTCGTATGTGCCTGAGACCGTGCTCTCGACGATCCCCAAGGGCCTCGAGACGCGATCGAGGGTGTACGCCGACACGGACAATGACACCCTGATGGCGAAGAAGGATACCCCGGATGGGACCACCCCGTCTATCACAAAGGTGGAATGGAAGGCGCCTGCGAAGACAGTCTCCCTTCTACGAGCAGATGATAGCTGGGAGGGGAAGGTTCCCATGCATCAAGAGTGCGTACAGCTGTCCGTTCGCAGTTCGCCTTGACTGACTTGCTACAGGGGAGATGGCTTCTATGTAGAGCTGGAGCTAGCACCAGGAACACATCATTTCCGTTTCTGCGTGGATGAACAAGTCCGCGTCGCAGATCATATCCCCACCACTGTCGATGACAATGGCCAACTCGCAAACTACATTACCGTCCTCGGTCGCTCCTCTGGCGACAGCAGCCCCGCCCCTACCCCCGAGTCGATACGGTCCCCCGCCCTCTCCCCTCGTCACGCACACGGTTACTCCTTCTTCACTACCACCAGCTCTACCGACAGCACCGACAACATCTACGAGCAAGTCATGCACTCGCTCGGCACCCACAAAGACTACCATACGCCCGTACCCGCACCCCTACCACCACGAGGGCGAAAAAATCGAGAGAAGTGGACCTCGGAGATTCCCGAGGAACTTATCGCCGCAGCCAGGGAGGAGGACGAATATCTCAACGCTCAGCCTCATCAAAATGCGAACGGGCAACACGTTCATATTCAGGGCTTCCGGCCAGCGCCATGCGTCCCGCCAGCACCGAGTATGCCCAAGCACCTAGACCGGCTAATCCTCAACTCGTATCCCGTCGTCGTCCAGAGTCCGTCTGGCAGTCCATCTCGAGGAGGCGGCATGCGCGAGCGCGTCGTCGACCGAAACACTCGTCGCGAGATACCCGGGATGAGCATGGTCACGACTGACGCTGAGGACCTCGAGCAAGGCATCCCAGTTGCGACTGCCAGCGGCACGAACCTGACAGCTGCGATGAAAAATGGCCACGCTCCTCGAACACCGACTACTCCAGCGCTGAAGGGAGGCGAACCCCGTGCGCCCGCATTGGACGACAGCAGCGTTCTTCCTGTACCAAGCCACGCCGTGCTGCACCACCTATCCACCAGCTCCATCCGCAACGGTGTACTCGGCGTTGGCACCACGACGCGCTATCGTGACAAGGTATTTACTTGGCATTCTCGTCTCATCCCCTTTTCACTCACCCATCCCTCAGTATCTAACGACGATCTACTACAAACCTACGTGAAGCTAGATGCCCTCTGTTGTACTATCAAAACCGCTTCGTGCTTGCTTTATTGTCTGTTTGCTGATCACGACCCATCGCTCTTATGTTGTATCCCCCATCACGTCCCATTGCTCGCTATATAGACGCCTAATCGCTCATTGTTCCCGGAAGGTCGCTCATGTGTCCATAGTTACATTCGTCTCGGATCGGTTCGTGTACTCATGGACTGCTTAGAATACCCCTGTACCATCCACCTACGGTGAACGAGAGTCTGTATGCTTTTGCATCATGACCTATGCATACACACGACTGGCGTGACCTGCTGAACTTGGACTTAGCCAGACTTGATCGCGGCCATTGTTCTTTGATCTGGAATGCCTCCGTCGCGATCGCAGTTCACCACAGCGCATGTTCGCTTTTTTCGACGCGTGCCTTGCTCCCGACTGCCATGTCCGACACGCCCCATATGATTGATTCACCTTGCGGTAGCCCCGAGCCCACGACGCCGCGGGCGACGGAGGTGAACGCACCGAGCCTGTCGCAGCGATCGCTGGAGATGTACCAGGACGTTGGGCAAAGCACGCCTGGGCTGGAAGTACCACCGCCCCGCGATGGCTTCTTCGACTACAGCCAGGAGAAGTCGCTGCAGCACGTGCGATGAGTATCCCTCTTACGGCTGTGCTGCTGCTCATATGCGCCTCTCGCGGTTAGATCGAGGAAAAGTACTGGGCTCATCGTCGGGGATCGGACGCGCCGTCGGAGGCGACGTCGGCCGGCCACTCGTACGCGGGGCTTCGGTTCCAGCATCCCCCTGGCGAGCTACCGACGGGGTCTAGTACGTTCGAAGAGGAAGAGGACACGCACATCATGCCAGAGGTCAACGTGCATGCCCCTGGTACGTCGCACCAATGCTTGCTTTCGAACGACTATCTGAGGTGATGTTGTGCCCCCCAGACAATGCACTCAATGCAGAGCTCGCTGGACTGTTCTCTGCGTTCCAAAAGTGCCTCGACCTCCGTGACAAGTACATGCTTCGCTCGAATCAGCGCCTGGGCGACAACCCTAAGGACTACGACGGGCAGTTCAGGGGATTAGACGACGCCCATGCCGACGTGTCCGGTATGCGCCCGGGCACGAATTACGCGACGAACAACCCCGACAAGGTCGACAAGCCCGCGGAACCGTGGAAGATATATCCTACCCCGCCGCCACCGCATTGGCACTGGAGAGATACGGCTGCGGTGCACAGCGACAACACAAAAGTGGAGGAGTTCCGCTTCGAGAACTGCCACATTCCCGGCGCGCATGAATGGGACTTTGAGATCGACGATAGGGGCGTCTTCCAGGTCTACAAGGATAACACAGGTGAGCGATACCCTTATGCACTCATTTGAGTGATCCTGACGCATGTTCAGAGCCAGACAAAAAGCCTGTCTTCGACATCCCTACCATTCGCGAGTACTTCGTCGATCTCGACTACGTCCTCGGCGTCATATCGGATGGCCCGACGAAGAGCTTCGCCTTCCGTAGGCTGAAATACCTCGCCAGCAAATTCACAATGTACAGCCTGCTCAACGAGTTCCAAGAACTTGCGGATATGAAGGTCCGTCCTTCGGTACCTCCCTACCTCCGGCCAGGCTAACGCTCCCCAGAGCGTCCCGCACAGGTACCTTACCCCGTCCACGCACGCGCGCTGCCATACTAACGTACACTCAGGGACTTCTACAACGTCCGCAAGGTCGACACGCACGTGCACCACTCGAGCAGCATGAACCAGAAGCACCTCCTGCGCTTCATTAAGTCGAAAATGAAGCGCTCGCCGGACGATGTGGTCATCTTCCGCGATGGGAAGGAGCTGACGCTGAAGGAGGTGTTCGAGTCGCTGAAGCTGACTGCGTACGATCTGTCGATTGACACGCTGGACATGCACGCGCACTCGGACTCGTTCCATCGGTTTGACAAGTTCAACTTGAAGTACAACCCGATTGGCGAGTCTCGTTTGAGGGAGATCTTCCTGAAGACGGACAACTACATCGAAGGGCGGTATCTGGCTGAGCTGACAAAAGGTACGTGGATGAACCGGCAGCCCAACGATTAGCGGCTCATTATCATCAGAGGTCATGACTGATCTCGAGCAGAGCAAGTACCAGGTTTGTCTGGCGTGCATGTTTACCGCAGGTCGCCGATTGACCCCGTCGTAGAACTGCGAATGGCGCATTAGTATCTACGGCCGATCCCTCGATGAGTGGGACAAGCTAGCGCGCTGGATCGTAAACAACAAGCTCTACTCGCACAACGTTCGGTGGATGATCCAGGTCCCGCGCTTGTACGACGTGTACAAGTCGAATGGCTCGGTGAAGACCTTCGAGGATATCGTTATCAGTGGGTAACTTCACCTTGGATCATAATTTGTACTCACGCAGTACCCAGACGTTTTCAAGCCGTTATTCGAGGTCACGAAGGACCCGACGTCGCATCCGGAGCTGCATGTATTCTTGCAGCGCGTCATCGGCTTCGACTCCGTCGATGATGAGTCCAAGACGGAGAGGAGGATCTACAAGAAGTATCCTTATCCGAAGCTGTGGGACACGTATCAGAGCCCGCCGTTCTCTTACTGGTGCGTCGACGAGTTTTTGTCCTTCTTCGGACCCTGTCTGACGTGCATTTAGGATCTACTACCTGTATGCTAACATGGCGAGCTTGAACAATTGGCGGAGGCAAAGAGGATTCAGTAAGCGCTTTCTGCTTCCAATTACCTTCGGGTATCTGACGCCTGTCCAGACACCTTCGTCTTGCGCCCCCATTCTGGCGAGGCAGGCGACACCGATCATCTAACCTCCGCGTTCCTTACCTCGCAGTCAATCTCGCACGGCATTTTGCTGCGCAAGGTCCCTGCGCTGCAATACCTCTTCTACCTCAAGCAGATCGGTATCGCGATGAGCCCCCTCAGCAACAACGCCCTATTCCTCACTTACGAGCGCAACCCGCTGCCGGACTTCTTCAAGACGGGGCTCAACGTTAGTTTGAGTACGGATGACCCGCTGCAGTTCCACTTCACGAAGGAGCCGCTGCTAGAGGAGTACAGCGTTGCTGCTCATGTGCGTCCCGTCGATGTAGTGTCTAGAGCCTCCTTCTGATCCCCTCACAGATCTACAAGCTCCCTCAGAGCTCGCTGGCCGAGCTTGCGCGGAACTCTGTGCTGCAGAGCGGCTTCGAGATGGAGATCAAGCGTCACTGGTTAGGCCACCAGTGGTATCTCCCTGGTGCGGCTGGTAACGACATCAACAAGGTATGCATCCTCGGATCCGTTGATCCATCATCAAATCAATTGACGCCTCTTTTCTAGACGAATGTGCCAAACATCCGCCTTACTTTCCGCCATGAGACGCTGCTCGAGGAGCTCGATATGATTGCGGGCAAGATTGCCATGCATACTGCGCCAGCTACGAGTCGCTCGGAGGCGGATAAGCTCCGCAGAAATTTGGTGCTTCCATCTGTCGATAACCTAGCCGCAGGAGCGATGGCAGGCCCTCGCTCTTGAGCACTTCGACCACGACTTGCTCGTTTTGCCGAGTTTATCTGCGTGACACCCTGTCAAACTGTAGCATTAGACTATCCGATGGCACCTCTTGACAACACTTCCACATGTGAACGTTTGAACATCCGCTCCGCTGCCAGCGCGCTGGCAGTATATCTGCTAGCTCAACCTATTGTTTCCCAAAGGGGAATACTGCGCCTGGCTAACGCGATCACGCGGTTGCTCCGCCATCGAAGCCTGCTGTCCACGCGCGTCGCTGATGCGGAGGCAAAGTGACGTTCTGTTGTTGTTACCGCCAGCGCCTGATCAGCTGTATCCCGCCGGCCTGCTTGTTCCTTCCCACCATCTCTATCTCTTCTCTCTCCTATCATCTGCGTAATCGCAGTCCTTTCATTTGAGTGCTGTGCGCTTGTTCTGTGGCTCTTGGATATAATGGCGGAAGGCGAGACTCGCAAGCCGCGCACGCTGGTTCTGTGCTTCGATGGGTGAGCGCGGGCTGCGTCGTGAAGGAGGCGGGTTGCTCAGAGGACGGTGGGCTGATGGGGCGATCTCTTGCAGGACGCAGGGGCAGTACGATGAGGATGTATGTATTCACTCTCGCTCATCCCCCTCCCTCTCGACTCATCGACCGCCGCAGAACACCAATGTCGTCCGCTTCTTTTCTCTCTTGCGCAAGGACTGTTGCGACGAGCAGCTGTGCTACTACCAGGTTCGTCCTCCTCTCCTCATGCGACTCCAGCCTTTCACTGGACATTGCGTCAGGCCGGCGTCGGTACGATCCTCCCGCCGGGTATATGGGAACCTGCGGTGGAGTGGCTCGCGAAGACACTTGACTTGGCGTTCGCTTGGTATGTGATGACTATGCTTCTCGAGGACATGTGGGCTGACGTTGGGGTATAGGTATCTGAACCAGCACGTTATGGATGGCAGGTCGTTTGATAGAGCTGTTGACTGGCGGCTAATCACCCGCAGGATATCGCTACTTGATGCAGAACTATAAGCCGGGGGACAAGATTTGCCTTTTTGGTGAGTTCCCAGGACTATAAGAAAGGGTTCTAGCTCACACTTAGTTGACAGGATTTTCCCGAGGCGCCTACACCGCTCGTGCGTTAGCTGGGATGCTGTATAAGGTGAGTGTTCTGTTGCCGTCTTTTACTTATCTCTGACATCTACCAGGTGGGCCTACTGCCGCGGGATAATCTAGAGCAGATTCTCTTCGCTTTCAAGCTCTATGTTCGCACGGACGAGCAAGGCGAAAAGCTCGCTGCCGGCTTCAAGGAGACGTACTGCCAGGACGTGACTATCGAGTTCGTCGGGGCCTGGTGCGTGATCCAATTATTCCTGATACGTTTGCCAACTCTGACGTATGATATAGGGATACCGTGTCCAGCGTCGGGCTCATCATGGGCAAGACGCTACCCTTTGTAAACTCGAATAAGGCCATCAAGGTCTTCAGGCATGCTCTGGCTTTGGATGAGGTGAATTCTCCACTGTCTTACAACAGGAAGTTCGAATGCTGATCAAGCGTTTCCAGCACCGGGCGCGGTTCAGGCCGAACCTGTACCACCGCCCCGTCCCCGGCGCTCCCGGTACGATCGACCCAGGCCACAATAGCCCCATCCTCGACGATAATGGTGCGTGCTTAGAATGACTGTTTTCAGAGACATACCGTCTCCATAACTTTTGTACAACAGCTCATTATTTTCAGGCCGCACGCACCTCATCCGGAAGAAGGGCGGCGCTAAAGACGCACGGAACGACAAGCACGCTAGCTCCAATGGGGGCCTCTTCAACCACTTCCGCCGCAAGCCCGTGAAGGAGATGAGGTTCACCGAGGCTGGGATTGAGGTCGTCAAGCCCGGCGAGCCAGAGACGAGGGACGAGCCGGAGACGGATGTGCTCGAAGTGTGGTTCCCGGGGGCGCATAGTGGTAAGTTTCATCGCCTCCAAAGCTTTCCGCTCCCTTCAGCCTTTTCATTTTCGCTCAATGACCCTTGAACCTTCGCTTACCCTCCACCAGACGTCGGCGGCGGCGAGGTCGCCAACGAGGTCGCGCACAGCCTCGCGAACCAGCCGCTGCTCTGGATGACACGTGAGGTCATGAAGGCGCAGTGCGGGGTGCAGTTCGAGCGTGCGGCGTTCGCCCGGCTGGGGTTCCCGCCGTTTGAGTATCCGTCGGCGCTGCCGTCGCCGGCGCAGCAGGTGTTGAATTTGCCTGTCGTACACACCGCGGAGGGTGGAGAAGCAGGGCCCGATGTCGCTCCCGCCAACGGGCACGGTCCCGGCGCTTCTGGTCACACTGGCCACAGCGGTTGTCAAGGCAGGACATCTAGTAACGCGCAGTTCAAAGCCGCGGTCGACGAAGAGAACTGGGACCGGGAAGACGCGTTGTCGCCCATCTATGACCAGCTGAAGACGGACAAGATCTGGTGGCTCCTCGAGATCATGCCGCTGAACTACGTCTACCAGGACGCGGAGGGTAACTGGCATAAGACGTTTGGGTGAGTGGCTGCGTTCGTTTTTTTAACCGTGCTCTATCTTGAGGCATACCGACTCTCGAGGCATCCATTCTGAGTAGGCGGCGTATTCACACAGTCTACAGCTGCCATAAAGGGGCCGGCCGCGTCATCGAGGGCAAGCCGTACTTCCACGTATCCGTGAAGACGCGGATGGAGGCGCTGGGGTACAAGCCCGAGGCAGAGTGGGAGGGGGGTGAGGGGGCGGTGGTGTGGGTGGAGTAGTGGAGGAGAGGGATGGAGGAGAGGGGTGCTGGAGTGATGGAGAGGGGTGCTGCAGGGCCCGAAGGATAATGATGAGGTGGCAGTCGAGTATATGAACAAGCGACGACCGTGATGATTCTCCATTACAAACTATACCGATGTACATTAGTGGACTACTATATCATTGTGGACTACTATGGCATTGATGCGCATCGAGCCCTCTGCTTTGGAGGCGTTTTCGAGTTGAAGTGAATTGAAATCTGAGCTTCGTAAGAGTTCGTTGATCTCTGACCTACGAATGCCGCTTCTGTTGTGCGTATTGACTACCAAAATGAACTTGCAAAATTCCTCGTCGGGTGTAAGAACTTGAGGAGCGTAGACCTAGATCAAACCATTGCCTGGCGCAAGCGCCGATCATCGCACAGACAGACCATGTTCGTCGCTCGACTTGCACTCAGTTGACGAAACATAGCCGAGTCTTTTGAGTGCTCCGCGTAGGTCCCGAGAAAGGTAATCACCACCCACGACATGGGCATCCCATACTCAAACCGACTCTGCAGAATCCGGCCGACCACGCCGTCGCGCACTTCACACAGGCTGAGTGTAAGCTTTTGTAAATTAGGAAGAGCAGGCGCAATCGAGCCCGCCGGGTTAGGCCGCAAAAGCTGGAACAGATCATACCCAGCAATGAGGGTATCGCCTTGTACGGACAGATTGCGCAACCCGGCGAGTTGGGGCAGCATAAGTGAGCGCAGGAGCGTCTCTTCCTCCATGAGTACCTCGGAGAGGTCCAGGGACTCCAGCCCCCTTACCATGCGCCCCAAGAACGCGAGCCAGACCTCCGCGTCGCGGTCGGGCCACAGAGCGCGAGAGGCCTGCTCGGACGTGCCCACCCACAGATACCGGAGCGCCGGGAAGCTCAGCGCGCTAAACAGCCCGTTGCGCGTGCCCTCGCCCGCGAGGCGGAAGGACTGCAGGGCACGGTGCGTTAGTGGAGCGTGCGAGAAGCTGCGCGCGGCGAAGAGGTTGACGTTGAGCTGCGTGAGCGCGGGCGCGTAGCGCAGGATCCACAGCACGTCCTCCTCGCTGAGCGGGCACCGCCCGAGCGCGAGGGCGGTCATGCGCGCATAGGGGATGCCAGCGGGCAGGGCGCGCTCCCGCCAGTAGAGCTCGCGCAGGACGGGCGCGGAGGCGGCGAACCGGGCGACGAGGTCGGTGTTCGCCCGGTGTGCTGCGGTGAAGTCGTCGAGGGTGACGCTCAGACTTTCCAAGCGCTCCTTGTCGGCGGGCGGGACGCGCGAGAGCGGCCGGAGGGCGTACTCGTGGGTCCAGAAAAGGGACAGGGATCGCGTGCGCGGCATGTTGGTCAGGACGAGGTCGAGCGTGCATGGGCAGACATCGGGTCCCTGGCGGGGTATGCCGAATGGAGCATCGAACGCGACGTCTAGCGGGAGCATCTGCGCGCGTTGCGTGTACAGCTCCGCGACCCTCCGCCTGGCACATTGCCACTGGCCATCGCACTCCCGGACGTTGACGTGCGTCCAGAGCGCCGCTTCGCCCAGCGCGGTGGCGCGCCAAGTACTGCAGACGTGCGACAGCCGCACGGATGTGTGCGATTTGGTGGCAAGCTCGGCCTCGACGAGGAAGATGAAGATTGTCGACAGTAGCTCGGTGGGCAGGCGATCGATCAAGGGCGGCAGACCCAGTGGGACGGCGCGAGGAAGGAGCGCGCGCCAGAAGGTGGGCAGGGGGCCATTGGGGAGGATGCCAAGCTTGCGCAGCTTGAGCAGGGCGCTACGAAGCCCAAATGAGGTCTCTAGCAGCGTTGCGGAGGCTTCCGGGTTTATCATGCCAAGGAAATCGACGAGCTATGGAAGCAGGGAGTGTCAGTCGCAACCTCGCTCGAGGGAGCAAGTCATGTAGCGGGCGAGCGGGCAGGTACTCACCTCAGCGTCCTCATTTGGGATGTCCAAGACCCTGGTGAGTGCTGCGGGGAGAAGGCTGAACGACACTCTTTGACGGCCGCCAAGTCTTGGTATCTCGACGTTTGGAGTCGATTCTGCAGACTCGTCGGGGTCCGATTCTGCCAAGTCTTCGTCTTGGTCTACCCATGCAAATCCGTCGTCTCGCCATAGTCCTGAAATCCCATAGTCGGCGTCCATGCCCAGTGTGTCTTGAAGAGCTTGTGCGTGTGTTGATGAAGTCTTGAACCAGCTGTAAGACTGGTTCGATGGTTGCGAGGGATAGTCGGCAGTTGCGTCAACCGGGGGATAGCGCGTCAACCGGAGGACAGCGCGTCAACCGGAGGACAGCACGTTAACTGAGGGAGGGCCCTAAAGGAGGGCGAGGCCAAAATGAGGGAAACCGTCAACCGGTGGAAAGAGGCCAAAACCGAGCCGTGCGCGGACTGCGTACTTTTATGTCGCTTGGGCTTTGTGGCCAAGCGCCAGTAGGCCCAGAGCAGCAGAAACCAGCCCGAAACATATTCCACGCAGGACATGCACCGTGTCTGTCATTGACCAGCGCTGTTCTGTCTGTTGTCCCGTATTCTGACTACCGATGTCGCTAGCGGTGCTGTGAACAGACTGACTCGAGCAGACCGTCTGGAAATCTGAGGAAGCGACACGAGCCGTCAAAAGGACCATGGTGGGAGACAACCAGACGAGCGCCATAAAAGGAATAACAAGCCCTTTGAGTTGCCCGCGCTTTGGAATTGGCCACATTTTTGCATGCACTGGCGCGGGTGCGCGAACTTGTCCTGCGGCGCCGGACCAATAGCCTGCCAGTACCGGTCTGATACTTGGCTCGAACTGATGATCGACGGCCACAAAACCGGTACCCAGATCCCGTGGCGCCAAGCTGCATCGCTCTGCCCGTCGAGCACTATCCCACCATGACCCAGTTCGCAGCATGCTCATGATTCTCGCGCGCCACGGCTGTGAGCTGCCTCGCCTCCCCGCAGCGTACCAGCAACCCTTACGCCACGCCTCTCTGATCCTCACGCGCCTCTCCGAACGTCCCCGCGCGAAGTCCTCCTCCTACCTATACGCGACGCCGTCCTCCGACCCCCCCCCCA